CCTTCCTTTTAACCTCTTCCTGCCTGACTCCTACCTAACTTACGCCCGTCCTGCTCCCCCCTTCCCCGCCAGCCAAGCCCCAGTTCGTGTCCGCCGCTGCGGGTCTGGCTCAGGTGGCGCTGGCGCTGGGTGCGGTGGCGGCATGGCCCGCGGCACACTGCCAGGCAGAATGGGTGGGTAGCTGGGTACGGCGGGGGTGAAGGGGGGGGCGGCAAGGTGCTTTGTTAACCAATAGTACAGTAGCCCCTTAGGAAGTAGCCCCCCCCTACTACCGTACTTGTTATCGACGCACTGTATCATTGCATATTGTTAAGCCAAATGGCGGCGGGTTTGCCTCCATACACCCGCGCAGGTGCTGGCGCCCGAGGCCGGGATGCGCGCCGCACCGCAGGCGGGCAGCAGCAGGCCCCACCCAGCAGCGGCGGCCCGGCAGCAGCGGTTCCCTGGCACCAGCTGGACACCGCCTTCACCGTCATTCCCTTCGGCGACACGCCCCAGCAGCTGCAGTGCGAGTGGACGGGGTTTGCGAGCGCAGGTGCGTGTGAGCAGGCGTGATGAACGGGCGACGTGCATGCATATGCCTTGTCCGTACAAAGCATCTGCACGGCAAGTAAACATGTTCTGCCGGTGCTCAGGGCTGTGCAGTGACTGGATGAGCAAGTGGAACATTGTCGCGCCTTAAGGTCGTTGCCGTACATGACGTTTCCGAATGGTCAGACAGGTTGGTGACTTACTGCCCCCCAATCCTCACCTCGTAACGAGGCGGATGCTATGTACATCTCCGTGCCTCGTTCGTCATGCCCAATGCATGCTGTGGTCTTTGTGATACACATCTGGGGATGGAACTTCCGGTATGTACTTGATTACGAGTGTCCTGACGCTGTGCCGAAATCCATCCCTCATCTCCCAGGCTGCTTGCTAAACCAACGGAAAGATGAGGACAGCGGCCGAGGTCTGCTTGCCCTGGAGTTTGCCCATCTGCTTTCTCGACACGCGCTAGCGGCGGGAATGAACGCAACTACTGCAGCTGAACACTGGGACAAACTAGGTCACAAGCTGCAACTGCCAACGGTGTGTACCAGCTGTGCTTCTCCGCTATCTTGCCCCTCCAAAGAAGACATATAGTGTTGGATTTGGATTATCAGCTGTTCTTGATTGCAAGTCCGTTTGCATTTGCTACATACCGGTACGACACCATTACTTGCAGGTCAATGGAACAACAAGTTTGACGCCTGCTGGGGGCATGCCCATCCTTTTGGATCTGACCTACGCCAATCTGGTTAAGCAGAACAAAGGACTACCATCTACAGCTTCACATGGGATTCAAATCTTATGGCTAGACCGTCCCGTGGGTCATCTCACAGGATTGCAGCCAGATGCTGAGAAGGCATACACCGCGTGGAGGGAAAGGTAAAGCCTGAACCCTGACTGAACTCAACCTTGCCATTGAGAGGATGGTGGTTTAGGAAATGTCTCCGGCATGGATGCAACCTACTGCAACAGCTAATGGCATCATTGCTTGCAAGTGGCCATCCTGACCTTCACGCTTACAGGCCTAAGCTGTATCTAATATTGCTAATGTGCTCAGTGCATTTTAATTTCACTGGTTGCATGACACGCAGATGTCGAGCGCTGAAGTACTACGAGCTCGCTGAGGATAACCGAAGACAGTGGTGAAATGGATGCCCCGCCTGATGCCGTGCATGGGGGCGTCGTACAGGAAGTTGTGACGACTTCTCTTGCTTTGAATTTACAAAACCGTATCCAACACGCCTCGCAATCCAAAACGTGTCTCGCTTCTCAGCCCAACTGCACCCAGGCACATGACTCCAGCATGACATGAACCCAGCAGCTATGATCGGCGGCCCTCGCCCAAACCTCCCTAATCAAGCAACATTTCTCGTACATAATGATAGGCAACACCTTACTCAGGGTCGACTACCTGCAATACCCTACCCATAGCCTATTGCCAAGCATCCTGCGTTCTAAGACCCAATCGTCGAAGCCATCCAACAGCGCTCACAAGGGTTAACTATACATGAGCTTCTCCTCCCACACGTACATAACTTAACATAACTTCATACACGGCAACTACCGCACCCCCAGCCAGGCAGTCCCCATCGGGCAACACGTCTTCGAGTCATCGAACAGAGCGTAGATGCAGCGACTGTCTTGGCAAAAGTCGGACAGCGTAACACCGTTGAGCTCAATGCAGATCTGAGGCTTGGTGCTCTGCGCAAAAGCTCGACTCCAGTTGAGGCCGGTGACCCTAAACACCTTGCCATCGCTGTCCCAGACTGGTGACACTGGAAGGCCTGCAGCCGTTACAGCCGAGACCGACCCACGGGTCGTGTTCCGGACGAACAACTCCATCTTGTTGAGCTTTGTGCTGTTGCCGCACACTGACGTCAGGTTGTACGGCGTCACGGTAGTCACTGTAAAGCAGTACTGGGCTGTACGTGAAGTGGATCCCGGACGGATTTGAATTGAGGATGACAGAGCAAAAGGAGTGGCACGTGGCTGGCGGTTGCACACGCAGAAGGGGAAGCCTGCGGAGAAGCAAAGGTAAAAGGTAGGGAACGGGGTCAATTGGACTGGGAGCAGTGCTGGAAGCACAGGGAACATGAAACACGCACATTTCCAACTGCTAATAGTCGCCCTTCATGCGCAATATGGCAAGTCCAGCCAAACCCGCCCCTAATAGCTCCTAAGACACGACCTACCGCTTGGGCCAGGTGGCTGGCAGTTTTGCCTGTACGAGAACGCCGCACGGCACATGCCGTACTCCACCTTGTACGGCAGAACCGATCCAACCATGGATGGTACGGCACACGAGAGGTTGAACGCCTCCAAGAGCCTCCCAATCTGGAACACGTCCTCAAACATGCTCGAGACGTTGGCTGCAGCCGCCGAGTTCACAGCCTGAGCACACACCTTGACCGTCGCATTCGCTGATGACCCAGAGCCGCTGCCAGCGGAAGCGGCACATGTGAAATTGGAGACTATGCGAGTACCGTTGGTGTTGCCCCAGATCGAGTCAACGTAACTCGCAACAGCCGAGCAAGTCGGTCGGCGAGTGGAGGACTCCGGAAGCTCGAGGGTGATGCAGACGGAGCAGCTAGATGGCGGGCTAGGAGGAGCAGGTGAGGGCGGCGGCGAGGGACGCGGGGGCGGCGGGCTGATGCGAGGAGGCCGAGGGGGAGAAGGAGGAGCAGGGGATGGCGGCGGCGGAGGGGAGGGGTAAGGCCAGCCGGTGAGGGAGGAGGGGCAGCAGCTGTCACCCGTGTTGAAGATGGCAGCGGCGCAGATTCCGTCCTTCTGGCCGGTGGGTGGCACGCAGAGGTCTTCTAGGGTGCTGCACTGGCCTGACAGGACGAGGCAGAGGATGGTGCCGTCAGCAGCCGTACTATTTAGACCCATGCCGGAGAGCTTGAGAGTGGCTGTGCCGGTCGGGGTGTCCGCCAGGGTTGAAAAGAAGGGTTGCTGGCTGGGTGGAAGACCGTTGACGAAGGCCGTGACGTTTGTGGTGCCCCGACATCCGACGCCTGAGTGGGGTGGGGAAAGGCATGGAAGGACGGGTTTGGATTCGTATACTTGGTCTGGACACTGGACACTGTAAAACAAGAGCAGCAGCAGGGGCAGCAGGAGCAAGCATTTTCCATACGGTGGCTTAGGTTACTTACGTACGTCCCACTCGATCTTGCGGATGTCCATGTTGCAGCAGGTGCCGCTGCATGGCAGCTTCTTGACCTGAAAACAGAAGGCGCCATCTAAGCGGTCCACGTAACGCGACAACACGAATGGGCCCTTCTTGGTGCAGCGGCAGTAGGGGAATGTGCTGGCAGACGACAACTGCCTACAGCGTAGGAGAGGGGGCATACGTTGGGGGCTTTCTGTATTGGCATACAGTTAACCGAGAGGGGTTGCGGTGCGCGCATTGTGAAGTTGTCGAAATAGACTTTCAAAACGCAACAGCTATACGTCAGATTGAAGCAGTCATACTTACAGAAGCGCCAGTAAGAAGATTGAAGCAATCCACGAGACTCGCTTAGCAGATGCCATTTTGCAATGCGGCGAAGATGGCGAAGGGACTTTAGCAGAGGCACTTTCAAAGCTAAACTGGACTCAAGCAAGCCGTGTATTCGATGAAAGCGTGAAACCCTTGCAGGGATCTAAGCAGTGCACACGTCCCTGATGCCGCTAAGCGTCTTACTTAGGAAGTATGCCAAGATACTTGGCTACCTAGGGTCCGTAGGGCACACTAGGAACTGCTTATCACTGTCTATACTTTTGCAGCTTAAGTACTGGCTGAAATCGCTTTCCCAGTACAACAATGCTACTTACAACCGGTCAACCGCCCGTCCGGTAGATACGATGGCGCCCAGTTGCACTACTGGGATTCGCGCACAAAGCAAGCCAACCATACATTTTGAACTTGACATAATAAAGCCTTACGGTCTACAGTTTCGCGCTAATGATATTATTTACACCGGGCGACGTCCAAAGCCGACGTTCGAGGAGCGCATTTAGGTTGCGCATCATGCTATCGCAGAGGTAAACGCTTTACAGCAAAAATAAAAAACCGGGCGTCAAGCTAGAAATGGGCGAATTCCCTCATGTCCATGCTCAGTGATGTCGACTTTCACTATTCGTAACACTTGAGCTCAATACATGCAGTTACATAGAATAGCGAAAAACTCCATTGCAGTAAACTCGGAAATAACAGTGAAGCTGACATAGGCAACATCCGGGTTAGATTTTCGTGAGGAGTACGCGGTTGTCGGAACAAGATATGATTTTGTTGGTACAAACTATGAGCTAGGTTGGATATAAGGTGTGTAGTAAAGCTGTTCCCATAAGGAGCTTCCGCAGCGCAGGCCAAAGCTGTCATTTCTCGCATGAGCTTGGACAACGGCATACAGGCGCATACATACGTGCGTTTAGCATTGCACCTTTAAGCGCGCGTAGCAATTCCTTTCAGGCAGCAGTTCTGTTGTGACGTTTAAGCCACCAGGAGGCATCACTGTAAGGGACAGGATGCACCGCCCCAGCTGGAGTAGGACAACCCTTTGGCCACGCATTGGGCACGTGCCGCGCAAAAACAACACAGCGCCTTTTGCGGCACGGCCATAAACAGACACACTATAAATCTATAATTGCAGCATATGAGCAACTCACCATAACCATCTCTTTGCAACCTGCCAGATTATGAGCTGTTCAACAGGCAGTGTCGCATGGCTCCAAATGCATCAGCTCACATTCTCTCTGAATGCAGTCAATTCTCTGAGTGTCAGTCGCCCCTTCTCCTGGAAAGTCAATTATCAAGCCTTTGGCCAACTCAACTCCTGGCAATGTCACCAACCCACCACCCTCCTTGTCCCAACGTTAATGCAAGTCAGCATGCAGCAATCCGCCTCATCATGCCTCATCACCCCATGCCCCACGTTCCTCTAGTTCAACGCCCCGCAACGCTTCCAATGCCTCCAAAGACACGATACCAGCCTATCTGTCAGCATTCCTCATTGTTATTGCTCACTGCTTATCAAGCGGTGGCACGTCCTTAAGGTCCATGTACGACACATAGTTGTCTTTAACGTTTCCGAAGTACAGTCGACCGTTATGTTCGTTAACCGACGACACGTGTGCAACCGTACTGCCGTCCGGGTCCATCAGCAGTTGCAACGGCTGACCCGTGGGACTGACCTTCAGTACGGCACCCCAGCTGCGAGAAGTACGACATTGGGTACGGCGTCAGTAAAAATGCAGATCTGGCGAATGCAATCCATTTTTGTAGTGGAAAGGTCATCATGCATTCTCCAGGCGTCCAAGCCCCAGGCTTCGCCGGTCCCTTACCTCTTAATCGGCGGCCGGGCCCATGCGGGTAGGTAAGCCAGCAGCACCTGCCAGCAGGGTGTTATGTTTGTATGTAGCAGGGTGTCATGCAGCAGAGCGAAAAGGGCTTTACTGGAGGTGGCCTAGCGGGAACCCGCCCCCCAAAGCTCCACACATGCTGCTACACAGAGCAGCATCATAAGGGTCAGCCCTTCTTAGCAACATCCTAACCCACTGCTGGTTTCACCTTCTTTCCTTCCCCTCCCCTCCGCCACCACCCACCCTTGTTTCCTCTTTACCCACCCTTAGCGCCTTGTACTTGAGCAGCTTGGGCAGCGCAGTGACGGGCGCCACCAGCGCCACCCACAAGTTGCCATCGGAGGCGCGCGAGATGCCGTCGGGGAAGCCCGGCAGCCGGTCGATCAGCACATCGGTGGTACCCGCCTGCGGGCCCTTCAGCCAGTGCCTGCACGCGTGTTGATGGGTGTGTGGAGTGGTGGGGCATGGGGGGTGGGGTGGGGGGTGGTGGGGGGATTGGGTGAGGCCTGGATGCGGGCGGAGGTGGGTTTGGGGGGCAGGGGTGCGGCCATGATGCCAGCAGCATTAGTACGGCAGCACGAAGAAGGCAGGAGTGAGAATTGATTACCGCCTGCGCAATAATAATTGACAACCCCGAAGCCCCACTCCTGCTGTATCCCTGCTGCCCCTATCCCAGCACAATACCCTGCTGTAAGCCCTCCCGGCCTCCCTCCCTGCCACCCTCGCCATCATTCCACGCCTAGCTCTTCCCTTACCCACCCACTTACCCACCCCATTGCCCACCCCCTTACCCCCACCCCTCCCCAGTCCCCACCTCAGCACCCGCAGCCTGCTGGTCTCCACCACCGCCACCCAGCTCTCATCCGGCCCTAGCGCCACCCCGTTTGCGAACCACAGGCCCCCCACCAGCACCCGTGTGAGGCCGCTGGCGGGGTCGTAGCGCAGCAGCCGACCCGTGGGTGCGCCCTGGGGACAAGGGGTGGGGGGGCAGGGAGGTGGGGCGGGTGGGGTGGGGAGGTGGGGCAGGGGGGGGGCCAGAGGGGGTGGGGGGGCGGCAGGGGGAGTAGGGGGAGAGCAGGTGGGGATAAAAGGTATACCAGAAGCACAGGTTAGGGCAGGTGGGGCAGGCGGGATCAAAGACATACCAGAAGCACAGGTTAGGGCAGGTGGGGCAGGGAGGTAGGGCAGGTGGGGCACTCCCCTCTGGGCTGGTTGTTCCGCCTGCCTGCATGCATGGGGTGCTGCTACCTGAACAGCCTCTGAGCAGCACGCGCCGCCACCCACCTCTCCCTCCAGCCACCCTACCGGCATGCGCACACGTCACCCCTCTCCCCGCTCAGTTACCAACACTTTGTCTTGTGGCGCCCTGCCAACTCCTACCCCCATTGCTTTGCCCTAACTTGTGGTCTCCTATGGTTTGGTATGGTCTTTGACCCCCCGCTCAGTTAATTGCTCCCTCTTTACCCCCCCCCCCACGCTCACCGCGAAGAGGCCCAGAAGGTAGGAGCGGAAGGTGTCGTAGAAGGGCTCCGGCTCGGGGGACAGACCCACAGGAATGGCCTGCAGAGGGGATAAAGAGGAAACAACTAACTGACTGAGGGATAAGGCAGGAGGGATGGGGGGAATGAAGAGTACCCAGTGTTGAATGATATTGGCAAGCAAGATGACAAGCAGAGGGGGGAGGAAGCATACCGTGGTACTAGGTTGGTAACAGAAGCCTGGACGGGGGAGTATACCGGTAGAAGAAACTAACATCAAGAGGCCCGTTCAAACTAACCCGTCAAACCCATCCTTGGCATGCTCCACCACCCCAAGCGCCAAGCCCCGGAGTCCAGACGACTATCCACCTCCTTCAACCCCTGCTTCTTGGGTCTCCATAGTTTGGTTCACCTCCTCTCCTCCCGCCTACCTGCGAGTCGGAGAAGTAGATGCTGCCGTCCTGCCGGCTGATGTCCAGCGCGTTGACGTAGGTGAGGGGGCTGCCGGCGGCTGCTGCCTGGTTGCTGTCGGGTGAGGAGGGCGGGTCGGGGCTGACACGGTTGGCCAGCACCTGCAGCACCCCGCTGCGCTTGTCCAGCCGCATGAGACCCTGGGGTGGTGGGGGTAAATTTAAGAATTGAGAAGTGCAGCATCTAGAGTCCCAGTTGGGGGTGGGGGTGGTGGAGCTTGTCAAGACGCATGAGAAACTGGGGGGAGGGGGGTGGGGGGTAAAGTGGAAACAACTAACTGACCGTGTGGTAAGGCAGGTTGGGGGGTGTGGGGGTATGAACAGATATATGAGAAGTGCAGCATCTAGAGTCGCAGTTGGGGGTGGGGTGGGGGTGGAGGGGGTTAGAGCACCATGAGGGGTGACGACATGCTGAACAACGCATGAAAGGCTTGATGTAAGCCCGTACACCCAGCCCCGCCCCCAACCTTGAGCGCATCTGCGAAGACGAGTCGCCCCTCCGCATCGTGGTGGAAGCCCAGCGGTCGCCCCGGGCCCACGTAGGCTAGCGGGGGCAGGTCCAGAGCCCACTCGTCCGGAAACACGGCGTTGGGGACCTGGTGCATGGGGCGAGGGAAGGGGGAAGCTAAACGATAAGTGCATCCACTGTAGTGGGAGGGGGCAGAAGGGAGGAGAGCAGGTTTGTAAGGGTAAGATGTATACCGGCGATTGCATACGAGGTTTGGAAAGGCAATGTTAGAAGCGAGTGTATTTGCGATTTTGTGTGTCGTACATTCTTCGCAGGCTCAGCCTCGTACACGTAACCGTACTTGTCCATCAGGGTGAGGTTACCGCCGGGGGAGACCTCCACATGCTCTGCGGGGGGAATAAGTGCGGAAGGAAGGTCATCAGGAAGGGCACTGAAGTGACCCGTGGGTCAGCGGAACCGCCAATACTGTAGCGACTACTGCGACCATCCACCGCTATACCTCTATACGGGCATAGTACTGTTGCATGGGATAATCCCATTTCGTCATTTACGCTTGGCCAGGTCCAAGTTACAATGAAACAATCAACCAATTCCAAACCGTGTCAAGTACGACAGGGGAAACCCACCTGACGACTGTACGACACCATCAAACAGGCGGTGGGCCTTACGTAGCAGCTCATTGGGAGCGTACACGCCCTGGGCGGGAGCAGGTGGGAACGGGTTACCTATCACAGCTTATCAAGGGTTTAGGAGCGGGGGTCAGTCTGGGGAACGTGCCCCCATGGTGAATGTTCACTAGGGGTGAGGTGAGCTGGAGTACACGGATGGAAAAGCCTGACGTCTGAACGCCTGGTTGCAAGCACACAGCCGCAAGTGTGTACAGCCATGATGCTGCCACGGCCAGGAGGGCTACAATGGACAGGATGACTACCGCCGTACGATTCCTCTCTGTCCGTTCCGTTTCATATGTCGGCAGGAGGCCCCAACATCGCTTCAGGAGGCCCCAGACACACGCTCTGGAAAGGAACCTACCTCCAGCGGTGAGGGGTTGGTTGGCAGCATGGCAGGATCCAGGTCCACCACCTTGTGATGGTGAGCCGGGTACGGCAGCGGGGTGTCTACATTGTCTGTGGTATGGGGGGAAGGGAGAAGAATACCCAATGTGTGTGGGGGGGCCCGTGGCGGGAAAGGGAAATAGGCAAGGAGGGGAAGGTGGTGGGTCCTGGGATTCGCGATGGCTTGGTTAGGAACGACGAACAAGCGACCGGAGCGCTTTACCTGCAAAGCACTGACAGCGACCGATACCGCAAGGATAATGTTGATAAGAACTGCTAGGTATAATTACTAGTAACAGTGCACAGAGGCAGGCCGTCCCAATCCCGCCGAGTACCCATCGCCTTGCACAAAGTATTGCCAATAGCGTCCCAGGCCGCCTAAAGTGGAACATGAATAACGTATCGTTCCATCAGGTTCCATACTCACTTAGCCAAACGCAAGCGCTTGAGATCAGCGCCACAAGGATTGCCAGAGACGACCGCATGTTGAGCGTCCCTTGAGCTACTTTAAGAAGTGTTGCAGTGACGCTTTAGCTGTTCATATGTCACGAGCCCGAACTTTGTTTGAGGGGCAACGTTGAGAGTGCTAGTAGGTTTTGTGCGTCGTTAAGAAATGCGTGCAGGGGCTATCTATCACGCAGCATGATAAGCCCGCGTCGGACACGAGAACGATACTAGGCTGAGACAGGTGCACCGATTTAGCTTCTCCTTGCTAACTTCAATCGTCTCGGGTCCAAGGCTGTAATCGCCGAGACTGATGTTCGGTTAACGACCCACGATGCCAACGGTCGCCTCATGCGCCTCGTTGTTGCGTCCAGCAGCTTTACTTGCCTAAGCTCTTATTATCACTTGTTTCCGGTTCAAGTAGGTTATTACGAGGTCAACCCTTAACCATCCCGTCAGCCTTTGTGTACCGATGTATGTGACGTATCTAGCTACGCCAAAGCTAGGCCCCTGGGACCACTGCAACTTCCTTGCGCGTTACATGCTTCGCATGCATTAAGGAGCTTTCAAAACCCCTCATTCCAAAGCTGTGGATGCACACTCCGGCGCTGCGGCTGGCAACACCTGCCTGATGTGAGCGCATGCGATATCCCCTTTCCCTCGCCGCAGCCTCCGCGACAACAACGGAAGGCCACGAGCGCATACGCGTACTCCACCATGCAACGACACCCCCACCCCCGCCATCTTCTTCCCATGCAAGCAGACAAGCACTCGACACTCACCATTGACAAGCGGCGGTGGCTGGATACCGTACATATGTACAACAACTCCTGAGAGCCCACGAGACAGGTCGGCCATGGTTGCGTTCACACTACTGACCCATCACCGCTCTGCCCTGTACTGCCCTGTCAATAGTAACACACCCACACCTCCAAAACCATCAGCCCTAGCGGCTCTGCCGCTGTCTGCTCCGCTACGGGTTGCTTGCTAGGGCTGCTCGCTACCCAGGTCCGCAACAACCCAAGGCCCTCCGCAGTTCCGAGTCAAGCTATGCAGAACTGCCCTCCCTAGAAGCAGCAAAAGCTCACGCGCAGGGAAGGATTCGATGCCGCATACCGCGTCGCATCACCCACACAGTGAAAACGTCATTGCAGTTCGTAGACAGCATGCTTGAGCCCTCACGTTGCAACAATGGCAGACACCCTGGCGTGTGCAGCGGCGATTGATCCACAACACTGGTAACGCGACCATCCTGTTAGCCCCGGGCCCCTTTGCCCCCATGCGCATGCATGTGGTCGATACCCAACCATACCCCCAAGTGCTGCCTCCCCAGTGCTCAACCATACTCTTCTCTACTCAGCCCCCACCCACTGAAACCTAGCATCCCTAATCCACCATCCTCCGCCCAGCCCGCTGCCCTTACACACAGCCCCACACGTTACTTGGGCAGCCCCAATCCCGGCAGCCCCCCAGTCAGGCTAAACCCTGCAGGCAGGCTAAACCCCGGCGGCAGCACCAGCCCACCGGAAGCCTGCAGCGGCAGCGTCGCAGCACTCGGCGACCCCACACCGCCTAGCGCACCCAGCCCCGCTAGCCCAGGCAGCGCCGCCGCCGCCGTCAAGCTCGCCAATGACGGCGCCGCCGTCGCTGCCGTACTTGCCGCCGGCGCCGTCGTAACGCCCGGTAGCGACGGAACGCCCGCAGGCATAAGCAGCCCCGGCTTGGCGACCCACTCGCCAGCTTGAGCGCGTAGGAACTCGCCCTCCGTGACGAAGGTAGCGCGAACCGCATTGTCGTCAAACTTACGGCCGTCCATCATTGTACGACAGCGTTGCGCCTCTGCTGCCGTACTGTACTTGACGTATACGCGGCTGGCCTCATGGTTTCCGACGTGGGCGGGCGGCATGGGCACTGCGAGACCGATGACGGGGCCGCACTTGACCACCTCCTGTTGCACGTCCTCCAGAATCTGATGAGAAGCCGTACGTTTTGAGGCCGTCAGGGTTTTGTGGGGTTGGGGTTGGAATGGGAGAGGGAAGGGTGTGTTAGTGCATGACTTCATATTGTCTCTTGTATGTAGGAGATGCCTTACAACACCCGACAACGCAGGTTGCCTAGCGGCACAGCCTTCGTCATACAAGGTGCAATTCATGTTCGGAGACAGTCCCAATCTCGGAAAGGGCCATGCCTTCCAATCTCGGAAAGGACCCTGCCTTCCGCATGACAGCTTCGCTTCGCTTTGTGCGCGTTCGAGGGCCGGCGATGCGCACCGCTGCTGCTATTGCTGTTGAGGTCGCGCCCGCGTCCTGACGCTACCCGTGTTAACCAGACCGTCAGGACCGCAGCAGCCCGCCTGCAAGCAGTCATACAGCAGCCAGCGCAGCAGCAGCGGCAACGGCGGCGGAAGCAGCAGCAGGAAAGGGGGCGAGCAGCAGAGCGGAGGAACAGCGGCAGAAACGAGGGGCAAGCGACGGGGCGAAACAGAGGTGCGAACAGCGCGCACGGGATACAACAGAAGCAGTACCAGGCACACGGCGGCACAGGAAACAAGGGCGGGGGAGGGCCGGCGAAAGGCGGGAGGGGTGCAAGCAACATGCGCACACGCGGCGTTGACCACTGCTGCCGCTGCTGCTGCTAGCTTCCGCGCACTCCTCAGCTGCTGCTGCTCCAGAGCCCTCAACAGGGAGCATCAACAGCATCCCGGGAGCGCCGGCGGCGGCGGCCGTACTCCAACTCGCGCCTTCTCATTATAGCGGCGTTCAAGCCGCACGCAACTGCCGGGCACATCCATTGGCCGTTTGCCCCAGAGAGCAGAGTAGCTAGCCTGGACAACAACAAGCAAGAACAGCAACAGCAGCACCACCAGCAGCAGCAGCAGCGGCGGCAACGGCGACGCGCACAAGCGAACCGGCGCACACAGGCACGGACGTGCGGACGGGCAGCACAGCGACGGGGCGGGCTGGCAGGAACGGACAAGGGCAGGCGGGGGCAGGCAGGGGGGAGGAAGCAGCAAAGGCAGCAGCAAGCATGCAGGCGGCAGAGGGGACACAAAGGAAAGCCGTGTCAATAGCCAAGTACCTCGGTGCGGACCCCTTATTATACTTAGGGCCATCATACAACACCAACACAGTGCACCAAGCGCCATCCTTCCCTCAACAACGCGATATCTGTACCCCCACCCACCATTCTGCCCCCGCCCATGCACCCTCCTCCCTTCTTCCCCTCCCACCTCTTTCCGCTCGTTTTCGTCCCGGATGGTCCCGCACGACACCATGTTCTCCAGCAGTACGACATTGGTGGGGGTGCTCACGGTCAGCGTGGCGGCGGCCGCCGCCAGGGTGCTGGCGGGGGCGGGTACGGCACCCGCCAGCGCCGCCGCCAGCACCTGCGCCTGACCCATCTTGGCCGCGTTGGCTAGCTGGGAGCTTGGGTCCTGTGGGGTGGGAGACAGGGTTGGAGAGGGTGAGGTGAGCGGGTGAGCGCGAGGAGTGGTCTTGGGAGTGGGGTGTTGGACTGGGTAGGTGTGCGGGCAGCGTGTGTGGTGAGCGCACGGTTTAGGGTTGCGCGCGTCGCTTCCGGAGAGCCTGGTGCTGGTGCCGATTGTGCGATCTGTCGGCGCTTGTCAGAGGATCCAGAGCGACAGTACTCGGGATAGCCTGACTGTCACTGCTACTGCTTGATTGTCCCGCATGCTTGACAGTATGGCCGTATTCCGAGTCGCCTAATCCACACCAGGAAAACCCCCCAACGGCTATTAACCAATTGCATTCCGCATGCATGCAAGCACGCCTGGAAGCCGACGGGGATGGCGTACAACGACGACGACGACGACTAGGACGACGACTCCCTGCCTAACCTGTGTAGAGGCGGGGAGGGCGGTGGGCCAAGCCGACGGCTGCTGCTGCGGTTGTTGCTGCTGCAGGGCCTGCAGTTGGAGGGTCCGGTTACGACCGGTAACAACCCGGTGCCATGAGCGCACCCCCAGCACCTCACTGGACATAGACGCCAGGAACGCCGCTATGAGGGACGTGAGCGGCCTGCCACCTCCAGAGGCGCTACATGGGATGCTGCACCAATCGACTCACCTTTTGGGGCGCTTCGGGAGTCCAGGCAGTTTTCTTACTAACTGTGCGCAGCCAGCCTTACAGGTAACCCGCCGCACGGTGCCCTCCCGACTCACCACGTATCCCTTGGGCCTCCCGATGTTCATCTGCCGCCCGCACAGCTCCAGCTTGTCCAGCTGGATGGCGGCGTCCGTCAGCTCGCGCGTGCGGAACTCGATGAAGGCGAAACGACCGGCTGCGGCCGTAAAGGAGGAGGGGAGGGACATTGGAGGACGGAAGGACGGCAAAGGAAAGCAGCTCTCAACGCATGTATCGGAGACGACGCTAGACATGGCCGGACGACCCAAAGCATCGTGTGCAGACCGATACCGTGCAGGGTTTGGCATAACCAGGTAGCTGCAATGGTGCGCGGCGTGCCTGCGCCGTTTCTAAAGCCCCTACGCCGTTTTTAAACCTCAACAACCGGGCCGAGTGCGTGAGGCGCGCCCTCACCCGAGGAGTCCAGGTTTACGTTGACCACGGGCGGCGCGTTGGTGGGGTCGGGCACCTGGTTGGCCAGGATGGTGTTGAAGAGCTCCTTCAGCATGTCGGCGGTCACAACTCCGATGGCCAGGTTGCCAACTGTGGAGGCGGGGGGGAACATAGGTAAGCGCAACAACACAGTCCCAATCCCGAATCCCGACTGAGGAGAGGAGGGGGATAGAAGGATACCCAATGTATTGAATGCGTGGCGGGGGCGTGAGGAGTTGTGAGGAGCAGGTGGGGGTGGCGTTGAAGGCCGGAGACAGAGGGTAGAGGTCATGGTTTGCAGTAGTACTCGCACCGGGCAGGGATGAGCGGGTACTGATAGATGGTGTTTTGGGTGTATGTGGGGACTAGGAGGGAAGAAGACGTGGATAGTCGTCGCATGCCGATGTGGGTTGACGTGTACCGGGTACTAGCACCTGGTACCCGGTACCACAGCATGCGGGCTGCGGCGGGCAGAGCAGTACCCTACACCTCCCGTAACCAGACAACATAGCCCACATGCCTGTGCGCTTTCGGTATTTTCCGCTCACCGTAGATCTCCCGGGATTTGCGATCCAGCGTGGTGGCATTGGTGTTGCTCTGCTGCTGCTGCGGTTGCGGCTGGGGAGCGGGCGCCAGCGCCGCCGCCGCGGCCGCCGCCTGCTGCTGCAGCAGCAGCTGCTGCGCTATGAGCTGGCGTTGGAGCTGCTGTTGCTGCTGCAGAGCAGCCATTGCCTGGGGTGGAGGGAGGAGGGGAGGACATGGCTTGTGCGTGGGTACCTAGCAGGTACGTGCCGAAATGCTATGGGAAAGTGGTAGACGCAGGCGCAAAATTGGCGCAAAATTGTAGGCACGGGGGTTTTCCGGGTGTTGAAATGTGAATCGTGAAGGCAACTGGAACTGACAGCCCCCCGCGCTATACCCGTCATGGGTTTGCAATCCCCTTCACGCCCTCACGTCCACCACGGCTCATAACAGCGACCCACCTGCACAGCACTGATGCTAGCGTCGTAGGCCAGCGACTTGGCGCGGTCCCGACTCCTGCTGCGGCTCTTGCTCCTGCTGAAGGAGCGAAAGGGTGTGCAGCCGTTGATGCGTTTGCAAAATACTGACAAGGAGTTGATTCCCACGAACGCCTGGGCTATCCGAATAGTAGAAAGTCGACCTACCTGCGCCGTCGGTCCCTAGACCGTGAACGTGAGCGGCGGTCACGGTCCCATCGTCGAGACCGCTCTCGCGACCTGCAAAGAGCAAGAAATATGATACCAAATGAAGCTCATCGACAGAAATACTAGTGTCAAAGTGCTGACGTCAAGTGAAACAGCCCGGAAATAGCTTTCATGTGCCCCCAACCAAACGGACCTGGACCTTCGCCGATCCCTTGAACGCGATCTGTCCCGTCCCATCTAAGCGATTACCAAAAGACCCGAACGCGTCAACAATGAAGGCTAAGCCCTACAGTGGCCACTTTAATGCTCCAAACTGACAAGTCCTACGAATTACTTGGCATCTACTACAGTACCGGGCAAATGCTTTTTGAGCGTTTCAGATGTAACACTAGGTGATGAGGCCAGGCGCCCGGTGTTCAATTTTTCTGCATCGCATGGTGCACTCCAGGAAGGGCCCTTTCCTTGCTCCTAAAGTTGTGCCGCTCTCCTGCCTCTTTGTGCTTACACAACAAATAGGATAAATAGTTCAGTACTGTCAAATATATCAGGTGTGTTACAGGGGCTGCACACACCTAGGCGCGCGCTTAGGTCTTGGTCTTGCCGCGCGCTTTTGTCAAGGGTTGTTATCCTAGCAAAGGGTTGGCCTGTTTGCCCCTTACTGACGACATACTGCCCGACGTGGTGTTATATGTACTTCGCTCTCACACTTGAAGCTTTTCAATTTGTCCGCAGGGTGTCGATGATCCAGAAGCCAGCCTTAAAAAACGGCCAGAAGTACATCAATGACACGATATGTAAAACAAGTTCCACGGAGCCTCAGCAGCAGCAGCGCAAGGCTGAAAGGTACGTCCTTCCACAGATCGGGCAGTTTCGCGCCTTTGGCAAGCTGAACCGAATCCATCTAGTTAGGCAGCGAACGATATTGCTCGTGTGTTATTAGCTGGTGCGACCTGTAAGCGTTCCTCCCTTTTGTTTTGCATCCTTGCCTCTTGAAGAGTGCAGTTGTCTACCACAACACGGGTACTCACTTAGGCAGGAAATATCGCCTTTCGACGGTCATTTACATTCCTTTCCCATGCGTTTCACCCCTTTGTTGCAGGTCAAGTCATGTGCAGGACGTAACGAAGCAGCCTAGCGGCCAGGGCCTCAAGGGCAACGATGGATTTCACCAGTCAGCCAACAACGGCACCGCTAATGGACATGTGGAGAACGGACGCGGTCGCCTGGCCAACGGCCCCAACGGTGTAGCTCCCCCCAAGCCTTTCCAGGATGGACACCATGGACGCCCCGGCGTCAACCCAAATGGACGTGCTGTCCTCAAGCCCGGCCAGGCTGCACCTGATGCTGCAGCCAATGCTCGCTTTAACGGTGGCGCCGCCCCAAAGTCATCTGGCAAGCCAGTTGACAACACCCGCAACAGGGTTCCCCTCGCCAGCGCTAACGGCAACCTGCCAGCTCCAGTGGCCGCTGGCCCACGCGCCGCTCCAATGCCGCCTGCTGCTGCTGGCGGCCCAGTCCGCGACGCAGGCGCTACTGCAAACACCCATACCAGCATCCGCCCTTCCACAACTGGTAACAACGCCGGCGGAGGCGCTGCAGAGGACGCCAACGGAGGGGACAGGTCAAGGGAGCCCCGCCGCCGTGGCGGACGCGGGCGCGGTGGCGGTGCAGGCAGGGAGGGACCCGCTGGGGACACAGAGCCCGTTCCCATCAGTAACGTCACCCAAGGTGGAGCAGGAATGCCCAATGGCGATGCGCAGCGGCCCGAGAGGTCAGGTCGGCCGCGCGGCGATAGGCGCTCACGTGGAGGCCCAGGAGACGTGGCGGAGGTTGAGCGACTCATTGGCGACAGCCCAGGAGCGGCCGCCGCCGCTGCTTCCGGCGACGGAGCAGCAGCCGCGGCCACCACGGCCGCTGGCGAGGCAGGGCGGGGCGGGCAGCGAGGTGGAAGGCCACGCGGCCGCAGGGGCCGCGGCGGCCAGCACGGCGGACCTGCCCAGGACGACGATGCGGGTGGCGTCCCGGAGCAGCAGCAAGGGGCCGCGGCCCCACAACAGCCCCCTAGCGCACCTGCAGGGGAGCAGCACCATCTGCAGCAGCACGAGAGGAAGCCCCGCCGGCAGCGGTCAGGGAGGGAGCCCAGGCCGCCGCGCGGCCAGGAAGAGCAAGCGGAGGAGAACGTGCCGCGTACGGGCGGCGAGGAGGCACAACAGCAGCAGCCGCAGCGCCCATCAGCTGACGGACGACAGCAAGGCGCCAACGGCAGGCAGCCGCGGCAGCGCAAGCCCAGGGAGGCTAGGCCTCCTGTCGCACAAACACAGCTGCAGACGAACCAGCAGCAGGCTGTGGGTTCGGAGGCGAGCGAGCGGGAGGCGGCTGCAAGCGGTGAGGGCGGACGCGGTGGACGGGGTCCGGCGCGAGGCGACAAGCGGCGGGTTGGCGCGGCTGCGGAGTCTGGCGCTGCTGGCGATGTTGCTGAGGTAGGTCATCGTGCATTTGTATAGCCCTTGCATGCGCTTTTGTAGAATTCTCCTCACGTGAGCCCGTGGCCCACATGGCATGTCATGGCATCTTCAGCCACTGCTCATATAACGGCGCATGCAGCCTAGGGCTCTACGTTGAGCTTGCAAGCAGGCTATTTTACATTGTTTATTTGTTTTGCAATATGCTTGCTTTGCTTTGGCCTTAACGCAAATGCCTTTCCCAATTCTTTACAGATTGCTGCTGTTAACAATCAAGAGCACAACGGCCGCAACGGTCTCCGCGAGGATCAGCCCGATGAGCCCAAGGTCCAGGAGCAGCCGCCGCAGCAGCCGCCAGCTCAACCCCAGGTGGTGGAATACCAACAGTCGCGCATCGAGCCCCCGCCTGCGCCTCCCGCCGCTGCTCCACTGCACTTCCAGCAGCCGCTGCCGCACATGCAGCAGCACATGCAGGCGCAGCACCAGCAGCAGATGCAGCCCATGCACATGCTGCCTCAGCAGCAGCAGCAGGCTGCCCCGCCGCCACCGCAACAGCAGCACATGCAGCAGTACCAGCAGATGCCGCCCTTCCCGCAGGACGCCCAGTCGCTTATGGAGTTTCCGCCGCATCTGCTGCAGCACATGCTCGCCCAGCACCAGTACCCGCCGCTGCAGCAGCAGCAGGACTTCCAGCACCCGCACTTCCTGCACCAGCCGGCACCGCCGCCGCCCCCGCAGCAGCACCAGCAGGCGCAGTTCCAGCTTGCTTTTGACCAGTATCAGCAGCAACGCCTCATGCAGCAGCACATGCAGCCGCCCGCTGCTCATCACGGCTACCTTGGTGGCCCGTTCAACCCACCAGGCGGTCTGCTGGCCGGCGGACCGCCGCCCATGCCTGCGTATTACGGGGGCAACGGCTTTGGTCAGATGCCTCCACCGCCCCTGCCGGCTTTTGCCGGTGCCCCTACGCCGCCCATGCCCCAGTCGTCGGCGTCCGCTTCGGCTGCTGGCTCACAGCAGCATGCGCTGGCACCAAGCCCCGTTCCAGAGGAGCCGGCGGCGCCGGAGGCCCCCTCGCCACTGCCCCAGCAGCAGGAGCAGACGACTTCTGCGTACCAGGCCGCTCCTCCGCCGCAGGTGATGCACGAGACCGTTGCTGAAGCTCAGGCGCAACAACAGCAACAAGCACCGCCGGCTGCCGCCGCGCCAGTCGCCGCCTCAGCGCCCGCAACAACCGAGGTGGATGCTGCTCCCGCGCCTGCCCCTGTTACCGCTGAGGCAGCACCGGCAGCAGCTCCGTGTGCTGAGCCCGTGAAGAACGAGTGGGCGGATCGACTGGCGCAGCAGGCGCTTGCGCGCATGAATGCCGTCAAGTCGAGCCTTATCAGCGGTGGTAAGTTCTTACGACTTGCTCTGTGTTGCCGTGCTACGTCATCCTGCATACGGTGTGCGCCTGTTGCTGATATTGGGAGATATGCTACTGCATAGAAGGGTGCGTAGCTGTGAATGCAGCTGGTGTGGCTGTACCTTTCACAGGAATAAAAGCACGTCACCTTGCTGCTTCCAACCGCGCACCATCTCACCAAAGACGACGCTTAGTGTGCAGAGACGGAACTTCGCAACTGCGAGTGCTTGGGCACATTGCTTCTTCCTGCTTTGTCAATTATCTCATGTTGGCCCTATCCCTTGGTCGTGCTCCCTTCCCACATTCATAGGATCCGAGGAACGCGGCCGCTCAAGCACCGTGGCACCGCCTTCAAGCCGCTCCTACGCTCCACCGCCTTCCCGTGCAGCGCCTTCTCCTGCCAACGGCAACGGCTCATACCCAGCCGACTCCGAGGCATGGCGTGGTGGCGCCGGCGGCGGTGGCTATGGCGACGTCGATATCGGCGGTCGCCGCGCCGCTGCGACGGCCCCTGCAGAGGCATGGCGTGGTGGCTCTGTCGGCTCTTCCGCGCCGCCGGTTGACTGGCGCGCCAGCCTGGCTCCCACAGGCGTCGCAGATGCGGCTGACGCCTGGCGCCCCCGCGGCGGCTCCGCTGAGGAGGAGGCCCCTGCACCCCCCGCGCCTGCGCCTGCACCGTACCAGCCGCCTCGCCGGGAGGAGTCGCCGCCTCCGCCGCCAGCGAACACGGGTAGGCCTCGGCTGAATCTCCAGCCGCGCACAAAGCCGCTGCCCGTACCGCCAGTCCCTGCTGCGGCGGGCCCTGCCGCAGCTCCTGCTCCCCCGGCGGCTGCTGCTGCTAATGCTCATGCTGACGTGCCAACGGCAGCAGCGGCGAACGGGGGCGCAGCTGGTACGGCAGCTCCCGCGCCAGCTCGGTCATCGTCTATCTTTGGCGCCGCCAGGCCGCGAGAGGAGGTCCTTCGCCAGCGCGGCGTCGCAGATCCGGAGCGCGTGACCCATGGGTCGGTCTTGTCTTCGAACGGCGTTACGGCAGGCGCCGTCGCTGCCCGAGCGGGCGTTCGCTCGAGCAGTGTGGTTAGCGCCAATAGCGATGATGACCAGTGGCACACGGTCGGCAAGGGCGGTCGCAGCAAGCCGCCGCCTGCGTCGGCGGACGTCGGCAACGCGCTGCTAGACGCGGCGTCGGATCCCTTCTTCACAGGCCGTACGACGACGGGCCATGGTGTCGCGATTGTGGGTCGCATGTACGGCAACGGTGCGAGCGGACACTACGGCGGCAGCAGTTACGGCAAGGGAAGTTACGGCAGCTACGGCAATGACACGTACATGAATGCCTACGGAGCGAGCAGGGGGTACGGCAATTCGTACGGCAATGAGGACGACGAGCCCATCTTTAAGCGCGACCTGCCGAAGCGTCACGATGGGGTCTTTTAAGACGATCGGCTGTGAGAGGGAAAGAGGTGGTGAAAACATGCTGGTGCTGAGTGGGGAGTTGCCATCTTCATGCGCCTCCAATGGTGCCCATTCCTGCTTGTAGTAGGAATGTTGTGTATGGAAGGCCATTTTTGCAAGGGATTGTTCTGCTCCGGTGTTGGCAGCATGTGGTGGCTGTCGTACGTTTGCTGGATACCTCTGTTTGCTGGTAACATTTGGTGTACGTAATTAAAGTCTGAGAGAATACTGAAGAGCTGTCGTACACAAGGCGGTAGAAGTTGCGGATTCGTCAAGGACGGCCCGGTGCATTCAATGCGCTGCATGTTGCAGGCTATAACCCTTGTCTTTCAACACAACGAGCCCTGATTGTCGAACGAGCATAGCTGCGACGGTCTCTTGTAAGCAAGCAACATGCATTGTCTGTTCCCAGCTCCCAACTACATTGCATTAGCTGTATGAAACGTACGGCACGGTTTCCTTGTAACCCCTTTAGACGCATTGAGAAACGCCTACGAGCTGTGCTGCCTCCATTAATGCGGCTGTTTATCGACACTTAAGGAGGAACACTAGGGGGAGCATTGTGAACCATGGGTCTGCCTCGGATTGCATTGCCACAATCGGTAAGAGTCGAGCTGAGAGAACGAATGGGTTCTTATGAGACGAAGGACTAGCCAAACACGGAATCCGTATATCCCATGAAGGAGGCAAGATGGCTTCTGCTAAGTACTTGCTGCGGGCATGCGTGTGCGGTATGTTGCGCGAAGGCGGCGGTTCCAGGCTTCGTCTGCGTTGGGGCTTTCATATGAATAATGAATCTAGGCTAGACAGCCTGTTTAATCAACTTTTGTCAAGTAGTTCTCGGTTAAGAAGTGCTGAGCTAGCGTACCAGTAGTCCTTGTCACTTGAGTCGCTTTCAGTTCGCGCTCGTTCGACAGGTCCACCACCGCTCCAGAACCAGCGAAGCGTCATCAAGTACTTTACATCTCTTCCGCTTTATGGTGTTCTACTATCATTTTCACGAAGCGGTGTATAGTTGACTGCGGTAAACAGCTGCTTTCAAGAGAACTCATGTGTCTTACGTTCTTCGTGTTCGGATGTGCTCCGCCCCAGCCTTTGTTGCTCCTAGCCTTTAACCGGGACGAATACTTTCCAAGGTAAGCCATCTTAAACATACCCAACTCCGTTTTTCAAGGAATAATTTTACCTTGTACCACGGGCCGTTCCAGCTGACCTTTTCCTTTCCGCGTTTGCCTCTGTAATCCGCCAGGCCCACGCAACCCTTGCATGAATGGGAGGACGGAAGCGGAATAATAGGCGGCAAAGACCTGGACGGAGGCGGAACCTGGCTGGGACTTAACGCGCGCACCGGCCGCATAGCTTTCCTCACAAACCTCCGCAGCCGCGATTCCATCGAGCCCTCAACGCACGAGGAGCGCAAGCACTCCAGCCGCGGCGAGCTGCCTACGGGCTTCCTAACCGGCAGCTCCTCGCCGCAGGATTACGAGCAAGTAAGTGGTTGTTGGCTGGCAGCTGACGTCGGCAATCAGGGGAGCAACGCTAAAGTGATGGTGCCGCGGGACGTTGTTGCCGTATGTCCAATTGCTTTTGTTACTTTATTTAGGTACTTGCCGGAAGAGCGGTCCCTGCAATGCATCCGCTCGCCCTCCCACCCACCTACGCTTCCCGAATTCCCGGATTCCGGCACCTCGCTTGAGAGACTCTTTGCCCATCGTTAATCCGTCCTCGAACCGCTCTGGCCTTCGCATCCTTCGCAAGCAACCCAACCCTCCCGTCCGCCCTCTCGCCACGCAGTCCATCAGCCCAGACCAGTACTACGGATACAACCTGGTGGTTGGCGACCTGAGAGGTGACCCGCGGGTCGGTTCCTTTGCCTACACTAACAACGGCATTGATGGCGTCCTGGAGGTGGACGTTGGTAGCAGCGCTAGCAACGGTAACTGCAACGGTATCAGTAACGCCCTTAACAACAGCGAACAGAAAAGCAAGGCCAACGCCAACGGCAACAACGGCAGCACCACCGGTACCGAGGCTAAGAAAGACGAGAGCGCTAAGACCGGTGTTGGTGGTGGCGGCGACTGCAAGGGCGGCGCACAACAGTCTGAGGGCCAAGCGCGGTCCGACGGGAACCAAGAGGAGCAGCAGCCGGGGCAGCAGCAGCAGCCGGCAGGGTGTTGTGCTGCTGCGCCCCGGGTGCGACTGTTGGAGCCTGGCCGCGTGTACGGTAGGTGGTTGTGGGAGAGAGGGAGAGATAAGACGGATGTTTTCTTGACTTAGCGTAGCTTGCATACCGGGTGCTTGCATGGCACCTTGACCGTACGACCTTGGACTCCTCATCCTCTTCGTCGCCGTTTCCTTCCTCTCCTCCCTCCCCCACGCCCCCCTCCGCCCTAACCTGTGGTTTGGTATGGTCTTTGACCCCCCTCAGGCCTCAGCAACGGGGTGCTCATGGAGCTGCCCAAGGTGGCCAGCGGGGTGGAGGTGCTGCAGCGCCTGCTGCCGGATGTACGGCAAGGTGCGTGTGTTAAAATAACTGTGTGTGGGAGAGGTCAGCACATCTTCAACAGCATATACACGACACAACCCCTTTACACCTGACCTCCGCCTCCGCCCCTTGCCAGCCTGAAACCCCCCCGCTCGCCCCAACCGCCCCATTTCGACCTCACCCCTCGCACCGCCTGCCTGCCTGCCGGGCCGGCCTCCTCACCCATTTACCCATCCGCCACGCATCCCTCCACCTCGTCGATCCGTACCTCCCCTGGCTCCCTCCCCTCGCCCGCAGACCGGCCCATTCCCTGGGACCGCCTGTACGGAGACCTGCTAGGGGACAGTCGCCGCCTGGTGCCCCCCTCGGGCCGCTACACCCTCGCGACGGCGACAGCGGCAGCGGCAGCCACAGCGGCTCGCTCCTCCTCCGCCGGCTCCCCCGCCCTTCCCGCCTCGGCCTCCTCCATCACCACCACCACTACCACCACCACTACCACTGCTGCTGCTCCTGCTGCTGCTGCCGAAGGCGGCGGTACTGACAGCAGCGGCGGTGGCGGCGGCGGTGTCCGCACCACCACACAGTGCGTATGCGTGAGCGGCGGCGACGGCGGCAACGGCGACAGTAACGGCGCTGACAGCAGCGGCGGCGCTGGCGGAGCTGACGGCGGCAATGGCGGCGACGGCAGCACCAGCGCTGACGGTGACGGCGGCGGCAGCGTCACCCGGTGCTTGTGTGTGAGCGAGGCGGAGTACTTTGTTCCGGAGCAGGCGCACCTCACAAGCGGGCGGTTTGTGTCAGCGGTGCAGTCGCCGGTGGGTGCGGGTGGGGGCAGGTTGGGTGGGGGCAGGGCGGGGAATTAACAGGGATACATGTACTTATGGGTTATGGCATGGCAGGCCTGCATGGACTGCACCCAACACGCGCGCGTCCACACCGCTCCGCCAACTCTGCTAGCCGCCCTGTCTAGCGCCCTGCCCTTACCCCTCCCATCCCCTCCTGCCCATGAAAAACACATGCACACACGTGCATACACGCGCGGCTAGTTTTCTTAACACACACGTTCCGACTTGCGGCCAGTTTTCTTGACATACACACCCGCGCATACACTGCTTCCAAACGCAGTTCGGGTTATACGGCACTCGCAGCCAGACTGTCATCGTTGTGTGGCGGGACGGGCGGTGCGAGGTGCGGGAGCGGCACCTGCACCAGGACGGGGTGTGGCGGGAGGAGACGATGGAGCTGAGGATGCCACTGACATGAGGAGGACGAGGCTGGCTGGAGGGAGGGGGGACGACGTCCGGAACCGTACCGTACGGTATTACTGCAGGAGGGGACTTCATGACTTGGATGAACTGGATTATGTGACATGAGAGAAAGAGAGGGAAAGACGGTGTGGTAGTGTGGTAGGTGTACGAATGCGATCGCTGTTGTGATGGACGGGCGAGGTGACTCGTTGTTGCTGTTGATGAAAAAGGATGTTGCTGGACAGGCGAACGGACATAAATGTATACCGCGCCAAAGGGGCTCTTTTACCACACCATACGGCTGGCATGTTATTACATGCATGCGGCTGTGTGTGCACCGCATTATAACCTCCGGAAGCTATAGCTGTCTTTCCCCCCAAAGTGGATTTGCGCTGTAGCCCATCAGGCAGCAGGCAGCACGCGTCTAACGATAACTTTATTCAAATAACAATGCTGAAACAATAAGATTGGGCCTTACTGCCGTACCCAACTCCACAACTGTACCGGACCTAGTGGTCTAAAGCAGGAAGTGAAGTACAAAACGAAGAGAGCAGAGGGCCGAAAACTTGAAGAACTTTGAACACACACGTGCGGAGTTTGAACACACACGTGCGGCATATTCAACAAGCACTCCAAACCTAAGCAATGCATGGCAAAGATGCAAGCCATGCTACCGATATGCGCACATCATCCTGCTGAAAACCAAAGATCCCCAAGCCGAAGCTATTCATGCTTTTCCCTAGTCTTTTTATCAGAGATACGCTGGGAATGCACCATGGGAGCTGAACCCAGCCCACATGCCGTACATGACCTTGCATGCGTTTCTGGTTGCAACCAGCAGTGCACAGCAACTGCAATGACCAGCAGCGGGGGTGCAGCGGGGGTGCAGCGGGGGTGCGGCAATGTGCCCCACACCCGGCTTTGCCCCATGCAGCCAGCTACGCTTTATCAACACATGCTAGCATGCAGCCAATCGCCCATCCCCAACCCACACACGCGGCCAGTGTTCTTAACACCCACATTCGCACATGCACACGCACACACGCGCACGTTCCCCAAGTAAGCAAGAGCATGCGACCACTCTTATCGTGCTCAGCCTGACCTAGCAACAGCTAACAGCTAGTTCTTCCGTCCATAGGCTCATGCGTCTCTGTGCTTTATTAAATGCTACCGCTAACTCCTGCAAGCACTCCTACTTCGAGCTCCCGTTGCTGCATTTCTACCTGCCACTAGCATAGCCTTATGACGCTACCTGCGGAAGCCACCATGCATTCCCACCAACACATTGATGCGCTGCTGTACGTGTCTGCACATGCGCTGCCGTACATGTCCGTACCTCAACCCCCTAGGCTGCCTTGCCACTGTGTGCTACCCCCCTCACCAGCCGCTCCGTTACCCTCCTGTGCCACCCTCTCCCCACCATCACCATTACACACTCTTATGCCCCCCAGCCTCGCTTCCACCTCGCTCCTCCCTCACCCCTACCTTGCTCCTCCCTCGTCCTTGCCTCGCTCCTTCCCCTCCCTACCCTCTACCCCCACACCTCCCGCCGCCCCACCGCCCCCACCACCCCCGCCGGCACCATGCCCCGCACCGCCCCCACCGTGCGCCCCACCACCCCGGGCTCCAACAGCGCTCCGAAGAACCACCTCGCCGCCGTCACCTCCAGCACCCCCAGCGTCAGCAGCCGACACAACCACAGGGGCAGCCGGTCCACACACACCAACACCGCGTGCATGGCAGCGGAGGCGAAGGCGGTGGTGGTGGTTGCCGTAGTGGTCTTTGGAGCCGCTGTTGGCGGGGTGAGCGCGTGCATGGCAGCGGAGGCGGTGGTGGTTGTGGTGGTTGCGGCTGGCGGGGTGGGCGGCACAGCGGGTTTACCCCCAGAGGCGACGGGGGCGGAGGCCGAGGGTTCAAAGGGGCAGCCGTTGACGTCAGGCTGATGCCGCTGCTGTGGCTGCAGGTGCCGCTGGTGGTGCTGCTTCTCGTGATGGAGCTGTTGATGGTGGTGGTGATGATGCGGTCGGTCACCGGCAGCAGCAGCAGCAGTACGGGCTGCCCGCCGTGCCGCCGCCTCCGCCGCCAGCAGCAGTCCGTGCAGGGCGAAGAAGAGGAACCAGTGGCCGCTGAGGAAGCGCTGCACGTACCAGTGGAACACCTGGGGGGGAGGAGGAGTTGGGGCGGAGTGAGGAGTGGCAGTGGGCGGGAGCGCGGCATGGATGATCAGTCACTAACGCTCCTCTAGGACGACCCAAACTGGCCCAGGGGCGGCGCGAAAACTGGTTTTACCACCACCACCAGTTGTTGGTGCGCTACCTGGCGGGGCGTGATGGGCGTTGGACAGTTGCGACAAGCAGTTGGGGTGCTGACAAACAGGGAGACTAGCAGGTCCTCCTCCCAACCTAGGCGCGTCCTGCATGCTCCCCTGGGGTTTGGTTCGTCCCCTTCCCACGCCACCGCTGCCGCTACCACTACCGCTACCGCTACCGCTGCCGCCACCCACCTCATGCTCGATGCCACTAAAGGTGAACACCACCAGCAGCGCTACCGTACGGCGAACCCGGTGGTTCCGCAACTGGTTTCGGAGCCAGGAGGCCAGCCGTACTGCCGTACGCCGCCAGCGCTTCGCCGTCGATCCCTTACTGCTGGCTGTTGCTGCCGCCGCCGTCACCGCTACTGCCGCTGCCGTCACCGCCGCCGCCGTACTGCTCCATGAGGAGGAGCTCCCTGCCACCGCTACCACCGCCACCAGCACCGCCGCCAACATAGCCCGGAAGTCCCATGTCGTCGTCGGCGTCCCAGCCTTTAAGAGTCCTTCGTTCGCACTAGCGTGGAGTGATCCATGGGTCGGTCCCCCGGGTCCCTCAGGAGTGCTTCTAACAGGGGGCGTGAGCAAGCCGGCTGCTGACTTACCGCCACCGCTGCTGGTGCTGCTGCTGTTGACGCCGCCATTGTATGGGAGTACGGATGTCCCCTTAGCGTGCTTCTCGGCCTCCTTTGCACCCTCGTCGGAAGCACCATTCGCGTACTTTCTGCTGTTGCTGTTACAGTTACTGGTGCTAGTATCCGTGTTGTTGCCTGTGTTCGCACTTCGGGTGTTGCTGGTGTCGATGTTGTCGCTTTTGCCAGCTGCGATGGCTGCTTGGGTACTGACTTCCGCCACGGTAGCAACGTCCGCATCCATCCCTGCTGCCGCCTCCGCAGCCGCCTCCTCAGAAGCAGCTGCCTCCCTACCACCCACACCAGCGCCAGCATGAGCGCCAGCACCTGCCTCCTCCTCACCATCAGCAGCCTCCGCCGCCGCATCAGGGGTCCTCCTGTCGGCAGCAGCAGCAGGCGGCTCCTTGCCATCACCTCCCGCAGCCCCAGCAGCCTCAGGTGCAGCCTCAGGTGCAGCCTCAGCAGCAGCATCACCTTGGGGAGCAGCGCCATGCGGCGCCACGGCAGCAGGGGGTGTGGGGGCAGCAGCGGATGCGGAGGCAGCAGCGGAACCAGCAGCGGAACCAGCAGACAGGCCCCTACCGTCGCCACCACCACCAGCAGCCCCAGCCACCCCCCCTGCCGGCACCAGCCGTCCCTCCACGATGGGGTCGTACAGCAGCCCCTTGAGCACGCGGCTCTGTGTCACGTTCCAACGGTAACCCCAGAAGTCTGCCGTACAGAGGTAAACAGAGGGGCGTGCCGTACAGGAGTGGGGCGGAGCAGGGTGTTAATCAAAGTCTGCCGTACAGTGGGGTGATGCGTTGCAGTGGTAGCAACGACGGTTGCGGCCCGGCGAGGCAAGAGGGAAGCGGCATGGCAAGAGGCAGCACTGGTGACACCAAAAGTTGAGGGAGAGGCTTAGTGTCAGTGTGTACCACCTTCCCGAGTAACCCCATTCCAGACTTTGCTGACCACCCACACCAGCGATCCTGCCGTACACGCACCCGCACCCGCACCCACCTGTCAGCGATGTGGCCCGGAAGGGGTCATGGAAGGGGGGCACCAGGTCCACCCCCCACGCCCACACGCAGTACAGCGCCATGCAGTCCATAAGGCCCCCAACCAACGCCAACATGCCGTACGACAGCGCCACGTGGAGAGCCAGATTGCCGTACAGCTCAGATCTGCCGTACAACGCCTTGGCGGCGGCGGTTGCGGCTGCAAACGCCAGCCACTTGCCCGCCAGCTCGCGTAGCAGACGGGTGCGGTCTCCGCAGGCTTGGTAGGCACTGCTGTGGGTGCGGCGCAGGGAAGAGGAGGGAGACTGCTGTTGTCGCTGTTTTGTGAATTGCTGCCGTTCTAGTGGCTGCTGCTGAGGGTGCTGACCCCCAAGTTGTTGTTGTTGTTGTTGGGGTTGTTTTTCTTGTCCTGGTGGTGGTGCTGAAGTGGCAGGACCTGGATCCTTGTCCTTGCGTCCTTCACTGGCACCACGAGGAACGACGGGGCAGAGCGTGAAGAACGTCACGAGCGGCAGGGCCGGGACGGGATGCCAACTGCCGCCGCTGCTACCCTGACTGCTGTTGCTGGCCCTGCTGTTGAGCCTGTCACCAACCCCATGCTTGGACGGGTGCTTGGGCTGCTGCAGCTGCTGCTGGTTTTCATCCCCATCCAGCTGTTGCTGTCGTTTGGTGGCAAGTTGCATTATATTGAATCCAAAAATGGATCCAGGGGCGGCTGGTGGCAGCGCTGCTAGGGGTCCCCTGCCCCAGCAGGCCGCAAGCAGCTTGGTAGCGGGCATGCGAACACTCATGAATGTGATGGTCATGGTGGTTAGGGGCTCTAGGAAGGGATGGAAGAGGAAGGGCGCGACCAGAAGGGCGACGAGGGCGGGGACGGCAACCGCCAATCGGCGCCATCCCGGCGGCTGGGGCAGAACCAGTTGATGAGTCCAGAGCGTGGTAAGGAATAACAGGGTGATGCAGATTGGAAGGCGGTTGTAGTAGTTCCAGTCGGAAAGAAGCACAAAAGGAGCGGCTGAAGGGACATTGTCAGCGTTGGCGCAGACCCTAGGGTCCGTGACAGGCATTCCTGACAGGGCCTCCAAATGAGATGCAAAAAAGTCCCTTTGGATCAGGCTAATGTGTTATAGTGTTCCTCTGCGATGGAATTGTGTGAATGCACGGCTATCTCAAAAGTTAACAAGGGTTTGACGGCACCGACAGCATATCATGAAAAGCGCAGTACACTTAATTGCATAAAGCATGGTACCTGACCCATAAAAGCCAAATTTTATGGTGCAGGTGAAAGGAAGGATTACTGAAGGCGACAGCCCCGGCTTCCCATGCACAGCATGACGTCAGGTGGACAGCACTTCGGGAAAATACCATAGTGATCCTGAGTGATCTATATAGTCTCAAACCACATAGCAACACATTCAAATAGCTGATTGCTCTTAAACACAAAGTCTACGCATGGCAATTAACTACTCCATTTACCTTACTTGCAAACTTAGTATATCCTCAGAAAACTTCCAAATTGTTCAAGCATCTTATTAAAAGGAACTTAATATATTTAGTGGACGTGGGGGCCTTCGGCACGCTTCATGTCGTCGCTTGCACAGCAGCGCGACAAGCGCAACTACGCATTGCATCTTTTATATACTAGACAGGTTTGTAGTTTTGCAACGTGCGTCCGATGCAGCTATCAGAGCTTTGGATTGAGCTGCTCGGTTCCTGGCTCACAGGAGTTCGACGAGTGCCTAAAGCAAATTGACAAAGTATTAGAGGAGACAGATGGATTATGCGAGTACGCAATTTACATCAAGGCGCTCATCATGCGCCATAGAGGTGCGTTGACAATGTCGCCCCACTGGGCCAAGCGGCACACCAGAACGTTCTATGGCAGCTTTACTTGCAGCCCGGCAAAGGTCATGGGACCCGCGGAAACACGTGTTAAACAGCTTCCTTTCTGCTTAAGACTTAGGTTTCTTTGAGTACGGTAGCATCGCTTGCTGGCGACTTGCCACGACGGGGGACACGCGCCCACACCAGCCATGTTCGAACCCATGGACCCTCCACGCTCCCCCGTTATCCCTCCCTCCCCCTTCGCCCTTCGTTCCCCTCCCCCCAACTCCTCCCTGCTCCCCATCCCTCCGCATTCCTGCTCCGCCTGGCCGCCTTCCAACCCTTCAGGCAAAATCCAGGAGTCCCTGCAGCTGTTCCAGCAGGCCACCGCCATCAACCCCCACAACGTCGCAAACCTCAAACAGGTGAGACATGGGACGCGGCCTGGCGCCTTCACCTGCAGGGGCCGCATCAGTGCAGACCACGAAACAGGCGGGACGTCGGCCTTTCCCTGTTAGGGGGAGAACCCACGCTGGGGATGGTAAAAAATGAGGAAACTGGAGAGTAGCGGGCAGGGGTAGACCTCAAAACACATGGGGCGCACCACCCGCTTGCAAGCAGCCGAGCAGCAGCCGGGAGGCGATCCCGATCCTGTGTTGAGGCGACCCGGCAAAAGGAGGAGCCGGACAGCAGGGGAAGCCGGCAGCACGAGCTGCTATGCAGCCTGCAGTGCACACGCTGTCACCGTCCCCCCACCGGACTGCCTCCCGCCCCCCTTTCACCCCCGCCTTCCCCCCCGGGGCTGGGCGGGTCGGGCTGGCTCACATGTTGCGCAAACCATGATGACGCGATATCACACAGTTCGTTAGTCGTTTGTCCCATTTGTACCCCCCACCCAATACCACCCTCCCCCCTTGTACCCCCCCTTGTTCCCCCCCCAGGTGGGTCGCTCCCTGTACCTGCTGGGCAAGCACAAGGCGGCGGTGGACGTGTACGAGGAGGCGGCCAAGTTCGGGGCGCCCGACTGGGAGATCATGCACAACAAGGGGCTGTGCTTCATGTACCTCAAGCTGTACGACAGGTGGGGTGGGGAGAGGAGGAGGGGGGAGGAGGAGTACGACAGGTGGGAGGGGAGGGGGAAGGAGTCAAAACTGTACGACAGGTGGGATGGATATGTACGACGGAAGGGTTGACAGGTGGGATGAAGTGTACGACAGGTGGTTTTTAAGGGAAGAGGAGGAGGAGAAGGGGGAGGAAGAAGGCATGGCAGAGGGGCACAGATGCAGCAGTAGCAATAGCCCGTAGGGTACCATAGGGACCGAGTAGGGTAGCCACCATCGGTGACGGCATACCGTAGTCCTAATTGTTTTCCCTCCCTGCCCTCTGACCTTCACCCTCCCCTCATCTCCCCTCCCTCTATTGGGTATTCTTCTTTTCCCCTCACACCCCCTCACCCCTCAACCCCCCCCACCCCAAACCCCCCACCCAAGGGCCATCGAGTCGTTCCGCGTTGCCATCGACATCCAGCCGCACGACTCCACCTTCCTGCAGCTGGGCAAGGTGTACAGCATGATGGACGACTACGGACAGGTGCGCGGGGGGGGGAGGGGGGCAAATATCCACCCTCTAAGGGAGGGGGAGGAGGGAGGGGGGGGGGGTAGGGAAAGAGAGGGAGAGGAAGGGGCGGCCAGGTGGCGGGAGGGCCAAAGCACGGCCAGTATTACGGAGTATTAAGGAAGATGAGGAGCTGCCCCACCTCTCCCCCTTACCTCCTCCCCCCAGGCCATCAACGTGTACATGGAGGCGCTGGAGCACTCCCCGGAGAACCCCGAGATCCTCACCACACTGGGGCTGCTGTTCCTGCGGTGAGGGAGGGGGGGGAAGGAGATTGCGTGGGATGGTCGGGGGAGGAGGTTAGGGGAGAGGGGGGCGAGAGCTAGGGGCGGGGGCAGGAGCCAGAATGCGTGTACCCTTCCCCTAGCTGCTACCTTATTGGTCCTCACCCCTCCCTCACCCTTCCCCCCTCCGCAGCACCAACGACAACAGCCGCGCCTTCGACTACCTGAGCACCTCGCTCACCCACGACCCGCGCAACCCGCGGACCATCCTGGCAGCGGGATCCATCATACAGGTGGGGTGGCTCAGGCATGCAGCGGGGGAGGGGGGTATAGGGAAACCCAGCTGTGAAGGCCAGGCAAACCAATCCAGCAACGCATGCGGGTGGAAGGGGGCGCCCTAAGGGTGATCGAGGAGGGGGCGGTTGCATGGTGGCTGCGGGGCGGGGGGCGGGGGGCGCCCCGCCGGGGTGGAGAAGACCTATGACACCATCATCCCTTCCTTCAACCCCCTTCCACTCCCCCTCTCAGCAACCCAGCCGCCTCCTATCCCCCTAACACCCCTCCCCCCTACCCCCCCCCTCCCTCCTTATCACACCACACTTTGGAATTTCTTTTTTCCCCTCCCAGGACCACTCCGACATGGATGTGGCGCTGGTGAAGTACCGCGTGGCTGCAGTGCAGACGCCCAACAGCCCGCAGCTGTGGAACAACATAGGCATGTGCTTCTTCGGGAAGCAGGTATGCTGGGGTGGGGAGGGGGAGGGGGCTGGGGCGGGGAGTGGAGCCGTCATAACCACCCCTCGCCCCTATACCCATGGTGAAGCCCCCTCGTCACACATCGCGTCACTTTCCTCGTTTCCCCCTTCTTGATTCTTACCTTTCCTCCTCCCCTCCCCCCCCTCCCCTCCTCCCCTCCCCCCCTTCCCTCCTCCCCCGCAGCGATACATCGCCGCCATCGCCTGCCTCAAGAAAGCCCTCTACCTGGGCCCCTTCGAGTGGATCATCTCCTACAATCTGGGCCTGGTGCACCTGCACACCGGGCAGTACGCCTCCGCATTCCATTACTTCTCCGCCTCCGTCAACCTCAAACCCGACTTTGCGCACAGCTACATGTACCTGGCGGTCACACTGGCGCGACTGGACGACTTTGAGAACGCGTGTGCGGCGTACGAGAAGGCGATTCAGATGGCGGGGGCGCCGGGGGAGCCCGTGTTCCACCTGAACTATGGTGAGAGGGAGAGGGAGGGAGGAGAGGAGGTTGGGAGGGGGAGGATGTGAGGGAGGTAGGAGGAAGACAAACGGTGAGAGAGGGGGAGGGCTACTAGAGCTCGAAAATGCCGCAATTTCCCCCTCCCCTCCCCCCACTGTTAGCATTCAACACATTGGGTTTTCTATTTTTCCCCAACCCTGCGTTTTTGGTATATGTCGTACCTCTGTGATTTCGCCTCCCCCCTCCCTCCCCCCCCCCAGCCATCCTGCTGTACAACCAGAAGCAGACCGACGCCGCCCGCGCGCACCTGGCGCACTTCCGCTCGCTGTTCGCGGAGCTGGATGAGGAGGCGCGGCGGGCGGACCCGGAGGTGGCGGAGCAGTCGGCACTGCTGGGGCAGCTCCTGGGAGTGTAGGGGTAAAGAGGAAACATCTAAATGACCGTGTGATAAGGCATCATCATGGTTTGCAACATGTAGGGGTGGGGGAAGGGGGGGAGGGAAGGAGGAGCGGTGAGGGGGCAGCTGCTGGGGGGTAAGGAGGAGGAGGAGCGAGGGAGGAGAGGTTGGGGTTAGGCATCAGGGCGGCTGGGGAGATGGTGTAAGCAACGGAAGGCATAAGGCAGAAGTAAATACGGCAAGCAAAGAGGTGGGGGCGCCCGTAGGTGAGGTGGAGTATGGGGTGGTGGGGCGGGCCTCGAGAGGAGGCGAAGGAGGAGGAGGGGTAGGAGCAGCGGGCACGTGTGCGGCATTCATCTCATACCTGTGCCTTCTTGTGGTTGTTGTTGTTGTGGTGGGGCCATGCATGCGTGGAGGTGTATGCCGGTACGGCTATGCACCCCCCTTGTGCATGCGGCTGCCGGGGCCTTTGCCGTACACACGATTTCTGACATTTCTTCTAGTAAACCTTCAACCTGTGGATTGGTTCTTGGTATTTTGGTGGGGTGGGGAGGAGGCAAACTCAGGTACATATGACAGTGAAGTGGTTTAAACTGGGACGAACTGGTAAACGGCACTAAGCAGGAGAACATGTGCGTGGGATTACTAATTCCGTATGTCCGGCGTGCGTTGTGTTATGAGCTGATGACACATGGCGTGCGAAGTAGGACATGTTGCTAGGTTGTGGAGGGGAGGGGTGAAGAAAAGCCTTCTCATATAGCCCTTGTGGAATATGGACCTTCAAGCAGCTGAACTGGTATATATAGCACGCACGGCGCATTATGTGTACGGCAAGCGACACTGTGTGGTGGGGGAGGTGGAGGCAGGGCTGCCAACGGTGTAGAAGGCATGTCCTGAGCAGGCAGGAAACACAGCGGGAGCACATGCGTGGTGGGATACCTCTGGCTTTGTAAATGACCCCTCGCTTTGTAGCGGCTTAGCTGGCTGGCTGTTATTGTGGGCTGCCGGTAAGCGGTGTCCATGGGTTCTGTCAAGATGTAGGTCAGCCATGTCTCCATGTCTCGCGGTGCAGGTGTGCGATGCCCATGGAGTGCTGTTGGGCTGATGGGAAGCCCCGTGGCTTGCACAACACACGTGCTGTTTATAAAGTCAAGGATGGGACTTATGGTATGGATGGCCTGGGTCGCGAGGATTCGCTGAAGCCTTGTAACTCCAGCCAGCAGGATGCGCACCTGTCCCTCTTTAAACAATGCTTGGCGCGTACGCGTCGGGACTACTATTACTGATTGATACACCGTTTCTGCGACCGGCCAACTACCCCCGGCTCCGGTGCACGGCAGGTGTTGCAAGTTATAGTCCCACGCGGGGTTGGATCGCAACTTTGGGCATCTGTAGATTGCCTGTTATAAGTATACACCGAAATTCAGCGTCAAATCCTTGTATTCTGCGTGCTGACAGGACGCACGACACGTTCCTGTACTTTGCACACTAGATATCTTGTCTAGGTCTAACCACCATTCAAGTAGGTCTGTTAGCAAGTACACCCAATTTTCGCATACAATTCCTACGTGCCTTCATTAGGATTGTTCTGCACTTGGGAGGCTGGTGAAGTGCACTAAAAATGGCATCTGAGTTCAAGGGCATAAGCGAAAAATTTCGCATGAGCCTTGTCAACCATGATGGTCATACAGACCGGGTCGTGGTCCAGATAGGGCTGGATGGGCTGAAGCTGCTGAACGCCTCTGACAACCGAACCATGCGCTCTTACGACCTCAGCGACATTTGCCGATGGCAGTCACGCGGAGGCAGCCTTATACTTTACACGCGCACCTCGGTTGACGTGGAGGAACGCCAAACAACGCTGACGGCAGATGACAACACCGTCCGGAATGCGCTGGACACGCTCACCTGCTGCTGCATGCAGTGAGTAGCTGCAGCATCTTACCTTGAATATGACAAGTAAAGCACGCTGGTGCGCTTACATGGCCCTTTTCGGCCGCGTGCAGGCTGGCGGAACTGTTGCAGAGCAGGCAGACGGATACCGCCCGGGAGACTGCCAACAACCTGCATGCGCTGGTTGTAGGCGGAGGCAAGAAGAAGACACCGGTGAGCAAAGCAGCGGCATCTGCGGGTGAGGTCTGCGATACTTGAGCAGTGCCAAGCGCGCCCTTGGGTCCGGTCACGGGTCACGGGTCACGGGTCATGTGCCTCGTCCCCTCTCGTCATCTTACCAAGTCATTGCTGCTTGATCCTCCAGCACTCCTGTGCTTGCTCATGCCCTCCACTGCATGAGTCGGGACTTTGAGCTTGTGCTTCTATCTTTACTGCCCCTGCTTCCTATTCACATGCCCTGCCCCCTGCTGCTCCCCCCCCCTCCCGCAGCTCCCCTCCGCGGACGAGGTTGAGTACTGGCGTTCCCCCGAAAAGGCCGGCTGGCTACAATCCCAAGGCGAGCACATCAAGAACTGGCGCAACCGCTGGTTCGTTCTCAAACAGGGCTACCTCTTCCGCTTCTACAACGACAAGGTCAGCGAGTCGGTCAAACCGCGTGGCGTGGTGGACCTAAGCAAAATCCAAGACGTGAAGGTCCTGCCCGGCCGGGCCAACACCATTCAGCTGAAGACCAGCACGGGCGGCGCGGTTTGCTACATTGCGGGTACGGAAACTGAAGTGGTGGAGTGGGTGTCGGCAATCGAGGGTGCCATGCAGAAGATACACAGACACGTGGCGGGTGTGGAAGACGAACCGGCGCCAAGCCGGGCCGCGAAGGCCAAGCCCCAGGCTGCTGCGAGCAACCCGGCGGAGTGGCTGCGGCAGCTGGAAAGGAACTTTGAGAGCAAGGGAAGCGGAAGCAGCGGGCAGGGTGCGGGTGGACAGACCCGTGGGTCATCCTCGTCGGCTGCTCGTAACCTGGGAAGCACCCTGGTTAGCGTGGTGGGCTACGATGATGGAGCTCTTGCCAGCAGCAGCAGTGGCGGTGGCATGGGAGGTGGTGGAGGGGGCGCTTACCGTGATAACTCGCCATACGCTTCGCTCAATCGGGCGTACAGCGGCGCTTACGCACCCGTACAAGGTGAGGTTCGCGGCGGTGGCTAAAAGCTCGGGGTACGGCTCGCTCTACGGTTGCTAGACAGGCGACGATAAGGCACAGGGAGGGGGTTGCTTATGGGAGAAATACCGGTAATGGGAGCGTGGCGCAGGGGTGATGTAAACGGGCTCCCATGCTGACCCTAATCAGCCAATCTCAGTGAGGACAATGACCTTGCCTCGACCCCTCATCTTCAATTGCATCCTGAGCTCACCCGTGTGTCTCCTCATGTGCCCCGCACTGTGCGCTAAAAGGTGCTGCGGGTATTGCGGGCGCACAGCCCCTAGCCAGCGACCTGGACCTCAACTATGGTGGTGGTGGCGGCGGCGGTAACGGCAATGGCGGTAACGGTGCTCTGACCCAGCAGTACGGCTACGGCCAGCAGCAGCAGCAGCAGCCTCCTGCACGGCAGGCGTACGGCATGGCGGCCCCGCAACCGCAGCAGCCCCAGCAGCAAGCAGCTCCTGTTAATGGCGGAGGGATGCCGTACGGACAGTACGGACAGCCAACGTACGGTGCCTACCCGCAGCAGCAGCCTCCGCAGCAGCAGCCGCAACAGCAAGCGCCGGTGGTTTCGCTGATGGACCAAGTGCCCCAGCAGCAGCCGGCCTACCCCGCATACTACCAGCAACCGGGGGTGGTGCAGCAGCCGCAACCGCAACCGCAGCAGCCCATGCCGCAGGTACGGGGAGTTTTGAGTGGAGGGAAGGTCTGGGACAGCTGACCTGTCTGAGAGAGGCTGCTAACCGGCCGCTGCTAGTTATAGGGGCGGGACTTGGGTATTGCAGGTTTCTGGCTACCGTGTCGTGCGCGTTAGGAACATGAGAGACACACGGGGACGCATGGCATGGCGCATAGCAGGTTGTGAAGGTCCGTTTGCCTACCAGCAGCCATCATTGCAGCTGGCTCACGCTGTACCGCCTTCCCTCCCCCCTCTTCCTCGGCAGGCCGCTGCCCCGGTGGTTCCCGGCGGCTGGCAGGTCCACTACACGGCAGAGGGACGGCCGTACTACTACAACGGGGGCACGGGGGTGACGCAGTGGGAGCCGCCGGCGGGGTTTGCTTGAGGGGGGAGGAGGCGAGGGGGGGGGTGTTGTGTGGGATGAAGAGAGGACCGCTTGGGGATGCCGTTAGTAGGAGCTGGGATGGGATGCTGGTGGGGGGATTCCGGCGCGGGTAGATGTGTAGATGTGAAGGAGCAGGTTGTGCTGGTGGGGTCTGGACCAGTGCATTACGGCTTTACGGGGTTCGGAGTGTACGGCGGTAGGTGCTGAGCGGAGCGGTTTGGGCCGCTGTGCTTAACTTGTTATAGCAGTTATGGCTCTTTAGACGTATGACACAGGATGATGAACTTCGGATGTATACCTCCTGGATCTCCTTTGGAATGCAGCGCTTTCTCGGGGCATGGGGGAGGGTGCTGAGCCTGTGGCACGGCGACGGCGGGGTCTGGCATGTTGCATGGCGTGCGGAACTGTGCCGCTGCCTGGTTGAGTTGCGTTGGGTGCCGTTACGTATGGGCCCGTTCGAGTGTTGTTGTGAGTGCATTCGGTTGTCTTTGTCATACTAAGATCGTTGTCAGATGTTCAACAACTCGGAAAAGCCTTGCATGCATCAACTGTAACTGTAAAGGCAATAAGTAACTACGGTTCTCGTGCAGGATTGTGACAATGTTTGTGCTGGCTACGTAAGGTGTCGTATGCACATGCCACTGTTTTACCCCCTTGCAGTTAACTGAGACGTTAGGCTGCTGGCTCCTACTCCATGCACCATGGATAGATATGAGACAGCATGTATCCTTATCCGCGTTACAGCGTTATTGGATGGATTGTCTTCTCTGGGTGCCACGCGGCCGAAGCTACACGGCAAAGAATCGCTAAGCAAAACTCGACAGATGCGCTGAAAAGCGCCACACGGAGGCACTCCCCACCAACACTGTCGACTGCTGGCAGGGCGCCTGTTGCAAAGCAGCCGTGAAGATGAGTCTGCGCACCGCCAGTCAAAGAGAGCCAGTCAACCGCACGAAACATGCGCCTAACCACCTAACTCTGAACCAGAGCGAGCAGGCGTAACCCTACATCATCCCAACACCATTCATGCACACGCGCTCAGCATTTAGGCGGAGGGGGTGAACTTGGTGGCGTAGGCGAAGGCGTTGACGGCGCCGGGGTTGGCCAGGTGGTCAGCCAGGTTCTCAATGGGGCCCTTGCCGGTCACGATGGCCTGCACGAAGAAGCCGAACATGGAGAACATGGCCAGGCGGCCGTTCTTGATCTCCTTGACCTTGAGCTCGGCGAAGGTGTCGGGGTCGTCAGCCAGGCCCAGGGGGTCGAACGCGCCACCGGGGTGCAGGGCGTCCAGGCCCTCGCCCAGGGGGCCACCGTTGGCGCGGTAGGCCTCAGCCAGGCCCATCACAACAACCTGGAGGGGGGCGGGAGCAGGGCGGGGTGGGGGTCAGATGCTTATGCTAATGGAGGCCTAAAGCATAGGTAGCAATCGAAGCAGATCAAGATCTGGCTCCCAGCCCTCCCAATCCCTTCCCTGTTCTCGCTCCTACCTGGAAGGCCAGGGTGGCGATGATGGACTGGGCGTGCACCAGGTTCTCGTTGCCCAGGTAGTTCAGGCCGCCCTCCTGGAAGATCTGGGCGCCGGCCTTGAACCACACCGACTCGCCGAACTGCACGCCGGCGTACTTGGACAGAAGCTCGGGGGTCACGCAGCCCAGGGCGCCAAGCATGGCCCAGCGGGCGTGGATCAGCTCCAGCTCGCGGTAGCGCTTGAAGGTCTCGGGGTCAGCCGACAGGCCGGCGGTGTCCCAGCCGTAGTCGCCGGGGAACTCGCCGGTCAGGTAGGCGGGCACATCGCCCTCAGAGAAGGGGCCTGAGGGACAAGGAAGAACAGGACAGCAGGGAAGCGTTAGTATGCTTTGGGATATCAAAACGAACACAATGGACGACGAGGCAAGCAAACAAGTGAATTAAAAAGGCGAGCGGCACAAACAAGATCATCCGCAGTTGGCAAATAATAGCAACTAAAGCTAACGGCAGAAGTATGCAAGCGCTAATGCGCGCTAATATTCATCGGTCGCATGAGCATCCCACCCAGTCCAGTACAGCCGCTTACCCAGGAACTTGGGACGCTCAGGGCCGTACCACTCGATGGCAGCGCGGGGCACCACACGGGCGGCCTGCGCAATGGGAAGGAAGGGATGTCAACTCAAGATGCCGGTAAGGCCAAGTGAGCTAAGGCTAGTCGTCGCGCTTGCAAGATGTATCAGTTGTGCCACATGTTCCAGTATAGCAGAAGGGATGTTGCTCGAACCGTGCGGCCTTCTTGACGCCGCAAAAAGCTATCGCGACTCACCCGGCTGGCAACGGTGGGGCGCACAGAGCTGCGCACAGCGGACTTAGCAATGGTGGCCATTTTCTCTGGTTGTGATGATAGACACAGACAAAAAACGACTGTGTAAAGAATCAAGAGCGGACTGCGCTTTTGTGTGCGCCCGAGCCTTGCGCAGGGCCCTCCAGAATCGTACGGGTTTGATCGATCGGCCAGATTGTACGGGCCATTTCCTTGCAGCGATACGCGGCTCTTCGGCTATGCTTTATATCCCTCAGTCTTGTGACCTACATAACAAGTATATTGCATGTCAGTATGCTTTATGGGATAAAGGCTCTTTGACGCTTACGCCTTGCACGGTTCCGCGCCTTCGTGCTGGTTATCTGGGCGCTACACTCACCATATCTAGTATTTGTCGTATGATCTCTGTAGCCTATTGTTAACTTGGGTATGGCCATAGGAGCGGCGTGAATGATCACGCTTGCACCATCAAGCTACCGTCCAACTCAAGCGGCGCTCTTGTCAATCACAGCCGCGATGTCTACATGAAACATTTGCGCGGTTACGCCTGTCTTTTTTCATCTAGCAACTGGTTGTTATGGGGGTAGTTGAAACCGTTGCAGGATCCCTCGCGACGTTATCGTGCAGACGAGCCCCCTGGCACGCCCCGAAAGCGAATCAAAACCAGCGCAAAACGCCGCCGTCCTCATCATGTTTGCAGGTGCTGTGCGGAACAGTTTTCCCAGTCCTGGATGGAGGCATTTGACCACTCCTTCTCTTAGCTAGACGAGTCCCTGCAGCGCCGTTCATTGCTATGCAAGCTCTGCCCGCGAATACGCATTCTGGCCAGTCGTGGCACGCGTCCTGTCGACGCCTCGGCGCATGCATTCGGCTTGCGCTTCGACTAGCAAAATTTGCATAAAGTACCTAGTGGGTCGTTCCCAGCAAAGCCGCATGTTTAACTGGTCAACATACCGGTAGTTTGCTGTGCGTTGACTACTGGACTGCCGTGTTCCGCCGTGATCCGGGTACACCTGGCTTGGAAGCCATGCTTAACGTCGCGTGATCACAGTGAAGCAAGCTGCGGACTTACATAGATAGCTTCAAAGGACGCATTCAACCAGGTACAACCAAGGAAAAGCCCATCAATATGCAGGTGTTCATAGCACAGGTAGTTGCTCCTCCTCGCCTGGCGTGCGCCAGCCTCTCGGCGCGTCTAGTACAGCGACAACGGCTTCTGTCTGCCACCTTCCTCCGCTTGCAAGATTCACGCACCACGCAATCCTGAGGCACAACGGACGCGCTGTCACACTACCTGCCTTGGGGTGCCTTCACTCCAGAGATTACTCCCGCTTCAACATCAACCTTTTATTTGATTGCAATGTTACGAGCTCACACAGTGCAAACACAAGTACAAAAAACAACTGTTACTAGAGCTGCATCCGCCTGGCAAGCACATCCATGAAATCCCCACACATGCGCACAACCAATGCAATCCCCTTCGTCAGCCCTTCAACCCCGCCATGCTTTACCTCCACCCTCCACCCTCCAGCTTTCACGGACAGCCAACTCCCTCATACTTCTTACCTCTCTTTACCTCACTCCCTCACCTGCTAGACGGCGGCGGCAGCTGCTCGTACAAGCTCCCGCCCCCGCCCGGCGGCGCCTCCTGCCTCAACCGCTCTACCACATCTCGCACCAATCGCGGCCGCACCGCCACCGCCACCCCACAACCCGCCACCCCACCACCCGCAACACCACCACCACCAGCACCCGAACTACCATGCTGCTCCCCACCTGCCGCTGTTGCTGCTGTCACCGCGCCTCGGGGACTCCCCAGCGGTGGTGGCTGTGGCGGACGCCGAGGGCTGCCCATGCCGCATGCCGCCGCCGCCCGCCCCTCACCACCACTACCACTACCACCACCCTCACCCCTACTGCCGCCGCCTTCTCCACACCTCAGACCACCGCCATGACTACCACCCGCAGCAGCATCAGTGCTCGCCGCAGCACCAGCACCAGCAGCCGCATGACCTGAGCAGCCGGCGGAGCCGGAGGAGCCATGCCGCGGTGACACCACCACGATGGTGGTGCTGGCGACTGCACCTGCAAACCTGCCCTCTGCCGCCCCTCCGGCCGCCGCCCGGGGTCCCACTCGAGCCGTGAAGTCGCGACCGTCTGAGAAGCCGATCACGGTCTCTAGTGGCGGCCGGGAGGCCGGGGGCTTGGGGGCGGGGTCGCCTGCTGCTGCTGCTGCTGCTGCAGGGCTGATGCTGCAGGTGTTGCTGCTGTTGTCACCACCACCGCCACCGTTGCTGCTGCTGGTACTGCCGCCTAAGGAGGACAAGGAGCATGAGGGCACGAGGCAGGCCAATAACGGTGCTTAGCAGTGAAACTGCGGGTTGAAAGTTCTGAAACCCCTGCATCTACCAAACGCATTCCGTGGCCCTTGCTAACAGAAACCCCACTCCTCATACCTGCAGGCATGTCGTCCGCAAAGCACACACGCGGCCGCTTGGGTGGTGGCGGCGGCATCAGCCCCGCGACGCCATTCCTTGCTGCTGCCCCTGTCCCCATCTCTGCTGCTTCTCTCATGTCCGCCGCATCGCCTCCTCCAGCACCTGTCTTGGCCGCCGTACCCGCCCCCTGTTGTTGCTGTTGCTGCTGCTGCTGCTGGTTCGGCCCCGACGGCCCCGGTGGCAGCTTGTATCTGCGAGTGGACGCGGCGAAGCGCAGCTCCTCGCCTGGCGGCAGCTCCATGGGCTCGTTCTGGAGGCAGGGCGGGGTGAGGGACAAAGACACAAAGTCAGGGTGGTGGTGGGGGAGATTGGTGACGCACATGCCATGTTATCAGCGTGCATGCGCGGGTCCGCGACAAAGCGCACACAGGGGTGGGTTTGAAGCAACTGGGTCGCACAACTGTACTGCCTTACGCCCTCCCTCCCGCACAGCACCCCATGGTGACGCCTCGCAATGCAGCTCGTCAGGTACCTCTCTTTACCCCCGCTCCCCTCGCACACACCCGGCAATCACAGTACCGGTACGTTCCGACTCGCGACGAGTTTTCGTAACACACCTTGCCCAGCTGCCTGCCGCCCACAAAGGTGCCGTGTGTGGAGCCCAGGTCGGTGATCAGCCAGGCGCCCCGGGCCGCATGGAAGGCGGCGGTGGCGTGCTGACGCGACACGGAGGGGTGGTCCAGCACCACGTCACACAGCGGCTCCACTCGACCAAACACAGTGACGAGCTGGGGGACGGGAGCGGAAAGGTGATGACAGGGTGAGTGCGTGAGAGGAAGGAAAACTTCCGAGGAACTGCCGGACAGCCCGAGGATCTGTCGTACATATGACCAGAGATGCCGTACATACCTTGGCCAGTGAGATCTCCTGGATCACGTTGCCGTCCTTGTAGACCAGCAGGCGGGAACCGGAGGGCGGCTGGGAGGCCCAGTCGGGGGCAGGGAGCTTGAGCGGACCGCTGGGTGGTGCTGTTGTTGTTGGTGGTGGTAGTAATGGGGCTGTTTGTGATGGGGCTGCGGGTGCTGTCGGGGTCGGCAGTTGGGGTGGCGGCATGAGGCGAGTGGCTTCGGCCTTGCGCTGCTCCTGTGAGGAATGATGTACGGGTATGCGGTTGGGGATACGGATGAGGTGTGAGCGGGCTGCAGGGGCCCGGTGATGTGGTTATTGGGTTTAGCGTTGGTGGGAAGAGGAATCCGAAGAGGGAAGGGAACAGGGCAACGAGGGCCTGAGCCATCCACATGTTGCGATTTAGGGACATCTTGCACAACCGCAAGCGCATGGGCAACTAAATGCACGCACCCGCTTGGATTGCACGACTTCCACCTTTCCCATTGTCTGGGCATTCTCCGTTCCCATCGAGCCTGCAGAGTTACCGAGCACTGCATGCTAGTACCGTGTCGCGTGTGCGGCCCTAAAATGGCAAAGGAGGCCCCCAGGCATTAACCGAGTAAATATTATTTTCACCTTCAGCCTTTACGAATCCAGCCATGCCCAGACGAGCCACACGGCCTTGGGGTGGGCCCCGAGCCCTAACTGCGATATCATCATCCGCGTCAGTCCAGCGATCCATTTTCTGTGCAAACCAAATAACAATGTCCTCTATACTGACCAAGAGTATTTCGCACGCAACGCCGTGCTGCTGTACTATCGGTACTTGTACGTCTGATTGTCACCAGGCTTTGTCTCGCCGCTAGCCTAATCTAGCGTCTTGACGAAGTTGATGCTTACTTACTGCTGGCTTTTCCCTACGGCAAATAAGCGACCATCTTGGCCCGTCAACGGAAGTAGTCTAGCGCTTTTATCGTGTTGCCAGTAGATAGCTGACTATTAGTGACCGCTTTGGCTTTTGAATTTGCATTTGCCTGAAAAGATGGCTCGGCTAAGGCCCGAGGAGGTGAGGATTTGACATCCTGACAGCTGGGTTGGTCAGGGACTCAGCAATTGCCCACGCTTAAGCCGCATCACGCAGGTGACACTACCGGCGCGGTTCTTGTGTAAGACAGCACACCTTGTGGCGATATTGACGGTATTGTTCGACGTGGAAATGGTCGTCAGCAACATGGAGCAGATAGACCCTAGCACGACCACGAGCCTCACCGACTTAAACACTTTCAGCGATAGAAAGAAACAGTAGGTTGGAAGTATGCTTCATGCTACCATCCTTGTCCGTAATCAGAGCTAACAACGTTACCCTAACCCAATGGGCGTTGGGCTCCCTCTTAGGGTTCAAGGCGTTTGTTATGCCGCTATCGCCTGCTTTGGCGTTGAGTACATCACCCTCTTCTTGGGCATCTCAATGTTCTTTCCGGCAGTTATGTCACTGAACGTTGTTTCCCACTTCTGCGGCACGGTGTTGGTCGCTCTCTTCTACACAGACGTAAGTGCGCGCTCACGTGAGGTGTCATGCGAATTCGTCCTTCGTGTGTGCTTACGCCATGCTTTAGGGGCATGGGGGGAAGGCCGGGGTATTGAAGAAGAAACTTAACTTCACAATCCTCGAAACCCAATCCAGGTGTTTTGGGGGACGGGGACGGGTGTATTTACAATTCGGGGCTACAATACCCAGCATTCCACAAACGCAAACCAATTCCCTTGCTGTCGCTGCTGCCCCTACATGCAGATCTGGAACTACAGCGCATTTGTAGCATTCTTTTTGATATTCAACATCCTACCAACGGCGCTGGAGCTCTTAATGCTCATCTTCGTTACACGGTTCAGCTTCTTGAAGTACTAGTCCGCTGACATGCTCATGCCTTAGCCGGAGTGCTGACGCCCAGGGCATTGTTATGCATGACAGCGCCAATGCGTTAGCAGCGACATTGTTGTGCTGCCAGGAGTTAATATGCGGGTGAACATGCATACCACGGTGACTGCAGAGGAAAATGGGTTGTGTGGCCAACGAATGATCTTTTGCTGCATGTGGCATAGACACACTGAAGACGTCACAGGTGCGCAGGATGGTGTCAAATGGTGTACGGGCATGTCACAATACGGCATGTTGTGGCGGTTCCGGAGGTGGGCTTAAGTATTGTCTGTTATGCAAATACGGAGGTGTACAAACACCTGGACACGTTTGCGTCTTATATTCTGTAAATGGCAGATCAGGGTCCAGGCGGCGGTCAGGCGGAGCAGCGCCCATCTAAACGAGCGAAGGCCGTCGTCTCCGAACGAGGCCCAGACCTTAAAGCAGATGCACTATTTAAGTATAAGATACAACTGCCACAGGCCTTCACCCCTGGATCGGTGCAGGCGAACCGAATTGCACTCCAGGTATTACATGTTCACAAGCGGCGTTACGCGCATGGCGCTTTAGGAAACAGTTCTGTACTGTAAAGCTTTTGTATACAAACCGCGACGGGATAGGAATATGCACTTACATTTCACCGTCCTGCTGCCGGCACATCGCTCCTTCGCACAGGTGGACGGGAAACGCTGTATAGCATATGTCGCGAACGGGCAGCATACGTATGAGGTAAGTCCTGTGGAAAACTCGGCCGTAGCCTGCCGACTCATTCGTTTTTTACCCCGTTAACCCGTACCGTATCCACCGTTACAACCCATCTCCCAAGCCCGCTCCAATCCATTACTTATCCACCACAGGCATCTCTCGACCTGGAGGCGGCCGTGGCTGCAGTCACTCAGGAGGGCACTGTAGGCACCGGGAAGGAAGGTGTGCTGGTGCCGCGAAGCGTGCAGGTGAGGAGCCCGAGCGGATGGCGACGCTGTGGCTGCTGCCTTACGGGCCTGCATGCAGCTGCACGTGTGCAGAAGAGGGGCGAGTAAGGGAACCATGCCAAACCATGTGCGCTGGCTGGCTTTGCTAAAAATGCTATGGACAGCAACCAGCTGAATGAATTGGCCTGTCTTGGCCTGAACGACAGTCCAAACGCAACCACTTACTTCCACATACCGGTAGTCCCCTCCTCCTATTCTCCCTGCGCTCACCCCCCCTCCTCATCTCCTTCCCCTTCCGCAGCTCGGTCACATTCGCCAGCTAGATCCCCTATCCAACATGGGTGCGGAGGTGCAGGGCCTCTACTCGGGGGTGCACGGTACGACAGGGAAGAGGGCCAGGGGAGCTGAAGAGGCCGGGAACGGAAAGGAAGGCATGTTGGGCTTGCTACTCTGCATGCTTGTTAACCTTGTGGGCATAGCTGCATACGGATACGGATTGGTAGGGTGTAACTTCCACGTTAACCCAACCCCACAGGCGGCCACCACGTGTTAGCAGCGGTGGACTCGGCGGGCAACGCTCGGCTGCTGGCGACCGCATTGGGGTCGGATGCTGCTGCTACTGCTGTCGAGGAGGAGGGCAGCCCTGTACGGCACCTCATGTGCTTGAACGCGCCTTCCAGAGGGTGAGGGCGAGGGGTTGTGGTGTGTGGTGGTGGGAACAAACCTCCCGCTCCCCTGCCTGCCTGATCGCCCGCCTGCTCCCTTCTGCCTTCGCCTGCGCTACGGAACATCCCCTCCTCGCAGGGAATGCGGGTGGACGGGTCTAGCGGTGCGATCGCTGTGCTCCTCCTCCTTCTCCTCCCAGCTGTCACCACTGACGCCGCAGCAACACGCAGCAGCAGCGGCTGCTGGCAGTGCTGCAGCTGACGTCAGCACTAGCAGCAGCAGCAGCGGGCTGCCCCCGCTGGAGGTGGCGGTGGCGCGGCAGCTGATGCGGGACGTGAGCGTGTACCGGGAGGGGTCGCTGCTGCGGACGCTGCACACCATGCAGGTGGGGCGCAGGAGGCGGAGGTGTGCATGCTTGCAGGGCTGAACTGCTTGCAGGCTTCCATGACGTTGTTGTCGTGCAAGCAGCGAAGGAGGTTGCATCGGACTCCCAACCGCGTGGCTGGGCCCTCCTTTGCGTGGCCGCATCCACCGCAGGCTGCAGAGTTACCACTACCGTTCAACGTGTGATCACTATCGTTCTGTGGTCCTCCTACCCTTCCCCGCCCAGGGCCCCACTGCGCTGGCCTACCTTCCTCCCGGCCCCTTTGGCGGCTGCGGGGAGGCGAGCAGCGGGATGCTGGCGATAGCGGAGGAGCACCAGGTGGGTGAGAGGGAAGGAAAGGAGGAGGAGGCGTGGGCGGGTGGCTGGGTGGGGTGAGGGGCTGTTGGAGATCCGTGAGTCGGTCGCGGGCTGGTGGGCTGGGACTACTGGATGCATGGGCAATTAGGATACGTACCGTACGTACGGCAGATCTCCGGGCATAGGATCGTGTGCCGCCCTGGACGCACTGTTCATGATACTACCGGACAGGTTTGTACCTCGCACCCGTAACCCCTAACTTACAATGTGCCACCGCATTTCCCTACCCCAACTCTGTACGCCATGCAGATCTCGCTATGGGATGTACGACAGGGCGAGCGCGGGGGCTGCGTACAGCGGCTTGGAGTGTACGGCGGCGGCTTTCCTGTGTACGGCATCAGCTGGGTGGGGGGCGCTTCTGCGGCGGCGGGGGGTCAGGGAGCTGGGGTTACCTCACAGGGAGGAGGCAGCGGTGGAGGCGGCGGCGGTGGCGGAGGTCTTCTGGCGGTGACGGGTGGCGAGCGATCGGTTGTGATGCTGGAGCCCAGAAAGTGGGTACGGGATGAGTACGGGATGGGTTACGGCAGGATGGGGCTTGAGGCGTATATGTACAGGATGAAGGTCCCAACCTCAAAAGCCCTCCCGCCTCTTGTCTCCCTCACCGTCCCCGTCGCATGTTCGGCTCGACTAACTCTTCTTTTTCCCTATCCCCAGGTGGCACGTGGTGGCCAAGTGGTCGGGCTGTGTCAAGTACCCGGCCACACACATGGCCCCCTCCGCGGCGGCGCCCGGCTACGTCTACGTGGCTGGGCTGGACTACGAGTGCGCGGCTGGGCGCTGGGACGGCAGCAGCGGCGGCGCGGCGGGGAACTCCAACAGCGCCTCGGGGGGGCACGGACACGGACGGGCGGCGGGGCCGGCGCAGCTGATGCTGGCGGCAGAGGATGGAGTAGAGGGCGGCAATCGCGCTGGTGGGTGGTGGCACGGGTGTGGGGTTGAAAGGGAGAAGGGTGTGGGTTGGCAAGTTGGCTGCATCCGCGACTCCGTTCGGGTTGGGAATGAACGTGAACCTCATCTGTTTGTTCTGCCACACCCGCAGGCCTGTCCTTCCGAGGGGACTCCAAGTGGCTTGGACTGGCCACTGCAACACTTCCTGCTGAGGTGGCTCAGGGGCTTGGTGGCGATGGCGTCCGAGAGCTTGTGGCTGCTTTGAGCATGTCCGGACACCTATACGTCTTGGCAGCGTCCGCAGATGCGTCAGCGGCGTAAGTTAAGATGGTGTAATATTTAAAGCGGTTCGATGGTCCCGGGCACTTTGACCGCTTTACAGGCTCATGTTGCGGCAAAAGGAGATTTGTATGATGGTAAAAGGAGTATGGGCTGTGTGCATCTTGCGGAAAACATGCTGGATGTCCCGCAGTTCCTCGCGCTGCTCGATGGCATGAACGCGCGCGCGATCAAGTGGCACCAGCAAACGCTATGGAAAGCACCGAGGCTGCAGCCTTTCGCAAATTATTTAACTATGATTATGTGACTCATTTGGGCAGGCTAGACGGTCTGGAGGAACCGTTGCTTTGGAAGCATGCAAGGAGACTGATTAGCATCGCAAGAACACGCTACCAAGCAACCGATCCAAATGCGCAAAGGCTGACGCCAGGCGTCCATTAGGCGGTCGCGCATCGAGCAAGGCAACTTGCTCGAGGCTTCTCAGAATGCGCAACATCCAGCACTATGTGGCAGAATGAAACGAAAACCGGCGCAGCCTTAGCCTTAAAGAGACTACGCTCCTAGGCTGGTGGTATCTGGTGAGACAGCCTGGTTGGGCTTGCAAATATCTTGTCGTTACGGATGGCAACGGAGTCGTTGCCCCTAGATCATGGAAGGCGAAGCCAGCAGAACTACTAACTTAGCAGCGAGTTTTCTTGCCAACGAAGTGGTCAAGAAGAGTCCCCATTTGCACGATCAGCGGCAACAACGTCCGCAGCATCGCGGCCACGCCTCGTGCAGCAGCAAGGCATAGCTAAACGAACGCTTCCATTATCATGATCGTATGAAAGTACCGCAGGTTCAGTATTTAAGGGTCAGCTTTCCTGGAGAGGGCAGGGTGCGATCAATGCCGTACGATTCGCTCCCTCCGGGGCCTTTTGCTGGCCTGCACTTCCTTAAAAGGCCAGGCAATTTCTGATTCGCTATATCAGTGACCAACATTTGCATATCAACCCTTCAGAGCAAAAATGGCCACCATTGCTAAGTCCGCTGTGCGCAGCTCTGTGCGCCCCACCGTGGCCAGCCGGGTAAGTCGCGAATGCTGAACGTCTTCGGGCGATCTAAGCTACCTATCAAGATCTCTGCGCAGCATCAGTTCTTTGCTTCTTACTCCTCTTCCTTAGAGTCGCACTGGAACTAGCGCGGTTGCGAGGTACTTCCTCGAAGGGCTGGCATGGCGCTGATTATCCTCTGCGCTTCCTTTCCTTGCAGGCCGCCCGCGTGGTGCCCCGCGCTGCCATCGAGTGGTATGGCCCTGAGCGGCCCAAGTTCCTGGGTAAGCGCATAAGTGGACACTTCAACGGCATCACTTGCATGCAACCAAAGATGCACGCGGCTAACGTTCAGAAGAAACCATGGTCGCGTTTCTTACGAACCATAATGATGATCTCTATTAATAGCTGATCTTTTAACTTCGCGTCAGCAGTAAACAACTGTCTACCATTTCGGCCATTCTTCTTAACTTTTTTGTTCGTTGCTATGCCCTATGCGCCACAGGCCCCTTCTCTGAGGGCGATGTGCCCGCCTACCTGACCGGCGAGTTCCCCGGCGACTACGGCTGGGACACCGCCGGCCTGTCGGCTGACCCCGAGACCTTCAAGCGCTACCGCGAGCTGGAGCTGATCCACGCCCGCTGGGCCATGCTTGGCGCTCTGGGCTGCGTGACCCCCGAGCTGCTGTCCAAGTACGCCGGCGTGCAGTTCGGCGAGTCGGTGTGGTTCAAGGCCGGCGCCCAGATCTTCCAGGAGGGCGGCCTGAACTACCTGGGCAACGAGAACCTGGTGCACGCCCAGTCCATCATCGCCACCCTGGCCTTCCAGGTAAGAGCGAGAACAGGGAAGGGCTGTGAGGGCTAGCCTCCAGATCTTGGTCACTTATCTTAATCCGATTGGCTTGCTGCTAGCGCTGCCCTCCTGGGCTTTCTTGTTTGGCATCAGCATCTGACCTCCCGCCCCGCCCCGCCCTGCTCCCACCCCCTCCCAGGTTGTTGTGATGGGCCTGGCTGAGGCCTACCGCGCCAACGGTGGCCCCCTGGGCGAGGGCCTGGACGCCCTGCACCCCGGTGGCGCCTTCGACCCCCTTGGCCTGGCTGACGACCCTGACACCTTCGCCGAGCTCAAGGTCAAGGAGATCAAGAACGGCCGCCTGGCCATGTTCTCCATGTTCGGCTTCTTCGTGCAGGCCATCGTGACCGGCAAGGGCCCCATTGAGAACCTGGCTGACCACCTGGCCAACCCCGGCGCCGTCAACGCCTTCGCCTACGCCACCAAGTTCACCCCCTCCGCCTAAACTGCCCTTCAGCATGGACGGATGAGTGGTTGAGCGGTTGCATGTGATTGCTTGTTTGCTTGCACATCACAAGATGTGATCTGGTTTTTGTCGTACGGAGGGTTCTGAGTGCATGCATGAGCTCGGTATCTATCGGAGTGTACAGTACAGAGGGAGATGAGTGCTCGAGGTCATGAGTGGTGAAGAATACGGAAGAATGCCTCTTCTTCTTTTTGGCTGTGCTGAGAGCGTGCTGAGTGCATCATGTAGGCATCGTCCCTGTCTCCATCTTGCGGTGGTGACGTTTTGTTGTACAGCTGTTTTGAGGTCCCCAGCGATGCTGGTGTACCCGGGTTTACCTGGGTGCCATGTACAGTGTTTGCTTGTGTTTCCCCTGTTGTTGGTTTGCCCAACCAGCGGCTTAAGCTGCTGTTTCTGAGAAGACAATCCATTAGTTACGTCTATGTAACGAATAACGATTACACATTTGCTACATTTCTGCTATCTATCAATACTGGCGATACTCGCCAGCCTCTTCACACGTTGCATGCATATATGCATTGTTATGGAGGTGACCCATGGGACAATTGAAAACACAAATTTTAAAACCGACAGCTGTTTCACGTAGCATCTATAGCAAACATGCACCCAACGCAGTACCAACAGCTAACGTGTAGCTGTGGCAATCAGCAAGCAGCCAAGCGGTAGTAATGCAGCAGCATCATGCATGTGTTCAGGTCCCCTCTCACCAGGATTCCAAAACAACTCACGCGCTTAACAACGCTACCCTGATTGCCTGTGACTCTCAACATGCTAATCTTTTAAACATGAAGACTTCAACGCTTGCTGGAAGGGAATACTGCGAATACATGCTAATAGCCAACTGCTAATAGCCAACTGCTCCCATAGCATAGAGTCTACTTTCCACCAGCATCGGATAAAAAAATGCTGCATTGGCAGTTTGGCACCATCTTCGGGAAAGGCACAGAATGTAGCAACGAATGCTTATATAGAATCCGCTTTCCCGGATGGAGCAATGTGAGATCAGTGCCGTACTCGGATTCGCTTCCTCCCGGGCCTTTTGCTGCTCTGCACCTGCTTAAAAGGCCATTCAGCCCATTCCATTTTTCATCACACTACCAGTGATCATCACTGCTACTTATACATCGTATATATACCTTCATCAGAGCAGCAAACAGAGAAAATGGCCACCATTGCTAAGTCCGCTGTTCGCAGCTCTGTGCGCCCCACCGTTGCCAGCCGGGTGAGTCGCGAATGCAGGGTTGCATGCTGAACGAGTCCTCTGCTGCCGATGGCGATCTACCAAGCAAGATCCCTTGCTATATACCAAGATCCAAGCTGTGTACCAAGATCGCATGCTGCTTATCCCTTCATATGTCCCACAGCTCGTCACTATTGCCTGGCGTTACTTTCACCATTGCGGGGACGTTTGCTCCCGCCTAGTGATGAACACTAGATAGCATGCATGTCGCTGACTGACTTTCCTCCCCACCTCTTTCCCTGCCTCCCCGCCGCTTTCCTTGCCTCCCCACCGCTTTGCCTCCCCCCTTGCAGGCCGCCCGTGTGGTCCCCCGCGCTGCCATTGAGTGGTATGGCCCTGAGCGTCCCAAGTTCCTGGGTAAGCTCTTTTGGCGGCCTGCTTGCGTCGGCACCTCACCCCACCAGGCCTCGACCCATGTAGCTTAATTATTGCTTGCTGCATGCATGCATGTAATAGTACCCCACATTCACTGCCACCGTTGCCACCCGCCCAGTCAAGCCTCGCTGCTTCTCTTCCGCCCTTCACACGCAGCCTGCATTATGCCCCTTCTCTCTCCCGTCCTTCCATGTCACGACTTGCGCCCTTAAATCTGAAACATCCTAACGCTTTCCTGCGGCGCTGTCCCTCCTTGCCCTACAGGCCCCTTCTCTGAGGGCGATGTGCCCGCCTACCTGACCGGCGAGTTCCCCGGCGACTACGGCTGGGACACCGCCGGCCTGTCGGCTGACCCCGAGACCTTCAAGCGCTACCGCGAGCTGGAGCTGATCCACGCCCGCTGGGCCATGCTTGGCGCTCTGGGCTGCGTGACCCCCGAGCTGCTGTCCAAGTACGCCGGCGTGCAGTTCGGCGAGTCGGTGTGGTTCAAGGCCGGCGCCCAGATCTTCCAGGAGGGCGGCCTGAACTACCTGGGCAACGAGAACCTGGTGCACGCCCAGTCCATCATCGCCACCCTGGCCTTCCAGGTAGGAGCGAGAACAGGGAAGGGATTGGGAGGGCTGGGAGCCAGATCTTGATCTGCTTCGATTGCTACCTATGCTTTAGGCCTCCATTAGCATAAGCATCTGACCCCCACCCCGCCCTGCTCCCGCCCCCCTCCAGGTTGTTGTGATGGGCCTGGCTGAGGCCTACCGCGCCAACGGTGGCCCCCTGGGCGAGGGCCTGGACGCGCTGCACCCCGGTGGCGCCTTCGACCCCCTGGGCCTGGCTGACGACCCCGACACCTTCGCCGAGCTCAAGGTCAAGGAGATCAAGAACGGCCGCCTGGCCATGTTCTCCATGTTCGGCTTCTTCGTGCAGGCCATCGTGACCGGCAAGGGCCCCATTGAGAACCTGGCTGACCACCTGGCCAACCCCGGCGCCGTCAACGCCTTCGCCTACGCCACCAAGTTCACCCCCTCCGCCTAAATGCTGAGCGCGCGTGTGCAAGAATGGTGTTGGGATGATGTAGGGTTACGGCTGCTCGCTCTGGTTCAGGATTAGGTGGTTAGGCGCATGTTTCGTGCGGTTGACTGGCTCTTCTGACTGGCGGTGTGCAGACTCATCTTCATGGCTGCTTTGCAACAGGCGCCCTGCCAGTAGTCGACAGTGTTGGTAGGGAGTGCCTCCGTGTGGCGTGTTTCAGCGCATCTGTCGAGTTTTGCTTTAGCGATTCTTTGCCGCGTGGTTTCGGCTGCGTGGCACCCAGAGAAGACAATCCATTCAAATAACGCGTCAATGCTGCTTGGGATTCACCCAGGGGCTGACCTGGGTACCTTGCACACGCTGATTGCTTGTGTTTTGTGTGTTTCTCGGCGGCTTCCAGCTGCTTCCGGCTGAGAAGACAATCCATCAACTATGTAACGGGTAACAGCTAAGCCGCGCCAACCTATGCAACACTTGCATGTGCAAACCCACCCCTCATGCCTGTGGCCCATGGGTCATAAACTCACCACGTCGTGGCGCATCTGGTAAGATAGTCGTACATCATGCTCCGCGGCTGTAGCTATTCAAGACCCGGGCATTTGCAGCCCAAGTCAATCAAGTTGTTCAACTCCTTTCCCTGGGGCTTCGTAACTACGCGCTCCAAACCTTTAATGCATGCATCGGCTCACTGCAAGCCATGAAACACCTAAGATGAGGACGCTTGTGGGGTAACTCTGACACGAAGGGCAGCACACGACCCAGAAGGGCTGTTTTTATCCCAGGGGCACCAAACGTCGAATCCACGAAACTTACAGCATTGAGAGGGCTTCCAGTGTTGCACTAAGGACTAAGGACTAAGGCCCCTCGCGAGAAACCCGTGCGCCGCTCACTACTATCTTTGGCCAAGCCCATCCAATCGGTGCCATGATCATTCGCCCCCCCTCATTCGCCCCCCCTCGTTCGCCCCCCCTCGTTCGCCCCCCCTCATTCGCCCCACCCCTCCTCCGCTCCCTATTGTCGTGCCCTCACTTGTGGTTTGGGCTTTTTCTGCCTCCTCAGTCCCCACCCTGATAATTGGGCCAACTTCCTAACAGCATAGTACCGAAGCGCACCCACCCATGGCGAGCACCCTATGCTTCGCCTTACAGACACCCGCGTCAGGAATCAGCTGACATTCTACCTCCTCTTTACTCTGCCTCCTCTTAAAAAAAAGTACACCATTGCGTGAGTGGCGCTCGTGCACCCTAGCTACAACCGGCTCTTGGGACGACCCTTCACCGTAGCTGCTGCTGACGCGGCTCCTGATGCTGCTGCTGCGGATGTGGCCGCAGCAACATCCACCGCGTAACGTGCTGCAACGCTCATAGCCCCGAAACCTCCGACCTCGGACCCCGTGGCTGCGGGTGTTGCTGCTGTGCCGGGTGCTGTGAGCGCATGATTCGGGCTGCCGGCGGCAGCAGCAGTCGGTGGAGTTGGTGGTGGTGGTGATGGAGGCGGGGGCGGGGGCGGGGGCTCTAGGGAGGGCATCTGCAGCCGCCAGATCCTGTTGAAGGCGGCAACAGACAGCATATGACGCATGGGTTAGTTGAAATAACGGTAAATGTTTGTTGAAACAATACAAGGCAACGAACATCCTTCGTGATCCCGCAGCCCCAGCATCCCACCTTTCCGCATCCTCGTCGTACTCGTCCAGAGCTGCCAACGCTGCCAATCCGGGCGGCGCGTGATCCGCGGCACCCGCCGCTGCTGACCCGTGGGTCGCAGCTGCGCCCGCCGCACCCGCGCAACACTCGCAACTTTCAGCTGCTGAGGACCAGCTGCTGCTGCTGCTGCTGCCGGCCGCCCGTGCAGCCGCCCAGCGAAGCACCGGCTCCAGTTCCTCCGCGGCGATACAGAAGGCCATGTTCTGCGTCTCATTGCACCAGGATAAGCAGTACAGATCAGATCAGAGCAGTGTAGCGGGTGAGCACAAACCACAACCATGTAGGCACGCATGCAGCGCTTGCAGCATAAGTCTTGGGCATGTACATGTACCGTACTTGCTGCTCCCCTATCCCTCACGCCCTCTTCACCCGCTGGTCCATGCAACCATCCATCCATCCTCCCACGCGTACAGACTGTAACCATCCACCCATTCCGCAGCCTCACTGCTCCCCGCACCGGCAGTGTGGCGCCCCCCGCATGCCTCGCGTTGCTGGTCACCAGCCCCACCAGCCGCCCCCGGGAGTCCAGCAGTGCACCGCCGCTTCCGCCCGCGTGGGTGGTGGTTGTGGCCAGCAGCATGGTGGGGACGCCGGAGCGCCGCCGTAGCACCTTTGGGGGCGTGGGGGAGCGGGATGGGGATTGGGGCGGGAAACGGGAGGTTAACAAGGGGCTACCGGCAAGGTCTCGTGTTACCAAGCAGGAAACGCGCAGATACGTACCCTTCCGACCGACCAAAATTCCACCGCCCATTTCCTTCCATTCCCTTCCAACCCACATCCGCCCAATCTCACCCTCGCCACACAACCGTACGACACAAGCGGTGGCCACTCAGCTGAGGGACCAATCAGGCTGTGACCAACCGCCCAAACCGCTGTGCCTCTTCCGTACAGTGCCGACTGTGCCGTACCGTCCGCCTCTCCACTCTGCGGTGGTGACACTGAGGACGGCAAGCTCCCCATGCCATCGTTACAACCGGTGACACTTCTGCTACTGCGGTTGTTGCTGCTGCTCATGTTGCCGCTGCTGGAGGTAGCAGTGTTGTAGTAGCTGCCGTTGCAAGCGCTAGTACGACACCCATGATCCGCTGCGCATGATGACGCTGTACGGCAAGCAGCCAGGGGGCTATCATGCAGAACGTCATCGTCGCTCCGTGCGCGTGCTGCCACTTGGATCGCCGCCAGTGCCAGGGGCGTGGGCTGTACGGCAGCCGGACATTCCCAACCACCACTACCATAACGGTGATTGCCGTACGGCGGCTCAAGCTGCAGTACGGCAAGATCTAGGTGGTTGCTCCAGACGTACAGCACGCGCGCGCGCAACCAACGGTAACCGTAACCAGCGGCGACACCTTCATTCCCACCGCCACCAGCAGCATAAGCAGCACCGCCACCACCACCAGTGCCTGCTGCTGCTGCTGCTCCCGGCTGCACCCTCCCTGCCGCATCCGGGGTGACCCATGGGACACGTGCCCAGCACAGGATATGCCCCCATGCTGCCGTACTCGGACCGCCATCACCCGCTGCTGCTCCTCTGGCCCCGCTGCTACCGCCGCTGCCCCTGCTCGCCCCGCCCTCGCGCAGCAGCCCGTTGAAGAGGTGCGCGGTTGTGATCAACAACCCGCTACCCGCCTCCACCACCACCCCCGTGGCCCAGGATCCGTTGCATCGCAGCAGTACGACCGCGTGCAGGACCCAACCGGGCAGCTGCTGCGCCTCCGAAACCGGAATCGATAACGAGGAACCTGAATCCGCTGGTTGTACGACAGGAGGGTGAGGAAAAGGAAGAGCAAGCGGAACGGGGCATGGAGCGCTGTGGGTATGCCACGGCAGTAAAGTACTGGCGGCGGGTACAGGGCATGCAGCGGCTGCAGTTGACAGCATCATTGGGGTTGTCGTCGTCGTCGGCGGCGGCCTACAGAAGAAACAATACCTCCCGGCTTGAGAAACAACGCCTCCTTGCTTGGTGGTGCTGGCAGCCGGGCCGCAGCCACCACCGCAGTTGACACTGCCGACACTGCTGCTGCCGTTGCCGCCGCCTTCCCAACCGCTGCCGTACTGCTGCTGCATGCATCCGCGTCCATCTTCTTCTGCTCCTCCTCCTCCTCTGCTCCCGCTCGCAGCCCATGCCGCGGCACTTGCGCCGGGCGATACCACATGCTGCAACCGCAGCTGTTGGTGCCCTATCGAAGCGTCACTGCCTTCACATGCCTCAGCAGCACCACCGCCACCCTCCTCTTCCTCATCCTCATCCACACCAAGACCGCAGCCACCCGCCTCGCCAGCAGCCATGCCGCCCTCCCTGCATCTCCGCAGCAGCTCCCGCAGCACGCCCAGCAGCGCCGCCGCAATCGCTTGCCAGGCAACCGCCAACGGTACCTGAACCCCGTCGGGCCGCCGCTGCAGCGGCGTACACAGCAACGCAAGCGGCGGCGACTGCAGCAGCGGCGGCGGCAGCTGCGTTGGCGGGGACGATGAGGCTGCTTCCGCTTGCGGTTGTCGGGAGGAGGTACTGGTAACGGGAGCACCTTCCATGCCTGGAAAGACATGCGCGTCGAGGGCGAACAGTACGGCGCCCGCATGGGCGCCGGCATTGCTGATCCCGCCGGCGTTGTCGTACATTTGTTGCTGTCGTTGCTGACGTGGTTGTTGTTGCTGCTGTTGGCGGCGAGGCAGGCTGTCGTACGGGTACGGCAGGCCAGCTGCCACTGCGAGCGACAGCGACTCGGTCGGCGCGGGGAAGGCGCATGCAACGACGCCGTTGACTTGCGCGTTGACGAAGTGGAAGGGTGCCAGGCAGCCAAAGGGGCTCCCAACCACCGAAATCAGGTGGCCTGGGCCTGGCTGGCCGGACTGCATGGGAGGTCCATGTCGACCTAAGGCACCGAGCCTACCGGTCCTGCCACCACAAGTGCTGACGCTGCTGGCGTCAGCAGCTACCTGTACGACACCGTTTGCTTGATCTTTAAAAGGGCCACGTGGGCTGCTGCTGAAACTGCCGCGGAGGTGGGCCCCAGCACCTTGGGGGCTGCATGTGCCCCGCGGTGCAAGGCGCAGTTTGCCGTACAAGGCTCGCAGGCTTGCTAGGCAACGCGGATCAGATAGCGCGACGGCTGCAGCATCAGAGTGGGAGGATGGGTGGGATGGGTAAGAGGAAGCACACGACCCGGACTTTGCGGCGGCAGACTTGTCCGCCGCGGCGGCACCGGGCGCTGAGGCGCTACTGCTGCTGTCGCTGCTACTGCTACTGCTGTTAGTGGCGGGATCCAAGGGCTGTGCCCAGCACAACACGAACGCGCCTTGCTCAGCGGGAGTGCTGGGCGGGCCTCCAACGGACCAACTGAACTCCCAGCGAGGGGAACTTGTGGACGCAGCGTAGCCGATATCACGATTGAGGCCTTGCAGCAGTTGTGCGGCAGCATGGGAAGCGCTAGCAACGCGCACTGTTGCGATGGGTGTGCAGAATGCGGCCCCACCACCGAGCGATGCGACCGAGCCAACAGCGCAAATGGCGCAGTCAGGCGTGAGTTGCGGTGGTGATGTCAAGGTGTTTGATGTCAACCATGGCGCGCCGGGCTGGATCCAAGGAGTCAGCGCGGATGCAGGCAATAGGAGAGCCCCTCCAGAACTTTTGCCACCATTCATTGGGGCCGCAGCCAGGATCACTCCAGAGCATGATGTAAAGCTTAATCCGTTCGTTTTGGTAGCAAAAGCCAACGGGGGCGCATCAATTTGGTTTCCAGTGTGCCGGGCTTCGCCGGAGATAAGGACAAGGACGGGCTCAATCTTCATGCTTACGTTGAAGCACAATTATCACATTAGATGCATCTGTAAATGCCCCGGAAAATGAGGTTGCCGTGTTAGGACTATGCGCTTGGTGCTGACCTTTACGCCTTGCCAGCATTGCAAGGCCTTGAGTCTATGCACAATACAAAGCGGACAGAGCGACAGCACTTCTTTGCGGCTGAGTAAGGCAGCCGTACAAACGGCCGGGTCAGCACAGAAGAAGCAAGCCCCAAGGCAGGAGGCGAGCGCAAGACATTATTCGCAATGCACATGCTATCCTGTGGAAATATGGGTATTCTCCAGTTGCAAGAGGCGACTGTGCCGCTTCGGAACAGCCGTTAAATATAGGGGGCGGGGTGGAGAAGGAGTTGGTTGGCATAGGCTAACGTATGCATATAGGTGCCATGTAGTTCGTGGCAAGACGGGAGTCTGTCGGAGTTTACTGGGATCGCCATGGATGTATGACCGTGATACAAGATGTACTATTTCGGTAGTTTAAAGCGGTTCGAAGCACAAAGGATCACTATTCATTGGCCTTTGAAAAGATCCGGGACTTTGTTTCCTTGTACTCGGGACTGTACAACATACTTGGACTAAGCACCTGCTGTATTGTCGATTCCCATGCCGTTAACGGGATCACTGTAGAAGTCGGATCCGCGGGACATGGACGCGCCGAACGCCATGCTAGATTGGTAGTGCCTTACGTCAGGAACATATGAGTGTCTCTTCGCATGGTACGACGGGACCAAGGCATCTGCATAAGACTGAACGCCATGCTTATTTTGTTACATCGTCGGCTTGCTTTTACTTTCGAAAGAACACGAAGGAATCGATACCACTTTCTGTCATCCGCTAATCCTGTTGACTAACTGCTCGGTTCCGACATCCTTCAGTGCTCAAATATTTCCGTGCCTTACGCCCCGTAGCCGCCTTAAGGACTCGTATCATAAGATGGCCAGCCACTCTCTGGCACCCATGGCAAACCGCGTCGCTAACCGCATGCCAACAACAATGCGTCCCAGCATGGTGCCAACCGCACCAGTTTGCCGACGCGGCGCGGCATCCCGCATCGTCGCACATACCTCTGCTGCTGAGGCACCCTCGTGCCAGCAGCTGCGTGATGCGTCCTCGATCAAGGCCCGCATGGAGGCTGCAAACCAAGCCTTGAAGGACGACAAGATGATGTGTTACCAGTGCGAGCAGACCAAGGGTGGCACCGGTTGCACCGAGATCGGTAAGTCTTCTCACCACTTCCTTTACAGCGCTGCAAACTTCCAACAAAATTTCGTGAACGGTCCAACGGTGCAATCCCGGCTTTCCTTGTCCTCATCCTGTTTTTCACCTTCCTGGCGCAGGCATCTGCGGCAAGACTCCCGAAGTAGCCGCGCTGCAAGACTTGCTCATCTACTCCGTCAAGGGCCTGGGCAGCCTTGCTCACCACGCGCGCACCCTGGCCGGCATTGAAGACGCGCGCGTCAACACCTTTGTGAACGGCGCTATCTTCTCCACCCTCACCAATGTCAACTTTGCAGACGATCGCTTCCTGGAGTTCGTCAACGAGAGTCGCGAGCTGCACGCAAGTCTGTCCGCCAAGCTGGCGGCAGCGGGTGTGACGCTGCCGGCTGATGCCACCGCGCAGCAGCCCTGGTTCGGGTCCATGCCGCATCCGCTGGCTTGGAACTCGCAGCAGGATGTGGCGCTAGGTGGCGTGGGCGACATGATCGAGGTTGGCCTCCAGGTGAGGTTTCTGGTGTGTTGCAGGTGCTACCTGTCCACTTAGATCCGATTGGTAGGCGTCTGGTCTTACCGTGGCTCCAACCTGCACCCAGTTGAATTTAAGGACTTGTGTTTGACGGCATGTGTATTGGGTGCACACCATAAGCAACTAAGTATCCGTGATCCAAACAACTTGCTGTCTGACTTCCCTTCCTCTCAACCCTCCTCCGCTCCCTCTCACCTCCTCTCCCTCCCAGACCGGCATCAAGGCTCGTCAGGAGGTGCTCGGCGACACCCTAGCCGGCCTCCAGGAGCTCCTCACCTACGGCCTGAAGGGTCTCTGCGCCTACGCCCACCACGCCGAGGCGCTGGGTCACACCGACCCACGGGTCTACGCCGACGTGCAAGAGTACCTGCACTTCCTCTGCTCCCCCGCCGCTGCCGACGTGGGTGCCGTACTTGACGCCTGCTTCCGCTCCGGAGCCACCAACTTCCGTGTGATGGAGATGCTGTCCAATGCGCACACCTCCACCTTCGGACACCCGGTCCCAACGCCTGTTACCCTGAACCCGGTGCCTGGCAAGGCGATCCTGGTGACAGGTCACGACATGCACGACCTGCACATGCTGCTGGAGCAGACGCAGGGCAAGGGCATCAACGTGTACACTCACGGAGAGGTGAGTTGGTCAATGGGGTACGGTTGGGGTGCAGGAACGGGTTGTAGTAGGAAATGGATGCCCCTGAAGGGTGCCGGCTTGCGTTCGATGCGGGAGGAACGGCTCCTGATTATGCCTCACATGCAATATCTGTGATTTGCCACTTCGTTGATTTTCCTCGCTCACATCTCCGCCTCCCGTGCCCCTCAGATGCTGCCCGCGCACGGCTACCCCGGCCTCAAGAAGTACCCCCACCTGGCCGGCCACTTTGGCGGCGCCTGGTATCGCCAGAAGATCGACTTCGCTGGCTTCCCTGGAGCCATCGCGGTGACCACCAACTGCGTGCTGGACCCGCTGCAGGTGTACAAGGAGAACATCTTCACCATTAACGAGGTGAGTTAGGAGATGAGGAGGGGGAAGGTGGGGAGTGAGAGGAGGGGAGCAGTGAGGGTTTAAGGGGTAATGAGATCCCACGTATAGCAGAAGTAATAGCTTGACCTGACTTGACTAGGAATCCTGTTATTGCTTCTCTAGGGGGGCACTCAAGAGCACGCTCCTAGTCGTTGACGGCGTTCCTTGCACACCATGCATGTCTGTGGGTGTCCTTCAGCTCGCTCTTAACGTCGCATCCTTTCCCTCCCTGCTGCCACCGCTTTTGGACAGACGGGTCTGGCGGGTGTGCCGCACATCGCCGCCGACGCCTCGGGCCACAAGGACTTCAGCCCCATCATCCAGCGCGCACTGGAGCTGCCGGGCTTCACGCCCGAGGCGGTGGAGAAGGCGCCCAAGAAGCGAGATGTCACGGTGAGAGCTGCTCTGCTGTTGTCCCGTCCTTGCTAGTTAGGCTGCGCACGGTAGGGCAATGGCCCAAATGACATGGGGCTCATCGCGGTGGCGCCTCGCGTCACTAGTCTTCTTCTGAGACCCCGCCTTTTTCCCATGTAGCATGCTTTCATTGAGCTCATGCGCGTCCCCTGTCTCGTCTTCCCTCCTGACCCACACCCAACGCCCATCCATACCAACCCATCCCATCCCTTCACATACCCGTCGTGCACGCAGGTGGGTTTCGGCCACAACGCCGTCCTCAGCGTGGCCCCGCAGGTCATCGAGGCCATCCAGTCCGGCCGTCTGGAACACATCTTCCTGGTGGGCGGCTGCGACGGCTCCGAGCCGCAGCGCAAGTACTACTCCAAGCTGTACGAGCACATGCCGCAGAGCACCATGGTGCTGACGCTGGGCTGCGGCAAGTTCCGCATCTTCGATCAGGACTTCGGCACGCTGCCGGGCACTGAGATCCCACGCCTGCTGGACATGGGGCAATGTGAGTGTTTTTGTGTGGAAAGGGGTGGTGGTGGGGGATTACAGCGGGTTGGTGCCGTGCATGGAAGTCCGACCCACATCGACCCACATCGAAACTGTGCCCAGAACAATGCCTAATCCCTTCCTGTTGCCCTCCCCCTCCTTCCCTTCTGCCTAACCAGGCAACGACGCCTATAGCGCCCTCGTGGTAGCAACCGAGCTGGCCAAGGTGTTCAACACCGACGTCAACAGCCTGCCCCTCTCGCTGGACCTCTCCTGGTTCGAGCAGAAGGCGGTGGCGGTGCTGCTCACGCTGCTGCACCTGGGTGTGCGCAACATCCGGCTGGGACCCCGCCTGCCCGCCTTCCTAACGCCCGAGGCGGTGGGTGTTCTGGTGGAGAAGTTTAACCTCATGCCCGCCAATGTGGCGGACCCGGCGGGTGACATGAAGGCTATGATGGCGTGCAAGTGAGAAGGCGTACGGATGAGGTATGGATGCATAATGGTGCATTATGGATCACGTGCGGAAGGTCCAAGTAGCATCGAAGATGGATGTTGCATTAAAAGGGGTGCTGGCCGTGGGTGTGGTATGGAGTGCGAGTACAGATGAATGCGTGGAAAAGTGCCAATGGTGGCAGTGATGTAGCATATTGAACGGTGTATAGTGGTGGGATGCACGCTATGTTACGCATCGAAATATGACATGATGTGTTGTTGTCGTGTGCTCTCTGCAATGACATAAGAGAAAATCCGACGGCGATGTATTCGTTCAACCCCAACTTGAGAAAGTATAAGTGCCTGGAGAAATTACATGATTTGCGTCCTAATAAAAGGGAGGGTACAATACGGATGCTTGTGTAGCATCCAAGCCTCCTGTCGTACGAGCGATGATTAACCGAGGACGTATGATGACTTATGCTGTGCTTTGTGACAGTGTTAACAGTTAGGACTGACCGCATGGTTTCTGTGTTAGACCTCGAGACGATGTGGCGCAGGTAAAAGATACAGGTTGTCATTGATCGTCAATTACCGTCAGTGCCTTCGTTTTAGCCCGGTCTTTAGAATGGCCAAGATGATGGAAAACCTCCGCGCCACAAGGCACGGGTTGTAAGTTCGGAACCCCACATCCTTATCTGAGACCAATCCCCGTGACGTATGCTGTGTAGGCAGGGTTGGACAACCATATCCTAACTGCCTGTGACAGTACCATTACTCCCGTATTGGCAGCCATGACGTTAGCACGACAAATGGATTCTGAGTGTCGCCAAATCGCAAGTGCATCAGGCCATGCATACTTACATGTGCACGACAACTGGTGGCTAGCCCTACGTTTCCCTCATGGGATGGGACAGCTCCGGTGCAGCTATTAAGTGTCCGTTGTACGGTGACCGTTGGCACATAACCACTTTTGACACGCCGTTTGTTGACATGAAGTTGCCCGTCGTCATAATCCGGGGCTGCAGTTTCATCGCGGATTGTACTGTGCCTACAGTATGCACAGCCATAACCCTAAGTGGGGAAGTGAAGAGCGTGGGGAGACAAAATCAACGGCAAACATCCTCTATACCATTCGAACTGGGTTTGACACGCATGTAGCCGCACCCATATGCTACATAGCGTTCGCGAGTCGTTATGTGCGTATCGGCTAACAGTATCAAGCGTCGGTCATGGATGGGTTAGCAGCCTCTTAGGGCACCCCGGAACAGGTGCAAAGCAAGATCTTCAAGCACCAAGTTATAAAAGCAGGCCACTTGTAACCGGAGACTCTGTACCTTGACTTGCGTTTCGGTCATGAGCAGGGAGACGGGTAATGTAGGCCGTACAGGGTGCGTTGTGGTCAGCCCAACCAGACCTTCGGTATGCAAAGGGAACTACTCGTCCTTACGCAAGTAGCTACACCGAGAAGTACTTTCACACCTATGTTAGCTTTCCACATTACCGTTACTGGCTTGTTATTTTCCTCATTTGCGTCTATCATTATCGTTATCAGCTTGATTTAATACTCGAGATGCAAATCGGTGTAACTTTGGTGGTTTCGGGCTGCTTTTGCACGGACTGCTTCTAGGGTCGTAGAAGCAGCATAATGGCAGTAGAGCCGGAGGATGGGACGCCAACCGATCTTGCTAAATTGCGAGAAGGTAAAGCAACGTCGTGGTTGTTGGTGACTATTAGATGTATGCACGGTCAGGGTCTTGGTTTTCAAGCATGCTGCTCGTTTCATACAGAGTACAAGCAGCTTTCTGCTCAACTACCCGCCGCTCTTCGGTCGAAGAATTCGGAAGTCCTTATCGAGTACATCGCTTGCGTATTTAGTGATGCCGATGGTGCTGTCGCCTCTGGGTAAGTCGCCGCCAGCGAACGCACGGCGACCCGCATTCCCACCTGTCCCCCGCTATTACTTTTTACCCCAATAATTCCCCTCCCGTCTGCTGGTCAGGATCACAAAGGCCGGCAGCGGAACGGTCATTAACAACTCCAACGACTGCCCAGCAGCCGCAGCCCCAGGCGGCTCTAAGACAGATTCCGACGCTGGTCCCTCCAAGCCCACCTCCCCCACCGCAAACCTAACGTCTCATGAAGTCTCAGCCGGCCTGTCCCTGCTCAGCCACCTACGCGACGAAATAACCGTGACCGAAGACACCGTGACCACCGCAAGCAGCGAACTAGGATGGCTTGGCATCATGACCGATGTCCTATCCGGCCAACCCGACGCCGCCGCCCTATCCCGCTGCCCCGACTGCTGCCGCCCCATCCTCACCTGCCGCATGCCGCTCCACCGCCAGCTCTGCATCCCACCGCCCGCCACCTCCCGCTCCAAGCAGCAGCCCGGCCCCAGCCCCAAGCTCCCGCGTACTGGACCCACCGGATCGCGAGGCAGCACCGGCGGCGGTACGGCTGCCGGCAGGGGAGCCGGCGGCGGGGGTGGCGTTGCCGCCGGCCGAGGCGGCGGCCGCGGTCGTGGACCCGGGCGGCCCCCTGGGTCAGGGGCTGGACGGGGCGGCGCGGGTCGCATGATGAAGAGCCTGGCCGCACTCAGTCGGGAGCTGCCTAGCGTGGGAGCGCCTTCCTGGAGTGCTGGTGCTGGTGCTGGTGCCGCTGGTGCAGCCTCCCCAGACGCTTCTGCTGCTGGCGGTGTTACCGCCGCTGCCGCAGCAACCACCATGGCACGTGGACCCACGAAGCTGAGCAAGGTCAGTTTTCCAAAGTCGCGGGGGGCAGAGTCTAGTGAGGATGATGCGGAGAGTGAGGAGACGCCCAGCACGCCGTCTTCGGAAGTGGAGGAGGAAGAAGAGGAGCCGACGGCTGATGAGGAGACGGAGGAGGAGGAGGGTGAGGGTGCTGCTGCGGGCGGTGGCGATGCGGCGGGAGGCACCAGCGGCGCCACTGCCGCAGCTGTTGCTGCTGCTGCTGCGGCTGCTAGTGGCAACGGCGATGCTGCAGAGGAGGAGGAGGAGGAGGACGTGAACGGTGGCGACGCTGGCGGCGGCGAGGGTGGTGGCTCGCAGGGGGTGAAGGGAGAGGCCGGCCTGCTGACGCGGTTCCTAAAGGGCCTGGTGGGGCCCTTTGCCTTCCCGGCTGCAGCGAGGCGAGGACGGTCGGCAGCGTCCAGCAGGTAGGAGCTCCCTGCTGCGACGCAGGCGGGGGAAGGGCACACATGGTTTTACTGGAGGGGGTTGCGGTGTTCAGGTACTGCTGCTTTGGTGGGAGATGGGATGTGCATCTAGGGGCGGATCTAGAGGCTGTGATTGAAAGTCAGAACCGGGCCGGCGACTCGTCCTGTAATGCTGCGTTGGCTAACGCACATATAGCGCCATGCAGTGCACCCACTAGCCTGTCATGCCGCTAGGAGACCAAGGAATGGGGCCTTATCTCTGCCTCGCCCCTCACGGCCGCTGCTCCCCCAGGCGCAAGCGTTCCATCGCGCCCTCGGACCCCTTCATCCGCTCCCTGGAGGAGGTGGCTGCGGGGCTGCGAACCTCCAAGCTGGCAGCCATGCTGCCCAGCTCAGCCAAGAGGATCATCAAGCTCAAGACGGGATCCGGCACGGCGCTTGTTCCTGGACCAGCAGGTGCTGCTGCTGCTGCCGGGGCAGGCAGCGGCGGCGCGGGAGCGGGAACAGGAGCGGCTGGGAGCAGCAGCGGCGGTGTTGCTGGTGCTGCGGGTACGGGAGCGGCTGGCATGGCACCTGGTGGAGGGGAAAGGGCTGCAACCCGAGGAGGGGCTGGTGGTGGTGGCGCGGTGGGTGCGGGCGGCAGGGCGGTGCCGTCGGCTGGGGCGGAAGCGGCGGCACGGGCAGGGCTGCGGACGGGTGGTCAGCTGCAGTCGCAGCTCCTGCAGAAGCGACGGCAGCAGGAACAGCAGCAACAGCAGCAGCAACAGACCGCACATCAACAGCGGCAGTTGCGCTCGCAGCGACTGGCAAGCAGTGGCGCGGCTGCTGCACAGGCGGAGGACGCAGCAGCAGCAGCACCAGCCGCCTCAATGCATGAGGGTAACGGAGATGCAGGAGCTCGTGGTCCCAGAGGGCCAGAGGCGGCAGGGCAAGGGCAAACGCAGCCCGCATTGGGCTCTCCCGCAGGCACTCGTCCCTTCCCTCCTGCTCATAACGGCAGCCCCCAAAAGCACAACCAACAGCCTCAGCTCCGGACGACGGCTGCTGCTGCTGCCGTCGGATCCTCGCCGCTAGGAGGAGGAGCAGCTCCAGGCTCCCCTGGAGCTCTGGCGGGTCGGAAACGACCCCCGGATCAGGAACTGCAAAGACCCACGAGCCGGCTGCGGGGTCAGGTGCTCGTCCAAGCTTCTGCCGCGGGAGCGGGCGCGGAGGGGGGGCCGCAGCGGGCAACAGGTGGAGCGGGACCGGGGCCTGGGACAGGGCCGGGACCTCATGCAACCGGAATGCAGCCCGGTGCCGCTGGACGCAGCAGCCTCCAGCCTGCAACCGGGCAGGACGTCGGCACCACCACCAACAGCACCGCAGCTGGCGGAAGCGGAAACGGCAGCGGTTCTGGCGCTAATGCGGCGTATTATGGAGGCCGCCAGGTGAAGCAGCAGCAGCCGCAGCCTGGTGCACCCACAGCGGCCTCCCTAGCAGGCGCCGCAAGCGGGGTACCACCAAGCACAGCGAATGGCGGGACCGGGCCGGCAAGGCAGGGCTCAGCCAGCCTGCCGCCTGGCATGATGCCCACGCCGGGTTCCGGAGCCGCCGGTATGGCGCCCGGACCGTCTGGCTCCGGAGCGGGCTCGCAAATGGTTCCCACGCCTGGCTCTGTTCCCGGCATGATGCCGACACCCGGCTCGGGGGCAGGCATGATGCCCACGCCCGGTGGCGGCTCCTCGCTTGCGCCCGTGCCAGGCACTTTCATGATGGTGCCTACGCCGGGTGGCGGCGGCGGTGGCGGCAGCTCGCAGCTGGGGCGGGGCATGATGCCGACACCCGGCATGATGCCGACACCGGGTATGATGCCTACGCCCGGGTTAATGCCGCCGCCACAAGCGCCTGTTGCTGCAACGGTGGCGACGTCTGGCGCTGCCGCGGCGCCGCCGCCGCATCATCAGATGCATGGGCAGCATGGCAACGGTGGCCGGGCTGTGTCGTCACAGCACCAGCCAGGGCCGCCAGGCCTGCACCAACACCAGCAGCAGCAGCAGCAGCAGCATGGCTTGCAGGGTCAGCAGCCTCACCTGGGGCACCATGCGGCTCCGGTACAGCAGGCGACGGCAACCTCACAGCAGCAGCAGCAGCGGCCTGCTCAACAGCAACAACAGCCGGCACAGCAGCAGGTGCATCAGCAGCAGCATCACCCGTCAACGGGTCTACCACCTCAGGTGACCCTTCAGCTGCAGCAGCAGATGCAGCAGCAGACACGACAGCTTCTGCAACAGCAGCGGCAACAGCAACAGCTAATGGCGCAGCAGCAACAACAAGGACAGCAGCAACAAATGCACCCACACCAACATCCGCAAGCGCCACAGCAACAGCAGAATCCGCAACAGCAACAACAACAGCAACAGCACCTACAACAGCAGCAAGCACCGGCAGCCCCGCAAGCGCACCGCATGCAACCCGCCGTTCACACACAACCCAATGCTGCTACCATGCAACCGTACCAACCGCAACCCGCCATGCATCCACCCGGCCACCCCCACTCCCACCAGCAGCAGCAGCAGGCCCTCATGCGACCTGGCGTCCCTGCCATGCATGCACAAACCAACCCGGCACCCACCACCGCACCCCCAGCCAACCAAGCACCCGGCATGGCACCGTCCTTCCCGTACCCAATCCAGCAACAACAACAACCTCAGCAGCAGCTGCCTCCGCAGCAGCAGCAGCACCGGCCCGGTGTGCTAGCCGCCGCCACGCCTGCCGTTCCCGCCCATGCGGCTCCCATGAGGCCTGCTGCTGTGGCTGCAGCGGGGGCTCCCAACGGTGTTACCGTGCCGGGGCAGCCGGGCCAGCCGCATGCTGCAGCCGCGCCCGGATCGATGCCTCCCCCCGGGTCCTCGGGCCCTGCGGCCATGGCCCCCCCGCAGCAGCAGCAGCAGCTCCTGCAGCAGCACTACCTGATGACAGCGCAGGCCCGGTCGCAGCAGACCGCGGGCGTGGCGGGGGGTGCGGCGCCTGGGTCGGCGGCGGCGATGCCGGCGCCTGGTGCAGGTGGGTGCCGCGTGACGTGTTCGGTTGCTTGCACGTGTGGATGACGTGGTGACGCTGTGGTTTCTGTTGCTTTGATCTGCTGCTTGTCAAAGCAAGTGCTCCATGTTGTACTCTGTTGCCTGATGTAGCGACTTGGGACAGCGGTCTGTGTTTCTGTGTAGTAGTACGGGATAGTAGCATCCAGTCTGATGGCTCTAAACCCCTAACGTAATTGGTTTGCTAAATCCCGCTATCGTCATACGGTCTGACTACAACAGGCGCTCCTCAGCCCGCCATGCAACCGGTTGCCAAGCCCGCGGTGGCTGGTGCCATCGCAGCAGCCGCTGCTGCTGCAGCTGCCACCGCTACCAACTCCAGCGGCTTCGTCCCAGGCACCCTTCTGACTCCAGCGCAGGTGCAGGCCACTGCACAGGCCGTGCTGCAGCAGCAACAGCACATGCAGATTGCGCAACAGCTCCAAAAGGCGCAGGAGCAGCTGCAACATGCTCAGCAGCTGCACCAGCAGACGCCGCACAGCCAGCCATCCGCGCAGCTGCAGCAGGCACAGCTGCAGCTGCAACACGCTCAACAGCTGTTCCAGGCGCAGGTGCAGGCGCAGCTGCAGCAGCGGATCATGGCGGCGCAGCAACAGGTGCGTGTGTGCTTCCGTTACGATGTGCAAACGAGGTATTATACTTACCAAATTGAGAGAGTGGCCAAGTATTAGGCAGTGATGTGCGATTTGGCATGCACCGGGCAACCCAAATCTCTCTATGGTGGTCGTGCGTCTTTCCTGGGTAAGATGAAGGTTTGGTTTACTTGCGCGCTCTATGCTACTCCTTGCAGCAGCACTGCAACATGTGACGATTGCTTCGCCCCCCTTTTACCCGCCCTAGGCCCAAGCCCAGCTGCAGCAACAACAGCAGGCCCAAGCCCAAGCTCAGGCCCAGCAAAATCTGCAACAGCAGCAGCAACACCCTCCGCAGCAGCAGCTTGTGCCTCAGCCTAATGCCCCCGGCTTCCCGGCTAGGATGCCCAGTGGGGGCCAGCCCACTGCCGCCTCCATGCAGCCACATCAGCAGTACAGCGCTACAGTACCGCAGCAGCAGCAGCCGCAGCAGGGCCTCCACCCGCAACCGCAAGCACAAGGGCACTTGCTGCGGCAGCCCTCAATGCAGGCCCCCGGCCCACACGCTCTGCAGCCGCAGTCGCACCAACAGGGCCCTCAGTACCCGCAGCAGCCGCAGCCACAGCCGCAGCCACAGCATCCGCAGGCCGCCGCCGTCTTCGCCTCTGTCGCGCCTGCAGGGGCACAATACACGGCCGCGCCGCCCCCACAGCAACAACAATACCACCAGCAGCAGCAACAACAGCAGACGTATCTGCGGCAGCCGCAGCAGCCGGTGTACCAGCCACACCCACAGCAGCAGCCCCAGCCCGGGCAACAGCAGCCGCTGCAGCCGGCTGGGCAGCCGCACTATGGCATGCAGGTGGGCCCTCAGGTTCAGTCCGCCTCTTATGTGGGTCAGCCCGCTTATGCTCAGCCCCCGCAGTACCTGTCCATGCAGCCGCAGCCAGCCCTGTCCATGCCAGGTGGGATGATCCCGGTGGCGAACGGCACCGCTCATCATCAGCAGCACTAGCACTGAGCTGATGTGTGAAGTCGTGTCACTAACGCATGTTGCCGTCATGGCGTTACCGGCATTGCCTTAAGAGTTGTGCAGAGCTGTATTCGGACGTACGATCGAATTATATCAACTGGCGGCTTGCTTTAGGGTAGGAGTGCTCGCTAGAGGGGTTTTTGGAGTTCAGGGGAACAAGGTGTGAGGAGGCTAGCCGTCCGTTTTGCTTCGAAGGTCGACGACCGAACCATGGGTCATGTGTTCAAGAAAAGATTTGGGTCTTGGCAATTGGGTGCTTTAAGCGCTCAATGGCCAATACCCAAAGCGGGGCGTTGTGGGGTCTGTTAACGGGAGGCGGATGTCTGGAGTGGCAGCTACCTCCGTCGGCTGGTAGAAGGACGGGGGAACCTAGATCTAACCTAGCTGCCCTAACAGGAAGTGGGTATGTGTACCGCCCCTGACTGACTCTACGACCTTGCCGGGGCTCTGCTCGCATAGTAACCGTTTGATGTTACACTGAAACCCGCAATCGCATTTCTTGCTGCGTTTCGCTGCAGCGCGGAACTTTCAGTTTCCAAAAGGTTTGCAGTACCAAAACCCAAACGTCTGCATTGTATGCGTTTTTGCATAGGGAAGGCGAACGTTTTGTATCTGCTAACATCCGATTACTGCATTAGCTATGTTAGTTGATGCTTGCCCGCTCCGTTGCTCGAAGCATAGCGTACGGTAAAAAGGCGTTGCCATGGTCCTACGCAAGGAAGTTTGGCACTTTCGATTTTCGGTAAACGTTTTCAGTACTTGGCAGCATTTAGGCTAACAAAAGCTATAACAAATTGCCGACATCACACTCTGCAGTCCAGTACGTTTAGTTTAGTGTACTTTGCACGCAAGACCGTAAGGTTTACAGACGGCTTTTCATACAACGTTTTGTGTTGAGCCTTTCAGATATTAATCGCTTAACGGCGCGCTTTTGAGTCTAGCTTTTGAGCTCGCGGCAGCGGGCAAGGCCGCTGCCCTCAGCAGCGATGGCTTGTTTACGCCACAGGAGACAGCGTTGGTAGCTTTACGCCCTACAAATAGCACGCAGCGGGTGAATGGGTTGCATTTGTTCCAGGGCCGTGGTGCACCCAGAAGTTGCCACCGCCGACACGCAGCAGCATTTGGATAAGCCTTGGAAGAAGAATCAGGTACTGCCTGTAAACGAGAAAGCTGAACAAGCGGAGGCCGCGGGCTTTCAGCAACAAGTTCAGGAGGCGAAGTCCTTGCCAGCTGCCTTTGCGGGGAACGGCAAGGATGCTGAAGCAGATGGCAAGGCATTTAGGAGTGTGTTTACAGACCTTCAGGACCTTTGCACCGACAAGGTGGATGGGACACGGCTTACGAACCTTGCCGAGCGTCTTCACGAGATCCTTAAGCGCCGGTTACCAAGCGCTTTAAAGGCCTGTACACAGCCAAGCGATGTGGCCATCTTCCTGGGCGTAGCGAAGCGGGCAGTCGCGTGCTGCAACTCCATTATTCAGCCCATGCTCTTGCACATCAACCGCATATTGAGCAATCAGCACGCCAGCTCCTCATGGTCGGAAGGAACCAGCTGGGAACAGGTGGAGTTCTCCGATTTCCTGGGTATGTTGGAGGACGCAAGCACCGCAACATTCGACCAGGGCGTCATGGAAGTTGGTCGGCCGGTGGCGTTGCTCATGGAGCTCCTGCACGACCTCCGTCAACACTGTGACGCTTATAAGCTGTCATGGGAGGCTTCAACAACACAGGTTGGTTCCACACCTGCTAACGTTTGTCTTGCTCCATGCCGCGCAGCCCTACACATGTGTCGTTCCATTGCACAAACGCTGCGTAGCCATCCTCACTCTGCCCCCGGTCTTGCACAGGTTCCAGCCCTCGATGAGCTCATTGGCATGGTGGGCATCATATTCTTTCGAAAAGTTGTTCTGGAAACTGCCGAAACTGCTCAGAGCAAGCTGGAGCAGTACCAGCAACTGCAGGAGCAGATTGGCTGGACGGATGCCCAACTGGCAACATGCACTTGTCCGGAAGCACGTGCCATGCTGCTGTACCTGCACCAGGTGTCTTCAGCAGGTGGGTCTTCATATGCCAGCAGCTCGGGAGGCTTAGGTCAGCGGCACTGAGCTGCTTAGGGTGCTGCTCGTGCAAGCGAAACCGGCACGGCGGTCAGGGGCAGTTGGGGCAGCTCTGCCGCTCATGAGGTCATGGCGATGTCACTCCCAGTGCAGGGATGCAGGCCCCTGGAGTGTCGGACGTAGCCAGACGCCTGCCGGATCCCCTTCCTCCCATGTTGGCTTTTGGCACGCAGGCGAGAAGCGCACGAATGTGATGGTCCGGCGCTCGTCTGCCTTTTGGGATTCTTTCGAGTGCGCGCGGAGGGACGGGCTGCTGCCGGCGTCCCACGGGCCCATGTGTCACAAGTACTTTCCTCTCTTCGTCTCGGAGTACGCTGCGGGAACGGTGGGTGGGCGAATGATGGCTGGAGGCCGTCATAGGAAGAGTCTAGAAAGGGGTGGCGGTCAAACCCCTTGTTGGGAATTCCGGACAGTATGCTAAGCAGGGAAGGGGCGAGCTTGCTTCACGCCCTGCCCGCCCGCGTCCACTCACATGCTACCGGTTCTGACCCACATCGCTATCACACGGCATGCCCCACACCACACCGCACCACATTCTTACAGGCTGGAAGCGGCCGGAAGCGCGCAGTGGAGGCTGGCGAGGGTCACGGCCCCCGTAAGGAGTTCTTCATGTTGGCTGGGCAGGACATGACGGGTCATGCGGAACAGCAGCAGCTGCAGCAAGCAGCAGGAGCGGCTGGCGGCGGTGCCTCATCCCCTGAGGCTGCAGCCGCAGTGGCTGCGGCTGCAAGCATCTTTAGGGAATCCTCAGGTGGCGCTTCTGCCGCCAGCGGCGGCGGTGCCGATGTCGGCAGCAGCACCAGCGGCGGCGGCGCAACCCAGGCTAGCGGCAGCGGCAACAGCCACTCCCGACGGCCGCCTCTTTGGCTGTACAACCGTACCGCGGGGGCCTACTGGTACAACACCACACTCTCCGAAACCCCAGAGCTGCGGGGGGCTTACGCCTTTGCCGGCTGGCTCATGGGCCAGTGCATACTCAACCGCGCACCGCTGGGTCTCCTGCTGCCGCCCGTGCTCTTCCGTGCGCTCATAGAGGGCCACAGCTCAGCGCATGGGGCGCAACATGGGTCGGAAGGCGGCGCCGGCGCCAATGGCGGCGGCCCTGGCGGCGGCTTCCAACCCACGTTGGACATGTTGGCTGAGTTTGACCCCGACGCGGCGGCGGCGGTACGCAACGTGGCAGCGCTGCCGGCGGACCAGCTGCGGGGGATGCTTGAGCTGGAGGGGCTTCCCGGGGACTGGAGCGCGGAGCGATACACACAGCACGCCGTGTCGCAGGTACTGCGGGACGGAGTGGCCTGGCAGTCCAAGGCCGTGGCGGCGGGGTTGTTTGCGGCGGTGGATCGCAGGTTGCTACGTGCGTGGCAGCTGGGGCCGGCGGCGCTAGCGGCGTTGGTGGCGGGAGGGAGCGGCGGCGGCGGAGGCGGTGCCGCCGGCGGTGAAGTGCCGACGGATCTCTCAAAGCTCTTCCGAGTGGCGTTAGATGAGGAGCTGAGCGGGTCGAGTGCGGTGCTTGTGGAGATGCTTTGGGAGGTGCTGGCGGGGTGGCCGGCGGAGCGGCGGCGGCGGTTTGTGGAGTTTGTGACGGGTACGGCACGGCTGCCGCTGCCCGGCAGCGAGTTGTTGAAAATCCAGGCGCCGTTTGTGGCCATGGGAGCTGCGGAGCACAAGGCGACGCTGGGGATGTTGCCGCAGGTTGGTGCTTGCGGGTAGGATACATTTGCTTCCGACGTCGGTGTGGTCTTGGGTGCCCTCTGTGTCCATGTCTGCTTCCTTCCCGCCTGCTGTCTTGCCCTCGTGTATCGATACCTTCCTTTCTCGTGTATCCGCAATCCTCCTACGCCCGACGCGCCTCAGGCTCACACTTGCGACAATCTGCTCGAGCTTCCCAACTACTGGGAAAGCCTGCTGGCGGTGCGCGGCATCCGCGGCGGGCCGGCGGCAGTGACCCGTGGGTCGGCTCAGCTAACGCCGGAACAGCTGGCGGAGCTGCGAGCGGAGGCGCGGCGCATCCTCGAGGAGCGGCTTGAGCTCGCTGTGATGAACTTCCAGGGTTACGGGCTGGACGAGAGGACGGGGGCGCGGGGCGGGGGCTCAAGTGACGGAGGCGGTGGCGGCGGCGGCAAAGATGGGGATGACGGCTCGCAACGCAACCCGCGAGGAGACCTGTGAGTTCGGATGCGTATGTGACCCCGTGCTGCTGGTGTGACTCAGCAGCGGCAGTGGCGTTGGTATTCGTGGGTCTTGTGGAACGTCACCCTTTCCCAGAACCACTTTTGCGCACCCACCTCCAATCACCCGCGTCCGCCTGCCCGTCCGTCCAACGTCTCGAGCCTGTCAACACCACCTCGCGCTGACCTCCATCCCAACCCCAACCCCAACTCCACCCTCCCCCAGAGCCGGTCCGGAGCCCTCCGTGCTTCCCGACCTCCCACTCACCCCTGCCGCCCTCACAGCGGACAGTCTGGCCTCTCTGGCCCGCCTTTCCGCTAGCAGCAGCGTCCTTCATGCATCCCACCCGCTCGCCTTTAGCGCCGCTGCTGCAGCTGCAGCAGCAGCTGCCGCCGGGCCCGGCCAGACAGCGGGCGGACAGCGGGGCGGCGGCGCCGGTCATGCCGCCCTCGCCAGCACTGCCCACCTCGTGGCTGAGGCTAGCGGCGGGTTAGCGGCGGAGTCTGCTGGCGGTGGCGGGCGTGGGGGAGGGCTGTCTGGAGCACCCACACCTGCTCCCACGAATGTGCTACCGGGGGAGGGAGTTAGCAGTGTAGCTGTGAGTGCCAAGGCGGGCGGGGCGGGATCGGGCGCGCATGCAAACCAGCAGCAGCACAGGCTGGAATCGGATGCCGCGGCGGTTATGCCAGGAGTAACGGATGCAGAGCGTCAGGCCAACATACTTGCGAGATTTGAGGTGGATTTGAATGACAAGAAGAAAGGCGGCGGGGTTAGCGGAAATGCCTATCGGCAGCAGCACATGCAGAAGCGAGAGTCTTCCGAGGAAAGCCAGGACGCATTTAAATAGGATGCATGTTTATGGTGGTTAGAATGGTGGTGGGACGGCGGTGGTGGTGGTTTACAGGGACACCATGCATAGTCTGGGTAACTAACCAACTAACTAAATGACTTACTGACGACCTAATTGGATTCACAGCGGCTGCAGACGTGGCGTAGAATGGTTTGCGGAAACGTAGTTGAGCAGGCCAAATTATATCTAGGGAGGGCGATAAGACCAGGCGACTGCGGGTTGCACCTGCTTCTCTCCGTATGCTTCTCTACCTACTTCGGTTAAGCAAGGCTGGTCAGAGATACGCTGTGCGGGATGTATACGGCGGCGGCAGACGAAGGTTGCGCGGTTTTGTAGGAGCATGTGCGGTGCGATGCGATCAACCAGGAGCATTTAGAAGCTTCACATGGGGCTTTGCGTGTACAGTGAGAGGTATATTACTGGTTGCAATGCATGAGGGTTAGGAGCTTAGGACAGGGGCCCTGAGCCTGTCTTGAGGTATCGGGTGGTGTCAGGGCACCGCGTAACGCGACGTGATGTATGAGGCTTAACAGGGCCGCATGGCTAAGAGTGGAAATGGTTGCAGCGTGGCAGAATCTATTAGGTGTGATTCGGTGCTGAAACCCAGCCATCACACTCATGCGTCATGTGTCATTCTAATAACTAATGATGATGACGGCATGAATAGTAGTATTGCTCACTCTGTATAATCGTATTTACTGATGTTTGTCGCAGTTGAATATGCATGGAAGGATGCGACCCCTACTGACTTCAAGGGAATCTCCCCGAGCTGGTGCTTGCATAACTTTGCGTGTCGCACAGATGAATATAATCACTCTCGCATCCGTCTCTTAGTCGTGTGGGAATGTGGTGTTGTGTTGCATGTAACGTGCGGTTTCGCCCCTAATGCGTCCGTTCGTCCGTCCGTCCCTTTACCGTCATTACAATATGGGAGGCTGCTTATAGGGGCAACAACTTGCGTCTGGAGCCGCCTCCGCTATCTTCTATCATTATGCTGTATAGCAGGCTGACGGGGGTGTTGCAGTGGCGGTTAGCTGGGGCAACAGTGTTGCGTCGCCGCAAAGCCTGCCTGGCGGGCCAGGTATGGGCGGTTTTCACAGTTGGTTGCAGGCTGGCCGTTGCGTTGTACGAGCGTTGGGGTAATTCGGTTGGGCTTCACGATTATGGAGACCACATGCGCCGCTGGGTTGCGCATCTATCTAGTATACTGTCGCAGGTGATGACTCGCCGATGTATTCGTCAGACCTGTCGCCGTTACGAAGGCAATGTTTAGGAGCGGCAGCTCCGTAGATAGCTAGGGGACTGGCGCTGCTGTCCGTAACCAGGAATAATGCGCCTTGCGCAGTTGAACACATGTACGGACCGTGCCGCTTTAAACCCTTTACTCGCATCGAGCAATATTGACAGGGAACAGTCCAGCTGTGATTATGGTTGTGAAGTAACCAGGCCTCCACTCGTGCTCTCTCAGCAGTGCTAATCCAGCCAATGGCGCTTCCACACCGGCGTACAAAGGGCTTCTATGCAACTGGAAAGGCCAAACTCCTGCACACGTCGCAACAACTGGCACGACGACCTGCCCTTCCAGCGTTCAACCCGCCCCTCTCATCACCACCTCTCATTAACACATGCATGCAAATTCGTTAGTCAAAACGCCGCAGGCTAAGGAGCTGTGGAACCACATGCCACGCCAACTCTCCGCAGGCGCCAACATGCACGGAGCGTAAAACCCAACCGCCACACATGCTTTCAACGGTGGGTTTCGGCTCGCGGTGTGATGACAGGTCTTCCGCCTCACTCCTGGATATGCAACAAGGCAAGACTTCGCGCGAGCGCACGAACCCAGATAGCTCCAAGGTTCGTATTGTCATGAGTATCCAGCCCAATCGTCAGGGTGATAGAATATAAAGACTCGCCCGCCTTCCCTCTTAAAGCACTGTAGCCGTCACACATTGTAGATTGCCATCCTAGCAAAAGGTGACACCTGCTCGATACGGCCGCTCTTGTACACTCCAAAAGGCCCCACATCAGCGCTCTCGGGTATCGCAAGCACCCCTCCCAACCAGCACATTCGATTTTAGTAAGCGGCAACGAAAAAGCATTCGCGGTTTCGGCGCCACCACACAGACCAACCGACGGCTTATAGTAGCATGAACCGGATTTTCCCAAACCCCGTGTTGTTTGCCGTTAAGAATTGGAAAAAGCAATGGAAAAGCGCCACTCCTTGACAACTAGGTGGTGTGCCGTACATGCGTGTCAGCAATACCCACCGAGCAACGTAGCCGATTACGGTTCCACCCTTTCTCAAGGGTATCGTGCACAGCGCACCGCAAAACAAGGCGCAAAATGCAAAGCCAGTTCCGTCCGAAAAGAGCACGTGCGTTGCAAAGTTCGGCAATCCGGTCCCATAAGTAAGTGCAGAACGACAAAAAGCCATACTTCCCAACAAGTGATTGCGAACATCCTGAGAGATAAGGAAGCCCAGCCGCCAATCCTGCTATAACGCAAGCACACTGCCACACCAATCTAGCGCAGCATCAAAGTATCGAGCCCCCAGCAGCACTGCAACTCGTGGATACCCACCCTCTCCCCCTTGGTATTAGCTCTTGTGGAGCTTCATCCCGCCAACCATACTGCCCGTACACATAAAAATTCATGCATGTTTCATTCACACGCGCGCCCCAAGCCCCAAGCTGGGCCTCCCATGCTCATGCCCCCAAACCCCTGCTTAGAAGGCGCGCTTGAAGATCTGGTAACCGGTGAAGGATACTCAAAGGTCCCAATGCATCTACCCGGCAAAATACAGCGACGAAGACACAGCATCCCTTTTCAAGCTGTTGCCGTTTTTGTTGTGGTTGGCTTCACACAGATAAGCATGTTTCAACGCCCGAACACAACGCCGCAGCCGCAAACAGACCAGCATGGGACTTCCTCGGCCTTCCATCCTCGGCCCCTGTCGCCCCGACCGCACAAAGCCCTGCCTCCAGGTCACAATGTTAGCCTTGTCAGCCCAGATCATGTGGCCCGCTTTCCAACTCATATTGGTAAGCCGCCTGCGATGGAATACGCTGCGCCGCGTCCTCAAACAGCGGTCCCGAGCCAGGTAGCATCGCACTAGAGGAGAACATGACGGGCCCCTCGGCGTCCGTAACTGCTGAGGCACCGCCGTACGGATTTCCACCGTCATTGCCCGCCGCCACTGGCGACGCCTCGGCCATCGCTAGGGTTGCATGCACGATGACTGGCAAAGCCTCCGATACCCCAACTGCTGCTGTGTGGTTTTCCGCCCCTGCGGCGGTGGTGGCAGCGGCGCCGTCAACGGGCAATGCCTCCACCGGCCCATGGGTCACTTGGCGGTGTAGCTCCCCGCCCTGCACGTACGGCAGTACAACAGGTGTCGCAGCGACGCCCAATGCGTCGCCTCCTGTTGGGAGGAGGCGAGCAGAGGGAACCCGCACCACTGCTGCTGCTGGCGCCGCAGCCACCACGCCTGCAGGCGACATCAACGACCCCGCAACCATGGCAACGCCAGGAGCGGAAACAGCCGCATGGCGTACCGCTCCAGACGGTGACCCATGGGTCACAACCGCACCCCCAGCAACGCCGGTGCTTGCTGTTGTGCCTGCCGCGCTGTTGGTGGTAGCAGCCACTAGGCTGCTGCTAGCGGCTGGTGCGACCTCAGCCGAGGAAGCCGAGGCATTCGGATTACCGACGCCTGCAGCATGTGAGGCGTCGGAGCCACCGCCTCCGCCTCCGCCACCGATGGCTGCTGCGGCGGCTGCGAGCGACTTGTTACTACGACGCAAGCCCGATCCCAGTCGCTTCAGCGCCATTCTGCCGCTTGCCACCACAGATGCGATTCCCGACGATCCCGGAGTTCCATGATGTCCGGAGTGCCCGGGGGGTCCGGGTGAGGGGCAGAGGTCGCTTACGGTGACGTCCCTGGGAGATGGCAGGTTGGGCGAGGAGGGAGTGGTAGCAGCAGCGGCGGGAGCAGCAGTAGCGCCAGCAGCAGCGGGAAGAGGAGGAGGAGGAGAGGCGGGGTTGACGGCGCCGCAGTTGCCGCCTAGGAGGAAGGTCCTCATGATGCCCTTGCCCTTGGCCTGCGGGACGAGGAGGGGAAGAAATAAAAGAGAATTGAAGCAAGTGGAGTCCCAGTCTCATGTCCCGACTCATGTAGTGAGCGCACAAGGAGGGAAAGGAGCAGGAAAGCCGCAGCATGACAACGTGCTTTGTAAAACAGGGCATTCTACCGGGGTCATGGTCCACCTCCTCTCACCACCTGAGCATCACAATTCATCCAACTGCACTCCATCCAAACACTCCTAGCCCCACCACCACTCTGCATCTCCTATCAAATGTTGCAGCCCCCTCTCGCGGTTACCGTAAGTGACTCGGCTTCCTCTTCACACCCCTCCATGCCCTCCATAACCCCTCCATGCCCTCCATAACCCCACCATGCCCTCCATAACCCCTCCATGCCCTCCATAACCCCACCATGCTCTCCATAACCGCACCACACATTGGAATTTCTTCTTTTGCCCTCCATGCCCCCTCTCACCATGACGCCTCCTGTAGCCACCCAGGGCTCCTCCGGAACCAGATCTCTGACCGCCGTGGTGGCATGGATGGCCAGCGGCGGGCAGGTGGATTCGCAGCGGCTGGCGGTGTTGATGGTGTCACCGAACAGGCAGAAGCGCGGCATCTTGGTGCCCACCACGCCGCTCATGGCGGGGCCGCTGTGGATGCCCACGCGCACCTGCAGCGACTGTCCGTTGGGCATGCACATCTCGCGAACCGCCTCCAGCAGCGCCTGCATGGGGTGGGGGTGGGAGGAGGCGAGGAGGTGAGGTGAGGTGGATAATGGGAGAACGGGGAGAAGGTGAGAAAGGGGTGAACACCGCGAGAGATCGAGGAGAAGGTGGAGAGGGGTTAAGGACGGGAGGTGGGACGGGAGCGGGAGTCGCCCTCCCTCGCCCGACGCCACTCCCACCCGCCCTCCCTAGCCCCCCAACCCACCCACCCACCCTCACCTTTGCGAACCGCACCACCTTGCGCGCATGCTGCGAGTCCACCTCCCCGGGCTCCAGCAGCGCCGCCACGCCGTCCGGGCCGCGGCGCACCAGCCCGCCCGCCACCATGTAGCAGTCACCTGGAAGAGGAGGTGGGCGGGAGGGCAAAAGTGAGAAGGGCAAAATGTGAAGTAAAGCAACTGGAGTTCCAATCCAGGGAGGGCAGATGGGCAGGTGGGGGGGGAGGGTTCACACCGTTACAGTAATGGGGATGTTCGCAACAAGGTGGGGCTGACGTTGCTTACCAATGGTCTCCACTGCAGTGTGTGACGCAGCAGTTGACGAGCGATTTGGGCAGTTGGGTGACGGGGCGCGGAGCAGCAAGGACGGGGGCGGTACCGGGGGACGGGCCCAGACGAGGCGGCCGCAGGATGAGGCAGGAGGGAGCCCAGAGGGGTAGTTGGATCACAGGAGGTAGTGGAAGGTAAGGGGAGCAGGGAGCAGGAAGGGATGCACAAAGTTTAGAAAGGTGATCTCGTGACACATCCAAACGCATGGAGGAAGCGTACACTATGAACCAAGAGGGCATTGCCAACTAATGGATGTGCACAATACCAATGACCCAAAAGACCAACCCTCCTCTGACGCCTGCACTGCATTGCAATGCCATGCGAGCCTGCTCTTCCACCCCCAGCACACACGCATACACGCACCCTTGTACACGTCATGCAGGTGCAGCAGCGAGTCGAACTGCGTGTAGAGCATGTTGAGGAAGGACATCACCACGGCCGGCTCCACGGAGGAACACATGGCCTGGAACAGGTGGGGGAAAAGATTAATAATACGGGGGGCGGAGGTGTGGGGTTACACCGGGTGGTGTACCGATACTGCACATTTAGGAAAGATACCAAAGTTCTCTTTTTTACTGACGTGGCGTCGACAAAGTAGAACATGGTGGTGTGCCATGCGCACTTCCTTTCCGACTATACGGATTCCCAAACACCAACAAAAACAACAACGAAGACGTTGTTTGTGCCAAGCCACCTACCGTGAAGCCCTTGACATCGCAGAACAGCACCGTGATCTGCTCGTGGTGGTGCGCCAGCTGGCTGCAATCCTGGCTCTTGAGCAGATCGAACTGCGATTTGCGGCGCTGCTTGCGGCTGCCAGGCGCCGAGCTGCTGCCGGCGGCGCCGCCGGGCTGGCCGGCGCTGATGTTTTGCATGGCGATGTACTCCAGGACGTGGCGGGGAAAGATCTGCGCAGGAGCGGGGAGAGCGCAGGAGCGGGGATACAGTGTGTTGGGTTAACCGCAAGAACTCTGTTGGAGTACGACAGGTGCGTAGTAGAGATTGGCCACCTCCATCGGTCTCATCACATCCCAGCCCCCCCCCCCAGTGTCGTCAGTGTATCATTATTGTTTACCCCTCACCCCTCAGCCCCACCTGCTCCAGCAATCGGTGCTCCACCTCCATCAGCTCCGTGAGCTGCATCTCCGTCTCCACCTTCTCACTCACGTCGTTCTGCAGGGCAGTGAGGGCGGTGGGAGGGTGAGTTACCCAACCGGGTTACTACCACATAGAACCATACCTTCGAACAGAGGTAACGAACAGAGTTAACGAGGATCGAAGCGTTGATCGTGGTTGGAAGTGGGTTGACTGCGGGCGGTTCAGGGAGCTGCGTACATGGTGTACTGCCAACCAACCGCAAACCCAAGTGGTTGCACGAACTGCACCACCCCAACCACAGTCCCACGGTCAGTTAGATGTTTCCTCTTTATCCCAACCACAGCAGCACGAATGCCTGCTTACCATGCAAGCCACCGAGCCAGCCTGCGAGACCCACCTGCACCAAGGCAACCACTCGTGTGCCCGTGACGGGGTCCGTGAAGCTCGTCGCTGCCACCTCATGCCATGCTAACCCCACCCTGCGTGCCATATCCACAGGCGACATGTTCCTCGGCGACACGTGGCGCCCCTCGCCGTCGCCGCCCCCACGCAAGCGGTTGATCTGCGGCAGTGTTGCAGACAGGTACGTCGTCTCGGGCGTTGCCGCGGCTGCTGATGAGTCATCCACAGCAGCGGCGTCCAAGCAGCAGCCGGACGCAGGCTGCGGCGGCGGGCTGCGTGCAATGGTGCTCGCCATCGCGGATCCGTCCGAAGTCGAACCGACACGAGTGGCGGCGCCGGCGGCGGTTATTGCGTCATCAGCAGCCACAGCGGCGACGTCCATTGCGGCTAGTCCCGAGCAAATGCCGGCATCCAGCCGAACGGCCGCGCCCTCCTCGCATGCATGAGACGACTCCGTTAGGCCCGGGGACGTTGTTGGTCTGTCTCCATGTTTCATCGCGGCGACTGAGACGCCGCAACGTCGAGCATCCGTGGCAAAGTTGTCCGCACTTGCATGACGACGACCGACGACTGAATCCCCCATGCCTGCACTGGGCGCTGTCGCAGCACCCTCTCCCTTCTGCAGCTGCATCATCATTCGTCGCGAGGCTGACCTCATGAAGCTAAAGATCCGAGGCACCGTCAGTCGCGGCTCCGCAGCCGCCACGTTCAGCGAACTAGAGCGCTGAACCCCCTCCGCAGAAGCCGCGCTGTGTCTGCCTCCCTCACGCCCCCCACGCAGCCCCACGGCTGTCAGCCGCCGCTCCCCGCCGCCATCCAGATCCTCTCCTTGTGACTCCTCGGAGTCAAACGTGCGCTGGGAATTCACACGTCCCAGTACGTTTAGCGTGGAGGTTGGCAGCGCGGTCATGAGGTAGGAGCGAGTGGAGCTGCGGCTGAGCGGCCGTTTGAGGGCGTGATTTTGGCGCCGCACGCCACCGCGTGCATGGGCCCCTGCGCTATGGTGCTGGTGTTGCTGGTGGGGGTGCTGCTGCCGGCGGCAGTCGGCATGGTCAGCGACAAAGCCGCTGGCGCTGTAGCAAGCCGAGGCGTGGCTATGGAAGGAGGGGTCATCCAGAGGGGCGCTTTCGGCGGTGACGACGGTGGGGCGGATCAGCGGGACGCTGTGGGGGTAGCGGAAGTCCTGTTCACTGCTGCCGTCGCCGCCGGCTGTGCTGCTGTGGCGCGGCGGGTTGCATGTCGCTGCCGTGTCAGCGTTTTCGGCGGTGGTGCTGTGCAGGCCCCGGATGTCGATCCCGTCACATGCGCCGTTGGCGACGAAGGGCGAGCAGGGAGTCACATCGTCCGCGTGTTGAGGCAGCGCCGTGAGGCTCTTTGCGGGCGACGACCGTGATGCCATCGCCGCATCTTTCATCGGCAGCCCTTGCTCCTGATGTCCGCCCTGTCCTGCTGCTGCCTCGAAGGCTCTGGTTTCCCCTTCCGTCGCCGTCTGTGTTTCCAGCCCAGCCCGCTCGGCACCGCTGGGCGCCCAGTCTGACTCCTCCATCGGATCCGGGCCTGAGACGCATGCCAGGGAGCTTCGGTTCCGCCGCGGCGCGTGTCGAGGCGCCCCCGGGTACCCACCTCCTGCGCCCCCGCCACCGAAGCTTCCCATGCGACCGGTGCGGAATCGCTCCGCAAAAGCATGCTGCACCGCGGGCTTACCGGGCGCGGGAGGTGCGGCGCCAGGCCCCACGCCACCTGTCAGGCCGACCTGTCGTACATCCGTACCGTCCTGCGCCTGGGTTAGTGCTCCGGCGTCAGGGCCATCAGCTCCCGCATCGCTGTTGTTGGCCGGCTGTGTGAAGGCCTCAGTGGGATTTGCGCCCTCTGCCAGCAACTGCTGCTGCAGCAGCTGACGCTGCCGCAGCAGCAACGCAGCATGCGAGCTACTGGCAGCATGGGAGCCTCTCCCGGAAGCAGCAGCAGTAAAGCTGTAGTGATGCGCTGTGAGCCCCATGACGCCCCCTGGGAGGCCGGCCTCCTCCTCCGCAGCATCTGTCAGGTAGCTGGCACGACGCAACCGCTGTGCAAGGGTCCTGCCGCCCCCAGCGGAGCCGTGCGCGGTAGACGCCGCCGCCGCCGCCGCCGCCGCAGCAGCAGCAGCCGGTCCGTCCGTCCCCGCCAAGCGATGCGGCCAGACGCGAGCTGAGGACAGCTGCAGCGTGAAGCTCCTGCTGCTGGACTGCATGGCGCCCCGGAGGGAGTACGACCGACTGGGCGGGCGGCGAGATGTGGAGCTCACCTGTCGGGGTTGTGGCGGGAGCTGGGCGGCAGCATGGGCGGCTGACGCTGCTTGGGGCGTTGCTACCGGGTAACCCGGCCGCTCGCACCCTCCCAGCTGGCCGGGCATGACACGGCGCTGGAGCGCAGCGGTGATGGCGGCGGCTGAAGCTGACGGGGAATGCGGATGGGTAGCTGCTCCGGCGTCGGCACAGCTTGCTTGCGGGTAGCTGTCGTCGCTCAGGGGCGTGGTTGCGGCCCGTGTCAGGTGCGGGTGGGTTACGCCCAGGCGGCCCTTGGAGCCTCCTGCACCACTGCTTGCGGTGCCAACTGCAACCCCGGCGGCGACTGAGGAAGGCGGCGGTGAGGGCGAGGCACGGGATGAGGCGGGGGCGTTGGTGGCGGATGCGGGCGGGCTGGGGACGGTGGCTGCTGTAGCATCCATCCTGCTGGCGGCCCTGGTAGCAGAGGCTGCTGCTGCAGCGGCACCGCCGCTGCTGCTGCCCTTGCCGCCAGCTGCTCCAGCCGTAACACCACCACCACTACCAGTACCACCAGCACCGCCGCTACGGGTTGCACCCCAGCGCTGAGCCGCTCGAATGACGGGACGCATGAGCCGCGGCACCTGCACGATGCCCCTCCACATGTTGCCGCAAATGATCTCCTCCAGCATCTCATCCAGCAAATCCGGACACATGCAGAACAACACCGACAACACATCCACCTCGGCTACGCTCAACATGTGGTTGCTGGCGCTGCCGAAGCTGGTACGGCTGCCCGTCGGTGTTGCGCCGCAGCTGCCGGCGGCGGTACCTGCGACGCCGCCGACCTTGCCGGCTGCCTCCGCTTCCGCCTTGGCCATGGAGGCGACGGATTCGCGCGCCTCGGTGGTGCCTGCGCCGCCGGCGCCGGCGCCGGCGGTTTGTGCATCGGCTGCTTCCGCTGTGATGTCGCCCATGAAATCGACTGAGCCCTGTAATGGACGGGAAGAAGAGCATGGCGGCGAGAAGGGCTGAGGTGCATGGGATGCATGGGGGCGATGGTCGCGAGTCAAATCTTTAGTGGTAGAACCTAATGGTACGGTGGAAAGCCATGGAAACGCAGTTCACAGGGCGATTAGCAGGATGTGCAGAATAAGGGAAAGCACTTGAAGCCTGCCTGGCCCGCTTTTGCGCAGGTTCCAGGGCTAAATGCGGTGGGCGCTCGTACTGCATGGCTGTGCAAGTCGCCGTACGCCTGTCATGTAACGACCCACCTGGTTTTGCTGCAGCACACGCCCCTACAGAAAGATGGGCAAGGAGGGAAGGTGCAATCAAGGGATAACAACCGGATTACGGGCGGCACGTGAGCTACAAACTGGTCGATGACGCAGCACGTCAAGGGGAGACTACTATTGTAAGGCGAACGCCTTGCATGGGCACGTAGGCCATGACATACCGGGTACTGTCACGCCCAACTCCCATCCTGGAGTCGCCGCCCTTTACACCCTTGCCGACTCACCCCGCAATCGAACAGTGTTATGGTGTACGGCACGGAAGCCAGCAGCAGGTGATGCCGCTGCCAGGTTTGTATCACGTACAACAGCTCTGCCCCGGCAAGCGGCTCAAGCTCCGGACCCATGGGTCCGTTCGCGCCCCCGCCCAGCGCCGCCGTCCCCGCTTCACGGGGACTACCAGCGCCCCCACCAGAGGCCCCTGCCGGCGATCCAGCAGCCCCACCTTCGGCATGCTGCGGCGTCAGCCCATGTCCCTGTGTTGCAGGCGTGCCCGCCAACCCGAATGACAGCGGCGGCGTCCCGGCATGTCGCAACGGCGAGTGCGCAGCATGCGCCCCTCCGTCGCCGCCCCCAGACAATGCCGAGACGGTGTTCCCGCTGCAAGAGCGGACTGGGGGCACCGCATGGGTCATGCCCGCCGCGTGCGGGGTTCCATCCGCTCCAGACATGGCGGAGGAGCTCCCCTCGGCATCAAGGTAGGTCCAGCGCAGCTGCGGGTTGCTGATGGTGGACCGAGGCGGCGGTGGGTGGCCTCGCTCTGCCAGTGCTGTGGCTCCACCGCCGCCGAGAGTGAATGAGGGGGTGGGGCCAAGGGTAGGCAGCCCCGCGGCTGACAAGTGCTGGGGAAGGGCTTGCGGCCACTCCAGGATGATTGCGGGCTGCCAGGAGCTGCATGCAGCATCCGCCGAGGGGTCCGTGACGACGAGGGGAACCCCCGCCGCCGTCACATGGTAAGCGCATGCGTGTATTCGCAAGTGGCCGACATGTACGGCGGAATGTAGCGCTGCAGCTCCCAATATGGCCGTAGGTCGGCTGCTAGCAGCCGCAGCAGCCGCAGCAGCGGCGGTAGCGTAGGGTTCGCGGCCGCCAAGCAGCGTGCCGTACAGTGACGGCACGAGAGCATGCGTCAGCGGCGGTACATGGTCCGGACGTACGGCGGCCTGCCGTAACAAGTCCCGAACCAACATGGCCAAGCAGGGATCCGCATCTAGGAGTTCCCGGACCGCCCAAAGTACGTTGCTGGTGTCGCTTTCGCCTGCAGCGGCATCAACTGCTGGGTTCTGAGGTGGGCTTAGAAGCACCCCTGACATGGCAGAGGCATCGCCCCCGGTTAGCCTGTCACCCGCTACGCCACTGCCGCTGGGCCCGGAAGAAGAGTGCGATGAGAGTGTCGTCATAAGCGCGCTTGCGGCGGTGTTGTGCCAGGCATGGAACAGGGTAACCTCCCCGCCTGCCGCAGCCTGTAACGCCGCTGCGAGAGCTGCATGCGCGCGCTTCGCCTCGCTTTCCGCGTCGGTGTGCTGAGCTGCATGCTGCGTTGTGGGAATGGGAACCGCGCCCTGTGCCCTGGGTGTCGCCAGGCCCGTCCTCGCGCGCTGAGATGGCACAGGGAGGTCCAGATGCATCGTTGCTACAGCATGGCCAGCGGCGAACAGCCTTTCGCCAGCATCGCCCTCCTCGCCACAGCCCCCGAAGGACTTTGCATGGTTGCCGCTGATATGAGCACCGCTGCTGCAGCCGGCCCCAGCTCCTTCCGTAGAAAGACCATTCGCAGCCGACCCATCAACCGCCGCCGCTGCCAGCCCCGAAACCTCCTCCATTTTCCTTTCCTCAACTGCAAACCTTCTGCCAGTACCGGTTCCGCTAGTCCCTGCCGTCCGCAGCACCAAGACAACTAGCGGTGTGGCCAGCCCCGCAGCCCGCTCGCATACTGTTCTGTTAAAGAGCTGCACTGGGTACGACAGAGGGGCCGCGGGAGCGTGAACCTGTCCGTACGACAAGCGCGGGGCATCTTGGTCCAAGGACGGCCTCCCTGTAGTCCCTGCCCCGGTGGCCGCAGCCACGGCTGCAGCAATTGAACCCGACCCTGCGGGTGCTGACGCAGCGAAATTCGCGCCCATGTAACCCGCCACCCCCGTCACTGCACTGCTGGTTGCAATTGATTGGGATGCGGTCGGCAGCTGGGCATGCGTGGGGCGGAGGATGCTGTGCAGCAGCCAGGGCTCTACCCAGGGGCCGGTGCTGTGGCTGCTGCCTGCAAAGCCGCCGCGCAGGAGGAAGGAGGAGCCCAGGGCTGCATGCAAGGAGGCTCTGGTGAAGTCCACGTCCATGAGGGAGCAGCGGCGGCTGCCCACACCCGAGCCGTTGAGGGCGTTAAGGCGGCTGACGCTGCGTGCGAACGTCATGCTGCAGGAGCATGGCAGAGGGGGACGGGGAGGGGGCGGGAGCAGGGGAAAGTAAACGTATCTTTCACGGGCTGCAAGATGTACGGGCAGTAAAACATGATGGCAAGTGCACATGGCTAGGAAGCCATCGCTGCCGGCATTGCGTTGCCCTTGTAGATCTATAGTTATTACATGGAGGTACCGCAAAACAAGGAGCACATGTGTTTCGGTGTACGCATGTCCCAGCTCACCTGCTGCTGCCTGCGCTGACAAACGCGCTGCTGCCGGGGCCGCCTGAACCTGCCGCGGCAGGGGTCGCGAAGGCGCCCAACGCCGATGATGAAGTCCCCAGCCGTGATGGATTCGGCGCGGCGACCGGATCGTGCAGAGGCTTGACCTCCTACACGTCGCAGAGCATGGTGCAAGCATGTGAGGCCACAGAGAGGGGTTGCGGCGTGAGTAAAACCAGAACGGGATGCGCATTGCAGCATGCGGCACTAAAAGCTGAATCAGAAGCTTCAGTCCTGCTGCAGCTACCCGCCCAAATCTCTCCGGTCTAATGGAGCACGAGGGAGGTAGCCCGTGGTCCGGTCGGATGAGACCAGGAGTTGGGCCAAACGAGGGGGTGTTGCGTGACATGAAGGCTAGGGACCTAACTTCCCTTTGTACGAGCCGGGGTGCTCTTTGACGTGCGAACGAGGCGGGGTTGTGTTGCGTATGTATGTTTGCGCCCGTCTGCCTCCGCACCTGGAACAGCAGCCCCGTCGACGTGGCACTTGCATGATGCAAAGAACCAGAAGCATCTTGGTACGACCCATCTGGGTTGTTCACCCAGCGCTGGCCAACAGTTCCTCCAAATGATGAACTTTGTACCAACTTAGTGCGCGCCGACCGACTGGGCTGTCGCTCCAGCAGATGCCTGGCCAGTCTACCGGATTGACGTGATGTCTGAACTTCATCTTCTCCGGTTGCTTGCGGTGTTATGGCAGCTGCCTCAGGCGGATGACCCCCAGGCGTCGGCCTGCTCTTTGAAGACCTCCCTGACGTCTCCGATGGATGGCGTGTGCATGCGCTATCAACACAGTCGTCATTCTGCGGCTTTTGGCCACAGAAACAATAAAGGAACCCCATCAATTCCAGACTCCCGAAGCGTCTTTGCCCATCCGAAAGCTTTGGGAACCACTAGAGCTGAAACATACCACTTTCCCTAATCATTACAGCAACATTGCCCAGCCAGGCTCAACCTTATATTCCATAAATAGTGTAAACCTCCTTGAATGAATAGACTTGTCTCGTGCTTTAGAAGGTATAATGGTCTAAGCACCTAAGCTGCATGTTTTAAGAAAACTGAAAGGTCATACTGGCAGCCGTACGGATGGATTAACCCTATATCCAATATCCCTATTTCCCTAGTGCCCGTAGCTTTCTGTTTTACGCATCACAGCGACGCATGTGGTTGCGACGCATATCTATAGCCGTATCACGCGCTAAGTTGTTGTTACAATCGCGCATTCATGTTCATTACATAAGCCCGTGCAGGCTGCTTAAAGTCGCGGCTTAAATATATTATAGCTATGAAGCGTCAACTAGGGCACGCTGAACAGGTATCTTATCGAGGGTTGTGTAGGCCTGAAGAAGCGCCATGTTGCATGCTGTGCATGGTTTGCGACATGGACTCCGCTCCCTTGACCACCCGCAGGCAGGTCCAGCAAAGAAAAGAGCGTTTTGCCCACCTCTTGTCAGTAGAACATCACTGCACCAGGTACGCGCTTGTGTAAGCAACAAAGGTTATGCGTCTTGTTGCTCAGGGCCTCGCTCCTGCTGCAGGGTCCCAGTGCCTTACCTGCAGCGAATGCTGCACAGACAACATTACCAGAAGTTTCCACAGCGCCCTCATGTGTCCCGGCCCTGGCGAAAGCGAGCCCAGCTGTTGCCCCAAACCGACTTGCTTTTCGGCCCCCTGGACAACTTCGTAAACCTGCCTCGAGCAGTGGAGGCGCAAAGCAGCATCCAACCTTAAAGCCAGCACCAGCTTCTGCTCCCTCCCCTCCTGCCTCTATAGCAGCGCTGGGAGTCGCAACGTCGGCAGCTACGAAGCGGGCAAGCGCTAGCGTGCAAAAAGCAGCTGTACAAAGCAATTTTTCGAAGCCCCCTCCGCCAGAAGCAGCTCAACATGCTGTGCGAAGCAGACGACCCCTAGCCCAGCCCAGTCCAATTGGGTACAAAGCGTCAGGTTTGCGCCGCCCATTGGCTCCTGCGCAAGTCGCCCAGTCTAGGCCGCTTGCCCCCGTCAACTCGTCGACTCCCACCCCTGGTGGTGCAACAGCATCGCATGCCGCTGGCAAGGCTGCCGCCGCTGTGCCGGGTCCTTCGCCCGCCAGTCCTGCTGCCCGACGCCTTGACGGGAGCCCTGCGGCTGCTTTGAATTCAGCCTCACAGCGGCAGGAAAGCATCCAAGCGGAGCAGCCGGACACTGCAGCCCAGCAGCATGAGCCCCTGTCCTTGCACATCAACACAGACCTCCAAGGTAGGTGCAAGCTCGTGCTGACCCAAATCACGGATTACCGGTAATGTCGAGCTAGGGACGCAGCTGTCTTGAGGGGTGTCAGTCGTGTGTTGCTTTAGCAACCGGTACCTCTGTCACCGGTGCTGGGAGTGTCACAACCTGCTGGCCCTTCATCTGGGTCAACCTGCTGGCCCGTCATCTGGGTCAACACGCCATCTGGGTCAGGCTGGACAGCGTCATCTGGGTCACGAGCACTAGTTATCGTTATGGTCTCTCATGCCTCCTTACCCCCCTCCCTACACCACCCCTTACCCCACTTCCGCGCAGCAGAGAACGGAGGTGACCCAGATGCCGCCGCCGAAGCGCCCAGAGGCAGCCAGCAGCCCGCGTCACACGCCGCAACCGCGCCCTCAGCCGAGTCACACGCCGTAACCGCGCCCCCAGTCGCATCACCTGTGCCTCTAGCCGCTGCTGCTGCGGCTGTCACGGATGTCCCGTCGTGTCCAGGCGACCTAGAGACCAAACCCACAGGGACCGTTGCCGCTGAGGCGCCGGCCACAACCGCTTGCGCACCGGGGGCCGTCGGGGATACCGGTACGACGGGGCCTGAGCCTTGTGGAGGCAGCAGCCAACCGGATGCCGCCCATGCCGCCGAGCCGCTACCGGTAATGATCCCGGTAACCGTCCAAGCGGCAGCCTCCTTGCCGGCAGGCACGGCGGCTACGGAGCAGCGCAGCCCGAGGGCTTCACCTGCGGCCACGCCGCCGCCTGACCCCTCTTGCATGTCGCAGCACGCAGCCGCATGCTGCGGCGCCCCGCCAGACCCCCACTTGGAACCCCCACACATGCAGCACCCAGCTGCCCAGAGCGACCTCCGCACCTCTCCTAACACCCACGCAACCGCAGCTGCTGCGGCCGCGCCCAGCACGACCGTCCTCGATACCGCCGCAAAAGGCCCACCTGGCGCCCGCGCGGGCCTCCTCAGCCCTAGCCCGCGCGCTGTCCCGCCGGGCTCCCATGCCGACGCAGACAGCCAGGAAGAGCAGCCTGCTGGGCCGCTCAACCTCTCCTTGGTGCTGGAACAGGTACCTGCGCCTTCGTGGCCTGGGCCTCCGCCCTCCAGAAGTGAGGGGCCCTGCCCAGGCGAGTCGGCCATGTCGGGCGCCGGGATGCCTCCACAGCAGGGTGCCCCCATTAGGGGTAACACGGCCAGGACTGCGTTGATAGACTGCCTGGCGACTGCTCGACAGGGGGCGGTGGTTGGTGCCGCGACTGGGGACGAAACGCTGGTGGTTCGGGTGAGTGGTCAAGGTGGCAAGCAACGGAGCGAGGCACACAATTTGCAGTACTGCGCGATATCCTCGGCTGGAGTGTGCTGATGCTGTCAGTTGGGCTAAGCTGTGTCCTGTGTAGCCGTTACCTGTGCTCAGTTGATGCCTTCCTTTCGGTGTAACCTGTGCAGCGGTTGCCCATGGCAAGGCGTCCGCCGGCGCTAGGAGCCCCGCAGGCGCCAGTGGTGGCCCCCTTTTCCCAGATGATGGGTAAGCTTTTGCTACCAAGCATGGGGAAAAGCACGAGGGAAAGTGGCCTCTCGGGACTTTACCTGGGAGCCAGTCTCATATTGCCAACAGTATCGTTGCCAACTTTAGGCTGCATGCCCCTAGCTTCTCGCCCCTTACATCACAAGGAGTGCTTACGCCCTTTACGCTGTCTTAATCACACACAGGTATGCCGTTATGTGTACACCAAATGCCCGCCCGCAGGTGGGCTGCACGTAGCGCGCCTCATGATAGCGCTGCCGGATGCCGCCGCTCCCGCCCCACGGATGGCCGGCGCGGCGGCAACACGTGCGGTGCAGGGCAAGCTGCGACCCCTCCCCACCAGTGCAGCCCTACCTGCAGCAGCAGCAGGCCAGCAGCAGCCTAACGACGTCCCGCATGCCGGCCTTGCACGTGTGGGCCCACTGTGCAGCAAGATGACGTCAACAGATGCTGTTGCGTACGGCAGTCACGGCAGTGGCGTACGGCTGCCGTACGGCTTGGTTCGGGTGATGCAGAGGGCGCGCCGTAACGTCCTGGACCGCTTCGCAAGGCCCAGTCGGATCATGGGCAACAAGGTGTCTGTCAGCCCGCCCTTGACAGGGTAGGTCTTATGCATGCTTTCGTTGACTACTACGAACCGCAACGATTTGGGTCGGAGGAGGTTCCTAGGCAAATGCCCCGCTGGATGCATGCCTGCGGACTTGTCTGTGGCTATAACCGAATCCCGGATCCGCTTCTGGTCATGCCTATGGATTCCTCTGTCCTACCCCCTACGCTGCCTAGGGGCCTACATGCTGGGGCGTGCGGCAACGTTAGCAGCAGCGTTCTCGCTACAGGCAGTGCGCTGCAGAATCCATCTGGCGTCCCGGATAACGGAGCGGCGGGTCAAAATGACATGTCGGCACTCCCCGCCACTGCCGCACACAGTTCAGGGCCCGAGGAGATGGGTAGGTGTGGTCTGAACCTTGCCTTTGGAAGGTCTCCTTCCCGGGAAATGCGGCGTATTAGTGCTTTTCCAACGTGTCTGTCCTTGTGCCACACTAATTGAGCATGTGCGTTGTATCGGTGTGCAGCAGACAGTTCAGTTGGTGGTGATGTTTCGCATGTGGATGTGGGAACAACTGCTTGCAGGCTCTGGCCACGAATGCAAGACGGAAACGACGCAAACGGATGAGAAGGCATCCCAAATGGAAGAGGCGCATGCTTCAAGGCATACGCGCAGCGACACAGCATCGATCGTCGCGACTGACTACACCCTCGCTTGGAGCGGTATCTCGATGGTATTCCTTCACGATATATTCGCCTGAACGCAGTGCAAACAAATGAAATGATTGATAACGGAGCATGGAACGTTCATGCCATTTGTAAGGATAAGCCCCCACCAGCGCCTGGGCACCGAAACCATTGTGAGGGCGCCGTATTTACCGTGGGTGCGCGCCGCCTCTTCTCGGGCTTCAAGCCCTTAGGACCATAACACCTCTCGCATACGGAAGGCGATCTTCGCGTGTTGCGTCGCTGACCAAGTGCTTTGAGTACGGGGCGCCCCGTTTGGGGCAGCCGCTCGCCGTTTTCCTGTAGAAGCAAGCATGGCGTCGGCATTGGCAAGCCAGCTCCAAGCGCTGGCCCAGCAGCGCCAGCCCGCTCTGCCATCGGCCCTTAAGAAGGGGAAGCCTTCCCTTCTATTCGATTTCCAGAAGGCTGCTGATGTCGATTTGCAAACGATTCACGGTATCGCCTGCCAAGGTGAGCGGCTTTGCTTCAGCGCCTTGAGCTTCACGCGCATTGACGGCTGTCCGCGGGGCGGCCGCCTGTCGGGCAGCCGCCAGCATTAAATGTTAGCGCATCTGCGACCTAGATAAATATCTTTATTTGGGCATTTCGTTTGGACACGCAAAGCTGATCTCTGAACCTATTTGCATCGCAGGGCTTGAGGATCTTGTTCGGCTGGAGCCTCGCTTCCGGATTTACCGCGAGACCCTTTTCAGCCGAGCGAGTCTCGAAATAAACCCCGAGCTACAGACGAATGAGTTCCTCGCGCAGCAGGATGAGTCCATCACGGCCTTCTGCTTCTTGCTTACGAACCACTTTTTGGCGCCGGCTGCTTTCAAGGCTCTGGAGTACCTGATTCGGCGTTACAAGTGAGTATAATGGATGTCGGAGCTTATCAGGGTACTGGGTTGGCATGGTTGTCTGGGCTTGGGCAGCAGCCGCCGCCGCCGCCGGCGGAGGCCCAGTCTGGACCGCCCATGATAGGACGCGTGTTGTGTTCCGTCTAGCCTTCGACTGCGCAGCGCAGTTCACGCTCATGAGACAACGCCTTTCACTTCCAATGCACCTGTGTATTTTACCTATCCTAACGCCACGCCGCTGCTTTCCTTTTCTACCACTTTCCCCTCAGGGCCAACGTCCGCAACGTCGACGCGCTGATGACTGCAGCCCTTCCGTACCACGCCACCAACGAGTTCGTACGTCTCGTACAAGTCCTGGCTCTCGGCGCTCCCGGCAGCCTCTGGGGCTGGCTCTCCAAGATGCAGACCTCTGGCGCCGCTCTTCCACGCCACCTCCTCACCCAGCGCTGCGCCAACGACCGCCAGCTGCTTCTATTTATCTGCAAGGCAGCGGGCTACTTCGGCGGTGCTGCCTCCTCGTCGCGGCCAAGCAGCCGGACATTCCTCTCCTTTTACGCCGTACTTCTGTGTGAAGTCCTGGCGGCCATGCCTTCCGTGGGCGAGGAGATCCTAGCGGCGCTGCTTCCGCATCTGCTGGAGGGCCTGGGTCGAGGCGCGGCGCAGGACTACCGCGCGGCAACGTTGATGGTAATTGCGGAGCTGTGCAGCCGAGCTACCCTGGGCCGCGACTTTGTGAAGGGTGAGTGCGAGGAGGCTTCTGCCTTGAGCACCTTGTGAACCTCGATGATAAGTTCTTGGGTTGAAGCCACGAGGGGCGTGTTGTGCCTTGCTGTGAGTTAAGGTGCAATCAGCTTTAGGTGGGATGCCGATGATGATGTTTACTATCTGGCGAGGCCCTTGGCTCTGCGCGACTAATTTACAGTTTGTATTCCCTGAGGCTTCCCATCTTTAGCGCGCTCGCTCTAAAACCACTAGCAACCATCAGCGCCCATGCACGGCGCCAACCATACCAGGCCTCCCTTTCTGTCAATCCTCGCTCCTTGCTCACGTCCTTCCATTCCCCTGTCCCTCTTCCCCAACCGTTTTGATTCACCGCAGTGCTTCTCAACACCATGCTCAAGCACACCGAGCCGGTTCCGGAGCACATCCGCACGGCAATCCTGGTCATGGCCCACGTGGCTGTTACGCAGCCGCACATCCGGATGCTCTCCGACAAGACCCTCAAGGTAGGGGTACAAGTTGATGATAACTAGCATGGGATTCAAATAGCATGGGATCCACGGACGCGCTCGTCTAGACACGCACTAGGCTAGACGTAGGCGCATGTCGTAGGCGCTTGCATGCACACTTGTTATAATAGGCACACGTTAAAAAAACACGGGCACATATGCATTCGGTGGGCTGCGAGTTGACGTGCCTCGTCCTCGCGGCTCCTCAGCGGGAGCACCCGGCGGCCCTCGGGCTGCCCATGTGGGTGTATGGTCCCCGGGGAACACCGTAGACTGACTGTACGGCAGTGCAGCATCCGACTCCCTTACGGTTGAGGCGGGTCTGTCGCCGCGACTCCAGTGCTGATTCCATCGCCTTGGGGAGCCCCGTCGGGGCAGTTACCTCTTGGGTCCTACCCAGCAGTGGACAATCCTTTACCTAATCACAAATTCCAGACCAGATTAAACATACATGTGCACATTCATGACCGACACGTGACAAGGAGATCACTGATGTATTCTTAACCGACTGTTTGCCGTGCCTCTACTTCTGCCCCGTGCAGTACCTGTCGGCTCTTCCGAACTCCGTTTCGGAGCTTGCATCGCTTGCGCAGCGTGGCAACATCCGCCTGGGACCGCTGCTGCTGCTGCTCGTCCGCTCCCTTGCTGGCGTCCTTGCTTCCGGCGGCAGTGCGGTGCGCCGGTGCGAGGCCGACATGCTTGCGCTGGCGCACGCCGGGGTGCTTCGCGGTGACCCCGCACGGGCCCTGGCGGCCGCCTTGCTTGAGGCTGGCAGCTCGGCCAAGGTTGAGGAGGAGGCGCGGGCTAGCTGCCAGAAGGTGCTAAGGTGAGGAACGCGGTGGGGGATACGGTGAGGGAAAGACTCTTGACAAGTTGTTGCCGTTTAGGCTGGGTTGTGGGTGCATGGCAAGTGCAGGGTGGAGGGCGGCAACGCATGAGGCACATGTTACGAGTCTACTGATGGATACCAACCCTTTGCGGCCTGAACCCTGAGGGCGCATCTTCCCTTATCTCTGAAGACTCTTTCGACATGCTGCAATGGGAATCATGATTAAAATATTGGCATGCCATTTGTTGTTGACTTGCACAGCGAACTGCTCCTCTCCTTGGCATTGTTTGAGAATGTTACTATGTTATGGAATAGTACAACGGCATATTCTCTCCCAAATTTGACCGCGCGTTATGTGCTGTTCCATCATCCTCAGGCTCCTGGACCAGCGCTATCCCGAGACCACGGACGCCGCCGTCAACGCCTTCCTCGAGCCTCTTCGTGAGCAACGCCGCAAGGCCGTCGCTGCCGCCGCCGCCGCTGCCTCTGGCTCTGCTGCTGACGACAAGACCAAGCGCAAGCGACGCAAGACGGCAGACGGCGCCGCCTCGGGCTCTGACGACGAAGACGACGGCGCCGATGCCACGGAGTCTGCTGAACAAGCCGCTGCTGGCTTGTCTCCCGAGGACCGCGCCCGTTTCGAGTACGTCTGCTCTACCTTCTCCTCCGGCGGCTACTCGGCACCTTGCGGCGGTACGATGCTGACGTTGGCGGCGGCGCTCGTGGCGCCGCAAGCCGCCGTACGGCGAATGGCGCTGCAGCAGCTTGACGCTGACTTGGTTTCCGCTCAGCTGGGCTCGTCCTCGGCAGCTCCTGCCGCCGAGACGGCGACGGAGGCACGGTCCGCGTTGACAGCGGCGGCCTTGACTCGTCTTCGTGATGATGACTTGGGCGTGGTTGTGGCGGCCTTGGGCCTCGCATGTCTGCGGCAGTTGCCTCCAACCGCCTTGCTCGATGCGCTACAGCCGCTGTGCTACCGTCTTGGAGAGTACCTGTACGGCAACGCCAAGCTGCCTCAGCTCAAAGCGGCTCGCAAGGCGGCAAGGAAGGTGGTTTCGCTGCTTCGCCATGTGGGCTCCGAGTCGGAGGAGCTGCGGGTTTCCGTCGCTGTGCAGCTGGCGGCGTTCCTGTTGCCCAGCCCTCGTGACCCACGGGTCGCTTTGGAGGCGGCGCGCGCCGTTTCGTCGCTTGGTCTGCCTCTCTTCGCCGGACTCGCCGGTGCTGTACCACAGCTTGAAGCTCAGCTGAAGAGCGCTGACAAGGGCAAGAAGGCTGCAGCTGCGGGCGCCGTCACACTTGACCGGGGCATCTTGTCGGCTTTGGCAAGCACCATTGCTGACGTTCCTTCAGCCGGTGCTGAGGAGGTCACGCGCTTGGTGCAGGCGAGCAACGCAGCTGCCGGCGTCACCCAGGAAGCCGCTGCAGTCGCCGCATCCCGACGTGTGCACCACCTAGCAGTCCTCGCCTCCCACGCAGCCGTCTACGCCGCAGTAGCTTCCGCGCATGCTGCTTCCGGCTCGCCAAAGCTGGACAAGTCAGTTGTGCTCTTGCGGTCCATCGTACAGCTATCGGAGCTGCTGCTATCGTACGCCCGGTCTACCCCGGATGTTGCGGACTGGCTGACAAGCTTCTCCGAGCTCAGCTCACCGGTCGACGGCCTCCCCTCTGCATCGCACGCCACTGCCATGCTGGCTGATGCTGCGGGGTCGCATGCAGCCGTCGTCCTCGGCGTCCTGCATGCCAGCTTGGCCCGACTTCCAGAAGCTTCGGCTGTTGGCAGCTTGCATGACAGCTTGGCGCGCCTGCCGCTCACAACGGATGCCCAAGCCATTCCTGCTTCCGCAACTCGTCTTCTGGGTCTGCTGGCGGCTCTTGGCTACCCGCTGCAACGCCTGCATGACTTGCCCGTCTTGGTCACAACGCGCGCCATTCAGGCTTCCAACCGCGCCGCCTTCCTTGCCGGTATCTACGCAGCACCTTCTTCTTCCTCCACGCCTCCTGCTCTGCAGTGCCTTGCGTTGCACGTCCAAGCGCGGCTAGCATCTGCGGCCTCTGCACCCCGTGTTGGCGGCGCAGCTTCGCCAACGCGCCATGCCTCCCCGCCGCGGTTCCCCTCGATCGACGTGGGCGGCTGGTTGGTTACGCTTCTGGTGGCGCTCTCCTCTGCAAATGCCTCTGTCCGGTCGGCCGCTTGCGACTGCCTGGCAGCTGTGGAGGCACTCTTGGAGTCCGGCAAGGCTGCGGCTGGGTCTCATCTTTCGGCAAGGGCCGCGGGTCTGCTGTGCTCTGGTCTGCGGGCGCACCGCAAGCTGATCTGCAGTGACGCTGAGGCCTTGGTCGTGTTGTTGCGGGGTGCTCTGCATGCTGCTGCTAGCGGTGCGGCTGCTGGTGTGGTGGCCTCGCCCGGGCCAGCTGGACTCGCGTCGCCGTCCAAGTCGAGCAAGAAGAAGAGCGGGTCTGGGGACGCGGCAGCAGCGCGGCTTGAGCTCTCGCCAACCACCGGTGCAGAGGTGACCGCCTACCTGACTTCAACTCTGCAAACTCTCGGCGTGGATGAAGTAGGCGTCAACACCGCTGCGACTGCGCTGGCCTGCCTCGCTGCCTCTTCCGACGACGCGGCGCCGGATGTCAGCCAAGATCTCCTCTCCGCTGCCTCCTCTTACCTCTCCCGCTGTGCCTCTGAGCTCCGGAACCACCCAGCTGCAGCTACGGGTCTTCACGCTCTCGTCGTACGTCAGCTGGTGCGGCTCTTCACTCCTGCTGCGGTGGCTACAGCCGTCAATGGTGCTGGATCCGAGGATCACCTTGGGTCTTTGGCAGCTGCAGCGGAGCTCTTGCCACAGCCGTCGTCTTCATCTTCAGCTGCCAGCGTCGCTGCGCTTGCGGCGGTGCGGCTGGCGGCAGTTGGAGCAATTTCTCGCGATCTTTTTGCGGCACTGCCTTCCTCTGGCCCCTCTGCTGCGCTGCTGTTTAGCGTTCTCCTTGCTCGTTCCGAGGGTGACCCAGATGAGTCCGTGCGCGCAGCAGCCAGGGCCTCCCTGGAGGTGATTCCCCTGTCTGCCGAGCTCATTGCGCCGCTGGTGAACCCGCCTGTCGCCGCTGCCGGCGCCACCCAGCAACTCGAGCCGGCTGCTACCGGGCGTGCCAAGAAGAAGAGCAAGAAGGGCGAGAACGCTCCTGCTGCCGACGCCGCACCTGCTGCCGCCCCTGCGGCCTCTGCTCCTGCTCCTGACACCGCGTCCCTGAGGGACGCTGTGGCGGCTTTGGAGCTGCTGCAGTGGCGGACGGGCATTTCCAAGCCGTACCTGCTCGTCACTGCGTGTCAGGCCCTGCTGCAGAGGCTGCAGCCCATTGTGGGCAGCATTGCCAGCACGCTTCGTGCTGAGGACGAGGTCGATGCGGATGTGGACGCTGTTGCTGTGGTCGACACCGAAGGCGATGGCAGCGGCGCTAAGTCTTCGCTGGCTGGCTATGCGGCTACCCTGGCTCTGCAGGCGCTTACGGCCCTGGCTGGGGATGCTGACGTGGACATGGCTGCCGACGGCGGCCAGCAGCAGTCGTTTGACTTGGAGCTCGCGGTGAAGACTGCGAGGGAGGCGCCGGATGCTGCGGTTCGCAACGCTGCGTTGGGTCTGCTGGCGTCGTTGGCTGCTCGGATGCCCGAGGCGGCGCTGTCGCATGTGCTTCAGGTACGGCATGTGATGTTTGCTGATAGGCGTGACCCACGGGTCACCTTTGTACGCTCTGCTTGATGTAAGCAAGGAGGAACGGACCGATGATTAAATTCTTTTGACATTGCTTTCACAGTTTCTGAGCCTTCAGTGCTGATTATTTCTTCATATGAGGTCCTCTCCATGCTCTCCTGCATCTCGTTGCAAAGCTCACATCCCCATCACCATCACTACCCCGCATTCCAGCCATACATCCCTCCCTCTGCATCTCCTCTTGACCCTCATCTCATCCTCCTCATCCTTTCCCATCCTCTCGCAGGTCTTGGCCGTCGTGCACCAGTCCGCAGCGCTGCAAGACGACGAGCACAGCCGTGCGGTGGGTGCCACCGCTCTGGCTGCCGTTGTACCCGCCTGGGTAGCTGCGGGGCAGCGCTCCGCAGCTCTGTGGGAGCAGGTGGTGGTGGCGCTGCCATCCCTGCCTGCGCACCGTCGTCTGGACCTGCTGCTGGCTCTGATGCGTGCGCTGCCCAAGGTAGGGGCGTTGTTGAAGTTTGTGGGTTCTTGGGTGGGGCTACGTTGCATGCTGTCGTCATGCATGTCATGCACATGGCGTACAAATGGCCGATGATGTTTCCATTGTTACACACACCGATGCGGATGGCCCTACGGGGAAGCCGCAGCTAATGACGACGAAAATTAGCGGATTTCTATGAGGCCTGTACGCGCATTGCATTGCATGTAGCCCACACAGACTTTTTTAAATTGCATGACGCATGCAACTTGCAACAGCTACACAGTTCGAAGCGGCCGGTTGATGACCACTTTAGATGACGAATCCGAGCGGCGCCTTACGCAGCATTCGGCGTTCTGCCGGTGCTGTAGCCGACTGCGACGACAATCGAGGCATTTGTCTGACGGCCGCTTACCCCAGCACTAGTTGCTTCCACTTCATGCCGCCATGTTCCTTCTCTCGCATGCGCCGAACACATGTCGCCTAATTGTTCTTTCCTTTGTTATTGCTTTCGATGCACAGGTTGAGGAAGGCCTGTCGGAGGGTCTATTGGTGCTCCTTCAGAACGCCTGCGAGCCCAAGCCGCAGGTGACCTCTCCGGCTGCTGAGCCGAGCTCTGCCGGCAAGGCTTCCAAGTCCAAGTCCAAGAAGGCCGCCGCCTCTCCCTCGGATGCCGTACCTACGGCTGCTGCAAGCGCTCCTGCCGGACCGCCGCCGTCGGAGTGGCTGCCGGATCTTGCATCACAGCTGGCCCTGCAGGTGGGTGGGTGGTGTGGTACTGGCTGGGTGTGGTTGGGTCGGGCTTGTGGGTTGCGGTTAAGGTTGGCCTGCCTTGGGCTGGTTGTGGGGGGCACAATGGAGGGGAGAGCGCCATCTGTAGAGCAGTGGCCGCGCAGGGGGCAGGTCGAGGCCGACGATGATACAACTTTTTTGCACGTCAGTCTTAGATAACCCGTGCTGATTCAATATCTATGCGATTACTGAGGCCTCGCCTGCCGCCTGCGGCCACCTGCCCTTCATGCACTGTCTCAGCACCTTCAGCTCAACCACGACATTGCATGTGAGCATACCTCCCATATCTAAAATCAATTCGCTATACCGGTATATGAGGAGGCCTAACTAACCAACGGTTTCCTGCTTGCCGTTCAGGCTGACTTGTCAACGCGACTGGCTTGCTGTGCTCGCTTGCTGGAGCTCTCCCTGAGTGCCAGCAGCCGGCAACCGCACACGGCTCTGCCTCGCATCGCTGTGGCGTTTGTGACGGGACAGCTCAAGGTGAGGAGGGGTGACGGGCAAGGAACCAAGGGTACATGCTGGCATTTGTGCACGCTTGTAGTCAAATGTTACGCACACCATACATGAAGGCCGATGATGTTTCCATTGTTACACACACCGATGCGGATGGCCCTACGGGGAAGCCGCAGCTAATGACGACGAAAATTAGCGGATTTCTATGAGGCCTATCAACTGTCACCATTCCTCACGCATTCATCTGCACTCGTGCTTCTGGCATGCATGTTTACCCACATCACAGAACCCAAGTACCAATCTCTTTGGCCTAACGCGCTTCCTGTGCCTATGCCACCATTCCCTCCACAGCTTAAGGTCGCCCTGTCCGCCGCAAGCGTCTCCCTCCGGCGTCCCGAGTCCGATCCCGCCCTCGAGGCCGCCTGCCGCGGCCTCATGGAAGCAGCCCTCGCCCACATGCAGCTCCTGCAGCCCGACTCCACCTCTGATGCCGACGCCGCAGCCGCCACGCCTTCCTCACGTCTCCGTCTTGCAGTCCTGGCTGCCAGTCGCGGCCTGTACGGCCTGTTTGCGGCGTTGCAAGGCGTCATGGCTGCTGACGTGTACCTGCAGGCGCTGCTGACGTTGGCGGAGCACCCGGCCGACAAGGTGAAGCGCCGCGCCATCAAGCTCTTCACGGACAAGGTTCGCGGCGTGAGATCCGAGATCCAAGATCAGATTGAGCTGCCGCAGCGTGTCCGTGACGCCAAGCTTCGGCAAGCCAGCGAAGCAGCCACCCGTGCATGCGCCATGCTTCCGCCGCTGCTGTCGGCGACGACGGGGACGGGCGCCGAGGAGGCGGCTGCGGCTTCCCCGCTGACGCGACAGTTGTCGTTGGTGGCCCTGGCGGCTATTGCCTCGGAGTTTGGAGCGGAGCAGCATACCACGCTGCTTGCTGCCGTGCCTGCAGTCCTGGCGGCAACCAAGGACTCACACGCAAGCATCCGCGCCAGCTCTCTGGCTGCCGTTGCGGCCTTTGTGCGGGCGCTGGGGTCTCGGCTGGTGCCCGTGTTGCCGGTCACCGTGGCTGCGGCCGTTGCGGCTGCGGACTCTGCCTGGACACGTCTCTCCCGTGCCGGCACTGCTGCTGCTGCGGAGGCTGCGGCTGATGCTGCTGAGCCGGCCAACGACGTCCGTGACAGCGATGACGATGATGATGAGGACGCTGCGGCTGCCGGCAAGGGTAGCCGCCGGCAAGGTGCCCCTCCCAGCGACCAGGACGACGCCGCTTTGGAGCTCTCGAGCGCTCTGGCCTGCCTCAACGCCCTGGTCGAGACCCTGGGCGGCTTCCTCAGCCCCCACCTGCCCTCCGTGCTCGCGATCCTGCTCAACCCTCGCGTCCTCGCTTGCCGCGTCGCCGGGTGCGACCAGTTCGCCGCCAGCATTCGCGCCCGCCTGCCTACCGCCGTACCCGCTCGTCTGCTGCTGCCAGCTCTGTACGACAGGCTGCAGCCGTGCATTGACTTGGCCGCGGATGCTGCCAGCCCGGAGACCGCCGCTGCGCCGGCGGTGGCGCTGCTGCTTATGGTTGCGTCGTGTGCCTCGGCTCTCGAGGCCAAGTTGGCGGCTCAGTACTGCGACCAGATGTTTGTCTTCCTGCTGCGTGCTCTGGATGTACGGCAGCGTCGCCCGCAGGCGCTGGCGTCTCATGGCGAAACTGCGATTGATGCTGTGGAGGGTGCTGCGATTCGTGCGCTGGTCGCGCTGGTGATGAAGCTGAGCGAGGCCCGTTTCAAGCCCATGTTCCTGCGCATGATTGAGTGGGCTTCGACGGTTTCGGTGCCCGAGGGTTTCGGAGCGGGTGCGGAGCCGTCGTACTTTGGCCGCATGGTGGCATTGTACGGCGCTGTGAATGCGCTTGCTGATCGGTTGCGTTCCGTGCTGGTGCCGTACTATCGGTACCTGCTGGACTCGTGCATCCAGCACCTCAGCGGCGACGTTGATGGCGCCGGTGCCATCAAGGCGCGCGGCAAGAAACGTCAGAAGCGTGCATCCATCGCTGCGGCTGCTGGTGGCGAGGCGGATGCGGTTGCAGCTGGCTCGGGCGAGGCTTACCAGCTGAACCAGATGCGGCTGGCGTGGCTGTTGCGACTGCGTGTGATCCGCGCCTTGCACCGTTGCTTCCTGCACGACACCGTTGGCTTTGTGGATGCGGAGCGCTTCGGCCGGCTGCAACCCGCCCTGGTTTCCCAGCTGGACTCGGAGCCGCCCGAGGCCGTCGTGCCCTTCCTCCTCTCCCCGCACCACGCCGACCAAGAACTCTCCTCCTACGTCAAGCTGGGCGCCTCAACTCGCATGTACACCTCTCCCGACGGCGCCGGCGCGGCTGGCCCCTTGGGCGCTGCTGCGGTGGGCGCGCTGCTGGGCATGGCGGTGGCTGCTAACAGCGACGCGCTGTGGAAGCCGCTCAACCACGCAACGCTGATGCTGACTCGCAGCCCGAGCGTGCGCACGCGGGCGCTGGGTCTGGAGGTGGTTGCGCAGTTGGTGGATCGGTTGCGGGAGGAGTATCTGGTGTTGCTGCCCGAGTCGCTGCCGTTCATGAGCGAGTTGCTGGAGGATACGGACGCCGCGGTGGCCGCGCGTGTGCGTGAGGTGGTGGCGCAGCTGGAGGAGATTAGCGGCGAGAAGCTGGATGAGTATCTGAAGGTGTAGATTGAAGGCGGAAGTGCTGCTGGGATGTGTTGCTGCGCTGAGGGGAGGAGGAACTAGGACTGCAGTAGCTACTGTTGGTTGATACATTTTTATATATATAGGAGGACTTCGATACGTATTCAGGACGCGACGGGACTAGCTATTACTTTTTAGGACGCAGGATGAATCTCAACGATTGCCCACCTAGGGCAGCTCTGGTACGTGTGAAGTACCGAGTCATCACGTGGCAGGACACCCGCCTGTGTAAGGAGTTGAGCCGGCTATTTATAATAACTGCACATCGGCATGCAGAAATGATGCCGTTAGGTTAATAAGCCATGAGAAAGCACGCTGCATACGGCTCTCAGCAAATCACGCAGCCATTGCTCAACACGGAGCCGAACCACTCCACCCAGCCGCGCTCCGCTGCTGACACAAATTCCACCGTCAGGCAACCCTCGTTGGGCACCCCAGGCGTCACACGCAGGTTATGCTGTCGTACTAATTTCTCGATAGCAGGTCGAAGCTTGGGCACGCCGTCCGCGCTATGTAACCCTCGACCCACAATCAGCACCAGCTGTTGCTGACCGTCTTTGCGCGCGCGGCTTATCGCTTTCTGAACCTCAGCCACAGCCTCTGTCACCCGTAGGCCGTGCAGGTCTAGTTCGCCTGGCGGCCGGCGGGAGTTGTTCTGCTCCAGGAGTAGAGCGGCCGCCCGTGCATGAGCCTCAACCGCCTGAGGGCACAAGTGCGGTAGGTACGGTGGTTGCGTGTAGATGTGTTCATGACAGAGGGAGGTAGGCCGTACCTCCGCGCAACATTGGTAACTGTTATAAACGCTTGGTTATAAACGCGAATACCGTTACCAACAGGAGGCCAGGATAGGCCGACACCTATTGCTCTAGGACTTCGCAGCAATGGTTGGGGTGGGGAGGAGGAAAGAGGCAAGGCAGGAACAGAGAGGGGTTCCTAGGCAGAACGCTGAGCAAGATGACGGCCAACAATGTACCTGTGCCGCATGTTGCTTGCCCTTCTGGGATAGCTGTCGGGCACGCGTGTGATCACGGGCTGTATATGCAGCCTTGCTGGCAGCGAATGCAGCATTCCGGGCATTAGCATAAGCGTCTCCCTTCCGTCGCCAAAAGTCAGGCGTGGACGGGTCACCGGTAATTGCCTCCGGATCCGCAACTCCGGTAGTGCTGGTGGCGTTACCCATCGCCTAGGATGGATGGATGTTGCGTGGTCTGCAACTGTCGGTTCGATAACAATAGGCGCCGTCGTGGCGTCGGATGTGTGTGCTTGGTCAGCTGATCCTATTCGCCTCCGGATAGGTGTGGAAGCGCAATGCTTCAGCGCAACGAGGGTTGGAATGCCAGCTAGCTACTGTACCAATCTTGAGCTATATAGTGATCCTTGGTACTGCCAAAGCCCATGACATGGGCTCTTTTGTAAGGACGCCTTAACTACGCTAAGCTAGGCTTGGCCGGGCTAACCATGGACGGGATGGACGGGATGGACGGCCTGGGCCCGGGGCAGCAGACCGTTTCACCAAGCGAAACAACGTAAGTTGGCTTTCCGCTTATACTTATGTTTCAACTGATCTGTCTGGCCTCATAAACCGACCTACGAATCTTCCTGGATGAGACAAACTGCGACGTCGTGTGGAATGTCGTCATAGCATGGTGACAACTTCTTGCAGTCAAAGAGGAATGGAAAAAAAGTATTTCGCGGCATTCCTTGTACGGGCATTGTCGTGGAGCAGTATCACGCTCTAGTAACTCGTGTGTCATCAAGCACGATACGCCACACCGATACCGTGATACTCTCGACTGCTAACACAACTACTAGATGTACTGTGGTGCAGCAGCTAGAGCGGTTGTGAAACTTTTATGATGGGCGCCCGAAGCGCAGAAAGAGTTATGCCTCCAATCAGTCATGCAGCTTCAGATGCACTATGGAATAGAGCTTGCTCAGCCGCTGACGCGAGCACGTCTGGCCGCAGCCATCGCGTCGATGACGACGAGAACGTTGTTGTTTTGTTAAGCGAGGAAACGGCGGCTAGTGAAGCGGCGCCACTTGTTCCCCATAACGCTGTCAAGCTAGCTTTTTGTGGAGGAATCTCCGGCGCTTTGGCAAAGACGTGCACTGCTCCGTTAGCGCGTCTCACAATCCTTTACCAGGTGCGCTTGGCTTACGCAAACGTCACAGAGAGATACGCTTCTAAACTGGACAACGCTGTGCAGGTGCAAGCTTTTACGCATACTGGACCAGGCGTCGCGGCTAGGCAGCTTGGAGTGGTAGCCGCACTCCGCCACGTTGTCGCGACGGAGGGCGTGCTCTCCCTATGGAAGGGCAATCTGGTCACCATTCTGCACCGGATACCATACTCTGCAACCAACTTCTTTACCTACGAGGCCACTAAGAAGGCGTTAGAGGGGCGGTTAGCCAACGACGTGGCGCGCGCCTGGGCCGCAGGCGCTATTTCCGGTCTGGTAGCATGCACGGCGGTGAGTGCCCCTGTCTTGCACGGCTGTCGAGCTTCTAAGCACGGAATTTTGAGTCAACGCGTGTGGGGATCACGACTGGGGATCAGGCCAGGGTTGGAGGTTCTGGTTCCAATAGTAGCACCCTACCCCTCCTATGGTCTTATCACATCCTCCGCACGGCCGCCAACACGCCCCACGCTTCACAATCCCGCCCCCGCCCCTCCTCCGCGCCTCCCACCTCCTCCATCCCATCCAGGCCTACCCCCTCGACCTCCTGCGCACCCGCATAGCCGCGGAAACCGCCGTACATGGACAGCCCCAGCACTACCGCCACATCCCCTCAGCCCTGGGCCGCATCGTGTCGGAGCAAGGCGTTAGGGGCCTCTACAAGGGCCTCGGCGCCACCCTGGTGCAGGTGGTGCCCGGTCTCGCCTTCAACTTCTGCTTTTACGACACCTTCAAGCGCGTCGCAATGAAGCAGCAGCAGCTCTACCAGCTCTACCGGCAGCAGCAGCAGCTCCTGGTGATGGAGGTGCCGCTGTCACATCGGGAGCAGCAGCAGCAGCGGGGGCACCTGCAGCTGCCGCAGCAACTGGGTTTGGAAAGGCTAGCTGCGCTGGTCGGCATGGGCAGCGTAAGCAGCAACATGACAAACATCCTCAGCGGCTACAGCAGCAGCCTAAGCGGCACTGGTAGCAGCAGCTTGAGCAGTAGCGGCAGCAGCTGCAACAGCAGTGGCCGGGCGTTTGCGGATGACAGCAAGTGTGAGGGCGGCCGGTGTCGGGGAGGGAGCGGCAGCCAGGCGGGTTGCGGGACGCAGGCGGAGAGTCAAGCTTCAACACAGCCCACGGCGCTCACAAGTGCGTTGTGCGCGTGTGCTGCGGGACTCTGCACGTCCACGCTGACCTTCCCTCTCGACGTGGTGCGGCGAAGACTGCAGGTGAGCGCATGGGTTGTGTATCATTAGGCTGGACAGAGTGACAGAGGTACGGAACGTCTCATGTTAACATGGGACCGGAGAGGTGTACTCTTCTCTCTTAGCCGTCCTAGATTACCTTTGAATTACGGTCTCGTTGTCTAGCTGGAGCGCAGCCCCAGGCTTCGGTTCCTGGAGTACCTATGCACGAACACGAACCCTTCTGCCTTGCTGTCCTGCCCGCCTGAATGACAGGTGTACGAGCGCGGTCCGTTGGGTCGGCTGCGCTACCAGGATGTCGTACGGGCTGTGTATGCGGAGGGCGGTGTGGCGGCGTTTTACCGCGGCATGGGTCCCGAGTATGCCAAGGTGCTGCCGGGCATGGCCATTGCCTTCTCGGCGTATGAGGGGCTGAAGCGGCTGACGGGGGCCGCCACTTGAGGGAGGCGGGGAAGGGTGAAGTCAGGGGTGCTGTGAAGCGGGAGTGGTCAAGCGGAGCACGCCGCTTGGAGGTGTCAGCTGTGGTGTGCGGGAAATCAGCTAGGGGCCGCTGTGCGGTGGTGTGTGGGAAGGCGACGGTTGCGTGTGGGCTATAGGTGGAGAGCGGTTGGGCGGGATGGAAACAGTGCAGCAGCAGCGGCAGCTTGGGAGCTGGGCTGCAGGGAGGTGGAGGACGCGGACGTGAGCTCTGGGTCCGTGGGCCGTAACCGGTACCCGTGTAGGGCTGCGGCCTTGTATGGCGTTGAACTCGTCGGGCCTGGGGCGGCCTATGTCGGTTATGGAGCGTGGACCTCACCAACTTCTTTTACGCTTGCTTGCGTGGTATCATTTTAGTGGTGTAGCGCGCCTGCGGAATGAGGGGGCGGTGGAGGCATGTGAAGCTGCTATCTGTGGTCGGGGCTGTGACCCGTGTGAGCGATTTGATGCAGGAGTGGGGCGTGCCGTGCATGGTGGTAGTGATTCGCCCGTGCATGGGTGTCTGCATGGACGTCTAGGGGGCGGAAGCATGTAGCTGCAAGCAAGGCGCATGTCATGGACACCTGTCGGGCATCATGACGACTATGTTAATCGCCCCCATCACCGCAGCTTGGAAGGCGTGGGGCCGCGCCTTTTCCTCAATTCGTGTCTTCATGTAGATCTCTGCTGCATGACGTTGCTGCTGCTGCTTCCGTGCGCATGGGGGGCTGTCTGGCGGTGCGGTTGTTCGCGTGTCCGTGTGTGGAGGTGAGGGGTCGCATACCGGTATGTTTACTTGTGCGATTACGGTAGCTTGAAGCGCGCAGGTGCGAACGCGCGGGGCTGGCTGTCATTTCTTTCTTACCTACGGAGCCCCAGAGACAAAACTGGTGGTGCTTGGTAGACGTTTTGGGTTCGTCGTGCCCTAGGTGGGAAAAGGTACCGGGTAAGGATGGCGGTACGGTAAGGACGGTGACGTTGGGAGCATGCGGTGCAACCTTATTGATTAGGCGTTAGATGGGTCGCGACTCTGTGGTTGTCCAAGGAAAGCGGTGGTGTGGTGGTGTCGTCGCAGTGTGTGGAGTATGATGGAGATGCGGAGATGGCGCCGTGGGGTCTTTGTGGCGTCTTCCCAAGGACCTTCCAGTCCATGATATCTACGGATTTGGGCCCTTTTCATAGCGGCTCAACAGCAACATGACAGTGTCTGAATAGCGGTACGACAGTGTGCCGCTTGGGAAGTGGGTATTTTCTTGCCGAGCAGGGCACCGTTATTAGCGCACGGTATCTGTGCGGGCTGTCCGGCGATGACCCATGGGTCGGTTGTACCGGTCTCACCTGCTTTTTGTTCCATCCTACTAAACAGACTTCACTGCGGCACCCCATCGTGGGGTTGCCGCCTTTTACACACGCTCGTTGTTTGTTGAGCCGAGCTGGTACAAGAAAGGTGGACTGCTGGAATGGACTCTTTAGGGGGAATTTCTCTTGTTGGGATTGCAACATCGGGGAGGAGGCATGGAGAATAGAGACGGCGAGAGGAGGATGACTGGATGAGGACTGCGCCTCTTTTCTATGGTGACGATGTGGGTCGGTGCGGATGGATGAAAGGAATTGTCTCATGTAGCTCTAGTTACTTCACTTGGACGTGGCTTTTCATGTATTCTTTCCTATGTTGCATCTCTCAGGTAGTGTTTTTGGGACGGTGCTGCCCTGTTGCCTCTGTGCGCGGTGGGTGCGGAGCCAACTGCCTGCTTAGCATCCTCTTTACCAAAATTGCGCTCAACAGTTGGACTCGATAGAGTGCGATGGTGGACAGGCACGAGTGTCGCGAATCGGCTGCCAGGACAGTCCTAGGGGGTCGGTTCAAGTGGTGTGTGAGCATTTGTGCGAATAACATGCGAAGCATGAAGGATAGCATTGCTGGCTTTGGTGGATTCGGCTGTGCACGTTTCACGGGTTCCAGAAAGGACAGGATCTCTTGCATGGCCCTCCTTGTCCTGTGGTGTCCGGAAATAGTTTCTATGCGGCGTTTTCCAGCAACCTGGTAAGTGGGAGAAGGCTGAGGACTTGACACGCAGACAGGACGATGCGTACCGAGTTACGCGAAAATCTATGAACGTGGCTTGGCAATAAGCCCCCCAGGGCCGTACAACACTTGTAGACATCCGAGTATCATATATTTTGTTGCCTGTGCATCGAACATGCTGCGCGCTTCACTTACACGCAAACGTAAAGCTGCTGCAAAGCTGCATTTCAAAACGTCCCAGCAGCAATACTGTACGGTGAAAGGTACAACAAGGAGCCAGCCTCGTGCTGCCCCTGCCGCCAAAAACCCACGAAACCCGCAGCTGCCTGACCTGCTCGGGGTTGAAGGTGAAAGGTTGAAGACTATTATTGTTTCGTGAGGTGCCGGCTGCAATCGGCTGCAAGGATAGGATGCGAATCGGAAATACTCCAGGTAGCTTAGTTGGGTCCACCTGTTAATCTTAGCAGGTCTCTGTTGTGGAGTGGAAGGGGCCTGGTATTGTTCAGTAACGGGAGACGTTGAACTTTCTACCTCCTTTATGCTTGCGCGAGTTCCATGCTTGGCTGTGCATGTAGCGTATGGGCATCGGGTAACGGAAGGGCTGGGGAGAGCTGTGGAGCAGTAACCTTCTTCGGTCAGGAATAGTGACCCGTGAGCGACTTGATGCAGGAGTGAGGCGTGCTGTGCTGCATTGTGGTGGTGGTGATTCGCCCGTGCATGGGTGGCTGCATGGGTGCAGTAGGGGCACCAGTCGTGCACTCCATGGTCGGCCGGGGAGGCGGAGGCATGCATAGCTGCAAGCAAGGCGCATGTCATGATGGCAACTGACTGGGCGCCATGTGGTCCTTGACAACCCTTTTTATTGCCTCCGGCGCCACCGCTGGCATACACTGGGGCCGTGCGTGTCTCTCCGTCGAGGCGTGTGTGCGTGATGTATGCATGGCGTTACTGCTGTTCTCCCGTGCGCATGTGGGGCTGTCTGGACAGTGCGGTTCTCGGCATGTCCGTGTATGGAGGTAGGGGGGCGCATGTGCTTGCTTGTGCAAGTACGGTCGTTTGAAGCGTGCAGCTGCGAACGCACGACTGGCTATCATGTGCTTCCTCCTTACCAACTTCCTTACGTTGGGGTTTGGTAAACCGTTCTGGGTTGCCTGGGTGCAACATCGTGCGGGAGAAGGTGCGTGGGTATCTAGGAAAGGCGACCCTGGGAGGCATGAAGCGCAACGTGATTGTGTGGTTGTGCGAGGGAAGCGGTTTGGTGGTGTCGTCGCCACCTGTGGATGGTGAGGTGTACGGGGGCGCTCCCTTCCCAAGGATCCTTTAGTTGATCTTGCCATGCTGAGCAGGGTACTAGTAGTGCATGTCCTCATGCGGGCTGGCCGGATCTGACCCATGGGTCGGTAGGAAAGGCCTGACCTGCTTTGTTTTCTGCCTCTAAACAGACTTCACTGGCACCCCAGTGCGGGGTTGCCGCATTATGTACGCTCGTTGTTTGTTGAGCCGAGCCGGTGCACGAAAGGTAAATTGCTGGTGGTGAAACCACTTTTGGAAAGGTCAGACCGGGGATAAGCACCGCCTTGATAAGGAAAAAGGAGGGCGTTTCATATGGCTTTAGTTACTTCACTAGGACGTGGTTTTGTACAGTATTCTTTCCTATGTTGCATCTCATAGTGAGTTTTGAACGGTGGGCCCCCTGTTATTACCGCCTTGCCTGGTGGGTGCGGAGCTAACTCCTCTTTGTGCTTAGCATCCTTGCCATAGTTGCACTCTCAAGTTGCACTCGAAGACAGAAGGACGGTGCGCAGGCATGAGTCACGCGGGGCGGCTGCCATGACAGTCCTAGGGGATTTGGTTACTTGTGCGAGTAAATGCGAAGCATGAAGGACAGCATTGCTGCCTTTGGTGGATTCGGCTGTGCATGTTTTGCGGAAGGACAGAATTCTAAATGTACCCAAGTAGTCCTGCAGTGTTTGGTTATATATGTACGGTAATAAATCCCATGCGGTGTCTTTGGGCTACCTATAAAGCGGCATAGAAGGTTGGCCTTCTAAGGACTTCACCCGGAAGGACATGACGATGTGTAACGATGACTGGGTGTGAAGGATGACTGGGTAGCCCTTGGGGCTCTTCTGCACTTGCAGACATTTTTGAAGTATGTCCCAGGCGATGCTACTTTTGCCAATCTTCCGGCTACTACCTACTAAGGCGTACGGCACCCGCCGCTGGGATGCCCGCTTTCTCCAGCTTCAATGGACATAACGCCTTGTTAGCTGCCCAATATTTATGGGAACTGGTTGGTGCCCATTCGGCGCAAAACAGTGTTTGCACGCTCGCGATCGAGTCGTTAGTCCTCACATCCAGCAAAGCTTGATGGCTTGATGTTCAATCTCCGAAAGGGGAATGTCTATGACCTGGACAACCTATTTAACTAACAGTAAAGACAACGGATGCGTATTTGGGGAAAAGACAAGGGCCAAGAGGAAGCTCGTCAGGTATTATTCGCCCCTTTATGGGATAGTAATTACGAATCCGTGTTGTCAAGAGGCCCGTGCGGCTTCATGTGACCTGTCCACAAGCTTCCTAAGCTCTCCCCCTGCTTTTCACCTATGCAACAAGGCCATCAGGGCCCCTCTCCAATACGGGGTGCGTGGACCAGTCACCCGAGCGTGTAGATGACGGCGTGGCGCCGATTTTGTATACCATGATCCATGGATGCCTTCAGTACAGTTTGTCCTGTATGCCCCCAGCACCCCCAACCCAGCCTGCTCAGGTTTGGAGTCCTGATGCGCTGCTGCGTATGATGGAGCGACCCACCCCCGCCTCTGCGGGTGATAGGTGTATGTGGTTCGAGCGAGCCCTTGAAGATGAGTTGATGAAGGTGCAGAAGGACTTTTTGCAAGAGCTTGTGGGTGCCCATCGCCCCACGAACCGGTTGTTATTCCGTGAGTTTGGGCAACGGCCGTTGCAGCAACATTGGGCTACACTCGTGTTTCGTTTCTGGAATGACCTATGTCAAGCCGCCGACACAGTGTATCATAGTGCGTCCAGGCACGAGCTGAGGCTGGCGTTCGAGCCTGATCTTGCTTATGACGGATGGGGCACGAAGATGTTGCGTGTTCTTCAGGGTCTAGGGTATTCCTTGGGGGGCTACGGCAAGATATATATGGGCATTGATGAAAATGTTACCGTAATCGTGCTGCCCCTTCTTGGTTAGACATTGGGGAGCTACCGGTATTGCAACTGCTTAAGCGTCGGATGGATGAGGATTGGACGAGTGACCGTCTTAACTGTGACCCGCGTAGTTTTGTTACTGATGACCTTCAGCCGGGAGCGAAGATGTGTTGTGCGGTGAAGTGGATGGGTCCTGCTTCCTACCACAGTACCTATATCCAACGTAGGCATTACGTGTCCTTGACGCGCTTTCGTCTTTGTGCTTGGCCACTTGCAGTAAACCGCCCACATGGGGTAGCCCGCAATGAACGCTGGTGGAGGATGTGCGGCAGTCGTGACGCGGTGGAGGATGAAGTGCATGTGCTAATGGAATGTCCTGCTTACGATGAGATCAGGGCGGAACTGGCGAATGAAGCATGCTTAATGTCATGAGTATCTCAAACCAGAGGTTGCTTGCTAGTATTGTTGATAGGATACGGCATGCAAGGGCAATTAGGTTTGATACTTAGGTTTGCTGCTTTTTTTGCAAGGCTTTAATGTGAGTTTTTTTATGTCTTCACTTCTTACTCTAGTTTTATTATTCTTTTTGTCGTGCGGTCCATGAGCCTCCTGGCGTAGAGCTTGTAACAACTCAACTCAAATCAGGCGCGTTGGAAGTAACAATAAATTCGAGTTTTTTAGCCTTATATTCAAGGAATATTGTGTTACAATTCGATACAACTTCCAAAGCGGTGCTGGGTGGCTAGAGGCTTGGTTGCATGACTCCAGGGAGCCGAAAGGGGAACAAGTACATGTGCCCACCCCATCTGGCTTGCCGAAGCGCTTCAGACCTACTTACGATATTCCTTAGGTGCAGACAATTGGGCTATTCATCCGTGACCGGCTCCCGAAGTTATGGCATCAGCTTTCCTCTTTTCTCTACCTTTCTTCAACCCCTTTCTGGGATAGGTTACACGATGTCGTCGTAGACTTATTCTAGGCCACAGTCAATCAACGGTTGTGGACCTTTGGAATGGGCTGTGGGGCTTCCAAACTTCCTTGTTCAGGTCAGCTGGTCAGGCCCCGTTTATCACCGCTGTTGGTTTGGCCGCAACAGGGCTGATGGGATCGGTATGCTGCATGTTCCCTTGAAGGAGGAGCAGCGGGGCTAGTGAGTCCCGCTGCTCACCAGGAGTGTTGTCAAAAGTGCGTGCAAACAGCAAGCCACATGTCATCGGGTGAACGTTGGCTCCTTGCGCCATCCTCGCGGACCTGCACGAACCTTTATCCTTTGCCGGTTTACAAAAATCTGAGTCTAGTATGGATATGCCTGCAGGTCCACATGCTGTCGTGAACCCGTGTCCAGTACAACGCTCGGCACCCAGCCGCCCAGCAGCAAGGCTATTTGTGGAGTTCGCGCCTTCTGCAGATGGCCTACAGTCGCCGTTGCCAGTCCTCAAGCCAGCGGTGCTCACTGTAGGTCCCGCACAGTCGGTTTGTGAGGCTTTCCAACGTCTGCTGGAGCTGCTGCATCAGCAGCTGCCACATGGTGGGTCTTTGCGTCCATGCTTGACCGTATAGGGAGAGTAGGTTTGTCTCGCCGCTGGCGTGCAGCAGGCGTCCCGGTGCCTGTTGGCTGGGTGAGGCGCCCGTGTCGCGCGACATTCACGACCGTGCTCAGCTGCCGTGTGCCGTAAAGCCATAGCAGATTCGCCTCCTCACCATTGCACGCTATCCCTCCGATACTGGTCACAAATTTCATCGCGCACTGCAACGTCGCCTATCCATCCGTTGCACAAAAATGATGTTGGGACGGCAGTCGTGCAAGAATCGGCCTTAGTTCCCAGTGTTTCAACTTCGCCTGCACACAGGCGAACGTTTGCGATGGAAGGGCAGTCGGGCATAAAGCGACCTTCATTTTCATAGTTTCAACTTGCCTGCGCACAGGCGAACGTCAGGGGGCAATGTACGAAGCACTCCGGTACAGTTCCTGTCTGCTGTGCCTTGCGGCACTCCACCCCACCAGTTGTAGGGGCATCCTATGACCCAGGTCTAGTGGCTGGGAGAGCTGTGCGTGCCTTCCGACACCGGGCGCCTCTGCTCGCCAACTCCATGCACCTTTTTACCTGGGCCCTGCTTGCAGATTTTCCCAACGTTCTTGAGGTGTACAGCCTCGAGCTGCAGGGTACTACCCTCTGCAGCCTCGATGACGTGCAAGGAGGTGACAAGGGTGAGGTTAGCAAGGACGTGGACGACACCTTGTTGGACAAGCTGGGTGACGCAGCCAGTGGCACAAGAACCGTGCTTACTGCTCGTGTGCGTGAGGCAGTCGGCGGCCCGTATGTGACGGTGAGCCTCCAGTCTGACACCGGCGAGCCCATCACCACTAAGGTCCGGTTGGACCTTCCGCTGCTAAACGCACCAGGAGCCACCATCGCCGACCTAGTCAGCGTAGCCGTCAAGATTGCAGGCGGCAGGTGCGTATGGTGGCTATAGTGAACGCACAACTGGCCGTGCAAATTACACATGGTCTGGGTGATGGCTGGTTTCGTCCAGTACCACCGGCTTTGGTACCGGAGGGATTTGGGTTTATGATTAACAGTCTCTCAATCTTAGCAGTTCGTTACCATTCTTTCTTGTGCATCGTTGCCCTTTACCAAAAAGCTTGCCATATTCCTGAAGTTTGGCAATCGCCTGCCAAACGCATATGCAGGTACACGGTGATTGAGGAGGATGCGGAAGTCCGGGCCTTGGTGTCCATTCCGCATCGTGACGAAAAGGCGTTGCTGCGTACGACTGATCCTCTCACGACGGCTTTGTGCCCAGGAGATGCCGTCCTGCTTGAGGGTGTGACGTGCTCAGGTGAGGCGCGCCTGTGCTCCTCCACACCCTATGTAGACAGTCAGTCGCTGTGAAGCAGTATTTCGCCTATGAGGCCCTCTTCACTGTTGCTGCACCTGTTCCTGGCTTGCCCTTTTCTCTACAGGAGCGCTTCGACCGGAGGTGGGGACTGTGAGCGGTACGCTGGCACCCATGCAGCCATCCTCTGGGCCGTCAAGTGCATCCAGCCGGCCGCCTTCACCCAAGCCGCGCAAGTCGGAGATTTTGCCAGAGCCGTCTAGGCCTTTCCGGAATGGACAATTGCCGCCGATTCCTTCCGCACCGAGTCCGAACACTCTGCTGGAGAAGGTCTTTCCTTCACAACCTTGGAGTGGACGGCGCCTGCCGCCGCTTGAGCCGCAGAAGGCCCAATCTCTTACGTCTGCAGCTACAGTGCTTGCGGCAACGTGTAATCCAGTGACGGCGCAACCCTTGGCAACCCCAAAGTTACACCCAGAGCCGCTCCTGCAGCTTGGACTTTACCTACCTGCAGGTCAGGTTCCTGCTGAGACTCGCATAGATGACGTTGACAGCAGATCAGGCGCTGGCGGACCCCTGCCCCCGGCCACCGCCACAACAGCAGTTGATGAAAGTTTCCTTCCTGCAACAGCTGCCCGGGCCGCTCAGCGCATGCGGGAGCTGGCTTTGGGCTCACTACCCGCACCCCTGCAGCCGAAGCGCCCGTGTGGCCAGGGAAGCGATGCACGCCTCGCACACCTGCTGGCGTATGCGGTGCAGGCTGTGACAACGGGCCAAGGCAATAGGCAAGGCATGCAGCTCGCGAAGGTGTGACACTGCACAGAGCCCTTACTTAGACAATGGTTATGCAGTCTATAAGGGTGGCAGAAGGTCGCTTTTGGTTAGCACTGTGCGTGAAACGTTTAGTATAATCAGGTGTATTGCACTTTTTCGTCACTGCTTTGCAGCATACAACGTACACACCTGCCCAGGCATTGCAGGCTTTTGTGCAATGGTTTGTTTCTCATGCCACGGTGACACTGTGCTGCGCACATCTAGTAGCCGTGCGCGGGCTCACCCCGGCTAACATGCACGCTTGCGCCACTGTCTATTACAGGTTGCCGGCGCGCATGCGGGGCAGGTGGAGGCCTGCGTCGGCGTGATGGCCGCACTGGAGGCAAGCGGCTTGCCGCCGTTCCGAGTGCTTGTGGTGTCTCACCCGCACGAGCTGCTGCAAGCTGTCGCTGCAGTTGGAAACGGCGGTTTTGTGAGCCGCACGTCGCTCGGCCGCGGGCTGCTGCAGCACCTGATGTTGGCCGCAACCCAACCGCTGCGCCAGCTGCTGCCAGCAGCAACCGTACATCTCGCGCCTGATAGCCGCAGTCACCTTGTAGTGCCCTCTGTGATAGGCGGCCAGCTTCGACGCCATGGAGTGGCTACGTCCAGCCCATGCCTACAGGTGCGCCCAGCCTGACTTGCGCGAGGTAAAATTGCATCCGGGCGCTTTTGGGGGTCGCGCACTAAAAGTATACTTTACGCTTCACACCAGGACTTGAACGCCTGACGTCGTATTGCTTAGGCTCCAGGCCACCTTCCTCGTTCTTTTGCAACTTGGGATTGGCAGGCACGGCCGACCAATTGGCAGTAAGGCGCCGGCCACAGCCCTAAAAGAGGGCTGAGCAGTTACTCTCCCGTAGCTTGTCACCAGAGGAGATCCGTGTACTTTTGTCAGTGATAGGCAGTAATTATTTGGTGCGGCAAGGTATCAAGTGACTTACCTGAAAGGGGAGTCTGGTGGCGAAACCGCCACAGAAGCCATCAAAACTGTCGAAAAGGCAGTGGGAAGTTAGCCCGGGATCGTCTCAACTCCAAAACACTTTCCTGCCAAAACACAAAAAGTCTACGCTGCATCACTCTCTCCTGCGTATGTTACAGCGAGTCGTGCAGAGTTCTATTGCTACTCTGTGTGCTTGGACGCAATGAATGCACTGTTTGGCTAGGGTAAGTTGCTGCTGCAACTGCCAATTCATCTCCCCCGGCTCTCCTGCAGGAGTATGTGGACAACTTCGCTGCGAAAGGCTGGGCGCAATACAAGAAGGACGACCTGCCAACCCCTGTGATAATGTGAGTTGGTGTGCTGGAAGTGGGCGGCAAAGTAGGTCTGCGCTTTGGACTTGTGATTGTCTTGGGACGGGCACACTCGGTACACCCAGGCATACTAACTTCTTATCCTTTTCCAGCAACACTGTTGCGGTATTATACGCAAAGAGTGGGTTTGCTTTTCGTGGTCGAATGAGGTATGCCACGCGGGAAGTACGGGCACGATCTTCACAGAGGTCGCTTCTGTTGTTTTCTGCCAAGCGGCGGGCGCGATGATGGACGCAGTGTAGCTGGGGCAGATTGGCTGCAACAGACGCAACACGGACATACTTCCTCGCACGTTTTCCCGGCGATTTGTCTTTAAGAGGCTTACTATTCTGTTTCACAACTTCATCGCATGCCCCCGACGGCTGCTCAATGTTGTTATGTTGAACCTCGACAAGCTGACGTTGGCACATGTGTGATACCAAAAGTCCAACGAGCACGCCTTGCCTGTACGTAGCCCTTGGTGGCGCCTGACGGAGGCCACTTTGGGTGCGGCAACGCAGCCTAGGCTGCATGCTCGTAATGCAGCTCTTTTGTGGCCACATATTTAACCGGCCCCTTGCCACTTTACCCGCAGGGATGTGCTGAAGGAGGTGGTGGCAGGTGCTGCCGTCGGGCTTGAGCGGGTAGCGGCTTGGCTGGGGCTGCCGGCACTAGAGCTGCTGCTGACAGCGTGCAGCGCTTGGGATGGCAGCGGCATGGGCATATGCTGGTACAAGCGGATTTCACTCCTGATGCAACCCGATGTGGGCCATCCCGCTCCTGGTGCTTGCCCTCCTGTACTGTCGCTCGGTAGCAAGCAAAGTGACAGCCTTCAGAATGTGTCCTTCCCGCCCGCACACCGGCTTCATGCTGGCAAGCTCCAGGTAGCACGCGTGTACGTGCGTCTGGAAGGGCTGCAGCAGATGTTGGCCCTGCTGCGTGTGCCGACGGTGCTGCCGCACTTGTCAGCAGGGGCGTCAGCGGGACCTGCACCCAGGCGTGCGGCTGGAACATCGGCGAAAACACAAAGCGGAGGCAATGGTGGCCGTGTGGCCTCAGCGCCGCCCGCTAAGCTGGCTATGCGACTCGCCCAGGTGGACTTGGCGCTTGGTCGGGTCCTGCAGGCGTTCACAGCGCTCGCGGCCGTGCCACCTGAGGAGCTGGTGCTGTTGCGCACACAGGTGCCCGGCACGTTGTCTGCACTGGCGCGCTTTCTCTCTAACTCCGCAGGGCAGATGGGTTCGCCGCTGGCGCTTTGGGTGCTGGATGCCGGCTGCGGCAGCGACGCAGCTGTTTTGGTCGTGCAGCTGGCCACTGAGGCCAAGTGGCGTGGCGGGCGGCCTAAGAAGCAGCTTTACCCTGGTGGCATGGTGGTGGTGGTTGGCCCGCTGTCCAGCAACACCGACGGGACCCACCCTCCAGCAGCATCTACTTCGGCAAGCGGCAAGGGCTCTGGCGGCAGCGAGCAGGACCGGTCTGATACAGTGCGTGACGTGCTGGTGCACATGATGGACAAGGCAGAGAAATGCACTGCTCCTGAAAAGCAGGCAGCTGCGCTGCATGCGTTGGCAGCAGTGATACGCGCAGCCAGCCCCAAAGGAGGCAGGGACGGGCCAGCGCAACTGCAGGGCCCGCTGGCGGGACACTACCCATTAGCGGACGTCCTGCAGCCAAATCAGCTCGGCAGGCTGCTATGCCTAGCAACCGGCTGTGTCACGCCAGCGTCCGCGGCAGTGCACGAAGCAACAGGCCCGGCGACCGCTATCCCCGCACTAGCTGCCGCCGCCAACACTGGCACCACGGGCAGCGGCGGCAATAGCAGCTGCTGCGCGCCGCTGTTGGAGCCCGCGCCCTGTCGTGCGCATCTCCTGGCGGCGCTGAAGCCGGTGTTGCTTGACACCCTAGATAAGGAGCCGGACGTGGCGCTGGAGCTGATGATGACGTGCGTGCGCCGTGCAGCGGCACCTGCACTTGAGGTGCTGCTGGGACTTGGCTACCTGGAGCATCTCGCTGCGCCAGGGCCCTGGGGCAAGCGCATGGCCTGCAAAGGAGACGACCCGCTGTGCCCCTCGTGTATTGAGGAGGACGAGGGCGTTTGGGACAGTGATGCCGAGAAGAAGGCCATGCAGGATCGGGCCAAGGAGGAAGCTGCACTGTGGGCACAGGAAGCCAAGGGCCCACAGTCGCCGCTTTCCTGGGCAGAGGCAGCTCAGGGTGCGCTGCTTGCTGCTTGCGTGCTTGAGCAGTCGCATGACTGCCTGGCAGCACTGCTGGCGCGTGGCGCTTTGCCGGATAGCCGCACCACCGGCTGGTGGATGCTTAGCGGCATTGTGTCTGCTGCTGCAGGCGGGCCGCGTTCTGGTGTGCCGGCTGCGGGGCCTGCGGCAAGCAGAGAGGGCCGCTTACCCGAGCACGGGCTTATCCTGCCGTTTGCCACCTGTGGCCCGGTATTGCCTAACAGGCGAACGGACAGCCCGCCAGTTAACAGCGCGGCTCAGGTGCGTGCCTTGCACATCGCGGCGGACATGGGCGATGAGCGCTCGGCGACGCTGCTTCTGCATGCTGGCGCATCTACGCACCTGTGCTGCTTTGGTTGCCAGGTCCTGACAGCAAAAGGTAGAGTCGCCCCTCGTGGCGGCCGTGGCGGCCATGGTGATGGTGGCAGTGACAACGAGCAGAATGCCAGCAATGACGCCGCGGGGCCAGCTCCTGAGCTGTTGTCGGCTCTGGACCTTGCGGAGCTTCATGGTACCTCGGGGCTTGTGAGAAGGATGCGGGAAGCTGCACCGCTGGCTGGGGCGGCGCTGGCGCCCCTGCGCTTCGTGCGGCTGCAGCTTGGCAGCGTGCTGCTCTGCAGCACCGTGCGCGTGCTTCGCCTCGCAGGAGCGGGCCTGCGCTCCAACGACGTGGCGGACCTGTGCAGTGCGCTGCAGGTGCGGATTATGTCACGGCTCGTGAGTTCCAACCGTCTATCGTGGGCTATATTTCAGCACACGTGAGCGTGAAAGACGCAGACAAGGAGTGCATATTGCATGAATGGAGCACGTGCCAATGAAAGTGACGGTTTGTGGAACGTTCTGGTTCCTAGTTTAGCCAGAGCGCATTCCATGTGAAAAACTGGTTCTGGGTTGTCCAACAGCAAGATCGTCCTTGACGTCGCATACCTCTATATATTTAAAAGGCTCGTGCGTGATCAGATGTTGCCATGATCAGCATTTCTCTGCCCGCCCATGACCAGGTGTTTATGTCAGGTCTGTTAGGTTTTTATATCAGCCTGTTTGCAGTGTAACCATTTTAGTCAAAGCTCCGTGTGGCTCCGCATAGCCGTGTGGCATGCAAGTGCTTCACACCTGGCTCACTCTATTCAGTTTCGTATTGCGCCTTGGCCTCACCGCAGGTGTCGCCCGCTCTGAAGACGCTGAAGCATTTAGACCTGCGGTTCAATGAGCTGGCCACGCCACGAGCGGCAACAGGATCATCGCCATCGGCTACCGTGGACGAGCATGGCCTGGTCGCGCTTTCCTGCCTGCTACGAGCAGAACGTGCCGCGCTACGCGAGCTGCACCTGCTTGGGCCTGCCTGGCAGACACCATCGGTGTTGGCCACGCCTGCCGCCGCTGGCCTGGTTGTGGCGTTGCTGGGGCCCTTGTGCGGTGTCACGCAGCTGGACTCTCTGGCGCTGACTCGTGGCTCCGGTTCCAGTGCTGAGGGTGAAGAGGACGGCGGGCAGATCAGCGCAGGCAGCGTGATCCTAATTGGTACGACAGTGCACAACATTCCGCGGTCCAGCGCGCTGAAGCTACTGCGGAGCTGTAATGCAGGGACCCAGCTGCTTGGCGTTGACACATCATCCAGCACGGCTGGTGGAAGCAAGGAGCAGGAGCATTTGCGGTTGTCTCGGGTAGGAGAAGTGCGCAAAGCTTTCTGCAGGTCCGATCAGCTTTATGATGTACCTGCGCTGGTGAGTTCCTGGCGGCCTCAAAACTGGCACTTAGCCACGGAGTCCTTGCATGGGCCCCTTGGCTCCCAACTCGTCGCTTCGTGGCTGGGCTCTGAGAGCCCACCAACAGCAGTCAATGTGCTGCTGCCGTTGCAGCCTCAATCATGGGCCCCAAATGCTGGTGGCGAAAGCGGCAGCATTGGCGTTTCTACAGCCAGCACCCCGGAGGGCGATCTTGCAGCGCTGCTGGGCACCAACTGTCGCTTGCAGCACATGACTCTGGTGCTGTTGCCATCCAGTAAGGCCCTTCACGGCGGTGGCAAAGACACCGTTCCGGACGGCAATGCAGTGGCAGTGCCTCATAACGGCCTTATGCCTGCCATTGGCAGCAGCAGCAGCAGTGGAGGCATGGGGACGCTTGCCACATCTGTCACCCGGTGTGAAGAAGCCGTGGCCTTCATCAAGAAGCTCGCGGCTGCAATTCGTGGCAGCGCCGGCGGCGGCACCAGCCATAGCCTAGAGACGTTCAATCTGCTGCTGGATATGCCGGGGCTTTCACCGCCTCAGGAGCTGTCACTGCACAGCGCACTGCAGGACCTCTGGGCGGCGCTGCAGGTGATGACGTGGCTAACACACGTCAATGGCACGCCTATATCAGCGGCTGGCGTGGCAACACCGCTGGTGCGCTGGCTACCGGCGTTGCTGCTTGAGACAGAGCTGCCCGTTAGCACGGTGGTTGCTGAGATAGAAGACGGCACGGCGCCTGTGGGAGCCAAGAAGGGTGGCGCGGGCGGCACGGCGCTTGTGCTCGTGGGCGGGTCGCCCAACAGTGAGGAGGCTGCGGAAGGAGCTGTTGCGCTTCCAGAAACCACCGCCAGCTTTGCTCATGTGCACCTCCACGACCTCGGGGCTGTGAACGGTACGTGTTGGGTGATGGTGCCAGTTTTAGGTGGTCCCAACCTGTCACATCGTCTCCAATACCCCATGCATTTATACAGCTTGCTCCCTGTCCTTGCTTGAAAAGCTTGCGACCACAATCTCTTGTCTGTGTTTGCACACCTTCGTGGCTGGCAGCTGAGAGAGCAAACATGAAAGCCGGATTGATGACATCTTAATCAGCACAAACCTAGGCACACTAGTACGAACAGCAGAGGCTGGAGGACATACAGATGCCTACAAAAAGTCTCCATCCCAGGAGCCAACCTTGACCACCACCCAGACCACGTTAGAATCCCAATCATAGGTCTCGTTAGGTAGGCATGAAACCAGTAACCTAGCACCAAGGTTTCGCATAAGGCCCAACCGTCCATTCTTTCGTAAATGTATGTTCGTAAAAGAATAAGGGATTGCTACAGATATTAAACACGCTCCATTTGGCGTTAGTATAGCCCATTTCGTATACTTTACGAGCCTCGGCAAATGGCGTGGACAGTGCAGTACACCCCCCAGGAAAGCTATTGGCTTAGGTATGGGAGGCACCATCCGCAAGGACCTCAGAACCATCCGCACGGACCTGGGGGTATCCCCAAGGAAAGCCAACAAATGCTGCGATAACCTACACCACCACGCCATCAACTAGCTCAGCAACAGAGTACGCTGCCAGAGGATGCTGGAAAGCAGCCTACGAGCGAAGGCCCCACGGAATCGGGTAGCTATTTATTTAACACCTAAACAAACGTCAGCGGCAATGATCGCATCCAGGGGACAATACCCCTCAGTGCCTGGCGTAACGATTACCGGTATATCGGTCATTACAACGTTGAATTACCGTACCGCTCGTGACTTCATCGATAAAAGTAACTACCTGTATTTTGTGGTCCGGCAATTGGGGCTGAGCGGGTTTTTGGCCTTGTCGATCGAGGCTAGAAATTCACTGGAAAGGTGTCAATTGGGGCCCAGGAAGTAAACTATGAGCGGTACGGAACACTGTCGTCACCGCTGATGATGACCGCTGATGACCAGGCTACAAGCAACGCATAAGCTTTCTGTTTCCTTTCGCAGAGCTCCTTCTGGCTGCTCTGCTACCTGTCGGCATGCTCCCTGGCGTCAGCTTCAGTGTCAGCGGTCCCGAGGGCTGGAACAACGGCGACGGTGGGGGTAGCATAAAATCAAGCATGGCTCCGACTATGCAGATCAATGCGCAACTGCTCGAAGGCCGCTGGGTACTGGCAGCTGCTCTTGGGCACCATGCGCTGCGCTGCAACCGCGAGGGCTGGGATAGCTCCCACCTGCGCATTGAAGTCTCGTCTTGCAGCAGCAGCAACAGTAGCAGCAACAACAGCAGCAGCAACAACAGCAGCAGCAACAGTAGCAGCAACAACAGCAGCCACGGCAGCAGCAGCAACAGCAGCAGCAGCAGCATGGATGACGAGGTGCAGGCTGGTGCCTCCATCGCTCACACAATTCAGATGTTGGAGCTGCTGGCCTGTTTGCTGCCCCGCCACTTCCCGCAGCTCACGCACCTAGACCTCTCCTTCTTGGACCACGTATCGTACGAGGTGCTGCCTGCCCTGCACGCAATGCTGCGGCAGCTGCACCTCACGCACCCGGCACTGCGGTGGGTCTGCGGTGTTGAGCGGTGCGGTGTCGCACTGGGATCACATGCAACACGCTCGCCTGTGCCACCAAGCGCCACGCCGCCGACGTGGGCGCGGCCGCTGAGTGCAGCAGTAGCGCGCGTCGTCAGCAGCCGGGGCTGTGGCGCAACTGAGCCACCCCCGGCAGCTGTGCCGAGTGAAGAAATGGCGGTGTGGGATCTGGCAGGCGCCAATGCCGATGGAGCCGCTGACTGGCTTCGCCATCAGGTGGAGCTGGGCTGGCGGCTACCAGGTCGTGAGTGCACCCTGCGCCGGCTGACTCTCCAGCATGGCTCGTCTGGCTTGGCGCTGCTGCATGGGCTGCAGAACCAACTGCAGGCACTTGAAGAGCTGCGCGTTTGTGGCATGAGCTATGGAGAGTGGCCCATCAGCTGTGGCCTGGTCCGCAATGACCTGCTGCTTCTGGCACGCCTGCTACCGACTATGCCGCAGCTGGTTTCACTATTGGTGGAGTTTCAGGCTCCAACCGGCAAGAAGGAGAAATGCGCAACTGGCCATAGAATCCCAAAAACCCCTGCGCGAACCTGCTATTTGCGCAAGAAGCTGCTAGTAGGGCTCAACGCAGTGGCTGTGATGGCGGTGCGGCACCCTAACCTGAAGACACTCAATGGTGTGGAGCTGGAGCTGTACCGAGGCAATTCCAGCAGCAGCAGCAGTGGATCCATTCCCGGAGCCATGACGGTGAATGGTGCTGCATCTCCCCTCGAGCTGGCGCTGCGTATCGCTGTGCTGCTATCTGCGCCAGCTTCTGTGACAGCGGCAGTTCGGCGGTTGTGCGTCCGTTATCCGTCCCCGCAGCAACAGTGGGTGTCGCTGCACGCCAGCGCCGCAGCTGTTCAGTTGAAGCCCGCATTTACCCACGACGACTGCTCTACTGGCGCAGCTATTTCCCTTGCTGCCGTCGCCGCTGCACTTCAGGAGGCGGCTGCGGCGTCGGCGCCCTTCGGCAGGGGCGCCTGTGTTGCAGCTCAGGACGGCAGCGAAGAACATGTTAAAAGCAAGCAGCACGGCGAAATTGCGGACCAGCAACAGGCGAATGTCTGCTCGCATCAGTCATCCCTGGGCTGGACTGATTATGCAGTCGCGCCACTGCTGCGATACCGTCTTGTTCAGCTGGTGGAGTTGCAGCTGCTGGGCGTGCCTGCCAGGGAAACGGCGGGCTGCCTGACTGAGCTGGCGGACGTCCTGCCCAGCATGGTGCAGCTGCGTTGCCTGGAGGTGCAGTACGTGTCGCATTGTGCCGCCGCTTTTGATTCGTGCATGCTCCTGGCCGAGGCCTGTAGTGCCCACCCAGCGCTGGCGGTCGTGAACGGCGTCGCATTGCACACCGGTGACGCAGCCGTCGGCTCACAAAGTTGCAGCAGTGGTACTGCAAACGAGGTGGCGGTGGTTGCAGTTGAGGGCGGCGACGGGCGGGAGCTCAATACCTGCATGCAGGTGCAGTATATGTGTGCAGGGTCGCAAATGACGGTGTCATGAACGAACGCGAGCCAAAATTGATTAAGTGACCCCAAAAGGACCCTGCATTAGCTTAGATCTTGGACAGTCACCCATGGCTCCCACTAAAAGAGCATCTGTTGCCGCACTACCCTCGCGTGCCGCCTTATGTGTGTGTCCATTCACAAGTATCTGTTGCTCTTTTGGCTCAGGCAGGTTGTGTTTTGGCCCACCGACAGGTGGTGTTATTGCTGCAGCGCGCGACCCAGCCGACATGCCCGGCACTATCATTTAAACTGGTGATGTCGGACAGTTCCAACCGTCGCGACGCCAGCCTGCTTCTGGAGAGCTTGTCACGGCATATCATGCGACGAGTCCTGGCCCTGGGCGCCGCTCTGCCGCCCAAAGCCCGCAGCGACCTCGAAAGAGCACTTGCATCGGGCGAGGTAGCGCTGGCACTGCATGGCACTGTGATGCTGGCGCGTAACAATGCGGGCAGCAGCTGCTCGACGGACCCGGCATCTTCAGCGCTGCACATCAGCGCTCTGTCGGCCATGGTGGTGAAGCTGACGGTCAAGGAGGGAAATGCCCCGCTCTTGCGTGCACTCCGTGCCCTGAGCTGGCTGCTGGCGCCTGCCGTGGCTCCGGAAGGTGTCTTGCAGGTGGGTTAACGCTGAGGGTATTTGAACCTACCCCGGCGCATGAATTCCCATCTGACCCGTTGAGCTACCGTTCTACAGCTGCCTACCGTACAGTTTAACGTCATTGTCAAGATGGCAGCCCTTCAGCAATCCACCGTGAGGGCGTGTGAACCACCCAGCCGAACACTTATTGCTGCTTGCGTGAGTACCTGCCTGTGTTTCCGGGAAGGATATATGATGAAATGAGTGCCTGCCTATGCCTCTGGCATGGACAGTACCGTACCTGTGCCTGATTACCGCGCAGCAAGAAATTTTAGGGATTAATGCGCAGCGCAGGTAACCCGGAATTTCGAGTCAGCACGCACTAGGGGCCACGCCATGAGCAATTCCAGTTAATTGGGGAATAATTTCGTTTTAACGCGCAGGCCCCGGACCATTTTTTGTTTTTGCGCGTTCATGCAAATTTTCTAAACTCTTATTCAATTTTGCTCGATGATTACTGGGAGGTACGGTAGTATGCAACCATCTGTGCGGAAGCGGTGTTCTTGTGTACCCGTGTTTCGTGTTCCTTATAAGCAACCTTTTCTTGTGGGCAAAATGCCGCTACAGGAGCTCTACGTGCTCTGCTCCTCCAAGGAACGCCTCTCGTGGCAGCCTGGCACTGCTGAGGATGATCTTTGGGATATCAAGCTGGATGGCGTTTCCAGGCGGCGCCTGGAAGCGCTGGTGGCGTGTGATGCTCAAGGCAGCAAGGCTTCAAAGCTTCTGGAGGTAAGGGTGTTGCTGACGGCGGCTTGCCATCGGATACTGTGGGAGCTACCGAGCAATTTCAGAGGCGGCTGTCTGCTTCAAACGCCGACTTGTTTTGTGGGTTTTATTTTGGCGAACCTTGCAGCCATCACTGAACAGAGTGTACGACGTCCGCTCGTGCCGTCTGCGCACGAGCAAGATTGGGCACGAAGGATGCTACGAAGAAATCAGCTAGGGCCTCACTTTTGTTGCTGCAGGGTCTTGTGCTTCGCTTGTTACGGGACCGCGGCCTGCGAAAGGTGCGCCTCACCGAACCGCTGTCTGGCATCCTCGACGTCCTCTGTTCCGACGCTTGCGCTGGCAGCGTGGAGGCTGGGCCGGATGGCCTGACACGCCGACTCCTGGCGGCAGCAGTGGAAACATCAGATCCCTGCCGCGGCGCGGCTACACTCCACGGTTTGCCGTTGGAACTGCTCAGGAGCGGCCGCGTGCGTGGAGTGTACATGGACGGCGGTAGGTGCCGTACATATGGGAGAGGAGCATGCCATTAGCGGGTCTGGGCGCCTTGCCTCACTGCGCTTACTTCCAGGCGCAGCACGCGGTGGCCTTACTTGTTGGGCGATGCCGTGCCAGAGCGCAGCGGGGAAGCAGGTGTTCGTTGGCACGTAGGCAGTGGTGCAAGCACAAGTGTGGCCGTTCTCTGCTTTCACATCTTATGCCCCCATATCGGCGATGGACAGCCAAGGCATACAGATACACTTGCACGCATGTGGCGTGTAATAGGACAGTAATATGGCCATGTGCAAGCTAACCTCATCGTACAAGAGCATAGCAAAGGTGCAGCTTAGCAGAAGCTGCCTTTTGATGCCTGCCGTAGTGGCTCGTGAAACACCAACCCTGGACCCTTACACTGCAACAACCAAGCAAAGGAGATTAAATTCGCCGGGAGAAGTCAACTGAAAATGGCGGAATAAAACACCCAGTTCCCTGACACGCTCAACGTGCCTTCCGTACCGACCTAACCCTACTAACCCTGGGCACGGTCGCGGATCCAATCTGCGTGGGCATGTTCCTACCCTTAGCCCACGCAGAGACAACCCCCCCTTTCCCTATCCTTCTTTACCGCCGCTCTACCACCGCCCGCCTAGCGGCTTGCAACTTGCGAAAACCACATGCCTATGTTGCTAACAACGCACGCATCTACTGCTGACCATTCCAGCTGCAGCTGGACGAAGACCACGATGGGGACTCAGCTCCTGGTTGTTGCCATAAGGTTGCTGTGCCGCACCCGTCCCCGGCAGCGCTGAACCGCCGGTCAAGGCGGTCTGCTCGACCATACTCAGCGCCCGTAGTGTGCTCCAACCCATGCCTGATCGCTAGCTCCACCACCGCTGGCTGAAGGGCCGTTGGTGATCACTGCCAAGGCCTGCCTGTTGTGCAGCAGACAAGCACCGCCGCCCCAGCGAACCGGGACACCACGACACCTAAAGAAGCCGACCTAAAGATCTAACAACAGAAACCGAGTCCTCGGCTGCCTCGACTGCAGCGCTGTAGCTGCCACTGTACGTGGTGTTGCCGTGCACTACCGCACCACCATAGTATGCTGTCAGGCTTTACCCGATCTGTAGCCGCCGCACACATTCGGGTCATGGTTGGGTGTCTAGGCCGCGCTTCTTCTAGCTGCGCTGTGGCGGGCACCACTGGGGATGCCTCCACCGGCTAACCAGGTTCCGCCACCATGGCACCCTGGCCCGGGGCCAGCGCCGCTGCAAGCGAACTCCAGAAGCCTCCAGATCTGGGTCATCTCGCACCTCGAGCGTCCACCAGCACTCCGTTGTCAGTGCAAAACGGCAGGAAAACGGGCCGGACGGAACGGCTCATGACTATCCCACTTCGCCCTGGGATTGGATTGCCCATATCGCCTTGGAGAGGCACATAAGTATCCCACTTCACCCTGGGATTGGGGTTTCCCATTTAGCCATGGGCAGGCACAAAAGTTGCGCCTCCCACGCCCGCTTGTAAACTGCCGTTGCGACCATAAGGCATCGCGTCTGCTCGTCCGTAGACTGCATCCTCGCCGCTTCTTGTCGCGCGGCCTCGCCCAGCGACACGTTCTTGCTGACGACGATCTTGGCATGGCTGCTGAAGTCGTCCTAGTTGGTGTGCAGCCGCTGCACATCCGGTGCTGTTAGCAGCTCGCCCAGAAACGGCCCGCGGTGTCCCCCATGTCTATGCTGGAGGAAAAAGGCATTCTTGAAAAGCCGTAGCGCCGAACGTTGGACGCATGGACCCCTGTTTCTGTCACGCCCGTGGTGCCTGGTGCAACCACCAGCGCATCCAGCCACGCGTCCAGAATGCCGCTGCGCTGACCCGCTGGTCGCCGCAGGGGCTTGCTCGGCGGCAGCACCGCTGCCTCCAGCAGATATTCCGCCGCCCTCCTCATGCCGTAATTATTTTCTTCAAAGGGCTTCACCAAATAAAGCACCGCCTGCCCAACCGCAGATGGCACTCTTGGGCCCAGAGCCTGGGTTCGGGTCGCGATACCCTCAGCAACCACCTGGTCCTCAATATCCACTACATGTGCCTCTTCGGCCGTGGCCGGCTGCACCATGATTGTTGCCGCTGCTGCTGCTGCTTGCCCCAACCCCGCTTTCCTTGCTTTGTTATGCCACGTCGGGAGGCTCACCTTGCGGTACCTGCGCCCCTGCCCTCTGTCCCTCCTGGGCCCAGGGCGGTTGCCCCAGCCGCAAAAGCCCGGCTGAGCTGTGACTTGCCAGAATGGTGCGACGTGTGCCTGGCGGCCTTCCCGAGCCCGCAGCTCCAGATATGACGACTGTGTGCGCTCAATATCATAATTTATGTCCACAGTGACTCGCTTGAAGCGGGCAGCAAACTGCGTGTACGCCTCTCACGATGCTTTGTTTCCTGCCCAGCTTTAATAAGCTGAGAAATTTTTATTCGGCTCCCAGTGATTTTCCTAATTTGGAGCGCACAGGTCCAGCGCCAAAAACAAAATTTTGCACCCGGGCGCCAGAAAGGCAGAAAGGCAGGCAGAAAAGGAGGCCTCCTCCACATTTTCCGGGGGGTTTGCTGCCAACTGGCCATCAGCCTGAATCCCAGCGCTGACGCACATGCCCGGTTACGGCCTGCCGGAACTCAAACGTTTTGGGCAGTGATCACGCAATCGTTAAGGAGGCCGCCCAAGTCACGGCGGGCATATCTGTCCAGAACTGCGGCAACTGACGGGTGTAGCCGCCAGCCCTTTTTGCAAGTACAGCTTTACAGGGACACAACTGCTGGAATGATTTCGCCCGCTTAACACAGAAGCAAAGATGATGCGGCGACCTCTGCTTTTGCCTGACCATGCATGTAACTGCCAGCTCCACACTTTTTCGGAGAGACTGTTGTCTGGTTCCAGTTGGGAATCTGATTTGTTACAGTTACATTCTGTACGTGTGTACGGTGTGTCCGTACGAGCCAGGGGGGCCAAGGACACTATAAGAACCAAAGTTAGTCTGAGACAGGGTCCCCTACAGACCTCTCTTAGGGGCTCTGCGCAGGTTTCTGACAGACATGCGGGTCTCCCGTACGTGGCTCAGGTGGCTAGCCAGAGCCTCGGGGAGGGGCAGAGGTCATGATCTTCCTCATGGACCTGCTGCTAAAGCTTAGGAAATCCTCGTACTCACGACGTAGCTCGTCGTAGCACGGGCACTCCATGAAAACATGCATCTCATCCTCAACATTGTTGTTCTCATTGCAATACTTGGAAACTCTCTCAGACCTAGGGCGGTTCCCATGCGAGTTCACGTCAATAGCCCAGCACCCTAGCCTAAATCGCATGCGCAGCTGGTGCTTGCCGCGGGGGGTAAGCGCACTGGTGTGGGGTAGCCACGGACTCACCCCCTTTAAACGCTAGTCCCATCCATTAGGCATAGAGGCACGCCCATGGACTCCTACTCCCGTGGGGGCATCTCTACCTCAGGGGTCAACCATCAAGCGTCCAGGCGTTCCCTATACTCCACAAGTAAATCGTTAACGGGTAATTCTAGTTCACTATAGTACTGGGTAAAGCCAGTGGCGTCGCCATACGTGGGCCTAGGAATACCCAGCTCAGTTACCGGTATAGAATCGATGACCTTCGCAGCCCAACAGTCGGCTACACCAGTAGCTGCTAATAACAAATCCTCCTTAACCGCCGAAAAAGGTTGTCGCTTCCACTAGCGAGGCTGTCCCAAAATTGTAGGGTGATTTTGGCCCAATGGTACTGCAGAGGGAGTTGCGACAACTCCCTGTAGAGCGAGACCATGGTTGGGTTCCTCGCCCCGACCATCTCCCTCATGAAAGCCCGTTGCTCCTCCACCATGGGGTCGGCCATTGCCGACTTAAAGGACAGCACCAGCTTGTCAGGTCCCCACAACTTGGCCCCATAGGACATAACAGGGAGGAGTAACAGTTTGAAGAGCTCCATACAGGTCTTAGGGGTATGAATACCCTTAGACCGGAGAACAGCTTTAAGCGGGTAAGTAGCTTTGCGGCCAGCCACAAGGCGCTCACTGGTGCAAGCGGCGAAGTGCCGCCCCAGGCCGTACCGAACCCTAAGGTAGGCCGCGGGTTCTTGCTCCGGAAGCACATCAAGGTGTGTGCCGCCCAGCGTGATTCCGCGGTCCCTGATGCTCGCACGGTCTTCCGCGGTGCCTCTGAACACGAGGACTTCACATTTATGAACACGAGGACTTCACATTTACAAGCATGAACGGCCATCCCCGTAGCCATCCCCGTAGCCCGACAAAACCTATCGAGAATATCCAGAAGCATCTAGGCCCTCTCATGGCCAGTGGCTAGTAGGGATGCATCATCAACGAAGAGCAAATTAGTGAGGCTCACTCCATCCAGGGTGGGGCTTTGACCCTTCATCAGCTCCCACTCGTGACAACCCCCCTCACTAAGGTCTCTATCATGGGCATCGATGTAGCTTGCGAGTGTCTCAATAAATAGCCCAACGAGTGTGACAGTTAAAGGGCACCCCTGCTTGACCCCTCGGCCCACGGAGAAGGTGGGGCCGAGCTGGCCATTCACCGTGACACGTATCTGAACGTCCGCATAACTCGACTTGAGCGCGTCGGCACCGCCCATGGATGCCAAGGGTTTCAAGCACGGCCCAAAGCGTATCATGATCGACGGATTCAAAAGCCTTGGCAAAGTCAATTTGCAGAGTGAGAAGGGGGTTAGGGTCAGCCCTTGTATGCTTACTAATTAAATGCCGCAGGGTGAACAGGTGATCCTCAACCCCATGCTTCTCTCTACACCCGGCCTGGGCACTTGGGTGCAGGCCGTTTCGCTCAGCATAAGAATTAATGCGTCGGGCAAGCACCGTGGCATGGCACTTGGACAGGGCCCCTATACCCCTGTAATTACCACAAACAAACGCATCACCCTTCTTCTTGAACACGGGAATGAGGATACTCGTCGTGCACTTAGAAGGGTACACGCCATCAAACATATTATTGAACAGCTTGCACAGGTATGGGGTGAGGACGTTGAATGTGGGCTGTCCCTGCACCTCCCTAATTGAATATCTGTAGCATTCGGCCTGGACACGTTCCAGCCCCGCCGACTTATTGTTTTGTACGTACGGCGGTGATCACCTCCCCCTCCATGACATCTCCATTTAGCCAGAGGGCACTGGCCCTCCGATTAATAGCCACCTCCCACTCGCGCCACAGCTCTGGGACATCAGAGCTACCCTCATCAAGACGCCATGCAGCCCAGTTGCCGCCTAGAGAGATAAGGTTAAGCATTGCCCGTGCTCCATCGCTCATGCCCCTTCTATTACCATCAACCCCATTTAGAAGGCTTGAGGAATGTTGGGTCAACACATCAAGGTCATCCAGCGGGCAGGGGTCGCTTTGGCTATCTTTGATCCAATTTCAAAATTTGATTGTAATATGATTGTGCGTTGTCACCAGCAACTCTTCTGACACCACAGGCATGCTTGCGCCCGAGAACGGTGCAAGGTTGAAAGCGTTCACGCTGTTGGTCGCACCGACGGATGCCGGCAACACCGACAGCAGCGAGGCTGCAGAGGAGAACGAGGAGGCGGAGGAGAACGAGGAGGCGGTGGAGGCAGAGGAGAACGAGGTGGTGTTGGAGGAAGTGCATGTTACTGATGGCCAGCTGGCGGCGGTAGTGGCGCTGGCGCTGCTCCCTCCTGCCGCCTTTGCCAATGTGCGGCTTGGCTCAGGCGCTCCTCGCTTGTTCATCCTCAAGCAGCTCATCCGCCTCAGCCCCGTGCTGGTTAGCACAGGTGCCCTCTACCTCAAGAGTTCAGCTCGAGCACCAAGGCCGCCAGAGCAGCTCCAGCTGAGCTCGCTTTCCATGGGGACCTGCCCCGTGCCGGTCAGCAGTGGCGTGTTCCGGCAGCTGCTGGTGCTGCTGCAGCGGCACTGCTGGCCACATGATGACAGTTTGCAAACGGTGGAGGTCACCCTAGCTGCTCCAGAGAAGTACGGGTCAGGCGCAGACGATGACTTCCGGGTGCGTTGCAAAGGATGGGATAGCAGTGATGGAGATTATGTTATTGATACGGCTTTGAAAAGGAACGGGATTGGCGATTGACCGCTGTTGATGTAACCGCTCTCGTAGCGATGGGGAGCCCTTGTTGCTTATCGGACAACAGTCAGGCCATCCATAGTTGCTGGGGGCCTTTCATAGGGTATTTTGTGTTTTTCGCCTTTGACAAGCCTTCCATGCATGCTATGTCAACCCACTTTCACTGCCCTGTTTTACTTGCTGCCTTCCGGGTATTGCAGGACTTTGCGGTGGCGTTGCTGCACTGTCCCAACTTAAGGAAACTGTCGTACAAGTACGCCCAAATTTACTACGGCCGGACTACTTCGGACTACTTCGGCCTGCTGCCGTCCTCTGCTGACGATGCGGCCAAGTTCGACCGCCTTGCACGTGAGCTGATGCAGATGGCACTGCCGCCCATTGACGTGCTGCGCTCATATGGCAGCTGGCAGGGAATGGACCTGCGGCCCTTCCTTGGAGACAGTGGGGATGAAGCCAGCAGCGAAGGCGTCACAGCGCCACTCACAGCCTTGGAGTTCGATGGTTCCAAGCTCCTCATCAGCTGGGATGCACCCTTGCTGTCTGTGGACACGGCAGACCGTGTCCTGAGCTACAACCGTTCAGAGAGGAATGCCATCCTCGTGCTTGCACTGTTGCGCGCTATGCCGCGCACCTTCCGATGGCAGCAACAGTATGGGGTGGACAACGAAGAAGCGCTGCTGGTGGCGTGGCGGGTGAGAGACCTCCTGCAGTCTTCGCCTAGTAGTGCGCCGGTGCCAGAGCATCTGGAGCTTTCATTCCCTCAGCCAGCCCACCAGCGCGCTGCGCTGCTTCAGTCACTGAAGGCGCGGCCTGGCTGTCAATCTACGTTGCGTGAGCTGGGCATGGAGCTGGAACGATGTAGATGTTCCTATAATGATGGTGAATGGGTACGTGGGCACCAAGTTGCGGTTAGCGCCTGCTTGGGTTGCGCATGTTGTTGCAGCCTAGCAGGGACTTGTCGGTGCTATGGGTAACAGTGGCGGTTGGCTACCTCGTAACGGTTTGCAGTCCTGTTGCAGTGCGCTACCTGTTTGAAAGCAGTGGAGGCCAGCGTGCCTGAGCAGAACCGAGGACAACGTCTTTTACTCTGGCTTCTTCTGGGCGCAACCCTGCCAAGGTGTTCTAGTCCAGAATGTACACCCTGCGCATGCGGTAAAAGAGCTCTACAAACTGGCACTCTGTACGGGTCAGATGGATGTGATTGATTATTCGGACGCGCCTGCGTTCTGTACGATTCTGGCCCAACAAGTGGCTCTGAACATCGTGATTGCTTGCATGTCTGCACTCCCTACATTTGTCCTTGCAGCTCGGTGCCGTCCGCTCCACGGTGTTGGAGCTCGCCTCGACCTTCGGTTCTCTCACCGAGCTGAACTTTGACTTCCGTGACGAGTATAGGAAGATCCTCGAGTCCCTCGCGGAGGAACCTGGGAGGGCCCGCATTAAGGTGGAGAGCGAGGACGCATTCATGGCGCGGCTGTTCAGCAGCATCCGGGCGGAGGCGCTGCGGCAGGACACCTTCCATGGCCTGCCGGTTCAGCTTGCAGCGACCGGGGCATTTTCACGCATCGAGCTGAGCCGCTGCAACGTCAAGCTGTTCAGCGCAGCTACTATGGAACCGGCGGCTATTGGTGGCGGCTCAGCAGCAGACGGCGCAGCTACTGCTGAAGAAAGCCCGGCTGCAAGCTCTGGATCAGCTACCTCCTGCGCATCATATGTCGTGACTCCGCTGGGCCCCTTGGTGCTTCTTGCGCTACTGCCCGCGTTGCCTCCTGCGCTGGTTGTGGGGGGTGACTTCGGCTTCCCGGTGCACTGGCTGTTCTGGCGCCTGCGGCAGCTGTGCGCTGCAAGCAGCAGCGAGTGTGCTGCTAATGTGGCTACGACCGGAGGCAAAGGACATGAGAGCTGTAGCACGCCTGCAGATGTAAGAGGCGCCGGCTTAACGGTGCTGGAACTGAGCGTCGGCCAAACCAGTGACAAGGAGAAACTGCAGCTGGCAGCGCTGCTGCGGGCTGCCACGGGCTTGGAGTCGCTTAAGTTTTCGTTCCAGACGTATTCCCGCTGGACGCACCGGTGTACCGAGACCCAATGGCAACCTCACGTGGTGCGCATGTCCCCAAAATGGGATGGGGCCGCGTGCCTGCTTACCTATTACCTTTAGTTCCGAGTTGGATGTGCAGGCTTTCAGTAACTCCTCAGGCCCACTTTCGTAACTGGAAGTGGAACCGCCGTTGGGACCGAGCTCTTAAGCATAACGTTTGCATGGCAGGCTGCGCCCCTTGCAATGATACGAGCTGTCTACCCCCGGAACCCCAGCATATATGCTTCTCACTCCCTTTTCAGGAGCTGGCGGCAGCGGTGCTGCAGGCGCCAGCGTTGCACGAGCTCTCCCTCCTGGGCCACGTTGAGAATGAGGACCCCATGCCTCTTACGTCATTTAAGAAGCTGGTGACTATGGACCTTGAAAGCTATAAAGACGCCGCCCTGGAGGCGCTAGCAAAGGCGCTGAGCGTACCGCAGGAGCTACTGACGCGGCCACCACAGGAAGTTCTCGCCTATGTGCGCGAATTGAGGGATGGGCAGGTGAGGCGCTGTGTGATGGCGCGCTATTACCAACATTCCAGTCCAAGGGGCGGACGGACACCAGCCGCCACCAGGATCAAGCAGCTGCTCTCTGACATGAAGCTAATCCGTGCCCCTGCCGCGGCGCTGCCCCAGTCCCACTGCATTGTGTTGCCATCGCCAGGGCTTCTTGATTTCGCCTGGATTTTTGCACGCCCTCGTAGCTCTGTGCCAGACGGGCCCTGCTTCGAAACCCCACAACCTTGCGCCCGTTTTGCCTTTACGCTTTTTAACTAGGTTTTCTTGTCTGGTTACTTTGCCCTTCTGCGCAGGCGTTTTCCTACCGCTGCAAACTGATGCTGGTTGGGTAAGCGCGTACCGGTAGCTTGGAATGCTCCATCTCCGCGTGTGCGCAAGAACCGTGTCAGGAACACTTTTGACGCATTGACATAGCTGCATTTGCAGGAAACGTGGCGGCGGCCTTGCGTGGATTGCAGATCCACTGTGCCGATATCGGCCGTGTGTTATTTGCTGCTGCTGCAGGAGCACAACAAGCGGTCGCAGGACACGTACTGCATAAAAACGCCTTACTAACACCATCACACGCACCCTACCGTGCATGCGTGTCTCCACATGCAACCTACAAAAATCACTCTACCGCATACACGTGTATCTGTCCGCGCGTCAACACTTCACTTGTGCCGCTCGTGTCAACTAAATTCTTCGCGGCCTTTTATTTAATGAACCTTGGTTGCAATTTGCCGTGCAGACCGGGCAGCTCTGGCAAGACCACGCTGGTCATGCGGCTGGCCCACGACGAGTTCCGGCCGGACATCGCAACTACGGACGGGCTGGGCGTTCACGAGTGGGCGCTGCCGCTGACGGTGGATGCGCTGCGAGACGCGGGCGCGGATGTCCCGGCGGGCAGTCTTGGGACGAACGACAAGATGACATTCTCGTTGTGGGACTTTGGCGGCCAGGTGTGCTGCTTGATAACGCTGCATAGGCAGAAATGGGGCCACGGAGGAGACCCAGAAGCGCAACGGTGGTCTTGCAGCCCAAGGGCTGCAAGAATTCCCTTGCAGCCCTTGCAGAAGAAAAAGGGCTGTGGTTGGCAACTTTGTATTAAGCTTGTGTATATTACGCTACCTCGCTTTCCCTGATGCTTTGAAGTCCCGCTTTTTGTCGTCCATACATGCCGCCACAGCGCTGCTAGTTTCTCATTGGCGTTTACCGTCGGACATTACATGGGAGCTCGACGTGCCAGGATTAGCAGTTGCATGGCTGTGCTATTGCAGGTCCTTGGTCATTGCTTGTGCCTGCATGCCTAACAGGCGCCCCTATGCGTGGCCCTTGACAATCCCATGCTCCCTCTGCCTTGGCGATACCCAGGATGAGTACAACAGCACGCATGCGTTCTTTATGGCCAAGCGTGCGGTTTACCTTATCGTGTACCGGAGCCGTGACGATGGCGAGCTGGACAAGCTTACAGCCTTCATGCGTCGCATCCAAGCACTCGCGCCCGGCTCCCCCATGGTGCTCGTCGGAACGCATGCGCGTGAGTGTTGGCGAAAGAGGGCCCGTGAATGGAGGGTCGAGGTTAAATACTGAAGGCAGAGAAGGCAAAGTTGGGCGGGTCATAGGTCAGCGGTTAGCTGTGTCACGTATTTGCGCGTTTTGTTCTTCTGCTTGTGCAAGTCGTGCTCCGAAAAGGGATGAGTGCGCTTGGAGGTCCATAAATGTCCTTTTAACTTTGGCCAGGAGGCCCTGGGCCAGAGGCGCGTGGTCCAGGTGGCTGCTCGCACGCGGCAGGGGCAGCCCCTCCTGGGTCTGAGGCGGCTTATGCATGCACGTCGAGGTTTGGCAAGAAAAAAGATGGGGAGGGCTGTCGGGAAAGAAGGATAATCGTATCGTATAGTGAATGTGAAGGATAAGAAAGGGGAAAGAGAGGCAGGTGTCCTGCGTAGGAGTGATAAGGGGCATGGGAGAAACGACACACATGCAGCCATGTTGCTGCACAGCGCACCTCATGGCGGCAAACATAGGAGAGAAAGCGGCTTGCATTCCTCCGCTCCAGGAAAAGTGACTGACCAGGCTGCGCAAGGACAGCTCAACACGTAACGTTGCTGCGCTCTCCTGGGTCCAGAACGCCGGAGAGCTAGGGACCAAAGACAGCAGAAAATGTGGGCTAGCAAAGGCAATGGGTACATTGAGGCAAAAGACTTTAACGACTTATAAAGTCAAGGGAGAGGAGTGTTACAGGCGATGCACTTGCCATTCAGCCCTGTGAGTAAATTCCCTTGAATACCCTTCCCTGTAGTCGAGGCCATTGACAAAGATGGAGGCGTCTACGTTCCGAGGCGGCCGAAGCAGTCACATTTTAAAGCCTTCCCGAGCCTGCACAAGGAGGCAATGTTCATCAGCAACAAGACAGGCGCTGGTGTGGATGCGCTGCGGCAGGTGGTGCTGCGCATGGCGCTGCAGCAGCCGGGCACTGGTGAGCGCTTGCCTGCGTCCTTCGTCAAGCTGCGGCAGCAGGTAAAGCGCCGACGCCACTTACGCGTGTGCACTCGCAGGGCTCCCGCGACCTTCATTGCAATGACTGGCGGTTGTAGATGCTGAGGATATTGGGGTTCGGTGTGGGGCCCGGATGCGGCAGGCAGCCTCAAGCCACCGAAACTGGCTCCTAAACGGCTGCTGCGCTACGTCAAATCTAGCACTTGCGCAGTTGCGGCTGTCAGCACGTTGCCAAACCGTCTGCTTTCCTTTAACATGCTGCCAAAGGGGTCTGGGTAGTCCTTTGGCTGAGACACCGCAATTCGTGTTGCTCCAACCAACTAGAAGATGACGCGCACGGGGGCTCTCTATCCTGAGTTTCTGCCAAGTGTGTCGAACGCTAAGCGGGCCTGCATGAATGCCAGATGCTCACTTTTAGCTGCCTCCGCTTGTCATCTGCAAGGTATACCGGTACTTCCATGTCGTCCTGCTTGCATCCTCATCCCAATGGTCTGGTACAGGCTTCACACCTTACGCCTTACGCTCGATCGTGCTGGCTTCCTCCTATCCCGCAACTCCTTGTCCCGTTACTTCGCTCATGGTTGCATGTTTCTGTGTTCAGGTGCGACTGGCGGAGCAGTCCGTCGGTGCTGGCCGCGAGCCGCTGATGCCTCTGCCGCAATACGAGGCGCTGGCGGCGGAGGTTGGCGTCAGCGATCCTTCGCAGCTGCACGTCTTTACCTCGCTGCTGTGCGACTTTGGCGACCTGCTGCACTTCGCGTCGGTGCCGGGCCTGGACGACGCGGTGGTGCTGCGGCCGCAGTGGATTGCGGAGGTCATGGCGCATGTAGTCACCAAGAACAGCCGCAAGCTGCAGCAGCTGAATGGTGGGCGCGTGGATCGGACTGCGCTGCTGCAGGTGTGCAACGAGTTGCCCGGGCTCAGTGCAGCAATCCCGCGTCGCGTCTTTGGGAACATTGCTTGAGCTTCTGCTCGGACCCTAGCATTGTTCTACCAGAATCACGCTTTCCTCAGTCCGTTAAAGCCCAGGCTGATCGCTGTCCCTATCATCGCCACAAAGCCGACCTCCGGTTTGTTGAAACCCGCAGCTGAAAGCCACGCCGGTTCAGTTGCGGGCTTGGAGAGATTAAGCCCGCAGAGAGTATCCCCACGGTTACGGCCGCTTTTCGATTTGCGACTTACCAAGCAATTTCCCTGTTTGCATATCGCTGCTATCTTACTGTGCAACTGCACTGGCATCCCCCCAATTTCGCCTGCCTTCACCACAGCTTATGCGGGAAGTGAGTCCCACGCGCGCGGAGGCACTGGTGTCGCTGATGCAGTGCTTCAGCCTCCTGCATGCAATTGATGAGGACAAGGTATTGGTGCCGCCGATGCTGCCAGAAGAGTCCAGCTCGGAGCTGCTGTACGAGGTGCGTTCTACAGAGCGTGCAGCTTTGGGCGAATTATAATTCCTTCATTCCTTCATTCCTTCATTCCTTCATTCCTTCATTCCTTCATTCCTTCGGGCGAAAATTCATTGCGGCGCGTGAAACCGCATGATGACTTGGAAAAAAGTGTGCTTTCTTTCGATCTGGGAATGTAAGTGGATTGGTGTGTGTGCAATGTGTTACCGGCGCCGCACAGTTCTCTGAGGATGAGCTGTCCGGCCATTGCCACACGCATGACTACTTCGCTGACTATAGGAAACTGTTTGGGGGCATGGATGTGCAGGCATGTAATGCACACTTTATTCCGGGCTGGCAATGCATGCACGACTGCGATGACAAAGTAATTCTCCGGTGACCGGAGCATGAATGAATGATCGTTACAATGGTGCCCTAAAAGGGAACACGGGTGATGAACCCAACCCTACATTGCAAAAGAAACGGAACAAACCGTAGAGACAGCACCACAACAGGCCAACAAGATGGGAGACATAGCCCTAAAAGAAACCTCAGGAGGGAAACAAGAGGGTAGAAGCCAAGAAAAGGCCCCTCAGCAAACCTCGACAAACTTCATCTAGGGCATAAGACAACCCAAACCGGAAGCCACGAACACACCACCCCAAAGGCATCAGGGCCAAAAAACAGGAAGCTCAACGGCCCACAGAAAACCGCCCGCCAACAATACGTAAGAAAGGATGAGAAGGGCCAACCCCAGCCCATCCCCGACGGGGAACACCCAAACAAGCAAAACCCCGAAGCTGACCCCAGAACCAGGAAACAGCAGACAGGGCCACCACAGCAGCAAGCCCAGGCACAACACCCGCAGAACCAGACTCACGTACACGAGCCCGTAACAACCGCCGACCCTCCTCCATAGCGGACAAAGCAGCCAAAACAACAACATCCCAAACGCACTGCTGCACGCCCGAAGGAGGCAACGCCAACCACAAGGCAGCCCGAGGAACCGCAATACCCAGCGTGACCTCAAGCTGCTCAACCACAGCACGAGCAACAGGACAAGCCCAGAAAAAATGCAACCGCGGAGACACCCCCAAGACAACGGACCCACAACCACAACATTCCGGACGAGCCCTAGACATATGAGAATTCCCCAGCAAGGGAACCCCATCAATAGAAAGACGCCAAAACGCTTCCTTGAAACCATTCTCCCAACGAATCGACCAAAGACGCTGGAAAGAATCACGAAGGCCATCCAAGACACCCTCAGGAAGCTGCTGGGTAGCAGGTAACCCCAGGGCCTCCCGAATAAAAGCCGCATGCAACACAGCACGTTCCTCAAACACACCCCCAAGCTGAAGAACGGTAGCCATCCGAACCGACAGATTCCTCAAAGGAACGGCGCCAACATGAGGCAACTGCCACCCCAAACGTGGAACCAAAACCTGCCAGGCATCAACCTCAGAAGCCGGCAGAGGTTGGGGCGGCAAGGCATCAACAAGAAAAGCCTCAGCAGCCTCCACCCAAGCCACAGGCACCGCATCCAACAACGACTCAAGAGACGTCAAAAGATCACGACACCTAGGCAACGAACAAAGAGCACAGGCATCCGGGGACGCCGGGTCCAAAAACCGACGTACAAGAGCGGACCAGCACCTCTCCATCACCCTGCCCTCAGCAACCCCCGACACACCGTTCAACAACGCTGAATCCCACGTGTCCTCAAAACAACGAAGTTGAGCCAGGGCAGCCACACACATACCCAATGAACTCAGGGCATGGCAATGAACGAGCACCGGATAGTGGTGTTCCAAACCCAACACACCAGGTTGGCCCGGCAGCCCAACCGGCAAGAAAGGGTTACCCCACAACGGAACACCCCAACACCAGCTACCCGGTACCAAAGGCTCCGACCCAATGTCAGTAACTGGCGGTAAAATTGCCATAGAAGTCACAACCCGACGAATATCCTCAGGCAAACCATCCACACCCAACCAAGGCCCCCTCCTGGACGCTGTCAACAATGATAGGGGACCAAAAGCCGGATGCAACCTTCGAAGGTACAGAAGCAAAGCACGCTGCCAGGGATGTAAGGAATCCCTGGGCATCACGGCGGAACAAACTAAACGGGCACCCCAACAAGCAAAACGGGCCCGGATATGCTCAATCAAAGGCAAGGCACCAAAACCCCCTGCCCTGGGGTGACTTGCTAACAGCCTACCCGGAACACCCGTGGCACGACGCTCCCTATCCTGCGGACCCTGGTGCCGATCAATAAACTTAGCCACCAACCTCCCCAGGTTGTCCAACTGATCACCCGGAGGCAAACCGGAATGCTCCATGTGCCAAGTTACCGTATGCAAAGCATAAGCAGCTGCGCCGGTAGCCCTACCAAAAATGGAAAGCGGAAGGCGAGCCAACTTCTGTAAGCGGTGCTCCGCTTCCTGAAACCGTTTGCTCCAGTCAAGACCCGGAACCGTGTCCGAGTTAGTAAAAGGCACATTAAGCGCCACTGCCGTACGAGCTACCGACACTCCATGAATAACCTGCTGCCCCTCAGTACCCGTCTGAACCCCTATTGGCAAGAGCTCTACCTTGTCCAAATTCAAGCGTTGACCCGACGCCTTCGCAAACGTCTCCATGTGCTGGAGGAAATCCCCCACCGCATCAGGCCCTCGCAACACCACTTCAGTGTCATCAGCAAACTGAACAGCTGTGGTAAGGGAGGAATCCAACGGATCAAGCGCCACACCAACCTGGCAGTGCTGTAACCAACACAAAAGGGCTTGCGCAGCAAACAAGTACAGCAAAGGCGCCAAAGGACACCCTTGTCGTACACCTGCTTCCATACACACCCGTTGCGACCTGTAGCCGTTAACAACCGCAACAGCACACGTGTCACTGAGCAGAAGCTTAGCCCACTTCAACAGGCCTGCCCCAGCCCCCATTGCATCCATGACCGAGAACAGAAAAGCCCGATCCAAGGTATCATACGCCTTAGCAAAATCCAAGAAAGCTACCATGCCGGAGCGCCCCTGGTGAGTAAGCAAATGCGGAAGTGTACGCAAAAAAGCACATTGGCACCAATTAATCTACCAGGAAGGAACGCCGACTGCTCTAAAGTAATCACGTCACCTAGAGCCAGCCCAACGCGTGATGCAAGTACCTTCGCAAGAAGGCGATAATCTGTACACAACAGAGTAATAGGACGGTAGTTACCAGCTAGTGTACGGTCACCCCTACCTTTCCACAACACCGTAATGACCCCATCTAGAAAGCCAACCGGTAACAAGCCTGTCTCCCCTATGGCGGAGAAAACTCTGGCTAAAATCGAGGCCAACTGCCCCTTGAAAACCTTATAGATAGCAGTAGGGAGCCCATCCCACCCCGGGGCCTTACCCAGCGGCGTTGCTTTAAGAGCCGCAAGCACCTCCGCCTCCGAGACCTGAGACTCACCCACTCTGTCTGCTACCTCTTCACTCAACCTCAAGTTCCGCGTGCGTACAGCACTAAGAACCTCATCACTAGCCTCCACCGACAACCCCGAAGACTTGCAACTAATATCCCTCCAGTAATCAGCCACCAGTTGCGGCAAACGGCCCGGAGCAGAAACCAACCGCCCCATGTTGTCTTGCAGCGCCGCGACCGTGTGGCACGCAGCTGGCGGTTTGACCACTGCAGTAATAGCTGGACTGGGCCGCTCCCCCACCCTAAGCCAGGAGCATGCTCGCGGCTGTGACCGACAATCCGTTGTGTGCGTGCGGGAACCAGTCCTCGTGTTTTGCTGATCGGCCAGCAACCTCCTGCTGAAATACTTCTTTTCTCTGGCTGACGACATTCCATTTCGGCCGTGCAGGAAGCTGACAAGTGCCAAGCTGATGAGCGCGCCGGTTGGCGCTGGTGGCACGCGCAGTACGCCTACAGCTACCTGCCCGACGCGCTGCTGTGCCGTACGATGTGCCGGCTGTTCGCGTTAAGCGAGGTGGCGGTGCTGGAGGCGTGGCGCTTCGGCGCGGTGCTGCGCCGTCACGGCCACCTGGTCCTGCTGACCCAGGGGTCAGCCATGTTGGGTGAGCGCGACACGCTGAAGCTGACCGTGACTGGTCCAGCGCCCGAGAACCTCGGCGCGCGTGTGTCTGAGATCCTCAAGGGCCTGCTTGCTGAGGCGTTCCCCGGTGTCAAGGTGCGCAAGGGGCGCTCAGTTATTCGGCATCGCACGCAGGTCGTTGTGCTTGTTGTGACGACTACGGGGCTTGCCGCGTCGCGTTGCAGTTGTCTGGTGCTACCATGGATCACGGGTATTGCTGTGCAACTGAGGGTCTTTAAGCGTCAGTAGGCGCCTACCGTTCGGTCTGCCATGCAGCAAAGCAATCTTATCCTCTGCTCACTCATGAAGGGCAGACACGCCTTTAATAGCTGTATATTGAGCATTTTGACGAGCCTTACTCGCACGGCCTCTGTGCTGTAGTCGGAAGTAAAGGGAACACTTTTATACCTTTCCAGGGCATGCACATTCACATTGCTTAACGCTCCACTTTTGCTTACACCCCTTGCAGCTGGAGGACATCCAGTACGGCTGCCCACACTGCTCGTCATGCCATGCCGAGCGCCTTGGGATTTTCAGCTTAAAGGCGCTCAAGGCTGAAGGCGCGAGTGCTGAAGGCGCCAAAAATGCCGGCGGAAAGGTAACTGCGGTTGAGAATGTTACGTTTCACTGTATCTGCTATCGCAGGACACCTACAGCAAAGGCGGTACATCAGGGACCTCTGGCAGACCCGCAGCCTGTGGCAGAAAGCTGATTGAAGATGCTGTGCTGTGGCGGGTCCCAAAAGGACCGCACACAGCCGGGTGCAACGCTGCCGTCCAGTCTTACAGTGCTCGTCGAGTCTTACAGAGCAAGGCACTATGTGGAAGCTTAATTGTGGCGGCTGCGGCATCCAGATTCTGTGCTCCAAGTTTCCCAGCTGCGATGTCAATTTAATTGCTGCATAATTAGGCTATGCCAAAGCAGCCTCTCTGACAATAACCATATAATGTTTGACACCGTGCTTTTTCCTCGCTGTGCTCGACCTCCGCAGGTTAAGTGCGGCACTTGTGGCAAGGAGACGGACCTGGCCACGATGGCGCTGCTGGACGGCCAGGCGCATCCCTGGCACGCGGCGTTGGCGCCGCCGCCACTGCCGCACGCGGCTGCCATGGCGGTTTCACAGCAAGGAGCCGCCGCGTCCACGAGCGCAGCACGCACGAAGCCTCCTCTTGTGCCTGCAGGTGCGAATGTCAACAATCCGCAGATGGAGCGGCTGGCGAGTGCACGGGAGGCCGCGAACGAGCGCGCGCTGTTGTCCACGCCGCAGCTGCCACCGCCATCAAACGAAACCCAGACGATCGCGATGCTGCTGGAGAGGATCCTCGTCATAAACGAGCGCGTGGTGTCGCTGTCGGCGCAGTTCGGCAGCGTCCAGGCCTCGCTGGCCACCAAGATTGACGGAGCCGCCGCCAAGCTGAGCAGCCAGTTGGGTGGCGTGCAGAGCTCGCTGGAGGGCGCAATGCATGAGACACATGAGGACATGGTGCTGCGCGTGCTGGCGCTGCACCGCACAGTGGTGGAACAGGACGCCAAGCCCATGCCGGCGCTGCACGTGGTGCTGCCGAAGCAGGGCGGCGGCGCGTGGTGGGACCTCAAGGGCTACGTCAAGGCGCAGTTCACGCTGCACCTGCTGTGTGAGGAGCCCAGCGGGCCGCACATCAACAAGGACCACCCCGGCTACGAGATTGAGCGGCCTAAGGAGTGGCTACGCAAGCACGCGGGCGCGCTGCGGCTGCTGAGTCACGGTCTGGGCATGGCGCTGGCCGCAGGCGCTTTGTCGATCACGGGCGCGTCGGACCTTGGGCTGAGCCGGCTGGGCGAGATGGTGGACACGCACGTGCTGGACGAGCCGCTCAAGGTACGGGCACGGGAGGGGACAGGGCATGCTTCACGCTTGGCCACCACGACCAAAAGGCAACACGACTGGTTTAGGCAGAGGGAAGGAGATAGGGTTGGGAGCGTCGGATGGCGCACGTGCAGTCCGGGATGGGGCAAAAAAGCTGGGCGCTGGCTTGGGCAGCAGAGGGCCGAGCGAAATGGGAAAGCTGGTAGGCGCTAGGCGAGTCATATGCAGCGGCGGGCAATAGTGTGACAGCTTTTGGGATGCCCCGCGCATGCAGTTTCTTTTGATGGATGAGGCGCTTATGGGCGACACCCGTGCATTGTTGTCTCGCAGACCGAGCATCACATGCGCCAGCAAGCATACACACTGTTACTTTGGCCTTTGTTGCATGTTAGGCTTTTGCGCGCCTCCTGCCGAACAGATGGTGGCAACCAACCTACCGGTACACAAACGCCCGTGCCATTCCTCTGCCCGCTCACAGGACTTCGACAAAATGAACGAGCTGCTTACGAGCATCCAGGAGGAGGAGCAGCGCTTAAAGGGCGGAAAGGCAGGGCAGGCGCTTCCACCGCCACCGCCAAAGGACAAGGCGGCGATGGCGGCCTGGATGGCCCAGCACCAGATGGACGTGGCGGGCTGCCACGAGATGCGGCGGTAGGTGCCGGGCAGGGCAGGGCAAGGGTGCTGCCGAATGCGCGCTTGCTTTCCAATCAAATTAGGTCGAAACAGCATCCGGGATGGAGCAAAATGGGATTGGGCCAAATGTGCGCAGGTTCTTAAGTGGACACACCGGGCCGGTTTGTGTTGTATGCTAAAATAACTGGCCGCGAGATTGGTGTTATGTACATGTGTGCGCGCAGCAGCTGGCTGTAGGTGGCAATCAAGCCCGAGACGGGTGCCTCACCTAAGCCCGATGGCACACTTTCCGATGCCCAAACTTCCTGCCCTCTGGCACGGCACCACCGGCCCGTTGACCGATGCACCGCAAGCAGCTATGATGGTGCTGCTGCTGAAAGTACTGCCATGCCTGGTCCTGCCCTCCACAACTGTGACTCATCCCAGCCCGCATTCCGTAAGCACTCCCTCCCTGCCGCCCGTGTGTTGCGTCTGCAGGGAGATTGAGCTGATCATTCAGTCCAAGGACAACAAGTCCTGGGGCAACCTGCAGCCTGTGCGCCCGCTTTCGGGCGGCATGCTGTGGCTGTGCAAGTGCCATGCCGCGCTGCACGACACCTTCAAGCTTTGATAAGGAGCCGGCCGGGCCGCTTTGCCCAGGTGTGCAACTTTTTATGACGTGACATCTGGGGTTGCCAGACTGTCGCAGGACAGCTTCAGGCAGTGATGTGAGAATGATGGACGGGTCTGATAACGAAATGTTTTGTCCTACATACGGTACTGCCGGAGATGCTCTACCAGGGGCTTGCCTATTGAGGCCTTTGGTAGTCATGATAGTTCGGATGGCGGCGGTGCAGGCTAAGGGCGCGTGTGTTGTATAGCCCTGAAACAGGTTCCCTGCGAGTCGGTTATTACCTGCAGCGTGCGAACTGGGGGGTTCTAGCTTGTCCTGGGGCTGGCCCCAGTCCTTGCGGATGCATTACGGCTTGCTCTTCCTGGGCGCCTTTGGCAATTGTGGCCGTTAATCCGTTTTGATGGGTCCGCTGCATCAGCAAGCGCACCGGCGTTCAAACAATGTTCGCTTGATGGTAGATACCGTGCTGATGTTCATCTGATGCGTGTTGGACACGAGCACGTGCTGGTGCCCGGGGGAGAAAGGCTGAGCTGTGATCTGTATGGGTCTTTCCCCCCCCCCCCCGAGGTGTTATCAGGAATTGGAATCCAGTATTCGGCTGCTGAACTCGCGCCAGTGAGGGAAAGAAAACCACCCTTTGCCTACGTGGTGTATCTGGAATTCGTAGGTGCGGTGGAGTAGCTATCCCACGCCCCAGCGGCTACAAACGCAATTGCTGCTCTTTAGACGGTTCGCCTCGGTTGCAAATTTGGACACTGCCCGCCCCCCCGCCCTTACACTGGACATAAGCATATTGAGCGTCGCCGGCTGTGCGACGTCTGCTTGCACTTTGGCAAGTGGGTCCCGGCCATGGACGCCAACACTGCAGCCCCCAAGCCAACAGCTTCTTCAAGAGAGTACGTCTATAGACAAGGATATGAGAGCTGCTGTACTGCTGGAGATTCTGTGACCCATTAAAATAGTCGTCACGAGTTTCAGTGCATGGTAAACTCCACTTGTACGCTGCAATGCGTCTATCTCACAACATATTCAACACAGATTTAACAGTCGGCAGACGTGTGGGCAAGGAAATCATGCACAGTTACAAAACGAAGCAAGTGGGTTGTTCGTTAGTGTCTGGGAAAAGCATTGCGGACGCACGCGGCCGTAAAGGCACTTTTATGAAAAGCTCTCCAATAAAGAACCGTAATCAGTATACAATGACCTTCAAAGCAAAGCTTCCTGGTGCATGCCTATCGCCCCTGGCATAGATGTTGCTGACTCGCAATGGAGAAAAGAGCAGCAACAGCTGCACATGTGCCATGCGCAGTTGTTACACATACACATGGGCCGGAAAGCGGTAATGTCAACGTGCTCTACCGTGGGAGACCCCGCCATGTATAGGTGTGCACGGTTGATGGATGGGCGCCCGTTGCTGCTGCCTAACGAAATGCGAACAGCGTTGATTGCACAAGCACAATGCATGTGGCTGTTCTTGACGCACATGGGCCGGAAAGCGGTAATGTCAACGTGCTCTACCATGGGAGACCCCGCCATGTGTAGGTGTGCACGGTTGATGGATGGGCGCCCGTTGCTGCTGCCTAACGAAATGCGAACAGCGTTGATTGCACAAGCACAATGCATGTGGCTATTCTTGACGCACATGGGCCGGAAAGCGGTAATGTCAACGTGCTCTACCATGGGAGACCCCGCCATGTGTAGGTGTGCACGGTTGCTGGATGGGCGCCCGTTGCTGCTGCCTAACGAAATGCGAACAGCGTTGATTGCACAAGCACAATGCATGTGGCTGTTCTTGACGCACATGGGCCGGAAAGCGGTAATGTCAACGTGCTCTACCATGGGAGACCCCGCCATGTGTAGGTGTGCACGGTTGATGGATGGGCGCCCGTTGCTGCTGCCTGTCGAAAAGCGAACAGCGTTGATTGCACAAGCACAATGCATGTGGCTGTTCTTGACGCACATGGGCCGGAAAGCGGTAATGTCAACGTGCTCTACCGTGGGAGACCCCGCCATGTGTAGGTGTGCACGGTTGATCGATGGGCGCCCGTTGCTGCGGCCTATCGAAAAGCGAACAGCGTTGATTGCACAAGCACAATGCATGTGGCTATTCTTGACGCACATGGGCCGGAAAGCGGTAATGTCAACGTGCTCTACCGTGGGGGACCCCGCCATGTATAGGTGTGCACGGTTGATGGATGGGCGCCCGTTGCTGCTGCCTATCGAAACGCGAACAGCGTTGATTGCACAGGAACAATGCATGTGGCTGTTCTTGACGCACATGGGCCGGAAAGCGGTAATGTCAACGTGCTATACCGTGGGAGACTTCGCTATGTGTTCCTAGGGCTTTTGCAAAGGGTTTACGAACCTGTTCAACACCTAAGCTTCCACATACTGCGCAACCCCCACTTATAACGTTGTGCGCATTGTCCAAAGGGGCACACACACACGTAAATGCGACGATGATGAGAGAAGCCGACCAAGGAACGACGTCAGAACTTGGTGGCTAGAAGTAAGGTTTGCAGGCTCCGTGATGACAAAACTTTGCAGGTTACGGCTGTGTGCTGCTTGTGCGCCAGCCGAAAGAACAACAACATGCAGGCCACATCACACAACAACCAGCACCCAGACACCATCCTCAACTAACGTGCGGGTAACCATCCCTACGTCTGGGGGGAAGAAGGAAAGACCCCCCGTATACACCCAGGATTAGTCGAGGGGGGGGGGTTCGTAATAAGTCCCACGTCATTTCGGCTCCGTGGTCTTCCATACGCCTGACAGTATCGACAGCCAGTCCTTTAACCCGAGCCCATAATCCTGATTGAGTGCCAGAGTTGAATGAATGGCCGTTATAATGGTGCCAGTGTTGCAGCAGTAGTCAGAAACGATGCCAAGAGGTGATTTTCCCTGCTAGCCACTGGACCCTCCCCGTGTCCTCGTGATGCCGGCAAGGCCGCAAAGGACGTATTTTTCTGCCTGCAAACCCCGTCAGGAATCTTGCGTCCTTACGCACAAGCAGGAAAAGAACTTTTGACAGGCCCGGCCAAGGGACCTTGGCCTGAAGATGCAGGGTTAACAGTCACCGGGCACGTCACATGGCACGTTGTTTAAAATTCTTACTAATTACATGATAAAACCGTTGTGTTTGAATGCCGCTCAGCTGACTTGCAGCACTCTCCAGTCTGCACCCTGTAACACTTGCCTGGATCTTGCTGTACGGCTTGTACTCACAGCTCAACGGTCACAGGATTAGCATAGGCAATTACGTGTGTGTGGGGCATAGAAGCCAATCGCCCAAGGGGTAGGCAGCGAGTAGCGCGTGTTTGTCCTATGTGTGCCGTGCAGGGGGCGCCGGGGAGAGTGGAAGATGAGAAACACATTCTCATTGAATGTCCCGCTTACAATGATTTGCGAGAAAAGATTTGGGAAAGTGGTGTCTCTCGGGATGCTGATATGATTTCTGTCATGGGTATGGAGAACCAGGCTTTGCTTGCTAGCGTGCTTACTGGCATGCGAAGTCGCAGGATTGCGCAGACAGGGCTTATCATATAAGCAGCGTGTTGTTTCCGTTTACGTCAGCTTACTTTTATTTCGTTTGTTTGTTTCGCGTTTTGTGCTCGCGATCCATGAGCCTTCTGGCTCGGACGGATCTTACGAGCTCGGTACGAAGCTTGTAACATACATACATACATACATACATAGGCAATTACGTGCTTATTTATATTGAAAGGACTATGTCCAAACACCTGTACTAAGTAACACAGCACTCGGTAGGAAATATCCATGGCACAACCCCAGTACCATTTCTTTCGCAAATCTTTTCACATTCCTTCAAATTGGGCTAAACGTCCCCAGATAATGTATCTTGTTACTCATTCCTACGGAAAGGAGGAGGCCACCGTTCAAATCCTTGCTGACAGCTTGAAGGAGTTGGGATACATGGACAACGACGATGCGATGATACATGACTACTTGTGCTCAATGGTTCAAGACCTGCTGGACAAGAACGACGAGGTGTATATGACCAAGAGCGATGTGCAAAGTCATGTGCGCATCAAAAAGCTGCTGGGCGACACGACTCCGGACTTCGTTATTAAGAAGAAAGGCGGCCGCCCAAAGACCATCATCCTGGACGTCTACGTGAAGTCACAACCAGACGCGGAAGTGAAGAGCAAGTACAAGTCGCTGTCTTTTTTCAGCGACATGTATGTGGTGTCCCCGCATGGCCTTTTTAACCAACTCAGCCATGTCCTGCCTGTCGAAGACATCGACTACCTTGAAAAGAACCTTCAGAACTTTCGGACCGAGTACTTTTACTGGCGCGCTTGCATCAAGCTTCGCAAGGCCCTCATGCACGACGTTGAAAGTGTGGCTGTTCGTGAATTCCCCGAGGCTTCCGCCGCTCACCAGGCGGCCAAGCTAAGATTTTCGAGTGCTCTCGCCGAGTACGCAGCCACCGTGGCGGACCAGGACCTTCTCTAATGGGGCAAACAGGGCTCCACGGCAACTCCGTTTCGATTAGCTGGAGGGCTTGCGGCGAAACCCTGCAGCAGCAGCAACTGGGCGTCTGGCGCTGCAGGGTGCACTGTCTGCCTTGCGGCGCTGGGACAAGCGAAGGCAAGAGGTCCGTTGGTGTGTTGAAAAGGGATGCCAAGATAGCGTGGACTGATGGCGTAGGAGGGCACTGCAGCTTTTGAGGAGTGTTGGATTTGCCTGGATTTTGGTGTAGCGAGTGTTTGCTTACGGCAGGGGGGCCATGTGGCGGCCCTTATGCTTGTAGGCCGTGTGTACCTGGTTAGAGGGGTGCGTAAGGGTTCAACAGCGGCCGGCTTCTAACGCGGCCATACTGTGGTACTAGGGAGCACGGCTACGCTTTGGACGTACAGTCGGTACACGTTTCAGCAGATTTTTATTATATACCGTTATTGCCTGCAATCTCAGTCACGGATAAAAGCTGCTGTCGTACATCTATACTCATGTACGATCACCCAAATATTTCATTTAATAGCGGCGATGGTTAGTTATTGCCCTAGTAAGGTAAATGGTGCTACTTACCTGTACATGCTTGCAAGTACACGTTAGCCAGCTCGACGGTGAGTCTCGGCACACGCAGGATGGTCCGTGCGCAGGTGGCTAAGGCGGAGGGAGAACATGGTAGTCACGGTAAGTTGATACTACGGTTTGGTTTAACATGACCCAGGATGGCGCGTTTGCAATGTGCGTATTCCTGCAACTGCCTCCCTTCATCTTGGAGGCTGCCACGTCCTCAATCTTGGAGGCTCACCTTCTTACATACGGAAAGCTATTGCAGACCGTGTGGGCCAATCCACAAGTGTGGCTGTGAGCAAAGAAACACCAGTAGCAGTCAGGCAAACTCTGGCACAGTGCACAGGCTCTCCATTACCATCGCTCCATACGGCCCAAAGTTACTAAAGACGGCAATAGTCATATCGTACATGCCACCGAAGCCGCCCGCCGCATACGTTACCTGTACGTCAAGAGTTGATTGTCCCTATCCTGCGTCATCATGACGCATATCAGACATCACTGTTCAGAGGACTTATGCTCGCCCCATAATCCTCGCCCCACTTTATTGTTCTGTTACGGTCACAAGTCAGTGTGTTTCCCCGCGGCTAAATTGGACAAGACCCCGCATCCATCACTGCCACCACACACCCGCTCAAGATACGCATGCATGCACACCGTTAGTATCGTACCCTACCCTGTCACCCATGCACTGCATCACCGCTAGGACCCTTAACACCCACCTTCCTCCCACACCCTTTAGCCGCAGCTCCCCTTATCTGACCGCGCACCCCGACCCCTAATACCCCCTAGTCGTCCTCCTCGTCGTCATCCTCTAACCCATCATCGCTGTCACCATCCCCGTCATCCTCCTCCGCATCCATGCCGCTACCACACCGCTTCAGCCTCTTCAAAACCGTCCTCCCACCCGCCGCCGCCGGCTCCTCCGGCAACTCCGGTGACCCCCCTGCCACCGCCCCCGCCTCACCTCCACTGCTACTCGCCCCGGCCCCGTTCTCCCCCTCTCCTGCACCCACCCCTGCACCCGCAGCCCCACCCACAGGCGGCCAGTTGCCACTCTCCATCAACCGCCGCAGCTCAAAGTCCCGATCGTCCCATGGGACACTCAGCCCCGGCTGCTCTTCCAACGGCATGAGCGGCATCAACGGCTCGAACCCGCCCCGGTTGTTAAGCTCCAGAGCCACTCGGGCCAGGACGCCCGCATCCGTGGTGGGCTGCATCTGCTCGCGCAGCTTCCGAGACACAGCGGCAGCCGCGTTGGCTGCAGCCGCGGCCGCCGCGGCAGACTTGGCTGCCCCACCGCCGCTGCCGCCTGCTGCCGAGAGTGCTTGTTGCTTGGCCTTGGCGGCGGCTCGAAGGGCGGCGTACCGCGGCTTGAAGCGCTCGCGGATGCCCAGCAGGGTCATCAGGTCCTGCACCATGCCGTACTTTTGGTCGTGGATGAGCTCCTCCACGTGGGGGTCCTCGTGCTCCACCTGGTGGGGGTGGAGGGGGGGGTACAGGGGTGGGAAGGGAAGTACAACGTTACAGGGTTGCGTGTAATATGCGTGTAAGGATTCACCAAGGCAGGGCAACGTGAAAGCGCCCATAGACGCCCAACCAGGTAGCTACCGTGAGCCCGCATGGCGCATGCCTCCCTCCACATGCATCCCTCCAACCGCCCCCACACGCACTCTCCAATGCGCCCTTCATACACATGCCTCCAACCGCCCCCACACGCACCTGCAGCGACGGCGTTCCGTTCACCTCCAGCAGCCAGGGGTGCAGCTCCGTGTCAATCAGGTAGTCCAGACCCACAACCTGCAGGTCGGGGGGGGGAGAAAGGAAGACCCCATGTGTTGTTGTTGGCCCCCAGGGGAGCGACAAAGTAAGCGGGGGGGGAGGCACGGCAAGCCCGACGTTTCCTCAGCGCGCGAGGTAAGCCATTCAGCCCTTCCAACCCCAGCCCGCCCCCTCACCTCGCACGTCATGCCGCTTGAGGCCTTCAAGGTCTCATGGTCCGCCTGAGGGCGTGGCGACAAAGGGTGCAGGACAGGGAGGAAAGGGAAAACGAAGCGTTGTCATGTGAGGTTAGGGAGGCGTTAAGGTGTGGCATGAACAATTCCGTGCTCGCCCGCCCCCCCCCCCACTCTCCACCTCCCATCTGTGGGTCGGCAACTCCCCTCCCCTTAACCCACGTGCCCCGCCCACCTTGATGTGTTTCAACGCCGCCGCGATCACCAGCGCGCTGTTCCGCCGTATCAGCCCCCACATCTTGCCGTACGCCTCCTCCCCCATGTGCTCCTCCAGCTGCCGCAGGTTCCAAACCGTGCCGTCCATATTCTGCGCATAGTTGGTGACGTGGCCGAGTGCCACGTCACCCGCCTCCGTACGCCAGCTGCTGCTGTCGTACCTGCAGGGTGGGGAGGGGTGATGTCGTACCATGTTGGGTGTGGTTATGCATGGTAGACAAGGGGTGTCAGCGTCGGGGACGTTGCGGGCGGAGCGCCAGCTGCTGAAGTTCTCCATGAACGTGTCTACCGGCTCTCACGGCACCCCATTTTCCCACCAGGAGCTTTTCGTCTTCGTCACCCTCATTCAACACATTCGGTATTCTTCTTTTCCCTCCCTATGCTCCGTTGCTCGCGTATGCCCCCAGCCGCAAGACTATGGAACCAACTGGGCAGTGCATACGCAGGACACCCCACCCCTGTGATGCTGAAAAGCTGAGCAACCCACCACCTTCCCTCCACCCCACCAGCTGCTCCCTCTCCTGCCCCTACCCGTGCGTGCTGAACAGCACCAGTCCATTCGCGTGCAGGTAGGCCCGCAGCGGGTTGAAGCCCGTGACCGCCACCCACACGCGGATGCCAAACTTGCGGCCGCCCACAAGCAGCGGGCGGTCCACGTAGCGCTGAGCTAGCACGTAGGGCTTCTGGCTGGGTCTGTGGAGCAAGACATGCGGGAAGACAGGAGGGATGAATATAGGAGAGAAGACAGGAGGGATGAGGAGGTGGAGAGGTGGAAAGGGTGAGGAGGGGTCGAGAATGAAAGGAAGAGGAGGAGCCATGTAGGTAGCCGAGGTACACCGCACAGGCGCCATGTCTAACCCATGTTGGCCGCGTCCATGCACACCTGAAGGTTCCTCCATCCCGCACCCATCCAGACAGCCCCCAGCCCACACTCCTTTTAATGCAAGCATGCAACCCATGCTGGAGCCTGGAGCCTTGTCACATGACTAGCTTTCCCTCAGGTAGTGCTGCCCCGCCTACCTCCTCCTCGGCCGGGCCGCCTCCACCACCGCCGCCTCCAGGGGTACCAGCTTCAGCCCCTTCCCCAGGTGCTGCGCCGTCTTCAAGATCCACAACTGCTGCAGAGCCCCCTCGGCCCCTTGGGGCTGCTGCCGCTGCTCCTGCTGCTGCGGTTCGCCCTGCTCCTGCTGCTGATCCAACCCTGATGCAGCTGCCGTGCCAGACACGTCACCGCCCGGACCGCTACCCGCACCCGAGGATGCCTGCTGCTGCTGCTGCTGCCCTGACTCCACCGCTGCTGCTGCTGTGGGTAACGAGGAGGACGACGACGGCGTGGCGCCGGGGGTCCCTGCTGCTGCTGCTGCCCCACTGGAATCAGCACCTGCCGTACCCTCCGCAGCACCAGCACCCTCCGCAGCACCGGCAGGGGCGGCTGCCGCAGCTGCCACGTGCGCTGCGAGCTGCGGGAGCTCCTCCGGGAGGCTGAAGGAGCGGGGCACAATCTCCCAGGCCAGGTCCGCACCCAGGGCCTCCTTGAGCGTGGCTGGCAGCCGCCGCTGAGGGGGCAGCGGGAGAGGGAAGGGCGGCGGAGATTGCTTACTGGACCAGTAGAGGGGAGGCCGGCACCCGGCCCGTTGGTATGCAGTGCAACAAATCCTGCTTGGGCTGGGCTTTACACCTATGCCCAGCTACGTCTCTGGTGTAATGCCCTCCCGCTCTCCCCGCACCCGTTATTGTCTAGGTCTGCGTCCTCTTGTCATACACCACATGATGTGTCACGTCCTACCTTCTTTGTAATGCTCATGAGGCCGGGGCACGCTGATACGAGCTGCCCGGGTTTGAGGTGTGGCACGGCCTTGAGGGCCAGCCGGGCGGGGGCCCACAGGAAGTCCCAGTCGCCCGGGCGCTGCCACCCCAAGGGGCCGGGAATGGGAGAGGATTTGGGGTAACCGCCGATGCGGACGCCACCTGCGGAGGTGGAGAAGGCGGCATGGGAAGGGAGAAGGTTGGGGGATGGGTGGGGTTGTGCAGTCCGGAGGGAGGGACAGGGTTGCTGCGACCCAGCCCGCGCAACCCAAGTTCCTTTGGCACTTAGTTTGGTAATAAATGACGATTAGGAGCGCGCAAGTAGCTGCTGGGAGGTGATGGTCATCGCCTAACCTTGCTCAAAGAGGGCCCGCTGGACGATGCAGCGCTCTCCGTTGCCTTTAAACCGCCGCTCTTCATGCCAAAAGCGGAAGGTTCCTCTGCTCGTGGTCGCGCTTGTGCTAGCGGCCTTCCCCTGTGAAATGTGCGGGGCGGCGGGGCAGCTGTAGCGACAAGACGCGTAGAATAAAATTGTCGAAACATCGCATTTACCTCTTCCTCCTCGGCGGCCGCTGGGCCCCCTACGGACGACTGCGGATGGCGAGGCAATGATGCCGCTGTACCGACGCCAGAGCCACCGTGTTGTAATTTCTGTCTCTTTGACGGCATATTCTTGCCAGAGGTACAAGCTCGAAGGCCAAAATTTGAAGGTCGTCTGTAAAGGAAGAAGGATGGCACCGAAGGGACTGACCGCAAGCCAGGGAGCGGTCCTGCTCGTTGCATGACGATACCGTGCTATGAAAGAGAAGTTGAATAATCCATGTACACATAAGTTATGCAAGCAGCTTGGATGGTTGTCAGGTTTGGCGCTCATACCTCATGACGCGCGCGCCACGTGCGACACTTCAAACGTCTTCAGATGGCTGCTTCTGCGTTCTGCCCAAATTCTATCTCCTCATATGCCAAGTGCAGACTTGACCTCCTCTAGGATTTAATGGCATCAACAGATATAAACGGCGAGGCGCGGGTTAAAACCCACGGACCTCTGCTGTTGCTGCACCGTTTCCCGCCGTTCGCCATGGCCTTATACGGATCAACAGTAACGTACCCAACGAAGTACGGCTTCACTATATTAGAAAGTACAATCTACTTGTAGATCGTAACAGTGCAACATGCCAAATGTTTGCCACTAACCTTGCACTTAACTTCCCTAACTCAACTTGAAGCGGCGTGGAATCGTTAAATCGGGAGGCCCGACTCTCGTAAGCCAAGGCCACATGCGATGAAGGGACAGCGTCTTAATCTCATGCGCCCTAGGCTTACGCCCCCGTGTCACCTCCTCAGGCAACTGTGTAGGCACCTGCGTATGACAGCTAGGCCTAAGGGGTAGATCAGCGCTCCTATCTAGGCCACCACCCATCAGGTCCGTTGCATAGAAACTGAACCACCAGTAGTTCAGCACCCTTTGATGCTGGAGCCCTCCCAACCAACTAAAGGCCATGGGTTGATGTCCTGTGTATGCAGCAAAGCATTGTACAATGGTCAGCCGGTCACTAGCAACCATGGGGTTACTTGGGAAACCGATTATTAGAAGCTGTGTGGTCCCAGGGAAAACAGACCGCTCGGCCTGATGGTACGGCAAGGCAGGAAGACACCATTTCCAACCTCCAGCAGTGATTGCCCCTGCAGGCCAGCCAGCCTGAAGCGCACACGCCTTGCTGCTGACATGCAGGTACCGGTATGCTAGTCAGGGCTTCCACTTCGTCATCCAATTGCATTGCGGCAGATGCACGAGAGCGCACGCTCAGAGTGCCGCCTCCTTAGTCCTTACGTCTCAGGAAGGATCGTTGGACAAAGCGCCAGAAAAATAGCTGGCCCCACAATGGACATCACACACAACACGGCGCAGGCTTCGGCTGCACGACACGTGTAAAATCATTCCTGCTTGGTAGCAACTAGCAACACGCAGTCAACTCATCAACACGTAGTCAACTCTGCAGGCCCCTGCCTAAAAGCCCGAAACGCCAGTTACACATACCGTGAGGAACGCATCCCAACCTGCCGCTGCTACCCGTCCTCTTGGCCTGACCACGGCTCACACACGCTCGGTCTACCATGACCCGCCGTCCGTAAAAGTACAAGGAACGCAAGTATCGTGGTACCGTTACCACCTTTAGCTTCTAAACAAGTGGGACAGTCAGGCAGCAGCCACTGCTAATGACTTACGGTAGCACGTTTCACTCTCAAGGCACGATACACATGGGTGTGCTCACAACCTGCCTAGGTACGTCCTCAAAGCTTCCTCTGCCAGGGATTCCACTCACTGCAACACCCTCTCTCCTGCTGTCCTGCGGCACCATTCTCAACCGCTCATGACCTGTCCCGCAATGCACATGCTCGTGATACATGACTCAGACATCCTAGTCGACTCTACCCTTCCCCTACCCATCCATATCCATCCACCTATCCACCCCCTACCCCTATCCTGCCCCATGAAGGCTCAGCTTAGCCGTCCTTAGCCGTTCATTAAGGAGCTAACCGGACACGTGGATACACTCATGGCGCTCTGTATAACATGAAACGGGTGCTGGTATGTACAGGAGAACGCCCCCGCTCCGTAAAGGCACTGCCAGCGCTTCTACTTTTGTGAAGGAGCAGCCAACAGAAATACAGCGTAAGCAGCTGGCGGCCCCAACACCATGAGCAAGGCAAGCAAAGCGTTTGGCTGTAAGGGAGTGCCGATAACGAGAGATCCGTATTTTATGACGGCAGCGCCTGGGGAATAGGGCGGGAAGTCACAATCCGGAGACCAGCCACGCATGATGGTATGTTGCAAAGGCGCACGGTACCTGTGTATGACATACCTGCAGCGCTAATAGCCGCGAGTTTTGCCACGTACACCAAGTCGTTGCTGTCCTCATTCCTGAAGGGCCCCTCGCCATTCGTAGCACGGGCTTGCAGCTGAGGTCGACGGACGGCAACCGCTCGCACTAGATGTTGGCTCGGTCTACAGATAGCATACGAGCACCTTGCGCTTGCCGATGGCCTACAGCCTTTCGCAAGCGACGAGCCAGAGCCGAGGTGACAAGCGTTGAAGACCATGCCTGATCCGCTCACAGAAATAGCAAATGTCGGTGTTTGCTAGCAGGAAGGTTTGCACGGGGAAAATTCTTTCTCCAGAAGAGGCAAGGGGTCCAATCCGTTTCACTACCTGCCGTACATTTTCGCTTCCTGCAGGCTACCGGCTAGCCCATGAGTTGGAGGCGTACTTTACTGCTCATATACTTAAACATGTTACAGTCTTGGTACTGGTAACCATGACTAGGCTGTTACCGAAAGCCCAAATTGCGGCCGGTCAAACGCGGACTACATGCGACACCAAGACTTGACCGAGCGAGTATCCCAAGTCCAACTTTTACCTAAGCTTACAATAATCATGGCACCGAAGCCGTCGAGCATAACTAACCTTAGCGACTCGACAGACGACCACAGGTCAATCAGCAGTGACTTAGTAGCCGTGGAGCAGAAGCTGAACCAGTTCAAACGGCTGTATACTACGTACCAGAAGGAAGAGGTCACGTCACAACTACGAGCCTCTCAGCCGGCCCAGCGCGATGCGGTCGTTACGGGGGTTGCGCCCCAGGCGGACAGCTACCAAGCTGGAGCCAGCCAAGTTCACGAATCCGTATCCCAGCGGCCCGTTCCGCCTCTCAAACTTCGGCCTCCACTCCAGCAGCAGGAGTCCAGCTGCTACACGGAGGCCACCGACGATTTCGACCAGCTGTCGCACATGCAAGTCCTGCTGTCTGAGTTGGATTCCAAGGATCGCGAAGCTTGTAACCTGCGGGCTCAGCTCAGCAAGCTCCAGGGACAACTACACGTCCAACAAGCGAGGGAAGACGAGGCCAGGGCAGGCTTCCAACGCCAGGTATGCGGCTGCAGTCTACCCGCCCCCACATACATACACGCTTGAGGGCCCGGTCGTTCCTGGGTCGGGTTTATGCATCGAAGACTTCGACTTCCCTTTCATAGAACCCCATGCCACACCACCGTCCTTGGACAGAACCCTGACGTTTTCCGTCCCTTCCGCCCATGCCGCCATGCGCCCCTCACCCTCCTTCGCCTCGACCTGAAGGTCCAGCAACTCCAGGAGAAGCTCGCCGCCAAGGCCGAGCAGCTGAACCGGCTGGAGACGGAGCGGTGGGAGGTGCTGGAGGCGGTGTCTACGGTGGCAGCCGGCTCGGTGCAGCTTGACCGCGAGCAGCGAGACCTGGAGCGCGCGCGACTGGCCCTGGAGGAGAAGCAGCGGGAGCTGGCTGCCAGGGAGGCGCAGATGCAGGCGAACATGCAGGTGCGGAGGCTGCGGCACGTGTAGGTCTGCCTGCATGGCCTGGAAATAAGAATACATGCACCCCTAGCGGCACCCCTGGAGGTGCTGCGCTGATAGTCGCTCGCTTTGCAGTGTTAGACGGGGCTGCAATATGGGCTTATACCGCACCCCGCAGGCACCAGAGCAGCTTTCGTCGGAAGACATCACAACCCTTGCAACCCACTACTCTGAGCTCGACGTCGCCCTCAGCCGCACCGAAACCGCTGTTCGCCGGCGGGTTCTGCAGCTGTCAGGCCATGACCCGGACAACACGCTGCCGGCCGGAAGGGCGGCTAGCGGAAGCGGTGGCGCTGGCCGTGTCGAGGAGGAGACCGATTTGTCGCATCACCCCTGCCTGAACTACCTGCAGGTGCGAACGCGCACGTTGTCTTTTACTGCTTTGCGCATAGCGCCTGGGGTAGGCTTGATGCATTGAAGAGTGCTTGATGACCTGGCCTCTCACTGCCGTCGCCACGCATTGCAGCGTTGTGAAGGAGGTAATAGGCATGCGACATCATCCCTTCCTTACCGGCACTGCTCCTTTGCCAGGTCGTGCGCGACGTCTTGGTCGCCGCCAAGGAGCACATTGGCCCCAGCAAGCCGGGGCCAGACGGCCAGCCGGGAACAGCTGTGCTGGCTCTGCCTGCCGTACGGCACCTGCATCAGCAGTCGGCGGGTCTGACGCGTGCCCTGGTGCTGCTGGCCAGCGAGGCGGAGGCCGACGCGGGGAGGCACGCCGACGCGGAGGTGGGTTCGGCCCTTGCGTCTCATGGCACATGCACTTACATGATATGACGCGCCGAAAAGCCGCATGGTACATTTGGCCATCTGCTCCCCTCAGAGTCCCTGAATGACCGATATATTGCTGCTTGGACTCCTGCCTGACTCCTTGCCTGAACCGGTTGCCCACAGGCGCAAATTCGGGAACGTGATGCGCGGATTGTCGCAGCGCTAGCAGAGAACCAGCGGCTTGCGGCGCAGGCCGCGGTGCAGGCTGCGGCAGCGGCGCAGGCGGAGTCCCTAGCACAGCAGCTGCAGCAGCAGCGACAGGTGCGTAGGGCCCGTGCCACTGGCCTGTAATGTATTGGGGCCTGCATGCCGTACACTGGGTGCGCTACTTATCTTCATGGAGCTGTTCCGTGTTTTAAGGCGCTCTTGGTGGGCTGTTGTGCACGCAGGAAAACGAGGACCTGCAGTCCCGCCTGCGCAACATGCGCAAGAAGCTGAAGGCCGCATTTGAGGAGATGGCCGCTCAGAACAGGGACCTGCGGGAGAAGCTAGCAGCGGAGCAGGTGTGTCCCTTCCCTCGTTACCGTTTAACGGAGGTGTTGCCGCTGCCGGCGGGCGCTGTTTACTCAAACGTCCCTGCAAGATTACCTGCTTCATGAACTCGTTGCACCTATCTGCCTGTTCTTGCTTCATGCATTTGCTGATTTGGTTGCATGCCGCACAGGCCGCACGGAGCAGTGATGCCGCTCGGCTTGGCGACCAGGTGCAGCGCCTGCAAGAGGAGCTAGCGGAGGCGGAGAAGCAGATCCAGGTAGGGTCCTCATGTTCCGCGACCCATGGGTCGGACACATCTCCACAGCCCCCCTCGTTCATACCATGCCAACTTGCTAACGGTGTTCACGTTGTCCGGGCCGGGCCTGTTGCATGCACACTGTGCCATGCAGTCCCACAAGATGCGCGACATGCAGCTCCTGGCTGAGCTGCAAGAGGCGCGGCAGATGGCGACGGACACGGCGGCGGAGTGTGCTGAGAGGCTGAGAGGCGACATGGAGGCTGCTGGGTCACGAGTGGCGGCAGCGGAGCGGCGTGTAGCTGTAAGTCGGGGGTGGGTCTTCCTGAAATATTGTGTGCAGTTGGCTCAGATGATGGGCATATGGGGTGGCAAAGGCGGACAGTGACCTGGGTGTCTTCCAATGACCATGGTTCCATCGGTAAGCTCACAGCGTGCTTCCCTCGTTTGAACTTGCCACTGCTCCAGGATCTGGAGGCAGGCTTGCTTGCTGAGCGGGATAGCGCCGCGCGGGCCGCGTCTGGTCATGAAGCGCAGGTGGGTTTGAGCCAGGTTCAACACCGCTACCGGTAGCAGTAGCAGCCTGCTACACCCGTCAGAAGCCTCTACTTCCCTGCATGCCGTACGTTGACCGCTAACATAGCTCATGCAAAACGTTGCGTGTTTCGGCGCAAACAGATGGCGGCACTGCGAGCTGACGTGCGACAGCAGCTGCAGCATGTGGTGGACGCATACAATGAGGAGCTGGGAGCCCTGCATGCGCAGCTAGCGCGCATGGAGCATGCGCAACGGGCAGCGGCGGGGGCCAACGCTGTAGGGGCCATCCGCTCAGGCGGGGCTAACGGAGCCGCGCCTGCCGCAGGGGGAAGCCGCGTGGAGGCATGGCGCGCGGCGTACGAGGTGGGTTTATCTGAATTGAATTCTGTGGCCTTGCTCGGGGGCTGCGATTTATGGTAACTACCAGCTGCTGCGGCAAGGCGTGTGTTTATGGCTGTTCATGCATGCCCTGCAGCATCGTTGCGGCTCCTGCGTCCTGTCATGTTTTGTAAGCCCTGTGATCCAGCTCTGACCCCTGAATGCGCGGTCGTGCTGTAGGAGATGCGTGAGCTGTCAGAGTCCCTCAAGTTCCAGCTTGATGCAGCTGAGCAGGAGAATGTGCGTCTCCAGGTAGGCAGGCGTACTTATCGCACATGAACTGCCAGCGAGTCTGTCGCCCAAACGTTTTCAAGTCAAGGAGCAGGATCACCATATGCATCGACTTCGCTACCCTGACTTGTCACAAAATCCCTGACCTCCCGCATGGCTGCCCTGGACCCTACCACAGACACAGCTCCAACGGCTGACAGCCGCCGCCGTCTCCAACGCAGCCGCCTCCCTATCCCCTCCAGCACCCACCAACCACACCCCGCAGCTGCCATCGCAGCCCCATGCCCATCAGCACCCTCAGCAACATCACCAACACCAGCACCCACAACATCAGGAGCCGCCGCGCCGCTCAGCTGCACTCCGCTCCTCTAGCGGTAGCTGCCTGGCCCGGGCAGAGGTCGGCCAGCCGGCGCCACCCAGCCGCTCCACTGCCCGGGCGCCGTCGGGCCCTGCAGCTCCTCGCTCCGCCGGCACTGCCACCACCACCACCATAACGCAAGTTGAGCTCAGCACCGACGCAACCGGCAGCGTAGCCGGCGTAGCTACTGCCTCGCTACCTACCGGAAAGGCGGCCTCCCGGACCCGTTCGGTTGCGGTGGAGACGGAGCAGGAGCCGCAGGCTGCGGTGTACAAGACGGCGTCTGCTGCGGGTCCGGGCAAGGTGCCGGATTCGGAGCTCCAGGAGACGATGCCGAGGAGGGCGGATGCGGTGGCGGCGACGGAGCGGCCGCAGACCCGACAGCAGGCAGCTCAGACGGAGGCGCCGGTCATGCAGGTGGGGCCGGGAGGGTGACTTGTGGCTGGCATCTAAGCGCGCGCGTGTGTTTTATCGGGCACGTCTGATATGCTCTTCTGGTGCGTTTCGTGCCATGAAATTAACGATCGTGTAGATTCGCTTTTCCCCTCGTAATCACGCGCTGCACCGAAATCCTCTCGACCCCTCGCCCTATCCATGCAGCAGCCCCAGCAACAAAAGGCGGCGGAGGACAAACGCGTGTCGAACCAAGTAGTCATCGTGCTACGCCAAGACCCGCCCGTCTCGACGCCCCTCGTACCACGTGGTGCTCCGGAACCCGCTGGCGGCAGGCGCGGTCGCGGCCCCGCATCCCGGCACTCCAGTCCCTTCACGCCGCGCCGCAGGGAGGGCGGCCGCAGCCGCTCTCCTGGCCGCGGTCATCCGGGTGCTGAGGAGCGTGAGGGCCGACGACACTGGCATGGCAGGGGCGCTAGCATGGACGGAGGACACAGCGAGGTAACCGAGGATGTTGGCAGCGGCGGTGAGAGCGGTGGAGGCAGCTGGCGGCATGAGGGAAGCGATGGCGAGGGCGGCAGCGTGGTGGGCAGCGACATGAGCAGCGGCAGCGGAGATGCGGGCAGTGGCAGTGGCGTGGACACTGGGGCGCTGAACCTCCATGTGGCGGCGCTGCAAGAGCAGCTTGCTGCACTGACGCACCAGAACTCGGTCATTACATCGCAGGTGGGGTGCGGCCATCCCTTGTCACTACGGGGCTGCGCAGTGCTGTGGGCCGTATCTTATTATGGCACATTGCTTTGTTCACTTTTTTCCACATGCTGCCCAGCCTAATCAACTATCCCTGTCATGCCGTGACCGCAGGTGATCCAGATGCGTCAACATCAGGACCAGCAGGGCCCCGACTCCAACCGTTGGGTCGGTCAGGAGCAGCTCTCGCCCGCAAAGCAAGCCTACGATGCGCCCGCCGGCTCCTGGGGAACGCCCAGCAGGCCCCCCGGTGGCATGCAGCATGACCCCCTTCTAGCGCCTCCTTCCGCCCAGCGCCCCACTGCAGCATGGTATCCGGAGGCTCCGGGGCCCCCAGCCCCGACTCCGGCGCGTGCTCCTCTGCCCGCCGGAGCTGCAGACGTCCCTGCGCGCCGTGGTTACGCCGCATCGCCGCCCCCTCCACCACCACCGCCAGCGTCCGCTGTCTCTGTCAACCCCCTGCACCACAGTGCATACCACCCAAGCGAAGCCGCAGCGCATCCGGAGCAACAGGGTTACAGCTGGGAGGGGTTGAGCCGCTCTCCGGCGCCGTACCACCAGCCGTCAAACCCGCAGCAGCAGCAGCAACAGCATGTCCGTTCGGAACGTCAAGAGTACGTTGACTGCCAGCCACGCAGCAGCCATGCGCAACCGCATGCAGTACCGTACGAACAGGATCCGTACGACCAACACCAGCAACAGCAACAGATGCAACGCGCACGCTACTCAGCTATTCATGGCGAGCCTGTACGGCACCACCAACAACCGTCATTCCACCAGAAGCAACGCCGCCAACTGCATTGCCAACCGCCAGGCGATGTCTCCGCAGCAGTACGGTTCAACCGGCTGTATGCATCAGAGGACACGGAGGCTCCCTCCATTCCCTCCTCGCAACCGCTGATGGGCTCGCCGGTGCACATGGACGCGCACCACTACCGTCGCGGCGGCGGCGACATTAGCGATGAGGCTTCCTTTGCCGGCGTGCTGACCCATGGGTCACAGTCGCAGAACCGATCGCACCTCCCTCAACGGCAACAGCAGCAGCAGCGGTTGGAAGAGGGAGGAGGATCCGCAGAGCTGGCAACTTTGCGCGCTCAGTACGCGCGGTTACAGGCTCAGTACGACATCCAATCCGCTCGACAGCGGGAGATGCAGGACGTCCTGCTGCGGATATCGGGTGCGTCGGGGCCGGTGTGAGCAGTGTCGTACGCAGCGGCAAAGGCCTGTAGGGCTATCCAATGTATGGCGCCAGGCCTTGTTGACAGCGTGGTAGTTGTAAGCAGCAATCTGACTATCAGTAGCTTCTCAGTGGTAATCCGGAAGCCATGGGTATTGGCATCATTATGTAGACAGCAGTGACGTGTCCTGTGCAGTGGGACTAACGGTGTGATAGATTTCTGGACTTGTCAGGCCATCCGATCTTGGCGTGAGGTTTGTTGTTAGTTAGGAAAGGGCAGGAGACGCCATCCGCGTATAGCACGTCCCTTGTAGACTTGTAGGAACGGTCCTGACTGCATGCATGCATGTAGCACATTGCGAACTTAACCAGGATTGCCGACATGTCCTCGTTGTAACATAGAGTTGAGTGCTAAAGACCTACGGTCTTCAATCATGTTGCCTTGCACCCAAGCCTTTGCATGCGCGCTGTTAGTTAGTAGCAAATGCCGCAGAGAACGTACACGCAGTGAAGAGCATACCGGCTGAACGGCTGAAACGGCTCATCCATCATCGAACCAAGCAACCTGACGCCCCATCTTCGCCCGGGTCGACCTGCCCACAGGTGAGCGAGCCGCTAGCGGAACTGCAGCTCCTAGCAGCACCCGTCCAGCCGTTCCAGGTCCTAGCATCCAGCATGCCCTAGCAACAGCGGCGCTGGCCGCAAGCCCATCCTCATCCACACGCGCATCCCAGGCATTTAAAGCAGCAGGCCATGCATCCACATCCACAGCTGCAGAACGGGGTTCAGCTCCTGCGGGTTCGCCGCGAGTGCAGAAGTCCCGGCATGGTGCTACGCCCGCAGATACCGCGTCCCCAGCCGGAAAAGTGAGCGCTCGTAGCCAGCGGTTGCAGGCCGCCATGCAAGCCCCACAGCATGCCGTACCGTCGCGTCACGAGCTTGACCAGCCTGCGCTGCTCCCGCCTTCGCAAGGTGCCAGCGCATACAGTGATGCGCTCGGCCGCCTGGCGTTTGAGGGCCACACGTCAAGCAACGATGGAGCGGCAGGGTTGGCGTCCGGGTCTTTTGTTTCGGGCGACCATACAGAGAGCGGGAGCAGGTGGAGCGGATCAGGTTCGGGTTCAATGACAGGCAGCTACACTGACCCACGGGTCGCGGCCGACCCACGAGGTGCAAACATGCATGAGGGGCGCGGGCAGCGCGTGGATGGCAGACGTGCGCCGCACCTGGATATGCCGGGGCTTGGCGGTCTTCAGCACAAGCAAAAGCCCCATCATAGCCGCCCAGCGGGAGGATCAGGGTCTCGCAAAACCTCACCGCATGGGCCGAAGAAGGGCAGCATCCTCCACCTAGGCCCTCCATCCCAGCAACAGCAGAGCGTGCTAGGCCAAACAGGGTTGGAAACCGCCCCGGTTCAGCCTCAGCCAGCACCCGCGTCTGACCTTGCAATCATGCAGCACGCCGCAGAACACGGGCAAGTGGGGCACCCCCAGCTGCAGCGCACCACCCGCTCTGTCCCATCCGCTCCTCATCTTCACCCGACGGGGGCCTCACGGCCGCTATCCGCACCCTCGGGAAACAGCGGCCGTAGCGGCATGGGCGCCCAGCCCCATGCAACCTCCGCCTCACTAGCTGCCCAACGCTCGAGTGAGCAATTCATCACCACCACGCCCTTCTTCCCGCTCGGCCCCGAAACCTCGGACTTTCTGGATCGCGCGACGACTGTCGACGTGGGCCTCCTGCACCGCCCCGATCTAGCCACGACAGCGGCGCACGCGGCTGGGCTGTACGACAGCGCAAACGATGACGAGGATGCTGCCGGTGTTGCGGATGATGCCGCAGCCGGTGGTGGTGGCGGCGGCGGCGCAACTGTGGGGTCAGCGTCTACGTACACTTCAGTAGACGACGAGCGGTTAGACATGCCGGATGAGGGCGAGGACGAGGAAGATGACGAGGATTGGCGGGTAACGGCGGCTGGCCGCTCTCGCACCGTCTCCTCTGTCGGAACCACCTCATCATCCTCTAGTGCCGCCGGGGCGAGCCGAGGCCGTTCAGTCGCAGCGGCAGCAGTGCCGCCACTGCCACGGCCCATGACGGCGGCGACGGCGGCAGCACCCGACACCGCAGGTCCCTCCCCACGCCACACTACACGCAGTTTCCTGCCGGTCAGCGGCTCCCAACTACAAGCTCAGCAGGAGACCCATGGGTCGCGGCATGGGCAACTCGTGCCCCATGCAACGTACCACGGCCAGGAGCCCCTCCGAGGCGTGTCGGCGCAAGCCCATGGCGGCGGCGGAAGCGGCGCTGCTGCCGCCAGCGCAGCGCCTTTGCCGCCATCGGCCTCAGCGGCGGTGGCAGGCCGGGCTCCCGGACCCCAGCAGGAGCCACGACGAGGCGCGGGTGCTCTGGATGGGCCCCTTGTTCCACCGGAGGTCTTGGAGCGCATGGCACGCTACGCCGGCGATGAGGGGCTGGCGCGACCCAGCACTGCCGTACCTTCGGCGCTGCGCTTAGACGCGCCCGAAGCCCGCGGCCCTCCGGTGCCGCCAGAGGTGTTGTCGTACTTGGAGCAGTACACTGGCGGCGGGGAGGGAGATGTACGGCCGAGTACGGCGTCACCGTCAGTACTGCGTACGGGCGGATCGCGGGAGGTGCCCGTACCGCCGGAGGTGTTGTCGTACATGCAACAGTACACTGGTGGGTGCATAGCTTGGTTGATACCTTTAAATGATTATACCTCACAATTGGCCTGCTCGGCTGCCTGCACAGCATGCCTGCTTGCGGCATAGTTGCGATGGTGGCTTGACTCGAACTCGCATGGTTTGCTGCATGCTGATGCTGCAGGGGATGAGGGCCGCGCTCGGCCCAGCAGCGCTGCTCCTTCCGTGCTCTCCTCCTCTCGTTCCGCCTCCGAGCTGCCGGTTCCGGAGCTGGTCCTGCACATGGCGGCGCAGTATCAGGCCGGTGAGTGCTACGGGGCTGCATGGGTTCTTGATGCGAACCTGCGCAAGTGCGTGCCTCTCTCTGTCCCATGTCATCGCCCCCAGCACCCCGAAAGCCGATACATCCCACCGCATACCGGTACTTACCTCGCCCCTTCCCTCGCCCCCTTTCCAAACACATCCTGACCCCAGGCGGTGAGGGCATCTCCCGGCCCGCCACCGCTCCCTCCTCAGACGAGCGCCGACACCGCCTGGCCGCTGCTCTGGCTGCCGTACCTGCGCCCGCCTCCGCCCCGGCATCGGCCCCGGCACCAGTGCCTGCTGCCCCACAGCAGATGCCGGCCGCTGCCGCTCCTCCCTCCTCCCTACATGCTGGCTCCGCAGCTGCAGGAACCGCAGCGGCAGCAGCTGCAAGTGCCGCATGGTCGGCGGCAGCTGCAGCCCAGTCGTCGCCATCGGGACTGCAGCAAGCCTGGGCGCAGGTGCCGCAGTGCGCCCCCTCATTAACATCCCAGCCGCATGCTGCAATGCAGCTGCCGCAGGAACACCAGCAGCAGCAGCAACGAGCACCGGATGCTGGTGTACCAGAAGCATCCATGAGACCTGGTAAGAGGCCTGGGAGGCGCTCTTGTAATAATAGTCCTGGTGTCGTCTAGGAGGGGTGACTGATGACTGCATGCGTGCAGTGTGTTGTGCAATTGGTTGCTGGCCGCTGAAGAAAGCGAGATAACCTCGGAGATGGGCGTTGCTTATAGGTTTTACCCGGTTACCAGAAATATTATCGGTAGTGACTGCGCATTCCGCTTCCCTGCCCTTCTTTCCCTGCTACCTAAAGGCACACCCAGGACGCGGCCCGACACCGGCGGCGATGCAGGTGCCAGCGGTGGCCGACGTGGCCCATGGGTCGCTGAGCGCGCCAGCGGTGACGACTTCCACCGAGGCCTTCAGCTAAGCGCTGCGGAACTGCGGGAGGGCGAGCAGCAAGGTACGATGATGGTTTCAGAGGGAGATGATCGCCGTACAGGACTGTCCCTGTACGGAAGCGAGGAGCTGTCGGCTGCAGGCGGCTGGGGTTTGGTGGGTCATGAGCAGGAGCAGCAGGGCTCCTGGCAGTGGAATACGGCACCGTACTCAGCTGGTGCGGATGAGGAGCAGCATGCAGGGGGGTATGGAGCTTACGGGGAAGGTGAGGAGGGTGAGGATGAGGAGGAAGGGGACGAGGAGGATGAAGATGAGGAGGAGGATGAAGAGGAGGAGGAGGGGTTCGGTAGGGATGGCGAAGCGCACGGCAACGGCAGCTACTATGGTGACACGGAAGAGGAGGAGGAGGAGGGCGGGTACTATGACGGGGAGGGCGGAGAAGGAGGGGAGGAGCTGCTTGCCGGAGAGGGCGAGGAGGGGGAAGAAGAGGAGGAGGAGGACGAGGAGGGTGAGGAGGAGGCGTACGGAGGTACGGGTCGAGAGTCCTTCACGAGCAGCTCTGCGACGTTTAGGAGCTCACTGCCGGCATCCCCCTCCTGGCCGCCACCCCTGGATCAGCAGCAGCAACAACAACAACAGCAGCAGCAGTACCAGTACGAACAGCACTACTTGCAGCAGCAGCAACAGCAACAACAGGAGGAGTATCAATTGTGGTCTGAACAGGCCCGGCGCGGCGCCTTGGAGCTGATGCAACAACAACAGCAGCAGCAGGGGCTGCTCCTGCTTCAGCAGCATGACTCCTCTTCTGGTGATTACGAGGATGCGGGCTTTCGCATGGTCGTTGGCAGTTGGCTTCAACGGCCCGCTGAAGGCAGCTCGGATGGTGACGGCGGTGGTAGCGGCGGTAGCACGGCGGCAGCAGCGGACAGGGCTGCTGGCGGGGAGGCAGGCAGGGCGGGGGGATATGGGGACTCGAGCCAGGTGGATCTGGACCCGAGGGGAGGGCAGCGGCGGCCTGGCCCTGCTGGGTACGGCAATGATGATGGTGGCGAGGGTGGCGGCGCCTGGGGCAGAGCCATGGCTTCTTCTCCTTGAAGCCTTGAAGACTGGAAAAGGATGCATGGCAGCATGGGGTGTTTCGGTGGTGGGTGAGTGGGGATGCAACTGCCCGGGGCAACCCGGGGTGCGATTAACATAGGTGGTGGTGGGTGGGTGGGAACATATCGGTGCATGACGCGTAACTTGGAATGTGTACTGGTGTCTCGGATGCGTGCGTTTACTTGTCATGCTTTCTACATGGACGCGTGCAGCAGCGGCATGTGGGGACAGAGCCTGTTCTCTTTTCATGATACTATGTCGACGACATTACTGGGTTATGGGGAGAAGTACGGTGGGGGCGGGGCTCCAGGAAGGGCGCATGGACGCACGTTGGTGGACGTCTGATAGCGCACTTGTGCTTCACTGCATTGGGATACACATGCGACAGCGGCTGCATACCGTACCCTGCGAAACGCTTGCTCGTACAAGCATGTACTATACGTGACTAGCGTGGCGGTGGGATTGCATGGGGCGAACTAATTTGGCCTTGCATGGACTGTGTTTGGTAGTGACTCGTGCATGGGTTACACTCGGTAATCGCGTGTCATTCAAACATTTGGTCATTGCCTGGTAAAAAGTGGTGTTTTATCACGGCCACAAGTCCCGCAACCCTAAGAACTTTGCAGCACCACATGCACATGCGTGGTACCCCTCATTCCCTCCAGAGGCCCTCACCTGCATCTACACCCTTACCCTCTACGCAGCAGCATCCTCACCAACCGGGTCCGCAGTTCTCCCACCATCATCACCCTCGCAAGCAACACCGCCTCCCCTCACCCCATCCGCACCACCCACGCCGCTTCCGCCCCCACCACCCACGCACCCCTCCACAACACCGCACTTTTTCCTGAACTCCTTAAAACACCGTTCCAACCGCGCCACCAGCTCGTCCACGTCAGCTTGTGTCATGCCCAGCGCTGCCGCCGCCGTTACGTAGGTGCTGGGGTAGGGCGTGTCGGTGTGCGAGCCGTAGTTGTGGAAGGAGACGCCGCCCACGGTCTGAGTCTTGCCGGGAGCCACCACTCGGGTCCCGGACACGAACCTGGGGGCACGTGTTTGTTGGCGATAGTTGGTGGGGTTTCAAGCGCAGGACAAGTCAAGGAGTGTACCGGTATGTAGGGTGTGTACGATGACGCGCACATGCGCTCCGGCCCCACCTGGAGAACAGCATTGACCCGAAGAACGTCACATCCGCAGGTGCGGCAGCTGCCCTCGCCGGCCGCGGCGGCTGCGACTGGGCCGGCTTCGTTGCCGCGTTCTGCATGGGAGCAGCGCCCCACGCCTCAGCAGCCTCGCCGTCATGTTTGGCTCCCGCCGCCGCCGTTCCAGCAGCGCCATCCTCACCCCTTTCCGCCTTCCCTGACGCGTCCGTTGCCACATCAGCTTCCGCTCCCGCCGACTCTGATATGGACGCCGGGCCTTCAGCTTCTGCCAGAGCGGGGCTCTTCACCTCTGCCGCCGCCTCCGCCGCTGCCTCCGTCTTGGCCTTCGCCGCTGCCGCCGCCGCTTGCAACGTGTCCAGCGTCAGCGCCATGCTGATGGGGTTGGCGGGGGTGTACAGCAGCCGCTCGCCCTGCCGTACAGCTAGCTCCTGCAGCCGGGAGCGCATGTACGGCACGAGCGCCTCTCGCTGGGCCAGGACCTGAGGGAGAGCAGCAGAGCACGTGGGGAAAGGGGCAAACAAGAAGGAAAAGACCAGGAGGGTGTGAAGTCGAAAACGGAAGTGGCAACCCGTGGTGACCGGTTCAGCCAACACGCTCCCTACCTTCCGCCAGCCCTCCGCGCCCCAATGCAACAACGTCATCAGGAGATCCAAATGCGCACCAACCGCCGCTCGTCCAGGGTACGTCCCGTTAACCGCCGCAACCAACTCCGGACGACTCGCCGGCGCCGCCACAATCGCGCCGCCGACAGGCACCATGAAGTTTTTATCCGTGCTTTGCACGACAGCGTCAATGCGGCCGCCGCCACCGCTGCCGTTACGACCCCACGCCGCCGCAATCGCCTTGCATGTGGCGGCGCATTGGACGCCGTAGGCGTTATTCACGACGTGTGGAATATCGACAGCCGCACAGAGACGAGCGACGGCAACGACGTCGTCCGGGGCGCGAGGAGCGAAGCAGGAGGTCGTGGAGACGATTGCGAGGATGCGCTCGGATCCTAAAGAGGCAACCGCGTCTGAGAGATCTTGAACGTCCAATTTAAGCTCGTCCCCTTGCTTTCGAAGCGGCAGGACGTGCGGCCGCAGTCCGGCCGCAGTGACGGCTTTGAGGCAGGTCTTCTGGTCGCAGCGCGCCAAAAGCACCGTGTCCTGACCCATGGGTCGCTCCTGCCGTAACGCCAGCAGCACCAGACTAAGCGTCATGCCGGTTGCTAGCGGCAGCACGCTTACCGGACCAACACCGGTGAGGCCTACACGGACAACATGAAGCGGAGTCAACACCACACACAACGTAAGCTGCCTAACAACAGTAACGACCGTGTATGATCCCCCAATCAGCAACCCACACGCACCAGTCACACCACTTCCCTCATCAACGCCCTCACCCTCACCCGCAATCCTCAGCGCATCCGCCGCCAGGTGTCCAGCCAGTGCCGCCAGCACCGAGGAGCCCGCTGCCTTGGGCTGCTGCGCCGCCACGTCCCCCGCCCGCCCCACTCCGTGCGCCAGGCCGAAGTGGCGGCGGGCCACCAGCGGACAGGCCAGCCGGCCCTCTCGTTCACCCGCCCCGACGTTACCGGGGAAGTTGTTGGAGTCCATGAGGGAGCAGTCCTGACAGGGGGGGGGATGGGGAGGGGCGCGGGGCGGGGTGTGTAAAGGAGAGGGAGGAAGAGGGAGCGGGATGAGAGGGTAGCAGTGACTGGTACGACATACAACAACTACGTACCGCTTCCGACGGTCCATGACCACCGCCTACTACGGTACACCTACGGGTTCCTAGCATCACAATAGCATCCTAGCACATGCTATCCTACCACCACATCACACCACACCACATGTCTACTGGGGTCCACTGCCCCCGCGCCACCAGCAACCCTCTCCCCTCTCCTTCATTACCCTCACGCTCACCCTCACAAACATCTCGATAGCCGCCTCGTCCCAGCCGCGTTCCGGCAGTCGCCGACTGGACAGCAACGCCTTCACCAACCGCTGCCGTACAGCCAACGACTGCTGCCCCTGCCGTACGTACGACTGCGACACCAGGCCGCATGCTAGCTCGCAGTTGTCTGGGTTCATGGTAGTGGAGGAGGGGGTGGTGATGAAGGTGGTGGTGGGTGGCAAGCTTGCCTGATGTGGGTTGTGGTGCTTCTGCTCCTGCTCCTGCTCCTGCTCCTGCTGCGGCTAATTAGTTGTGGTGGCTGCTATTTTCACAACTGACACGGTAACTGCCAGGCCAGCTTGTATTTTGTTACGCAGTAGTGTCCAACCCGAGCGGTGCCACCCACTGGTGTCGTACGGCTGCTAGCTACAGCCGCTGCTGCTGCTAGCTACAGCCGCTGCTGCCGCCGCTGCCCCGCAGCACCCAGTCGAGAAGGCGGGGCACGATGCGCCGTGAGAAGGCGGGCGCGAAGACCCAAGCGGCCTGCGGGCGGGGGCGAGCGAGTGAAGGATGTGTACGGCATGTAGAGTGCGGTGAAGGGCTGTAGGAGGAGGGACAGAGTTGCAAACAGGAAAGCAGACGATGTAGAGTTGCAAAGGCCGTAGTGGCAGAGGTGCTGCCGAGGGACGTAGGCGTGAAAGCAAGCTTGCCGTTACCCCAGGCTGACTGGGCTCGGAAAGTGTCCTTGTCGTGTCCCAACGCCGGTCGTTGACCGGCTTCTTCCCTCCTCCCACAACGAGAGCTTCCAACACGCCAAGGAAGCTAGTACGACTTCCCATGGCTCCGGAACCAGAGCTCACCCCTGTTAGCAGCAGGCAGGCTGCGATGACAGGAAGGGTGTCGAGGGGCACGGCGCCCAGCAGCAGCTCCTCGCAGACTGCGGGATCGAGAGACAAGAGACAACTAGGCGCTATTGTGATTGGCACCGGGCCGAATATGGTACCTTGAAAAGGAAAGCAAGGAGACGAAAGCGCAAGAAGCCAAAAGCTGTCGTCGATATAACCTCAGACGACCGTCCAGAGCTCGCAAATAGCTAACAAGCATTCAAGCACAACATCCATGGAACGGTGGCTTGGCCCGAAGAACCCCAAGAGTGCAGGTGGTCCTGACATAATTTACCTACCTATGTTAAAAACCAGTTCCTTTGGACCGGCACCAGGGCCGTCGCGATGTACAAACCGGCCAAACGCTCGGAGCTCGACAATAGCGTTTGCAACGCCCTGCGTGCATACGCTCCTTTAATACACTTCTTCTTAAGTAATGCCTTAGTTTATTCGCTTGCTTTACCTGTGGACGCCCTTCAGCGTCCGTTCTGAATACAAGCTTTTCAGTGTCTAACAATCGCCTGTACAGATCAGATGGAAAGCCACACGTCGGAGAGGCGCTTTTATTGTGTTGACTATGCAGCACTTGCCTGCTATGCGCGTGCGGAGCACCGACAAGCCGCAGATGGATCGTCGCCGGCGTCTGGCCAATGGATCGACGCGCAGTTTGGTTACTTACTTTTCTGATCTTTTATAAGGATAACTGGTCTCCAACTTACAGTGGCAGGGTATGATATCCGAACTTCGTATGACGTCTGTGGGCTGAGGCCCGCAAGAGTATACCTGCGCCCAAAGACAAGTAAGCGAGCTGCTGTTGCCTTTACAAGGTTATTTTAACTTGGCATACCGTTGTATGGTGCCGTCCAGGCTCGCTATTTGGGTGTTTAAAGGCGTGCTTGGGTACAGGACAGTGGGGCCCTGTAAGGCGCTGGAAACCCCCAATAGTGTGGCAGCTACTAACAATTGTACAAGACAACACATCTTGTTTATTATCTTCTGCCTTGCTAAGCTGGTGGCCTTTCGGGAGCTGCAGAATTGAGCTACCGTACCATTGACGTACAACTACTGTACACGGTGGTAACGTACAAGGGGCCAATAAGGGCGGTGGGAACGTCACCCTGAGAAATCGTCACCCTGGTGGCTGCCAACTACTGACGACAAAGTATGCAGCACTAAGCGAGCTAGTGGGACGTGGCAATACGCGGTGGCGATTGACAGCCCGCGACAGCCGTGGTGCTACCTATGCGATGGCTTGCCCTCCGCCTTTCACCCGTCGCCTCCACTGGCCCAGTCCTTGCGCTTCAAGGGATGTGGGTTCCCTTGCATAGATTGTCTCGTGATGGGAGATTGCAGACAGGACAGGTTTCAATGAGCTCACCTGCACACTGGCCTGTACTGACGGCCTTTGCGGCTTATGAACGCTTTATCCCGTTCAAGAACATCCAGAGGCCCGCATTCCATTTGTTACCTAGGTGACGGATCCCGGGTCTAAATACCCGCCGGTTTTCTTCCGTACGTGCTGTGATGGTCACGCAAATTTCTCGACCAAGATGCACCATGATGCGAGGACACGCTTCTTTCGTAAATGTCATGGTCATGTTTATTTTTTATCAGCAAGCCGAGCGTTGCATTAACGTACATGTAGTAACTTTATCTGGACACACGGGCTAACACAAACGCGTAGCGCGTTACAGTCTAAACCCCTCCTCCGTTACAGTTTGCAGAGTGCTACGTACAATAGAATACAATATAATGAAGAACGGCTTGCGAGCACGCATGAATTGAAGTTTGCTGGTCGAAGCCACACGACAAGCAACAAATGGTAGCCCTTTCTTACGGATTTTGTAGATAGTAAGTCCTTCAAAACTTCACGGCTGTTAACCATTTGGAGCTTCGCGAGGCGACACAGGATTGCTTGTCAATAACACCAGGTGAATTCACGTTTCAGGGTTTCTTTATGCTATGATTACTAGTTGCGATCCGTTATCGGGAGGTCCGGTAATTTCACCAATGTTGCACCTGGGCTGTATGCTCTTGTACATTTCCTCTGGTGTGTCGACTCCGACGTTCGGTTCTGCTTTTGCGAGGGTCCAAGGGGTTCATCCGGTTGTGCTGTGTCAAGGGTTTGTGTCGACAGCAGGGGGACGAATGTTACTTGTTTCGCCGGCATGAAGGTAGTCGCATTTGGGACGACTCCGGATGCATAATTCTAAGCAACTGCTGCGTCCAACCCCGTTCAATTGGCACAGCTACGGCAGCAACTTCTCGATAGATGACAAGACACCTCACGGGGTCAATTCTTCGCTTGCTGTCGTGTGCCGATGATCTATAAGTCGGCTTACCTTCCCGGCCCCGAGGACCTCCAATTCCTTTGCTCAGCCCTTCATAGCCTGAATTTTACAGAGCCTTTAAACAATCCTTAACCTCAACTTCCTCCATTCTTCTCCTACCCTTCTGCACCCAGCGCCAAGCCCTCATCCCCACCTCCACCTCAACCCTCTCCCACCACCTCCCAAAACAGCTCCCCCATGGCGTCCGGCCCCCTCGACAAGCACCCTGCCGGCGACACCAACCCCGACCCCCACGACGAATGGCCCTCCTGCCCGCTGGACCTTGACCTTGACCTGGACCACCACGCATTCCCGACGGGCCAGGAGTTCCTCCTTCCCATGGGCCTCCGCCACGACTCCGTCATAGGCACCAGCATCCTCCACCAAGCCGTAGACCGGGCCTCAGGCGGGCTGCGACGCAGCCGTGCGACTCCCGGTGAGGGGTGCTCCCTTGATGAGGCGGTGGTTTCGCTGGGGTGGGAGCTGGGGTTGTCGCTGGAGGGCGCTGTGGGGCCGACGGCGGGAGGCGTGCATGGGAGTGCGACAGGGCCGCAGCGGTTGGGACATGTCGGGGAGCTTGGCGGGTCAGCTGGAGCGGCGGCAGCAGGAGCAGGAGGAGGAGGTGGAGGAGGCGGGATGGGAGGCGGGGTTACGGCCTCAGCGCTGCTGCACGTGCCTGAGGGCCTCATGGGGACTACGGAGCTGCCTAGCGCGGCGTCCTGTCTGGGCATCGGAGGAGGAGGGGCTGGATCAGGGGGTATAACTGGGGAAGGATGCGGAGGCGGAGGCGGCGGAGGAGGACTGGCGGCGGCTGGGCATGCGGGTACGGACAGGAAGAGCGGAGCGGGAGACCTGCCAAGCGGGGGTTATCTGCAGCGGGGGCAGCAGCTACTGCTGACAGAGCAACAGCTGATGCTGCTACGAACGTACGGCACCATGGGGCTACAACAGCCGCTGCAACAACAACAGCAGCCACAACAGCCGTCCTCCCAGCACTTCATAAACCCCATTACCTACCAAAGCCAGGTGGTGCAGCTGCAGTTGCAACAACACCAACCACCCCAACCGCCGCCGCCTGCACCTCAACGGCTGCAGCAGCAGCTCCAGCAGCATCAACAGCAGCTGCTACAACAGCAGCAACAGCAGCAGTTACAGCATCAACAGCAGCATACGGATGACCTGGCGACTACGAGGTCGAGAGGGGTATCCAGTCTCCTACCGCAACAACAACAACAACAACAGGCGCAGCAGCAACAGCAGCAGCAGCCTGCAGCACAGAACCAGCTGCAAGGTTCCCGATCCCTGGGCGGCACGTCCACCCGCGACATGCCTGAGCAACAGCAGCAGCCGCTACAACAGCAGCAACCGCAACAGCAGCAACAGCGGCCGGAGGCACCGGTCCTACGGCAACGCAGCGGGCGGGCGCCAAACCGCCCCCCGGCAGCAGCAGCAGCACCTTCTTCTCAGCAGCAGCAGGAGGAGGAGCAGCAGCCGGTGTTGCGGCGGTGGCTGGCCGACCTGCAGCTACGGTTGAAGCTGCTACGCAAGGTACGTAGCGTAGCACCCTGAGAGCACACACAGAAAGAGATAGCACTGCTCACTAGCCCCGTGGCAGTCACCATTTGCTCACCATTGCTTCTCCGTTCAGGTGCTTGCGGACGCGGTGCGCCGCAAGCCCTGGATCGTGGCGGCTCCGCTGCTGCTGTGCTGCCTGCTGTGCGGGCTGGGGCTGTTCGGGGTGCTGTACGCCTCACAGCGCAGCGTCACATCACAAAAGGTGGGGTAAAGCGAAAAAGGTGAAGGAATGTAAACATGAGTGTAAGCATGAAGGAGGAAGGAGGACAGGACCAAGTCGTAAATGGAGGAGGGGAGAGCCTGGTGGCGGGTGTGAGTTGCCATGGCAGTAGTGGAGAGCCGTACCGGGTGTTGCCGTACTCTGTCTGACACTGCTGGCGTACACAACCCTACATGCTGCTGCTGCTTCAGGCTTACGCCAAGGAGGCTCTTGCGTCCGCCACCGCGAGCGCCATCTCGGGGCAGCTGGAGATCGCGTCATTCGGTGCGTGACGTTGGGGTTGGGGTTGGTTGACACTTCCACGCACGTAGCACCTGGCCACACTTGGCTATTCGTGCTTTCACGTCTTTGCTGGAAACGGTTCTCTGCGTCCTGTCCATTTACGTTCCTTTCCTTTCGCCTGCCGTGCTTCTCTCTTTTCCCAATCCTTACACTTCTGCACCCTGCCTCCCTCCCTCCTTTCCCGCCTCTCTCCCTCCCTCCCTCCCTGACCCCCAGCCGTTATGACCATGACCACCTACCTCATTCAGCAGCCCAACTGCGGCGACCTCAACCGCACCTTCACCAACCTCTCCTCAACCATCCTCAATTGGGTACGTGGGGCTGGGTGGGGCTGGGGATAGGCATAGGGTAGGGTGCGTGAGGGCTGCATGCTGCAGGGTGTGGGGCGCGTCAGGGGTTCTTCCCTGTTGATGGAAGTCTTCCTCAGTCTCGAAGGTTAAGCCATGCATGCCGAAGTATAAACTGCTTATACTGTGAAACTGCGAATGGCTCATTAAGTCAGTTATAGTTTATTTGGTGGTACCTATCGCCAGAACACCCGAACTTCCTCACCTGGGTCACCTCCACTCATCACATTGCAAGATTGCATGCACGCGTGCACATACCGTGTGTGTGTGTTTTGCCCGCACCTGTGTTACCCGCAGGATGAGAAGGGGCTGGTGTATCAGGTGCAGGCGCTACCCGCTGCCGTACTCAACTACTTCTACCCGGCGCCAGCTGACGTACAACTGATGGGGCGGGATCTGCTGCACGTGTCCCTGTACCGCAATGACACACTGTACGAAATACGGCAACGCAATAAGCGGTTGATCCAAGGACCGTACGACCTGTTGGAGGGATTCCGTGGCATGTGTGAGTGGGGTCGGGGTTTGGTTTTGGGCGCGTGGGGAGGAGCGTTGCTGGTGTGGGGATGCTTGCGGTGCAGATGTTGGGAATGTGTACAAAGCAGTGTGTATCTAAGGCAGGCGCGACGTGTTCTGACTGAATGGTCCTAGTATGTATCATCCCTCTCTCTCCCCGTCCTTAGCCTTACCGGTATCTCTCACCTTCCCTCATCCCGCCGCCCTCCTGCTGCCACACCCCCTCCCCGCTTCCCCCCTCCAGTCGTCACCTACCCCGTCTTCCTGCCAGCTCCCAACGAGCTCCACGACTGGGACTGCGGCGTCCAACCCTACGACTGCCCCCCTGGAGTCTGCTGGCTCCCCGGCGAGGGCCTCAAGCTGTGGGGCCTAGCCACCAGCGTCATCTCCCTTGACCGCCTGCAAAGCAACTTCCGCTTCCAAGCACTCGAACACCAAAACTACCGCTACCACCTCTACCAGCTGGCCGACGACATCAATCGCGCAGCTGTGATCAGCGTCAGCAATCCACCTCCCTCCGACCCCGTCAGCGCGAGTATTACCAAGTTTAACCTGCAGTGGGTGCTGGAGGTGTCTCCGGAGGCGGGGTGGCAGCCCGTGTGGCGCAACCCATGCCTAGCGGCGGTGGTGGTGGGGTCGCTGGCGGTGTCGGTGCTGGTGCTGTGGTTGCTGCTGACGAGGGAGAAACACAACATGCTGCTACAGGCCATGTTGCCGAGAAAGGTGGGAGAGGAGGGGTTTGGGAGGACGCAAGCTGCGTTGGGGGTTTGAGAAAGGCGGTTGGAGGGCATGGCGTTTTGTGAGGGCGGCGGATGTGACCCGTGGGTCACGCTTGGGGAAAGAGTTGTGTGCAGGTCACGTTTGTTTGTTGGGGCGGCAGGGGCTGTGGCCTCTCTCCTTCTCCTTCTCCTTAGCCACCTCTCGGCTGTCCTGCCCCCTCTTGCTGCCCCCTCTTGCTGCTCCCCCTCTTCTTGCTCAGGCAGTATCGTCAGTGTCTCATTATTTATGTTTACCCCCCTCTTGCTGCCCCCTTCCACAGGTCATCTGGCGGCTGCAGCGCGGCGAGCAAACGGTGGTGGAGGAGTTTGCGGAGCCGGTTACCATCCTCTTCTCAGGTAGCATGGGGAGGGGGTTAGAAAACTGGCCGCGAGTCGGAACATGGCGTGTGTGTGTGGGCATGAGGGTTCCTGTTCAAGCTCTCTACCCCCCCCCCATCTTGACAATTACCAAGCTTGACCTCGCTCCTCAGCCATGTTTGCACCTGCAACAAAGACACCGCCCAAGCCTCGCATTGCGCTCCTCGCTGCACTCTGTAGTATAGCGCCTCTTCTGGCTCCAGCTCCATCATCCAATAACCCTTGGCTTTGCCGTATCTGCTTCCTCTTACCCGTTCTCGCCCCCTCGCCCCCCCGCCCCCCCCCAGACATCGTGTCGTACACTGAGGTGGCCTCCAAGCTCACTCCGCTGCAGGTACGGCGATGTATGCCGGGTCCCAGGGCAAGGCAGGGTCCCTTATCTAGTAGACTAGTACAGCACGTTCTGCCGTCGCCTCCATGCCGGGTCCCAGGGCAAGGCAGGGTCTTAACCGCCATGCCCTTCTCGCTCTGCTTGCCCCCCCCCCCCCTGCTCTCCCCAGGTTGTACGACTGCTGAATGAGCTGTACACGCAGTTTGACGCGCTGTGCGACAAACATGAGGTGTACAAGGGTGAGAGCTGAGAGGGCTGCTGCAGGGAGGGGATTGCATGGGGCCCAGCAGGAAGAGGAGGGGGTGTGCTCATGTTGATGACTCCTGTTGTTGTGCCGCTGGCATAATGACGCCATGTGTGATACCGTTAGTATCTCGGTGCATGGGCATATGGCTACCGTTCATCGTGTTGATCGTGGCCGTCTTGTACTGCTGAACGCGGCGGCGGAGGCCTCCTAGAGGACTTCCGCCCCCCTTTCTTAACGCCTTCCTAGACGCTTACTTCCTGACGCGGCCTGTCGTATACCTGCCCCCTTTTGCCGCTGTCGCTCCTGCATGGACATGGATGCATGGACGCGCGCTTTCCCTGGATTGCTCCCCTCTTGATGCCCCCCAACGGCCAACGCTGCAGTGGAGACCATTGGCGACGGTAAGCACTGCTGCCCCGGGGGTGATGCCACGTACAGGTCCTATACGGCGGGTATGTGGAGGGCGGGGACATGTACACGGGGGCGCCAATTCTCTTGCGCCCTCCTCAACACAGCCCTCCCCAACACATCCTTTGTGCTCCGCCTCTCACAATCCCGCCTCCCCTCCCGCCCCTCCCTGCCCTCCCCGCCCGCCCCTCCGCAGCCTTCATGTGCGTTGCGGGGTGCCCCACTCGGGAGGACCCGGTGCGGGCCGCAGTGCGGATGGCGCACATGGCGCAGGACATGATAGCCATGGTGGAGCAGTTCAAGACGCGGGTGGGCAAGGATGAGATGCGGGTCAAGATACGAGTGGGCCTGCACTCGGGTGGGTGCGTGCATGTGTCCGTGCGTTCGTGTGGGCAGCAACAACAGCAGCAGCAGCGGGGAGGAGCGTAGACACGCCTGCAGGGAGCGGCGCCACCTCCTCCCTGTACACCCCCCGCTTTGTCATTCATGCATGCAGCCTCGCTGCGGTTTGCGCGCTCTGGTTCCTTCCGTCCGTTTGCCGTATACGCGCTCCCCTCGCTCACCCCCCTCCTACCGCACCCACCCATACACCGTCACCCACACCCGCACCCCCCCGCCCATCCCCACTCGCGCCCGCAGGACCCGTGGTGGCTGGTGTCATTGGGCAGCGCATGCCTCGGTACTGCTTGTTCGGTGAGACGCAGCGGAGGCATGGGGTGTGAAGAACAGCAGCCCTCACATTGGAGACACAACAGATTGGAGATACAACAGATTGGGAAGGGGAACCCTGTCTCTTTCCTGTCAAGGGTGATCATTCCGGTTACTTTTACCATCGTGTTCCGGCTAAACCAGAATATATGACGGTTGGCTCCATCTATCTTCTCCGCCCTGACCTTGAACCGCTCCCATTCCCCCGGCGCTGCCCCCTTCCCCCCGTACGGCGGACCCCGCGCACATCGCGGCTCCTTTCGTCCTCAGGCGATACGGTGGTGAGTTCCCGAGACCCCTGACACCATGTAACCCCTCTGCCCTGCACTTCTCTCCTGTCGTCTGCACCCTGCCGGCCTGCCCCTTGCCCCCTGGACGGTTGTGCCTTGGCCATGCGCTTTCCCTTGGCCACATACCAACCACCAACCGCCGACCACAACCAACAACCAACAACCAACTAACCTCCTCCTCCTCCTTTTCCTTCCCCGTTTTGCAGAACACGGCCAGCCGCATGGAGACCAACAGTGCGCCCCTGTGCATCCACATCAGCTCCTCCACAGCCTCACTGCTGCGGAAAGCAGGAGCCGCAGTGGTGCTGCCGCAGCGGCCGCCGCAGCCGCCGCCACCCCCGCCGCAGCCGCGACCCATGGGTCCGCCCTCACTGCTCAACTGGGACCGGGCCTCCTCCGGCGGACCAACCACCGGCCGCTCGCATGTCGTCACTGGCGACAACAACATTACCAGCAACCAGCATAACACGCCGAATAGTGCGCCCTGGAGCAACCGAAGTAACATGGATGCGGCAGCAGCTGCGGTGTCGGGGGCGCAGGTGCTGCCTCAGCGCACGTCTGCGCCCATTGCCGGCACGGCTGCACCCGCAGCAGCAGCAGCAACAGCGGGAGCGGCGGCGGCGACAGCAGCCTCCTTCCAGGGTGCCGGAGGGGCCGCAAACGTAGTTGCGGGTGTGGGTGCTGCCATCGGTGTTGTCGGTGTCATGGGGAACCGAGAGGCAGCAGCAGGGCAGCCGTCTCCAGTGGGGTTGCCCACAGCTGCTTCTTCCCCTCTGCTGCTGCAGCCCACAGCAGCCTCGCTACTCAGCTTGTCTCTGTTGCTCGACCAGCATGAGCAGGCTTCCTTTGACCACCCAGCGCTCTCACACCCGCCCTACCTCCTGCCGCAGCCGCAACACAACAACCCCGCAGACCCGCAAAGACCCATGGGTCTGCAGGGCGGACAGCAGCAGCAGCTGCTGCTGCAGTCACAGGGGCTGCCGCAGTGGCAGCTGCAGAGCTTGCATGGAGGTGTGCAGCCGGGGCAGCAGCAGGGCCCGATCTTGGTCCTGCAGGGGGCGTCGCCGCAGCCCAGAGCCATGGGGGTACGGTACGGGGGTGCGGTCGGTGGAGCCAAGGTGCCTTCGCCCCTGGCTGCGCACTTAGTGTTGTACAGCCGCGGACGAGTGCTTATCAAGGTGAGTGGCGGGTCTGTTGGGGCGCGCAGAACCGCGTCTAGATGGGCCGTTGCATGCTTGCAAGGCCTCATGGTTTTAGGGCTTTGCTTACATGTTGACCCCCTATGAACGCCGCAGGGCAAGGGCCTTATGCACACCTTCTGGCTGGGCCCAGGACCGCAACCCGGCAGCACATCAGCGGCGGCGTCACCCCAGCCGCAGCCGCAGCTGCAGCCGCTGGGATTCGATGCGGCTGCTGCTTGGGTTCGAACCGGCTTCCCCAACGGTCCCCCGCAAAACCCAATTCGAGGCCTGCCTTCCACCACCACCGACGGCCTGACGAGCCCTGCGTCTGAGCCGCCGAGTGTCGGGGCAATCGGCTCAAGTAGCGCGCCGAGGATGCCAGCCGACCCACGGGACGGCAGGGAGCCCAATGACGCCGGCGTCATTCCCGCAACCGTCTCGGTCGCCTTCGCGGCATTGCCACCGGCTGCTGCTGCTGCTGTTCCTGACGCTGGTGGCAATGCCATTTCGGCAGCGCCGACAACAACCAGCAAGATGCCTTCCCGCTACATGCTAGGCGGCAGCGACTGCGGCCTTCCAATGGTCTCTGGGCATGGCAGCAGTGATGCATTGGCACAGCAGCACCCGCAGCTGCCACAGCAGAAGCAGCAGCGGCATGCAGCGTTGACGCTATCGCAGCTGGTAGTCGGGCCGCTAACATCTGCCGACGCTCCTGCCAGCTGCAGCGGCATTGGATCCAGAATCCGGGCTTATGGTACGGCAACCTCTATTGCTGACGGCAGGGGCTCCGGCGGCGGGGACATGGAATGCTCCTTCAGGGGTGTCATTGAGTTATCGAAGCATGAACTCACAGCAACCCCGGCGCCGTGCAATCAGCATGACATGCTGCTACCCCTGCCTCTGAGTGGAGGTCCGCACTTTAGCTTTGGAGCGCGCAGGGCAGCATCCAACCAGCAGCTGCATCAGGGTCGGTCGTCCATTGAGGAGGCTCCGGAAGAAGGGGAGGATGAAAGGGAGCAAAGGCAGGCGGCCGAGCCTGATGAGGCGGCTGCTGACCCATGGGTCATTCCGGCCGTGGCTACAGATGTAGGGGTACAGGGCGGCAATCTCGAGGAGGCGGCATCGGAGGAAAAGATGGCACAGTGCAATAGCGAGAAAGGCGCATTGGCAAGCTAGGTGGCAGTATGACCCGTGGGTCAGTCATGCATGCTTTGGCTAACCTTGAAGAATACGATGCGACTCTGTATGAGGGTTTGTGGGCGCCGTTGCTGCGAAGGCAATGACAAAAAGCACAATATGAGCTAAAGATCCTGGTCAATCAGCGGCAGGAGGTTGTTTCTGTCCCCCTGAAAGGCTTTAATGCCTGGTTAGTTGTCTGGATAGTTGCATGCTAGTATCTGCATGTGTAGCGGGTAAAACCCCATTTGGGCGGTGGGGGGCCTGTCCGCTTGGTGCTGCCATGGCATCTGTGCGGTCTTACAGGGAAGCGTTGGTGCATTAGCCTTTGTTCGTCATGTATGGACGCATAATTGGTGGCTGGTACTGGACGCATAATTATGCCTGTGAAATATTATATGGCAACCTTGGGATGGCCTTCATTCATCGGGTGTTCTGTGAAAGGCGCTGTGTGTTTGGATGTGAGGTTTATTTGCGTTCACATTGTCAACAGGCAGCGGCAGCGGCGGTGGTGTCAGGTTGCATACTTGTTTGGGAGCCCTCACAATACATTGCTCACAATATGGGTACATTCGCCACCTTGCAATTGCTTGGGATTTCACGGGTGATTTCACGGGTGATTTCACGGTGTGTTGCTCTCCTGCATTTGTTGGCATCTGAGAAAAGTGTTGCTTGGGTGCCTGCTGCGTTGGCGGGGTCCGTTCTTTCGCACAGTAGCCTTATTGTTGGGCCGTTACTGCACCCATCTGCTCTGTGTACGCTGTATCCGATTGTATTATCGATTGACGTATACCTTTGCCCTGTGTTGCTATCGATGACAACCTGCGTGTTGCTTGGATGCGCATGGCTGGAGAAGGTTTGCGAGTGTTGCTTGGGTGACGGTGGGCCAATCAAACGGGGGGGGGCCAATATAGCTAGGGGCCAATCAATGGACCAACCAGGCAGCTAATAAACCTGGTCGCGGTTTCATGCAGGCTTCGCCTGGCAAACGTTTTTGATAGCATTGCTAACATGGGGTTGGATGGACTGTCGACTAGGCGAGAACATAAAAGGTGGGTATTATAGCTTAATTCGTGTCCCTGTCCTCGAGTTACTACTAACGGCAGCGGCGCGTATTGCCTTGATGTTCCGTTGATGCGCCGCCGTTGACCACTGATTCCCTCTCTACGTTGCTTGTTGGTAGCTAGATAGCCGGACGAGGAGCGAGCCCTCCCTTCGTAGGCCAGGCGGACGTGGTTGCGTTGCGTTGGTACCCCCGAACGGCTCCATCGGGCCGAGTGGTACCTGCCTGCCTGCCTGCCTGCCTGCATGCATGCATGCATGCCCCGGGCTTCACTATTGGTACCGGTGTGTATCAAGAGTGTATGTGTAGGGCAGCGGCGGGGGGCAAGTTGGGTCCAAATTGATCACATTCCACCGTGACTCACCTGCTCGCACGCGCCTCGGAGGTGTCTGCATGCGTGCGTCAGCACTGACACTACTGCGAACATCGTACATTGGGATCGTACGTTGGACTACTGATGGGGTTTCCTGTCCGTTGAACTTCTGTTTTTTGTGACCCTGGGGACGGGTCATATCATCCGTCTGAACTATCAGTTACAGTTCTAATAACTACTTTGACTCGACGAGCTGTATGTGGGATTGCTTGCGACCCTCACGTTGTACCCGGGCCCTCGCCTGACCTTAGCCAGGCACCTTGAGGCCCGTACGTCTCGGTTAATGTGCTTGCGTGTGTGGTTTATCCGAGCTCTGCGGGCTCAGCCCTTGTTAAGTTGACGCCGCATGTTGTCGTTTGCTGCCCTGGTTTTGTTGTAAGCGTACGTCCGCACTGGCGTTGCATGCTTGCTTGGTCATTGCCAGGCTGTTGGTTTCGTGGTTGTTGGTTGAGGTATGTGCACGGGTTGGGTTGGCTCGGATGGGGAATGACCGCTCTGCATGCCACCGTCAGACGCTGAATACGTACTGGGTTGTTGGTTGTTGGGTGCGAATACTGACTACCGTACTTAACCGTCTACATGGCGGGCTTGTGTCTGTGTTCTTTTGGAAACCGGTAGTAATAGTGGGCCGGTAGTGGGCTCCGATGTGCAGTGAGTATCACGTCTTCACGTGCATGCATGCCATCCGCCAGCAAGTCCGGCTGTCGAGTCAGTGGTCGTGGGTTTCGTGAGACCGTTGCCTTGCCTAAATAATCGTGCGTGGGGGCCTTATATGTACCGCCTCGTATGTACCTGTGTAACGCTCTTGAACGGTGACTGCACGTTAATTCACATGGCCTCCAGACACAATGCTACCGCTCCTTTGCATGCGTGGCAGGGTTCGCTTGAAGCCCTTGGTATAGCGGGCATGCTCGCTCATCGTGGCATCATCGTGGGTGGGGGCAAAAGCATGACCCAGATCAACTGGTGTGACGTACGCTTGCCGTGATGGCGACTGCGGTGGAAGGAATGTAGCATACCGCGGTACCGTGCATTTGTCCGTCCTTGTCAGGCCGCGCCTTCCTGACCTTCATGGTGCCCCGAAAGCCCGGGTACCGATGGTGGGTGACCCGCGGTTTACAAAGTCGCGCGCCTTCCTGGCAGGAGCATATGTCGGCTGTCGGAATCCCCCGGAACCCCGACGAGTACGGCCTGGAACCCCGACGACTGTACGGTCGTCGGGGTCGTAGGGGTTATATTGTAGGTGAAAACAGTGACAGCTGTTCTTTCCAGCAAACTAGGACTACGTTCTTATATATTTTTAATTGGGCTGCGTAGGGAACGTTGCCTTCTGGGCGCTTTTTTCTATGGCAATGGCGACGAGTCGACCATAAACCAAAGCTTACAACATTAGGTACGCATCTACCATTAGAGTAATATCTAAACAACTACTTTCCTTAATTGCTAGCTTATGTTCTGCGTCATAAAATTCCCGTCGGCCCAAGCTCTCCGTAACCCTCCCCAAATGGCCCAAAACATTGATATTATGCATGCTTTCACCTAGCATTTGTTTTGCTGCAGGACCTAGGGGTTGGCGTGCCCGCGTACGGGCACCCATAGTATTCGGTACCCACTTTTTTGGGGGCAATGTCATAGTAGTACATTGCGTAATTGTGCGCGGCTGCTTGTCACAGGCAGTGTAACCTCGGAATGTTGATGTACGAGTATTGAAGACTGTAACAAGGTCAAATCGCATTTTGTAGTGACGAGCGACACAAGTGATGATGCCCATAAACTCGAGAGGCCGTCCGCGTTGGCGAAGGTGGTTGTGTTCATGGCCCTTTGTTGCTATATTTTTTCAGGAGTTGTGTTGGTGCCTTTTTGCAAAGGTTGTGTTGGCCCCTGTCGTACGAGCTTCCTAGTGGGACCTGTTCTCGGATGTTGAAAAAGCGGCAAGCTTGTCGCGCGGCCCTCACAACACGCTACTCCCTGCACCCATTTTTTGGTTGCGTTGATTAATAACAGCCCTGGGCGTTACTCGCCCAGTGGCTGCGTACCTGACCACGATCCTGACCAAATACCTGACCATGTTCCCGACCAAAGACCTGACCATTTTGCTGACAACCTTCCTTTCAGCATCGCCAATGGCCACCGCCACCGTTCCGGCAAAGTCAAAGCCTATTGTTTCGTGTCCACTGTTTACTGTCCACGTACCTGACCACGCTTCTGACCAGCTTTGCGTTGTTTTGGGCGTGCTTATGGGCACTGTTGTGCACGATCATAGCTTTGGACATTGTCGAGGCCACTTGTTTGTTGGCTTGGCACAAACCCCGTTGATCTGAGCAAATGCCTTCTTGAAGAGGTCAAAGCTGCCTTGCGAAATCGTCAAGGCTCCTTGCCTTCTGACAAAATGCGCACACTGTGGATTACTATCACAAACGCCAACCGGGCCATGGCAATGAAGCGTCACACATGATCGCCAAGGAATTCGCATGTAACACAGCCCTCGTGCACACTACGCTACACCTACATATCAAACCAACACGCGCAACATGGGAGGGCGGGGTCGAAAAGGGGTCGTACGCTTGCACTCAACTCTGCACTCTCCGAACTAAAAAAAAAACAGGACCTTGAGGGCACGCCTCCGTCACGAACTCGTTCGTGATCTAGTTCCAGGCATCGTCCACCCACGGGGTTACAGGGGCTACGGCTAGGTTCCAGGCCGTACTCGTCGGGGTTCCGGGGTGTTCCGACAGCCGACTACCTTCCTGGTGTCCAAATTTAGCCAAGATGCTTTAGTCGGCGTTGACAACTTCCTGGCTACGAGCTCGTCCGTATTTGGGACCTGGTACCTTTTAGAATGCGAAGGCTCGCACGCCTCTGGTCCACTGTTCTCTGTCGCTTCCCCGGCGATGAAGCAACGAATAAGTTACAACTCCGTCCCAGCCATAGTCCTCCTCAAAATCCTCGTAGGGCGGCTCTGATTCGTCGCTGGACATGACTCGTCGGATTCAGGCTACCGTGGCACTTTGTTGAAGGATAAATATTACATTCTATAGGCTTATAATTAACTGCAATTACATATAAGTTTGGGCTTGATAATGGCAGCTAGGTGGTGCCGGTGTCAGAGAATGAGCACGTTTGCTAGGAAATCGAAAACATCAACCCAATACTTGGCTTTGACACCCTGAGTTGTTATCAGGCTGAAAATAGCCTTTGTTTGGCAGTTCTCTGTCACCCATCCGTCCAGGGGGGGCCCGACAGAGAACAGTGGACCATCGGCGGTACAGCAATGCGCCCAACCATACAGAAATGCGGTACAGCAATGCAGTACAGCAATGCCGTACAGCAATGCGCCCTACCGTACAGAAATCCTGCAAAGCTGCAATGTGTCAAGAAGGGTGTCTCCGCTTCTTGGATATCCTTGGGATAGTTCTTAATGTTAAGTAGTAGCAAAGATGCCTTGGACACTGCCACGTTAGCCTGTTCCTTTCGGAAGTAATGTTTTCGGCAATACGGCAACGTCGTTATGCTCCTTCCCTGGCAGACACGTTAGTACTTATGTATCTCCTCAAGGTGCTCGCCATCATCGCCGTGTGCGTGCAAGGTAATCTGTCGCGTGCTTGTCTCGTTCAGTACGTTGCGTACAGCTGTTCACAACAATGAGCTCTTGTGAAAGGCTAACTGTTATGCCGCTGTTCATTCATCCAGTTGGCGCAGGGCGGTTGCCCTCTTTGGTACGCGAAAGCGGGCTCCATGGGCGCGAGCGCTCCCTCCTTCAGGCTGCCAATGCATCAGGTAGATGAATAAAATTATATTAGGAAATATTTCTGTACCAGGATGCCCAGCATGGTACTCACATTTATCGTAGTCGTAACCGGGCAACGACGGCGTGGTCACAGGCCTCGCGCATCCACAATAAGAATCTATGACATTTATCTATCTCGTCAATATTTACCTGGCTCTTGCGATCTGGCTAACTTACGGCCCGCCCCTGTACACGAGTACATGTGCCCAGAAGTGAATGGAATTGCGCATACTTCGTTCTCTGCGTCTACTGCAACGAGATTGCACAACCTCCATACTGACTGGATAGGGAGCAGCATAGCTTCCGATAGTCAGGAAGCAAAGCAGGGAACCCTTCCATGTCGGCATCAACACTGCTAACGCAGCCCACTACATCCCGTTCATCAATATAACAACCCATGGCTGCTTCAAGTTACAGGGAAGAACCAGGACACTAATACTTAGATGATGTTCGAAGACACGCACTGGCTTGGATGATGGTGCGATTGCACGCAAACCGCAAGTGACGGAGGAGACGTAGAAGAAACGTTAAAGCCCATACATACTGGCCCACACCTTTTCGTCACTTACGCTTGTATGTATGTATGTGTTACAAGCTTCGTACCGAGCTCGTAAGATCCGTCCGAGCCAGAAGGCTCATGGATCGCGAGCACAAAACACATTAACAAACAAAAATAGAAAAATAAAACTTAAGAAACGGAAACAGCACGTTACTCAGATGGTAATCCCTGTCTGCGCAATCCTACGACTTCGCATGCTAGTGATTACGCCAGCAAGCAATGCCTGATCCTCCATGCCCATGACAGACATCATATCAGCATCCCGTGAGACACCACTATCCCATATCTTTTCTCGCAAATCATCGTAAGCGGGACATTCAATGAGGATGTGTTTCTCGTCCTCCACTCTCCCAGGTGACCCTTGCACAGCACACATAGGACAAACACGCGCTACTCGTTGTCTACCCCTTGGGCGATTGGCTTCAATGCCCCACACACACAGCCGAAAACGCATCAAGTTGACATGCTGCCGCTGAAGGATGTACCCCCTGTCAACAGGGACACCCACCCAATTTTTGTACCGACACATCTTAACTCCAACCCCTGGTACGGGGTCAACTGGGTTGAAAAGCGACCTTCACCCGTCGTACACTGCCCGAAAGCAGACCCTCCTGTCTCAACCACAGAGACCCAGAGAACCCAGACTCTGTCCAAAACAGGACATTGCCATCATGCGCTGAGGACAGAGCCATCATGCGATGCATATCATATGCATTAACATGCAGTACCATTAGTAGACAACCTTTCCTTACGCCGCAACCATTTCAACCACATCTTCCGCCTCGCCTGACTCGCCACAATGCCACCACTCTACACTCAAACAAGTCCCGGAAGTTCAACCTGCACCCATTCCCACATTCACCATACCTCCTTATGACAAGCCTTTTCCTTTTTTCCCTGTTTCCTTTTCCTTTTCCCACTCACCTCGTGACTACAACCAACAACTATAGCCTTCTTACCTTCGACAACCGCCAATAACTATTGCCTATTACTTTTCCTACACCTTTCTTAAATCTGCCTTCATCAATCCCATGCCCTACAGCTGTCGTCGTTGTCGGCGAATCCAGCGGCGTGTACCCTTGGGGTTTAATTTTCCCCGATGCGGGCGCAAAATGGATATGGTCGTGTTCATATGAGGAGTCCTTCTTCACTTCCGACATGTACTACATATTTACAAAGGTCTTCACCATCGACACCACCAGAAATGTTTCGTTATACCTAGTTGCGGATAACAGATGCGATGTGTACCTCGACGGAGAGCTAAAAGGCCCCCTGCACGGCGGCTGGCCGACGACATGGCCCGGTCCCGTGGCCCCTGGGGAGTACATCCTGGAGCCAGGTGTCCACACACTGGACATCCAGGCCGTGAACCTCGGCTGCCGTGGCTGCTGGAACCCGGCGGGTGTGATTGCTACCTTGATTGATGACGAGTCGGGTGAAGTGCTCGTGCATACGGATGAGTCTTGGACCTGGACGTATAACGGTACTGGTAAGTGTGACTGTCGTACTGCAACCATGCACGTTTTGGTGGCACAGGTTACATAAATTCGCATCCCTTAGGCCTTACCGTGTTATGGCTATACATGTACTGGGAGATGTTGGAGTCCACGTATGATATGTTCTTACAGCAGGGTCATTTTAAATACCCCGCCGTAGCCTGTAGCTGCCGTGCCACTCTTGCATGCATTTATTACACCAGCCGGCTCCTCCTCCAACTTGCACGCGTACCGCACCTTCTCCCGCTGCCGTATATGCCCGTGCTTCCAACCCCTACCTCCCCCCTGCAGAGGGCGATCTCCGTCTGGTCACCAGCGAGGGTCCAGTGTCAGACAGCCAGCAGGGGATGGTCCAAATCTACTTCCAGGGTCGGTGGGTCAGCCTGCACCAGGATAGCTGGGGCTTCATGGAGGCCCGGGCGGCCTGCAGGCAGCTCGGTTGGGGCACCGGAATCCCAGTCACTGCCGCAGGGGCGCTGTACGGCAGCCGCCCGGAAGCCGTGTACCGCTCGTACGGCTGGTACTGCGATCGTACAAAGGACCGGCTGACTGACTGCGGCGCCTTCAGCGGGGCGGTGTATGCGGAGAGCGGCAGCGGGGTCAATGAGACGGCGGGTGTAGAGTGTCGCAATGGTGAGGTGAAGGGAAGTAGGAGCTGGGGGGCGCGGTAGCGGGTGAAGGAGGGGGCTGGGCTGGTAGTGGGTATGCATTGGTGGAAGGAGGGAGGGAGGGTAAAGACTCCCTCCCTCCCTCTCTCTCTTTACTAAAGAGAAAACAACTAACTGACTGAGGGATAAGGCGTCAACACGGGTTGCAACATGGGAGGCAAGTCTACAGGACGTGCAGCTGTAGGGGAGGGATTTGGCTGCGAGGGGTAACGCCAAGGGGCCCTCCCTGAGTTGAGTGCTACAGCGGGTATGGTAACATGTGTCTCTCTGCACCCCGTTCTCCCCCTCCATTTTCTCATGCACACACTCCTTAACTCCTATTGTTCAAAACCCCAGCCACGCCGTGCCCTCGCCCTATCTATCCCTGCAGACCCGCCCGCCAATGACGGCGATCTGCGTCTCCTCAGCAGCGCCCCCAACGCCACCCTCAGCGGCGCCGGCATCCTGCAGATCTACTTCGCGGACACCTGGGCCTACCTCAGCAGCTGGGCGGACTGGGGCTACCTGGACGCGCGCGCCGCCTGCAGGCAGCTGGGCTGGCAGACGGGGGCAGCGCTGGCGGAAGCAGGGGCGCTGTACGGCAGCGGTAGTAATGGTAGCGTGGCGGTTGTCGGCCCCGTGTTGCGTCTGTACCCCTACTGCAGCTGGGCGGATACCCGATTGGCCAACTGCTCGCATGGATGGAACGCGTATGAGATGGAGGTGGCGGATGGGCGGGGGTACAACCAGACGGCGGGGGTGGAGTGCAGGAACGGTGAGAGGGAAGGGGGGCCCGGGAGGGGCGCTGTCGTGGAGGTGCCGGTACGGGTAGTGTCTGTGAGGATGGGTGAGAAGAAGAGGTTGGCTCCATGCTCGTTTGGCGCCACATGACGTGGCACGCTTCGTTCGTTCCCTCTTCCCTGCCTGTATGAGACCCACATGTGCACGGATGTCACCAACACGTCACCAACCCGTTTCCCACTCGCATCTCTTTCCATGTCGTCCAGCCATGACCATCTCAACCCTCCGTACCTCCGGCCTCCCGCACCTCTCCACCTCCCCGCCCCCTGCCTGCCGCAGAGCCCCCCGGCGAGGGCCAGCTGCGGCTGGTGGGCAGCGACCGGGCTGGTTCCGGCACGCTGCTGCTCTACCACTCGGGCGCCTGGGGGGCGCTGTCTGCCTCCGCCTCCACCAGCTGGGACTGGCGGGCAGCCCGCCTGGTGTGTCAGCAGCTGGGCTGGCGCGACGGCAGCCCGGTGGCGGATGCGGGCAGCAGGTGGGGCAGCGCGTCCGGGCGGCTGTGGCGGGTGGGGCTGAGCTGCGAGTGGGGCAGCGGGAGCCTGGTGGACTGCCCCAGGAGCTACGACTTCGAGGTGAGGGAGGGGAAAGGGGGAGGAGGAGGGGGGATAGGGGTTTTGGGGCGGGAAGGAGCGGAGTTCAAGAGGCGGCTGCGAGGAGGGGTGGTGTGTAGAGGAGGGTAGAAGGTCTTGTGTAAAGCAGTAGTAGTGACAGGAATTCACCTGCTGTGGGCTGGCAGCAGGGGTATGGTCGGTACGTTGTACACTATTGTGCACATTCAGTGGCTTGTGACTGCTGTGTTGCATCCACGCTGTGCGTGTATGGCTGTATCGCAGTCGCCGCAGCAGCGGTACCGCCTCGCCGAAGCCATGCACGTCCCCGTTTTCCCCGCCTCCACTCCAGCCCACCCTGCACCGGCTCGTCAGGGTGCTCGCTTACGAATGCACAACATCCTGGTGTGTGGTGTATGAGTGTATCACTGTACCTTCCCCGCACCCACATTCCCCATGTAGGACCTCGGCCTTATTCCCAGTGACTACAGTGACCTGGCAGGGGTGGAATGCACCAACGGTGAGGAGGGGGGCCGAGTGGGGTGGCTGTGGGTGGCTGGGGATAGGTGAAGGGACTTTGCTATGGCGCCGGATGGAACGGGGTCGGCGGCCATCTGCATGCATGTGAGCGCTTTCCCCGTGTCGCCTTTCCTAGCGTTGTCGTCTCCAGGGGGACGCCTTCTGCTCGCTTCCATCTGCTATCCTGATATCCTCTTTAGTCCCATTCTCCTTGACCCTCGACCCTCGACCCTCCTACTACATGCTTCTTACCCGCCACTTGGCTCCATGTTAACCCCACGGCGCGGCCTTGTCATATTGTTGGTTTCACCCCTCGACACCCCTCGACTCCACTCACCCCCTCCAGAGACGGAGGCCATCCGACTGGTGCATGGCTCCGACGACGCCACCTCCAGCGGCCGGGGCACCCTGCAGCTGCTGCACCGCGGCACCTGGGGCGCACTGCAGCACGACGACTGGGACTGGCGGGACGCCAGGGTGGCCTGCAGGCAGCTGGGCTGGACGAACGGATATGCCGTACTGGAGTCAGGATCCAAGTACGGCATCCCGCCGGCTGGTCCCGTCTACCGTGTGGGCTACCGCTGCTTGTGGTCCGAGGTCGGGCTGGCGGAATGTGAACGGCAGGCTGGGTTTGATGTGGCTCAGAGCGACAGCGCCGGCTTCACTGCGCTGGCGGGACTGGAGTGTACCAACGGTGGGTGGTGGGGGCGGGAGCGAGGGGGGTTTGGCAGTTGTGGTTGTGGACATCATTGGACGTTACGTTACTAGTGCGCAAATACACAGTATTCCTAATTTACTATACAACAATCAACTATTCCAGCCCCAAGCCACCCTACTATTCCTCCTGCTACCTGCATGAATCGGTATATGGGTTTGGGATTCGTTGTTTCACTTATTTAATTCCCCCCCTCAACCCCACCTCCAGAGCCGGACGGCCCCGAGGGCGGCCTGCGGCTGACCGGCGGCCCCACCGCCGCATCGGGAACCGTGGAGGTGAGCGGGAGGGGAAGTAAGGGAGGGAGGACAGGGACCGCTATAGCCTTAACTTAACTCAACAAGGGAATAAATGTGTGGCGAGGGGAACATTGTCTTGGGCACTTAGGGTGTCTGAGGAAAGGACCCGACATCATTTATGCTCCTTCCCTACATGCAACCCCACCCCACATTACTTCTCCCACGACATACACCTTTTGTAACGCCCCCTTCTTTTCCTGTCCCTTCTCTCCTCCCTCCTTCGCCCGCCTCCCGCCCGCCTCCCGCCCCTCCGCCTGCAGATCTGGTACAACGGCAGCTGGGGCTCCATCCACCAGGCATCCTCCTGGGACTGGCGGGCGGCGCGGGTGGCCTGCAGGCAGCTGGGCTACCAGAACGGCAAGCCGGTCTTCAACGCGGTGTACGGCAGGAGCAGGGGTGAGAGGCGGGGGAAGGAAAGGGGGGGACGGGACGGGATGGGTGGAAGAGTGATTCATTCGGTAGGGGTGCATGGCGGCCCGAGGGATGGCGGCGGCTGGGCGCATCATGCGAATGAGGCATACGGCTTTCTGCATGAAGCACTCACAAGGGCTTTCTGCATGAAGCACTCACGAGAAGGTGCTCGACAGGCTCACCAGGGGCCCCTGCCCCCCTCCCTTGCCCCCTGCCCCCCTCCCTTGCCCCCTGCCCCAGGCCCCGTGTGGCTGTCTTCTGTGTCGTGCGGCGGCGGCGAGGCGGGGCTGGTGGAGTGCGGCAGGCCGCCCTTCGCGGACAGCTACAACGGGGGAAGCCACGAGGGGGACGCGGGGGTGGAGTGCACCAACGGTGAGGGGGACTGCCAGGGATGGGGGCTGGAGGGGGAGGCAATGTCGACCTGGCTTCCTGGCCTTTCTGCTTGTTTCCGCGCCTCTCCTCAGCTACCGGTAAAACCTTCCTTTCCCCTTCCGCACCTGCCCGCCGCGCAGATCCCGACCCCGAGGTCGGGTCAGTCCGGCTGGCGGGCGGAGCCGCTGCCAATACCGGCCAGGTGGGGAGACCTGTGTCGGTGCCGTGGTGGAGGCCGTGAGGAGGTGGAGTGACAGGCATTTGGGGGAGTTACCGTAACCCGGATGAGTGAATGGCGGGGGCGGAGGGGTGGACGGGCTGAAGCGGGCTCCTGGCTGTGCTCTACCACACAGCGACACTCCCCGGGTATGCATGAGAGCACGCCCGGCAACCTGCAACCTGCTGCACCCTTTCTCCTAGCCCGCCTCCGATCCACACCTGCATGCATGCGCATCCTCCTCCTCCCTAACCACTTACCTGGCTCACTTCGATGGTGCCGCGAATATGGATGGCACCGCTGCTGTCGGTGCGGCTGCAGGTGGAGGTGTTCTACGGCGGCAGCTGGGGCGCCGTGTGCGCTGTCGGATTCGGCATTGTGGAGGCATCTGTGGTGTGCAGGTGACCCGTGGGTCGGGAGAGGGGGGTTCTGCTGGGGTTTTGAGGAGGGGCGGCGTTTTGGCCTTCTTGTGTTGTCTCCTGCCTCCGTACCACCACGGATACCTTGGCTCTACGATTACTTCCCTCCCACCTCTTTCCGCCCCCTCCCCCCGACACACACCCCAGGCAGTTGGGTTACCAGGGCACCTCCCGCTTGGAGCCGCTGCCCCCCGGCCGCCAGCACCCCGCCTGGTCAAACTGGCAGCTGGCGCCCGTGTGGCTTGCGGACCCGCGCTGCGGCGGGGGGGAGAGCCGGCTGCTGGATTGCCCGGGGGCCGGGCAGCCGGGGCAGCAGTGGGGGTGCAGCAGCGGGGGCGTGGGGGTGACTTGTGGCTCGGGTGGGTGCGGGGTGGGGTGGAGCGGGCGGTGGGGCAGTGCAGGGGTGTGGGAATTCGCTCTCAGTCGCTTTTTTCTCTCCCTCCCTGCCTCTTCTCGCAGCCCCTTCCTTCCACATTATGGGTTGTGTACATCTGGCGTCTCCAGAAGAAACCCTTCCCTTACTCCTTCCCTTACTCCTTCCCTTACTCCTTCCCTTACTCCTTCCTCCCGCCTTCTCAGACTCGCTGCCCCCTGAGGGCTCCCTGCGCCTGATCTCGCCGGAGGGCAACAGCAGCAGCAGGGGGCAGCTGCAGGTTCTGCACAACGGCATCTGGGGCGTCATCGACCACACCGGGTGAGAACGAAGCAAAGGGGCAGCAGGGTTAGGGAAGAAAGGGCGGCGGCTTGCTGTAGCAAATGCGGGCGCGCCCCGTGCGCGCTGCTACGTTGGGGCCACCATGCGATGCTCTTGTGGTGATTAGCGTTGGTAGCAAATGTCGGAGGGGAGCGATGGTTGTTGCAAGGGGTATCCACGGATGCCCCTCTTCCCAGGACGACTCTTGGGAGGCCGGTTAACACGGGGCCCGCCCGCCCTGCTCTTTAGGTTTGACTGGCATGCTGCTCGGGTGGCATGTCGGGAGCTGGGCTTCACGAGCGGTCGACCTGCGGCGTACAGCGTGTACGGAGGAGGTGAGGTGGTGGGGTGAGGGATCATGGTAGGGGGTTAGCGCGACTCACGGGCAAGGAGGTGGCACTGGTGGTAGTGAGATGGGCGCCATGCTGCGGGCAAAGCTGTGATACGACAACCCAACCCAACTGAGTCGCATGACTGACAGCGGTTATGAGCAAACAACATCTATTGCTTGTGCGTGTCCAAATTACTATACCCCTGTTTACCCCCGCCTTATCTCTTCCATTCCCTACCAGCCACTCGTCAGCTACCACCGCCCCCTTCACTTCTAAACATGCTGTCAACACGCTGCCTGCTGTGCTACGGTATCTCGTTTAGGCAATCTAACTCCGCCTTCCCCCTCTCGCCCCCGCCAGGCCAGGACATGCCCTTCTGGCTCAGCCGGCTGCGCTGCTCGGGCGCTGAGAGCCGGCTGGTGGACTGCCCGCGAGACACGCCCTTCCTCTCTTACGCATACGTGTACCCGGGCAACGAGGGGCACACTGCAGGGGTCATCTGCTCGGCAGGTGGGCGCGCGATTGCTGTAGTGTAGGAGATTCTGTGTGTAGGAGATTCTGATGTAGTGCTGTCTGATTCTACTGAGGGGGTGGGGTAATTCTACTGGAGGGGTGTCCGGTGGTGTGGTGTGGTGGTGGTGCGGGGTGATTTAGGGCTGGGGTCGTGGGCCGTCTGCAAGCAAGAAACGCTCTGCTGTCTGTCTGGCAGTCAAGAGCGCTTCGTGCGAAGTCAAATAACAACTCGCAACTGGCGACTGCCTGCCGGCCTCCCCACTGCTGACGACGTCTTCTTGCACACTCCTCCCTCCCGAAAGGAGATGGCGAACCTGCATGCTCGCGCCTTCCCACACCGCCCCCTCTGCTCCTCCTCCCTCCCTCCTCCTCCCTCCCTCCATTATCAACCAACACACACTGGTCTTCTTCTTTCCCTCCTCCTCCCACGGCAGATCCTGCCCCCGCCCCCGGCACTGCTCGCCTTGTTGAGGGCCCCGGCCCCTGGGCGGGTCGGCTGGAGGTGTGGTCCGAGTTGGAGGGCGCCTGGGGCACCGTGTGCAACAACGGCTTCAACGACCAGGCAGCGCGGGTGGTGTGCAGGCAGCTGGGCTACATGGGGGGCAGGTGGGTGGGATGGGGGGCAGGTGGGTGCGCTGGGGGGCTCATGCAACAGCCCGCTAGCCTGCTGCCATGCTGGAGTAATGCCGGGATGGCGTTTGGTGTCAGGGCAGGTGTGAGGAGGTGTAGTAAACCTCCAAGCTCCAAGCTCCACTGCCGTTAAATGCCCGCATCGTCCTCATCATCCCCGCTATCCCCGCTATCCCCGCTATCCCCCTCCCCGCTTTCCCTCCTCCCCGTGCGCACCCCAGGGTCGTCGGCATCGGCGCCTTCACCCCCGGCGCCACCTCGGAGATTGGGGAGCTGAGTCAGCCCTTTTCGCTGAGCTCGGTGGTGTGCAGCGGGCAGGAGGGCCGGCTGGCGGACTGCGGCTATGTGGAGGGCAGCAGCCAGGCGCCCTGCGGGTGGGACCACACGGGGGACGTGGCGGTGTGGTGCGATACATCAGCGACAGGTGGGGCGGGGGATGTCGCATGTGTGGGTTAGGTGCTTGCGTGCAGGGTGCGGAGCGGGGTCGGGTACCGGTTGGGGGCTAGTTGCCAAGGAAGCTTTGAAGCTCTCCGTCGTTTTATAGTAACGGTTACAGTATGTACGCGTGTACAGTGTGTTGGTAGGAGCCAGCAGGGGGGTCAAGGACACAATGGTAAATGAAGTTTACTTGTCCGACTCTGACGCTGTGCTGATGCTACCACAGGCAGCGAACCCGCCCTCGGAGCGGTGCGGCTGGTTGGGGGCCCGGGGCCCTGGTCGGGGCGAGTGGAGGTGTACTACAACGGGGTAAGGAGCGGGTGGAGAAGCCTACATGGGTATAGGGGGACGTCGATTACACGACTGGGCCAGCGTGAGGAAGAGGGAAGGAGAGGGACTACTTGGAGGTGGGCCAATGGGACGGTGGGGGTTAGAGAGGAACCAATCCATTCTGTAGGAAGCCATGTGAGAGCATAAAGGAGAGGAGCAAGGGATAACGAACGCGGCCGCGAGTCGGAATGTAATGGAATTGCTGGAAGAGGATTGCAGGTGTTGCGCTCTCTTAAGGAGGGGCAGTAGTGGAAAAGGCTTGGCAGCTGGCATGCGCTCTGAGGACAACCCGCCGCTTCGTTACGCGAAAACCTGCCTGTCCCATGTTTAAGGCGTGCGCGCTACAGTTCCCTACCCTAAATTTCACCTGACCTACCCTTCCTCCCTCTAAACCGCCCGCAAGACATGGGGCGCCATGTGCAATTTGGAGCTCACCGACTTGGACGCTCAGGTGGGTGGGTGGGTGGGTGGGTAGGATGCGGGTTGGGCGGGTGTGGTTTGCGTGAGTGGGTGAGAGTGTTCCACCGGGGAAGAGGAAGCAACGGATGACCCCTCCCTCTCCTTATCACGCACACTCCAGGTCATCTGCCGGCAGCTGGGCTACTACGGTGGCCGACGTGCCCCACCCATATCGCTGCAATCCAGCTATGGCTACGAGACCCGTGGGTCGGTCCCCATGTGGCTCAGATACCCTGCCTGCAACGGCAGCGAGGCCGTCCTGACGCAGTGCTCGGGTGTGGGTCTGGGCGAGGGCTCCGGCTGGGACCACGACTCCTGCGGCCGGGTGCACTACTGGTTTGATGCGGCGGTCATGTGCAACCAGGTTCCGCAGGGTGAGGCAAGGGGGGCAGGAGGCCCTGGAAGCTGGGAAGCCAATGCACGCATGGAGGGTGTGGGGAGGGTGAAGTAGGGTATCGGTGAAGCAGCGGTTGATTGGGTTTGTGGAGTAGTGGGCTTTCCGGGGCTTTGGAAGGGTCCTAGAAAGAGCGTCGACATGATAAGGGAGGGCGGCCACCGAAAGGGTCTCTAATCATGCAGTGCATGTGACCCAAATTGGTGTACGCCGTCTCGGTTACAGGGGGTTGCAGCTCCTCTCCCTTCGCACTCCTGAACGCCAGCGCCCTTGCATGCATGCCCTGCACGTTAAAACACACCTCATCCCCCCTGGCACCCTCCCATCTCCCGGCTGCCCCCCTCCCAACCCCTGAACCGCCCTGCAGGCATGGCGGTGGACATGCCTCTTGACGCCCCATCTCAGGACCCTGAGAAGCTGGGCAGCCCCTGGCCGGTGAGCGAGGGGGGAAGGGAGGGAGGAGGATGGGGGCGGGACGTGGCTAGTAGGAGTCGTAGGGCGGCATGGCGGGTCAGACACTTAGGTATCCATACATAAGCGATGCACTGCTGCCGCTGTGTGCTACTATGCTAGAGCGCGAGGTTGGGGTCCGAGCAGGGCTGTGCTGCACATTATTGCTTGCGATAAGACAGCAACATGCATGTGATGGGGCGGTTGCAGAACGGGACTTGGAGCCAGTCCACGTGGCGGCATGAAGTGTTGCTGCGGCTGTAGGCTATATCTTAGAGACGCGATTGTAGACACCACCATATACACGAATCCTTTTTTCCCCACATGACTCTTTCCTCTCCCCTCTTCCACCTCCCACCACACCCGCAGAGCCGCCTGTACTGCCCGGAGCACTCCCTCCCCGGCGGCCTAGCCCTGCTGGTCGACTCGCCGCCCTACGAGAACGGAGGCGACTGGGCCGACAGCGCGGGCGTGCTGGGGATCCGGCTCTACTGCTACCAGGACGGCACCCTCCTCACCACCGTCACCTCCGACCCGCTGCCCCCTTGGTCCTCCGGTACGGCATCCTGGGGCCCCGAGAGCTCCTGTACGAGCGATCCAGCGATGCCGTACATCACGGCTGCGCGCATCCGGGTGGCCGGGGATGAGGGCGGCGCTGCTGGGGACGCGATGGACTCGCTGGGTGTGACGGATGTGGAGTTGCGGTGCAGGTGGGGGGTGAGGGTGGGGGGTGGGGGTGGGGGTGGTTAGAGATTGGCGTGGGTTGGGAGTCGGGAGGAGTAGGTGGTTTGCGATGCCCTTGCTGCTGGTGCTGTACCTTTTTTGTGGTAGTTAGTGCTTGGTGTATTGCTCGCCTTCCAGGTCAGCTCTTACGGTAGCACTACACGTGCACCCTGTCTGCTATCGTTCTCCCCTTCTCTGGATGTCTACCTCTTCCTAATGATCCCACCTCTCCCACCTCACCTCAACAGCAACTCCAACATCATCTCCGGCAATGGCCTGAGCAACGGCACCTGGGGCGAGTGGGCGAGTTGCCCCCAGGGCACCGCGCTGTGCGGGTTGGGGCTGCAGGTCAACAGCTGGCGAGGTTGGGGGCTGCAGGTCAGTGCGGGGGAAGGGGAGGGGAGCGAGCGGAGAGCACTGCGCGCCCTAAGGTATTGGCGCTACATCCTTTGTTCTTCCACTCCTCATGCTTGCTTCGACCTGATGCGTACCATATCCGGGAATTTGTCCTCGCCTCCTTGTCTGGCCTGGCTAGCAACGTTTGCACTCCGTCGCCCGGCCTGTATTGATGCCGCTGCACCCCCTCTCGCAACATATTGGGTCTTCTTTTGCCCCTCGCAACATATTGGGTCTTCTTTTCCCCCTCTTGCAACAGGGCACCAACGACGACACCGCTGTCACGGGACTCAACATGTCATGCTGCTTCATGCCTCAGGGTAGGTGTCTAACAGCTGTTAGCTAACCAGTGCTAACAAGGCTGGGCCATGTGCTGCTTCACACGGGGGGGGGGCCAGGCCTTTGAAAGATCGTTGCCCTATTCCGCTTATATCCCTCTTTCCTGCCAAAACCTGAACACAAACCACCCATTGTTTGCACTTCGCGTGTATACCATGTAAAGCGCAGCGTTTTTTTTTTCGTTTTCGAGGGGGTATTTTTTATCGCTGCTAGAGCGATAGAAATCGGGCCTGGGCAACCGCTTATCGCTTTCCCAACCAGCCAAGCCGAGGGGTTTCGGGGCTTATCGCTTCCTAAGGCGGCCTCCTGGGGTCACACGTGCCCATTGCCCCCAATGCGGAGGCCCCAGTGCCCTCTTGGACCCAAATCCCTGGCATGTAGAGGGTCTGGCACGGGGGGTGTGAGCGATGAGATACCCTGGGCACAGACACCTTATCGCTTTCTCACGGCCCTAGGACCAATTATTTATCGCTAAAAAAATCACTGGTAAAGCGCCACCGCCCACCGTCGATAGCGGGGTCTAGTTCGCAGCTCACGTGTAACTTGCCGCGCACACCCACGCAGGCTTCAACTCCGATCCTGGCAGCCGTCGCGTGCGGCTGGCTGGCGGCAGCAGCCCCAGGGAGGGCCGCGTGGAAATGCTCTCCTCCAATAACACCTGGGGCCTGGTATACGGAGAGGGCTGGGATGCGCGGGACGCACACGTGGTGTGCCGGGAGCTTGGCTGGGAGACGGGGCGACCCGTGGGTCGTGCGGGCGAGCTGTACGGCGAGGGGTTCGCCCCGCTGCTGTACACTGGCGTGGACTGCAAGGTATGGACGGCGTGATAATGAGGGGACGGTGGGGAGGAGTGGCACACAATGGAACACCGGGTAGCAGCAGCAGCTGTAGGCTGTTTATCATCACATTGGCAGTCATGGCATGCTTGTTGTTAGCTATGACGCCTGTCCCCTTCACACCGACGTGTTATGACCCCTGTTGCCTTCCGCTGCTAACCGTGTTCTCAAACCTCACAACCCCCGCTGGGGATTCCGCCCTCTCGCCATTGCAGGGCACAGAATCGAGTCTAGCGGACTGCTCTGTAGGCGAGTGGCTCGCTTTCGCTGACAGCTACTCTCACAGCTCCTTGGCTGGAGTTATCTGCAGCGCAGGTGGGTTGGGTAAACGGAGCCGGGAGTGGGTGGGTGGGCGTTGCAGGTGAGTGGTCGCGTAGTAGGGAAAGGACGTGCACTGCCGATACATGCATGGCGCATGCAAGGAGGGAGGTACGGGTAGGCGGTATGGTTTCTTTGAGTTGGATGAAAGGTGCCCCCGATTCTGAACTGCCGGATAGCGGGATCCCAGACTTTGTCAAGGAAGCTGATCCCCCGCCCTGGCTTAACGCTCAACATGCGCCTCTTTCGCCCTTCCTAACCCTAACCCATCCGACAGATCCTCCCCCCAATGTGGGCACAGCCCGTCTGGTTGACATCCAAGGCGTCCAGAGTCCTCTGACCGGGGTGGCGGGGCGCGTGGAGGTGTACTGGAATTACACCTGGGGTGCCGTCAGCATGGGCGGCACGGGCAGCACCTGGGACAGCACCTGGGACAACAAGGCGGCAAGCGTGGTGTGCAGGTGACTGACTAGGGAAGCGGGGAAAAAATTAAATAAGTGAAACAACGAGTCCCAATCCCATATCCCGACTCATGCAGTGAGCGCATTCGGAGACACTATCCTAAAGACACGCATCTCAAGGGAAGCGGGGAGGTGGAGAGATAGGCAACTGCCAGTGTCCTTTGGCCAACTGAACCGGACGGGTCAGCGTACTAGACATATAAACATAACCACGTAGTCGGCAGTGTGGTGAAGGGTGCACAGGATGAACTCCATTAACGCCCACATTCCTGTCCAGAACACAGACTTATGATCGCTTCAAAAACCCGCCGACCCGCCAGCCCGCTGCCCGCTCCCACTCAACCATCCCCGCACTCCGCCTGCGCAGGTCGCTGGGTCACCGCTGGGGCCGCGCAGTCCCCGCCCGCGACCTGGTTCCGGAGCCCGGCTACCCGCTCCCCGTGGTCGCAGCTAACCTGGACTGCACGGGGGATGAAGCCTCGCTGCTGCTGTGCAGCACGGAGAGCGGCTTCCAGACCTCATACGACGCCTACAGTCACAGCAACGATGCAGGCGCCATCTGCTCAGACGGTAAGGGTGTATGCGTGCTGGGTTCAGATAGGTGGTTAGCTATCCGTTGTTGCCGTTCCTTCCTTGCATCTCGAAGTTACCGATACTACTGTTCCCACGCTTTGCTCCCTCCGTTTGGTTCATCCGCCGGCCATTGCACGCTCACGTGCACGCACGCAGACCCTGTACCCGCTCCTGGCTCGCTGCGCCTACGCTACGGCGCCACCCCCGCGGAGGGCCGGCTGGAGGTGTTCCTCAACCTCACCTGGGACCGCGTGCCCTCCTCCTCCTGGCAGTATGGCTGGCAGTGGCCCTACAACTTCGACCACGTAGATGCGCGGGTGGCATGCAGGCAGCTGGGTTACCGCGGGGGAGGCTGGGCGGTCAACGCCGCCGGCTGGGGCGGCTCTTATGAGGGACCGGTGTGGCTTAGCGACCTAACGTGTGCGGGCAATGAGACGTCGCTGCTGGGCTGCCTGTCGAGCAGTAACGGCAATAGCTGGAGCCAGCACTGGTGGTGGCCGGGGGCGACGGGAGTGATCTGCACGCAGGGTGAGTGGGGGGGGGGGGATGACATGGGTGGGAAGCAAAGGAAGCGGTGGGGGAAAGACTACTGTTGCATGGGGTACGTATTGTGGCGCGGAAGTCTTTCTGCAACATTAAAAATATGTGTACTTGCCTCTGTCGTTATGCTCCTCCTCCATTGCACATGCCTTTCGCCTTTCACCGGCTCTTCATCAAATAGGATGCGACGATTTCGTCGCCCTGCCACCCACATTTACCTCTTGAACATCTGCGCCATCAAGACTTGTCCAACAGCAACCGCATGCCACGCATGCCATTCATGCCATTCCACCTTCCACCTTCCGCCGTCGCGCGCTGCACTCATCATGTCCCTCATCATGTCATGACCACACCCAATTAGAGAATGCTCATTCGTTGACTCCATCCTGCAAGACGGTATGTGGTAGTTGTGGTCACAAGCAACAAGCATGTGCAGCATCCGAGGAACGTACTTGGCAATTTTTGTTATAGGACCATGACACCTGCTACCTCACTTCGTTTTTTCATAGAAATGCGAAAATCGCCGGAGCTCGAACCCGCGGGCCCTCCTTACCCGTTTCCCTTTCAGAAAACCCGCCGGCGGACGGCACCCTGCGCCTGGTGGGCAGCAGCCCCTCCGCGGGCCGGCTGGAGGTGGCGGTGGGCGGCATGTGGGGCACGGTGGACCCCACCGACTGGGGCTGGGCGGAGTCGCTGGTGGCATGCAGGGCGCTGGGGTACAAGAGTAGGTGGCGGGCGGAGGAGTGTGTGGGTCGGTGTGTGGGCTCCTTATCTAAAACGCCTTATCTATCTTTTCCTGTCCCTCCTCGTACTTGTTTAGGAAAGCATGCTGACAGCACCTAGGCATTCTTGTGTGTTGCACGGCTTCATGCCAGTCTGCCAGTCTGCCTCCTGTTTCGTCCGCCTCACCGCCCGCCCCCTCCCTTGCTCCCTCCCTGACACTCCATGGCACAGGCGTCCTCGACTTGGCGGCCGGTGCGGGCGAGGCAGTGCACCCCGGCATCATCACCTCCTACTACCTGCCCGTGTTGCTGTCAGGCATCAGCTGCAACGGCTCCGAAGCCTCCCTGGCTGAATGCTACGATGGCACCACCTACGGCCCCCCTGTCGGGCAGGCATACGGTCAGCCCATGGACCGTCCACGTGTTCTGCTGCGCTGCTCGCACCAAGCGCCGCCTCAACAGCTGTCCGTACGGCTGACTGGCAGCCCCGTGCCGTACATGGGCCGCCTGGAGGTGGGGGGGGGCTCGGCGGGTTCGGGTGGTCTAAGTGTCTTGACTGGTGGATGTGTCGAAGCCATGGCCCACAACACGCCTGCGTTCAGTGCTCGTTCGCGGTCGTTCTTCCTTCCATGCAAAACACTGTCTGTCAGTTTCCTTTACATTGTATAAGGGAACGCAGGCAGCCCCTTCCCTCATCCACCCACACGTTTCCTCTCACTCCGGGGCTCCATGCTCAGGTGTGGTGGGCGGGCGCCTGGGGCACCGTCTCCCGCCAAACCACCAGCGGCGGCTCCGCGGCCTTCGGACCGGTGGAGGCGGCGGTGGCATGTCGCATGCTGGGTAGGCTGGGGGTGTAGACCTGGTGGTGGCGGCGGTGGTGGGGAATGCGCACCTGCTGGCTCCTGGGTCGGGGTGAACCACGTGGTGGGCGCGTTGTTGCATGCCCTTGCAGATCCTGGCGGGACGTGCTGTTGGCAGTAGTGCTGGTGGTGGTGGTGGGGGAGTGCAGTTGCCACTGCAGCCGCGCTTCATTTCGCAACAGGGACCCGATCTGCAGCCGGTCTGCAGCCATGCGACCCTGCTCCCTGCTCTCTTGCCTCACCTGTGTTTGCTACCTGTTACACGTATTGCGTGGAGAGACATTTGGTTGCCTTTTTCTCTTCGTTGTGTCCTCTGGTTGCCTGACCACCGCCCCGTCATCTTGACTCATAGGTGTGTTACCTGCTTCCTCACCACTACCACTTCTTCTCTTCACCCCCTACCTCCAGGTTATGAGCCGCTGTACGGCAACACCTCTGACGTGCTGCGTGGGGAGAGCTTCGGGGTGAGTTTCTGGGAGGGCAGGAAAGGAATCAGGCTTCGAATGCCTAAACTGGCAAGTGCGTCCTCGGTTTCCTACCGTCGCCACTGCCCCAGTCGGTGCCCCAGTGATATCCTTATCCTTATCCTTCTCAATGCCCGTCCGGCGCTATCAGGCTGCAGTTGCTGTCCGTTGTTGTATCCTCGATCCCGCTCCTCTTCCTTATTATTCCGGCAGGAGGCCTCATTCGTCCTTCCGATCCTAAGACCCTTTCTCTTTTCATCCACGCCTTCCTCAACCCCTCCGTATCTCGTTCCCGCAGGAGGCCTACTCGCAGGTCCCAATCCACTACCAGCAGTTCGCCTGCAGCGGCACTGAGACCTCCCTGTGGGACTGCCCGGGGTTCGAAGGACCCATGGGTCACACGCAGCTGGGTCCCGGCTCGTCGTCTGAAGCCTATCTACATAACTACGACGTGGGCCTAGCCTGCCAGCCGCCTCCTTCTGGTGTGTGCTGCGGTTTTGGTGGCAGTAGCGTATGTTAGGTCGGGCATAGGTCGCTAATCGATTGCTCGGTGCCCTGTTTGTATTCGGCATTATCTTCTAGCTATACATGAAGGTGCTCTCGCGCCCCCTGCACCCTGTTACATTTAAACACACCACCCTGCTCCTTCCCGCGAACCGTTCCCCACACCCCTCAGATCCGGTGCAGTACTCGCCGCCGCCCCGGCCACCCCCGATCCCGCCCTCGCCTCCCAAGCCCTCACCACCATCGCCCCCACCCGCCAACCCGCCTCCTTCTCCCAGCCCTCCGTCCAGCCCCTTCACCCCACCCCATCCCAGCCCGGCGCCTCCTTCGCCGCATGCCCCTCCGTCGCCTCCCCCCTGGCCGCCCAGCCCGTTACCACGTAAGACATGACATGTCGTATGAGCGTACGACAGACCATTGCTTGGCGTGATTCCGAATAGCCTCATGCTTTTTTTCCTTTGCTGCAGTTCTGAAGGACACACACGTTGCACTTGTCAGACGAGTTTTGCTTGGTCGCGTGCGCTCCCTCGGCCCACTCCTCCCGAACTGACACCTCCCGCCGTTCTCTCCCTTTCCACGTGCTCCCCCTTTTTCCTCCCGTAGCTCCCCCGTCCCCCAGCCCGCCTCCTCCGCTGCCCAGCCCCCCTCCCGCCCCTCCCCCGCCCCCGCCCCCGCCCCCCGCCTTCGAGCTGCTGGCGGTGTCGCCCGGCCTGCTGCCGCTGGCGGGCGGCGCACTCACGCTAGCGGGGCGCTTCGAGGTGTGGCCCTTGGAGGGGCCGGTGACCTTCACCTGCGTGTTCACACTGACAGATGCCTCGGCGGGCGGCAAGGCGGTGACCTCCAACTACACGGTAGGAGTCACTAGGGGTGCATTGGGGCTCCTCGACTACCCAGCTTGATTCCTCCAACTGCCCATGCACCTCGTTTTGCACCCCCTCGTTCCGCTAATCCCTAGCCTTCCCTCCGTGACCGTGCCCCTCACTAACCCCTCCTCATCCCCTCCCCCTCACTGCTCCGCCCAGGCGGAGCGCCCCTCCGTGTCCGCCCTGCTCTGCCCCGCTCCCGTGGCTCGAAGCTCCGCCGCTTATCTGCAAGTCAGCGTCGCCCGCAGCCCCGCACGACCCGGCATGGAGGGGCAGCAGGATGTGGCTGCGGCGCCCGATGTCGTCAGGTGAGTAGGGGCAGGCGGGGAGGTTAGGACACGGCAATAGCTGACACGACGAGGCACCATCGTGCACGTTGGACCCTTAGAGACTGAAGGAGGCTTGTGCTTGGAGGGCAAGGCGGCCTGGTATATATGCGTATATCCGTTTTCACTGCATCCTTGCATCCCCATCCTAGCCTGTTTGGCGCCATCCGTCTGCCACATCAACAGATGTCTACCCCGTTCACCCTGGCCCTGACGTTTGCACCCGCGGTCACCCCCACGGCCCCCCCCCTGCTGGCCCTCCTGTGCTTCCGCAGGTACTACGCGCCCTGCCCCGCCGACTGCAGCGGCCACGGCAGCTGCCGACTGGGTGTGTGCGCATGCAACGACGGGTGGACCGGAGATGACTGCGGAACGCTGGTGCCCGTCTTCGCCATTGACAGCCTGCAAGGTGGGGTTGGGGTGCCATACATGCCACTGCCACGGCACTGGAGGAAGCTGCCAGCTTGTCATTTCCTCATCCTGCAATACCTGTGACACTTGTTTGCCCGTCTGGCGCCCTCCTAACACATTTACAAGTATACACATGCAGTACTGACTTTTATTACGGTTCACACCCACCCTCTCACCTCATCTCCTCCAGGCGGCCCTGCCAGCGGCGGGCGGCAGGTGCTGCTTGAGCGCATCTCCTGGGCCGCCCAGCCCCTCCTCGCCAATCCTACCCCCGCCACCTGGCTCCTCTCAACCGACCTAACCGCCATCACCATCAACTCCACAACCGGCCGCCTCACCTGGCCCGCCACAGCTGCCGCTCCCGACACCTCCGCCTCACCCCACCTGGTCACCATCACCGCTGTGTCGTACAGCGGCAAGGTAGCTACGTACAGCTTCTACGTCTCTGTCGTACCGTTGTACGGCATTACGGAGCTCCGGCTGCCGGGCGGCTCCCGGGCGGCCCCGGGCAGCAGGGTGGCCATTGCGGGCCGTGTGGGCCTCAGCCAGGCGGCCATCGCTGCTGGAGCAGGTAGGCAGGCAGGGTGCTGAGCGGTGCTTGTATGGAACTGTCTTTTGCTGGCTGACGGCCTCTTCCGGCGGTGATAGCTGCTGCTCGCTATCGTGCACTGCTGCCACCGTGATCGCTCTCCTGTGGCTCAATCGCGCCACCGCCAGCGGCGTGTATGCGGGCGATGAATGCAGCAGGAGCGCGGCTTGTTGGTTTCCTTTTTTAGAAAGCCTGCAGCATGAGTGGCCACGAATCCTATGAAGGTTAACGAGTATTAATAATCTCATTATCCACTGGATCTCCGGATCTCCCTACCTTCCGCACCCTAATCCCGCAGACGCCGCCACGCCGCTCCCCTCGCTGCCGGTGCTGGTGCTGGTGCGCCAGACCTCCCAGCTGGGCTCATCCACCTCCTCTTCCTCCTCCAGCAGTGGCTTCCAGGTTCTGCGGGCCAACAGCAGCTCCTCGGGAGACGGCGCCTTCTCAGTGGAGCTGGCCGTGCCGCAGAGCAGCATGGGGTGAGGCGGGGGGGAGGGGTGCAGCGGGTCGGAGGAGTAGAGTGGAGAGATGTCAAGCAGGGCTGGAGAGGGCGGAAGGGATTGCAGCAGAAAGGGTGAAGGAGGGTAATGGCAACGGCAGGGGAGCACACGGATTTCCAGTAACGGGAAATACACGGAGAGGTGGTTTGCAGTACGGTATGTGCGCTGCGGTCACGCGGGTATACAGCCCATGTTGCCCTTTCTGCTGCTCTCAAATTCTTACGGTACCGGCACCTCCCCTGCTTCGTACTCATTTGCTCTCCCCTCTCCTCCGCTCCGGTGTCCCCCTCTCCCCAACAGCTCTTTCGACATCTTCGCGCTGCACCCCGCCGCATCCCTCAACGACACCGCCCCCACACCCTCCCCTGCGGACGGCACCCCGCTCTACCAGCGCCGCTTGGCGCTCTCCGTTCCCTTCATTGCCGCGACCATCAGCAGCAGCAGTGGGCAGCTGGACCCGCGGTTCGCAGCGCCCACCCTGTCACTGGACCCGGGCAGCAGTGTGCAGCTGGGGGAGTTTGCGGGGCTGGTGGGAGCGCTGGAGGTGAGGGCATGGGGGGGGGGGGGGTAAAAAATTACGGTAAATAAGTGAAACAACGAGTCCCAATCCCATAGCCCGACTCATGCAGTGAGCGCATGGGGGGTAGGGGAGGTGCAGGTAGCTAGTATTGAGGCGTTGATGGTTATGCAGGTGGGCAGCGTGAACACAAATGGAGGGCTCTTACGTGGCCTTAAGCAAAGCAGTACACGTTCCACTTGTGTAACACTCGCTAACCACAACACCTTGCCCGTTGCCCCTACAGGATTTGGCTTCCCTGAACGTAACCGTGCGCACCCGCCTGGTCTCTTTCTCCGGACCCCCGCCCAGCCTTACCGTCAACACCAGCCTCGCCGCGCCGCCCTCGCCCCTCTGCACCGCCTCCTCCAACTCCTCCAGCCTGCCCCTCTGCCAGGGCGTGCAGGACGCCGCAGCCGGGGCGGCCCCTGGCAGTGCTGTGCTGCAGCTGCGGGTGGCATCAGCGCTGGTGCAGGGCTCGGGAGCAGCGGAACTGGAGGTGAGGCTTGGGGGTGCGATGGCTCGTGATATGCGTGGGCATGGCCGTTGCCTTGCTCAACCTGCATCCACCTGCGGTCAATCTGGCTGCATGCAGCCGCCGCGCTCCCTATCGGTACTAAACTTCTGTATGGTTTGCAACCGCATTCCGGCACATTTGTCGCACCAGGTTGTGCTGACCCTGCGCGGCGGAGTGAGCAACGCCACCGCCACCCTGCTGCTGACGGTGCTGGTGGACTCGGCGCGAGTGGAGCTGGCGGCCGACCCGGCGGGTCGCTTGTCCGTGGTGCTGCCGCCCAGGGGTGGTGCAAACTTGCACCTCACAATTACCAACAACGGCAACATTGCTTCAGGGTAAGGCTCGGGCTCCAGAGGTCCCTGTGGCCCTGTGCGTTGGTGCGTCCCATGCACCATGCGTTCAGTGCATGAAAACTGTAGGATCCCCCCCAACTACCATGTTATGCCATGCTTCCGGTACAGTTGCACCAGGCGTTGTCTCACCGTATCCTCCCAGGTCGTAAACGTTTGACCCATTCCTCCATTGCTTGTCTCCGTCGCTCTTCCCTCCCCCGCTCCCTTCTCTCCCGACCCTCTCCCATGCCCACATTCGCAGGCCTTTGCAGCTGCCCGCCATGCCCGCCGGCGGCTCCTGGCTCAGCCCCACCACCCCCCTGCCCCTGGCCTCCCTCGACCCCGGCGCATCAGCCTCCCTGGACTTCTGGGTGGCTGTGCCGTCGACCGCTCGCCTGGGTGACTCCTTCACCATCAGCACCACCCTCTACAGCAGCGTGACCCCCGGGTCGGTGCCGCTGTCTTTCGAGCTGGCAGTCGCCTCTGAGCCGCTTGGCAGTCTGGAGGTGACGGTGGTGGATGAGTACACTACCTACGACCCCGCGCAGCCCCGGGTGGCTGGGGCCCGGCTGGTGGTGTGGTCACAAGACGGCAGCACCATGATTGCCAGCGGCATGGTGGGTTGGGAGGCTAGCTAGGGGAGACCTGCCGATGTGCATGTGTCATTGGATGGTTTAAAACCTGCTTATTGGCTGGATTCCTGGGTCTCTGCCGCTCGCCTTTGCATAACCCTGTAACCTTCATGGTTAATCGCAGACGGGTGCGAACGGCACGTTCACGTTTGCTAACCTGACAGCGGGCTACACGTACGCGGTGGACGCCTTCGCCGCCAACCACACCTCCGCCCGCCGCACTGTCACCATCACAGGTGGGTGGGTTCGCTAGCCAGTTATGAACAATTCTTGTGATGGGCATCAACGTGGATGGGGTGCGGTGAACGTTAAGGAAGCATGGAGTCAAGAGGTTCATAGCTATATGTTAATAGTGTTCACGGTTGTGTGGGTGGCTCAGCAACGATCTCACCGATGCTGGGCGCGATACGCGGTCCATCCCCTGTTCCATGATCCCTTTCCGCCCTCATTACCTTCCCCGAGTGCAGGCGGCGCTCGCAGCCTGCGTGTCTTCCTGTCCCGCAGCGCCGTGCGCGCCTCCTTCGCCGTCATCCCCACCACCTTCCAAGAGGTGGTCGACATTGTGGTCAACGTGGAGTACCTTACCTTCGTGAGTGGGGCTGCTGGGGGTGGGTGTGCTGGGAGCTTGTATGGACCATGGAGCAGGCAGTTGTCTTGCTGGGAGCCACATTGGCGTGTGAGATGATGCCGGATAAAGACTGTTTGATGTGCTACCGAAGCAGTGCTGGTGATTTTGCTGGGGTTGTCATGCGTGGGGCCCATCTAGTCATGCATGCATGCGCCCTTCTATGTTGCTGCGCAGGTGCCCATGCCGGTGGTCCGGGTGGAGCCGCCTCTGCTGTGAGTGATGAGGGGGGAAGGCAAGGCATGAAGGAGGGCTGTAGTTGGGGGCGGTTGGGATAGCGCTACGCAAGTCCACGCTGTACTGCATCGTTTTGGCCGCCAGCTTGGATTGCGCATGCATGCTCGGCCCGGAGCACCTTTATGTCCTACATCCCGTGGTCACCCTCCGCCCCGCCGGACTTTCGTTGTTTGCATTTCTTATATAATTTACCCCCCGCCTCCCTCGCGCCTCCCTCGTGCTGCAGCTACGTGGAGGACATGCTGGCGTCCCGCACCCTGCAGCTGCGCATCATTAACACGGGGCTGGTGGCGGCGTCCAACGTGCGCCTCAACGTGCCCGTGAACAGCCCGGTGAGCGGGGCGGGGGCGGGAGTGGGGGTGCGGGTGCGGGGGGAAGAGTGTTAGGAAAGCCTGGCCGCGAAGAGGAACGTACTTGATTGTCGGAAGATGATGTCCCCAAACCGAGACGCCACGGGAAGGGTGTGTGGGTTGGCGGAGGGGGCCTCGAAAGCGGGAGGAAACATCGGCAAGGTGCTGCTGTAACGCCCTGGGCGCTGCTCGTCTGCTGCATTCATGCTTATATACTCCAACATGAACGATGAGCGGGTTGCTTGGATCTCCATCTCCGTCACAGACCCCTTTGACATGCCCTCTTCCGTCCCGTCTTACCCCCTACCTCTCCTCCCCCGCAGTACTACACACTGGGCTTCCTGGGCGCCCGCTGGCTTCAGCAGGAGAACGTAACGATGGACGAGCCCGCCGACATTATGGTGTCATCCTCCGCCGCCTCCTCCAACTCCACTGCCGTCATCGACCTCTCCAGCGACAACCTGTACGTGCAGCTGGGCCGCCTGCCCGCCGTCAGCACACTGCTGCTGGAGCTGGCGGTGGCGGACAGGCACCTGGGCGGCTCCGGGGCGGGGAACAGCACTGGCGGGGCGGCGGACGGCGGCTCCGGGTCGACGGGCGACACCTCCGGGACAGGCGGCGGCTCCGGGGGACAGGACGGCGGCTCCGGTTCAGGAGGTGCTGGAGGCAGCAGCGGCGGGGCGGATGGCAGCGGCATTGACGTGTGCGGGTGGTCGGCGCAGTTGGATCTGGCGTGGTGGGACCCTTGCGACCCAGGCGCGGACCGGGGCACCGCCGTGTCTATCATCAGCAGGTATGCTATACCTGGGCCTGCCTGGCCTAACACGTTATAATAATTGTTGCTTATAGCGTGAACGGCGCTGCGCGAGGGTCGCAATTAGGTTGACCCTTTGCTGCCTGTGGTTTGCCCCTGCACCGCCCCTACACACCTCAGGACCTTCAACCCCAAGTGCGTAACGTCATGTTGCGACAGTACCTTTGTGCAAGACATGACCGTGTACAGCCCTCCAAACAGTGGCGGTAGCATTGAACCCGGTGCTTCATCTTCTACTACTTACAACGTCCTGAGTGAGTTGGAAAAGGAGCGGCGGCCCTGCCATACAACCGCAGCTAGCCTTCATGTCTGGCTGCTGTGTAGTTGAGCGGAAACAAGAGCAAGCATGTCTGGCTCTGCTGTGTGAGGACATAACGCAGGACACATACATGCCATAACCGACCATGCATGCATGCACCGTAAGAGACATGCTAGTAGTGACATCAGCTGAGCACTGTGCAATTCATCTCCACACACCTCTAGCGGCGACCCCCCTGACCGACAGTCCCTTATTGCCCCTGGCCCCCCGAACCCGTCACCGCATCTAACCTCGCCACCATGGAACTGTCGGACGTCAGAATGGGACCTGTGCAACGAGGCAGGTGGCGGGTGGGGTACTGAGCGAGATAGGTCTGGACGGGCCATCCACTGCCGTACGTGCACGAGGGGCTGTGCTGATGTGCTAACGAAGCTAGCTGGCCTGTGTTTTTACACGTACGGCGGCCACTTGCTAACACTTCCTCCATCCAGATGGCGACTCCTGGGCAACCACTAGCATACCCGCTCCGGGTAGCATGCTACCGCTGTGCTGCAGCTTCCTTCTCGATGTGCATACCACGATTATCGCAATACTGTGGCTCATTGCATCCGCCGCTTGCAGATTCCATCTTACTTCCCCTACCTCTCTCTCCCCACTCCTCTTCCTTGCAGTGTGCTACTGACTGGTTTGATGTGGGCTTGTGTCTGGCTAAGGACATTATCGCCCCCTGGAGCAAACCTGCGGGCCAATTGATCGATGTTGTCCGCCGTGTATATGGCATGATGAAGAAGGTACGACACATGCATGCCCCATGCACGATGATTACAACACGCGGGCTTATCCCAACGAAGAGGGAGATGTGGAAGGGACTGTGGCACGGGACACACGTGTTAACCTGAAGCGTGTAAATGCCCCGTGGGAAGAGTGGATCGCTTTCATCCGGGCCAAGCACGGTTAGGTGTTTGCCCTCCCCTCTCACAAACACAACATGCTGCCACATGCACGGGCCCACCTGCTCGCAGGCCGGCGCTGTCCGGCGCTCGTTGTTTGAGACGAGTGCAGGTGTGGGTGCTCTTGAGGGAAACTCCCAGCAGCTGCCCTCGCCTGCGCTGCCCGGACAGCACTCGTCCTCCCTCCTGGCCATCGCCCATACACCTGATGATGCTACCGCGGCCATTACAGCTGCTCTGGTTGCCAGAGAGGGCGCGGCTCAGGTTGCCGATCAGAAGCAACAACGCAGCCGGATTGAGTTGTCAAAGATGCAGCAACTGTGGGATGAGGACGGTGACAACGACTCTCCAGTCGTCGTCCAGGCGGCTGTGTACGACCAGTTGGAGGAAGGGAGCGACCCGTGGGTCACCCGCCGGTCACTCCTAGACATCCCTGGAATCCCCGGCGGCTTATCAGGCCCATCAGAAATGATTGTGGTACGTAGGCTGCATATACTAACAGTTGTTTTGACATGCTCAGAGAGGGCGGACCCGTCTGGCTGCCTGGCAGTTCGTTATACTTTAACTACACCGCCCTGAGCTCCCAAGCTTAACTACCGGAATCCATTTTTTCCCTTTCTCCCGTGCCTTCCCTTGACTTACTCAACGCCGCTAACTATTATCCCCGCCATCTCCGCATGTGATGTCACCTCGCCTGTACGGCAATAACCGACATCGCAGGATATCATCAAGGACAAGGTAGGGTTGTGTCATGCGAGTAAATCGTAAACCTCAGGTGTTCATTTTTAGGTTCATTAGTTTTGTGAGGGCTCGTTCGGGGTGTCGATCGGGGTGTAGAAAGCCGATACTTACACGTGAACAGTAATTACCCTTCGTTGAGTTGCTGTTTGCATGTGTCACAAATGATTGACTGCATACCGGCGTTTCGGTGCTGGCTTCTAAGGCCATACAATCATTCCTATCTTCCCTATCCTTCCGGCTGCCCCTCAGACTATCGGCAAGTTGCCGTACATTGGGTGCCTGCTGGACCCGCTGCTGGACTGTCTTGGCTTCTGGGATTACCTACGTGAGAGGGCGGGCTGGGAAGGGGGTGTCAGATTGGAGAGGAGAGGGAGGCTCAACCGGCTGGGCCTTCGCCTTGAAAGGCGGAGGTACACCTTGATTGGCAGGGCAGGGAGTACGCCTCACAAGATGCCCCCTCTCCCTCACCTCTCTCTTCTTACCCCGCCTTGCCTTACGTGCGCTTCCTCTCCTCTCCTCTTCCTCCTCCTGCTGCGTTCAGAGGACAAGGTCGGTGATGTGTTGTCGGCCCTTGGCGACTTTGCTGCTTCACAAGGCATAACTATCCCGACCACTGGGTGAGCTAGCGAGCCCTTACCTGGGATATCTAGGTTCTCCTACCTAGGGCAGTGAGCAAGTTGTACAATACTGTGGATCAGGAGTGTTGGCCTCCGTGGATGAGGTGGTTAGGAGCGCATGGCCCATGTATCCGTCAACTTCCTACAACATGAACGCAAGCACTGTGTTGAGCCACAGCACGTTGAGAAGTTGAAGTGGTCCCTTCCTCTCCTTTCTTTCCCTCTTCACTCCCGCACAGGCACCACCGACGCAGTCTATCAGCGGACCCCTCCTCCTCCTCCGGCGCCGGGTGTTCCCGCAGCCCCGCCACCACCCTGCAGCCGCTGGCGCCTGCCCTCGTCATCCCGCTGGATGTCGCCCTCAGGCCGCCATCCCCTCTGGAAGTGCTGCTGGGGGTGCAGACTACTGCTGCGATCAACTCCACCACCTCCTCAACTGAGAAGAACGCCAGCGCGCGCCGCCGCCTGCAGAATGGTGGCACGCTGTACGTGCCGCCGGAGCAGCGCCAGAGCCACATCATGGAGGGCCCCGCAGGTGCAGGAAGGGGCGGGAGGGGGTCCAGGTGCTCTTGACTGCCATGCGGTATACTGTACGCGTGTCAGGATGGAGCGGGTGGCATCACGGGCAGGGGCGGGACGGCTATTCGCAGCATATGTGTGGACCTAGTGTTGGTAGGGCGTGGATGCATGCTTTGGAGATAGACATGTGCGGTCGGGCATGGGGCGTGGGGAACGTCTCCGCTGTGGCACCTTGCCAACCTTATTGCTCCGCCCCGCACCCACCGCCCCGCACCCACCGGCCCTGCAGGCCAGGAGGTCATCCGCTGGGCGGCTGCCATCGTCAATCTGCATGCGGCGGGTGCCGAGATGTGGGGCCTGGAGCACTACATGTGAGCTGGGCAGCGGGGACACGACGGGGCAGGGAAACCTCTTCACGAATCGCGATTATTGTGCATACCTGTTCTGTACACGCACTGTGTATTTCAGGCTTAGTTGACCACCTAGAGAGCGGGGAAGGGCGCTGCTGTATGTCATAGGGCGATTAGACTGCTCGCCCATGCAGTTACACCTCATCATGCGGTGAAGCAGCAGCCCTCATCCAATCCGCCTCCGCTCCTCCTCCTCCTCCTCCTCCTCCTCCTCCTCTGCACACACACCCCACCTCGGCCCCGGCCCTCCTTCCAGGGAGTGGATGAACCCCGAGTTCCCTGCCGACGTGGAGGCGCAGTGGCGGGCCGCCTGGGAGGCCGCCACCTCGGACGCCTCCCCCTCCGGGGTGCTGGTGGACTGGGGCGCGGAGGCTCCGCAGCTGCTGGGCGAGCAGTTCGCCCCGCTGGTCAACGCTACTGCCCGACAGGCGCTGATCGACAGGTGGGCTCGGCGGCAGGGTGGAGGATGCATGGGGTAAAGAGGAGGGTACTAACTAGCCTTGGATGGTAGTCGACCCATCCCGCCTAGCTGGGAGGAGGATGGGGGGTTTGGGGGATGGGGAGGCACGTTCGTGGCGTAGTAAGCGTGCAGGTAGTACGGCGGGTTCACTCTTATTAAGGAACATTGTAGCTGTGCAAAGTGTTTTGCGTTTTGCCCGCGCCCTCGGGCGACCTTAGCTACGAACCTATCACTATTTTCAAGCATCGGCCGTAAAAGTCCAAATCTCTTGTTCCCTTCCATGTTGCTGACCCTATCATCAGGTGGAACGCCACCTTTGCCCAGCAGCCCGGCAGCAGTAACAGCAGCAGCAGCAACAACAGCTCCCAGCCCGGTACCATCAACCTGGAGCTGGTGCAGCGGGCGCAGCAGACCTACCTGGCCGAGACGCTGGCAGCACTGGACCAAGGATACGCCAGTGAGAGGGGATAACGAAGCAGGGCGTCCAATGCCGTACCCTCATTGCGTGCTTTCTAATGCGTATATATGCTGTGTTGCACTGTTGTGGCTTCACGATCCTGCATGAGTGGGCACACGCCTTGATGCACGACTTTCTTTTTACGAAGCGTGCCCTTGCATAAATGCATGAGAACTAACGATGCCGCCTTGGCCCAACCGCAGCTTACCCTTTCCCACCACCCGCTCCCTCGCAGGTGTGTTTGACGCAATCGACCAGAGTATCAGCACCCTCATCGCGCCCTACGTGGCCGGTACCGCGGGTGGAGGCGCCACGTGCGCCCGTGTGGTGGTGCAGCTGAGCCAGCAGCTGGTGCTGACGCGGCAGGCGTTCGAGGCCTCCCTGCAGCTGGACAACAGCGGCGGCGCCAGCAGCCTGAGCAACGTGACGGTGCAGCTGACGGCCTGGGTGAAGGACACTGGGGAGGCGGCCGGGAACGCGTTTGCGGTGGGGTTGCCCAGTGTTGAGGTAGGTGATGACGGGAACAAGGGGTAGAGGGCGGGAGGGAGTATGAGCATGAGTATAATATGTATAATATATATGAAGTTATAATATGTATATGTATAATATATATGAGTATAATATGTCATGAGCGACACCTATAGCTCCTTTTGTCTCCCACCTTCCCTGCCCTCTTCCCAGGGCATGGAGCAGGATGACAGCGGCCTGCTGGTGCTGCCCGCTGGCGGTGTGAGCAGCATGCGGTGGCTACTGGTGCCGCGGGAGGCCGCAGCGCTGCAGGCCGACACCTGGTACTACATCGGAGGCCAGGTCACGTGAGTGCCGTAGCTGTAGCGCCTGGAGGAGGGTCGGTCGGCTGGTATGGGGAGCTACTTTGTGTGTGTTTGCAGCCCGCGGGGCCTACTCTTTGAGAGTAACTTGGTGTTGACTTCCTCGGGGTTTCAAGTAAGGTTCTTTGGGAGTTTTGCACTTTCTTGTCCAAGTCCCGCATCGCTGCCCGTGCGCCCACTACTCTCTCTTCGTCGCCCTAAACGTACGGCACCTGCCGCGCAGTTACGTGCCGGGTGACGGTCTGCCCGCCGAGGTGCTGCCGCTGGAGCCAGCTGACGTGCGCGTGTCACCCGAGGGGCAACTGGAGGTGCGCTACTACATCGAGAAAGACGTGCAGGTAAGGGAGCAGGGGGAGGGCGGGGAAGAGTACCGTATAAGAGGGGAGAAGTCCCAAAGGTAGGCAGGCCGGCAAGGGATCCACCATGTGGCACCGAGCGCGCAGGAAAGGTGCAGGGCTGCTGATCGGCCTACTGAACCCCTACTACTACTACTGATAGATAGGTGTAGCTCCTGCCTAGCATGGTACACACACGGGCGCCATACCACCTGTTCGCAATGACCACCTACCTGTCCACCATCAGGCACCTACCTCCCCTTCCCCCCTTCCCCCCTGCCCCACCCTCCGCCTGCCGGTATTCCGCTGCCTCAGGGTGACAACCCCTTCACCTCCGCCGTGGAGCCCAGTGTGCCCGCCGCGCTGGTCACCCTGCTGCACAATGTGGGAACCGGGGTGGCGCGCGGGGTGGCCATGCAGTCGCTGCAGCCCAAGATTGTGGAGAACGAAAAGGGCCTCCTCATCGCGTTCAGCATTGTAAACGTCACTGTGAATGGCCGGCAGGCGCCAGCGTAAGTGCGCGGAGGATGACTTGGGTGGGGTTTGGAGTGTGAAGCGTTCTAAGACCCTGGGTCGAGGGCCGTGCATGTAGTCGCATGTAGAGTAAGCGCGGTGTCATGGTTCACCTTGCAAGTGGTGTTTCCCGTCCAGCTGAAAACCCACCATCACCTTATATCCCCCGTTCATTCTAGCCTGAAGGCGTGCGAAATCCTAACTCGCTGCCGCCTCATGTCAACTGACAGGGCTCTGCTGGCGGATGTGGGCGATGTGGCGCCCGGCAGCACCGCAGTGGTACAGTGGTGGATCAGCGCGTCTCTGCAGGTGAGCAAACGGGACACTCGACGGGACTTTAGGACTTGCAGGAGAAAGGCCCCTCACAGATGTCAGCCTGGTGATCGTTGTATTCACAGCATTGTACGGCCCATGACCCTGTCCCCATCACGGCTTTTGGTCAGACACACTCTTTACCCTCGCTCCCTTGTCGATCGCTTATAGCCCGCATGCCTGGCCGTCTAGACCTCCTTCCAGTCCAGGCCTCTTCTTACTTATTTAGCTCCCACCCCCTTCCCTGCCGCTTGCCCAGGGTACTTTCTCCGGCATCAACGCCACCTTCAGCAGCCGCAACCCGCTCAACGACCCCACCCTCAGCACCGTCACCAACGTGACGCTGTACGACCTGCTGCACCTCGTGCACCTGGGCGGTAGGTGGGGAGGGGCATGGTTAAGGAGGGAACGTGGGCGGGGGTATGGGGTTGCGCCGCATGCATGGGTTAGCGAAGTAGTGTTGCAATTTCGGATGGAATGGCGCGGTCCGCCTCTGGTGTGCACTCTGCTGCTCCACCTTCCTGGGGACGGGCTCCTGGGCTCCACTGTTCGGGTAGACGAACAGTGAGCTTTATCGCACGAACAATGGCTGGAATGCATTATCGAAACATGGTACCCTTTCTAACAATAGCACACCTGCCGGCATAACCTTTCTGCATCCGCTCATCCTCTGCATATGCCCCTCTCCCCGCCCCCTGCCTGTAGGCGCCGCTGACGACGGCCAGCCTGACATGCTGGTGTCCGCCTACTCGGGCTCCACCACTCCCGCCGCCATCCACAGCAGCCGCGACGGCGCTGTCCTGCCGGTCTCAGTGGTACCCTCCGCCGCCCTCACCAACATCTCCACCAGCGTAAGCGGCCCCACCCTCACCATTACCATCCGGGTGGACGGAACCCAGCTGAGGACGCCGGCCGTGTGGGCTGCTGGCAGCAGCAGTGGCACCTGCGGGTGGCAGTACCTGCGGATGAGCAGCCCGGCGGCCCTGCAGCCCAGCAGCAACTGGGTTCTGCGGTCCGCCACGGCTGCTGCTGCTGCTGCTGCTGCTGGTCAGAGTGGCGGTGTGGATCTAAGCCTGCCGTACAATGCATGGGCTTCATACCGAGTGTACGGCTCTGATGCAGCGGCGCAGGACTACATCCACGTGCTGTACGACGGGTACAACTTGACAGGGGATACGGTGCTTACACTGGCGTTTGAACTGGCAGGCCAGCCATCTCAATTCCAAATGCCACCCCCCAGCCCGCAAATCTCTTCGGCAAGCCCTCCACTGCCTCCTCCCGTCCTGGCGGAAACACCCGCTTCAAGCCCTCCGCCGCCATCTTCACCCAGTCCTCCCATTCCGCCTTCACCTCCCTCTCTGCCGCCACCCTCACCTCCATCGCCCCTGCCACCTTCACCTCTCTCTCCGCCGCCACCCTCACCTCCATCGCCCCTGCCACCTTCACCTCCCTCTCCGCCACCACCCTCACCTCCATCGCCTCTGCCGCCCTCGCCTCCCTCTCCGCCGCCACCCTCACCTCCATCGCCCATGCCGCCTTTACCTCCCTCTCCACCGCCACCCTCACCTCCATCGCCCCTGCCACCTTCACCTCCCTCTCCACCGCCACCCTCACCTCCATCGCCCCTGCCGCCCTCGCCTCCCTCTCCACCGCCACCCTCACCTCCATCGCCTCTGCCGCCCTCGCCTCCCTCTCCGCCGCCACCCTCACCTCCATCGCCCATGCCGCCCTCGCCTCCATCTCCGTCGCCACCCTTACCTCCATCGCCTCTGCCGCCCTCGCCTCCATCTCCGTCGCCACCCTCACCTCCATCGCCTCAGCCACCTTCACCTCCCTCTCCACCGCCACCCTCACCTCCATCGCCCCTGCCACCTTCACCTCCCTCTCCGCCGCCACCCTCACCTCCATCGCCCCTGCCACCTTCACCTCCCTCTCCGCCACCACCCTCACCTCCATCGCCTCTGCCGCCCTCGCCTCTCTCTCCGCCACCACCCTCACCTCCATCGCCTCTGCCGCCCTCGCCTCCATCTCCGTCGCCACCCTCACCTCCATCGCCCCTGCCACCTTCACCTCCCTCTCCGCCACCACCCTCGCCTCCGTCGCCTCTGCCGCCCTCGCCTCCATCTCCGCCACCACCTTCACCTCCATCGCCCCTGCCACCTTCACCTCCCTCTCCACCGCCACCCTCACCTCCATCGCCCCTGCCACCTTCACCTCCCTCTCCACCGCCACCCTCACCTCCATCGCCCCTGCCGCCCTCGCCTCCCTCTCCACCGCCACCCTCACCTCCATCGCCCCTGCCGCCCTCGCCTCCCTCTCCACCGCCACCCTCACCTCCATCGCCTCTGCCGCCCTCGCCCTCACTTCCATCGCCCCTGCCACCTTCACCTCCCTCTCCACCGCCAAGCTTGGCTCCCCGTCCACCGCCGCTCTCACCTTACCCTCCGCAGCCTTCCCCAGCTCCGCTGCAACCGGTACCACCCTCTCCTTCCCCTCCTCCACCACCCTCTCCTTCCCCTCCTCCACCACCCTCTCCTTCCCCTCCTCCACCACCCTCTCCTTCCCCTCCTCCACCACCCTCTCCTTCCCCTCCTCCACCACCCTCTCCTTCCCCTCCTCCACCACCCTCTCCTTCCCCTCCTCCACCACCCTCTCCTTCCCCTCCACCACCCTCTCCTTCCCCTCCTCCACCACCCTCTCCTTCCCCTCCTCCACCTCCCTCTCCTTCTCCTCCACCACCTCCCTCTCCTTCTCCTCCTCCACCACCCTCTCCCTCCCCTCCTCCACCTTCACCGGGTCCTCTTCCTCCACCCTCGCCGGCGCCCCAGCCTCCACCCTCCCCTTTCCCTCCTTCTCCACCCCTACCCAACCCAGCCCCGCCGCCCCCTACCATGAGCCCCCTACCGCCCTCGCCCCCCAGCCCCCCAGCTCCAACCCATCCCCCTCCTCCTCCGCCCACCTCCTCCCTGGAGCCGGGCACTCCAGGAAACCCACCCGACGCGCCGCCTTCAATCCCCGAGCCTCCCTCCATGCCGCCACCACGCAGCCCCAGACCCCCGCGGTCCCCGGCCAAGCCCCCTAGGCCGCCACCCAAGGCTCCCAAGCCCCCTAAGACCCCCAAGGCGCTGAAGCCCCCATCACCACCTCCAGCGCCTCCACGCTTTCCTCCGAGCCCCAACCCTCCTCCACAGCAGCCCCCCAGCCCTTCCCCACCACCTCCAAGCCCCTCACCTCCACCTCCAAGCCCCTCACCTCCACCACCTAGTCCCTCCCCGCCGCCTCCTATCCCCTCGCCACCCCCTCCCAGCCTTCCACCGTCACCTGAGCCCCCAGCTACACCACCACCTCCGAAAAAGGGTAACAAGAAGTCACCTCCTCCTCCCCTACCCTCACCACCACCACCCAAGTCCCCCAAATCTCCCAAATCTCCCAAGTCTCCGAAGGCCCCAAAGGTGCCCAAGGCACCCAAGACCTCAGGCTAATCGATGTGGAACCCGCCTCTTGAATTCGGGCATTGGCTCGCTCGCCGTGGACTCGAAGAATCATGGGTATTGTTTAATACTTAATTACTTCATCTTCAGTGGCTGGCTGATGCAAATTGCAACACGCATCTTTGTGGCTCTGTTGTTGACACTTGAGGCAAGGATAGTACACGCATTCCTGTTGGTTACGCGTACGGACGCATGACTTGAGTGGGATGACGCTGTAGCATGAGGTAACCCTTGCAGTTGAGCATGAAGAAATATATTTGAAAGATGTAAGTTGTATATAGTGCGGGTTTGTGGTGCTTGTGTGCATGCCATCGAGTGCATGTGGGCATGTTCATTTGGTGTTAGGCTTTGAGATCCGACCATGCTGCATCTTGACCGTTTTCTTATACGTTATTGGTTTCAACCAGCAGAATAAAACATTGTTTCACATTCTCGTTAGCAGCCGTATAATTCCTGTAATAGGGCTCAACAATCAACCTTACGAAGGGCCCGACACATGCCATGCTGGTTCACAAAACCGCCGTGAAAGATGTCTAGGTATGCATCGCAAATTTAGACGATAGATGAGACAGCATTAGTTCGCAACCGTCCCACCAGGGGTTTAAATATCACGAGTGCACGTCAGCTGTTTATGCCTGGGAAGTGGTGTTTACTCAGTCCTGGGCAGATGCATGGTATGTATGTATGTATGTATGTGTTACAAGCTTCGTACCGAGCTCGTAAGATCCGTCCGAGCCAGAAGGCTCATGGATCGCGAGCACAAAGCGCGAAAACAACCAAAAGAAGAAAAGTAAACAAAAGAGACAACAAACAGAACGCTAATCATATGATAAACCCTGTCTGTGCAATCCTGCGACTTCGCATGCTAGTGATTACGCTAGCAAGCAATGCCTGATTCTCCATGCCCATGACAGCAATCATATCAGCATCCCGTGAGACACCACTTTCCCATATCTTATCACGCAAATCATCGTAAGCGGGACATTCAATGAGGATGTGTTTCTCATCTTCCACTCTCCCCGGCGACCCCTGCACGGCACACATAGGACAGACACGCGCTACTCGTTGCCTACCCATGATGATGATGATGCATGGGCGTGTGCACCATTCCGCGGTTGTCGTACTTAACATGGGGTCTCCATGTATCCTCCATGAATTCCAGGGTACTACATGGACACATTAAGAACTTCAGGTTATTTGGTGGGACTATAGCATGCTGAAAGAGGCTAAAGTTGGAAACGGTGGTGCACGACAGTTAGGAGAGGGCGTGAATACCGACTGCCTCAAAGCAGCAGCAGGTCAGCTAAAGTATGTATCTTAAAAGCCTTATCGAAAGCAATAGTCGCCGTGTTCAATAGTTGCAACCCGGCGTTTACAGTGTGTATGTTTCACCGGTATCTTTCATCGGCTGACCAACAGTTCCTGCCACCTATGCTAACAAGCTTGGGCTGAAACGAGCAAAAGGGTTGTTTCCTCGCAATGGCAAGGCGCAAAAAAACTGCTTGCGGCGGACGCCATGGCCGCAGCGGCGGGACAGCAGCAGCAGCAGGACAGGAGGAGCAGGGCAACAGCGGGACTTCTGACGCTTTTACAGCAATCGTCAGAGAAAGCGCTCAGCAGCTCCCACGGGCAGTCGAGCGGTTGCTGGAAGGTCCCGCTACGCTGAAGGAGGCGACATACCTGGACATCTCCAAGCACATAAACGTCCTGATCGACTATTCCTTAGAGGATATTGATGACGGGGGTACAGCTCGTAGCGTTACGTTGCTGCGTGACGGATCTCTCCAGCTTGCATTGCTGCAGCTCACCGCTGTCACATCGCGGTTCTCGCTAGAAGAAGCAAGTGGCCTCCCGCGCGACACATCACAAGGCGACAAAACCTTTGTTGAGCTCACCAGCTCGCTCGTGGCCTTCCTGCTGGGCCAGGCCACATCCTCTGCTGTGGAGTTTGCCCTCAAGCTGCTGCGTATGCACACCCTGCAGGCCTTCAGCCGTCAATTGGCAGCTACCGCAGAGCTCTTGTTAGGCTCGACCACTTCATCTGTCGGGCAGCTCAGTATGGCACTTAGCTTTGCCGAGAACGCGCTGATGATTATCCAAAGCTTAATCTACGCCTTAGAGGAGCAGGGCGAGCTGGGGCCATCAAGCGACCAAACATCTTTGCATCAGCACGCGCCCAACATGCAATTCCGCAACGAGCTTGCATCCAACCTGGTCGACAGCAGTGTGCTGGATCACATTTCCCGGGTTCTGCTGCTGGTGCAACTGAATCACGGGATGTCTGATGGGTCCAACGACGAGCTGGACGGAGCCCTGCGAATGCCAACAACGCTGTTGAACCGGGTTCTGCTGCGCATCTATTACAGTACCCCTCAATTCCAGGCGGCGCTGTCCGGCCGCTGTGTGCAGCAAGCGGCTATAGTGCTAGGCCTGTCTGCGCTGTGCGCGGCGGACGACGGTCCTTCCTACGGGCTGCCGTCAGAGCTGATGCGCGGTGTGCCCTTGCTGCTAGCGCCTGGCGAGGGCGATAGCTGCTGCTCCTGTTGCGGCGTTGTCATCAACGAGTGCAGCAGCAGACCGTCGTACCTAAACGACGATGTCTTCTTCGGGGTGCTGGCTGCACTGGATGCTGAGTCAGCACCTACATGGATAAGCCGGCGGGCCGCCCTAACGCTGCTGCTGCGGATTGGGCGCTTGGTTGTGGCTTCCGGGCAGCTGCATGCCACAGGGGTGTCCGGAGGAGCAACGGGTGATAGCGGCCATGGCGGCAGCAGCAGCAGCGGCGGCCGCACTGACGGCGGCAGCAGCAGCAGTACGGCATCTGGGTCGGAGGGGAGTCGGGTCAGGCGGCTTGTGTTGCGGCAGGGGGACCTTGCCGGCCTCGCGCTGCTCGTCCTTGATCGCGCCGAGAAGCTGAGGGCGCTGCATCCGCAGCCAGAAGGTTCCGCGTCCTGGGCAGCCGAGGCGGGGGAATGGTGGCGGTTGCTGGTGGAGGTCATTCGGTACACCGTCCAAGGAGCCGAACAATCCCAGCAGTCAGCGCTTGGCGCAATGCTGATGCGGTCACTTGCGGGTGCATCGGTGGCGTTTTTTAACGGTAAGCAAGGATAACCTACTGCGCACGGGTGTAAAAGATAAAGCGTCTTTTACTACCGTAGGCGCATTTGAAGATGTAGGTGCAGGGAGGTTGCTGTGAGCGTTTTTTAGAGCTTGCCGCTCCCTTTTAACCGTACCGTGCAGGGACGACCCCGCTGCCTCCCTCGCTGCCCCCGCCGCCTCCCGAGCTGGCAGCTGCTCTGTCAGCCGGCGTGCTGCCCTGCCTTGAGCGCCTGCTGCGTCGCACCGGCAGAGATCTCCTAAGCCCTGAGGCGTCTGTGTTGTACGACATGGATTCAAGCGCGTATTCCCGCACGGTTACTTCCCTGTTTGCGTACGGCGATTTACGCCAGGCAACGGCGCTGATTACGACGTTGGCCAAGATCCTTCGATTGGACCCACGGGTCGTGATAGAAAGCGGGTCGTCAATGCACCGTGCGGCTGATGCGCTAGCAGGCTCACGCGTTGCTGCGTTGGAGATGGCCTTAGATTTCCTGCATGATGCAGCGGCATTCAGTGCGGCTGAGTTCAAGGGAAGCGCCCTCCTGACGGCTGGGTTGTGGCCGCAGCCAGAGCAAACATCGGCCTGGCAACAGCAGCTGCGGCTACTGCTGTCGCATGCCACATGCGAGCTGCTACCCCTGCTGACCCGTATGTTACGGCAAGGGATGCTGTCCGAACTCCGCCGGCATACCTCTTTCCGCCGCCTGCTAGCGCCGCTGGTCAGGTGGCTGCCCTTGCTGGCCGCACTGTGCTTTGATAACAGCAAGGGCGAGGGCCGAGGGACCTCCCGCGATGGTTGCGGAGGAGGAGGGGTAGCACAGGGAGGAGAGACGGGCGCAGCCGCCACTGCTGTGCTGACGGCTGCGGACAGCGACGACCAGCGCTACTGGCGGCGGTTTCTGTTGGAGGAGATTGGAGCGATCCCGTTGCTCGGCACTGCCATGCATGTGATACGAGACATGGGGGAGGAAGACGCGCACTCTGTGCTGCTCAGCTGGTTGGGCGTGGCGTGCTGCGCGGTAGCGGAGGCATTTCCTGAGCAGGTGCGGCTAGCGACCCAGGGGTCGGTCGAGGTCGGTGCCAATAGACGCAGCAGCACGAGCAGTAGCCGCGCCGCCACCACCACGGTTCCCACCGGATGTTGGCGGCCAGAACCCCTGCGAGCCCTGCTGTTGACGCTGCGTGCCAGTGGGAAGGGGAGTGGCATAGCAACGGAGGTGGAGGAGCTGGTGTGGAAGCTGGAGAGATGGCGGGCGGGCGGTGAGGAGGGCGCTGAATGCATGGAGGGGAGGTGTGCCGCAGGAGAAGCAGCAGAGCCCGGCGACGTCGGGGTGTTGGGGTCCCTGAGGAACATGGCGCTTTGGCTGGTGCCTCCGACTGAGTTACGGCGCCGGCTGCCGCTGCAGCTCTGCAGCAACCCGCGGTGCAGCAACCTGGCTGGGGACAGCGAGGCGGAGGTGAAGCTGCAGGCGTGCGGCCGGTGCGGGCAGGTGGGGTACTGCTGCCGGGAGTGTCAGGTGGCGCACTGGAAGGCGCCGGGGGGGCACAAGGAGGTGTGCGGGCGGGGCCGCAGCCGGGGGGCCGGTTAGGTGCTATGTGACAAGTGCTGCAGGCTGGGAGTGTAAATCCGAGGAGGAGCTTCATAATGCTTTTGATGTCTCCCGTGTTTGGTAGGTAAATATTAGTAACTTTGATAACTGTGTATTGACTAGTGTGTCTTCTTCGTCCTTCAGCGGGCAACAGCACACGTGCCTGTTGGGGAGCGTGTGCCGTACAATGCGGTTAAGGTGCGCTCGTTATAGGTCGGTAGGGGCTGTGCATGCAGGCGTCCGTGGGGTCGTGCCTCTTCGCGTCGTCTTCGTGGTCATAAACTGCGTCTGTGACTACGTTATATCAACCGTAGAAGTATGTATACCGTTTGGCGACTTGGATGGCGATTACTTGAGGCGTGAACTAGTTAGTTGGGCTGCCTGGCGGCGATGGTAACAGAGCCGCTGCTCTGTACTATGCTGACAGCACTTTTGGCAGTAGGCAGTAACAGGGTCATTATTAGCGGAGTTTGTATGGAACATATGGGTGCGTAGCAGTAGTAGTAGTAGGTAGAGTCTGTTCGGAATCCCGGTAGTTGGTGGCGATGATCGCCAGGACGCGTTGGGGCGTTACGGCCCTTTTGAGTGCAGCAAGGATTACGGTGCGTAGCGATCTGGTTGCCAAGGGCATGTTTAAATGCTTGAGAGCTGGAGAGCTGTGGGACACAGGGTTCGTACGGTAATGCAGACGGCCGCTTATCACTGTGGCGTTGCTCTCGAATGGTGTCTCGGATAATGTGCCGTCCGTAAGGAATTGGCAGAGGAGCGTTCGGTTACGGTAGTTTGTGCATGTGTTCATGCAGACGTGGAATGCATCAATGACAGGGTACACCGCCCTTGGCAGGGGTTTGGCACTTCGCTCATGTGACATAGCTAGGGTGCGTGTGTCGTGTAACATGTTACGTTTGGCTATGTGTGCAGATGGCCATGAGGCCGGAGCGACTTGTCATGTGCATGGCCACAGACGTCCTGGATGCCGGTTATGTTTCGGTAGTTTGTGCACGTGCACGGGTTATGGGTATTTTGGTAGCCAAGTACGGGGGCATAGATTGTGGGCTTCTTTACATGGAGAAGACACCTTCCCAGGGATTAAGCTAACTGGCAACCGACAGCGAGTCTCCAAAACCGCTAGTCCCCAGCCTTTGGCCCTACATGGCCTCATACTGGTAATCTGTATCTCTGTAGCTGCGTTCTCAACACCCTCCGAATGCCAATGCGAGTTTCCCCCAGGTATAACCGGCACCCGACTTGCTCTACTGCTGCCCGCCCCTGCTGCATAACTTATCGTTTCACCCCTTGCATGTTCCAGTTCTAACGCATCCACATGAATGCGGTCTTATGAATGCACGGACAGGCCCTCGAACAACAGCGACTGCTCCTCCTCCTCGACCGCTTGCCCCTCTCTTGCAGCCTCGATAGGCCCCGTCGCCGCCTCGCCACCGCTAGCCGCATGCTGCTCAACATGCTGCTCAATACTAGCAGCCTCGTTTGCCACGTCAGCTTCCGCTGCCGGCACCGCCTGTTCATTGGCCGCTGCGTCAGGCTTCAGCTGCATTGCCGCCGAGCCCTCCGTGCCCCCGCCGTCGCCTCCGCCACCGTCGCTCGTAGCTCCGTACAATGCCAACGCCGCCGCCACCGACGCCTCCTGCCCAACGTCTTCCTGCTCTAAGGCGTCGCCCCCGCCACCTGTAACGCCACCCACACCTACGCCATCACCACCGCCGTCAGCACCGCCGCCGCCGCCTGCCGCTCCCAGCAGCTGCTGCAGCAACGCATCTACACGCGCCTGTCGCTCCTCCTCTGACTCCGGTTGCAATTGCGCTCCTACCACCGCCTCCTCAACAGCGGCCACGCTGTCGATTGCGCCCACACCCTCCTGCGAGTTATCGCTTGCAGTGATGCCAGCCGGCGTCGGTGTGGGCGGTGTCGGCGGCGGCGATGTGAGGTCGGTGGGTAAGCCTGCTAACACCGCCGCCGGCTCTTGTCCTACCTCCTCTGTAACAGCGGCTGGCTGTTGCTGCTGCTGCTGCTGCTGCTCGTCGGCTTGAGCGGAGGGGGTCGGCGTGTCGGCCGCCGTTGCATCCGCTTCGGCGAGCGGCGGCGGCGGCGCAGCAGCAGCAACAAGCTCCGTCACGTTTGAGGGTGTCGTAGCGGCTTCGGCGGAGGCCGCTTCGTCCGCAGGCGGGGAAGCTGCAGACGCCGGCTCACTCGTTCCCGCCGGCGCCTCATCCACCTTCAAGACGTCGGCCGCCGCCGCTGGCTGCGGTGGCGGCGGCGGCAGCGCTGCTGCTGCTACTGCGGGCTCCTGTTGGCGGCTCGCCAGTGGGTTCACGGCCGCCGCCGCATTGGCGGTCGCCACGATGGGGCTGGCGGCGGCGGCGGCGACGGCCGCAGCGGCGGCGGTGAGCTGATTGAAGAACGCGGACATGGAGGAAACCGACTGGACCTTCGCCTCCGCAGCCGGTGGTGGTGGCGGTGGCGGCGGTGGCGGTGGCGGCGGCGGTGGCGGAGCCGCTGCTGACCCCGCTGCAGTCGCCGCGGGCGCTGTGCTGCTGGTGATGAGAGCCGCCTCCTCCTCCTGCTGCTGCGGCTGCTGCTGCGGCTGCTGCTGTTCCTCCATTGGTTGCGGCGGCGGCGGTGCCAAGGCGTTCGAATCTGTTCCGCCAGGGCTGGCGGCGGCTGCGACTTCCTGTACCCCAGACTTTTGTGCTCCAGACCCCTGTGCACCATCCACCTCTCGGGCGACCTCTGAATCCGCAAAAGACAACAAGTCCAGCTCCGAACGTTCCCTGCCGGATTCCGTCGCCGGCGCCAGCACCTGCGTCGGCGCCGGAGGCTCCTTGCCCCTGGTGTCGACACCTCCGCTGGGCTCTACGCCAGGGCTGACGGCGGCAGGGGCGCCGGCCTGGGAAACGTCCGACACAAGCTGCCGCTGCTGCTCGCTGCTGGGGAATTCGAACGGCGCAGCGGTGAGGGTGGCAGACACGGACGTCCCTGCGTGGGGCTCCGCAGCAGGGCTCTCAGCAGGCGCTGCCTCGGCTGGGGCCGCCATGGTTGGGGCCGCCGCCGCCTCTGCAACGGCAGGAGCGACAGCAGCAACAGCAGCCGGCGGCGGTGGCGGCGGCGGCGGGGCCGGTGGAAGCGGTGCCGGGGCGACGTCACCTAGCAAGTCGAAAGACACCGAACCAGACGGGACTCCAAGGGCTGAAGCTTCCACCGACGTCGGGGGGGGTCCCTGCGGTACCACAAACGTCGCACTGCCGCCGCCGAAGGTCGCACTGCCGCTGTCGGCCGCGGTGGCGGCGGCAGCTGTTGACGCGGCGAAAGCGTAGCCCTCCGTCTCCAACTGGTACGACGGCATGTACTGCGCGAGGTCCACCGTACGGCGGTTTTCGTTAACTGCCGCCATCGCCGTACTGCTGGATGCTACTGTGATGTCTGGTTGCTGCTGTGGCGGCGGCGGCGCTAGCAAGGATGGCGACGCTGGCGGAGGCGGTGGCGGCGGCGGCTGGACGTAACCTCCGCCGTACGGCTGCGGCGCTGCTGGCGGCGGCGGCGAGGCCGCGGGTTGTACGGGTGGCGATGCTGGCGGCGGAGGCGGTGACGGCGCTGCCGCCGCCGTCGCACCTGTCGTACTTCTGGTGCGATTTGGCGGCAAGGGCAGCATTCCTTCCTCGTAGGCCTCGAGATCTGAAAAGTACTTGAGGACGTTGTTCTCAACGGCCTGCAACCATCAACCCACCAACAGTGTAGCACCATGCTTACGACAATGAGCAACGTTATACCACGAGGCGTAGTCCCATGCATGCATGCATGCAATGTTGCGTGCACCGTCAAGGGCACTGTCACCGTCAAGGCACAGGAGCAAGACAACAACCGCACAACTGCCAACCGCTGGCTCCCCACCTGCGACAGCGTCTCGTACCGCAGTACGAGCTCTTTGTACGACACGAGCAGCTGCGACACATCGCGCAGCGTGAGCGACTCGGGGGTGCAGTACAGGTAGCGGTAGCGCGCGCGGAGCTCCCCAGCCGCCTCGGCACGCACGACCAACCTGATGACCCGCGGGTCGGCACATGGGGCGGCAAGCGTAGCTGTCAAGTTTACATGGGTCATGGCGATGCATATGGAAAGCTTAGACAATCGCATGCTGCGTGTGTCTGTCATACACGCACTCACCGGACACCCTCCGCCTCCAGCTCCGAAACCGATTTGGGGGGCCGCGGAGGAGGCAGTACGGCAGCAGCAGCTCGGGAGGGTTGATGCTGCTGATACTGCTGCTGTTGTTGTACGGCAGAAGGCGTGGCGGAGGTGGGGGGCCCAGGAGGCGGTGGCGGCGGCGGTGGAGGCGGTGGCGGCTCCAAGGGCACTCCTGCGGCGAAGAATGGATTGGGTTTGGGTTATAATGGATTGGATTGGGTTAGGATTGAAGAGCAGTAGGGTGTAATGTGAGGGACAAGCAAAGCAGGAAAAGACACTGGGGTGTCCCTGGATTTCTGCTTTCAATCATCGGCATAGAAAGCAAGAAAGGGTCAACTTGGAGTCTAGAGGACCGAGCGTCGGGAGAGAGAGAGAAATGCCCTCACCCGGTTGCACCCCACCCTGCGACATCCATGGCTGGCCGTACTGCATCGTTGTCGTACCAGGAGCGTGTACGACACCCCCTGCGCCGTACTGCTGCTGCTGGTGTTGTACGACATGCCCATAGTACGGCATTCCTGGGTTGTACTGCATCATAGCCACATGCTGCGGTTGGTGCTGTGGGTGCGGCGGCGGTTGGTAAAGGCCAATGCCTCCGCCTTCCATTTGTACGTAGTACGGCAACTGCTGTTGCTGTTGCTGTTGGTGCTGCTGGGATGGTGGCGGCGGTGGCGGCGGCGGTGGTGGCTGAGGCGTCGCCGCCGATGTTAACGCATTACTAATGCCGTACACGACTTGCTCCCGATACGCCTGTTGCGGATTCGGCAGTTGCTGCCGTTGCGGCGTTGGCAGCTGTTGCTGTTGTTGTTGCTGTTGCTGGATCGATGGTTGCGGCTGCTGTTGCGGTGGCGGTGGCGGCGGCGGAACCAGCATCATTGGGTTGCCGTACACTGGCGGAGTCGGCGATTGTACGACAGGCTGTTGTTGTTGCTGCAGTACGACAGCTGCTGCTCCGAATGAGATCCGCCGCTGGGCCTCGAGCTGTCGACGATGCATGCAGGACAAGGTGACGGCAGGGGTTAGCAGCATCAGCAACATGTGATGATGGGATTAGCGATCAGGGGAGATGTCAGCGATATCCGCACAGCGATACACCAACACCTTCCCTGGAAAAAAGCTAGCTGACTACCTTCGCTTCCCCCTCTCTTTCGTTTCCCCGCCCCATCTCCATCCCCTTCCAGTGCCTCACCCCCCCCTTCCATCCCCTTCACTCCATCCCCCGCCCCCACCTGCTCGCTGCTCAGCTCCTGCTCGCTCATGGCCCCCGCCGCCAGCATGTGAGCGATGAACTCATCTGGGTCGCATCCCGCCAGGGAGGAGGTGGTGAGGGTCTCCAGGAAGGTGGCGGCGCCTTGCTGTAACCCAGCGGGAAGGTAGGGAAAGGGCAGGGAGGAAGGGAGAGGACAAAAGTAAGGAAACGGACGAACTGGATGAGGAGGCTTCTCCATGGGTTGCTAGAGAGAGGACAGGGAGGTGAGGTAGGGAGCGGCGAGGTGAGGTGGAGAAAGGCGGAAGTGGCGAGCCGGAGGCGGCATCATGCACAGCAGCGTCGTACAGTGGCACCAACGAATATGCTCTAGCGTCCATATTCGTTGGTATCCGCCACCTCTCCCAACCCCCCACCCACGCCGCCCCCCCACCATCTGCACGAAGAAGTAGGAGGCCTCTCCGCTCAGCCGGGGTGCGTGGCGGTAGCGCTCGATGAAGGCCAGGTTGGAGGCCAGTGCCTGGGGGAGGGAAGGAACAGGAGGAGGAGGAGGAGGGGAAGAAGGGAAGAGAAGGAGCAGGAGTTCGGAGAAAGAAGAATGCCCCATGTGTTTGGCGGGAGAGGAGCAGGGAGAGCGAGGAAGGGCATGGGACGTGCTACAGCTTTCAGATGTTGCAGGGCACCGGTGTACATGCACAAGGTGGTGGTAGTGTGGGACGGCGGTGGTTAGCGCAGCCCGCCTCACCTCGGGTTGAGCCCGGATGACCACATAGATGAGGGTGGGCGTGAAGTCGTCAGCGCCTGGGACAGCAGCGACCAGGGGGGCAAGCGGGAGAGGCGGGCGAACACATGTGCATGCATGGGAGGTGCGCGAGGGTTCAGGGAAGTGCATCGCCCGTTGCCATCCGAGCTGCAGGATAAGGCAAGTAAGCGCCAACCGGTACCATCGATCTAGAGCCGACCCTCACCGACCCACGGGTCTCTCCTCCTCACCCACCTGCTCCCGCCCGCTTGCTCGCCAGCAGTGCGCTGATGATCTTGCAGCAGTTCAGGATCTGAACCAGCTTGTCTCGAGGGCTCTGCGGGGGGTGGGGAGAGAAAACAGGACGGGACGGACAGGGGTTTCCTTTTCACCAAACTTTGACGTTGTACTGATGACATACTAGAGGTGAGTGAGATGATGACTTGTGTCCCTACTGGGGACAAGCGCTGGGGTGGGAGACCGAGTGAGCATCCTTCTTTTTCCAACCCACACACACACCTTGTACAGCCCCATCTTGCGCAGCTCCCGCTGAGCCGCCTCCACCTGACCGCCCTCGTCCGCTGCCAGCGGGCCCTGGAGGCAGAGGCGGGAAAGCAGCACCGCCAGTAAGGAGTAAGGAATAAAGGATAGACAACCCTATGCAACGAAAACTTTGTGGCGCATCCATCACCCCAAACCACCGCCCAACCACCCAACCTGCAGCGCGGGTGAGACCTCCAGATGCGCAGGGCCCACAAAGCCGCCCAGCGCCGCCAACCGCCGAGACAGCAGCGCGTCGCGCTCGCGATCCAACGGATCCACGGCAAACGTCCTGTCGTACAGCTTAGTCATGAGGTACTTTTCCAGGCCCTGATACGCGGGAGTTGGGGTGCAAGGAAAGGTGTGTTAAGCGTGTGCGGAGGGAGAAGTTACACGGTTATGGTGAGGGTAAGGGAAGAAGAAGTACGAGGGGATAAAGAGGGGTTGTGGGGTGTATGGGATGGGACGCGGGCAACTGGGTGGGAGAGTGGAGTGTGCGGGGAGTGTATGGCTCCGATTCTCCCCTATCCTCCATTCCCAACGCCGCAGCACTCCTTAGTGCGCACCTCAACGGCATTGTCCAGCTCAGCGCGCGTGCTGCCGGCCCACAGCGGATGCCGCGCGAAAGCTTGCTCCATGGAAGTTAGGAAGTCCTGGACTTCCCGCGAGTCCGTTTCACTCTCAGGAGGCCTCTTGCGGAAGTCCTTCATGAACCTGTTGTGTCAAGGTAATGGGAGGTCGTGATCGCAAACTCCAACGGTACCTGGAATGGACATCATGCCATCTGAACTTGCCCGTTAATGCTGCGGACCAGATCCTTGGCCTGCTCCTGGTTGATGGTGTTGATGAATCGCTCAAAGGAGAGCTGTGATGTTGAAGCCTGAAATAACTCGTCCGCCATTTTTCCTGTCCAACTGCCCTCAGCGTTCTACCCGCACTGGAAGAAGTTCAGTAAGAATCCGCAGCGCTAAGCGTTGCTCTATTTAGCTATTTACAGATCTGTTAAGCATCAGGGGGCAACAGCAACTTGGCGAGTTGTTCGGTTCTTTCCTACGGGCGTTTCATTAAAGCACATTATGGCAACCCATATCAACTAGGAAACGAACAACTCAGATATTTCTATTTCCGCTGTTGTCCGCTTCACGCGTTAGCGTTAGAGGTCATGCCGTGCATGAGGTGCATCACCTATCGTCCTGCAAGTAGTTCAGCGGCGTCAAGCTGATTTTACAATAATTCTATGGCTTGATAGAGGCACGAAATCACCCGCTTGTACCTGGTTAGTTACCGCTTTCCGTCTTCACCCGACGTCACATCCTACTTCGACAGCTCTGTTGTCGCTGCAGCTGGACAATGTCCATTCCACCCTTTCATTTAGCCTTCCCTGTCAGGGACGTCCAGGAAGCCAGGGAGTTCTATTGCGGGTGCGCTGGGTTGCGTTACCTCTACTCATGGGTCATGGCCCATGTCCGAATCTACTGCTGAGAGTTCAATGCAATCAGGCCTCTCATGTGGGGCTAGGAAGACGACTGGTTACCTCCTCAGCCACAAGTTGTAGACCCTCCTTTAAAATATTGGTCGCCGTGACCACCATCACCTCCGCTTGGTCCCCATGTAGGGTACTCGGCTGCACTGAGGGCCGTTCCGCAGCCACCTGGGTTGACTTCAACTTCTTCGGGCACCAGGTACGGCACTCGGGTTGACGCAGGTTATCAATTTGTACGACATGCGGTGTTGCTAGGCGGCTTGGAGCGATGCAACGTTGGGTTCCAGGGGCTCCGGTATGTAATCCATGCCGGAGCCGGCACCGTTGTTCCCCTTCCACCTCCCAGTTCGTCCCTTCTTCCTTCTGCCTCCTTCCGCCTCCCACCCCAACACCTCTCACCCCAACCCACTCCCTCTCACCCCGGTCCAACATCTGCCACCCCAGGTGGTGGCGCACCTGGTCAAGGGCTACAGCGCCGCAGCATCCCACAACCAGGTACGCACCGCGGAACCCCACAGTCTAGCCCGGTTACCGGTACATATACCTGTTCATGCATGGGGCAGCATAACTCGCTACATGCGCTGCTCCAGTACCCGGGCGGCGGTCAGCACTCCCCAACTCATCTGCCCTCAGCTGCAAACTTCCATACCCCACACCTCGCTCCACCAGAGTGCCTGCTCTCCTGCCCTCTGCGCCTCTCTCCTCTCCCTTCAACACCATCTTCGTCCGCTGCTCTGCTGCTACCTCCTCTTCCCCCCTCCCGCCAGGTTGACGGCGACCCGGTGCCGGTGCCGCACTTCGGCGCCGCCCTCACCGTGGATCATTTCCACCAGCTGGCAGAGCAGCTCAAGGTGGGTGGGTGGGAGCTGAAGGGGGGCGGGGCGGGGCGGGAGCAGGGAAGAAGAGAGGAACGCGGAGGAGAGGGGCGGTGAAGAGAGGGGCCGGGGACTGGGAGGGAAGAGAGGCACAAAAGAGTCGTAAGGGGCACTCCCTGGTCCGCATGAGGGAGGGACGTCTGACAAGGAGGCAGTGTGGACCCATGGGTCGTCGCACTTCGAGGTGCCAGTTGTTGGTTGGGTCCGGAACTGGCCATGGTGCCTCTTGGTGCCCTCCACTGCCCGCTTTACATGCCTTATACCTCCTTCGCTACCGTCCCTGCCAACCGCTGCACCCGCTGCCTTCCCCCTACCCCAACCCCGGGAAGTATAACGCCATCATGTTACCCCCAAACCCAACCCGACATCGTGAGCAGGCCAAGGGTATCAAGTTCGTGATTGAGCCGCACCTGAGGTTCCAGGGCAAGCCAGGGGAGCAGGTGGGGCAGGCAGGGGAGCAGGTGCCGTACGTGACGGTTGAATTCAGTTGCGCAGCAGTTGCAATTTCAAACAAGCTGCTGGAACCTTGGCTTGGTTCATCCCTGCTTGGTGTCCAGTTTATGACCCGTTGTGACGACCGTTCTGGCGTCGATATGTCGCTTACAAGCTTCTGCCGCACCTTACATGACCGGAAGTAAGGGGTGCGGATTTGGAGCTAACAATACGGTGCCCTCAATCATCAACCCCCACATGCAGTGGACCATGTTCTTCCAAGACCCCTCGGGCAACGCGCTCGAGTTCAAAGCCATGACTAACCCGGACAACCTGTTTGCCAAGTACGTTGTAACGGACTGAGCTTACTTGTAGAATTTAACGGTCGCTTGCAGATGGAATGCACTCCTGCTGAGTGGCGGGGCTTTGGAGGGCTGTTACGTGCAGCGTTACCCTGTGATAATCACGCCGGACGGTGGAATTGGAACACACCTGCATGTCCGACGAGAAAAGAAGCGTGCAAGGCAGTGCCAAGGCACCATAGGCAGTTTAGCACATTACTATGACCGTAGAGATGTCTGACAATTAGGACAGACGTTGATCCTGTTGACGGTTTGTAGTAATGCAGAATGCACAACCTATATGGATATACTGTGCCGACAGGTGTGCCGTTTGTAACATTGATGATTTGTATCGGTTGACGACAACACTTACACCATCGTACAGGGCACGAATTTATAGAAAGCGATGCCGAATCATTATGCGAATTGGTAAATTGGCAACACCCTCGAGTATGAATGCAGGGTTACAGTGGTGGCAAGAGCACGTGGAGACGAGACGACGGATACTCGGCAGCGGTTCGGTAGCCAGGACAGCCAAGCAAATTCAATACCCACTCTTGACTTCTTCGTCCTCTCAAAAACCCCAAACATCCCCGTCAATGGACGTCTCTTTCAAAGCACACTCACGCATACTCTCACATGACTCGAGTACAGTGGCAGAAATCAATGGCCCAGTTTGCGTGCAGCACAAGTAACTAGGATTATGAGCATACGCCTGCTGCCGAATCCGTCTGCGGAGATATCCGAATACGTCGCTTACGTGCATACCACAGGTCCACAGCCACCGCTAGTAAACCCGAAGATGCCCATTTGTCGTTACACATGCAAAGACACACGCCAACTCCCCATGCTTGAAACCTCCATGCTAGCTAAAGACACACTTGGACGGACCACACGCTTTGACGAATGCAGATGCACCCCCTTGTAAACATTTATTCAGATACACATCTGCAATCTGCCCACATCCACTCCTTTAGGCCTTAACTAACGGTTACCAACTACTAACACCTGTGGCCTAAGCCACACCTTTAGAAACAGTATACGCCGTACAAGCAAACACGTACGGATATGCATGTACGACATAGATTTGGTTGCCTTCTTGCAGCCAGCCGTTGGCTAGGAAGCCACTTCGGACAGTCAGGATTTGCAAGCCAAACGAAATGAACAATGCAGGAAAGGAAACTTGACAGCAATCAACCTGCGTACACGCGGCGCAGAAAAGAACCCAAGGCGAAGGGGGGCAAGGGCTTTGTAACACGCAACCTAAAATGCAACATATCGCTACAAGGGACCGCTATACAACATGCCACGTCAGCCACGTTGAAGGGGCCTTTCACGCAAGGCAGGGCAAAACGCCCCCTAAAGTAGTATCGCACAGGGGCCAATCAGCCCAACAAAAGACGCAGTCCACCATGCAGCATCCCCCCAGCATCGCGTGTAGAATCTGAAAACTTGGAAGATTCCGAAACCATCTTGCCACGCCTTACGTACGCCCCTCCCTGCAGCGCAACTGTCGTATAAAATGAAACTCAACTGTCAGTACGTCGCTCATCTATCGCTCCAAAAGCCCCGGTTATCGGGCTGTGACTGATAATAATGTAGGTTAGGTTATATGATGGCTCAGCGTTCGCGAGCAAAACTGCATAAGAGGCAAAAACATTGCATGATAGATAACTGCAAGACACCGAACCGTTCCAGCAATTACGAGACCGACTTCACACACGCAACAACCGACTGTCATGACAGCCAGTTGCGTGCCTTCTAACTAACTATCAACCGCAATCCGCACTTTCATCATACATCCGACCCACATCAACACCTCGCACGGCACCGGCAGGTCTCCGGAAGCAAGGACACTGCTCTTTATTTGACGCAACGTGACATGACCTGCACCCTTGTCTGTGGCCCTTTACCTCGTATCGTGCCGTGTCTCAACCGCCTCCGGCTCAGCTGACCCACGGGTCAGCGCGACCTCAATGGCAGCTACTGCGATTCCAGCGACGTAACCGAATGCTGGGCGATCGCTTGCGGAGGCGCCGATGGCCGCGGCTGCCACGGCAGCGGTGGCTAGGTCGTGGTGGGAGATACCGGCGACGACAGGCCGGGACGGGGCCGAAGGGGCGGGGGTGCTTGACGGTGTTGCGGTTGCCGTGACGGCGACGGTGGCGGCGGGAGCGGTGGCGGCGGCGGCGCAGTCGCTGCTGCTGCTGCCATTGCAGGTGGCGGCGGCGCCAGCGGCGGCGTCCTTGGGGGCCGAGCTGGTGTCACCGCTGGACATCTGCGGATTGCAAGCGCATCAGGTTACCGGATTGGGTCAGGGGAAGGCATAACATGCGACATGGGTTGTTTGTTTACGTAGGAAGTATGATGATCTCTTGCTGCAGAGAGTAAAGCAGCACACAGTTTGATAACTATGGCAAAGCGTTAAAACCATACCTCATATCCGAACCCGACCCATGGGTCAATAACTCACAATGGACAGGAAGCATGTCCACAGGATGTTGATGCAGTTGTTGAAGAGCAGGCGGTACTCGTTGGGCAGCAGCGCGAAGTTGAGCAGCCCGGCGGCGGGCCACAGCAGGTAGCCCCCCAGCAGCGCGCGGACGTAGCTGCAGAGCGGGACAGAGGACATGGGAAACGAAGATATCAGACGGTCATGAACAGACCTGACACAAGGAAGAGTGCCTTCACGGCTGTCGGTTAGAAGGTTCGTGACACGTAACAGCAACAATGCTTCCGCAGGCATGGCTCGCATGCACCCCTAAACAGCAGCCGCAATACGTCACATTGTCATCGAATCCAACACACCTGGTGCGGACGGTGTGCGGAATGTCGCGCGGGCGCCCCTCCAGGCACTTGATAATCATGAAGAACACCAGCAGGCCGAAGGGCGCGAAGATGATCTGGTCCGCAAGCATCTTGGTGACGACGGCGGCGGGGCAGTGCGGGTCATCTGGCATGATGGTGCGGTCGAGCAGGCCAAACCTGAGGAGGAGGACGAAGTGGAAGGACGGGACGAGGGGTGGACCAGCGGTGGTTGGCAAGGGCTTTCGAAGCTGTAGCAGAAAAGCTAAAGCTGCGCCGACCCGAATCCCAAGTCATCCACTACCGTGGCCGTATGTGGCAGGGTTCAAGAAATAGAGTACAGCACTGTTGCTTCTGACCCACATCCCACATGACCGGATCACCATGGATTCCATGCATGCAACAAACGCCATCCCAGGACTGCTGCTCGAGTGACCCAGATCGGCAATTGTAACCATAACTCAAGTCAGTAGTAGGAGGAGCTGACGTCAGCAACCATGTGCGTTACTCACCACCAGTGGCCGGCGGGAGTCCCAAATGCCGACGTCTCCAGGCACAGGCGCCCGGTTCGCATCCAGTCGACCCGCTTGCGTCCGCCGGCAGCAGCCCCCTCGGTCGTCTGACCCACATCGCCGTGTCCCCCGCCGCCCCCGAGCCCCAACTGGGCCAACATGTCGCCAGCAACCGTGAAGAAGTTGCCCGTCACGATCTTGCACATCAGCGGGCTCTCCTGAAAGGGGGCGGAAAGGGAGAGGAATGGGTGAAGGGCCAGGGTGAAGCACGCAACCAAGTGCACGTCAGGTACGAAGGGATGTTTCTAATTATGCTATCGTACGATGCAGACGCCTGCGTCGGCTGCAAGTGCTAACCCAACCCCTGCAGAGGGTGGGCTGACGGAGGTCGACCCAAATGCCATGCTGGTATTGAATCCCTTTTGAGCCAACTTAAGACGCTTCCCGCTAACTCCTCACCTCCAGCCAGTTGTTGTATCCCTCGCACACGCTGTCCACCGCGCCGCGCACCGCAGCAGCCGCCTCGCCAGCCGCATCACGCGCGCCCTGAACCAGCGAAGAGCTGGAGTCGTCAGCGGTTGGGTGTAGCTGGTGATGTGGCTGCCAAAATGACGATGTGAAAGCAGAGGCTGTAGAGGCTGCTGTGTGGTGGTTGGACGCGGCGGCTTGGTGAGAGTGAAGCATTAGCGACCACAGCGGCCTGGTGGGCCCAAAGCTTTGGGCAACAATATCCGCTGGCCCGAACTCTTTTAGGGCGCTTGCTGCTGCAGAAGTAGCAGACAGGGTCGTGTGGTCGGAGCCGCAAAGATGCATCGCGAAGGCTCCCAGAAGCGCTCCGCCGCTAAGACCAGCTAGCATCACAGGAAGAGAAGGAGAAGTGGTCTTGAGGGCTGAAGAGGTTGATGATGATGAGGTCGGCAGAGTCGAGAGCTGCTTAGGACCCGAGCGCGAGCCGGCTGCTACGTTCAAAGGTGGAGCCAGCAGATGGCGCTGCGCGCCGCGAGAATGCCGGCAGGCGGCACGTTGCTGAGCTGCAGAAGAGGTAGAGCGCATTTGCGAGCCGCGATGCTGTTGCTGTAGAGCCGGCATATTGTTTTTGCCTAATATGCGTTGCTGCGGTCGGGAAAAAGGTCCAAAGAGCGAAAGGCAAAGGTTACGATGTATTCCAAATAAGTTAATGCTAATAGGTACATCGCGTGAGGAAGAAGAAGAGCGAGGATCGCGGGCGTGGTGAAGCGTGCGAGGCTTTAACTGCTGGCGGGTTGCCAGAGCCATGCTATGAGACCGTGTCATTCTGTGAAGCCGCCTAGAGCGTTCACCGCGATTATATTGATAATGCCTATGTTTAACGCGGTTTAAACAAGAGCAACGGTGCACTGCCTTACCTGTCGCGACGTAAGTCCAAAGCGAGGTACGTCAAAGCAAGAGCTGAATAAATTTAGTGATCGCGAAGGGCCGCTATGGCCCGAAAGCCAGTTTGCGGGAAACCTGTATAGCGAGACTGCTGTTTGATGTCGAAATTACGAGGGTTTGGGTATATATGGCGAAGGTGCCCGATGGGCTTCCGGGGCCTTATGATGCATTCCGCGGTGAATCGGCATCGCATGGAGCGCCCTACCCAGCCAAGTAGCATACATAGATTGGTCTTACCAACACTGTATAGCAAGCGTATACTACAAGAAATGAAGCAATATGGACATGACTAATGTAAACCTGATTACAGGTAACGTTTTTAGCTGCGGTTTTCGCACGTTAATAATTGCAAACGTTAATTTATCCTATGATATTATCCACAATATGTGCACACAAGATGCTTCTTCGCCCGTGCATTTTAGTAATATTGGTTCGCGGAGGTAGCTAGCCCTAGCGGAGCGTAGTACCCAAATCTAGGGACGCATATGCACCGATCTGGACACCTGTGTGCAAAACCTATTGTAGGCCTTTATCTTTGAGCAGGAGGGCGTTGTCAGCCTACCGGCTGGTTGTTGCATTACCGCCTGTTGTCCACCGCTTTCCAGCAAGGTCCGCTGCAAGGCCGCAATGCTAGATGCGTGTATCTTTACGAGAACTTGCAAAACCCAAGCAGGAGTGCAGAATTTTGCGGAGGCTTTTGCGACATGCGGCTGTTACCCTGGACCTCACTCTTGGCCGGGGTCAACCACCAGCTCACTGATCTGGGTCGACCCAGACCACTGCGGCAAAAGCAGGCCAAACCTCCTCATGCATCCTCCACCATCGTTACAAGGCTCGTCTACCAATCAAGGCAGGATGCCATGGCAACATCTCACCGAGTCGGAAGCACCGTGGCATGTGGGTCATCCGTCATCTCGGTTATGCCCTGGCTACGCTTGCAGCTTCATAATTGCACCCCTTGACCCAGATCGCTTCTTAGGCGCCAGGCCGGAGGGAGGAAGGATGGAACAACCGGCGCAGCATTATCAGGACTAAATGGATTGTCAACCGCCAATCCGACCCAAATGGATGGTGCCCCAGACCAGCCCAAGCTAACCCACATCAGTAAGTGGCTTTCTAACCCCAAAAGGTCCCGACCCAGATCAGGGTGTATGCCAAAATGTTGGAGCCACGAGCCTCATCAGGCACCTAGTCTCCATGCTAACTCGATGACGTAACGCTTATGCTTTTTGCATAGCGCCTGTCGCTCAACCGCCGGTGCACCACTCTGCATGCCCTCAGCCGTCTTACTAAGCCCTCGCAATCTGCCCCATACCGCCAACGTTGCAGTGCATGTACTAATGACCTGTACTCCATGCCGTACACCGTACATGCTGTACACAGTAACCGCAGCAGCGCATCCCGTGTACATGTACAACGTACATCACTCCCTGCTCGTACGCACACACTGCTCGTACATTCGGGCATTCCCCCTGCCACCCTCACGGCTACAGCTCCACTCGGCCCTGCAGCCGCATCAGCTGCTCCCACACAGACACCAGCTGCCGCAGCCACTCCCGCTCGCCAACTCGGCGCCGGGCGGCCACATCGTCCCACAGCGCCTGAAGCTCCTGAGGGGACGGAGCGGCGGTATCCGAGAAGGCCGCAGGGATTATCAAGCAGTACGGTCAGCTGTGAGGTCCTCTGAAGCACGCACAGCACAAGGTAAAGAGAGGGGCAGATACCGGTAGGTCCCATGCAGGTGCCAGGTACCGTACATGGGCGCACAGCAGCCCAGCGCTCATTCTGTACATCTGTAGTACTACAAAACGGGTACTGCTGAGCCGCCTTGTACCGCAACAGCCATTAAGAGCACAACGCCTATGTCACCTTTCACCAAGCAGACTGGCAAGCTGGGGCATGCACGATTGCTACTTCACCTCCTCACCTGCTCTAACGCCGCCAGGTACATGCGGTTGCCGCTGTCAAGCGACCGCCCCTTTGTAGACACCCCCGCCAACGTCACCCGCCGCACCTCCAGCACGCCCCCAGCCACCCCCAGCTCCGCAGCCCCCATCATCGCCCTCACCGCCGCCTCCACTGCCCCCACATGCTGCCCCTCCCTGCACTCCAGCAGTACGACATCGCCAGCAGCGGGCGGAAGCGGCTGGTACGACACTAGGCAACCGATGACGCCGCCGCCGCCGTCAGGCGCCGCAGCGGCTGCAGCGTCGCTCGCCTCCCGCCCCAGCCCGACGAGGAACTCGTGCAAGCACCGGTCGGAGGCGCGCCTCATGAGCCCCACCAGGGGCCCCTGAAGCAGCAGGAAGCGCGTGATGACCTGCGGGCTGGCCTCGTCGCCTCCCTCGCCCTGGTCGGAAAGGCTGGATGACGTCAGGCGGTGCAGCAACGCTGCGGCTACTGTGCGTGCTGGAGGAAAGCCTGCTGCCGGAATGAGCGACGGTGACACTTCACGGGGCAGGTCCAAAGACTCGGCCAGCGCTGTCGCCTCTCCTTCCCGTCGCATCTCCAGCACCGCGCATGCGTTCTCGTTCTCGTTCTCGTGCCACAGCTGCAGCGCCTCCGGCTTGCCGTACAGTCCCACCACCGCCAGCGCTATCTCCGCGTACCAAATGCTATCCACAACCCGTACCTCTCGGACCTGGACCCGCTCAAAATGACGACGGATCGTTTTCAGCGGCTGCAGCGCTCCGCTTAGCCCCGTCAGGCGCGAGTGATGTGCCGCGCTGCTTGCCGTATCGTTTTGCCGTACACCCGTAAACCGGCAGCTCTCAAGTTCAATGATTCCAAGGCCGGGCCCCAATTCTACGCCACAGAAGTCAAGAGTAAGTTCCTCCAGGGAGGGCGGAAGCTGATCCAGGAGCGCCAGGAGGTTAGTCGCGGAAGACAGCACGGCAGCATGATCGACCCCTGGGTCATCAGGTCCTGCGTGTTCCTTGAAGTAGAAGCCGCCGAAGCTGAGGTGCGTAAGGTGGTGCAGCTGCGAAATGGTTGCCACGGCTGGCTTTTCAAGGACAATATCTTCCAGGCGGACGTTATCATTGTGGCTCAGCACGTGTAACCGCTTCAGGCTGTCCTTCAGCGCGAGAACACGCTCCAAGCCACGGCAGCTGCCGGTCTTGAGAGTCTCCAGCTGCGGTAGGCTGCTGGCTAGAGTGTCGTACATGAGTTGCTGGTGTACGGCGTCGTACGACATGCTTCTACGCAGTCCTATAATGTCCAGCTCGTGCAGCATCGGGAGCAGCCGCACAACTGCCGCAACGGCAAGCTCCGCCTGAGGATGAGGCGTCGCGACAATGCCTTTGCGGACAGCATGGGCTTTAAAACGCGTGATGCGCTTCCGTACGTGTTCCGGCTGTCCGTCGAAAGGAAGCAGCATGAGAGGCGTTAAGTCGCTGGTCTCATCCGGATACAATCGCAATACGATATCAGAGCAGCGGGTCCAGCGCTGCAGGGAGGGCAGCAGCCCTTGGCGCCGGAGCTCAAGCTGTGGGGGCCGGATCATGGGCTCCAGTCGCCTCACGCTACCGTCCAGAATATCGCGAAGCGCTTGACATGCGAGACGCGCATTTCTGAGGTCTTGATGACTGTCGTCATTGTAGTAAAACTCAAAGTAAGAGAAAAAATTGTCCGCTGTTTGCGTGTCGAGCTTCCGCAGGACGTCCGATAAAGTTACGCGACCTGCCATTGCCGCGATCAGGGGATTCTAGGGCTTTAGGAGTGCTGCAATGGCTTGCCAAAGGCGTTTTCTGGTGGATTAGGCAGCAAACTGGCCCGGGGCAGTGAGAAGATATCTAGTCGTCACCCTATACAGAAATGAGCGACCGTGCTTACTTGTTAGCGGCAAACTGGATTGTTATGAGAGCTGGATTTCTAATACAAAATGAACAGTTAAGATGGGCGGTTCCTCGCGCCTGTAGGCTGGACGCTCAAGGTCCCGTACATAAATTGTCGCAGCAGGCGCGACGCGGCACCGCTTGCCTTCGCCCTCTTCCTGCACCTGTTCTGCTGCATCATGGTCGGCTGAGCGGTTCATGACCAACCATGGCCAATGGCCAATTGGCTACCATGAACCACGGGTCATAACCAACACCGAGAAACACAGCACGCAGGACCATGCGGCGCCGCGCCTCCCACCCGTGCCGCCCTCCCTGACCATACACCGTCACCTTCACCACACGACCTCCTTCCAACTCTATCTATCCCAGCACCCAACCGCATCGGCGCATCCGTACAAGCACTCCTCCAGCTCATACAACAGCCACCACGCAGACAGCGCACACCCTCGCGGTTCTGCGGAGGACTTCATCTTCCGACAATCACAGTACGTTCCTACTCGCGGCCAGTTTTCTTAACACCCTCGCTCCCATGCACGTTTACCCCAACCTCGTTACCCCCTTCGACATGGGCTCCGCGCTCGGGTAGGCACGAGGTCACCCCAGGTAAGTAACATCAATTCAGCATCCGCCCACGGCTGCTGCCCAAACGACACCGCCCACTGCAACCACGCACGCTAGGCCCGCCACAGGCAGCGGCAGTGGGGTCGTTCGTACTGCTGTTATTGATGTTGGTGTTCCTGAAATTGTCCTTGGTGTTGACGCATGGTGGTGGCAAAGGTGCCGCTAGAGGCGCCGGCGCTGCTGCTACAGGCGCCGGCGCTGCTTTGCTGCCCCCCCAGCAGCAGCTGCTGCTACTGCTGCTGCGGGTCGTGCTGTCCCCCAATGTGGGTGGGCGCAGTGAGGGCCGAGGGGCCTGCAGAGACATAGCTGTAACCAGAACGCGGTTAGCGGGGTAGGTGCGTTTGCCGCAGTTGGTAGCCCATCCAGTCGCGACAGCCGGCCGTGTGAAGCGCTGTCGATCCACCGCTAGTAAGAACCTCCTGCAGTCGCTAGATCTGGTCAGTACAGGTGAGGCGGGGTACCGATAGAAGTATTGAGAAGTCCGCATTTGAGTGGACTTCTAATTGCATGTTCAGGTAGCTTTCTTCGGAATCGGGAGGGGATCGAAAACAGCTGAGGCCCCTGAGGATGTAGATGGCACAGATGTATATCTGCCCCATGCTACGGTTTGAACTCGCGGTACGACACAACAGCGTAGAATGGATCCGACGGGCCTCCTCGCCGAAACAGCCGCTGCAAGGGTGCCAGCAAGCCTGACAGCAACCCGCCGGCGCTGGTGTTACTACCGCTACGTCCTGCCGTACCGCTCTCCTGCTGTTGCAGTTGCTGCCGTACTTCGGTCAGCACCTCGGGCTGAGTAAAGCCCGATACAGCCTGCGGCGGGCGAAGTGGGGCAAGGCAGAATGGCGGTGGGGTCTTTGAGCAATGCTAATAACGGCAGCAAAGCCGTTAAGGGCATGGCAGGCTGTAGGCCAGTTTTCTTAACAAACACCAGCTACGGCCATGTACAAAGGTCAATCAGAAGGTTAGGGCAACCCCTCCAGGTAGGCGCCAGGGTATTATAGCCTTTGTAGGCAAGGTGGGTTGCCATGGCATTGCGTACAGGTAGGGAGGTGGGGGTGGTGCACACACCCACTACAGGGGCAGGAGAAGCGACCTCACCTGGAAGTATTGGCGCACCAATTGGCACCGAGCGTAGCCGGTCGCGTCCCTCCATGCAGCTATGGCCTGAGGGGAAGGGAAGTGACGTGTGGTTGACGTGTGTTACGCCGCATCCGTCATCATCTAGAACCGCACACGTGAGGGCACGGCCACTAACGGTACGGCAATCAAGGCTGATTACTTGCATGCACGATGTTCGACGCCCCAGCAGTACGTCCTGGATTCGACCGCAGTACGTTTCATGTCATACGCATATCGAACAAACCTTGGAATAGAACATTCGATTGGAGAATGTGATGATGCATACGCCGCCGGGTTTTAACAGCCGGTAGACTTCCGAGAAGACGCGCTCCGGCTGCTGAAGGTACTGCACACTGCAGCACGGAACAATATGCCGTACGGAGAAACATGCCGTACAGAGCAACATGCCGTACAGCGCATGCAACGCGGGAAGAGAGGGAGGGAATTGGAATTGGGCGTCAGGGCATACCAAAGGGTAAGCCCCCAACAACTCCTCGTTAACAACGCTTTCTTTGAGCCAAACCAAACAGTTCCTATCCACTGCAACCCGTTTAAGGCCTTCGCTGCTAAGGAGAGCTCGCAATGTACGACATATATTTACAGTTGGAATCCTATTCGAATATTATCATGAGTGTACGACATGCTGTATACCTCACGCAGCACAGCACCGCGTCGAAGCTCTGGTCGGCCGCCGCCCAACCGTCCGGGTCACGGTTCAGGTCGCGAACAAAGAAGGAGTCCAGACGCGGATTCCGCGCTAGTTCCGCTGCGTTCAGACCGTGACCTACAACCTGCAGGGTTCAGCGTCGCATACCGGCAATGCCCGCAGCAGTGTAACGTAACAAGGGGAACAAGGGGCTTCAGCGCGTAGCGCAGAACAGAGAAAGGTTACAACCCAACCCCAGAATCCAGCTACCAAGATACCGTATAATCCTACAATTAGAATTACTTTTCGGTTATTTTGATTTCTTCGGCTCCTGATTTCTTGGGATGAACCCCAACTTTTGTACTCAGTAGCTCACCTTGCAGTACGACACCTCAGGCGGCAGATGCGACACCCAGCTGCTGCACAGGTCCTGCGGGGCATACGATACATGGGTGCGTACGGGGTACGGCGCACTAGCTTTAGTAACGCCTTCACAAGGAGTACGGCATCGCACGAATGGGATTTCCCAGCAGTTGTACGGCACTCAGGCCACCAGCTAACGGTGCGTACACACCACCACGCAGGCATTATTGTAAGAATGCACATTTGTTATGCATAGGTTAGGTGATACGGCAAAATCTTTTCACCGGCAGGGCACGTGCTTTACGGCGCGCCGTCCCTGCAGCCCCTCTCACCAGTACGGCGCCCCCCGGTGGAATACGTTGCCGGTATAGCTCCGTGACTTGTGCAAGGAAGTCATCATCCACATGTTTAACGAACCGGGGAACGTCTGTGCAAACGCGGGAAGGGGCATTCCATGCACGTAGAACATGGCATATGCAAAGGCGGCATGACTCAATCGGCTAGGTGGCAGACCTGCATGGCAAGCGGGATTAGGACAGCGGGAGTAGCGGTTGTGTAGGTGCAGGGGCCGCAAGGCGACGCTGCTGCGGTGGCGGGACATGCACTGGTACTTGAGACGGGTTCAGGGCATGGCCAGGCAAAGTGCAGCAAAGCGGGGGTCGGCGTGTCTTGATCCCACCGTAACGAATAGTTACTTGTTTCCTCTTTACCCACCGTAAAAGGCCCGGTCGTTCCCAGCGTCCAATTTGGTCCTCTGCGGCCTCTCCAACACCTCCCGCACCACCCGGCCATCACCGCCCCCGACTTTAGCGCCAGCGCTGCTTCCTGTAGCGCCGTCGGACGTTGCTGATGTGGATGTCCGCGTTGTTCGCGAAGTCCGCGCAATTACGGATGCATCTTGACGGTGCAAGCTGCCAGCTGGCGGTAAGCATGCCAATGTATTGCGCCTAAAATGGGTGGCGTAACGCGGTATTAGTGGAAACAATCTCTACTGGCGTGGCTACAGAGCTAAAGTACCCCTAGCGCTAGCGCAAGCAAAAGGGAAGAGTATCTGTGACATCGGGAGCCAAGACTTACTGATGAACTGCCTCTTGAGGATTATAGCATGAGGCTAGTGTGGATCGAGAAAGGATGCTTCGGCTGCGAGTCGTCCTTTGGCACTTAACGCTCGGCGCGCGGTGTACAGGCAATGCGCACATGATACCCACACATAATTCAACGGAGCGAGTGGTGACAGGTAAATGCAATCACCTTCACCCTGGCTTTTCATCGTCTCGCCAACCTCCGGCGGTTTCGCTAGCTCTGGTCGTACGCTCGCATGCGTACTTCCTTTGTGTGAGCGACTCAACTGTCCGTTATTCGTTTTGCTTTGTTAACACTGTTTATTATCACGTCCAGCTTGCGCGGATAGCTACATGTACCAACTGCTATAACACAGCATTAGGTCTGCTTTGCGTGGGTTGCTCCTCTAAAAGCAAATATAGCTCCATCTATAGTAGCATTAGTCGATGGCGTCTGCGGAACAAGGCCCCAAGAGGCCGTTGTGGGCCGCTGCGATAGCTGCGCTGCTGCTGATGGCACAACACCTCACATCAGCAGCCGCAGCGACCGCGCAGAGGCCGGCCGGAGGAGGTTACTGGGGATCCCCCGGCGGTGGCCTAGCTTCCTGGCTTCAAACACAACTGCAATCTGGGCTGTTACCAGGTAATGCCGCACACGCCCATACACGCCTGCTAGTACCGGTACCGGCAGCGATATTCGCAGCTCAACAGTCCGTGCACCTGTGTGTATTCCCCTTCCGAGTCGTGACCCTCGACACACTCCTCCTGCTACCTCTTTGGCTCTTGCAGCTCCGCAATTCCCGCAGCACTCCTACTCCAGGACCCTACACGCACAACCCCCACACACGCCACTACCCCACATCCCATCTCCTTTCTCCTCCACGCACCCAGCAGCCCCTTACCGATCCGCCAGCCCGCCTCCCGCCCGCCCTCCAAACTGTCCCATGCCCTCCAAACTGCCCTTCCACCCGCCCCATGCCCTCCCACCTGCCCGCTGCCCACTCCCTCAGGCTTCCTCTCCGCCCTCACCCAGCTCCGCTCGCTGCCTGCTCAGGCGGACCGCCTGCTGGGCCGGCTGCAGGCGCGGCGGCGGGACCGCGGGGACTCCGCTGCGGCCGCTCGGCTGGAGGCGCTGCGTGGGTGGAGCAGCTACGTGGGGCTGCAGCGGGGGGTGCCGGCGCTGATGATGGATGTGCTGCGGAACTGGGGGTGAGTAAGCTTGGCGGCGGTATAGCCGCAGGCATCAGTACAGTACTTTGACATATGGGGCATCATCAAGCATTTTCCGGTAAACTATGGTCAGGGTCAGTGTTTCCGCGGCTCAGTCTACCTAATCCCCAGGCGTCCCCAGGCCGGCGGTTTAAAAAATGCCTCTTTATTTCGGCGACCGGTACCTCCCCATGCATTGCGATGACGGGGCACCATTGACTGGCAAATGGACGCGCTTGACTGCAAGCTGTATGTGATAAGAAAACTGGCCGCGAGTACGAACGTACTGTGAAGCTGTATGTGTGTGTGTTTTGCCGCGTGCAGGGTTGCTGCGGAGTTGCTGCAGGATTGGAGCCGGCTGATGGAGAGGCTGCAGGCGGGGCAGCCAGGGGCGGGTACGTAGGTGCCTTGTACGGCGGGGCATGTAGCGATGTGCGCTAGATGCATGGTTACCGGCTGGCCGTATCTCCAGCTGTTCACGATAGCGGCAGGTGTTTGTTTGGCAGCTCTCCATTACCGACTGGCAGGTCGAATTGGGACTACTGGTATTAAGCATAAAAAACGTTTGCCAGGTTGAGGCGGTACTGGTGTGGGATGCGTTGCCATGTGGTGTACGTGTCTTCCCAACCCAATCCAATTTGGTCCCCGCCAGGCCTCATGTCTTGGCCGGAGCTGGTGGCACGGGAGCGAACTGCCGTACTGGAGTGGGCCAAGCGCTCCCTGCGTAAGGCCCAACGGGCTTTCAAGGTAGGGCTGCTGGCGAGCTGTATCGTACAAGTACAAAAGGAAAGCAGAGAAAGGGTAGGAAGTGCGCTAAAATGTACGGATTATTTCCATTGCAAACACGACACTGTCTGCTGGTCTCAGCAATTGAGGCCAACAGAGAATGGCGCCACGAACGGCAACAGTTGAAGTTCGTCCGTTAATGACCCACGGGTCACGTCATCCATCATGTTAACGCTTTCCATGCAGACCCGATAGCTCCACCGTGTTAATGCAGAAATTTCTTCCATGTCGCTCCTGCCACTAAAGCAAAGTTCCGCTGGCCTTTCATCCAAGGCCCTGCTAATGGCGTCCTCCTTTAACTGCCAAGCGGCTACCGTATGCGAATACACGGGGGGGAATACAACAGCCCCGCTAGGCACCTGCCATTCATTGCGACAAGTTCAACATAGAATACAATAAAGCTCAACTATGTACGGGACCAACGAGTATCCGCCACGCAAGTATCCGTCCTGTCTAAATCGCGCCCACCATACAACAGCTGCAAGTACGACACACCGCCCTTGTCGGCTTTTGTTTCCCAACAATGCATTGCGTCGCTTTCCCCCGGGCCATGTGACGAGTACGTCTTCTCCTAGAAAGCTACATTTCCGAGCCCTCTCCTCAACGCTGCCCCTTCTCGCGCCCTCCTGCAACGTAGCCCTCTCACTAACCTCTACAGGCTACTTGGTGAGCGCACATCCCTATCCCATGAAGCCACGAAACACGTCCTTAGTAATCACGTGCATGCCCCTGCAACCAATTCGCATGCGATGTTCCAATCCCAACCAACACGGAAATACTTCCTGCCCAGCGGCCAACTCCTCCCCCTTCCACCCTTCATGCACTCCCACCATGCTTCTCCGCCACTCTCTCAACCCTGCCCTCTCCCCCCAAACCTCTTCCGTGGTCACGATCAGTGCCCCACCACTACCATGCAACCACACCTCTTCCCTTAACCCGCAGCATCCTTTCTCTCCTTCTTTACCCCCAAAATCCCAACCAACCCGCCCCCCCCCCGCTCCTCACTGCAGGGCGGTGCCGTGTCGCTGCTGCTGTCCGACTTGTACGCCGCCTTCTCCGCCGACCGCCACCTGCTGTCGGATTTGTTGGCGGAGGTGATGACAGCGGGGGCGGCGGGGCAGCGGCAGCAACAGCAGCAGCAGGGGGGCGCCAGCAGGGGGCAGCAGGGAGCAAAGGCGGCAGAAGCAGCTGGTAGCGGTGGTGCTAGCGGTGGTGGTGGGTTGGTTTCGGAGCAGCTGGCGGCGCTGCTGCAGCAGGTGCTGGAGGTGGCGAGGTGAGGGGGCTGGGGGTTGAGGGATGCTTATGGATTAGGGGTTCGCTGGATGGGGCTGGATGTGCTGTGAGTGCGGCTGGGGTGGTGGCCGGCTGGCTGGGCGGTGGGTGGGGCGGGGCGGTAGGCGGAGTGGGGAGCGAGGAGCGGTATTGCGTTGTGCGGACTTGGCTGGGCTGGTCCCCGCTGCGGCTGTTAACCGGTACCTGCCCCACATGGCCCCCACTGGTCCGGTCCGGCCTGCTGATGGAAGGGTATGACGATACACGGAAGAAGGCGCCGCTGCAAGCGAGAAGCCGCTATCGTCCTACACCTGCATGCTTGCTGCCATGCCCCCGCGCGCGCCCAGTGTTGGCGCCTCCTCGGTGCCACCACATATGCCGTGCCGTACCGTGCCGTGCAGGGAGTACTTGTTCCCTGGCGCCGGGACCAGCGGACCCCAGAGTCAGCAGGCGGGGCGGCGGCATCAGGGCGGCGGTAGCAGGCCTGGCAACGGCGGCTGGTATGCGGACGGCGAACTCTAACTGCCCCAGAAGGGCCGCGGGTGGAGCTGAACACAGGCCTTATTGGGGTTCGCCGACAGCTGCTAGATGGAGTGGGGAAGATGGAGTGGGCTGGGTGGCGAGGTCAGCTGGGGCTGGGGCGAACCACCGCCGGGCTGGAGCTGTGCACCTGCTGAGCAATGGAGCACTGGAGCTCAGCAGTCCCAACGGTCAACCAATGTGGTCGCGACTGCGGACACGTTGGTATCGTCCGTGCCCGCTGCTCCTGACTGCACCTCAGGAGATTGAAAAGAGATGTGTAGCTTGGAACGAAAGTTGGAACTTTATGTAATGCACAGCTTGCGTGCGTGCGTTATGCTCAGCGGTATCGCTGATAGTAATGAATGCCCTGCTGCTAGCTAGCTGTTGCTCAAGTCCACGGCGCCTGTCGCTGCCGCTGCTGCGCTGCTCTCATCGAGTACGACAAGCCCGTCGCATGCGTGGCTGTGGGCTGATATGTAGCTGATGATGCGCCGTGTTCTCCCCTCCCAGTAGCTCCCCTGCGGCGTTAAGGTCACAAACCGGGGCCGGCGGTCCGTGAACTCGTCTGAATCTTCCTCCGTGTCGATGTCCTCCGGCGAACTGGAGCCGGCAACTGCGTGCCCCTCGCAGTCGCTGTCCTCAACCAGGAAAGCCCGTCCCCGTGCTAGCTTATGACCGAAGGACGGCACGCCAGCGCTGGCATCACAGCTGGAGGTTCTTGCGATGCAGCTATTGCTGTGCCCTGACATGCCGCCGTTTGCAAGCTTCGGACAAGACGGCTGTGCGTCAGCGACTTCGATCCGAACAGCGAGGTAATCGCTTGGCAGCGAGGGAAGGCGCTCAGGCCACTCCATAAGGCAAACTGCCCGAGCTAGGGAACCATCAAGGTCCAAGCGGTTGAAGTCCTGAATCGACGCGAGCCGGTAGAAGTCAAAGTGGTGAATCGGTGGGCCCTGGTGCTCGTTATAGGTATTCTGGAGAAGGAACGTGGGCGACGGGACCGGCAGGAAGTCATCCTCGGCCACTGCCCGAATGAAAGCGCGGCTGAAGACGCTTTTCCCTGCTCCAACAGCTCCGAACAGGCAATAGCAGTCTCCCGGTCGGATATGCGATGCGAAAAGCGCCGCCAAGCAGTCCATCGCTTGCACGGTGGGGACGCATAACCTATGCTTTGAAGTTACTGAAGGAACCGAGTCTATGGAAGAAACAGCGTACGTCCTAGTTATCGTCGTTGTGGGCGTTTTTGGTAACAAGGGCTTCGCAACTTGTCTCGAAGCTATTTGCAACACCCGCTGCATTTTAATGCCCTGAACCCGTTTCGTGGCCGAGCACTTCATTTTTTTAAACTACAAAGCTCGAGGCACCCTGTTCATAATATGTAAGAATGTACTTCGGAGCGAACAATCCGTGTCAAACCTGTCAAATCTGGCGAAACTATTTCGGTACCATACGTGCTTAGCGTGAAAAACTAGCTACATGGAAGCAAGGGAAAGCTCACGGACACGTGTAAACGTACTTTAATGCCATTAAAGCAACTACCCGGTAGTGCAAGCCAAGGTTACTAGTATAAGGCCTTTATGCCAACTAAGCAACTGCATGGTGAAGCTATTTCAGTCAGCAGTCGCAATTTTTAGACATAGTCAATCACAGTCTGCATGTTGCATGTTCGCATGCGAACACGACGTCTGCATAGTGGTTCGCGACGCCGTCGGAACACGCTATAACCGATCCATCGGCCCTGCTCCTGAAATTCTAGGAGCGCCTCTCATGCGCCGCCGTTGCTCTTCAACCTCTTACAGCCTCCAGCCGTACCATCAACCGCCCTACAGTGCAGCAAGGGGAATAAAGTAAGGAAGCTGTCAACTCTATGGGGTGCGTGTTGCGTTGAGCTGCTTACTCTTAGAGCAGAACTGCGACAATGTTGCATGAGGCACGGAGCACATACCGGTAAGCTTAGATACGGTATGCATTACCCTCCAAGACCCGACAACTTACCGCGTAGATTTGCCTCCCCTGCTCCTCCATCTTCTCGCGGCCGCCTCATTAGAAGCACCAGCAGTTGTGACAGCACCGTCCAACCTACGGTGCCGGCACGACCGAGTTCTTTTTGTGCTTCTTTTTCTTCTTTCTCTTTTTCTTCTTCTTTTTCTTCTTTTTGCCGTCTGCCCCTGCCTCGCCCTCGTCACTGCTGCTCAAGCCATCTGCAACAGGCGGCGCACCGCTGCCACCAACAGCTACCATCGGAATGGGAGCAGCCGGGGAAGACTCGTGGGTTGCTAAGCCGTGACCATTCGCGTGCTGGGGTTGTTGAGGCAGTGGCTGCTGCTGCGGCTGGCACTGTTGCGTCCCCTGTAACCCTTCCCCGTGTGCTGTCGCTGCTGTTTCTGCACCAACTGCCGAGTCAGCTTTCGCTACAGCCACATGTTGTTGCTGCTGCTGCGGAGCCACCGCTTGTCGGTAAGTGGTTGGCTGGAAGGAAAGCGCGGGTAAACGCCGACGCGGCGGCGGTGGCGGCGGAGGTAATATTCCCGCCACTGCCGCAGGTACCGCCGGGCCCTCTGCACCCTCAGCCTCCTCCACCGGTCCCGCCGGCGCCAGTACAAGCGTTGCTCCCGGCGACGGCACTGCTGTTGAAGCTGCTACGGTAGCAGCCGCCGCCGCAGCAGCAGCAGCAAACATGCATTCCGCATGCAGCGCCACGCCGTGATGCCGCATCAGCTCCGAAGCCAAGCCCCGCAGGTGCGACAGCGCATGCAACAGGTCTGCCGCCTCCGCCGCCGCGGCAGCAGCGCACAAAACCGTACACGTCAGCTCCCCGGGCCCCGGAGCGCGGGAGAAGCGACACAGCACATGCAGCTGCCGTGAGACGCCCTGCGCTGACGGGTACGCATGCGGGTGATGCTGGTGGTGCTGCTGATGGGGGGAGCCGCCACCGCCGCCGCCACCTCCTACAGCTGCGGCACCAGGCGGCAGCGGCAGGCGGTAGATCCGGAGCAGCGCCGCTAGCCGCTCACATGCGTCCAGCATGCGGTCATGAAGACTGCGACCCGACGTGGCGGCACTGAACGACGTCGGCGCCCTGGCGTCAGCGGCGGCGTCCGCAGCGGGCTCGACGTCGGCGTCGGCGGCAGCGACGCCGTCAGCGGCGACAGCGGCGGCGTCGTCGCCGGAGGCGTTGGGATGCCGTACGATTGAGCCGCCGCCGCCGCCGCCGCTAGCCGGTACCCAGGCATCATCCGCCTGCGAGCCCAGGAGGGTGTGCATGGGAGGGTGCCCTGAGCAGAAGCACAAGCCATGATTGTGTCTGACCAGCTACCAACTAGCTACTAGAGATCTGACAAGAACCGGCTACCCTTTCAACACAGCAGCATACCGGTGCATTGCAGCTTAGCCCGCATCCTCTCCTTCCGCTTTACAACCCCGCCCTGTCCCCCTCCGTCCCGCCCTCAGCCCCCCTCACCTGCAGCGTCAGCCGCAGCACCCGCCGCGCCTCAAACACCAACAGCCGCGGCTCCGGCCCCGCCGCCGCCGCCGCCTGCTGCCGCAGCCCCGCCGCCAGCGCCGCCGCATCCAGCCCCGGCGGCGGCGCTGCCACCACGCAGCAAGTACCCGAGAAGTCCCCGAAGGACGGCTCCACCAGCACCAGCTCCGCCTCCCCGCTGCTAAAGCTGCTGCTGTTGGTGGTGTTACCGGTAACACCACGAGGGCTCATACTACTGCCGCCACCGCCACCGCCGCCGCCAGAGACTGCAGTCACCGCTGCTGCAGTGCCACTGCCACCCCCGCCTCCGTTCATGGCGGCATGCGCGGCTGCTGCCGTCGCTGCTGCCGCAGCTCGCATCATGCGCGCCGCTATGGCTCGCGCCAGCTCGCCGCCCCTCCGGTGTCCGAAGCCCGCCAGGACCAGGCTGCGTGGACCGAGCACACTGTGCATCTGCTCATCTGTGTGTAGGCCCGGGGCGGGGGGCGGGGGGTAGACACAGCGGACATAACCGGGCGGGGAAGGCAGCGGATAGATAAGAAAGGAAAGCGTGTCTTAAAGAGACAGCGAAGATGGGCTTGCACAGTGCATACGGTAAAGCCAGCAAAAGCAAAAGCGCTCGACAACCGGCTGCTGCTGTGCTTACCCCCGTACGGCAACACCAGCTGTTGCACGCCGCTGCAGCCGCGCAGGAAGGCCGACCAGAGCCCCGGGGGCCGGCTGTAGCCCTGCGCCATGAGGGCTCCCGAGGCCGTGTCGTGGGTCAGCAGCTCCACATTGAAGCCAGCCTGGAGGGCGCCCTGGAGGAGGGGAGACAGAAGGCGGGCGGGGAAGAAGCAGGTGGGGAAGAAGCGGGTGGGGAAGAAGCGGGTGGGGAAGAAGCGGGTGGGGAAGAAGCGGGTGGGGAAGAAGCAGGTGGAACGAAGATCATGCTGTTAAACGATAACGCCAACCCGTTGGGATATCGGGAGGGGTGGGGGGGTAGGTGCGGGGTGTCAACTCCCCACCTGCACGGGTTCCAGGAAGTCCTCGTCCCCGCTGATGAGCACGATGGTGAGCTGGCCCGGGTGGGCGCGAGCCAGGTGCGCGTGCTCCGTTGTGAAGTGGTGCAGCTCCTGGGGACGGGGAGGGGTGAGGGAGGGGAGGGGTGCAGGAGGGGAGGGGAGGGAGGGGAGGGTGAGGGAGGGGAGGGAGAGGATGGATAGGTACGGGAGGGGTGTGAGATGGACTTGGGATGAATAGGTGAGGGAGAGAGGTGAGTTGGGCTTCGGATGAACAGGTGAGGGAGAGAGGTGAGTTGGGCTTCGGATGAACAGGTGAGGGAGAGGGGTGAGATGGGCTTAGGATGAGTAGATAGCCCAGCCAGTGCATGTTGCACGGCGCATGTGTCGTACCTTCTTCAACATGACGTCCGCGTTGCGTTTGGCGTGTACGGCACTCGCCATGAGCAATGTCAGATCTGGGACCACATGCTCCACGAAAGCAGGGTGGTCACGGCGGATACGGTTGAGGCTGCGCTCCGTAACCGCCGCAACGGTACGGTATTCCGTACGACCAGGGGTGTAGATGAAGTGCTTCTTGAGGTACCTGTGGTGGGGATTGGGAGAAGGGCACGCGGTGGGTACGTGATGTGGGGTTCAGGGAGCTGGGGGAGCAGCTGGGGCTCGCACCGGACGATATGCCGAGGTGAGAGCCCAGGTGCTGTGTTGAGAGGCAGCCGGACATTTTCAATGTCCCAGGCGATAAGCACCAAGTTGCGGCCATCACCCGGTGGTGCAGGCCCGATGGGGATTACTGAGGTGGGTGCTTCCGCCGGCGCGGTGCTTGTGCTTTCAGTATCATCCAGAACTTTTCGTTGCTTCTTTCCGGTGCTTTCGCTCCAGCTGGACTGGTTGCTCCGTGACGTTCGCGAGGCCCGCGGAGAGGGCTTCGATGTCGCCTCGTCATTGACTAGGTCGGGACCTGGAACTGAGCTAGCGCAACCCATTCAAAATGGGTTTAGTTACCGCTATTGCACATGGTTTATGTTCATCGCTGTATACCGGTACGCGGCGAGTTGATAATATCCTGAGCTGAGTCAGTGAAGCTCCCGTTAACCCCTATTCACCAAGGAAGCCACAAATAGATTCATACAATCATGGAAATATTTATGTTTATAAGCAGTTACAGCCCGGCATGCCATCTGACGTGGACACCGTACGGCAGCAGAAGCAGCAAACCCTTTTCGCTCTTACCTCTTACCTGTATTACTCGCATACTGGTACCAGGCGCCCTCCTGACCACCCAACTACCGGAGACCTGATGTAGGCTTACACCGTGTGCGTACTTCCATTTCTTTTCGCTGCTCTTTAGCGCCGGTGGGGTTTTGGCTGGGCGGGAGGTAAGGAGGCAGCTGCAAGGGCAGCCGCCGCATGGAACCCTTAGGCCACAAGTGCCTTCCTTTCTAGGCCCTCCTTCTGTGAGAATGGACAGCAAAACCCTTCATGGAGATTTAACCCACATGCTGCATGGGGTTATGCAAAGTCGCCGCCAGCAGCGCCAGGCAAGCGGCCAGCTGGCAATACCCGTACTTGCAAGCAGCCACCACCAGACAAGCCCGGCAGTGCTCGCTCGTTGGTTCCAACCCCGACGTTGTCGATCCCACCACGCGCAATGTGCCGCCCCCAACGCCAGCAGCTGCTCCAAAACCACTTAGCTGTCGCTTCTCCTGGAAACGCAGCCGACACTGCTGTCACATGACCGCGTGTCGTACGGCTGTATTTACTGCGGCTCAATCGTCCACCCGAGCTACGTACCAGTAATTTATGCATAGCCACCGGTGTAAACACGCATGGGGCTTGCAGTTCGCAAGCAAGTCCCTAGAACATACAGTAGCTCCGTTCGCATGAAGCTATACACTACATACACACACAGCGGCTTCTCTTTTGGTCCCTGCCAGGATGTATAATGGCCTCTTAGCTACATACACACCGACACACAACAACTGGCACGTAGCTTTTAGTGCGGGTTGCCCTTGAGGGAACAGATCCCGGCAGTGGAGCACTTGATGCAGGTGGGTCCCTTTCACGAGTACCGCTCGTAGCTGCTCTAACAGCTGCCCTCGTACGCGACGATGTATCATCTTCCGCACCCCCCCTGTGAAAGGCTCAACCCAAGATTGTCCGCAACCCATTACGGTAGAACTAGACTGGTTACTTGATTAGCGTACAATGCATTCGAAAGCGTTGGCAGTACCGGAATGGACATGCGGCACAGGAACTGAAGTAAGGACGTTCCTAGTGAACAGGCATGGATTTTCTGCACAATGCTCTCTTTGCATAACCATAGCTTCTTCGGCACCGCGTCATAAAATATAGCCAGCTTTGTCAATGGACGAGCGAGCGACGGGCACCAAAAATCTGCAACTACCACAGGAACAGCTTCTCTCTAACAGGAAACTGTTGGCAAAAATATTTGAGTTCGTGGCATCGCCTACAGTGCTCATAGGGTTGTGCACCGGATTTGAACCGTTTTGATTTGCCAGTGGAGTTTGGCGAAATTCCAAGTACAGCTGCGGTCATATAGTTAGCTACAAAGACTTACTTCGCGGCAATGCTTAGCGTCAATAGTGGGCGGTCAGTATTCTGTATCCAGCTGCACATCCGGATGTCGACCATGCTGCCAGCAACCCCATCTCTCGCTAGTTTAACCAGGAACAAGCTATGGCTTACCCGATTACACTTAAAGCTGAATTTGCTGAATTAATATGAGAAAAGGATGACGCCCACGAAAACGCGATGGGGAGCACGATGCTGCTCAGAATCAACCTCATCCTCTTCCTAAGCTCTACTCTTTGCCCTAATGGATGCCGCGCCAAAGTCAACAAATCCTATATCGCCACAAGAAAAGCTACATGAAAAGCTTGGCGTGCAAAAAGAACAACAACACACTCGTCCGGTTCGTGTTTAACGCAATACGGTAGCCGGCACACACCGTCCCACCATGCACCCGCAGGAACCAGGCTAACCCCGTAAGCAGCGTACACAACGCCAACACCAACGAAGAACAAGTAAGGCCGAAATATCCTGCAATAGACCACGTGCAAAACGTATGGAGTACCTACTAACGACGCTACAATCCGAGAAGCGTACGTGATTCACTTACTTCCCCAGCCAACGGTGGAAGGGGCCAGAAACCAGCATCCATTGCAGCGCCCAAGTAGTTGAGGACATCATGGGCACCCCAAGAAATACTGCACCGTGCATGCTCACATACCTAACACTTTACACGCACGCGACTGACACGATCGTCGACATAATGGCACACCTCGACGCTGCGCACTCGTACCTGCTAGCAATGCTGCATGCATGCACCTAGGAGGAGCTAGCCGCACCGCCCTGCAAGCGGCTCCTAGTGCTGGGCCCTGAAAGCATCCTGCGTAATCCTGCGTTGCGCACCGCCTCGACTACCAGCGGTATTCCATACAATAAATACTCGTCTTAGATAGGACCCATGGGTCGTCCTCCATCCTAGCAATCCGTCCTCCATCCTAAAGCCCGGAAAACTGCTAACATCTGAAACGGGTGAATTCATACTGATGAGGAATCATCGGGTTTGTTCGTGCGTACATTGTCGGCGCCGTCAAAAATTGCTTCGCAGCAGCAGGCCCGCAATGCAACTAAAGCCTAACCATCTGGTACTTGCTGCCGCTGCGTGCAACAATGCCACCACTACGGTACCGCTGTCACCGTTAGTTGGCTACCTGATAACGTGATTGCTCGCACTTGCGTGCGGGTCTGACCCCTGTTACGACCCTCGTCTCTGAGTAGGCAACGTTGTTGAGTCCGCGGCGTCGGCTGCTGCTGCTGCCACCACTGCCGCAGCCGCCCCCGCCACCGATCACCCGTGATGTATAAACTCCGCGCAGACTGATACGGAGTTACCTATAATAGCCCCTGCCTCCTCTCCTACCGCTGCCCCCGCCGCCACCTCTGCCGTAGCCTCCACCGCGGCCACCTCCGCCGTAGCCTCCACCACGGCCACCTCTGCGCGCGTGGTAGGCAGGTTGATCATCTGTGGGTATTTGGAAAGCCGGTGGGAGGTGCCAAGTAAGCAGCATGGGGAACGGAAAGGATAAAAAACATTTTCCTGTCCAGACAGCCATGGCAACTACTACGGTGCTGGTGATGCCAGCAGCGCGAGCTTTGATGGCCCATGGGTCAGGTGCAAAGGGAGAAAAAGGCTCTAACATGGTAAAACCCTGTCTGCCTGAAGCAAGATCCATGAAATGCCTAATAGCTCGAGCAAACCGCCCAGGCACCTTCGTAGGGCAGTTGGATGTTCTGTTGACCGCTGTAGAACCGAAGGAACTCCAACCATGGGGTGAAGGTACCCTGAGATTGCATCACTTGCGTGGTCGAGCTGTCACCTCGCGCTAGCAACTCCACATTGAAGCCCTCCTCTCGGGCGCCCTGTTGAAGGGAGGCGGCGAGGAGCGAGGGCCGGGAGTTGTGCCGCCGACAGGGAAACGGTGGTGGTTGTACGACAGGAGTACACGGAATGAGCGATGCATGGATGGCTTCCCGCCTGCACTTCTTACATCCTTCTTTTTTCCAGTGGCTATCCTTAAAGCCTGACATGCATGGGATCTAGACATCCAAGCTAGGTTAGTGGTTAGATGGATTAATGGCTGGATGCCGTCGACAACAAAGAGAACCCTTCTCCCGCCCTCCACACCCGTCCAAACCTGCAGGGGTTCTAGGTAGTCCTTGTCTCCGGCGATTAACACGATAGTATGCCGCCACGGGTGGGCGCGAGCCTGGTGCCCATGATCCCGCACGAAGCGGTTGATCTCCTGCACGACGGAACGAATAGCAGATGCCGTACGGGCGGCACGGCATTGGACTGACTTACTGGTTTCACGTGGCTGTAAGGTAAGGAAGGTCGAGTAAGCATAAGCTGGCAGTTACCATGCAGCTGACAAACAGTTTACCTAAGCCAACACGAGCGGGCAGGCTCCACTAGAACCCCACCTAAACATCAACACGAGCCTGAACCTTGCATACGGCATACGGTCAGCAGTTGCTTTTCAGCGGTGTACGGCAAGCTAACAGCTGCGCTGGGGGCATGCAGCCCTAGCTTTGACATCAAGAGACGAAGCAAGTAAGCCCGCCCTTTCCTTATGCAGCCACTGGGACCACTGCCCACCTTCTTCAGCATCACGTCCACATCCAACTTCTTGTCCCTCTTGGACGCCAGGATCAACGTCATCTGGGAAACGGCTTCTGTCACGAAATCGGGGTGGATTGCCTCGATTTGGTGTAAGCTTGCCGGGGTAATTGCTCCCAGAGTCCGGTATTCACAGCGGGGTGGGTCAAACTGGTTGATGTAATGGTTCTTGATATACCTGCCGTACAAGGAGCATGGGTTTAGGGCCGGTAAACGTTTACTGGGACACGTGGGGACGGACTGACAGATACGAAGAGAGTTGTATGGGGAGGAGGACAAGCAATGTACGTTTGCCGACGTCAAAACCTGTCAATGCCTGTGCTGTGTCAACGTGATGAGGGTTCCATCCGGCACTCCCAAAAGGCATCCGAAACCTGGTGGTGTATGTGCTCATCAGGGGTGCGCCAACCCGTACACATGCCTACGAGAAGTTGAAAGACAGCCCGAGCAACCCGCCACCGTAACGCTCCACGCGACCCGACTAGCCAGAAGCCCGATAAAGATGCGTACCCTATGACGTCTCCCGGCGAGAGCCCCTCTGCTGTCGAATGTGGCAGCCGAACGTTTTCCAAGTCCCACACGATGAGAACCAGCTCGCGCTCGTCCGTGGGTACGGCAGGTGGTGGAGGAGCCGGCGGGCTGCTGCTGCTGCTGCTGGTGCTTGCTGCTGTAGGCGTCTCTGCAGCTGCATCGGGCGTCTCTGCAGCTGCATCGGGCGTCTCTGCAGCTGCATCGGGCGTATCCGCAGCTGCATCGGGCGTATCCGCATCGCCCGAGGAAGGCTCCGGCTGTATCTCAGAGGAGCACGAAGACGCCGCCTTTGATGCCCGGTTGTTTGTGATAGACGGTAAAGATGAATGGGGTTGCATTTCTGCTGCTGCAGCAGGGGCAGTGGGCTCCTCGGACGCAGCCGCCGGGGCGGGGTCCTCATCATTATCAGAAGCTGAGTCACCGCCGCCCTCGCTTCTTGTCCTGGACGTGGAACTTGGCGATTCCGCACGGGCTTGTACTGATGCTGCAGGAACAGCAGTGGGCTCCTCGGCGGAAGCTTGCTGGGGATCATCATCCGGTGTCACCTCATCTTCGGTTATTCTTTCGGGTACTGATCCCGGCAATGCATCGTTGGCTTCCACTGCTGCGGCATGTACCTCGAGCTGCTCGGCAGCATCTGTGAGTAGCCTGTGGAGGCTACTGTCCAAAGTGCCGGGTTGCCTCAATTCACGGCGATTGCCCAAGTTTACGGCCTCACTTGTTGGTTCAGGGCCGGTAGCTGGGCTGGTCCGCGACGCGCTAGTCGCTATGTCGGGACGATTTGTGACCGCCGGAACAGCGACGCCGTTACCGTCCGCATCGGAAGCTCTTAATTGAACTGTTTCAACGTTGTTGTTTGGGACCGCCACATCGACCGCTCTTGTGTGCGGCAACGCCCCAGATGGCCCTCCAGCATTTCCTGGTTGAGCGGGCGCAATCTTTGAACTCCGGCAGCCCATTATGCTGTGGGTTAAAATTAATAGTAAACTAACGTGTGGTGCATGTCAATTGGGTTGGGAGTATGGGTGCGCACAGAAAATGTTCATATGTTCATCGCAAGAAGACCCACAACATCCGTTACCATTGCAAAGAAAAGATTGTTGATCAGTAGTATTATAAGGAATTTCGTTTTGGTACCATGCAGAGAATAGCCAGCTTAGACCCTGTACGACGGCAGCAGCAAAAACCTGATAGCTATCGCAGGCTATAATACAAAAAGACTAGCAGGACATTCAACACAGTATTAATGATTTATGTTGGTGCAGCGAGATACCCTTGGATTGCTTCCTTTTCCGACTAAACACTTAGCAGCTATGGTGCCGGATGACGAGCCCCAGGGGCCTATATTGCAAACTGACATCGCCGAACAGATAACCCACATCCTTAAGTGTGACGCAACGCTGAAGGCGTTGCGGGTGGTCTCGCGGGAATGGAAGGGCTTGGCGACATCGCGTGTGCGGACATTGAAGCCACGGTCTGGACAGCGTGGTTTGGAGCTCGACCTGGAACTGCTCGCTGAAAGGTTAGTACGTGCTTAAATATATGCCTATTGTAGCGTGCGGTGTGCAGTTGTGTCGGTAGACCCAGTGCACGATGGTTGTTAAATAGTGCCGACTCTGGTCGCCGTTTGGCTTAACCCCGCGCTAATAAATAAAATTATCTTACAGGTTTCCATGTATCGAGACGCTCGATTTGCGCACCGTGCACGGGCTAGTTCGGGACGAGTCCCTTGCCGGATGCGCCAAGCTTCGCAACTTACAGAGCCTAGTGCTCGATGGCTGCAAGCAGCTCACCAACGAAGGTCTTAAATGCATCTCTACAAACATTCAAACGCTAAGCCTCCGCCACTGCTCCCAGGTAAGAAAACCATTCCGCGTTGTTAACTTCCGCCTTGGGATTTCGTCACCAAAAGTACTCTTTTCCATTGCAGCAACAAACGCAAAGTGTATATCTATAACATTGATAAATTGCAAACGCTTGTGGGAGGACACTGAACGCTTCTCGTAGCCTTGCTTGCATCGCCCGCGGCCGGCGTACCGACCAGCCAGCGCGCTATGACACCTTATGTACTCCCGTATCATTCACGTAGACATTGGCATCGCCCTGCTGCCCTGCTACTCCTCGGCTATTGTAGTCGCTATCAAATCGAGGGTACCGTAGTCGACACACCTGCATTTACAGGGCTTCCTCGGCCCTTGTTTTCCCCTGTGTGGACTCATGGCCCCCTCCCAACCCATGAACCGCCTCCCAATCTTGGCCCCCCCATCACGCTTCCCCCACAGGTCACTTGGACCGGCCTTCGAGCCCTCTCCCGCCTGCCGCACCTCACCTCCCTCAACATCGCCGGCGTCAAGCTCCCACCCACACCACCAGCTGCCCAACCCGTCGACCAAGCCGGCCCAGCAAACCCACCCCCGGCCCAACAGCACCCCAACCCCAACCCACATGCACCCAACCAGCCCGACGCTTCCACTTCGGCTTCGCTTCCCCTTCTGCTGCTGCTAACCCGCCTAGAGTCGCTCACCCTGGGAGACCCCATGTCGCTGTCCTTCTTCAGCGACCGGGCGCTGCTGGAGCAGCTGGTGGGCGCCGACAGACCCGCGGGTCGGCGTGAGGGCGAGGAGTGGGGGCCGGGTGGCGCACCTCAGCTGACGTCGTTGGACCTGAGCGGCTGCATCGACCTCTCGGACTGGGGTGAGGAGAGGGGAGGGGCGGGGTGCGGAGAGGGATTGGGTAAACTGGGCCGCGGAACACTGGCCCTGACCGTAGTGGTATACCGGGAGATGATGGCGGAGAGGGAGGGTTAAGAGGAAAGGAGGCCAGGAGGGAGGGAGACAGGGTAAGCGAGAGCAGGAGGTATACTAGCGAGAGGCCCTTATGGCAAGGCAGCTGTTAAAAGCCTGTGTTTGGAACATGGCTTTGGTCTATCCCGGAAACTCTTCCACCTTACCATTCGCTACCGTATTATAACGCCGACAGCCATCCTCCCTTAAGGATCTTGCGCATTCCCTGGCTTGCACCCTCACAAGTCACATCCCCTGACTCTCCCCTCTCCCCACCTTCCCTCCTCCTTCCCACCTCGCAGCCGTGCACCAGCTCTGCTCCTCCCTGCCGCGCCTCTCCCGCCTCAGCCTGCAGTCCTGCGTGCGGCTCACCAACATGGGGCTCTCCGACCTGCCGCGCCTGGCGCCCCGCCTGACCGCCCTCAACCTGCGCGGCTGCATGCAGCTCAGCGACGCGGGGCTGGGGCCGGGACTGGGCGGGCTGGGGGCGCTGCAGGAGCTCAACCTGCAGGGCTGCACGGCGGTGACGGGTGAGGAAGGAAGGGGGCTGACGGGGGGTACCCTAAGGCGGTGTAACGGGGTTACCGTACACCAGTGTAAGGGAGGGGATGAGTTCAGGGGTTGGCAGCGAAGCAGGGTCCGTGAGGGGAATTGTAGGGAAGGTAGGTGGAGGATGGAGGGAGGGCGGGAAGGTGGGTTTATACGCTCATAGCACCACATCCCCATGCGGCTGTCGCAACTAATCAAACTCCTTCATGAGCTCTTCCCTTCCCTCCTGACCCCATCCCCAGACCATGAACCCCCATCCCTACCTTCCTCCCCCCTTTCCCTACCTCCAGGCGCCTGCCTGTCCGAGCTCTCCTCCTGCTCTCAGCTCTCTTCCCTCTGCCTAGCCCACTGCGCCTCGCTAGCCTCCCTGGAGCCGCTGCGGGGGCTGGCGGGTTGCCTGCGCCGCCTGGACGTGAGTCACTGCGCCAAGCTGGGGGTGGGGTCGCTGGCGGCGGTGACGGGGCTGCCGCTGCTGGAGGAGCTCAAGGTAGGGGCTGGGAGGGGCGGGGAGGAAGAGAGGAGGAAACTGACGAGCTGTGTGACATGTAGGCTTCACCAAGAGGTGCAAACATGGCAGCGGGCGCATAGGGATTGGGAGGGGGGAGATAACTGAGGAGGTGGGGGAGGAAGGGACAAGACGTCGAACCGGTTGCTAGATGCTAAGGAAGGGAGGGAGGGTGAGAAGAGAGGGGAAAACGAGTAAGACCAAGTAATAAGGGAGGGTGGAGGGACTAGGTCGTCGAAGTGAAAGGCTGCAGCCTGGGAAATCGACATGGAGTTACGAGGAAGGCTTCGACCTCAGGGCTCTAGCCAGCCTGCTTATTTACCCCTGCTCCACCGTCTGCTCTACCCCACCTTACCATTCCCCTCATCCTCTTCCTCTCCCCGCCCTTCGCTCCCCCCCCAGGCCAGCCACCTGCGCAGCTCCACCTCCCTGCCGCCCGCCACCGCCTCCCAGCTGGCGCACCTCTCCTGCCTTGCCCACCTGCGCCTCCTCGACCTCTCCCACCTCTCCCACCCGGGCGGCTTTCCACCCGCGCTGCTCTCCGCCATTGCGGCCCTCACCAGCCTCACACGCCTCTGTCTGGCGGGATGCGAAAAGCCAGCAGCAACAGCAGCCGCCAGCAGCAGCGGCGCCAGCAGCAGCAGGATGAATGGCGCCAGCGGTGGCAGCGGCGCCCTTCCACCAGCGGCACGGCAGCAGGACACGGCTGGAGCTGCTGCTGCTGTGGAAGGGACGCCTGCGGGTAGCGGGGATGCTGCCGGCGCGAGCGATGCTTCTCCTTCTTCTTCCTCTTCCTCTTCTTCCTCTTCCTCTTCCGCGCCAAGCAACAGCGGCGACAACCCAGTAGCAAGCAACCCCGGCAGCAACAACAGCAGCAGCAGCAACGGCGTTGCGGACGTGGCTGACGGTGCGTTGTCCTTCTTAGCAAGTTTGCGGCATCTGGAGGAGCTCGATCTGGGTGGCTGGCAGGAGGTGGAGGCGGGGGAGCTAAGCTGGCTGGCGGGAGCCACCCGGCTGCGACGGCTGGTGGTTTCGCGGCTGGGCAACCGGCATGTGGGCGGCAGGCGGCGGGGCACGTGCGGAGTGGAGGGCTGCGACTGCCGCTGCGGAGGGAAGGGGGCGGAGGGAGAGGAAGAGTACTCGTCGTCGTGTCCAAGTCTGTGCAGCAGCACGCCGGAAGAGGGAGGAAGCAGTCCCCTGGGGAGTCCGGTGAAGAAGGCGGTGTCGGGTGGAGCGGGGGCTGCTGCTGCTGCTGGCGTGGCTGGGAATGCGCTGCAGGAGCAGTTGCAGCAGGCCAGGCAGCGGTTTGAGCAACAGCAGCAGCAGCAGCAGCAGCGGGAACAACAGAAGGAGCAGCATGTGTCAACAGCGTCCGCAAGTGGGGCGTCGTTCTCGTCGACCTCCTCGTCTTCTTGCTCTTCTTCCGCCACCTCCTCCTCCTCCTCGCCGCCTGCCGGCCCCGCCACGCCCTCCCTGTCCTCCCTGGAAAGGCAGTTGGCAGCAGTGGAGCTCTCACCCGCACCCGCAGCACCTGCACCTGCACCTGCATCCGTGCCAGGCAGCCACCCTCATGGATCCGCTGGAGCTACGGATGGGACTGCAACTGAGGTCAACGTGCCTACGCGGGCTGCTTCTTCGTCATTGTTACCATCCACAGCAGCGACAGCAGTGCCTTCCGCAGCGGGGGGAGCAGCAGCAGCGGCAGCAGTAGACGACCCCTTGGCGCCCCTCCTGGCTGCGCTGCCGCCGGTGCGGGCACCTCGGCCTCGAGTGGAGCAGCAGGAAGAGGCTGCTGCTGCAGCCGCTGCTTCTGACGGCCAGCATGCTGCCAGCAGCGCTTCCGGTGATGCTGATGCTGATGGCGCCGTCGCTGTACCACCCGCCGCCTCCGCAGCGGCAGCAGCTGCCAGCAGAGTCTGGGAAGCAGCTGGGCAGTTGTCGGAGCGCCTGAAGCAGCTGGCACCCGTCACGCCCACAGGCGGACTGGCGGGGGCGGTGGCGAGGCTTGCACTGACGGTGATGTGTCTGACAGAGGTGGTGCTGGAAGGTGGGTGCTGGTGTGCCGGGCTTGCATTTTCGGGTTAGTGCTTGAACGCGGGGCGTATGGGGTAGGCTAAGGGTACAGGGCGGGGAAAATACTGAACTGTTAGTACCGTGCGGGTCCACCTATGGGGAGCGGGAGGGCCAGTTGCAGCAATGCCTTGGAAACGAACCGGAATGCACGGTGCTTAGCGCCGTGGCATCTCAAACGAGCTATGCTTTGCTTCCCCAACGTCCTTCTGTCGCTGTCTCCGCCCACGCAGCCTGCAATGGTGTCAACGACGATGTGGCAGCGCAGCTGGCTAAATTCACCCGCCTGGAGATTGCCAACCTAGGCGGCTGCAATCGACTGACGGGAGCGACCCTCGGCTCCTTCGCGACCCACGGGTCTCTCCACACGCTGGTGCTCGCGAACTGCACGTCACTCACCAATGAGGGCTTACGAGCCGTCAGTGACATCACTTCACTACGAGTTCTGGACATTAGCGGCTGCAACCGGATTACCGACGAGGGAACAGCGACCCTTGGGTCACTGCGACGCCTAAACAGGCTATCCCTGCGAGGCATAGCGCGGTGCTCAGATCGTACAGTAACAGCGCTGACAGAACTTCCATCCCTGCAGTGGCTATCATTATCGCTATGCGGATCAATTACGGATGGATCCTTGCGCCCGTTATCTGGAGCACTTGGTTTCAATCCTTTCGGCGGCACTGGCAAGGGCGGCTTTGTTTTATCATCCAGCGGGAGCCCCCCAGTCAGGGTCTCTTTCTCATCAGGGACCAGTAGCCACAACGACGGCAACGAAAATGGCAGTGACAGTAACAGAAGCGGCACCAGCAATAGCAACAGCAGCAACAGCTACGCTACTGGAGGCGGTTATCGCAATGGCAGCAATGGAGGCGTTGTCGGTTGCCCCAGCCTTACATGGTTGGACGTTAGCCACTGTTGGCGGTTAAGCCGATCTGCCGTACGGGATCTGGAGGCGGCGCGGCCGCATCTCAAGATTATATCCACTGGAAGGTAAAGTAGACAGTGCGTATGGCCGGATAACACGGCCGATAATTCCAGTTCAGTCTTGTTAGGCTTGTTTCTTTATTAGGATCTTTATGACACTAATGTGTAATGGCATTACACATGTTTAGTTGACAGCATGCGTGCTTATTTGGGCGCATGTGAGGTGGAAGGAGGCCCTTGCGTGTTGTTTGCCTGGCGTAGGGCGACGGCAGAAGGCGTGGAAGTGGTTTTGTTTAAGCAGTGGTTTCATTAAGCGGTGATTTCATGAAGCAGTGATCCACTGATTGTAGGCGTGAAGTCAGGGGGGCTTGACATCCCTTGAGAATGCGTGTCGTACCGTGTACTGCTTTCCAGCTGGGCGGCCCTGCGACCGGGCATGCGTAGACAATGCGTGTGTACGAGGTGTTGCGTGAAATCTGCCGTACACACACACGTACAATGTGATAGTGACATGAACAGTAAAAAATGCTATTGGGAAATTATGAGGCGAGCGGCTCGAGGAGGAGAGGTACAGTGTATGCGGTTCCGCAAACCGAGCCGGGAATAGGTGCGGCCACATTCGGTATGAAGTCTTTGAAGTGCATGCTTGCTTACTCAAGTTGTGGAGGTCTCCGTACATACTCAGGCATTGGTGCTGTTCCGGACTGGTCAGTCTCAGAGGATGGCACTGGACCGCACTACCGCTGTACAAGTTGTCTTGCGAATGAGTGAATGACTGTTACAGTGGTTCCTTAAGGTTTCACAGACGTTTAGAAGCGAGGCCGCCGGCACCAGGACCAGACCCACCCATGCGTTGGGTGGGCCGTTGGTGGGCCATGGAGTTTTCATTTTTCCGGGTTAGCTAGGAAGCGGGAAACGAAGACGGAAGGTAACATGTCCCTTCCGTGCCATGTACACTAGAGACTATGATGGGCTAGGGCAACAGGGTAACACAACTTTCATGTGCACCATATTATGAGGAGTCATCTCCTCCTACCGTCTCTTCTTGCAGGTAACACTCTTCATTCTTGGTGCATACGTAGCCGCCTGCATAGGCTAGTTGCAAATACTCTTTCCCTTCGTAACCTTACCTTGCGTGTACAAGCATGGGATGGATGCATCGAAGGGCGGTGGCTTTGTTGTGGAAGTCATGGAATTGGCATGGGGGTATTCCCCAGCAGCGGCCGTGCGGGCCATCGTGAACTGAGCCAAGACAGTCGAGCCGAGCGTTCCTAACCACCATGTCCCATGTGACATGGGCCAAGCACGTGGGAGGAGGATGATGGTGGTGATGGGTTGGGGCCGGAGAAGGTTTGGACTAGAGGAGTGATAAGTGTAATAACAGACAAGATGCTCCATTTAAAAAGACACTCTGCCTTTCTGCCTTCTAAAGTTGTGGTGGTGCGCCAAGAATGTATGTCGCCCATTTTGCCATCCTGGCACCTTCGCATGCCAGTGCAGCCATTACCTTGTTCACATGGACTCAGAACTGTACGACAACAATAATAGTAAACGACAACCCGTACCAGCTCGTCAACCTTAGCACAGAGACACATGAAAATGGTGTCAGTGTCATTTCAGCGACATGTTTCTGAGCACCCCCATGCGGCGCTCATAGGAAAGGCCCCAGCTGGGCGTTACCGGTATATGGTACACAGCGCTCGCCTCCAGGCCACAAGAGTCGTCGTGTCGTATACAGAAGGATAGAACGGAAACCCTGCAGCAGCGTGATTGCGCCTTCGTCAGCGCTTTCATCCTGCAGGACACCACTATTGTACATTGCATCACCTGCCGCGACGCATGCACGGCGCACATGCAAGCAAGCCCACGTCCGCCATCATAATCCTTCCCTTCACCCTGCCTTGCCTTTCAACCTCCATTACCACCTGTTGACCAGCATTACCCTACTTTCCTTCTCCCCCACTCGCCCCCTCCGCCACCTCTTTCTCCCCCACCGGCGCCTCTGGCCCCGTGAACAGCAAACTGCAACACGTCAGCGCGCCATCAGCCTTTGCCAGCTCGCCCATCCCAATGACGTGCAACTGCATGCCGCGTTCCGTACACAACTGCCGTACAACGGCCTCCGAAGCCGGGAACCCCGTCTGCATCACGACATGCGGCCCGGCGCTCAGAACGTTGCAGGGCAGGGTTTCGGGCAGGAATTGCAGGGTGAGGCGAGAGGCCAGGGCGGGGACGGCGGAGATCTGGGCGGCCAAAGCCCGACCCATGGGGCTGTCGGCTACCAGGAGCGTGTGGGGATCCTGAGTGGGCAGGAGTTGGGGCGAGGGCGGGGTGAGGGGACTAGCGGGGGGAGGAGGGCAAAAAGGAGGAAATTGACGAGCTGTGGGACTAGGCTTCACCATGGGGTGCAAACGTGGTAGCCGGCCCATACCGTCCTGCCCGAATGAGGGGAGGGGCGGGGCGACGGCATGGAGCTGGGATGCAGGGACCCTAGGGAGGCCAGATGGGCGGGAACGTGTGTTGTCCCTTTCGGGGATGGAGGTGCGTGCCGCGGGACCCGGGGAGCCCCTTCAGGACGATGCGCATAGGGCCCATGCTGGGGCCCAACCTTGCCTCTCACACCCTACCTCTAGGCCTTCACTCCAGGCCCGGTCCAGCACCCAGCCCCTTCTTCCACCCCCTATCTCCTCCCACCAGCTCCCTTTTGTTCTCACCCCGCTCCCACTTACCAACGCTGACAGCACACTCTTGAAGTGCAAGGCGCCCCCAGCCGCCTTCTTCACCTTCGCATCCACCTCCCCTTCCGCTGCCTCCGCCTCCGCCTGCCCTTCCCTCCCGTCCTGCTTCAACACTGCCGCTGCCGCCGCCTCTGCAGCAGCAGCCGCCTTGGCCGCTTCTGCTACTGAGAAACCGTAGACCGGAGGGCCGCCCGCTTGCTGCGCTAGCTGCTGCAGCTGCCGTAGCCCCTCCTCGTTGGTCCTGCCGCTGGTGGCCGCGAGGACCGCCCAGGGCAGGATTAGGACATCACCGCCGTCCAGGGTAGCAGGCGGCTGCAGGTAGTCAACACGGGGAAAGCCGAGCGATTGCAGGGCAGTTGCTACCGGACCCGGCTCGGGCTGTCGGCTCGGAGCACCTAAGGTTGGGATTAATTACATATGGAACCAAATGAATGACAATGATTAATCCGAAGAGCTCAGCCTTTTAGCAGGGCTCGGGGGCTGTGAATCGATCGGCAAATGGCATAGCCGTTTCTACCTGGCCGGGTAATGATTGCGTGCTGATCATTGATAACCAGTGCTGTATCTTCAATGAAGACGCAGTCAGGGCAGCTATCATCGGCGGAGATTTCGACGACCTTTGGTACTAACGATCGAAGCAGTGCGGTGTACTGGTTATGCTGCTCGCTAGCTAGGGTTACAATGATAGGCTCAGGTGGGGGCTCTAGCGCTAGTGCGTCCTCAAATGTCCCAGCAAGGCCGCGCACCAAAGCGTGGGTGACCCGAAAGTACCTGTCTTGCATTTGCATAACCACTTTGAAACTTTGTAAGGAGTACAGCGGAGTATCCGAAAACGGATAAACATCACCGCATGGAGCAACAGGTCCATCAACATGTGTAGGTTGGATCCTGATTGAATCATTATGCCGTACACAAGATTGAGTCGTCCTTCGCGCTCTATCATTCAACAGAAGTGTAAGCAGACACGTCATACAACCATGGTTGCTGCTCCCTGCCCAAGCAGTTAATCAACAGTTACCGGTACTGCTCAAATGAGCGGACCCTGCTTAGTCTTTCCACTTGCCGACGATTCATGGTTGCTTTCAGACATTGCAAAAGCGCTTACCAATAAAATGCACTCGAGTATCGTCCGCGGGGCCCCAATTGGGACATTTGTTAGCTTGGGACTCCGAAGCTCTGCGTAAAGAATTCTTGTCGTGGCTTGAATGTGATCTTCTCTTTGCGCACCAGTTTCTATTATGGATGGGTACAATGATGACTCGCTTTGGCAAGTGCACGGCAGAGGAAAATGACTGCAAACAAGGTTCCACTGCATCTTAAGTTTATAGCATGGTTAGCCTGCTGGTCATGAAGCTAAATCATTCTTTCAATTTTCATCCCGTGTGTCCTTTGTCGCCTGCGAGATTATATTTTCTATGGCTGCACGCTATGCATGCTTACGTCTTCCAGATAGATTGCAACGAAAGGCCCCTGTCTGACCATGCCTTTCTTTACAAACTAGTCTTCCATAAGTTGAATTCTGGTAATACCAATCGGGGCTAGTTCACGAGTATCCAAAACTGGCATGTGATCTGCAAGGAAGAGCTAGATAACATTCCTGAATAACTTTAAGCAACAACTTTATAAATCAACACGCGCTTGTTGTGTGTGAAGCTATTAAATAGCATCAGACGCACTGACCCAAAGTATCCCCGGAAAAATGGTCACTGCATTTTACATCAGCCAAACAGCATTCCATTCAATACGCCTGAAAGCGTTGTACTGAGTGGTTTAGTTGTTTATTGCCGAAGTCAAAGAATATGAACCGGCCCTGCCGTTACGACATACACACTGCGAACTGTTTACTATGCCTTATGCGGTGCGAGGACGAATTCTCTTAATGTTTTCATACAATGATATTCCACTTAGCCTGCTTTAGTATTAGCGGCATTCCTGTGTAGCTTCAACCTAACGTCCGTCTCGACGCTCAACCTCTGGCAGGCAGTCCACTTCTATGAGGTGAATGTAGCATCATAGAGCTTGATACCAGTTCCTGAAACTGCGCCCAGCGGTTATAGCGACGCCTTCGTGCCCCTCGGCTTAAGGATACGCCATTAATATGGGCCTCGTGCGCTCGCTATTTGCGGCATGCTTCGCACCGCAAGACAAAGCGCAAGTTGATAAGAGCCTAAAATTCCAGCAACAAGGATATGTGAAGTCTCGGCACAGCAGCGCTTGTGAAGCAAGCGAGGACTCGTCGCTGGATTCCAGGCCAGCAGCTCCGTCCGCCGCTAAGAACTCGCCACCTGTCCGAAGAAAATCAAGTGTATCATCCATTCCAGAAGACTACCAACAAAACGAAGGCCCTGCTCCACAGGGGACCAAAGGTCCAACGCTGCTGGCAAGGGAGCCATCTAACGGTAAACCTGCCAGAGCCAGCAGCAACAGCAACGGCTCAATTCGTTCTCTGGCTACCGGTGCGGCTTCAGATGGTCGTTTTCTAGATGGTGATGCCGCGAAAGGCGGCTTTTTCACGACGAGTAGTTTCTCTCCGTTCCAAACATCGGCCGCATTGCCTTTCGCCTCAAGCGAACGCCGTGAAGATGTCGTCGTCGTCATCACCCACACTAGTAACAACGCTATCAATACTTCCCAGGTTACATCGACGACAACCACCACAACTTCTCCACCAGCGACCCTTGCGGCATCGCTAATGAACCTAACGACGGAAGACAGCCCGCCTTTGCCGCTCGAGTTTTGCACCAACAGCGCCGCCTTCTTCCAGGCTTCCGGCTGCAGTACGCCATCTGGCCTTCCGCCCAGGAAGCCCGTCATCATCAACACCTTAAACAGCAGCAGCAACAACAACAACAAGAGCATCATCATACCCTCATCCATTACCTTCCATCTCGACACCGACGCCACCACCATCTCACCAGGCCCCGCGTTTTCCGCATCGGAAGCCGTCCGAGAGCCCTCCCTCATGCACGGCTCCCTGGAGCCCTGCACGCGTAATTCCTCACCCTCCGTGGTCTCCAGCCAGCTCCCCGGGCCCTTGCACAGGGAAGTCCTAGCCCTTGCCAACGCCACCACCGGAGACAGCCGTTACAGCAGCTCCCTAGGCGCCGGCGGAGGCTGCGACATCAGCCTGAACACCTTCCCAACCACCGGGAATTCGGCCAACGTGGCGGCGGCCTGCCGCTCCTCATTCGGTTCGGAGAGCACAGGCCGCTGCTGCTCTTCCGGCTGCTGCTGCTCGTTATCCAACTACACCATGAGCCCGACCGACATGGCAACTACCGTGCAGCATGGTAATCAAAGGTCAATTGACGCGGCGAATGGCCCAGGTGACGGTGCGGAAGCCGGCGGCAATGTTGCCGCCGTTGGTCGTTGTGGCCGTTGCGGCGGTTATGCCGGTCGCAAGGGCAGTGCGGAGTTAGCGAGTGGCGCGTCGTCTCTGTCGCATGCCTCCTCGCCGCGCGCCCAGCCGCCATGTGCCTTGGCGGCTCAGTTCCGGCAAGCGCAGCTACCGCCGCTGCAGCCGTCGCCGCAGGAGGGCGGCCTGCTGGTGGCATCTCCGCCGGAGCTGCCAATCATGCCAGCACTACCGCCGGCGGCCGGCTCCCTTTCGACATCGCCACATTCAACTCGAAGGACCAATCCGGCGGACAACTTCCTTCGTTTCACGGACCTGGAGACGTGCTGGTCGGAGCTGAAGGACTTGTCCTTCATCGGTTCTGGATCCAGCGGCAACGTGTACAGCGGCACGTGGTGTGGGGTAAGTACGGCACATGGGGTGAACAGAACATTGGCGTACGAACAGTAGTGCCTTCGAGCGTGTCTGCGCGACCCCAGCGTTATACCACTATTCTACACCTCACGCTGCTACTGCTGTCGTCTGCTGCTATTGCTGCTAGCCTCTACGCTCTTTTCCGCCTAAACCTCTTCCTCCTCACCCGTATCTTCCGCCCCTGCCCCTGCCCCCCAGGTCCCCGTCGCTGTCAAGTTCATGATCACCGGCGACCCAAGCCAGCTGCAGCGCCAGCAGCGGGAGGCCGCCCTCTCCCGCCTCGCCTCACACCCTCACCTCGTACAGACCTACGCCGTCGCCGTCGCGCAGCTCACTCACGCGCATTTCCGGCCGCAAGAGCCAAACGCCAGCAGCCGAGGCGGCGGCGGAACCGGCGGAGGTAACCGAGTGTCGTACTTGACAGACCTGCTGGGCACATATGCTGGTGGTGGTACGGCAGCGGAGTTGTACGGAACGGCTAGTCTGTCTCCATCTCAGTCGACAAATGCTGGTTGCGGAGGCGCCGGCGGCTATGTTGGTGGTGGTGGTGCGAGTGAGGTTGGCGCTGGTATGCTCTACACGCCTGCATCGCCGGGGACTGGTGTCACAATCGGTTCCGGGTCGCGTTCTGACAAGCCCAACGGGTCATTCAGCGGCCCGGATGTTACCGCGGCGCTGCCTCAGATTGGCGCCGTTGCACCGTTGGCATCGGATGACGTCTTCGCTTTTAACCTGCTAGGTAACTGCGAGCCGCGGGGGGCTTTACCGCCATCGCAGCAACCCAACCCCTTTCGGAACTTCATGGTACAGGAGCAACAGCAGCAGCAACAGCAGCAGCAGCACGCCAGCCGCAGGAGCGGTCGTATCAAAGCTGCCATCGCAGGGACCAGCGGCAGCACCGGTGGCGTTTCCGCTACCAGCGCCCCGGACGCACCGTCGCTGCTGTCTTCCACGCTAGCGGAGCCATCACTCCCGCTGGCCCGTGGGTCGGTGCCCATGCAAATGCGGTCACAACGGTCACCTTTCCGGCCGTCTCAGCTGCCCATTGCACGGTCCGTCCAGCATCAACAACAACAACAACAGCAGCAGCACCTGCAACAGCAGCAGCAGCAGTCGTTGCTACGTCCGGCGGCGTCTTCCCGGCCCTACGTGACGCACGTTTCGCCCGTCGCGTCGCTACAGACGGACTGTCCACCGACCGCCAGCAGCGGCGTCAGCGGGGAAGGAAGGGTGGCAGCTGCAGCTGCTGCTGAGTCCGTGATGGTTGTGGACGGTGGGAGCCTGGCGGGGGGCAGCGCGGCTGCGCGGCCATTGAGTGGCAGTGGGAACTTCAGGTACGGGTGTGTGCGGAATGCATGTAACCGACGTGTACATGTCCTTGTTTCCCTGCATTCTGGCGTATACCGGTGCCTGCGGACCACCCTGGGCTTCTTGACATGTGACATGAAGTGGTTTCCCTTTTCAACCGCTTTCCGGGCCTTGCATGGGTTAGCCTACCGCTCTTTCCTTCCCACCTGCATTGAGGGTGCGCTGTGAATCAGCTGCTTGACCGCCTCCTCCTGCTGCCGTACATACACCATACCGGTATCTCCACCTGCCGTCTCATCACTTATCCCTGCTGCCCCTCCGCCCCATGCACATCACGCAGGTTTGACCGAACCAGCCGGCAGCAGCAGCAGCAGCAGAACACGGGCCACCTGCCCAGTGCGACCTACACCAGCGCTGTTATCAGCACAGTAGACATGGCGCTTGCTGGGGCGTACCAGGTGGCTGGGGAGGCCGGGTGGGCGTTGCATTTCCCATTCCAACAGGCTCTTACCACAGACCGCATGCATGGGCCCTAATCTGCCCTTATCTGCATGCTTTATTCGTGTCGATTTTATGTATAGCGCCGTGGAACAGCGTAATCCTCGTCGCAATCTCCTCGAGTCATTCGCAACCTCCACCCCATCTCCACCGCCCCTCACACCTCCCCAACCAACAGGACGTCGACAAGGCCGACTCCTTCGAGATGCGTGTCTCCGAGGCTGGCCCCTCACTGCTGCTCTTCCAGCCCTCCGACGTGCTCGCCCACCTGGGCGCGCGGCCCGGCCAGTGGCTCACCTGTGTCATCATGGAGGAGATGGACAAGGGCAGCCTGCACGCATCCATCCACGCCTCCAGCGGGCTGTTCCGCCCCGGCGGCGAGTGGGGGCTGGCAAAGCGGCACCGCGTGAGAGCCATGGTGCGGTCGCTGCTGGAGGTGGCGCAGGGGATGGCGCACCTGCATGCGTCGGGACTGGTGCATGGGGACCTGAAGCCAGGTGAGGGGGGGGGCTGCTGCTGGGGGCTAGGGTGAGGGCTGGGTGGATGGCGGGGGATTGAAGGGTGCTGGTGATGGCCAAACTACCGTTGTCAGAGTAGCCTGCTGGGTTTGTACAACTTGACAGGCGGCTGTGGGTACATCCAGCAAGTGTATCAGTCCTGTCCTTAGTTTCCAACTCTCAGCAACCCTATCCCATGCCTCCGCCCTCACCTTCCCCTACCTCCCCCACCTCCTCGTCCCGCCCCGCCCACCCGGCCTCCTCCCAGCCAACGTGCTGCTCAAGGCCACCTCCCGCGACCTGCGGGGCTTCACCGCCAAGGTCTCCGACTTCGGCGTCACGCGCGCCATGGCGGAGGGCGCCTCGCAGGCCTCCGTGAGCACCTCGGACTGGGGCACCGTGGTGTACACGGCGCCGGAGGTGAGGGTGGGGGCGGGGGGTGGTGGGTGGGATGGTACCGGAGATGAGGGTGAAGACACTGACGAGCAGGGTGGGTGGTCTGGGTTGGGTGGTGGTGGGGTTGGGTCGGGTGTTGATGGGTAGGGGTGTTGGGCTGTTGGGGTGATTGGGCCAGGAGGCACGTAGGTAGGTAGGGGGCATATGCGGCTGCATGGCTGGGGAGCCGGCGGGAAGGGACCGCTAGGTAGTGTAGGCGTGCGGGCGCAGGTACTCAAAGATGCGTGAACGGTGGCTGGATTGGAAGCAAGCGACGCAGGCATTGCATGCAATCACGCACCATGCCTGAAACCGCAAGCCTTGACCACTTCAACTCCATGCGCTCACGCACGCACGGATGTACGAACCTCTCCCCTCCCCCCCCCATCCCCTTCCAGGTCTTCAACGGCCGCTCCGGTCCCGCCTCCGACGTCTTCTCCTTCGGCGCCCTGCTCTGGCACCTCACTACCGGCCAGCTGCCTCACGAGGACATCAACCCCTTTGCCGTCATGCTCGCCGTCTCACGCGGAGATCTGGAGCTCGAGTGGCCGGCCTCGGTGCCCAAGCCGCTGCGCAAGCTGGGCAGGCTGTGCATGCAGTTCGAGCCCGAGGGACGGCCCACCTTTGCGCAAATCACACGCGCGTTGATGCGGCTGGAGGAGCGCATGCGAGCTTGTACGACGGGGGCGGCAGCAGGTGGGGCGAGGGACGGGGCGGGAAGAGGAGGAGGGGCAGGTGGGTCGCTTTCGGTGTCACCGAGGCACGGGGCTGGGGCTGGGGGTGTTGGTGGTGCATGGAGAAGAGATGCGACGCCAGCAGTTGCAATTGGGGGTGCCGGCGGCAACAGCCCTCGAGGAAGGATGCAGTAGGCGGCATTGTGATCGGTGCATGGGGGCGATCGGTACAAGAAGCTGGGGTGGTGCAATGGGCGGATGCCTGTGGGGTTCCTTTCTACTTGGCCTAAACTTGCAAATGGAATGAATGAGCAGGTGATGACAAGGTTTTTAAATTTTTGGGGAGAGTATGCTAGTTGGCTACTTTCTTCAAAGATGAGTTGGGCTACAGGTAGTGGCAGCTAGCGCCGTACGGATAGGTGTAGCGGTAGGCGGAGGGGGATTGTAGATGCAAGGGAAGTTCAGAAGGAAACGCAGAGGCCAAGGTGAAGAGGCTAACCCAAACGTAAGGGAATCAGCACGTGACATACTGTTAGAATGCGCGAGCGAGGGGCGTCGTTACGAAGACAGGCCAGCATCAAGAACGGCGGGTATCCTTCCATTTTTATCTGTCAATATTTTGCTGTTGTTCCAGGGGAAACGTGTCGCGGGCAGCTGAGGTGCATGGAGAAAGGATATAAGCGGCAGGGTGAGTTGTAGATTAGCCTGTAGGTGCAGGCAGGATCGTACGGAATGCAACATGTATTGTGTACGGCAGTTCATGTGGCGTACGACGCAACGGCGTCTGCTGGTGTCGGCGGCCCCCGTGTTGGCTAATGTGAGTGGCATTAAGAGTGCTTTGCATGCGGTGTTGTATTCTGCTCTACTTTGGAGGGCAAAGGCCGCATGTGTGCATGCATGGATGCATGCATCAATGCGTGCAGTCAACAAGAATGGGGGACGAAGAATTTGCGAGGTTCGTGCGTAGCTAGGGAAGGTGGTGCTGTCAAACATGGTTGAGCGATGCATGCACGAGTGATGCGTGAAGCAACATGCATTGCAACCTGCAACGTACTTGTGGGTTGCGTGTTTGACGTTTCTCTAGGTAGCGACGCAGGCAGGAAGGGAAGCCGGCGGGCTGTTCGCTGGCCCGCAGGCATGCAACGGTGAGTGTGGGGCGTTGTGTGCGCCGTGGTGGTGTATATTGGTGGTCGGTGGGTAGCGGTGCAGTAGTTGTGGAAGGTAGGGAACGGAGCTGGTTGGTGATCTTTGCGTGTGCCATGATGGGTGTGCTTTTCCGGAGCATGAACAACGAAAGGAGCGCGCGCGACGAGTGAGATGTGGGAAGCCGTACGACAAGAGGAGTCATCATTGGTGATTTATTTATTGATGTTCTCTTGCATGGGCAAATCCGCTCGGAAAAAGATTTCGATGGTCACCAAAAGATGGGGACTGATGGGGGCTGGGAGGTAGCTGGGTAGCAGCTTACCAACGATCCATGTCGAACACAGGAATTACATGTACGACAGGAGATCTTGGGCGGCGCGAAACCACTCGGCGTGCGACGGCTGAACGGCAGTACGGTGCTGCCCTGAGTCGTTTCTGCTAGCCTGGAGCGTACGTAACCGCTTGCTTGTTTCCTGAATTTACCTGACTTTGTTTGGAATGTGGGCTTTTCCGTTCCGTTCGGCTGGTGTTCTGACTTTTGGCCAGAGCCTTAGTAAAGGGAAAAGTGTGAATGTGGGCTGACAGGGGCCAGAGCCCGCACAACGTCAGACGCCTGGCTACGGGCTTTACCCGCAGGTGGCTGAAATACATATATCTTCCTATCTTGATCTGGGTCTTTTGACATAACGTAACTCTGTTGGTGGTGGTTTGCTTGTCAACAGGCCGTCGATGTTGCCTAATGTTGCTAGCTTCGTTGCTGCGGGTAATTTGTTGGTTTTTGCTGCGTTGATGGACGGTTCATATAGCTGCCAACGGCAGCCTCTCCGAAGGTGTCAATTTGGAGTCAAAAAGAAAAAATATACAATAATGTTAGTCAGCGCTGAAATATGGGTAATGCACTGCCAAGGGATCCACTGTCTCGCGCCGGCGCGCCGAAAAAAGGTTGAAAAGAAAGTGGGGGATGTTGGTTGGTGCATGCTCGATGCTTCTTGTGTCGCTGGCCGGTTTCGATATGTGTGCTTCACGGTAGACTGCGTGAAACCTGCTTGCTTGATGATGTCTGCAGGAGACCAAGCGCGCGTTTGTATGTATCTATCCTGCTGCCCCGAGGGCATGGGACACGCAACGCTTCGGTGTATGTTTGGTTGGGGTACCACTTGCGGTCTTATGCTGTGTCCCGTTCCTGATGAGACGATGGCGTGCGTGCCTAGCTACCTACGATTTGTTGACTTCCGGAATTGTTGGACGGGCTAATGGTTGGTAGCTGCCAGCAGAATGGTGTCGTTTGCACGGCATTTGAGGGCCAGTTAACAAGCTAGTCAGAGAGGCAGGGCGGGTTGAACTACGGGGACTGCTGCTGCCACTGCTGCTGCTGCTGACGCGCAGCCGAACGAACTGCAAGCGACGGAATACGTCGATGCTTGTAATGTCCACGATTATTGTGAGGGCGCACGCACCTGCTGCTGCCCTTTCCTTCAATGTGTTGCAGCCGGTGCTGCTGATGAGAGGGAGAGCAGGAGTGAGCGAGTGGAAGAATGGAGTCGTGGAGTGGTGAGCGAGTGGAAGAGCGAGTGGAAGGACAGAGGGGTGGAGGAACAGAGGAATGGAAGAGATGAGGAGTGGAAGAGCGAGCGGAAGAGGGGAGGAGTGGAAGAGCGAGCGGAAGAGGGGAGGAGTGGAAGAGCGAGTGGAAGAGGGGAGGAGGGAAGGAGTGACAGGCGTAAGGAACAAAGCGAGGGATGGAGGTGAGCTTCCGCTAAAGGTGGCGGAGAGGAGTGCCGAGGAGGCGGGCATGAATGAGGGCTATGTGAGAGGGCGGCAGGTGACTGCAGAGGGGAGAGGTACGGCATTTGGCGCGTGGTTTAGGAGTGACTGGCGAGTGTGGATCTCGTTTGTCTGCTTGTCGTACATTGTGCGCTCGTCTGCAGATGGGTGCTGTCCAACGACAGAAAGAGAGGGTACGGAAACCGATAGGTGTGTGCCCTGCACTGAGTATGGTCGTACTTGTGAGAGGAGGGGTAAGGCTGCTACAGAGGAGGGCGCTTTTAGTTCTTTATAGGTTAGATTATGCTGCGCTAATTTCATGCGCACTAACGTCCAGACGTATGTCGAACTTAGGGAATCACGGTTAGCCGCTGTTTTGTCGCACACACTCCAGTGCCAGAGGAGTCGCACCCCTCATCAACTTACACCGCCTGGGACCTGGCCTGCGGGCCCAGACTCCGAACAGCGTCTAAGAGACCCAACTCTGTAACTAACCAAGTTTGCTACCTAGCCGATACCTCACCCTACCCTCTCCGGGGAACAACAGGAGAGGGGGAAAACCAACAGCCGGGCGCGGATGGGCTCTACCCCCCAAAACCCGCCCCGGCGTACTAGGCTCTAGGCGCGCTTCCGCATGCATGCACGCCTAGAGAGGACCCCGGAGAGAGTAGGGGTGGGAGGGTGGGAAACAAAAGGCTCGCCTACCTACAGCTGCAGCCATACTTAAGAACTGTCTGCAACTACGCAAAAGTCAGCGCCTTCCTAACTGCGCACGGAAACTCAGCGGCAAAGACCTGAAAGGCCAGCTGAGGGCAAACTGTTTAACCAAGGTCAAAACGTCTAGCACCGTCCACTCGCAAGCCTGGTGGCGACTGCTCTGCTCCCTGTCGTACATGCGCTCCAAAACCCCATTTTTAGTTGACACTCAAAATGATACTTTTGTCGCACACACTCCAGTGCCAGAGGAGTCGCACCCCTCATCAACTTACACCGCCTGGGACCTGGCCTGCGGGCCCAGACTCCGAACAGCGTCTAAGAGACCCAACTCTGTAACTAACCAAGTTTGCTACCTAGCCGATACCTCACCCTACCCTCTCCGGGGAACAACAGGAGAGGGGGAAAACCAACAGCCGGGCGCGGATGGGCTCTACCCCCCAAAACCCGCCCCGGCGTACTAGGCTCTAGGCGCGCTTCCGCATGCATGCACGCCTAGAGAGGACCCCCCTTACCCTGTCACCCACCGCACGCCTCGTCACCTCACATGCACCCCACAATGCGGGCCTTAGCCGCCGCGGAGGGGAGGATATACGCGCTCACCGCCTCCGACCGCCACCTCCCGTGCGCCTTGATCTGCTCTCCAGAGGCCCCCCCTTCCGCTGCAGCCGTGGCTCCCCCCCTTCTCAGGCTGTGGGACGCGTAATCTGGTACCCGCCCGGCTATTTGTGGCAGGGCGCGCTGCATCTCTCCTAAGAGCGCCCTAAGCCTACGCGTAAACCCCTCCTTCCGCCAAGCCTCCGACCCCGGTCCCCACTGGGGGCCCCGCGTGAAGAGCGGCGCGCTGGGCTCCGCCCCCCCTGAGCGGGCCCGCTCTAGGTGGCGCCCTATAATGCGCCCGATGCGTACTCCGCTGCCAGACGATGCCCCCAGGTGCACATCCACCCCTGCCCCAACCTGATCGGTCTTGCTCCTCGTTATCCGCACCACGTGAACCCCACCAGTCAGCGAATGCACGTCACCTAGCCGCAGCCCCGCCAGCTCACTTCTCCGCAGCATCCCAAAGAAACCCACCACCAGCCAACACGCATCCTGCTCGAGCTCCGCTCGGCGCGCTGGCGCCCCGTCCGCCGTCGCTGCCAGCCAGCCCAATAGGAGCCGCAGAAGCGGCACCGGGAACGCCTCCTTCGTACGTTGCGGCAGCGGCTCGGCCCCTGCATCGCCGCCAGCTGTGGCGGCTGCCGCCGGCGCCCGGGCACGCCACGCCTGCCTCAGCGTGCGTTGCACCAATGGGTTCCGGCGGATGGAGGCCTCCGCCGGAAAACCCTTCGCGCGCTGCCAGTCCGCAAGGGCGCTAATGGTGCCTGACAACGTTGAGGGGGCCACACGGTCGGCCTCATGGGCGATGAACAGGCTCACCAGCTCGGGGCTGAGGTCCGCGCCCCGCGCAGGTGGGAAAGCCGCCCTCATGGGTAAGCCCAGAGCAGCGCAGAAGGCCGCGTAGCGGCGGCGATGGGATTCGTACGTCCCTGCTGAACCCGCCGACACGGCGCTTCCCGCTAGCGCCACCAGCCTCGCCGCGAGTGCCTCCTGCCGACCGCCCGCAGCCCCTGCCGGAAAACCCGCCGCCGCCAGGATGCAATGGATGCAGCGGAACCAGCCGCCGGGGTACGAGCCCGGCGGCAGTCCCAGGCAGCGGCGATGTGCCCGTATGTCGCATGTCTCACAGCGCAAGTCCCCCACGGAGGTGCGCCGCACGCAGGCCTCGCAGCTCCCGCCACCCTCTACAATCGCCATGGGGGCGCAAACGCGGATCGGAATTCGGTCAGGGCAGGCGTAAGACCAGCATATCGTAAGGAGAAGGACCCGCCTCGTCGCCCCAGGGCCAAACGCAGAGGCGGCCGCCCCTGGGCAGCACCTGGGCGACCCGGAATGGTGCGGATCTGCTACGGACGAAGGCCCGGAACCACCCCCGCTCCGGCCAGAAAGGCACCACCACAACCGCCCGCGTCCGCGAGTCACGCCGTGCCGCTGCCACGAGGGTCGCTAGCACCTCCCCCACCAGGGCCTGGGGTGGGAAGGCCCACAGCGCCTTGCCCGCCAGCTCGGCCTCCTGGCCAAGCACCGACCGCCCCGCGCTGTAGAACACCTCACAGCCGGGCTGCCGGTTGGAGCCATGGGCGTCGCAGCAGCAGTCGACGGTGGGCCGGAGAGAGAACTTGCGGCATAGCTCCCTGAAGATGCTGGCCTTCAGCCGCAGGTTCTGATCCTGGGCGCTGTCAAGGCGGCGGCTGAGGCGGTCGGCCTGGCCGTTGTCCACGCCGGGAATGTGCTCAGCCCGGACCTCGAACCCTGAGCTAATCGCAAGCTCTGCAATTTGGCGGCTAAGGCTGCGGCCCTCTGGGATGCGGGTGGAGCCGTGGTTGATGGCTGCTACGGCTTGGGTGTTGTCACAACGCACCAGCACCCGGCGCCCGGCAAGGCTGGCGGCCCATGACTGCAGCGCTCTGAGGACCGCCTTGAGCTCCAGCCACGAGATGTGCAGCTGACGCTCCTCCTCTGACCATGCCCCTTGCACCTCCGCCTCCCCCCAGACTGCGCCAAACCCACGCCCACTAGCGTCCGTGAAGAGGACGGCCCCATCCTGGCCGATAAACTCCCCCCTCACTAGGTCCAAACCGATGCCCGCTGAGCGCTTTACCCCGTCCCAGACAGAGGAATCCGCCCGTAGCACCTGCCACCAGAAAGCCAGGTCTTCTACTGCGTCCGCCGCCAGGCCGACAGTGGCCGGCGGGCGGGTGGGGCAGAAGAGGCTGTCGTAGAGGCCCTGCATGAACGTGAAACCCCAGCGGCATGCCCGGGCTATGAACGTTAAGCGGCCGACGGTGGACTCCAGGAGGTGCCGCTGCACTGGTCCGGTAGCTGCCGCGTCCAGGAGGGCGCGCACGTCCGCCGCGTAGCGCTGCCGCTTGTCCGGCGAGATGCGCATCTCCATCTTCTCGGTGTCGAACAGCATACCCAGGAAGTCGAGCTGCCGCAGGTGCTCGTTTCGTCCGCGGTCCTTGCTGGTCTTCCACTCCAGCCCCAGCTCGCCACCTATTTCGTCCATGACCGCGAAGGCGCCAACGACGTCTGCATGGGTCACCCCTAGGATGATGTAGTCGTCGACGAAGCAGAAGAGCTTGACCCGTAGCCCCCGCCGGTCGCACTCCGCTTGGAAGATGGCACACGCGGCGTTGGTTAACTCCACAAAGATTGGGGGCGATTGGCTGGCGCCGAAGGGCAGCACCACCCAACGCAGGACTGCTTGCGTGGTGGGATGCCTAAAGGCCATGTACCGGCGTGCTTCCGGGCTGCACTTGATGTGGTGGAAACCAGATGCGAGGTCCCGTTTGCCTAGCGCCCCTTGGAACGGCAAATGCTCCAGAATTGAGGCGAGGTCGGGCAGCGGGCAGGGGAGCTTGGTCATGCAGTCGTTCACCCCCGAAGCGGTAGGGTCGATGATCGGGCGCAGGTTGCCATCCGCCTTGCTGACAACATGCAGTGGGTTGATAGTGGCTGCAAAGTTGCGCAGGGGGCCATGCTGCTTGCTGTCGTACGCCTCCACCAGGCCCTGGCGCAGTAACTCGTCAATGTGGCTGGCGTACCATTCGCTGTGTTCGCGCACGGATGGGTAGTTGCGCAAGTGGTGCGAGGTTGGCGGCGTGGTGTGGAAGGTCCAGCTGGCTTCGTTACGGGACGCAGGCGTGTCGATGCCGTGACGCTGCCACGCGGCCGTATTAAGCTTCACGCCCCCTGGGCCGAACCAGCGGCCGGCCGACGGCGTTTCCGCCGCCGAGTCAGGCATCCACAAAACTGCATGAGGCACAGGTCAAGGTTACGCTTTGGGTGTTCACCCTCGCAGGGCCCCCGTTCGCCGTAGGTCGCGTACACCACCGATTGAACCACATGCGAACACCGTCAGGCCCTTCTTCCTTCAGGCAGAGCCACACGACCCCGGTGCATGCCACGGCATATTGCTTGTCACCCGCGCAAGGCCCCAGTCCGCCGTAGGTCGCGTACACCACAGACTAGACAGCAGGTGGACGCAGGCAGGCCCTTCTCCCCTCGGGTAGGGTCACGCCACACGGACACACGCAACAGCACATTGCTTGTCACCCGCGCAGGGCCCCAGTCCGCCGTAGGTCGCGTACACCACAGACTAGACAGCAGGTGGACGCAGGCAGGCCCTTCTCCCCTCGGGCAGGGTAACGCCACAAGGACACACGCAACGGCACGTTGCTTGTCACCCGCGCAGGGCCCCAGTCCGCCGTAGGTCGCGTACACCACAGACTAGACGGCAGGTAGACGCAGGCAGGCCCTTCTCCCCTCGGGCAGGGTCGCGCCACATGGACACACGCAACAGCACATTGCTTGTCACCCGCGCAGGGCCCCAGTCCGCCGTAGGTCGCGTACACCACAGACTAGACAGCAGGTAGACGCAGGCAGGCCCTTCTCCCCTCGGGCAGGGTCGCGCCACATGGACACACGCAACAGCACATTGCTTGTCACCCGCGCAGGGCCCCAGTCCGCCGTAGGTCGCGTACACGCTTACCTTCTGGTGTCTCCATCCCTGCCGTATTTGCGTCAGCTGCCCCACCGCCGGCCGTACTGCCGGCGGCTGGATGGAGGGGGGGCGCCGTTGGCGCCGGGGCGACCTCGCCCCCAGCTGACGCTGCCGCGTCCTAAGCCGGCCGGCGGGCTGCCTGCTCCTGCTTGGCGCATTCTGCGAATGCTGCCGTTTGGGCCCCAGGTTCCAGCGACCGCAACTCTCGGCAGCCGCGGTAGCTGTGTCCGGGCCTCTTGCAGTAGAAGCAGCCGTTGTCGCGTGGGGCACGGGGCTGTGCTGGGGCCGGCGGGAGTGGAAGAGGCGGGGGCGGCGGGTAAGCCGCCGCGGGAGCGGCGGCTGAGGCGAACTTCCCGAAGAGGTGCTGGCGCTGGCTGTCCGTAAGTTGCGACAGGGCGGCTAGGAACTGCTGTGTGAGGGGAGAGCCCTTGCTGAATACGTCCATGACGTCCTTGAAGGGCAGGACACGGGCTGCATTCTGCACCTGCCGGAGGACCTCTTGTGTACGAAAAGCCTCCTCCCACACCTGCGCGGCCTTGGCCAAGAGCAGCGAGAGCTCCTCCGAAGAGGATGCGCAGTGTTTGGCCGCTTCCAGCTGGGACGCGAGATGCTGCAGGGAGCGGAGATGACTGTCTGCCTTGTGCGTGAAGGTCGCCTGGTCCCGGGATGCGAAGATGACGTCCGCCAGCGAGACCAGGCTGCTGAGGCCTGGGATGCGGTCGAACACGTCTGCCCAGGCCCCTTCACGCTGAACGGTTGCCGCCAGGGGGCCCAGAGCGGACGGCGGTGCTGAGCCGAGGGGTAGGTGGCCGAGGCCCAGCACTGAAGAGTTGCTGTTTAAGTCCCCGCCACTGCCCCCCAGCGTGAGGCCCAGTCCCCCTAGGCCTCCCAGGCCTGCTGACGCTGCCCCAAATGCTTGCAGCCTGCTGCTGCCGGGAAGGCCCTGTAGGTTCAGGCCGGCACTCCAGCGTGCGTTCCCTATGGCAGGGTGCCGTTGGTCGTTCTGCAGGGTGGCGACTGCCGGCCGCCGGTCTTGCGGCAATTGCTGCTGCTGCCGTTGCTGGCGCTGAGGCTGGTGCTGTTCGCTGTCTTCTTCGTCCTGCAGAGCCGCCAGCTGCCGCTCTAGCACCGTCCTCCAGACTTCCGCTGCCTCGTCAGCGGATACAGGCTCCCTGATTTCCCGTCTTGCCAGCTCCAGGCTCGCGAGGCGCCGTACTTTGCGAGCTGCATCGCTCAAGCCCGCGTTCTCAAGGCGATCGAGAGCCCGTACAACCGCTGTCGGTGGGACGGATACGGCGCTGGGTGCCACACCCACGTCCCTCGCCGGCGCTGCCCTTGCGATTGCCGGCGACCCCGTACCGGGCATGGCGGGAGGGCCGGTGTGCTGCAGTGGCGTTGCTTGGGTGGCAAGGAAATCTTCAGCAAGAGCATCTAGGTGACCAGTTACGCCCAAGGTCTCGGGGTCAGGCGCGTTAGGTGAAGCAGTGGTGGCGTGCCGGTGGCTTATCTGACGGCCGGGGGTCGCCTGGAAAGCCTCCCGGACTGCACGAGTGCCCCCCCGTCCCCTGTCTGCCCGAACGCGAGCCGCTGTTGCCCGCCGGCCCCTGGACCCTCCTGGCCGTTGCTCCGCCCCGTTCTCACCATTGTCAATTTCCTCCGGTGCCTCTGCTTCGGCGTTGTGGATGTGAGCCGGCGCTGCTCCGGCCGCTGCGTTGCTGGGCCCTGGGAGCGCGGCCAATTCTTCTTGCAGAGCTGTCCCTGGCTCGCCTACCTACAGCTGCAGCCATACTTAAGAACTGTCTGCAACTACGCAAAAGTCAGCGCCTTCCTAACTGCGCACGGAAACTCAGCGGCAAAGACCTGAAAGGCCAGCTGAGGGCAAACTGTTTAACCAAGGTCAAAACGTCTAGCACCGTCCACTCGCAAGCCTGGTGGCGACTGCTCTGCTCCCTGTCGTACATGCGCTCCAAAACCCCATTTTTAGTTGACACTCAAAATGATACTTTTATGGTGGGTGCCAGAGTGGTGCTCATCGCCCTGTCGACCGTCGCTGGGCAGATGCAAGGCAATGCTTCTTGGCACCTACTGCGGCTGCTTTCTGCAGCGTTTGCCTAGCTTAGGGAGAGGACCTGGGGTTTTAGGGTTTTAGCATGGCGTTTGGGGATGTTTTAGATTCTTAGATGTACGACAGAATAAACTCGTATGCGCGGGTGTTCTTAGCGTGGATTGCAGAAAACTGGGGTTGGTGGATGGGCACCGTTTGCCCGGCGGGTTTCCGTGTTTTGGCGCGTGGGTGTTTTAGTTTCATGCCTGCTTGCTTGCTTGCTAGGGCTGCTGAGGTGCCGTGCTTGTTACCAGCAGCAGAGCGAGTTTTGGCTGCTGTCTTGGCTTGCTGACAAGCGACGCACCATTGGACTGCTGGGCGTTAGGATAGCATGTATAGCTGACAGTCAGCTTGCACGTGCTAGGGAAAGAATGCATGGTTGGTCGCCACTTGGTCCTGCTATCTGTGGCACCTACCTATCTGGATGCATGGTCCCCCGCACCTCGCCATTGTAGGCCCATGTTTGGGGTTATTCTTTTTTTAGGATCATCCGCTTCGTGTTAACGTGCTGGAGTGATCTATCCTACTACCCTACTTGCTTCTTATGCCGTGCCAACGAAGCGCGGTGGTAAGTGTAATACGGAAAACTGCTGTATATGTAGCACGTAGAAATACCCTTAGTACGGGACGGTTAGGCGAATGGAGGCGACATGGGATTGGAAGTTGTTTGTCTCATCAGCTGTTTCGTAACTAATAGTGGCCGGGTGCTTTGCCTCCTGCTCGTTGCTTGCCTTCCAGGGCCTCACATCAATGATGACCCCTGAAGCAGTACGGCAACCGTCCGACCGATTAAATAATAATTGTTTTAGGTAATAATCTCGCGCGTACTGTTAGTTGCAGTATGTGTATGGGCTTGCTGGAGGCCGGAGGTAGGATCCTGTTGGTGGGATCCTTTACCTTGTTGTTGTTGTGCTGTAGCATGTATGTCGTACAGTCTGGGGGCGGCGTGTCCTGCAGTAATTCTACGAGCTTGCTTGGTATAAAAATCTAGCTCATGTACTCTCGCATGCGCGAACGACAGCAATATCATGCCGCTGGATACGTTTGATTGTCGATGTTTGTCTAACTTCTAATTGCTGCTGCTTCGAATTTGTTTCGCCGGTGGGGACTGGATGTCAATGCTTAGGGCTTGGATTTCCCTAATGATCCAGTCGCACAGCGTCGCAGGACACGCACATGACCGTGCCGTACACTAGGACTAGGGGAACATGAGACCTTGTACCTTGTACTGCATCATGTGTCGTATGTCACTTGTAATGCCCATCGTCCTTTGACGCAAGCTGCTTAGTCGATTCTCGCAATCGGGCATCGCCAGGGAGTCATTTGGTTTATGATGCCGTGCAGCGTTCAGCCTATGCCCTCGGTACCCAGCTGCGTTGGTGTGGACAAGCAATTCAGCTCAGCTAAGGACAGGTCAGCATGCCAGCAGGAACGCCAACCTGCAAGCATGTGAGGGCTTCAAGTAAAGCAACGGAAGTTGACTACAAGATTTGCTACTCCTTTACGAATCCTGGGCAGCCAGAACACGTTGGGCAGCGTGGAGCAGCGCTCAGTGTCATGGAGTAATGGCATAGCGAGTCAAGCGTATAGCCAACGCGTAATATGCAGACAGTGAAATGCAAACAATAAAATGAAGTAAGGGCTTTTGTAGGAGACACTAAACATAGCAGGTTTGCCGGTCGCATATGAGTCGTCGGCTCGTCGAGTCAAGCAGCTATATCCATGGTTATAAGTATCCCATAGATTTTGTACCCAAAATGCGAAATCTGCAGATTTCGAAGGCACGCCTTTAACGTTTCGCCCGCAGGGGACTGGTGTACGACAACAAAACCTGGGGCTCCAGAACCGCTCTGGAAGGGTTGCAGCGAAGGACGCAGGAACAACCGCGATGTACGCTCTGACATTAGCTGTAAAAGCGTATGAAAAAAGCTATGTAAATAAAGGCTCCTTCGCGTCGGGCGACGTTCAGACTTCTGGGCCGAGCTTCGGACGTGAAAGCGTCAAAGCTAAGGCTGCAATGTACTAGCTTATAGTTACTGGTAATGGACAAAAGCGGTGTAGGTGAAAAGCGTCTGCCGCAAGCGCAAAGGGGCGACGAATTCTAATTGCCCTGTCAGAGACGTTCTGTAAGCGCGTGAAGCGCTCGGATGCATTAAACTAAAATTTAACATTTTGAGCATGTTTCCTTGAAGAGGACGGCGATGGCCTGTCACTTGAGTAGTGCAAGTGTTCTGCATTTCCTTGCCAAACTCATACTCGCCGCCTGCAATGCTTGCTAACGCGTTACCAGGATGATATAGAAGCAGAGCGGTGAGCCCAGGTGTGCACGTGCGGGCTGCACATGCGCAAAGCAGCTTCACGAACATGAAGGTCAGCACGTGCCCCGGCAAAACCCGCGAGCGGCAGTGCAAGTCGTGTCACGCCCGATCCCAGCGTCCCCACCTTGCCCAGCAAACATCCATGTCTTCCCTGGCCTGCCAAGTACTGACGCTCATGTGGGCATGCGCCAGCCTGCCCAACCAATACACACAGCACTCCCGCCCTGCCCAAAGCCCATAATAACAGACATGCCCCCCTTTGACGTGCTGCATCCCGCCATCACTGTTTTACAAGCCAACCGCATGTGGTGGCTTGAGTGACGTACGCGAGCAAGGAGCACAGATGCCGCATGCCACAGGCAGCTCCATGAACGGGCAGGTCAGCAGGTGGCCTAGCAAGCGGGGGCCCTGACTCTCTCTCCCAGTACGGCTTCCAAACGCGCAGGCATTCTGCCCACACCACAGCGCCCATGAGTGCTGCCTCCCCCTCTCTACCCAACCTCTGGCGTGCATGCATCTCCACCCTGCTGGAGTACATACACCCATGCATGCAGCGTTCCCCGCTGTGCCTGACAGCTGGCGCCCATACATACCCCCATGCACGCAGGCAATCAATGCACCTACCCTGCCGGGGTCGGGAAGGGGTGCAGTGTATCTCGGGATGGTGCATGCTACGGCAGCGCACACATCACCACCCTGTTCACTGGCCCCCGTGCATGCAACGCATTCACCCTGCATCCAGGCATCCCTGCTGAGTGCATCCCCGCCTGTGCCCAAACTGTGAAAGCGCTCATGGATGCAGGCATCACAGTGGTTTCCGAAGACTCGAGCCCATGCGTGCCAGAAGGTGCATGCTGACATCCCCCCTGCCCAAATGCTGTGCGCCTGCATCCTCGTGCGTGCTCAAGCTGCCAAGGGGCTAGCTTTCATTCGTGGAGGAACCTCTATACTTTATAAATACGGGTGTCCATGTGTGGCATCTACGCCGTGCCCGAGCTCAGCACCCTAGCGTGCAAGCGTCCCTTCTCCCCAACTCACAGCGCTCATGCCTGCAGGGCAATCTCCACTTTGCACGCCACCAAGCACGTGTGCAGGCAGGCATCCCCGTCGTGCCCTGCTGTTCGTGCAGGCTACCCAACCCTTCCTTAACGGCCGAAACCCATACATACGTGTAGGCAACTACCGGTACAAAGTACCCATGCGTGCCGGCATGCTCGCACAGTTCAAGGCTTGCCAATACGACGATTGCCGCAATCACAAGTTGAGTGCAGCAAGAACAAGCAAAAAGACAGCATCGAGTGACCGCATACGTATGCGCGTAAGCAACACAGATGTGGCATGCCGAAGGCATCCCATGAATGGGCATATCAACAGGTACCCTAGCAAGACGGACCCCTGACGCTCTCCCACTACGGCTCCCATACGCACAGGTATCCTGCCCATGCCACAGCGCCCACGCGTGCTGGCTCCCTGCTCTTCCCAACCACTGGCTTGCATGCATCTCCACCTTGTATGGGCTGCAGTATGTACACCCGTGCGTGCAGCCTTCCCCGCTTTGTCTGACAGCTGGGCCCATGTACCGGTATGCAGACATCCCTGCACCCCCATGCACGCAGGCAAGCAAGTATGCGGAGTGCCCCGTCCTGCCATAGTTATCCTGGCACCCATGCAAGCATGCATCCCTGCCCCTAAAACCCTAAAATGGTGTTCATGCGGCCCCAACCCACGGTATCAGCGCCCGTGTGCGCACACATCACCGCCCTGCTCACTGGCCCCTGAATACACAGCATGCGCACCCTTCCTAGACGCCACCGGGACGGTGTCCCCACACTGGCCAACTGCGAATGCGCTTGCATGCAGGCAATCCCACCCTGCCCGAGCTCAGGCGTCACGAGCGAGAGTAAGCGGCAGGCCTGCATCATCAACAGCCCGTTGTTCCTGCACTCCCCTTGCACATGCTGCCACCATTCACGTCAACTGCAATCTCTTCCACCCATACATGCACACATCACCGCTGTGCCTCACTGCTGGCTCCCACACATGCAGGCATTCCCACACCCATGCACCCCAGCCGGGGTCGGGGGGGGGGCAGTATACCTCGCCCAGGCGGGGCGGTGTGTGATACAGCTGAAGCGGGATGCAATGTATCTCGCCCAGCCGGGGCGCTTCGCAGCCATGCAACAAGGCATTTTTAGGCGGAGCCCCCGTCGTGGTGCCCCCTTCGCGGTGCCCCCGTCGCGAACAGGCTTCGGGGGGGCGATGCCCACGTCCGTGTGTCCGTCCGTCCGTCCGAGTGTCAGGAACGGCAAAATACACAAACAGAACAAACCTAATTCATCTTCCTTGCCTGCACATCATCGGGCATCGGGCCTTTGTTTGACTCATCCATTTATCTTTCACTGTCCTGCTTTCGCAAATTTATGCCATGCGTGCCCAGCAGACGCCCATGTGGGCATGCGCCAGCCTGCCCAACCAATACACACAGCATCCCCGCCCAGCCCAAAGCCCATAACAGGCATGCAGGCATCCATGCTGTGCGCGTGCGTCCCCATGCGTGCTTGAGCTGCCAAGTGCAGGCATCATCGCCTCCCTTTGACCTGCTGCATCCCGCCATCACTGCTTTACAAGCCAACCGCATGTGGTGAATTGAGGTGACGTACGCAGACGTACGCGAGCAAGGAGCACAGGTGCCGCATGCCACAGGCAGCTCCATGAACGGGCAGGTCAGCAGGTGGCCTAGCAAGCGGGGGCCCTGACCCTGACTCTCTCTCCCATTACGGCTTTCAAACGCGCAGGCATTCTGCCCACACCACAGCGTCCATGCGTGCTGCCTCCCCCTCTCTACCCAACCACTGGCGTGCATGCATCTCCACCCTGCTGGAGTACGTACACCCATGCATGCAGCGTTCCCCGCTTAGCCTGACAGCTGGTGCCCATACATACCCCCATGCACGCAGGCAATCAATGCACCTACCCTGCCGGGGTCGGGAAGGGGTGCAGTGCATCTCGGGATGGTGCGTGCTACGGCAGCGCACACATCACCACCCTGTTCACTGGCCCCCGTGCATGCAACGCATTCACCCTGCATCCAGGCATCCCTGCTGAGTGCATCCCCGCCTGCGCCCAAACTGTGAAAGCGCTCATGCATGCAGGCATCACAGTGGTTTCCGAAGACTCGAGCCCATGCGTGCCAGAAGGTGCATGCTGACATCCCCCCTGCCCAAATGCTGTGCGCCTGCATCCTCGTGCGTGCTCAAGCTGCCAAGGGGCTAGCTTTCATTCGTGGAGGAACCCTTCTCCCCAAATCACAGAGCTCATGCCTGCAGGGCAATCTCCACTTTGCACACCACTAAGCACGTGTGCAGGCAGGCATCCCCGCCGTGCCCTGCTGTGCAGGCTACCTAACCCTTCCTTAACGGCCGAAATCCATACATACGTGTAGGCAACTACCGGTACCAAGCACCCATGCGTGCCGGCATGCTCGCACAGTTCAAGGCTTGCCATAAAGACGATTGCCGCAAACACAAGTTGAGTGCAGCAAGAACAAGCAAAAAGACAGCATCGAGTGAACGCATACATATGCGCGTAAGCAGCACAGATGTGGCATGCCGAAGGCATCCCATGAATGGGCATATCAACAGGTGCTCTAGCAAGACGGACCCCTGACGCTCTCCCACTACGACTCCCAAACGCACAGGTATCCTGCCCATACCACAGTGCCCCTGCTCTTCCCAACCACTTGCTTGCATGCATCACCACCTTGTATGGGCTGCAGTATGTACACCCGTGCGTGCAGCCTTCCCCGCTTTGCCTGACATACAGCTGGGCCCATGTATCGGTATGTAGACATCCCTGCTGTGCTGGTGTTCTTGCGCCCGTGTGCGCACGCATCACCGCCCTGCTCACTGGATCCTGTACACACCGCATGCGCACCCTTCCTAGACGCCAGCGGGGACGGTGTCCCCACACTGGCCAACTGCGAATGCGCTTGCATGCAGGCAGTCCCACCCTGCCCGAGCTCAGGCGTCACGAGGGTAAGCGGCACGTCTGCAACAATACCGGTAGCCCATTGTTCCTGCACTCCCCTTGCAAATGATGCCACCATTCACATCAAATGCAATCTGTGCCACCCATACATGCAGACATCACCGCTTTGCCTCATTGCTGGCTCTCACACATGCAGGCATTCCCACACCCATGCACCCCAGCCGGGATCGGGGGGAGGAGGAGGGGGTGTCGCCCAGGCGGGGCGGTGTGTGATACAGCTGAAGCGGGGTGCAATTGAACTTCCCCAGCCGGGGCGCTTCGCAGCCATGCACCAAGGCTTTTTTAGGCGGAGCCCCCGTCGTGGTGCCCCGGTCGCGGTGCCCCGTCGCGAACAGGCTTGGGGGGACGATGCCCACGTCCATGTGCCCGTAAGTCCGTCCGAGTGTCAGGAACGGCAAAATACACAAACCGAACAATTTAATCCATCTTCCTTGCCTGCACATAATCGAGCTGAGCGCCCCGGAACATTTGTTTGACTCATCCATTTACCTTTCACTGTCCTGCTTTCGCAAAAACACAAAATTATGCCATGCGTGCCCAGCAGATTTCGCCTTCTCACCCGACCGAAGGGAGGCTTGATAAAAATCTGTTAACTTAGAAAGCGCGACCGGACGTCCGGGTCTCCGGGACACCGGGAGTCCGGGACGCACAGTGCACCGAAACCAAGGCTCCAGAACTTGGTCAGTGGTGGTTGAAGGCTGCCTAAAAGGTTTGCAAGGATGTGCAAGCGCAAGATTACGATTTTAGGCATTTCGATCAGTTAATTGTAACGTTAGGAAAGACCACATAGCTTATGGCCCTGAAATGCGCTGCTTCCATCCCAAGTACCCTACATTCTCGCGCAATTTACGATCGCGCGTACTGCCAGCAACATTAAAACGGACAGTATTACAGCATTTTACAACTGCAGGAGCAGCGCCTCGACAGCGCCCCACGGCGACCACTCCATGGTCGACCGCATCGGCTCTGGCGGAAGCTGAGCGACTTTTACAAGAACAGATCCAGCTACTTGAGGCTGAGCGTGAAGAATCTATATCCATAGGTATGCAACTCAGTTCTCCCTCTTTTGTATGCCTCCCATTGTACCTCATCCTCCATCACCTCGGCCACTAGCGCGAGCTAGCGCCCATGGCATAAATCAAAAGCCCTCCCCCTCCTCCCACAACACTGTAATGCCCAGTCCTTCCCTGCTGCCCACAGCTAGAACATGTGCCTCACGTAACCACCGTCTTCTAGCTCGACTGGAGAACCTGAACAACTACAGCCGCGCAACGAAGAACCGCACACGCAGCAGCGGCAGCAGCGGCAACAGCAGCACCACAAGCAGCAGCGGGCTCGGTCCTCCTCACGACTTGCTGCCCGGGGATGAAGCGCAGGTGGGCCGTTGCGGCCTTGGAAGCTTGCAGGGGTTAGTGGTGACTGTTACGGCTAGTTAGGGCTCCTTACCTTGGAAGATGGCAGAGCCTCCTTTGAAGCTACCTTCCCAGTCCCGGAACCATGGACCCACGGGTCGCTGCCCCCACACCGCACCACCCCCACCTCCGCCTCCAGGCTCGTCGGCTGGTGTCCCGCGCGCTTGACCGCAACCTGTCCCGCGGCCGCAACAACCTGGCTCTGGCGGAGAAGCTGCAGTGCTACATAGGTGGGAGCTGATGCAGGGGGGGGGTGCAGGGGGGTGGCAGGCAGGGGATGTAGCGGCGTGCACGTAGGGCGTCGTGAGGCACGTGTGCGGCGATGAAAGAGCGTTACGGCGAGTACTTACATGGTTGGATCTGGACATAGCAGTACACTGCTGGCAACGTATAACGCCGGCGGTGCTTCCGTCATCCAGCTCCCCACCGCATTCCTCTCCCTCTCTCTCTGCCCCAAGGTACACCCCCCCCTCTTCCCTCCGTCCCACGCTCACCCACCACCCAGGCTTGTTGCGAGAGGAGCTCATGCGTGTACGGCAAGGTGACGTACGGCTGGCGGGTGCGGTACTGCAGCAGCACCGTGCTAGGGACACGAGCGGCGCGGGGGTGGCCGGGGGGGCGGCGGCGGGAGCAGCGGTGTCGGAGTCTTCGGCAGCGGCAGCGGCAAACGCGACAGCGGCACATGCAACGGCGGCGGCGGCTAAGGTGGTGGCTCCTGCCTCCCCAGCCAAGGCTGAGGGCCCTCGTCCAGCTCCCGCAGGTCGTCAAGCTGGGTCAGCTGGGCCCGGAACTCCTGTGAGTGGTGGTGGCGGCAGCAGTGGTGGCGGCAGCAGTGGTGGCGGCAGGGGCTCTGTGAGTGGTGGTGCTGTGAGTGTCCATTCTGACGCACATGGTGGTGTGGCGGCAGCGGCTGCGGTGACGGCTACCCCGGCTGCTGTAGCAGCGGCAGCGGCAGGCAGTGGACAGGGCACATCAGCCGCAGGCAGTGGACAGGGCACAGCAGCGGCAGGCAGTGGACAGGGCACAGCAGCGGCAGGCAGTGGACAGGGCACAGCAGCGGCAGGCAGTGGACAGGGCACAGCAGCGGCAGGCAGTGGACAGGGCACAGCAGCGGCAGGCAGTGGACAGGGCACAGCAGCGGCAGGCAGTGGACAGGGCACAGCAGCCGCAGGCAGTGGACAGGGCACATCAGCCGCAGGCAGTGGACAGGGCACAGCAGCGGCAGGCAGTGGACAGGGCACAGCAGCGGCAGGCAGTGGACAGGGCACAGCAGCGGCAGGCAGTGGACAGGGCACAGCAGCGGCAGGCAGTGGACAGGGCCCAGCAGCGGCAGGCAGTGGACAGGGCCCAGCAGCGGCAGGCAGTGGACAGGGCCCAGCAGCGGCAGGCAGTGGACAGGGCCCAGCTGCGGCAGGCAGTGGACAGGGCACAGCAGCGGCAGGCAGTGGACAGGGCCCAGCAGCGGCAGGCAGTGGACAGGGCCCAGCAGCGGCAGGCAGTGGACAGGGCCCAGCTGCGGCAGGCAGTGGACAGGGCACAGCAGCGGCAGGCAGTGGACAGGGCACAGCAGCGGCAGGCAGTGGACAGGGCACAGCAGCGGCAGGCAGTGGACAGGGCACAGCAGCGGCAGGCAGTGGACAGGGCACAGCAGCGGCAGGCAGTGGACAGGGCCCAGCAGCCGCGGCGGTGCCTGGCAGCCGCAAGGGGCAGCCGGCGGAGGGTCGGGAGGGGCAGCCGGCGGCAGCAGCGGCAGGGGGCGACGAGGGCGCCAGGGAGGGCGGGTCGGCAGCCGCAGGTGCAGGCGGCGACCCCGACGCCGGGGGGGGTCTGGGTCGCATGTTCAGTCGCACGCCGCTGCTGACACTGCCCGGGGACCAATCGGCGGCGACGGCTGCTGCTGCTGCTGCTGCTGATAGCAGTGTTGGCACTGGCACTGAAGACGGCAGCAGGAACAACAGCAACAACAAGAACAACAACAGCGCCGCCAGCAGCACTGCCACGCCGCCCCTCCTCCCCTCGTCCAGCAGTACGGTACCCGGCTCCCCAGCAACGGGGAAAGCCCCTACAGCTGCCGTACCTCCACCCCCGCCGCAACCATCAACACAACAACAGCCAGTACAACCGCAACCGCCTTTGGCTCCCTCACCCCTGCCACCCCAGTCTTCCTCCAGTAGCGAAGCACAATGTCCGCCGCGGGGCATCAACCGGGATCTGGATCCGGGTTTGGATTCGGGTGTGTTGGATCCGGCCCAAGCAATGGATCTGGAGGCGGCTCGGCGGTTATCTCGCGCTGCGGAGGAGGCCCGTACGGCGCTCATGGGCCTGATCAGCCCCGAGGGAGGGGTGCTGCCGGGGCCGCTGGAGGCGCCCAGCGGGCAGAGAGGGCTGGCAGGGAGGGCGAGGGAGGGCGAGGACGGCGGCGGTGCCGGTAGCAGCGATGAAGGAAGGAAGGGATCGGCGGCAGTGGGACCAGCGGTGGCGGCGGCGGCGGCGACAGCGGAGACGGCGTTTGAGCTGTCGGCGTTTACTTATTCGCTGGCGGGAGATGCCGTACCGGACAGTACGACCAGGGTTCGGAGGCCTAGGGTCGTACAGCCGTCCGGGGCCGCAGCGGCGGCGGCAGGGAACCCGACAGGGCTTGGGTCGCAGCCTGGGGTAGGGACTGCTGCCGCTTCTAAGAGCCATTCTAAGACGAGGGCGGAGGGTACGGAAACGGGAGGTACGACAGCAGCAGGGGATGCAAGCGATGCCGCAGTCTTGGCGGGAATGATGGCTGGATTGGTTTCGGAGCTTCGTAGCCGGGGTTACGTGGGGTGTGATGAGCGGTTAGAGATGGCTGTACGGCAGATACGGCAATGCCTGGCTGCGGCGCGTGCTGGGCAAGATTGTGGGAGAACACGGTGAAGCACCCACATGGGTTTACGAGCGGGCATGATGGCGTACCATTATGTGCGCACGCTGTACAGTACGGTAAAATGGTATAGTATGCGATTGACGTGCGATTGACCCCTAGGCCCAGTACATGGTCGACTAACGCTGCAAGTGTATGTGTAAGAAGCATCGCAGATGCATCCATAGAACTGCCTAGTAGAACCTCCTGCAATTGCACGGCATAACACAACAGCGTTCAACAGCGGCGGGGGCAGCACTCGCTCGGCGGACGCGTGGATGGGAGGAGGTTGGCGTGTGCCCGGCATGCAAGCACTCTTCGCTAGCGGCAGTGTCCACTTGGAGCGTTTTCATATTGCCAAGGCATATACTTGTATTCTTCAGCCTTCAGTGCTGTCGCTGTTGTGTCAGCCGAAGACGTGGGCACCGTTACGCAAGACATGACCAAGATTACCAGAAAGTGCGCCAGCTGCGTTTCCGGCACCAGTTATCTAACATAAAAGATGCTTCATTCTAATCCAGCGTAATTATGGCGGAATACTTCTGACCATTTCGGAGATGTTTGCCGGCCGATGTACCGCGTGATCGAGATGCGAGGTCTTGCAAAGCCCTACTGTAGGACCCAGAAGCAAAGCTGTTGCTAATTTGCAGTTAGTTATTTAACTGTGTATTAAGGACTTACGTTAACGAGGGCAAGTCAAGCATACAGATATACTCGGAGGGTTCGGTTGTTGGCTTGCCGACACGCAGTGCTTAACTCAACAAGACGTGCGCAAAATTTCTCAAATTCTGTTGCCTAAGTCTCGAACATGTTGTCATTCCTGCTGGGCACGGCAGTCATCGTAGCGCCTGCGCAATTTGGGCTTCCAGCGGGTCTCGCGGTCGCGGGCATCAAGGCCGCTGTCGGCGCCGCTCGCCGCAGGAGAGAAGAGAGGGCTGCTCGGCTCGAATCTGACAGCAATGCGAAACTTGAAGCCAAGTTTGAGGCGCTCTTGGCAGAGGATGCGATCGAGCCGGTGGAGCTCCGATGGAGCAACCTCAGCTGCAACCTCAAGCTCAAGGACGGAAGCCTGAAGCCCATCCTGCGTGGGGTATCTGGTGTAGCTCGGCCGGGCAGGTGCGCGTTTCGCGTTCACCGCTCATGTACCCGGGATGGCGGTTGGGAAATGCCATCCAATCATGTCATACCACGACTTCCCGCTTTCACACCTTCCTAACACTTGACAGCACTGCCTGACACGATCCACACACGCCACATATACACCACTTAACCCGCCACAATCCCTCTCACACGCACCCCTCACCCCACACCCCGATCAGACTGGTGGGCCTTATGGGCCCCAGCGGCAGCGGCAAGACCAGCCTCCTCACCGCACTGGCCGGACGGGTGCCCGCCAAGTCGCGGTTGGAGCTGCGAGGCGAGCTAACGGTCAACGGTGCGGCGGTTGGCGAGTCGGATCACCGGCAGGCGTTCGTACAGCAGGAGGACTTGTTCTACTCCATGCTGAGTGTGGAGGAGGTGAGGAGGCGGGGCGGGAGTAAGGGAGGGAGGTGGGGAAGTAGGGCGGGTGGGACGGGACGATCGCCACATGGCTAGACCTTCTGGATTCCTAGCATCACCTCACCAACCACTTCCTAACCAAGCATCCAACCTACATCGCCAAGTTCCTCGCCCCCCCCCTCTCTCCTACCGGCAACCCTTTTCCCACCCTCCTCCCGCCCCTCCTCACTCCCTCCCGCCCCCGCCCCCGCCCCTCCTCCAGACCCTGTCCCTGGCCTCCGAGCTGCGCCTGCCCGCGCACATGTCGCCCGCCGCCCGGGCCGCCTACGTACGGCAGCTGGTGGGGGTGCTGGGTCTGGCCAAGGCGGCAGACACCCGAGTGGGGGACGCCAAGACACGCGGGCTGAGCGGAGGTGGGGAGGGGGTGGGTGGGTGGGAGGGGGAGCAGGAAGAGGAGGAGGGTTGAGGAAGAGGAGGAAACGTGCCGGTAACTTCCCATCCGTGCCCGCCTCCCACCAGGTGAGAAGAAGCGGCTGAGCATCGGCTGCGAGCTGGTGGGCTCGCCTTCGCTCATCTTCTGCGACGAGCCCACCACCGGACTCGACTCCTTCCAGGCGGAGAAGGTGGGGGCGGGTGGGGGGGGCAGGGACGGCAGGGGCAGGAGGTGGGGGGCAAGGGAGTCAGGGTAGGTGGGGCAATGGGCGGCATGTGTAGTGGGGTGCGGTGCGGCTACCAGTCAGGGCCTACCAGTCAGGGGCTACCAGTCAGGGGCTACCAGTATGCCAACGCAACATAGTATTCACCTCTTTCAATACCCCCCCAGTATAATCCGCCGCGCTCTTCCTCCCTCCCTCCCATCCCATCCCCTTCTAATAGCCTGATGCGGACTGTCAATCCCTCCCTCCCCCCCCCCCAGGTCATGTCCACCTTGGCCTCCCTGGCCCGCTCCGGACACACCGTGGTGGCCTCCATCCACCAGCCGCGATCCTCCATCTTCGCGCTGTTCGACGACCTGGTGCTGCTGGCGGAGGGGCGGGCGCTGTACTCGGGGCCGGCAGCGGAGGTGAGGTGGGAGGAGGGGTAATGGCGGGGGAAAGGTGTGTGTTTTGGGCACCCACGTGCAAGCGTAGTCTGGCGCGAGCAGGTCACACACGGCTGCACACTGCCCCGCTGTCCCCGCTGTCTTGGAATGGCTGAGGACGCACAAGTACTCACGGCTGGTGCCCCACTTCCCCACCCCCCTCCCCACCCCCCTCCCCACCCCCCTCCCCACCCCCCTTCCCACCCCCCTTCCCACCCCCCTCCCCACCCTTCCCCCCTTGCAGGCTCTCCCCCACTTCGCCTCCCTGGGCCACCACTGCCCCGAGCACTTCAACCCCGCGGAGTTCCTGGCGGACCTCATCTCAGTGGACTATGCCAGCCCCGAGGCGGAGGCGGAGAGCAGGTGGGGGGAGGGGAGAAGGGGCGGGGCGGGAGGGAGTGACCCATGGGTCGTGAGGGTGAAAAACGAACACTCGGGGTTGAAGAAGGGGCGATGTGTAGGGAGGCAGGTGGCGGGCTGGAGACTCCTCAACTTCACCCTGCTCCAACACATTGGGTCTTCTTCTTCTTCTTTTCCCCCCTGCCGTACATAGGGCCCGGCTGGAGCGGCTAGCAGCGGCCTGGCAGCAAGTGGAGCAGCAGCAGCAGCAGGCGGCTGGCAGCAGCAGCAGCAGCAACGGTAACAACAACGGTCGCAGCAACGGCGCCAAGAGCGGCTCCCCGGACAAGGGCGGCAAGGGGCGGTTGTCGCGCCACGTCAGCAGCGACCTGGTGATGCGGCGGGCGGCGCTGCTGCCTCGGGCGGGTCCGCTGAGGCAGCTGCGGCTGCTGCTGCAGCGCTCGTGGAGGCAGGTGAGGTGGGGGGGCTGCGAGAGGGGACGGGCAGGGGGGGTTCTGACGCAGAAAAGGGGTTGTGATGAGCGGGGGGGCGGAGAGCGGAGGACGAGTAGAGTGGCGGCCAATCCGCTTCCCCCGATCCCACCCATCTCGCCGCACCTCCCCCCCCCCCCGCCCAGGTGGTGCGCGACCGGCCCACCAACGTGGCTCGCGCCATGTCCAACCTCTCCTCCGCCCTGGTGTTCGGAGCCATCTTCTTCCGCATGCGGCGGGGGCAGTCGTCCATCCAGGACCGCATGGGGCTGCTGCAGGTGGGGGGGGGGAGGTGGGGGAGGCATGGGGTGAGGAGGGTGGCAGGGGGAGGGTGTGCAGGGGGTGATGGGTGGGGAACGAAGAATACCCCATGTGTTGATGGGCGGAGGAGGTGTAGGAGGCAGGAGCATGATGACTACTGGCCTTGAACTCCAAGCCCCGCACTACATATCCTCCCTCCACCTCCTTCCCTCCTCTTGTCATCTTGTTTGCCATTACCGGCATCATTCAACACATTGGGCACTCTTCTCCTCCTCCCTTTCCCCCATCCAGTTCGTCAGTTTACCTTAGTCCCTCCCCCTCCCCCCTCCTCCCCCCCCCCAGGTTGCCGCCATCAACACCGCTATGTCTTCCCTGGTGAAGACCCTCAACATATTCCCGCGCGAGAGGACCATCGTGGCTCGTGAGCGGGCGCAGCACTCGTACGGCATCCTGCCCTACCTCTCCGCCAAGCTAGCGGCGGAACTGCCCGTGGGTGGGTGGGGGGTGGGTGGGTGGGTGGGTGGGGGGTGGGTGGGTGGGTGGGGGCGGGGTGGGGGGGGTGGGGGCGGGGTGGGGGGGTGGGGGCGGGGTGGGGGGGTTGCTAGCTGGCTGGCTAGCTGGCTGGGTGGGTGGTGCTGCTGTTGCTGCAGATACGAGGTATCCGCTTCCTTTCCTTTCCAAGAGACCCTCCTATCGGACCTTATGCACTCATCTCCGCTCGGCACCAATCCGGGGCTGCCCCCTGCCCCCTGGCCCAAACCATCCCCCCGCCCCCCGTTCCCCCCCCCCCACCTCTGTCCTCTATCCGCCGCCCAGGCGCGCTGTTCCCGCTGCTGTTCGGCTCCATCGTCTACCCCGCGTGCGGCCTTCACCCCTCGCTCACCTGCTTCGCCAAGTTCCTGGGTATCATCACGCTGGAGAGCTTCGCAGCGCAGGTTGGGGGGGGGGAGCGGGGGAGGAAAGGGGGGCGTGGTGACCCATGGGTCAGGGAACGGGTGGGTATGCGCTTGCTTTGGAGTTTGAAGTTGGAAAGCGACGGAAACTATTGGCAAAGGTATTGTGGTTGGCGTTGCATTTATAGCCCCGGAATGAGGCTCAATATCCCCCTCCCGCATCCCTCCGCCCCTTCCTTCCTCCCCCCCTAGCCTGTGGTTTCCCATATGGTATGGTACCTGGTCTGTGACCCTCCCCCCTCCCCTCCTCAGGCGCTGGGTCTGGCAGTGGGTTCCATCGCGCCCACCACCGAGGCCGCCATGGCCATCGGGCCCGCGGTGATGCTGGTGTGGATCGTGTTCGGAGGCTACTACGTGAATGCGGGTGAGATGAGGGGGAAGGGGGGGGGGGAGGAGGAGGACGGAAGAGAGGGAAGGGAGGGAAAGGCTGGGGGAGAGCAAGGCGGGAGAAAGGGGGACAGCCACTTTACTGGACAGCCATTGACATTCCCTCCCTCCCTGCTCCTCTCCTCCTCTCCACCCCAACCACCACCCCCACCCCACTCTCCCCCCCCCCCGCCCCGCAGCCAACGTCCCCGCCGTGTTCAAGTGGCTCCCACGCGCCTCCCTCATCAAGCAGTCCTTCGAGGCACTGTGTGTGAACGAGTTCCCCGGACTCACCTTCGAGGCGGACGCCAACGGGGGCGGCATGCGGGACGGACAGCAGGTGGGGGGGGGGGGCGGCATGCGGGACGGACAGCAGGTGGGGGGGGGGGCGGCATGCGGGACGGACAGCAGGTGGGGGGGCAGGGAGGGATGGGATGGGTGGGAGGGCGGTGGGTAGGCGGGCGGGAGGGACCGGGCAGTGAGGGAGGGATGGGGAGCAGGTGGGGGCTGCCTGCTTGACACATGCTGCGCTGTGCTTTCTGTTGTCATATAGGACTCTTTAATGGCACACAACACCAGACACACCACACACCGCCCTATATGTGTCTCCTCCACCATCAACTGCCCTTGCGCCCGAGCCGGTCAAAACATGCGGCACCCTCTCATGCAGCCTTCACCCCTTCACCCCTTCATCCCTCCTCCCCGCTAAGCCTCCTGCTACGTCCCTCTTGCACCCTCTCCCCTCCCTCCTTCACACCACCTTCCCACACCTCCCTCCCCCTCCTGCCCCCACCCGCAGGTGCTGCAGTGGCTGTCCTTCGACAAGAGCTCGGTGGCCGCCCGCTGCGCCGCGCAGGGCCGCATTGTGATGTTCTACTACTGGGCTACATACAGCATCCTGAGGGCCTCGCAGCCGCGGTACATGCAGGTACGAGAGGTGGGGGAGCAGGAGGTGGAGGCAGGGGAGGGGGAGAAGGAGGAGGGGGAGAAGAAGGAGGAGGTTGCGGTGGAGTCGGCTGCGGCGTGAAGGGAAGGGGTGGGCAGGTGGGTTGAGGAGAGAGTAGAGGGGGAGAGAAGTGGCGGAAGGGCGTGGGCAGGGACGATGGGAGAAGGGAGCTGTGGAAAGGGGAAATGGGGTTGGAGGAATAGGTAAAGACTATGAGGGCTTGGGAATGCATGGTGGTTGGGAATGCATGGTGGGTTGGTGGGCAGTTGTTTGTGCGAAGGTATGGTGGTTAAGATAACTGGCTGCGAGTGGGAACGTAACGTATGTTGGTGCTTATGGTGTGGTGCTCTGCAGCGGCGTACAGCCGCATATATACTCGGCATAGGGTGGTATTCCTTGTTGTTGTTCGGCAGGTTGAGGTCTCTTATTATCCTGCAAAAGCACTAAACTTGGAGGATGTCGGTACATGGCTTTAGCTGAGTGTTTTCCTCACGTGGCATGTGCACACTTCATTTGTTTTGGACTGACAGTTGCTGACGTCTGAGTGACAGCAGCCCGGGTTGCAATGTGCTGTTGCGATACGATAAGACGCTCCCGTACGACAATGTAAGAATACGGCAACCCTGTCCACAACCCTGCGCACCCTCGACACGGCGGAGCGACTACAAATGACACACCCGACCGCAATGCAGCCGCTGGATGGTTCGGCGGTTCTTGGGTTACGGGAATCAGACCCTCCGACGATCTATCTGTCACACAGCATGCATAGCATATACGGACTGCATGTGTTGCTCTCGGTATGGGCGGCATATGCAACACAGCAGGCAGGTCTTCCATGCGGTGGGTGCTAGAACGTCCCGTGGGTCATAAGCAAGCACGAACATGGACTGCAGGGCTATCTTCCGGGCATGTGCCTGCGATACGCACATGCAACAGTAGGAACCTCTTCCAGCAGGGAGGCTGGGAGGACACAAGAGAACACACGGCCGGCATTCCCTGCTAGCAACAGGGGGGGGGCATACGCGGGTACGCGAGTGAGGAGGTTGGATGCGTCCCATGCAAACGCATTAGAAACCAACACACCGGTAATCCCAAACCCTTTATGGCCTGGGAATCATGCCGTGACAACCGTCAACATTGGGAAACACTACTTTTGCCCTAAACCGTACCTCTCCAGCCAAAACACAGCAGCAGCAGTAAAGTAGCCAGTAGAGTCCTGCACTACAACGGGACAGATACACAAACACACACAGGCGCACAATCTCTTCATACTATACTATACTACACAACACGAGCAGCAGCCCGTACCAGTACCAGTAAAAGTCTAGCTCGCTCTAGCATCGCTAACTCCACCAACGGTTGGCCACAACGGTTGCAAGTCAGGGTACATGCACATGCAGTCAAGTAGCCTTGCGGCCACCCGCATAGGGGGTTCATGTCATGTCAGCTGCTGTCAGGATATCCTGTCGGGTGACAAGGTGGGTACCGCACCCTCCGGCTGTTTGTGCAATGTCAGGTACCACACGCCAACCAGCACACGGCTTCATGGCAAAATGAGAGAGGCACACTGGAACCATCAAACGGCTTGACCTGGTCTGCTAATCCCCGACAGCGGTGCCGTCTTTTACGTCACTGTACAGAGAGGGCGTGGATGTACAGCGGTTCGGTTGCGAACGGGACCATGAATAGCTCTTCGTCTACGTAGCTGATGCATGTGCAGCAGTGGCAGGGCAACGAAGCGGTCCAAGGGCGGATCGCAAACTGCTGCTGCTGTCCACACCCTCCCAAGCCACACCCACACACTACATCACATCACATGACAGCCCATGAGGGCCCCGCCAGGTGGCTGGTGCTGCTGCTGCTGCTGCTGCGGGCCACCTCCTCCGGGCCCCTCAGGCCCCTGGTCATCATCATCATCATCAGCGCTGTTGCTGTCGTCATTGTCAGAGTCCGAGCCAGAGTCGGATGCATCCGAGTCCGCATGGCCGTCACCACCACCACCACCACCACCAGCACCCGCAGCATGGGGCTGCTGCTGCGCTGCTGCCGCTGCCGGCGGCGGCGGTGGCATCAACATCCCCGCCAAGCCTCCGGGTCCCCCTGCCCCACCTCCACCTCCTCCTCCTCCACCCCCAAGCTGCACCATGAAGGGACCCATCAGCTGCCCTCCGGCCCCTGCTGCTGCCCCGGGCGGCGGCATCCCCAACGCAGCGGCCGCCATCCCCAGCATCAGCTGCATGCCCGCCTCCCCCAGTGCAGCCATCATGTCATCCACCGGCCCCCCTCCTCCTCCTCCTCCGCCGCCACCACCACCACCACCTTCACCGCCTCCCATGTCGTCGTCGTTACCAGCGGCGCCGCCACCTGCACCGCCACCTGCGCCGCCAGCAGCGCCGCCTGGCGGGCCCTGCTGCGGCCCGTCTAGCAGGTGGACGATTGCTGCGGCGGCGGCTAGTGCCGCTACCGCTGCGTTGTTGCCACCACCACCTCCTCCTCCTCCTCCTCCCACTCCTGGAGGGTGAGGGTGCGGACCCCCACCACCGCCGCCACCACCACCAGGGTTGCCCGCATCCCCACCGCCGGCACCACCAGCAGGGCCGCCCGCATCACCCTCGCTCGACTTGAAGGTGATGGTGATGAGCTTCAGAGCCACCCGGGTGTACGGCAGCTTGCTGGCGAGGATGTCGTACAGTTCACGACTGACGGAGTGCGCGTCGGGTAAGAGCGGGGGCAACTGCTGCTGCTGCTGTTGTTGGCTGCCGCTAGGGCCGCTGGGGTCGGCTTTCGCCGCGGGAGGAGGCTTGGGCAGCGGCCCGGCATCCCGGCGGCTGCCACGGCGGCCGGGGCTGGAGGCGGTCGCTGTCGGCTGTGACGGAGCTGCCGCGGGTTCAGCTTCCGGCTCGGATTCATGGTCACTTCCGCTGGAGGAGGAGTCGCTGGGCGAGGGCTCGGGTGCGGCCGCTCTCGAGCGCAGCATCCACCGGCCGCGCTTGGCAGGCCGCCCCGCGGCAGCAGCAGCGGCAGCCTGGTTAGTGGCAGCAGCTGCTGGTGCGGATGCTGCTCTGGATGTCGATGCTCCCGCTGTGTTGGCGCCAGCAGAGCTCCCGCCGCCGCTTCCGCCGCCACCACCACGCTTGCTGCCAACCGCGGGCCCAGCCGCTGCAGCCGCAGCCGCCTGCGAGGAACTCCGAGTCAACCGGCGCGTCCCCGTCCCTGTCCCCGTGCCCGCCCCAGACTCTGCTCCGGACCGCCTCCCTTGCTGCTGCTGCTGTCGCTGCTGACGCTGCTGCTCGGAAGCAGCTGCAGCGCCGGTAACAGCAGCCGACCGGCTTGCCGCCGCCGCCGCCGCCCCCGCAGACCGGGTTCTCCGTCTCTCCGCCGACGTCGCGGCGGATGCGGCGGATGCAGCCCCGGCAGCAGCAGCCGACGGCGGTACGGCAGGCGACGGCACTGCCCCAGCTGACGGGCCCGCTCCCGCTCCCGCCGCCGCTCCCACCGCCGCCTCCGCCGCAGCACGCCGAGCACGAGCACGTGTAGTACGCCCCGCCGGCTGTACCGCCTCCGCCTCCGCTGCTGCTACCTCCGCCTCCGCCGCCGCTGCCGCCGCCTGCTGTGGGCCCTCCAGGCTGAACTCCCGTGTGTCTACCACGAGGTGCAGTTTGAGGCAGGCCAGGCGGCGGAGGCAGGAGAGGGCGGCCAGGCAGGGCGCGGAGGCGTCCCACATGCCCTGCAGGTGCAGCGAGCTGAGGGCGGGCAGGGCCTGCAGGTGCGCCGCCAGCCCCTCCGCCGCCGCGCAGCTGTACGGCAGCGGCAGCGCCAGGCTCTCCAGCTGTCGCAGCGCCGTCACGTGCGCCACGTCAGCCATCAGGTCGGCGCAGGCGAGCGACATAGACAGGCGGCGCAGGTGGGGCGGGGGGGGAGGGGGGGCGGGGGGGGAGGAGGGGGAGGCGGGGGGAAGCGGCTCGGGGGAGAAGGCCTCTTGCAAGTGGAGCTGCGGGGCGGGGGATGGGAGATGGGAGGCAGGGGAAGGAATGCTGGTCGGAGTAACACGAGGAGGCCTGGAAGCCTGGAAGCGATTTACAGGCATGCTGGGTCGGCAGTCTCCTCAACGCCACACATGCAAGCCCTCCCCTTCCCCTCCCCCTCCTCGCCCCGCCCTGCCCCGCCCGTCCCGCCTGCTCAGAGTTAAACCACGCCACGCACCGCCACTACCGTACACCCACCTCTACAATGCCCGGGCATGCCGCCACCAGGCTGCCCATGCTGCTGGAGCCTATGGAGCTGCGGAACAGCGCCAGCCGCCGCAGCGCGCCACCCAGCCCCAGCTGAGCGGGCAGGGACGCCAGGCGGCAGCTGTGCAGGGAGAGGGCGCGGAGCCGGGGGAGGCCCTGGGGGGGAGGGGAGCCTGTGGGGGGGGGGGGGGGCGGGAGAGGAAAGGGGCGGGACGTGGGAGGGATGAGGAGCGGGAGGAGGGGGCATGTGGGTGAGGGGGGTAAGGGCAGCGCCCATTACGGTAAGGTGACATCCCCGACACTTTGGATCGATTGCCGCAGTAGTCATATCCCCGTTTCCCCTCCCAAGCACACTGCTCCCCTCCCCGACCCCGCCTCTCCCCCCCTCCCACCCTGCAGCTCCACGTTCTGCAGGTCCAGCGCCTCCAGACCCGGGGGCAGGAAGCAAGCCTGATGGGGGAGAGGGGGGGGAGGGGGGGGGTGAGCGGAGAAAGGGCCGAGGGAGGGGGGGGCCAGCGGGAGGTATACCGGCATATGGGTACGGCAGATGCAGTGCGCGACAGCGCTAGCAGCCCCTTCAACCCTCCTCACCACCTGGACCCGCCCCCGGCAACCCCAGCACCGGCCAGCAGCATACCAACTCTCCTTTCCTACACTCTCCCCCGTACTCCGCACTGTCCCCCCCCCGCCCGCACCTGCAGCGCCACCCTCCTCTGCGGCGGCGTCATGTCCTCCCCCGCTGTCCCCACCGCCAGCACCTCCTCCCCCCCGCCCGCCCCGCCGCCCCGGTGCGCCAGGGACAGGCGCCGCAGAGAGGGCGGCAGCAGAGCACCCAGCGAGTCGGGAAGCAGGCCGTGGAGCACCAGCTCCTGGGGGGGGAGGGGGGGGAGGGGAGGTAAGAGAGAAAGTGGGAGGTAAAGAAAGGAGGTGGGAGGAGAGAGCAAGGCCAAGTACGAAGCGATAATGAGGAAGGGAGGCGAGGGGAGGAAGAAGACAGTCAGGCTAAGCGGGTTAGGCCCGTTGGATTGGGGCAAGGTAAGGGGAGGCTTGGGGTCATGATGCGTCCCCAGATGCGCCCCAGTGCATCAGCGGACATGAGGTGCCGTACCTCGGGCCCCGGCGGCAGCTCCGCGTCCCCCGTCGCGACGGTTCCTCTCCCGGCGCCACTGCCCGAGGCCCCACCCGCACTGCCGTGTCCCCCTAGGGGTTGCTGCTGCTGCTGCTGTGGGTGGGCTGAGGAGGCGGCTGGGTCGCTGCTGCCGCCATCGGCCGAGGAGTCTTCAGGCGGCTGCGGGGGAGTGCGTGGGGAGGGGGTTAATAGGGATACATATTCCGCATTTGGCTGGATTTTAGGACTGCGTATAGTCAAACTTGTTGCGGGGAGGGGGCAGAGAAAGGGGGCATCAGGGACAGCACTGACAATGAAAGCAGCTCCTGTCACAAGGGCAGTCACAGAGCGTGTGGTCCTCCAAAGATCATCCGAAGGCGATCTGCTCCATGCCGTTCGGTGTGGTCTTGGTCGTGCCCGGGCGCGGGTTCGTGATCCTGATGCTGGACGGCTGCTTCAGCCTGTAGGCTGAAGCAGCCCCAGCTGTAGCCGTAGCCGTAGCAGGTCGATCTGAAGGTCGCGGGCGAGATGCTGTGCACGATGGAGGACGGCAAGGAGATCCCGATCGCCAGCGCGGCCCCGTGGATGTTCGAGGGCATGATCATGGAGTTCGACGCGACCGCGGACCCGTCCAGCATCAGGATCACGAACCCGCGCCCGCGCACGACCAAGACCACGCCGAACGGCATGGAGCCGTACCTGCCGCGCAACCCCCAAGGCTACCAGCCGGACCCCTGTTCCCCGGCATCCCCTGTTCCAAACCCGCCCATGTGCTCCTCTTCACACCTCCTTCTCCCGCCCCCCTCAGCTCCCTCCCTCCCGCCCTTCCCCTCCCCCCGCCCCACCGAGAATATCCTGCCGGTGATGTCGAACGCCTCCTTGTCGCGACTCCACAGCTGCGTGGGGCAGCAGGGAGGGAAGCGGGAGGGAAGCGGGAGGGAGCAAGGATGGAGTGAGCGAGGGGGCACGGGGGGTTGTTGGAAGGTGCGTTGAGTGGGTTTCACGCAGTACAGCGACCGGAGGGGTGCAGTGGGGGACCCTGTAACCCCCGTCGATGGTTACTTCTGCTACGAAGGGTGACGACCCTAATGAACAGCTGCCAAAGCAGCCAGACACCACCACCCCTGCCATCTCCACTCCCCACTGCTCTGCCCAACCTGTGGCGTTCTAGATGCTCTGGTATGGTCTTCAAACCCCCCCTCGCTACCACCATCCGCTAACCCCCACCACCACCACCCCACTGCCAGCCTCCACCACCATCATCCCACTGCCAGCCCATCCACCCCACCTGGAGCCGCCGCAGCCTCGGTGGCAACCCCGGTGCCGCTCCCCCTGCAGCTGCAACACCCTGTGCGGCGGCAGCACCCTGCACCTGCCCCCCCCCTGCTGCTGCTGCTGCTGCTGCTGCTGCTGCTGCTGCTGCGGCCCCAGCTCCCGCCGCCACTGCTGCTGCCGCTGCTGCTGCTGCTGCTGCTGCGGCCCCAGCTCCCGCCGCCACTGCTGCTGCTGCCGCTGCTGCTGCTGGCCCAGCCGCAGCGCCCGCCTCCCCCGCTGCTGCTGCTGCTGAGGCCATGTCGCTCAGCGCCGCCAGCACGATCCGAGGGACCCGTGGGTCGGTCCAGGTGGCGTGCAGCAGCACCAGCGACCGCACCGGCAGTGCCGCCACCAGCTCGCGCAGCTGCCGCCCGATGTCGGCTCGGACCTGTGGGGGACGATGAGGGACGAACAGATACCGGTAGCGGAGGAGGAGGGAGCCGGGGTTAGAGGAAGCCGGAGGGAGCGTGCTGAGGAGCCTCATAAAGACGATGAAATCAGCTATTAGAGTTCCAAGCTGCTCGGGCCCGCATGTCCCAACTCTTTGCATGCGTGGCTTCCAAACCAACAAATTCCCACATATGTACCCACATCCTTCACCCACCCTTCCTCCCCCACCCTCCCACCCACCGCGCCCATGCCACACACGTCCAGCGACACCTCGTCCCCCGCCCCCAGCGGCCGCAGCGGCAGCAGCTGAGCCGCGTCCTCCACCAGCGACTGACCCTCGCCGTGCCGCACCAGCACCCGCAGCAGCCGGCCCCAAGGGGGAGGGGCAGATGCTGGGGCTGCTGCTGGGGCGCCTCCGGGCCATGGAGCACCTCCGCTGCTGCCACCGCCACCGCCACCCAGCCGCTGCTGCTGCTGGGGCTGCTCCCCGGCCGCTGTTGCCGCCCCCGCTGGCGCCGCGGCAGCTGCTTGAAGAGCGGCCGCCGGCTGCCGTGGCGGCGGCGGCAGGGGTGTCGCTGCGAACTCTGCCGGCGCGGAAGTGCAGTGCAGGTGCAGGTGGTGCAGGTGCGGGTGGGCCGCCAGCAGGTGCTGCCCCATGGGCGCCCAGAAGGGGGCGGCGCCGGTGATGGAGAGGTGCGAGAGGCGGGGCAGGCGGGAGAGGACCTGGGGGGGGAGGGGGAGGGAAGACCATACCACACCATAGGAAGCCACAGGTTAGGGGACAGCAATGGGGATAGGGTGCCACAAACCAGGCTGCCAGCAGCAGTGGGGGTACCGTACCTGCGTGAGTCGGCTCCAGGCGGGGTGCACGGTGCGCGCGTACTCGAAGTCGCGCAGCATGCGGCCGCTGAGCAGCAGCAGCGGGCCGGGGTGCGGCGGCTGCGGGTCGGGGGGGCCGTAGCCGTCGGGGCGGCGGTGCCAGTGGAGGGTGGGCTGGTCGTCCTGGGGGAGGGGGGGGTGAAGTGGGGGGGGCGGAGTGGGGTTGAGGTTGGTGCACGTGGCTAGGAGCGTGCGTCCTGTACCTCTTGCTTCAGAACATGTACCACCGGTTCCCGCATGCATGCATGCACGCCCCGCCCCCCTCGCTACCCCCACCTCCCCCCCTAACCTGTTGGATTCCTATGCTTCGGTCTCCCTCTCTCTGACCCCCCCCCCTCCCACCCCCTCCCCGCCCCCTACCAGGAACAGCTCCAGGTGCTGCAGGCTGCCGCCCAGCTCCCCCAGTGGTGCGATGTCGCCCGAGGTGAGGGTGTTGACGGGCTGCAGGTCCAACCGCTGTAACCGCCGCAGACAGCCCAGGCAGGACAACCCGCCGGGCCGGGGTAGGGGTAGGGGGAGGGGCAGGGCGGCGGGGGCGGGCAGCAGCGGGGCAGAGGAGGCGGGGGAGGAGGATGGGGGCGGTCCGGCGCCGCTGGTGCCGGGAGGGGTGGTGGTGGTGGGTCGGGCGGGGCGGGGGCGGAGGTCCAAGGGAACGGCGAGGCGCAGGCAGGTGAGGGCCTGGGAGGGGGGGCGGCAGGGGGAGGTGGGGGACGGGAGGGCTCGCCATGCGGGTGTTAGGCCACCGGGTGCGCATGGAGCGGGGTGGAGCCGCGGTCATGCGGGGGAACCGAGGCCTCCCCACTCCCTGACAGCTTTCACCCACCCCCCAACCCAACCCAACTCTCCTCCCCACACCTCCTCCCCCCTCACCGGCAGCCTCTCCAGGAAGCCCAGGTCCAGCAGCTCCCCCGACTCCCCGGCTGCAGCCGACCTATCACCGCCTCCCCCCTGCTGCTGCCCCCCCTGCCCCTCCTGCCCCTGCTGCCCCTGCTGTCCCCCGCCCTGCTGCCCCCCCTCGGGGTGTTGGTGCTGCTGTAGCGCCTCTATGAGACCCGGGGGCAGCCCCAGCAGCTGCAGCAGACCACCTGCAGGTCTGAGGGGGAGCGGGGGAAGGAGGGAGAGAGAGGAAGAGGTGCGAGGAGGAGGAGGAGGCGTTAGCAAGGAGGGGGTTGGACCGAGAGGTTACCCCATTTGGGCTGTAAGCCGGTGGCATGCAGTGGGCAGCAGCATATCCCCGAAGGTGGGCACTCGGCCTGTTCCGACCGACCCAAATCCCGGACGGGCCCCACACGACCCCACATCGCACCCCCTCGCCCCCTCCTCCTCCGCCCCCCCCATGGTGAAGCCTCGTCATACAGCCCGTTCGTTGCCTCGCCACATTTCCTTATCTTCACCCCCCCTCCCCCTCCCCCTCCCCCTCCTCCCCCTCCCCCCCTCCTCCTCCCCCCCTCCCCCACCCGCGCGTGTGCCGCTCCTTGTACTTCTGCCGCTCCTTGGCGGTCTCACTGCGGGCGGTGTTGCAGCGCAGAACCAGCCGGGTCACACGCGGCAGACACACCACGGGGCCGACCGCTGGGGGACTGCTGCCGCCACTGCCGCTGCCGTCACTGCTACTGCCGTCCGCGCCAGCGCCCACCGAGGCGGCAGCGGGGCTGTTACCGGTGTTGTTGCCCGCCTCAGCCGATGCCTGGCAGTTGGAATCGGTTAGCATGGCGGCTGCTGCAGCCCGCGCCCCGGGTCCGGGACCTGCGGCCTGCGGCTCCGCTCCTGAAGTAACGCCGGCTGCGGGTGCTGCTGTCTCGGTGGCTCCCCGCTGTTGGTACCGACCCGCGGGTCCCTGCAGCCTTAGCTGCTCCACCACCGCCTGTGAGGGAAGGAAGCAGCGGAGGGAGGAAGGAGGGAGCGGAGGGGGGAGTTGTGGGTTAGTTATAGCCTGGCGCGCAGTACTGGTGGAGACTAAACACATTCCTTTGCAAGTGCATGATGTGGCTTTTAGGTCATGAGGCGATGAATCAGGCTTCCTTACCTCTTACCTCCCCCCCACCTCTTCCGCCGCGCCCCCCCCGCCCACCTGCATGCCGGGCATGTGCTCGTAGCCGTCCAGCACCAGCATGAGCGAGTTGGCGGCGGGGTACACGGAGCCGCAGCGGGCCAGGCCGCGCAGTACGGCATCTGGGTCGGAGGCCACCACCTGCATCAGCTCCTGGACGGCCCTGGAAAGGGGGGGAAAGAGGAAACAATCAACTGACTGTGTGATAAGGCATCATCATGGTTTGCAACATGTGAGCCAGCCCGACCCGCCCAGCCCGAATTAGGGGGGAGAGGGAAAGGGGAGAGAGGGGGGGCGAAACGAAATGAGAAGTGCAGCAGGGGGCAGGAGGAGTCGGGAACCTGGGATGGAGGTGATGCTGCAGGTTGACACGGGAAGGAACCGAGGAGATGGTCAGGATGGCTTCTGGGTTAGGGGTCTAGGCTTTGGCAAGGCGCGTAGGAAGGGCTAGCTGACATGAAAGCGTTGGGTTGTCCACGGCTGCAGCTCGGCCCTTGCCTTCCTGACACAGCCGATCAACCTACCAGCCGAAGGCGTCGGCAAACGTCGTGCTGACAAGCCGACTCCGCAAGCAACTGTTGAGGGGAAGATACTTGGCCACGACCTGCGGGGCATGGATGCCAGCCCTTTACAGTATAGCCATCATAGGACGCTGAATTGCCCTAACTTATAGCAGCGTGTCATTTAACCGTGCTCAGAAGGTGAAGCTACAAAAAGCGCTAGGCGAGAAGTTGGCACGTCAGCAGGTAGATGCGCAAGTCGATAGACAAGAAGCCTAAGTCGCTCACATGTAGGCAGTCTCCAAGATCATAGATGTGAGTTCCGGCATGAGACGTTGATAGGGAAAGGTCCTTCTCCTCTATCTTTACAGCCCTCTCCGCTGCGCGTTCCGCCGGTCGCGCTTTCTTACGAGGTGGCATGGTTGATTACAACAAAGGCCCTTACCAAGAATGTTATAACAGGATTATCGGTGCACTACACAAGGGCTCCTTTCGCCAACGGCTTCAAAAGTGGCCTACGATCGTAAAGCGGGTGTGCCTTTATACTTCGCTATTATGTTTTCCCTCTATAGCACTTCTAGCAATCTTGTTGACCCTAACTTAGACATACAAGCATGCAGGAAGTGCCGTACGAGCTCTCACAACATCCTCAACATCCATGGTCCCATGCAGCCAACCGTGCACTCAAACTCGTCATCACGCCCTGCCAGACGCCATAGCTGCTACGAAGCTGACGAAAGTGGTATGATATGTTCGTCAACGCTCCATTGTGTTTTCCCAGGTGTGTACGGCAATCCTCATTTGCCCCTGGAGGTAGAGCCTTGGGCGAGTGACGGAGATTGATAGTGGTGATCTGGCTGTCAGGGTTAAGACTGTTTCCCTCTTTACGAACGGCGGACCCATGCTGTTTGGGCGTTTGCACATGACCCAATTCCGTACGTACGTACGATGTTGTTACATCCTTCCGAGGGCCCTGTCACCTCTTTCTAGAGGCGCACAACATATGCATGTAACCACCCAGGTCCCTTGCCACACTTAAGCACAGGTAGATGGCATCTGTTTGCGCATAAAAAGGCTTTTCCCCGATGTCCATTTCGTAGACCAAGTATACATGCACGCTCTGCCGTTTCCCAATTCATAAGGATCTTAACGTCGACAGGGTGAGGCGCGGAAAGGGTGCCGGCAACGTCACCCTTTCTGTACCGGTACTGCACACGCACGTTGAGGTGAACCCAGTTGGTAATGGCTGGCAAAGGGATTCCATGCAAACCTACCCTGTGTTTTGCCTGTCGCGCACGATCAGTAACCGGGTAACATGCATTCTACAACCTGGCTGATAACCATACTGGCATATACCATACGACTCCCTGATGGGTTGGTACTGGACTGCATGCATACATGCAAACCGTTGAGTGGCATGCATTACGGCTTACAGAAGTAGGTGGTGATATGTTCCCAGTCTGGGTGGCATGCATTACGGCTTACAGAAGTAGGTGGTGATATGTTCCCAGTCTGGGTGGTAGGCATGTCCTGCGACAGTCAGTTGCCACAGCACTCCCCGCACAGATTGTTTCCCTCTTCAGGACTATCCAGTCTTGACGCTAAGAACTATGTACGAATTAATAATAATGAAATGGAAGAATACCGCCATTGGACGGTGGCATGGATAACAATACCTCTCGTACGCTCGCACTCTTCTCCCATCTAGCCTCTCTCATGAATTAGTTTGGCTACGCACTCGCTACCCTCACATACATCCGAGCTGAGGTGGGAAACACTCCTGCAAGTACCGCCATGCCATCGGCCACCTCAGACCACACATACCACTTCAGCCTGGGGCACATACCACACCTTCCCTGTTGCCGCGTGTTGAGTCAACCCAACGAAAATTATTGACGAAAACCTGTTCCTGTATGCTAAGAGTAATTGGAAAGTGCTACTATCGCATAACATCCCTCAGCATCAGCAGTCCCTACATCTAGCAACGATCTTCATCTTTCCGCCTTCAACCGCTCTCAGCATGACGCGAATCAAATGACCCAAACAGCGGGTCACGCAAAGTGTCCAATGACATATAATGCTACAGCCCTGCATCGATTCTTCCCAAACCGTACGACAATACGACACTTGTTCCGTACCACTACAAACCAATCTGTACAAGTGACGTACCCATCCGTACACGTAACATGAGCGGGTGCAACAAACCATCCTGCTGTTAACTGTACAGATTCTACCTCCACAGTCATTCCACAGTCATGAATCCAAGCGGCGCCGCAAACATTGGTAGGTAATGCGCCTGGCCATTGGCGCGCAAACGTACGCTGACTGACCCATGCGTCAGTAATGTACCGACCATATAACCGGAGCTAACATACTCACATCCCGTCATGTTACCGTCAGGGGAAGGAGGGGTATCAATACCTTCAATAGGAGCGGATACAAATATCACACCAGACACGAAAGAGGCCAATCCGCCCCAAAAGTAAATCAGTAGGAAAGGTGAGGGGTTGTTAAGTGTCGTCAAGACACCCATCCTAGCACCGACAAACCCCCGTGAATACGGTAACGCCTGTCCTGACAATCCCCCCTACCTGGTCAGAAGAGCCTTCACCCGCCATTCCCATTACCCTTTTTTAGCATTTGGTAATATAACTTTTTCCGCGCACATCCTCCTCACCCCTCCTCATGCAGGCGAGGCATGCATCAAGCTTGCCTGGACGATTGCACACAGCTCACCACAGCACATGTGGCCCACCAAACATTCAAGGGGCCCAAGAAAGAAAGGAAGACGTCTACTCGCAACTCTCATTCACAACCCATCTGCTCCAAACCTGAGCGCAACTCATCTCACTTCACCACTCTTCCCCGCCACCTTACCGCATCTCATGCAACGCCTCCATAGGCTGCTCACACACCTCCAGACACGGCCCGCCAACACTCACCGAACCGCCCGCAGCGAACGACGGCGCAGCTGCCGGCAGCTGGTTATGATGAGCAGCTGAAGGCCCGACAGCAGAAGCGGCGGAGCTTGTAGCAGCAGCCGCACCCTCAGCCTCCAGGGCGTTTCCAGCGTTGTTGGCAGAGTGGTGGTGCATGGAGGACGCAGCAGCTTCCACGGCGGCCACAGCCAGGCTAGCCACGGCGCCCAGATCGGGGCGGCCGGCGGCAGCAGCGGCGGCGCCGACGGTGGCGGCGGCGACGGCGGCAACTGCGAAATCAGCGGCGGCGGTCGAGGGCGCGACGGCGGCGGCGACGGCAGCGGCGGCAGGGGACGCGGAGACGACGTTTGCGCTGGAGGATGATGCGGTGGAGGGAGCGGGAGCGGAGGAGGAGGCGGGGGCTGAGGAGCGCTCCTCGGTGGCAGGGCTGTCGCCACCACCGCTGGACATCTGCGGGGGGGGGGACGGCAACGTGAGAACGAGGGGAAGCGTTAGCATCAACTTCGCGTCGGGAAAGGGGGCACATGCATGACCAGCTCACCAAATGCACGCATTTCTGCCTGCAGGCTCCTGCTTGCATGCCCCAACAAACAAGGCCAACAGCAAGCGAGTTAAAGGCGGACACATATGTTACATCCATTCAACCACACCATCGCACGCACACCAGCCACCACCCCGCCCTCGAAATAACTCACAATGGACAGGAAGCATGTCCACAGGATGTTGATGCAGTTGTTGAAGAGCAGGCGGTACTCGTTGGGCAGCAGCGCGAAGTTGAGCAGCCCGGCGGCGGGCCACAGCAGGTAGCCGCCCAGCAGCGCGCGGACGTAGCTGGTGCGGACGGTGTTCGGGATGTCGCTCGGGCGCCCCTCCAGCAGCTTGATGACGATGAAGAAGAGCAGCAGGCCGAAGGGCGCGAAGAGGACTTGGTCGGCGAGGGTCTTGGTGACGACAGCGGCGGGGCAGTGCGGGTCGTCGGGCATGATGGAGCTGTCGAGCAGGCCGAACCTATGGGAGGAAGGGGGAGATGAGGAGGGCGAAAAGGGGAAGACAATCAATTTGTGCGCGAGGGTTCGTGACACCCTCTTCTTTGATGGTCTGTGACGGAGGGAAAGTATGGCTAGACGTGAAGACTTGACGCACAAATCGAAGCAGCGATTCACCACGACGCGACTGACCCATGGGTCAGCTACCGATACCCGATACATACATAAGCAGCCCTAGATCCCCGACTCACCACCAATGGCCGAGAGGCGTGCCGATTGCCGACGTCTCCAGGCACAGGCGTCCGGTGCGCATCCAGTCGACCCGCTTGCGTCCGCCGGCAGCAGCCCCCTCAGTCGTCTGACCCACATCGCCGTGTCCGCCGCCGCCCCCGAGCCCCAGCTGGGCCAACATGTCGCCAGCAACCGTGAAGAAGTTGCCCGTCACGATCTTGCACATCAGCGGGCTCTCCTGAGAGGAGCGGAAAGGGAAGGGGGAAGGGTTATGCGGCGACCCAAATGCCCTGCAAAGTCTAGAATCCTTCCCAGCCAAATCCTTCCCAGCCAGCAACCCACCCTCCCCGCATATTATTACCCCTCCTCACCTCCAGCCAGGTGTTGTATCCCTCGCACACGCTGTCCACCGCGCCGCGCACCGCAGCAGCCGCCTCGCCAGCCGCATCGCGCGCGCCCTGAACCAGCGCCGACGAAGTGCCGCTGCCAGCCTCTCCCTCAGCCCCCGCAGCAGCAGCAGGATCCAGCGGTAGATGAGGGGGAAGGTGCTGTAGAAGCGCTGCAGCAGCAGCAGAGGAGGAGGATGCGGCCGAAGCGGAAGCAGATGAGGCGGCAGCGCCGTGACTTGCTGCGGTTGCGGCAAGGTGCTGGGAGTGCTGCAGCACAGCCCACAGCGGGCGGGTGGGGCCGAAGCTCTGAGCGATGAGGTCCGCGGGACCGAACTCCTTGAGGTCAGCCACAGCAGCAGCAGCGGAGGTTGCGATGGAGGAGGCGTGGTGCACATCCACTCCGCCCAGATGGAGGGCGGCAGCGCCCAGCAGTGCGCCGCCTCCCAGGCCGGCCAGCATCACGGGGAGCGAGGAAGAAGCGCTTGCAAAGGAAAGAAGCTTCTTCTTGGCTGCCGCGTTGTTGGCCTGGTTGTTGTTGTTGGATGAGCTGTTGTTGTTGTTGTTGGTGGTGGTGTTGTCGGATGAAGGAGGACGAGGAGGTTGAGGCCGGCCAGCAACAACGGCCGCCGGAGAAACGCGGAGGAGGCGCTGCGGGCGATAAGGCCGGCAGCGAGGAGAAGAGGAGAGCTTTTGAGCAACAGGAGCCTTGGAGCGGGCTTGAGACGAGGCACGGAGTTGCTGGAGAGTAGACATCTTGTTCAGGGTCTTGGAAGAGCTTGGGCTTGAACTTGGGGCTGAAGAAGGGACCAGCGTTTGCCCTAGGAGAAAAGGGTGCGCGACTGAAAAGTAGATTTACCAAAGCCTTGAGCAAATATCGACGAGCTAGTTGCTAGAGACTAAAGAGTAGTTTCTAAGAAGAGCGGGTGCGTGAGGAGCGGAAGACAGCAATTAAAGCTCCTGGAGAAATCTTGAAGGGTAAATTAGGGAGGTCCGCGGAAGGTCAGCGAAGAGAGGCTCTAGTGCGGAAATCCTCCCGCTGTCCCCGCTAGCGCGCACCGAAAGAATTGGAGTACAAGCTACAAGGCGCCCGGCGGAACCTATAGGAAAGCCGCCGCTTGCCGTACGAGACAACGTGTATCCAAGGGATGCTGAGTCAGAGCGCCATGCGCGGGTCTTCAGCTGCTGTTGGGAGACGCTGTAGCTAACACAGCAGTTCTTATCCATAGCTAATTGGATAATATAGCATGTCTGTCTTGTTTTCTCGAGCGATGATAGGCGTGCTTGTAGGGTGCCGGCTTTTGCATCATGATCCCCCCAGCATGGCCATCTGGCCTGCCGGATTGGCGCCTAGCCTTGCGCACAACTTTTCCAGTCAGCTTCAAGTTTTTAGTACTTGTGCACTCGCCAAAAGCGCATGTTGCTTTTGCACAACACTACGTTTTCTTGGTGGGCTGGCCCATGGGTCAACAGGGCGGCCTCGTTCATCTTTTTCCCCAGCACATCTTTTCTGACAACGGCAACGTGATCCGTGGACGATCAAAAGCATGCACAGTACATAATATTTGATCGGCTGCGGTGTGGCAACCCTTACGGCGCGTTTATTTGCTCTTAGCCGAGCTTTCACTCCAGAAGCCCATAGGGGAGCCGCCAAACTGGGGGCTGGGAGCAAGCCGCTCAGAGTTTGCAATCAACTTGTACATATCCATGCCGGACTTTTAGCTAAAGAATTGCTGGTGAATGGGTAACATGAAGCGGTTTGCGGGCTGGTTGGGCAGGGTGGGGGCAGGGAAGCTGACGAGAGGGCTTTCTGTGTGCATGCTGCTCAAGGAAAAGCAATTCACGGCTTGCGGGCGTTGTCCTATACCAGCGGCGTTTGCACAGGTCCGGAGTGCCACCAGCAGTCACCGGTCTTTTTGCCTTAGGATGGTGGGCATGCTACATGCCCATTGTCGACAGGGGACGATTTGTTCTCCGGGCCTCGGTCATTCTGCGTTTCCTTTTATGCTTTTGTAAGAGCCGTCCAAAAGCCGCCTACAAACCATGGCTGAGGAAAGCGGCCTTGCGCTCCACTTGCTCCAGAACCAAGCCGGGCATCATATTCGTCGTGTCTTCGCACACGCTTCAGCTGTTCTGCACTTGAGCACAATTTCCACAAAACCCCGTGCAAAGACCACGCAAGCGTTCGCCAGATCACCATATTAACGAAGCATTGCCCGCCAAAGTTGCTCTTGACGTCTCGGTTAGGGAGTTTAATGCATTTGTGAGAACAATATGGTGGAAGTTGAAGAGCTTGGAACTGTAGCACCGAAAGGTGATCAGGCCTTAGGTGACAATGCTGAGCCAAGTGCCGGTGTGGACGCCCAGAAAGAGCAAGGGGGAAACAACGCCTCTGTTCCAGATCACATTGAAAGTGATGGCAGTAGCTCAGATGATGGCAGCGAGGACAGTGACGACAGCAGTGGCGACATTGATGTGGACGCCGAGACTGCCCAGAAGCTCATGACACTGGAGCACGAACTGCAAACCAACCCGACATACGAAAAGCACTTGGAGGTAGGTGGAATTCGTCCCCTTCAGCGGTTGTACGCTCGTCGCCAAGACCTGGGACGTCGCGGATGCTGTAAAAGCTTTCCATGGGGTCAAGATTTATATTTCTTGCTTAAAGAGGGCACGTCTTAGCCGTTGCACTATCGGTAGCTGAGGCTCTCAAGAACTGCTTTCTCCATCCAATTCCCAAATCCCGCAACATCCCGCACACGCCCAGTGACCCCCACTCCCACTTCCTCCTCACTACCTCTTCTTCTGCTTCTCCTCGCCAGTACATCACCCTGCTACGGGAGACCCCCGGCCTGCGCACCCGGCTGCGTGACGCCTACGAGGCCTTCGCCGCCTCCTTCCCGCTCAGCGCTGAGCTGTGGCTGGGCTGGGTGAACGACGAGCTGGCGGGCGGGGCGGTGGCGGAGCCGGAGCAGGTGGGGCGCATGCAGGGGAAGGGGGAGGAGGAGGCCGGGGTAGCCGAAACCCACAAGCGGAAAGCCGGGGTCGTGCATCCAAGGGTGACATCTGGTGATCCCCCCGGCATGCCATGTCTAGTCAGTTGCACGTGTCGGTGCGGTGCGGTGTGGCGTGGTGCTGCTGCTTCCCGCCTTGCCGATGTTGCCTGCGCTGCCGGTGTTGCTGCCGCAGGTGTCCTGGCTGCTGGGTCTGCTGCGGCGAGCCGCCACCCGGGACTACCTGGCGCCCGGGGTGTGGGAGCTGTACCTGGAGTGAGTGGGGGGTGGAGGGGAGGGAGGGGTGATCCGTTCCTCCTTTGTCTTCGTCTCGATCTTGCTGGGCTCCTGCGTCCCCTACCCTCCCTGTTCTCGGCCCCTCCACCCAGGCTGCACTCAATCCAATCCCCCACCCCATCCCCTCATCTCATTTACCCCATCCCCTCCCGCCCTGCCTCCGCCTCCTTCCCTCCCAGTGTGGCTCACGACCTGGACCCGGCCGTGCGGGAGCTGCAGCCCGAGGGCGTGGAGCGCTACCGGTCGCTGTGCGAGGAGGCGCTGGCGGCGGCGGGGCTGCACCTGGGGGAGGGACACCGCATCTGGGACAAATACAGGTGGACAGGGGAAGGGGAGGCTCCCCGGGTGCGCGCGTGGGTATGCGGCCTCTCCACCCGCTCTGTTCTGCTGCTGTTGCGCTTATCGCTCCTTGTTGCTAACGTCGCCGTCGGGTACACCGCCCTGTCTCAGGAAGTTCGAGTTGGCGGTGGAGGCCAAGCTGGCTGCAGCGGCAGGGGCGGCGGGAGGGGGCGGGGGTGCGGCGTCTCGGCAGCAGGACCGGGTGCGGGCGCTGTACCAGCGGCAGCTGCAGGTGGGGCGCGGGGGGGGGGGGTAGGGGGGTAGTGGGGTTTGGCTGGGAGGTCGGAGGAGCTAGGGCTAGGGCTGTCCCAGTCACCAAGGCAGGTGGTCGGCGTCGTGAGCTCCGTTCCGCCTTACCTCCACCCCACCCGCCTACCCCCACGCAGGTCCCCCTCCAGGACGGGTCTGCGACACTGGAGGAGTACAAGGCGTGGGAGGCGGGGCACGGCAAGGTACGGCAACAGGTTTTGGGAGGGGGACGCGGGAGGTGTCGGTGGGGGTTCAGGGGGCTACGGAGACGTGGGAGAGGGAAAGAGTATAAGAGTTGGACGAGCGGGATAGCTGCCAGCGAGGGGGGGAGAAGACAGGGGCTCATGGGCTCGACCTCTCGCCTCCTCGCCTACGCCACCCTTCACCCCGCCTGCAGTCCGTACCCGCCCACGTGGCCAAGGCTGCGGAAAAGGCCCGGGAGGCAGCGGACGTGCGCGCCGGCTGCGAGGCGGCTGTAGCACCCGATCTGCCGTACGACGTGACTAAGCTGGGCGCCTTCATGTCGTACATCAACATGGAGCAGAAGGGCGGTGACGCGGCGCGGGTGCAGGTGGTGTACGAACGCGCCGTGGCGGCGTTCCCTCTAACCCACAGCCTGTGGCTGCAGTACGGGCAGTACCTGGAGACGCACACCAAGCTGCCGGGCCCTATCAATGACGTGTACGGCAGGGCTGTACGGAACTGCCCCTGGGTGGGCGCCGTGTGGGAGCGCGCCATTCGCGCGCTGGACCGTACGGCAGCGCCGCAGGAGGCGGTGGACGAGGTGTACGGCAGGGCGCTGCAGGCGGGGCTGCAGGTGGGGCCTGGCGAAGGGGGTTTGGCTCGTTCAACTGTGTGTGATGTGGGTTGCTCTGCTTTCCTCAGGTCGCCCGCCACAACGCTGATACCACGCTTATCCTTCCCCGCTTCTTTTCCACCGCCCTGTGCAGAACCCCGAGGACGTGTTGTCGGTCGTGCTGGCTCGACTGGACTTCCTGCGCCGCCGGGCGGTGGAGGCGGGAGCCACCGCCACCAGCACTGCTGCCGCCTCCGCTGCCGCCTGTGCTGCGCTGCGGGAGGCGTTCCAGGCCGCCAGCGAACTGATGATGTCGCACTTCCCGGACTACCTGGACAGGTGGGGGCGGGGGTGACGGAAGCGGGGGGAAACACCTTCCATATGGCTGCTTACCGGTAAGTCACCTCCGAAGCGGCTTGGCTGCCTGGTTGCCGGTGTATCTCCATGCAGTTATACTCATAGACTTGCGCCCGCTTGCTGTTTCTGACTCCTGCTGCGCTTTCCTCTGGCCGCCTCAACCTCCACTTCCTGCTTCCCCTGCCGCTGCTGCTGGCCCCCCCGAACTTGTGGTCTCCTATGGTTTGGTATGGTCTTTGACCCCCCCCCCCGCAGGTCGCTGCGGTTGCCCGCCTACTGGGCTCACTGCGAGGAGCACGTGGCGGGCAGCGTGGCGGCGGCGCGGGAGGTGTGGGAGGGAGCCATCAAGGGAGGGCTCGGAAGGTGAGGCGCTGGGAGGGGGTTGGGGGGCACGGGGAGTCGAAAGGAGGAGGATGTGCGGGGGTTGGCGATTGTGCGAGGTGGGAGGTCATGGCGTTCCGTGGGAGGATGCGACCGAGGGATGCCTGTTCCTTTCCATGTCCCCACATGCACAGGTTCGCGGAGGTGTGGGAGGCCTACATCGGCATGGAGCGAGCGGGGCGGAGGATCAAGGTGAGAGGACAGCGATAGCAGGTTGCGGATAGCGGTAGGCGGGTACCGCAGTAAAGGGGACAAGCTGCATTGATACAAGGGCGGGCGGAACTCAGTAGTTGAATAGGCGCAGCGACAAGGCGCATAGGTGCTGGGTTTGTTTAACTGGGGTTATCAAGGCTTAACAAGGCATTCCTGCTACCAAGGTCTCTCGCTGCGCCAGGTGTGCAGTCCCAAGCGGGTACGAAGCGACCCACATAACGGCTCGGATCGCGCTCACCCATAGGCCCTCGTTCCACAGCTCAGTCCGTGACATGGGCCCCCCTCGTCACGTTCCGTTGCGCGCAGGAGGCGCGGGCGCTGTATAAGCGCTGCTACAGTCGACGCTTCGAGGAGGATGGCCAGCTGCGGCTTTGCCACGCCTGGTTGCGGTTTGAACGAGAGGAGGGCAGGTTGGTGCGCGCTGGCAGGTTGGGCATGCTGGGGCGCGCCAAGAGTACGCTAGTGCACCAAGTGGTGGAGGGGGAGAAGACGTGAAGAAAATCAGAGCAGAAGGATGGGCCGCTGTTGCCTAACTTGCCATCTTCTTTTCGGGCTGCAGTGCTGACGACTACTTACAAGCGTTGCTCAAGGTGGAGCCTATCCTTGAAGAGAACGCGGCTGCAGCTGTCGCTGCTGCAGATCCCGCAGCAGCAGCTGCTGCTAAGGTGCGCTCGACGAAGTGGGCAGTAAAGTGGGCAGTGAAGTTACGACTCCTCATTACTATTATCTACTTATTATCCTTTTTCTGCAGGCGGCTGTCCAGAGGGCGAAGAATCTTTCCAAGGAGGAAATGAGGGCGATGCGACAAGCCAAGGATCCCAACTTCCTGAAAGAGAGCAAAGAAACGAAAACCAAGAAGGATAAAGATGTCAAAGGTATGCCGTTTCCTAAGTTCGCTTAGGTATGCAGACCGTGTTCTCTTGCGATCCATGGATCCGTCCAGCAGCTGTCGTTCACTTGTTAACGTGCGTTGCCCATGCGTCTTACTTACCAGCGCACCATATTTTTTAATTGCATATTCTTTTCCAAAAAGTTGGACACAATTGCGATTATGGCCTTTACGCAAGGCTGGGCGTTTGGCCCAGGTTTCGGTACCGTAGATGCGGACAAGGAAAACCTGCTTTGCTTTTACGGTACACGAGCTATAGTACCGTTAGCAAGTGAACACATTGCAGTTGTCTTTGCCCTTACCGCAACTCGACATGCCCATTTGCATTCACAGGCGGCAAGGTGGCCAAGCGCGTGCGTCAGGACGACGGGCAAGGGACCTTGGCCCCTGCTGAGGGCGATGACATAGCCACGTTGGAGCCCGCTAAGCGCGTCCGCATGCACGAGCCAGAGCCCGCTGCTGATGCTGCCCCTCAAGCCGCAGCAGCTGACCCGGACGGCGACGCTGAGATGGGCGAGCAGCACGAGGAGGCCGCCGCGCACGAGGACCACGCAGAGGCCGTATCCGGCGGCGATCACGATGCTGGGGAGGCAGCAGGTCCGGGCCCAGGAACGAAGGCGGCCCAGGGAGCAGCGCGGCCGCACTACACGGACAAGCTGACGGTGTTTATCAAGGGGCTTCGTACTGCAGTGAAGGACGAGGAGTTGGCGGCGTTCCTGCGGCAGCACGTGCCAGATGGAGTTAAGGACATACGGGTGCCGCGTGACCATGAGACCGGGCAGGCGCGGGTGAGTGTGGGTCGGAGGCATGGGAGACGGTTTGATGATCCCACGGACATGGCGCGCTTGATTGGGCGGGGCTTCTTTGCAGTGCCTTATGTATTCCAACTCTTCTGCTTCCCCGCCTCCCGCACAGGGTTTCGCCTACGTTGAGTGCAGCTCCCGTGAGGCGCTGGACAAGGCGGTGTCGCTCAACGGCTCATCCTTCCAGGGGCTGCAGCTCTTCATCGCGGAGTCCAAGCCGCCAGGACATGCGGGGCCCGGCGGCCGCGGAGGCGGCAGGGGGCGCTTCGGCGGGGCCCCGCCGCCGGGCGGCCGGGGGACGTTCAGGGGTCGCGGGCGCGGCTTTGGTGGTCGGGGAGCAGGTGGTGGTGGTGAGGGTGGTAACGAGGATGCGGAGATGGAGGACGTGGGAGAGGGCGGGGGTCGCGGCGGCCGCGGTGGGAGCCGTGGCGGGAGGCATCCGGGGCTGGGGCACCCCAGGGGACGCGGGCAGATGCGGACGCACCTACAAATGGCCCAAGGTGGGTGTACGGGCATGTGGAGGGGATTGGAGGTGGGTGCGTCAACCTGTGGGAGGGCCTCATGTGGGATCCACCGGATGGTAGTGATAATCCTAGTCTAATAAGCCAACCCAGATCACATTTTGAGCATGTGCCCGCTGACGCAATCCTGTGCCCTCCGCTCCTTTCACATTCTCCATCGGCCCTGTCCCCATATCCACCCCTCAGGCACCAAGCCTCCCACGGCGCTGGTGCCGCGCTCTGTACAGCTGGGTGGTAGCGGCGGAGCGGCTGCTGAAGGCGGCGGCGGAAGCGGCCAGCCTCTGTCCAATGACGACTTCCGCAAGATGCTGCTTGCAGGGAAGAAGTAGCACGCTGGGGGGGGGCTGGACCTTTGCAGGGGCGGGTTGGTATTGAGCAGCTGTTGGGATGTACAGTTGGCGCTGGCTGGGGTGTCGGGTACGCGCAGTTGTGCAGATTGAGAGGATATGTGCAGGATACAGCATGCATGCAGCGTGTGGGGCAGGAGGTCAGGTGCATCGATTGCGCACGGTTGGTGTAGCATTTAGGCAATTGCACATGCGCAAGGATCAGTAGCCATGAGGGGGTTGAGTTTAGTGTTTACGGCGGCGAAAATGGTCGCAACGTTTGTAACCACCCTAAGGATCCGTGTTCCCGCATCCGTCAACGGAAGGGCGATTATCCGGGGCGTGGGATAAATTCCCAGCACAAGTAAACGATACGCCACATACTAAAGGAAAGGGCAGCTAGGGACCGTGTTCTACAGCTGTCTAGATGTTCGATATAGTCTTTGGTGGCTACTGCCCCTGCTATAACTGGACGGTTACTTTGCCAAAGCATACGCGACAAATGGCCGTCCGTAACTTCACTAGTACTCAGGAGCCTGCCCAGGATTTGCCTCTAGGTGGCTATGACCGCTTTTAAGATGGATGGTTAGATGGCCAGGATAAGAGAAAGCCAACCGCTGGCTTGAGAGCCCGATCTAATTCTGTGTGGTGTACAACTGCTGTATCAAGGTCTGTTAATTACAGTAGTACAGGAGAATCGAAAGGCGCATGTCATCGCTATGAGGGCCCAACGCCTGAACTCTACTTAGCTAAGTCACGCCTCACCCCCTTGCTACCAGAGTTTCTGCCTCAATTAACCTAGATCTTGGACGCCTATTAGCATTATTATTTCTTGTTCCTTGCGAGTAGTTCCCTACGTCGATCCCTTTCGAGAAACTTAATTTTTTAGCCTCTAGCAGAGAAGCATGGGAGACGCGTTGGCTGCCTCCCTCCTACGCAAGCAGCTGAAGGGTACACCATATTGCGTTCACTCACGTTGACAACAACATTTGTACAAACCCCAGACTAAGATAGCTTCTAACCCACGCAGAGCTTACAAAGAACCCGGTGGATGGCTTCTCTGCTGGTCTAGTAGATGATAGCAACATATTCGAATGGCAGGTCACTATTATTGGGCCGCCGGACACTCTATAGTAAGTGGGCGGCTTAAGGCCATCCGTTCACCTCCGGGTCGGTTGGCCTTCTTAGCTTATTATTGTGTCTAGTCCGTCTAAGGCGTCATGCTTGCCAAAGCTGCAGACGCAAACCTGTTGCATTCGCATGCCAAATGACCCGGCAAAGACGCTCACCTTTTCTTCTGCATCCCTACAGTGAGGGTGGCTTCTTCAATGCCAGGCTGAGTTTTCCTAAGGACTACCCTAACTCACCACCAACCTGCCGCTTCACGTCAGAGATGTGGCACCCTAACGGTGAGCCAGTGACTTGAGCTTGGCTGGTAACCTCACACCAGTTTTAACGCCTCTGGGTTCGTCTTGCAGTTTATGATGACGGCAAGGTGTGCATTTCCATCCTGCACAACCCCGGCGACGACCCGCACGGCTATGAAACTGCTGCGGAACGGTGGTCACCCGTCCACACGGTAAGTGGTGGGCAGGGAGATGCTGGGGACTATGTGACAAGCTACCCACGCCCGTACGGGTGCAGTGTTGCAACTCGGGCTGTCTGAGAGTTTCCTAAGGGCATCCTCAAACAGGATGCGATTTGGGTTGTATGAGCCAGTACAAACACCTTGCATCTCCTCCCTCCTTGGCCATTCAGCATGAGCATCTGCCCTTCCCCTCGTCCGCGGGACCCCCACACCCCCTGCAGGTCGAGACTATCATGATCTCCATCATCTCCATGCTCTCCTCCCCCAACGATGAGTCGCCCGCCAACGTGGACGCTGCAAAGATGTGGCGCGAGAACCGCGATGAGTTCAAGAAGCGTGTGGCGCGGATCGTGCGCAAGTCACAGGAGATGCTATAGTGCCTCTGCATGGCCATGGCGCACATCTGCGTCGCGCGGGCAGCAGCGCTTGTTGTGCGGCCAGACAGCGGGCGGGCAGGGTGCCGAGGGGCGCAGTGCTTCTCGTATGAGCCGGAGTGGGAAGCAAGAGGTCAAACAACGACGAGGTTTGGAGTTGTGCGTCAAGCAGCTTTGGGAAATTGTTGTGCTCTGGTTTCAGTACGCCGCGCCGTCAGCGAGTGAGGAGCTGCTGGACTTGGACTGGGCTTGGCTTTGTGGCGCATGCTGGACATCAGGATCTAGTGCCCGGACTGTAGTGGTTAGCTTGGCGCGGTATCAGCTACGGCAGCAGCCGATATAAGGATTCTGGCGTGCAGCAGGAAAGCTTTAGTTTGAATGGATATACAGTTGGCTTTGCGGTGGACATACGGGATAGCAAGCTTCCGCACGTCTGCTTGGCTTGGCGCATGTGGAGACTCTGTACAGCGTTGCCATGGGTAACTGATCGCAGGGAGGCTGCTGGCCTTTCCCGGCACAGCGCTGCGTCTCTTTGCAGTGGGCAGTTGGCTTGAGGCATGCTGCGTATAGGCTGCCTTCATGCTGGCTTTTGCGCGTGTCGTGGTGAGGGTTGGTGATGCCGGCTGCGCACCGCAAGGAAGACGGTTGGATGGCGGTATCACACTTAGCTACACGAGTAGGAGCCCGGCCCAGCATGGGGCACATCTGGGCACCTGTTTGTTACGCTGCTTTGCGCGGGGGCACACCGCCTCACCCGCCATCAGCCGGTGGCGAAGGACTGAAGATTTTCTTCTTTGTATGGCGAAGAATGGCATGAAGCGGGAGGCATGCATCTGGCTACCGTATGCAGGCCCAACTCTTTTCGTTCGGTGTGACGTATGGGCGGCGCATCGCATGGTCCGTTTGTTGACGGCTGTATGTGATGGCCGTCCTCGCATGAACCTTTATGTCTTAGCATGGCCGGGCATCTGAACAATGCCTTGCGCCATGCGACCTTCATTTACGGAGAGCATGGGGTGGGTGTCCAGGATGTGCGCAAGCAGCAAGGCCAGGCCGCTGTGCGCATTGGGGCGGAGGAAGTGGACACCAGGTGCAATGGAATACTGCGTATCATGTTACCAAATTATGGCGTGTTTTGAGTGGTTCGTAAAAGGGTGAAGTTTAGGACGTGTGAGTGTGTGAAGGGCGGTGAGGCCTCAGCTTCACATGCCGCAGGAGTGCATTCTTCACTGTTGTGTACAGTATGTACCTTGTTTCGTTGTGGGTTTCTTTCGTCAGTCGTCCTGTGGGTTTCCCTTCTGGTCTGGTCTTGAAGATCAGTGTGGCCTTACGGCCATATGACTCGCGACGTGCTTTTTAGGAAGCACAGGTAGCCTTTGGCGAGGGATCGGACAAGCTGTGGCGTGTGGATGGATGCCTGCAACAGCTTGATTGGTTAGCGCCTGCTGCTTGTGCTCCGGTAACGCTAGCTGGGAGCGTAAAGTCATGCCCTCATTCAACCCGGACCCATATGTTATCCATTACGATGCCCCACACACGAAGCTATTAATGTGCATGCAACGCACATGCCTGGTTACCCGGTTCAAAGTACCGGTACTGGCACCATACTGACGCCCCAAGCTCATACTGACGCCCCAAGCTCATGTCTGCAACCGCGTGCTGGCGAACCTCGCACCGGCTGCCAAAAATGGCGAGTGAACCCTTCTATCAACACCCCAAATGCCCGGAAGCCTGGCTACTTCCTGGACCTGCATGGTCAGCATCTTCATGAGCTGATGCTACCGGTATAGCTAACGTGGGTTGACGCGGTATGCAGGCTTGACGGCGGTGACTGGTGACGAACAGACGCCGTGACGACTTGCCTACCGGACGACTTGCCCTGCCAAGAACCTATGTAACAGCTGTTCCGCAGTGCAAGAACCTGCGAGGACAAGGAGGAATAGTTATACCTGGATGCCAGCGATTGTGCATTTGCATACCGGTAGGCAAGAAGCCGCGTAACTTGGTGGGGGAGCATTCCAATGGCCTAGTCATCAACAGCAAATGTATGTCCTCCAGTGTACCTTCCGCTTTCTATATATAGTAAGCGAGGCGGGAGCTCCTGTTCTCAATGCATCACTTGCGGTAAGGACTAAGGAGGCACTTTCCAGATGGCGACGTTGGGCTGCTGATGTCATGTATCGGTACGCTTGAAGTAGTGACAAGACGCAGCATGCTTTCTGTAGCTTAATACTTTAAAAGCCAAGGCCTGTGCCGTCTCTGGTACTGCGGACCTTACCTAGGCGCACCACCCGTGAAGCCTGAGGTAACCACCTAACTACTTCTCGTTTTGTTCGAGCCGTCACCCGTGACAGGCTCCAGGGAAACCTGAATCATACGAGGAATAGCTGCTTGCAACTATTGGCAATTGTTGAAGTCATAAGTGCATGTAGACTCGGACTCTCCCCAACGGGCACGAGCGAGCGAGTAATACGTATCCTTGTACCGGTATTGTCTAACGCAGAAATTATCTATTAATATTATACTACCGGTAGTCGATATACACTTAACGTGGATATTGTTTTCGGGCTTCTTCATACCGTTGTCGGTAGTCCGCAGCCTGTGCATCGCCGGTTACTACCAATACCACTACGACGCCGAGATGCCGGTGCAAAGACTCTGAGCCGCCCTATTCGTTTGAAAAGGAACTCTGTAGAAGGTGTGTAATTTGGCTGCGAATGCATCTTATGGCGTGTGGGTGAAGGGGCCCCTTCCCCCAAACCCCCATCCCCCCCTCTCTGCATGCGTACAATGTGTACTTGCGTTATCACCTCCAAACATCGTTGTAGACACGCATGCACTTGTCCCTTCTTCGAGCCTTGTCTCTGAGCTTGCAAGAGTCCACGACTGCAGGGGCGGGGTCGCGTGATCGTATTCTTCGGTTTTGCAAATTGAGCGTCTCCACAGCTGCTTCCATCCCTACGGCTGCAGCGCTGACGGCTCCATTCCGGGTGGCAGCTCGCAACACCATCCATGCCGGAACAGCGTTGTGTTTTTTTGCCGTTCAAATAAGCTCTTTTGTGTTGTTGCTATCTTCTTGCATCACATACCGTTTTCGTTTCTACTGAGGGTCCTTAATTTCTGTTGTGAGTCGACGACAGGTTCACAATGCTGAAGGCTTAAATACTTTTCTGTCAACTTGTTCCTTACTTTATGTCTTCTTGAGTAATTAGAAGTCTTTAATTACGGTCGGCCACAACACGCAATACAGCGTGCAAAAGTATTTGCGTCGCCGGTTTCGAATGTGTGCTGGGGCAGCAATGTAACTTAACTTAACCTTCGTCTGCACAGTTAGAAGTCATTCTTAAGGTTTCCTATGCCAACGCAGCGTATCCGCTTCCGCAGGCATCGCAGAAAGTGAAATTCTTATTTTGGGCACACCGCACACCTTCTTTACATTGTTTGTATAGGAAAATTTATGCAATTTCCGAATTGGTCACCCTTTTGCATCCTCTCTGTGCTTTTAGAGTGTACCGTTGGCGCTCTCGGTTGCCTCGGTTGTCGGGTAATCTCCTCCAACGCTGTTCAACGTAGCGGCTTAAAAACTGGACCTACATGGCCTTCGTGTTTCGGAGGCGCTGTCAGTACTGAAGTCAAAGATATCCGACGTCGCTCGCTATGGATTGGGATTGGAGAGTGGTGGCCGGTGCCGTCTAGTGGTTATAGTGGGCCGGGGGCTACACAGCTACGACGGAGTCTCGGTCCTGCGACCTGCCGTGGAAAAGTACCTTCGGCAGCAGCAGTCCGCATACTTTGGAAGCAACATTATTTCCTTCACTGGCGGGGCGCCGAACCAGGGCTGCGTGACCGTCTTCATTAGACCAGACACAGGCGTGTTCTCGGACTACAGTGATGTATACACCTTCCGGCGTGAGGAGCAAGAGGGCAACATTTGCACCGTCATCTTGAAGCTCTTGTTACTTATTCCAATTTTTCTTCTTTCAGTGGCTATGTTATGGCATTGAAGATGCCTGGATGTGCAGCAGAGGTGTATGTGGAGGTTGTTCACGCAATGCAACATGCCGGCTGTCTATGTGTGGCAAGGCGGATGGGTTTGTGTGGCTGGGTGTGACACGGCTGCTGACTGCTCGGTGACTTAACAGGCGGGCACCTGTGGGGTTGCAGTGCGACTTGATACAGTGATGTGGCCACCATGACAGGTGTGATGTGATCCCCAACAGCGGCCGCTTAGCGCACCAGTTAGTTGTGTTCCCAACGACCTGGTACACATTGCTTGGTAGACTGCGGCGTGCCGGCCTAGCCGGCTATTGGGGCGCGTCCAAAGAGCATGTCTTACTGCATATAACCGTCATCATTAAACCAGCTGCCCCCCGGCTGCCTCCACAGCGCTACCCGGAGTCAAGTGGCGCTACACTGCAGACAGCGTCCGGCGTGAGGAGACCTGTGATAATGGCGTTTGCTGCTGCTGCTTGCTGCTCGTGCTGCTCATCATATTCTTAGTCGGCGGCATCAAAATGATGGGGGCAATGGAGGGCGATTGGTGACGGGTGTTGGCTGCTTGGTGATTCATGCGAAGCTCCTACGGAGCCCTAGCTCCTACGGGGTTGTGCCGTACATGTTTTTGTTATGCGTGCAGTATATGCAGGGGTTGTAGTACATGTGGCTCCCGACAGCGGCCGCTTAGCGCCCTAGTTGAGTTTTAACGACTTGGCACACACTGCTTGGTACGCTGCTTGCCGTGCTGGTATCGGCACATGAGGCGTGCTGGCACGTCGGCTTGGTAGCGTCCCTTCGGGCTACCGGCGCCGCCCTCAAGCTGTAGTGTGCTAGGTAACACATCTGACGCGCATATCTAGGATAGAATTAGGATTCAATTAGCTTAGAATGTACACGGACCATGGTTCCGGGAAGTGTGGAACTGACGGTTGCCGGAGTTCCGGGGTACGGATACTTGGTCTTTGCTGGCAGCAGCACTCTGATGTTGTGCACGCAGGTGTGTTCTCCGGGTAGCAGTGCTCAATGACGGATGCGTGGGTGCTACGGGTGCCAGCGGTAACGTTGATGCCGCTACTTGGCAATGCAGTGACGGCGTGGTTGGGGCGGTGTGGTTAGGTCAGGTGTGTTTGATGTAAGCTTAGGTGCAAGCAGAGGAGAGGGTGTAGCTGCAACCCGTTGTACCCGTTGTTGTACCCGTTGTTGTAACCGTGTTGCCATGAGGACTGCCACACGAGGGGGCCCCAGAGCACGCGGGCACCCCCTTCCCGCACCCCGTTGCGCCTATCTAGGCAATAAAGAATTAGCGAAGCGGTGGTTACCATATTAAAATATAATAGCCGTTTCGCTGTATTATAATTGTTGTGTGGAAGACACATAGGGCAGTCCTCTGTCCACAGGCCAGCAGCACACCAGATGGAGCCTCAGCCTCCGAAGCCAAGGCGTCCTATTGAATGCCAACGAACCCGTGTATGCTTACTCCTGCCCCAAAGCCACGTTCATTCTACAAGCTCAAGTAAGCTGCGCCGTTCCACACACCCTGCGAACCACTCCCCACCTGGCCCCCCTCAACACCTTCCCCGCCCTCCCTGCCCCGCTCATCCCCTCCCTCCCCACCCTGCACCCTCACGTCCACACAACCGCCGTCAGCAGACCCAGCACCACCCCACTCCGCACCGAGCGACCCACCCACAGCAGCGGCTTGGGGTTCCAGGCCCCCACCTCCGCCCCGACTCCCGCCCCCTCGCCCTGCTCGGCCCCCAGCACCCCCTGCAGTACGGGGTAGTGTACGGCACCGCTGAGCAGCCGTACGGCAGCTGACAGGGCGCCCGCGGGGGAGGTGGGGTCGGAGTCGCTGCCGGCTAGTCGGCGGATGTGCCGCTCGTGCATGTGGCTGCGGGGGTGGAAGCAAGGGGGGGAGGAAGCAAGGGGCGGGGTGGGGTTGCCGCCGTGCGGCCTGAAGCACCCCCAACCCCCTGAGGCACCCTGCCGCCCGCCTGAGGCACCCTGCCGCCCGCGCCTGTCTGCTACCCGCCCCGCCCGGCCTACTCCACCCGCGCCTGTCTCCTAGCTGCCAATCCCAACAGGACGTGTCCTATTCCTCCACAGAATGGGCGCCTCCTTACGCTTGCTGCGTCCCGCACCCTCACCCTCACCCACCCGCACCCGCACCCACACCCCACCCCCCTCACCCGCACCCGCCCGGCGCCCGCCCCCCTTACCTCAGGAAGTCCTCCCTGCTGCCCAGCTCCAGGGGCGGTTGGAACCTCGCCGCCAGCTGCGGAGCTACCCCCAGGCTCCCAACCACCTCGGCCCACGTCAGCGGCGCCGCCGTCGCCTCCGCCAACGACCACCAACCGCCGCCTCCGCCGCCGCTGCTCTCCTCGCCAAGCTCTCCCGCTGCCGTACCAGCTGCCGCCGCCGCCGCCTGCAGTCGCGGCTCCAGTACGATGGGCAGTACGGCGAATTCGGATTCGCTTCCGAATGCGTCGTACGACACCTGCTGTGTCGTACTCGCCAGCGCCGCTAGGAGCTCCAGGTCCTCTGAGAGGGCCTGCGGGGATGCGGGAGGGGAGACAGGATGGGGGGGGTTTGGGATGAGGAGTTTGGGATGAGGATGGAGGATGGAGTAGGGATGAGGTAGGAGGGCGGCACGAGGCGGGTGAACGGGAAGTGACTGCAGACGGAGGGATGGAGGCCGAGGTCGTGGCCGTGTAGGGAGGTGACGGGGTCTCACGGTAGTAGGGCAGGGTCACGTGGCAGGCGCAACAAGCATGTCCGGCCTCATGTACGGTATCCTACCACAGCATGGTAGCGTGCTAGCGTCCTCTCCTAGCCCTACAGCCCTCTCCCACCAGCCCGCACCTCCACTGCTTCAGCTCTCATTTACATGACATAAAGTCCCCCCCCGAGCCCCAGTCGCACCTGCGCCAGCTCCCCGGGGGGTTGCGGCACCTCACCGGCCTCCGGGCCCTCCTGCAGCGCCGGGAACTGACCCGCCTGGGGGGATGGGGTGAAGGTGGAGGGAGGGAGGGCGGAAGGGGGTAGGGGCAGCAAGCAGTGAGGATAGGGCTTTGTAAGACCGTACACCCAGGGTTAGATGTACGGTAGGTGGCATGAGAAGGAATCGGGAAGAGGAGCATGGCTGTCCCGGCCTGGCCTGACCTGGTGCACCACTCCCGCCAGAGCGCCATCCCACATCCTCAATTCGGTCCGGATGAGGTCCTTCTCCGGAAAGTCCCGGATGGCTTCATTGAAGCTGGTGGGGTTGTTTAAGCGAGCTGCAGGGAGCCCGCGTGGATAGTCGACTCCGGAAGGGCTGCGATAGCGCGACAGCATTGTGGGGTGTTGCGATGGCTCGGTCGGATGCGCATGTAACTTTGTTGACCTGTGACCGTTTACAGAGCCGGCCGACAAGTATCTATATGGACTTTGTTTTGTTGCGCTTTGGTGCAATCCCAGGATGCGGGTTGGTGTTAGTGTTCGGACAAGGCGCTTTGTGAGCACGTGTAGTTGGCTACAGCCTGAGTAAAGCCTGATCATCTTGGAAGAATGCGCGCGACGTTAGCAAGTCAAGATACGGCTTTTGATAGAGGGCGATTGCAGTGAACGGCAGCGCAGATACTCACCGCATCCAGCTCGTCCCTCGTCGCTCAAGCGGAACAAGGTCGCGTTTAAATTCTTTCTGCAACTCCAATCTAGCATAGCAACCGTGGCTCCAAACCTACCTAACCATGATGCGGGGCAGACGCTCCTTGGCAAGCGTAGTTATGACCCAATTGTTGGAAGCCCTTCGACCTATTTAAGCCGCGTCTTTCCTCGTCTTCTATTGAAAACTCCACCACGGCTGTCGAAAAGCAATGCAGTAGAGTTGATGGGCAGCCATCCACCGAATCACGAAGACCCTTTCCATGGCGATGCTGCTGCTGCCGAAGCAGCACCCGAACGCAAACGCCAGAAGCGAGCAGAGCTGGTGCGCATTTGCTCTATTAATTTCCCGCATCCGTATGCAGTGTCTGCCTCGACGGCTGGACAACCGGGGACATGGCTAGGCTAAGTACCAGTAGGCCTGCTCCTCAAATGGACGTTCCACTCAAACGTCGATGCAGACGCAGAGGACTGGGGAAGACCTGGACGAGACGCAGCCCGACTGGTGGAAGCCCCAGCCGCACGCGACACTAGACCCCGGGGAGGCCCAGGCAAGGTCGCTGTCCTCCCTGCAACCCTCCTCCCTCCTCCCTTCCTAGTCCCACGTTTCCACGTTCGCCACGGCACACTCACCCCCACTCTCCCTCCCTCCCTCCCTCCATTCCGCCCTCACCTCACCTCATTGGGAATCTTCTTCTCTCCCCCCCCCCCGCCCCTCCAGGACCGCCCAGCCGCCCCGCTGACCGCCTGCCTGTGCTGCTGCCTGTGCCACCGACTGCTGCGAGAGGCCATCACTGCGCCCGAGTGCGGCCACTCCTGTGGGTAGCGGTAGCTGGGCACTGGGCACTGGGAGTCGTGCGGTAGCCATGTAGTGTCTACTGTGGGGTGGAAGGGTAGTTGCGTAGAAGGGGGCGGTGTGAGACGTGCGGGGTGAGCACCTGCTTGCGGGCTGGCTGGCTGGTTGGCTGGCGGTGGAGGCAAATGGAACAATGCATACACACACGCACCAGCTGTGCACGGGTATGGGTGTGAAGGCAGCTGAGCTGGGCTTGTTGCTCGGTCCCGAACAGCGTTGCCCTGCCGCCGCTCCTGCTACCGCTCCCTGCCGCTCCTGCAGATTGTTACGACTGTATAGAGGCGGCGGTGGAGATCGGCGGCAATCACAACGTGTGTCCGGCACCCGTCAACCCGGGCAGCGGCGGGAGCGGCGACAGCAGCGGCCGCACCTCTGGGATATGTGGTGCGGGAGGTGGAGGTGCAGGTGGGGGTGTGTGCGGCGCCATCCTGGGTCCCAGCCCCTTCGACCACCACCGACTGGTGTACGACAGCTTGCTTGACGGACTTGTACGGAAGGTGAGGTTGAGGGAGGGGCAGGGTGGGGCAGGGCGGGGGGGACGGGTGGAATGGCGGGGGCGTCAGTGTGCCGGGAAGTTTGGTTGTTGTGTCTATTGAAGCTATAGCTCAATAGCTGTTACCACAGGGTTGCATTCCGCTGCAATGCCGTGGGGGGAGAGGGGGGGGGGTATCACGGACGTGGGAGTCGGCTGAGGAGGTGCCACACGTGCCTGCATGGGTTGCCCCGTGCGCATGGGTCGCCGCTACTCCGGGGTCAGGACTGCTGCTGCACCCATCCGGGCTCTTCACCCTCCGTGGCCTCCCGACTGCCCGCCAGGTCTTCCCTCGCCCAGCCCTGGACGCCGCACTCGCCGCCCGGCGGTCGGAGCGGGAGGAGGCCACTCGGAGGGCCCGGGAGCAGCTGAACGGATGAGGCGGGGGCGGGCAGGGAGGAGGGGGAGTGGGGGAGGGGAATGCAGCCGGATTAGGGCTGAGAAGGGGAAAAGGGAGGCGGGTGCATGTGCTAGAAGGAAGGCTGTTCCCCTGCTGAGCTGTCCGCCGGGTACCCTGGGGAAGCCAGTTGATGGAGTCGGGTCGACCATGGTTGAAGCTGGTTGATGAGTTCCTTGTTGCGCTTGGTGACGTACGTGGATGGGATTGATTTGCTGAACGTTGGGTCGTGACATTTGACAGTTGGATTGGGGACCTGGGAACGCCTGCCGTGACAACTACAGCAGCACGACGACTGAAGGAAGGAAGAAGGGCGCTGCTTGCAGGGCACTGCTGCAGTACGCCGGTTGGGGTGCATTTCGCGAGGTGTGCTGCTGTGGGTACACCCCAGCAAGGGACAGCCAGGGACGGAGGCAACTGAATAAACGACTGCGTTACAGTAATCCTTCAGGTCAGGATTGTGGTCATGTATGTGTGATCGTCTTACGCGATTGCGGCAAACTCAAAAAGAAGAGGAAAGATGTCCATGTCACGGACGCAAACAGCCATTATTCTCCAACTAAAGGAATATACATACGTCTGCGTATGTGTCGTTCATGTTAGGACGTAAAAGGGTGTATGGAAGCCCTAGCTATACACCCGTCCGTCCGCAGTCACAGGGACCAACAGCAACAGCGTCTATACCTCGTGTTTAGTCAGGTTCATGAAATGGGGTCATTGTATAGATGAAACCAGCTAGCTAGTTGAAAACACAAGGGGCAGGTTGTAGGTCAACCGTCAGCAGCGCAAGCTCCGTGGGTGCATGTCCTTGTGTCCTCCACTGCAAGCCGCAGTCAAAGAGCCGCAACACCTCCTCATCACGGGATACCTGCCTTAATCCGCCCTGGTCGGCAGCACAGCTGCCTACAGCGCCTCTCCCAGGACATCCCCATGAAACGGCTCCGACGGCCCCGCATTTCTTCGCTCTGAGACAACACCAATAGGACTATTCCTGGGAGGCAGCCAGCCATGCGACGTGTGAAATACGTGTGGAATGGGGCAGCAGCGGAGACCAACACAGGCCCAGCATGCAGGCCGGGAAGGGCCCCCAACGCGACGGCGACTCACAGCACACGACAACGTAACGAACACCCAAGGAAAGGAATGGCGCGGAGACACACAGGCAGCCAACAGGGTGTGAGCGGAGTCACGTTGTGAACCGTGTCGTCAGAACTCGTGCTACAACTACTAGTAGTAGATACTTAGCAATGCCCATACAAACTGATAGATAACTCCGCCCCGGCCGTCGCCACCGGGACAAAACCTTTTCCATTGCGGTTGGACAAAAAGCCAACAGACGTCCGTCCAGTCAGCAGAGTCAGCGGGGCGGCCCAATCCACTCCCCAACCTCGTCCGTCACCAGCCAATTTCCGCGGCATGCGGGTCAACAGGCTTTACGCGGCCCCTTGGCCGCAACCCTTACTACAGCTAGTATGCTCGACAGAAGAGAGCCTGCCGCACACCCGACACCGATCCGACAGCAACGGCAAGCTTGACCACAGCCCTGGTGCGGCAAGACAAAAGAAACTTTCGACGAAAGAGGCATCATACCGATACACGTGAGCAAAGTGACATAAGAGCAAGACATGCTAGAATGCCTGGGTAGACCAACATGTGTGTTGAGCCGCTTTGAAGACACCAAAGCGATGCCCTATTGCCCGGTTGTGAAGGCGATAGGCGGTCACGTCTTGTGCAAAGTAGGGCCAACGAGTCATGCATCCCGTTGCGTGAGGAAACGCAACAACAACACAATCAGCTGTTCCACCGCTGCAGCCTCCTTCTTCGGCGCGCGGCACAGTCACAGCAACGCTCAAGCCTTCCAGCGCCGTCTCAGCCCTACCGCCGCAATCGCTGTAAAGCCGTTAGTACAACAGCCATCCCCGCCGTACAGTTCCTTCTTTTCCCGGATCCAATGCACACCGGGGCAAAGAAACACACCGCAGGAGATTAGTAAGGTAAATGTACATATGTACCGCCCAGGATAGCAGCCAAAAAGGCTGCTGTCTCTTGAGCTCAAGTACTCAAGTTCTGAACAAGTATGACCCAAAGCAGCACCAAAGAGGGCAAGTTTCACCCCTTGGGCTGCTAGCGGGGTCCGAGGTTGCCCCGGCCCGTCAACATAAGATGCGGAAAGCAACTTGCGGTGCCGGTGTTTGCTACCCGCCGCCTTCCATATCTGTTCCACTTTTTCAGTTATTGACCAGCTGGCCCCACACCACAGACGACCCATGAGACCTATGACAGCAAAACACCTCCAAACGCGGCCCCACACCCTCCACTACCTCCCGAGTCCGACCCTCCTTCCAGGGCTTCGCCGTCCTCCATTACACCTGGCCTACATGTATAAGTGCCCTCAGCCAACTCCTGTCCTTGGGACCAAAGCTTCCCTAAAGCCCGAAACACCAGCAGAGCGGCCCCCGCATAGAATCCCGTGGCGAATTGTATCCTGTCGCCCGACATCCGCCCCTCTCCTTCACAACACAACGCCCCCTCTCGCATGTCCGCACCCGCCAACACCCAAACCGCATCTCCAACGAACTCCAACAACAACAACTTCGCCTCAACGGCCAACCGGGCTCACCGTTAGCAACAGGACGTCAATGTTTGTTAAAGCATGGTGTAAAAGGGCGCCTTGTAGCGTCTAAAATCGTACCGTAGTGCACAAGCCGCCGTATCCCGTCTACCCCAGGCAAAGCTGCCAAACGAACCACTTCAGCGGCTGCCTCCCCATGCGCTTGCCACTTGGTTACCTCAGGACTTGGCCAATAACGCAAATAAGACATCAGACCTTCTTGCCGGCGATGCAAACACCAGCATGCCGCTGCGAACTCACGACAATCGCCGCCGTAGCAAAAGCCCGCCCAGGCCTTCCCAACAGCCCCTCCGCCTTACCCTTCCCTTTCCCGCGTCCTGACTCCCATCCTTGTGCATTAGCTCACAGCAAACAGCCCTCCCTCCAACTTTGTTCTCTTAAAACATTTCAACCCAGTTGACCCCTACCATAACGACTTGACGTGCCATTCACGCGCACCCTCCTCCACACGCCCCTTACGCTACCCTCTTACTAAACCCCCATACCTCAACCCCAATCCTCCAGCCCCGCACTCCACCCCCCTAGTGCAGGTTGCTGTGCTGACAGGACCTGCGCGGGTGCAGGTTGGAGGTGCTGGCCTGGTCGTCGTCAATCAGCTGCGCCTGCGTGCTGCTGGTGGGCAGCGCGCAGGGGCGGGTGATGTCAGGCAGGCTGCAGCCATCAAAGTCCAGCGCCACTCGGGGGCCCAGAGCGCGGTACAGCGCGTTGCGGCCGCGCAGGGTGACAGCCTGGGGCGGCGCGGGTGCGGAGGGAAGCGGGTAGCGGGATATGAAGAGATGAAAAGCAGGGAAGGCAGTACGGTGGTGTTTGTAAGCCGCTGCTTGCCGCTGGGAACATGCAAACGCCCGCCAACGTTCACGCCTCTGGCTCAGGCAACCTCGCAACCCTGATGTACCCCTCCCTCCCCCCCCCACCTCGCAGTGCAGCACGCACACCTCCCGCAGCTCCCCGTGCCGCCCCAGCCCCGCCAGCACCGCATCCGTCATGCGCGGAACGTCCTTCACCTCCAGCCGCGTCAGCTGCCGCAGCGCGCCCAGACCCGACACCAGCGCACCCTCGCGAGCGCTGTGCAGGTGCTTCAACGTCAGACTGCGCAGCGAGGACAGCGGGGCCAGCGAGGGAAGGAAGGCACCTGCGCCGGGGGAAAGAAAGGCAAGCGGCTATTAGCCGTGTGCCAAAGGTTCCCATCCAACTGCGACTCCCACGCCCCGTTCAGGACCCTCAACCCGCCCGGGCCCCCCCTCCCTACCCGAGATCTCCTCGTGCCTCCTTGCAATGGGCCGCTGCCTCATGTACGCCTGCGCCGCATGCACCGCCAGCTTGCGCAGCCCCTTCAGCCGCAGCTGCGTGAGGCCGCGCAGCCGCCCCAGCGCCCGCAGCCCGCTGTCGCTCACCAGGTGCAGCCCGGACAGCGAGAGCTGCCGCAGCCCCGACAGCTCGCACAGCTGGACCAGCTCGCCGTTCTTAGGGGGGGCGGGGAGGGGGAGGGGAGGGAAAAGAGGAGAGGGGTGGAGAGAGGCAAGGTGGGGGTGTGAGGCGCGCCTGTGCACCATGCGCATACTGACGACACTAAAAACCAAGCGAGCAACGGAGCAAGCACAGGGAGCATAAAAGGGAGGCTCGCATGCCCCCTTACCTCCAGTGCCAGGCAGTTGTCCAGCTTGAGTGACGTCAGGCGGGGGTACTGCCGCAGCAGCGGAACCAGGCTGCCGTACAGCAGGAAGTAGCACGCGTCCAGACACAGCTCCTCCAGCAGCAGCTCGGGCAGCGGCACACCGCCATTGCCGGCAGCAGCAGCGGTGCCAAGGGGGGTGTGCAGGGAGCCCGCGGCGCCGCTGGTGGCGGGGGTGGCCGCCGCGAGGGCTGCTGCACCGCTGCCGCGACGTGAGGCGCCGCTGGCCCGCCGGCTGCCGGACAGAGGCGTCGCTGCAGCAACAGCAGCGGTGGCGACAGTAGCGCCGCCTCGGCCGCCAGAGCGCGGGTTGGAGATGCGGCGACGGCGACGTTCACTGCTATGCGGCTGCCCACCCGCAGCAGCAGCAGCAACGGCGGCGGCGGCTGCGTTTGGGTTTCCCTGCTCCACTGTGTCGCTGTCGCCTCCGTTGCGGGCCGCCTCACCGCCGTCAAGAGCCATGTTGGCAGGCGTGTTCGCATCCGCACCCGCAGCGCCACCCGAGGGACCGCCACCGCCACCTCCTCCGTCGCTGCTGGCCCGACGGCGCCGCAGCCAGCGCCGCCACGTACCTCCCGTTGCCGCCGCCATGGCTGCCATAGCCAGACTCCAGGCGCCCGGCCGCTCCTCGTCCTCAGCACCGGCACCAGCAGCCCCCCGACCCGCCGAGCCCGGACCCACATCCAGTCCCGCCGGGTTCCCCTCCGAGGACCTCCGCCCCCTCCGTCCACTCCGCGTGTTGGGCCCCAAGGGCGCCGCCGCCGCCGCTGCAGCCGCCGCGCCTCCAGGAGTACGACGGGCGCGTCCGCCTGCCGCACCGGCTGCATGCGGGTCGGGACTGGGGCCCCCCAGCACCGCCCCCAGGTTGAAGTTCAGCGCTCCCAGCCCTCCGCCGCCGGCACCACCCCCGTCATCGCCGTCTTCATCCTCGTCCTCCTCCGCCCGCATGTCCTCCGAGAGGGGCTCCGGCAGCGGCGAGGGCTCGGGCAGCCCCCCGGGCAGCACCAGGTTGAGAGCCGTCCAGTAGAGCCGCAGACGCAGCGAGCGCAGCCGCGGGTTGGGGTGCACGTCGATGACACCGCCCGACCTGCGGCGGGAGGAGGGCAGCAGGGCGAAGAGGGGACTTTATGATCGCACATGACGACATGAGGAGATCTTCTACCACATCAATACAGCTCCTCCTCCCTACGGATGAAGAGCCCTCCGCACCGTCTGCATGCATACACACATACACCCACACTCTACGCCGCCTCCCGCCCGCTCCCGCCCACCTGCTCCTGTCGCTGGACACGAAGAGGCTGTCCAGGTTGGCCGGCGCCACCACCGTCACCATCAGCTCCTCCTCGCCCGCGCAGTACATGTCCAGCGCCAGCGCCCGCAGGCAGGTGAGCTCCGCCAGCGCGGGCAGACCCGGCTTGAGGCACTCGGCGGGAGCACGCAGGTCCAGGGAGGTCAGGCTGGGGGCGGGGGGGGAGGGGGGGATGGCAGTGAGGCAAGACAGGCTGTTTGACCAGGGCGTGAAGGACGGTGGTAAGCCGCAGGAAATGTCCAAGATGGTTTAACAACCTTCTCAAGTTGCTATCTCGTCCATGTCAGCTTTTCATGTCAGCCAGCGCCCGCCCCGCCCCCCCACCTGCTGAACCCCTGCCAGCACAGCGGCTCCGGGTTCTGGAGCACCTTGGTGCTGCTGGTCTTGAATGTCAGCGACTGCGGAGCGGCAGGGGGGGAGCAGAACGGGAAATGTGGGTGAAGAGATAAAAGGGATGCGGTAAGGACTGCAGGCGTGGCAGGTTCTTGAGGGAGTACCAATGCCCCACCTCTCCTCCGCCCCACACGACCCCCCCTACTCTACTCCCCTCCCCCACCTGCAGTCCCCGCAGTCGCGTGCACACGGGCAGGAACTCGGATGCGCAGCTGCTGTCGCTGTTGACCAGCAGCGCTGTCAGGCTGGACAGCCGGTCTAGAGCCTGTTGGTGGGGGAAAAAAAGAAATTCCAAAGTGTGGTGTGATAATGATATAAGTTGGTGGGGGAGGGAAGGGAGGGAGGAAGGGAGAGTAGGTTTAGCGCCCAACACCCCCCTTCCGCCGTCCCCCAGTCCCTCTTCAGCAGCATGCGGTTCGCCATGGACGGAACCACAGCCGCTCCCTGCGCCTCGATGTGTCTGAGCGAGAGCCCTGTAACCCCTGCCTTCACACCTTCGTCCCCCCTCAGGCCACTCCTTACCCCCCTCACCTCCGCATTCGCCAGCTTCTTGACCGCCAGGCTGCGCAGTCTCCCCAGCGGCTGCAGCGCCCCGGGCGCCACCAGCGTGTCCAGCGTGAGGTCCGTCAGGCGGGGCAGCGCGCACAGCACCTCGGCGGACAGCGCGGGACACAGGTCGGCCTGGAGGGTGGGAGGGGGCGTTGAGGGGAGAGGCGGGGGACGAGGGAAGGGCGTTGGTATGAGCTGCGGCCGTAACGGGTTGCACAGTGTGCGGGGATGAAGAAGATTGTCGCAGTAGCATAAGAGAAGTGTCTGTTTTGCCTACGGAAGCATGCGATGAGACCAACATACCCAGTTCCGAGTCCCCCACCTGCAACTTGTGCAGCCGCATGAGCACATCGCCCAGGCCTCCCAGGACACGGCTTGCAGGGGAAAGCGGTGGCTGCGTAGGCGACACAGTCTCGCCCGCAGACTCGACAGCTGGTCCGGACCCCCGCGCCTCCTCCCCATCAGCAACAGCCGCAGCCTGCGCGCCGGCAGTCGTATCCGCCACCCTGCCTGTATACTTGGACTCGGGCTCGTCACATGGCTGCTGCAGCTTCTGTAACTTATGACGAGGCGAGAGATCAGCCGCCTCAGTTGCAGGTGCTGCAGCTGCGGTGGTAGCCGCGGACGTGCCATGCTTGGAAGGGCCCTGGGCGCCTCTGGCAGTTCCGGACGGGGACTTGCCGATGTGGGCATCGGGAGATGTCGGCGTGTGGGCCTCACTGCCTCCCACGCTGCCAGCGATAGCGGCCCTTGTTCGCGCTCGGGTGCTTGGCCGAGTAGTGGGGCGCGCGCCTCGAAGGTGCGCAGCTCGGTTGCTTGGGCCTGCTGCTGCTGGGGAAGTGCCAGCATTTCGGCCTGCAGCGCGTTCAGCGCACTGTGCTGGGGCGTTAGCGACACCGGCATCGGTTGTGCTATTTGGCCGCTGAAGAGTAACATTGGACAGGCAGAGCTCGCGCAAGGCTGTAAGCTGACTCAAAGGCGTCAGCATGCGCGTCGACAGACCCTCGACGTGCGACAGGTTGAGCTGAGTTAGGTTGGGGTAAAGCGTCGCTAGCTTGCAAAGGTCAACATCTGGGCGCTTTGGTGCTGCTTCCTTGAGACAGTAACGAGCAGAGCGGCTCCAGTCTTTGCAAACTAGCTGTACGACGACGAACTGCTTGGCTGTCAGCTGCGGCACAATAACGTCAAACAGGCCGTCGGGAGGGGCCTGCCAGTAGCCGTATGACGGTGGGGGTCCGTCCTCTGCACCAGGACTGTCTCCTGCTGTCCGCTTTGGCCGAGCCCTCGGTTGCCCCATTCTTGCGTTGCCTCTTTCGATGGCTGGGCGGGCTGACAAGGTAAAAACTATGGCAGAATGAGTTCAGTAATAGTCAATGAACAGCAGCGTTATGTGGCCATGAACGCAGGTCTGAAACTTGCTTGAATTTGGAGCGGGGAGTCCGCCGCGAGTAGATAGGAAGATTGACTTCTCTAAATATGAAACTCTATGTGTATAACATTATGTGCCTTTGAGCGCGGGTTAAACAACTATAGGGTTTGGTAGCCTGGTCTGGGACGTATGCCGATCGCGTTGTCGTTCACGGCTGATGAAGTAGCCCGACCTTGGCTTTTTGTGCGTACCACGTCCCTGCATATATGTACCTATCGTATACAGTCAATCCTGAAGCGCTAAGCCCCGCCTTGCGTTTTCTATGGTAACACCTTAGCAGCGGAATACTAACCAGCGGCCCAGAGCCGTTTGACCCTCCCCTTTTAGCATAATACAAAATCAGTAAGATAGTTGCATGTCAAAATACTGAGAGCCGGCTAACGTTACAATCGGAAATAATTGCTTGCTAACTTCGAGCGTGAAGAACAAGTATTGATTGAAGATGTTGCCTACGGAGACACAACGGGGTGCTTACTCCCCAGGCACAAGTGGGTGAACAAGTTTGGAAGTCATGGGTTAAGCGCATGTCCCATGCTGGGCGACAGTCCCACGCACCACATCTTTCTTGACCCTCAGAAGAAGGCTTGTGCACCTGCAATTTGATGCCGGCCGTCTTTTCGGTGTGCATGGTGTTGCACTACGCCCCGCGGCTTGGCTCACCTTTTCGCACCGCAGCCCTGCCACAGCCTATGTATGCATCGCAGCCCGGCAAGCGTAACAACCCCACCCCCGCCCCTGTGTTTACGTCCCCCTCACCGTTACAGCCAAGCGCAACACGGTCAACATGTACGACTCAGCTGCACCAAAGTTTGAAGCCATCCCAGACGGGCCCTACGAGGCGCCCGACGTCACCCACCAGCAAGCCGCCCATGCTCATTTCGATGACACGCGGGAGATCAAGCTTAAAGACGCGTACGGCAGGGAACTCCCCATCACGTCCTACCGGGAGCACTACCCGCCCAAGGAGGCCCTGCAGCCCGGTGAACCCCTGGAGCTGCCGGGGGGAGGGGCGCCCTTCACAGCGCGTACGACGTACGATGACGAGTTCTGGAACAAGCCCCGAGCGGCGCGTCCCGTGGAGCCGCTGTCGTACACACACCGGCCTGCGCCCATGATCACGGTGAGGGCTGAGGGGAGAGCAGGGGGGGGGAAGCGAGCGGGAGGGGCTCTATGCGGGCTTCAAGGCATGGCAGGGTTGGGGCACCTTTGCCTCTTAGCATCAGCGTCCTGGTGCCTCTCACCCTTCCACACGTCCTCCCTTCCCTGCTCACTTCAACTCATACCACGCCTCCTTCACGCCCTCGCCCCCCACCCCACCCCACCCCGCCCAACTCCAACTCCTACCCCCATTGCTTTGCCCTAACTTGTAGTCTCCTATGGTTTGGTATGGTCTTTGACCCCCCCCCCCCGCCCCGCAGCGCGACACCACCAACCAGGACACCTACAAGCCCTTCGAGCTGGCCCCGCAGCCGGGCAGCGACACGGGCCGCCCCACCCGCCAGGCCACCTCGCCGCCCCCCCTGCTGCCCTCCATCTACGACACCACCTACAGGGCGCACTACGTGCCCAAGGAGGGGGAGCCGCGCGTGCCGCCGGGTAGGAGTTGGCGGCGGCAGGGATTGGGGAGCTGCTGCGGCGGGAAGTAGGGAGTCACTTGGAAGGTGCCGGAGACAACGCTCACTCTGCTCTCGCCGCATAAGATCTCGCCAATCCACGCCTCTTCCCGCATCACCTAAAGCCCCATACCCCTACTTCCTCGTCCTCCACCCTCCCCCCCAGGCTCCATTCCTCCGCGCGCCCCCATGCCGTGGCTCAGCGACGGCACCACCTACCGCAACCACTACGTGCCCAAGCCGCTGGCGCTGCTGCCGCCGGCCGACTACGACCCCGGGCAGCCCTTCCCCTTCGCTGGCACCACGGAGTACCGGTGGGTGCGGCGGGGTGCAGGGCAGTGGGGGGGGGTAGAATAAACCAAACCACAATGTTAGGGCAAAAGGGAGGGGAGGGAGGGAGGGATAAAGATAAGGAAACGGGAGAGAGGAGGAGGAGGTCGCGGCGTGGGTGGGGGCGGCGGTACGGCAGTAGGGAGGCTGGACCGGGGGTTGCATGGTTGGTGGTCCCGCTCCCCTCCATCCACCCTTGCAGTACCGGTAGCTCCTCACAACCCCTTTCTAACCTCTCCTCTCCTCCCATCCGCCCATCGCCCCCACCCACCCCCTCAGCGCCGAGTTCCCGCCCAAGGAGGCTCCCCCGCAGCTGCCTCCGCTCACCGGCGTCACCTCCCGACAAGGACTGGCGCTGCCGCTGCCGCGCCGCTCGTTGGGCGTGGAGTTCGTGCACCGCGGCGTCAGCGACCGCACCTTCCTGCTGCTGCCGCGCACGCTGGAGGCGCCCTGCTCCGCGCGGCAGGTGTTCACCACTGTGCATGACAACCAGGAGCAGGCCTGCATCCTGGTGCTGTACGGCGACGACCCGGTGGCCTCCAACAACATGGTGCTGGGGCAGTTTGACATCGTAAACATACCGCCCGCGCCCAAGGACGTGCCGCGGATTGAGGTAGGAGAGGAGGCGGGGGAGGGAAAGGGAAGCGCGAGTCGAGGGTGGAGTGCGGCTGTTTAGGCACCAGCTCGCATTGCGGGTGACCGTCCGCTGAACCTGCGTTTACACGTGTCTTGTTTCCTGTGCCATCCCCCTTACCTCTCTCTCTCTCTGCGCTCTCCTTTCCGGTCCAACTCCTCACCCTCCCTCAGGTGACGTTCCGGCTGAGTCGTGATCTGGTGCTGACGGTGGAGGCGCGGGACCTGGACACGGCGCGACACAAGAAATGGTGCGACTCCAGCAGTACACTCACGACACGTCCACACTACACATTCTTCCTCCTTTTTCCTCACAGACATGCCTGCCCTTCCCTTCCCTGACCTCATCCTCCTCACACAGGCGGTTTGTAGGGTGAGGTGCCACATGGGCTGCAGAGCATGCTGCTCACGCGCCTTCCCCGCTGCGCCCCTCCCTCCCTCCCTCCCGCCCCTCCCTGCAGGATCCAACGCGGCGAGGTGGTGGTGCTGCGGCAGTGAGGGGCACTGGGGCGCGGGGGCAGTGAGGGCGGCGGTGCGGAGCGGCGCTGCGAGCGGCTTAAGGGGGGTGGGTGAACAGTTGGTCCACATGCGGGTGCAGGAAGCAGCCGGTGTGGGAGTGCGGGTGAAGTGGATGGCAGCGGAAGCGCTGCTGGACGCGAGGGCAGCCTTGGAGGCGGAATGCGACATAGGTGTATGTATTGTAATGTGTTTTGGAATGGTGTACGTACTCGTCACATAGGGCAGATAGCATGCCACCTGCACATCATGCCCTGTACATGGGCAGCGCTTCTGGACTGCAGCGCTGCAGCTGCTCCGTGTCTTGGTGACAACTGCTTACGGGTATGCATGCGTGCGAGTGGGTGTGTGATTGGCTGGTGGAAGCCGGCAATGGGACTGATGGCATAGGCAAGATGACGCAATGGGGCGTCAGTGCAGGATAAGCCTGTCGGTTTGCCAATTGCTTTTACCTTATCAGTAGGACGGCCGTGCATGACTCGTGGCAGGCATGTTGTGGTGCAGGTACTGCTGGCGACTAGCTGCTGAGAAGATACAGACCGGGGACGCAGAGGGAGCGCAGGCGGGAGGAGGTGTTAAGGGGGCGAGGCCAGGGTAGTCAGCTGCTCTCGCGGAGGCAAGTGCATGCGGCCCCCATTTGCAGGCAACATGCCGGCGGCACTCATGTAACGTTGCCGTCCATGTAAGGGGCCCTCCTGGTGCGTGTGGGTTTCCTCGTGCCTGCAGGCGTCTGCGTGAACCCGCCATCCTCTGTCCTTACACCATGTCATAAAGCAAAACCAACGCAGGCTAACAACGGGCCGCAATACCAGCAACTCACTCTCGCTACCCTGTTGGGTGCATACCAACACGGGAGCACAACAAGCAGCAGGTGGACACCAAACACACGATTTCAATGGCATGTAACTTCAGAGCCATTACATGCCATTGAAATCGCGTGTTTGGAATGTAGCTCTCAAATGTGGCTCTGCCGAACCCCCGGTCTCAACTGCAAAACCCACATGTACTGCAGCTCAGCTGCTACAGCACGAGCTACCTTCCAGCCTGATGTACGACAGTCGTACAGCGCAGGCATTCCTCTTTCCGATACAACAATACAACAGATCTTACTCTCAAATCCCAACTTCCACTCAATCCGCCGCGGTACAAGCAGCATCCAGGCAGAACACCTCTCTCAGATGAACCCCCCACCAGGCGCCACGCATCCAACAGCTCCGCCCTCCACCAATTCACTACAGCAGCAGGGAAAGCATCAGGACCATGAAACTGCAACGCCCACCGCCACCCCACCTGCCGCCGAACCCACCCACCAAACCTGCCGACTGGACGGGCAAACCGGAGTCAAAACAAGGTACCAATAACGCATGTAGAGCTTGTACAGCCAAAGAATGAATGAAACAATGTGCTCGGCGCTCCCTCGCACGCCGCAGCAGTGCACAGCATCTCGGCTAGGATCTGCCGAGCGCGCCGGCTAGCACTCCTTTGTGCTCCCCCCTGCTCAGGTCCACCGGTGCAGGCGGTTACTTCCGCGCACACACAGACCAAGGGGGGAGCACAGGGAGTGCTAGCCGGCGCGGTTCGGCAGATCCTAGCCGAGATGCTGTGCACTGCTGCGGCGTGCAAGGGAGCGCCGAGCATATTATGCCATTGGCTGTAGGGAATGTCGGGGCTAAGGGAGCGCCGGCTCCAAACTCGGGCCGGCTCCCCTAACAGAACCGACAGCCAAAGCGCCCCAATACCGCAAATCAGATACCGGTACCAGGATGTATATCCTTCGAACAATAATGTTGCGAATGTCGGCACGGTGTAAAATGGACACACCCAACGACGTGGCAACGTATGTGCTGCAAGTATGTATGCAAGGCATTAAGAAGTGATTCCCAAACGACTAATGCAGCCCGGTTAGGACCGGTCGCCCAGCGTGACAGCAGCCATGCTGCTTCCTGACTGGCCCCTAGGACAGCGCCAATGTGCTGGAGAGGCTCGGCTGGAAACACGGCTCGGCATGCTGCCGTACAGCGCCACGTTGTGGCGTAGGTCGGCATCGCGGTGTTGGTTGCCACGATGCCCCTCATAACGTCTCCGAACGCAGGCTCAGCCAAAGGGGCCCTAGCTCAGCGACGAAGTAAGATGCAGTTGCGCCTGCACCTTATTGCACAGTCCTCAGACGCTTGGGGGCTGCGGGGGCATCGTAGTCGCCTCCGTGCTGCTGCTGCCGCCGGCCGCCACCCTCACCGTCGGGCGGAGTAGGCACCCCCGCACCAAACGCCGCATCGCCAGCGCCCACGACAGCAGCCCCAACGCCCATCGCACCCTCCGCAACTGCCGGCATCGGCGCATGGGTGTCCGGCATGTAGGTCCGCGGCTTGACGTGCCACAGGACGACCCGAGGCGCCCGGGGCACCCAGAGAGAAACGTCCTTGATGGTGCGCTCCTCGGCGTCCGGAACCGGGCCGTCTCGATAGGCGAGGAGGTACTTGAACACCTGTAGGAGCGGAGTAGATGCGGTAAAATTCCATGTGCATATGCGTATTGGAAATTAGGCGACGTGTACAGTGATGATGTGCGCAGTGTTGCGTGCATGAACACATGATGTGATTCGTCCTGTAATGGGCCACCACGCTCTCTGTCCTTGAAGCACAAACACTTGCAGTCTCATACTTCAGCCTCACCCACCGCAACCCCCCGCCCCCCCGCACCCGGTGGTACGGATGCCGCTCTTCCTTGCAGCGCGCGCAGCGAGTGACCTCGCAGGTGCAGCGGCTTCCCTGGACGCAATGCACGTAGCGACTGGGGTCTGCGTCCAGGGTCACTGGGCGGCGACAGGAGGCGCTGCCGCCTGCGAGCGTACGGAAGCGGTACGTCAGAGGTGCTCAAAGGGGTGTTGCCGGAAGCTGCCTGGCGCTGCCAGTGGGGCCATGGTACATTATAAAAATTGAATCGACCTATGCAACAGGGACGAATTAGTATCCGTTAAGGACATACCGGCAGTACCTCACCTGAATCGAACCGACTCTTCAACTGATGTCCGGAAAAGAAGGCGTGCTGGCGGTCCGGATCGGGGCTTTCGTACCACACTGCATGCAGCTGCTCCGCCCAAAGGTTCCGCTCAGCGAATAGCAGCCGGGTGCCGATGGCTTGCAAGGTGGCCACTGACTGGTCGTTGTCCGCCATCAAGCCCACCTCCTCAGCCAGCGACGAAGCCGCAGCCGCCCCTGCTGCAACTAGCGGCGGCTGGAGTGGCTGGAACTGCGAACCGATGCTGACTTGGAGAGCGTGCTGGGGAGCCTCCAGAGTCTGCTCAAGCTGATGGGCTGCGAGCGGCGCTGGAGACAAGATGGGCGGTGCCGGCAGAATTTGCAACGCAGCTTGGCCGGTCAAACCCGGCCATGGCCCAAACGACCCGGTAGCGTGTGGCTGGACCAGGCCTGGGGATGGCAGTCCCGAGCCAGGAAGCGCTGCCGCTGCATGCACATACGCGTCTGACAGCTTACGGTGCAAGTCTGCAAGCTCCAAGAGGCAGTGCTGCGGCAAGGTGGCTTCCGTGTTGGGGTACGTGGCAGCAGCATGAGCAGAAGCCACGGCTTTGAAGTTCATTGCCGAGGAGTCATTCAAAAAGGAAGTTACTTCTTGACCCAAGCACGGCTCAAGACAACCACTACCGGTAACCGTGTCATGTTGGTGGGGCGAGGCTAGACCATGCGCGTCACTAAATTCGATGCCAACACATGGGCCGTGAGCAGACTGCTGGAGAGGGTTTTGATCCATAAAACTGTGCAAACGGTTTTCCTCAAGCACCTGCTGGCTGTCCTCGGCGAGCAAGCGAGTCAAGGTCACGAGCTCCTCGTCATCAGCAGACGACATTATTAGGACTTCAGAAGGCGCCCTCCACCAGCAATCCGTCAATTGTTAGGTATATGGAAACACAAATAACGAAGCTCGCGTCCTCTAGGCAGGTAACACCTAGTGGCTTGCCTTCAACGTAGAGAGTGATAAGTGTTCGCCCGCGACCTAGGCAGCGCCACATTGCCGCGTCCGAACGGATGTTAGTTCCATCAATTACAGCAAACTCAAAGCGCTATATATTGGAGATTGGATTGTAATTGCTTCTAGCTCCGAGACCACCCGTGGTGCCCGTGCTCAACCAGTTGGCAGCTTGACACTTGACATAAACCATAATCAGATGGTCACTAATATACTGAAGAGGAACAGTGCTCTGCTTAAAGCATTCCTGTCTGTAAGGCGCTGTCGTCGACAGCGGGGATGAAAACTATCATGCAAGGGTTCAAAAATCCATTCTCTATTGCACACGTTCTTTCGATGGGGCAAGATGTTGTTAATAGTGCATACGGCCAAAACATATGTAATGGCGTCCGCAGCACAGCCCCGGTGGCCTGTGTTTGTCATAAGTGTTTAAGTGCTGCAGATGAGCGCTGCAAGAGGGTGTTGATCTCGGGAACGGATAAATTTACAATGACTCTGAGCCTCCAAGGTCTTTTCCCCTGCTGCCGTAAGCAATCAAGGTTTTCCTACATCTTCTGTTGCAAGAACCGTAATCACCATTTCAGCAAGTACATGCACCGCTTGCACCAGCATATCCCAACACGGCAGCCCTCTTAGTCCCATCCTGGGGCCGCCGTAACACCTCAATCCTAACACCATTGTTGGGGCACGCAGCATAACACGGTGGTTAATATCTATCACTGTTATACAAACAAAATCTGTAGTTCGGTTGGCACGCAATTGGGAGCGTTGCGCCAGTAATCCGACCGATTCGCAGTCCCACTGGGGGGTTAAGAGTTGTGACTAAAGTGGGGCGTACCCAAATTTGCTACCCAAATCAAGCAAGGGAAGAATGTGGTCTGTCTACACTATGACGGATTACCGACCTACGTTTATGACGAATTAACGACCTAACATTAAAATGGATTAATGGATCTACAAGGATTAGCACCATACACAGCCTACAAACGACACCACGGCAGCAGTTTCCAATGCCGGGTTTTAATCAGGGGCGAAATACACCTAAAGCTATAGCACACCCGTTACTGCAAATCCCTAAATTAATAAGTACACTAGCATATTTTACTGCATTCCTGCGGAATGAATATCGCGAGAGCCAATTGTTGAATTGTAATTGAGAGCCAACACACTGCCAGCTAGTAAAAATAAAATGCAGCAACACACCGCAACACACACGTTAAGCACAACTTGCGGCAAGCTATACCGGGGCAAACGTTGTAATAGCAATGTTTATCAACAGAATGCGTGCAGGTGCGAAAAGAATATTCTTAGCATCCTCCTGAGCAGGCCAACACCCATCCTGATGCAGTGACAGTACCACTTTGCAGCTGACGGTCTTGGGTTGACGACTTATCAGGCCGCCTTGGCGTGAACATGCCCGTCATTAAGACAAGAACGTGAGGAGGAGCGTAACCAAGCCCACCAAGACACACGCCAAGAGCGTGTGTGGTTGCGTTGCTGAACCAGCGGCAGAATGGGCCGGCGAAGGAGACGGTGATGGAGACGGCGAGGACGAGGACGAGCCTGATGTTAGAACGGCACCGCTGGCGTACTGCAGAACCACAAAGTCTCCCAGCGAATTGCTATACCCTGAGATGACATCAGGGACAGTGCTGCCCGAGGCGCCTGGGTTGAGCGTGCTGGTGGCGGAAGTCCCAGAAAAGATTCCGACGCTTGAGTCAACACTTGCAGCACCAACGTCCTGCACGCAGCAACTTCAAGCAATCATCGATATGGCCTAGAGTACGACAACAAGAGCCCTGCCCCTCAGTTAGTTCCCACCTGTAAGCGAACAAGAGCGCGCGTTGTGTTGGCGCCATTGACAGCAATTGCCGTCATGTTGACGGGGAGGTCCAGTACAACAAGGCTTGGTAGCGTAGATGCGGAAGCGGGTAGGCCAGGCGCACTAATCCGCACAATCGGCGAAATAATCTCCACCGAGCCGCCAATGCGACGGTTCGCCAAGTTCGCAGCCAAGGGCACCGCAGAACCGCCAAGGGAGGCAATGAGCAATGAAGTGTCATCAAGAATCCTCACGGTCAACCCAAATCCGGCAGACGATGCGCAAGAGGCGACGGCAGCGCACAGCTGACCAACGGCGGGGCTCAGGGCGACGGTGACCGGAGAAGAGGTGCTGAAGTCAGATGCGAGCAATGACCGACGGCGTTGACTGGAAGCAGTGGCGACCCCAGGTGCATGGAACGAAGTCGTGATGCCGGCGCTGGCAAGAGCCACAGACGCGTGCCTCACGGCGGCTGAAAGACGAGTTGTGCTGATAGAGATGGCCGAGCCATCCGCTGGGGCAGCGTTGAGCAAGCCTTGGGTAAGCGCCGCACCACCCTGGACGAGGGTTCCGAGCACCTGCTGCGCTGCTTTGATGGACGCAGCGCTGCTGGCACCACCCAGGCCGGCAGCAGTCGTGGAAACCAGCTCAGAAGCGTTGTCGAGCATTTCAGAGAAGAACCCAGCGATGGGCCCGGCAGCGTCAGGTGTGAGCTGCAGCTGGGCGATCTTGGCTGTAAGCGAGCCAACCGAGTTTAATACAGCAGCACGACCATTGGCACTCGACAGTGACCACATAGCGCTCATGCCCCCGAAAACCTGAGACGCGGTGGCAGAAGACAGGTCACTGTTGACCGCAGCGTTCAACATCTGGCTCAGCAGGTTAGATGCCAATGCGCTAACGGTGGAAGAGTTTGCGACGGTCGCGAGAGCTGACAGGCGTTGAGCCATATCCAGCGAGTCGGCTACAGATACTGCACTGCTAGACGACAGCGCTTGCTGGACGGCGAGTATGCTGCTTGTGATTTGCTGGTCCGATACCTGCATTTAATGCATCCGCAGAAAGCGTTAGCTGTGGAAGGGAAGACATGCGTATACGGGTAAGCGCCCCAATCCTCACCTGCGTGCTGGCCTTGACCGTAACCAGTGCGCACGCGCGATCTCCAACGGGTATTGTCGTACTGTTTGCTGCCCGAACACAGACGTATAACGTATTGGCACCGCCGGCCGGCAACGACGTAATGGTTGCCGTGCTTTTGGTTGAGTAAGCTTGACGCGCCTTGTAAGTGGTATTCGAACCGATAATGCTGATCACACCAAACTCGTACAGAAGGATAGGGTACGAACTTGACACAGATTGCCAACCCGACGCGGAAAGGAGGTACGCGTCGAGAATGGTCCCCGTTGTGGCGTTTGTCTTGAGGCAAGTTGCCGCAGTGCCGTCCCCGCCACACACCGGCGCGTTCGATAGCACGGAAGTGGGCGAAGAGGGCGAAGGGGATGGAAATGGCGAATCCGAAGCCGACGGGGCGTCTGAGGGCGAAGGTGATGCGACGGGGGGAGATGGCGATGGGGAATACGAAGCCGAAGGGGTGTCTGAGGACGAAGGCGACGGGGAAGGAGACGACGAGTTGGACGAAGGATCTGGGGAAGGCGAAGGTACCGGTGACGGCGAATGCGATGACGTTGGTGGATAAGATGGCACTGGCGACGGTGAATACGATGGCGGGTACGACGACGGGTACGATGGCGGGTACGAGGGTGCTGGGGAAGGTGCTGGCGAGGGTGAGGGTGGGACCGTAGGCCATGGCGCTGGGGGTGACGCCGGCTCCTGCAGTGTAAGGAAATTTATTCAGTTATATGGAGAACTGCCCAGCTGCCCAATGAGAACATGACAACGAAGAATGGTCATAGACTTACCGGTGATTGCTCTGTTGGCGACGGCACTGGGGATGCCTGGACTGGAGGAGATGGCGCTTGCGGTGATGGCGGACTTGGCTCCTGCAGGTAACGAAAAAGTTAATAGCATTCGCGGTATTCCGATTTGCGTCACGAGGACGTACCTCTGAGGGATCGAGGATGAAGGGAGGAGGCGATGATGGAGTAGGTGAAGAGGGAAACGGCGTGTCCTTGACGTAGGGTGATGGAGGCAGCGGAGAGGGCGCTGGAGCCTCATCGTTCATAACAGGTGAAGGTGGAGGGGGCGGAATCGGAGAGGGCGCTGGAGCCTCATCGTTCATAACAGGTGAAGGTGGAGGGGGCGGAATCGGAGAGGGCGCTGGAGCCTCATCGTTCACAACAGGTGAAGGTGGAGGGGGCGGAATCGGAGAGGGCGCAGGAGGAACAGGTGACGGCGAAAAGTTGCCCTCGGTGGGTGGAAGGGGCGTGGATGGCAGCGGCGAGGGCGTGTTGCCTTCAACGGGTGAAGGCGGGAGAGGCATGCTAGGAAGCGGTGACGGCGATGCTGTTGGGCCGTAAGAAGGAGGGAGTTGCATGGAAGCGGCGACGTTAAGACGACGTCCTTGACGTCCGTCGAAAGCAGCAAGCTGAACAGTAGCCGTTGGCGCGACCGTATCATGGCTAAGCGGTGCGACGGCCGTAAGAGGCATGAGTGAGTCATCATTGCTGACAGCTGGGTCCTCTGTCGTTGGGGCTGGGTCACGAAGTTCTCGCAATCCAAACACAAGTGGGCCTGCAAGTAGCAAAACAACAGGAATTCTTATTAGGTAAAGGAAAAGAAGCGGCATTAGGGATGGTTGCTTGCCAAGCAAGAGACTAGTGCGCCCGCCAGGCCGGCCAAGACGCATCTATAGTAAGGATTGCCAGTAACCTTTGCAAGAAGGATTTGGTACCGGGCGTTGTCGGCATCAGGCACCTGAATTTAGCCGGCGTGCCTACCTTCGACAGCAGCAAATATTGCCACCGCCAGGAGGAGGAGACAACGATCCATGGCGCCCTTGACGCCCTTGAGATGTTGCTGATGTCTTAACGCAAACTACACGAGGATGGTTGTCGGTCGGCTGAGGAACAACTCAGGCATAAAAAGCTGGCTTTCGAGTTGCTTGCTTTGCGTTGTCCTTTTCACAAGATACATATAAATGTAATTCTTCCCCTTATATAGCAGCCGCGGGTCAGACTGGGACCTGTTGTGCCGTACGGTTTTGGTACGCCTTTGAAAAGGGGCTTGCAGGTTGCGCAGAATCCTCTTCCTTATTCTGCACAAATTCTATGGCTCACATCACCGTTACGCAAGGCCGTGGATTGAGCAAGCCCGCTGGCCCGTCACCGCTCCCATTACGGTTCCCCTGGAGCCACGCGCCAAACCGCCAGCCTCCCAGCACCGCTTCAGGACTTGTAGAATTGTATTCCCTTTATTGAAGGCTAAAGGAACTCGGATCACGCTTGACGTCCAACGCGAAATGGCTGACCGTTGGCGCATGATGACAAGCCCTTATGGAAGCGCACAATCCTTGTAAAGTAAAGCTACTATCCTTTATGGTTTATCACATGCAATTCATTCGGCTGCAAAGGACGTCCATTAGCCCAGGTCCGCATTTCCTTGGCGATGACTGCGTAGTCGCAAGCTGGCAACTAGAACAAAGAGCACACCGTGGTCGCAGCAGTAAGACATGCACTGATGTATAGTAATGCTGGTGTGGTAGTGGGACCATAATGCGACGAGCTAATGCTTTCAAGGGGTTCAGCCAGACACATGCCGCCAATGACACTTACAATTAAGCTAACCAGACACACACCGGCCATTCAACCGGCGGCAAACGCAAAACACGCTCAAAGCGGCCTAACCCAGAAGCACGAGACGTGCTCTATTAGGAAGAGCGGTAGACAAACAACAAAGTCCCACGCAACAGGGCACACGCACACAGGAACACAACCAGGGACAGGCAAAGCCCACATGATATTATCTCCGTCCTGTTAGACTGACCTGCTATCCCACGCCCCCATTCTCCACCACGCGTAGGTCTTACGCATCCTTGGCCCGAAGCCTATTGACCCCTGTAGGTATCATTACACACTACTGCATCATTCTTCCCCTCCTGCCCCAAACCCCCATACCCTTGTCGTTCTCACATACGCCGGTTATCCCCCCCCCCCCTCACTACTCGATAATCTCCACATCGCTGTCCTCCAGTACCACGTTAATGGCCGGTGACGAAGCCGCCCTCGTCATCGATGCCACCCTCGCCGCCGGAACCATTGGAGGTGCCCTCGCCGCCGCCGCCGCCCTTGACACCGCCACCGCCAGGCTCCTCATCGCGCGGGCGCTTGATGTCAGCCGGGGCACTGTTGCTGCGGCTGATGATGGGCTCGGGGGGCGAATGCACGTTGTGGTACACCCGGAGGAGCATTGTCAGGAACATGTGCTCGTTGCACTGGTATGTGCACCACTCGTGCCCACGGTAGCGCTGTACAGGAAAGAGGAACATGCAAGGTTGATAGCTAAACAAGCGTTTCCCAATGACGTGAATCGACACACTTGCCTTCATCAGGTCGGCGACGGAGCGCGGCCAGTCCATGGGCGGAATCTGGGCGCAGAAGATGAGCCAGTTGTCGACGCGCCACTCTCCACCTCCCCGTAACACCTTGCGCGGCGGTGTCAGTTCGCCCTTGCACAGCGGGCACTGCGGAAGTGATACAACGAGTTAATGCTATACTCATAGCTTATTATGTTTGCCGAACATGTCATACCAGAAGGAGGGAAGAGATCTTGTTAAAGGCGTTGACATCCTCCATACTGATATGCGCTGCCGAAGCGGCTTCTGCCTCGGAGAGAGGCCCCCCAGCCCAAGCGGGCCAGTGGCGGCAGCAGGTCGCAACCCACCGCCGCCGCTGCAGCTGCCCCCGCCGTACGCGCCACCGTAGCCTGCCGTGCCGCCACCGCCGTACACAGCCCCCATGCCTCCTCCTATCCCACGACCGAACGGACCCGCTGCTGCTGCCGCTGCTGCTGCCGCTGCCACTGCTGCTGTCGTGCCGCCACCGCCGTTCTCCCCCATGCCTAGCCCCTGTTGTCGTTGTCGTGCTGCCAAGGACTTGAGCGCATCATAGAGTGACATCCCCTGCCGCTCACCGTCATGTGTGCTAGCTGTCCCGATCAGCGGTCTCCTAGCCCGCAGACCTGGCGACTGCATGCATGACGCTAGCGTAGACTCCTCCTCCGCCTGCGCATGTGCATCCTCCCGCGCCGGCGCCTGTACAAGACCCAGAGCATTGGGTGCGTCGCCGGTGCCCTGGAACACGGGAGGCAAAGGAAGAGAACGATGAATGTACTGTGCATGCCGTGTCGCCCTGACTGTGCTACTGGTACTGTTTTATCCGATACGATTGCTTTAAGTTGTAGTACCCCTGCCGTAACACCCACCTGTAGATAGGAATCTGGTAGTCTACCAAACAGACGACCCGTCGCGCGACCACCGAGCATGGCATGGCCCTCTTCCGATTCAGCGTCGTCCGCATCCTCATTGTCTGCTTGCTCTAGCACAACCTCGTCCTCGTCCTCCTCATCGTCAGACGAAGACGGCAGTATATCCACTCCGTAATCTCCAGACATGGAGCTGAGAGTGTCTTCGTCGTCGTCCATCTTGCCCTAACAGCAATACACGAGTGCAATGACGAACGATCTGATGTATCCTAGTCTAGATTGGCAGTGTATTGTTCCTGCTAGCGTTAAAGCGTGGAAAGAGCCTTAATGTTTAGGGTTGGTGAAGCTCATACGAAAAGGCGTTCATAGGATGCCGTCTGTAGGTAGCAATATGAAAAGAGTGTAGCAAACCATAAAGGATAGTAGCTTTACTTTACAAGGATTGTGCGCTTCCATAAGGGCTTGTCATCATGCGCCAACGGTCAGCCATTTCGCGTTGGACGTCAAGCGTGATCCGAGTTCCTTTAGCCTTCAATAAAGGGAATACAATTCTACAAGTCCTGAAGCGGTGCTGGGAGGCTGGCGGTTTGGCGCGTGGCTCCAGGGGAACCGTAATGGGAGCGGTGACGGGCTAACTGGCTTGCGTGGATTGACCCCTGCTGGGCATTCCTCCGGCCATCAGTTTGTTGCAGGAGCATCCTAAGCGGATACTATTCAACAGACATAAAGATACGTATGCGCAAGGGCCATAGCCAGGTCTTCTAGGACAGTTAACGCGGAGAGTGTCGGGAACCCCGACATTGGCGTGCGTTCCACCATTCAACCATGTGTGGTTCATCCATTATTTTCATATGTTCTGTTCTTCACTGCGGTGTCTCATGTGAGAAACGGTTTGTTCATTTGCGCTTGTTTCTGCGCATGTCCCTGGACATGTGCCTTTTTCCTACCAGCATCAGCAATGTTACTGTCGTGATGAAGGGCTGGCATAAAGGAGAAACCAAAAAAGGCTGTTTGCATTTCACTCTGAAACACCCACTGTCAACCTTCGTAGTGTGTGTTGCCTGCCACCCGGGCATTGCATGTTTAACATGCATAGCATCTGTATCCAGGGGACAATATGTTACATCCGGTGTACTTGTTTGCTTGTGTGGAACAGGCTGACGACAGGTATATCTTAGCGGGACATGACCTGCCCGAGGGCCAGCTCCACTCTTACATGCGGCCCTTCACATGTCCCGTTGAGTATGTCCAGACCTGTAACCTGCCCCTCAGCAAATTTAGGCATGTGTGTACGGTGCCACCAGTACGCAAGAGTGCAAGACGTCATGCTCTCTGTGACAGAAGTTACCAAAGGGAGTACACTACACGTCTGTAAGGACTACTTCTCCCTGGTTCGCTCGAGCAGTTCGATATAGTCACGGTCCCGGCCCTTGATAGTCACAAATAAGTACGATAAATACACAATCCAGAACCGCTGGACACTGTAGCTCCTCATGCTCTTAAAGCCCTGCACATGAATTGACCCTAGTTCCCCTACTATTTAACCGTACCGGCATGGCAGCAAGAGGGTGGGGGGCAGGGGAAGAAAGCGTGCATGCGTACAATAAACGTTCACTGCTCATCTCAGCAGCTAAGCATACACCCCTTGCGTCCTGGGTGCCCGGCCTATTGCAGCCACGACAGAAGTGTTAGGTCGGCAAAAGGGCTGGCCAGCCCTTCGGATCCCGAGCCCGTGGTGTTCATGCTTTCCACATGACCTAGAGGTGCAAACGTCGTCCCAGTCACACGGCGCATGCCGCCCGTTGTATCGGCACCTTGAGACGCACAAGAAAAGGCATGTGGTGCGTTTGACGCCAAGCTGGAGGTCCGAGTCTGTAGCTGGTGAGGTAGTTCTGTGCTCTGGACGCTTCGGAGTGCGCCGCCCTCACTTGTCACCTGCGCAAAACGCACAGCAACAAGCCCGGCACAATTAAGGCTTCAGCTACCGTAATGCGAGAGCACACTACTACGGCTATGCATGCGCGTCGGTGCCAGGCTACCTAATCCAGTAACGTCCGCACGGATGGAAAGCAATGTTGGTGCCGGTGGGCGTACCTGTTGCTGGAAATCACACTTGATGGGGGCCAACGCGGACGAATGCCGTCCAGAAGGCTCTGGGACCGACCCCGGGTCAGAGACAGTCATGCCGGCGGCTTTCGTACGGCCTCCGCCGAGCAGGGGCGCTGTGGAACCTGTAGAGTCGACTACAGCTTCGTTTTGAGCCGGCGGACGCCCCGCAGCGGTATCAACCTCAGTGCTGCTGCCCTCTCCTTGTTGCGCTTGCGGCATGGAAGGCCGCAAGCCGCCGCCGCTATCCATTGGGCCCCACAGTCGTTGTCGCGCCCGAGGGGGTGGCGCCACGGGTTGCACATGCGCCACCGCGTATGAAAGGGCGCCGGAGTTTCCATGCTTTAGCGGCTTCGGCACCATTAAAGCGTTAAATGGCGCTGGGGCCGCTTGCGCCGCAGGTGATGAGGCGGCAACAGCATCGTTACAACGCGGGGGTCGGGCGCCGCCGTCGCTGCCCCCGCCGCCACCACCCAAACGCGGGTACGGCAATGACTGCAAGGTAGCATCACCGCTGGGAGTAACGGCAAGCGCCTGGCCTGACCCCGGCCGTAACCCGGTTGTGTTGGCATTGCCACCGCTGGAGCCGCCAGGGCCGAGGAGTGAGGGGCCACGTGCGCCAGATCGGCCCCCCTGCGCCCCACCGCCGCTGGTGGGCCGCTCGGCCACAGAGCGCTGGGTGGGGAGTGTGCTCGGGTGCTGCAGGGCACGCAAACAGGCCGACGCAATATAACTTAGATGGAAATGGTATTGCACAGGCGAAGCTCTGGTTTAATACACGCGAGGGGAACAGAGGAAGCGCGTGAGCTGCCATCTGGGTCAAGACATATACGAATATACTCGGTGTCCAGGCATTAGGCATCATAAACATCAACCCGGTTTCCCACCTGGGGAACCACGCTACCGCTAGCTGCGCGCCGGTGAGCCGCTGCGGGACAGCCAGCAGGGGTGGGCCCTTGTCCCATGGGAGCGCCGCCACCGCTGCTTCCCCTGCCCCCGGCCGCTGCAGCAGCGGCAGGGAAGACGCCCGCAACTGTGCCGTCGGTAACAAGCGGCACATTGCCAGCAGGCACATGTGACGCAGTGCTGGCGGAGCGGAACAGCGCCGATGCGCGCGGCCCAGGTCCCGCCTCGCTGCTGCGGCGCCACCTCTGCATGACGCCAAGACTCGCGGCCTTGAGGGCGTCCAGCCGGTCTGCTACCTGGTCAAACTTGGGCCTGCAGCACAGGAGTGGGGGACCCCCAGGGGACGTCCAAGCGCCATAAAGGTTAATATAGCACGAGCCACAGTTTCGAGGTTTCAGCGGTTGGTAGGGCTCGCGCACAAGCGACGTAAAGCCGGCTTCCCTTCCAGACTCCGCGATGGTGTGTGGCTTGGTCTACCCTCCCGCATGGAGCGCGGCAACATGCAAGCACCGGCCAGCACCAGGCCCATTGTGTTGTCAGACCCGCAGTCATGGTAACCCACCTCGCCGCCGGATCGCAATGCCAGCACTGCTGCATGAGGGCCAGGTAGCCGTCCAGGTCCGCGTAGGGCGGCAGGTGCGGCAGCTGCTCGCGGGGCGGCAGCGCGGGCCGGAAGTTTGGGTCGTGCACCAAGCTCACAATCACCTGAAGTTGCAAAGGAAGAAGGGAGCTCCGTAATACCGGTAGTTGAGAAGCCGAACGGAGATGGCGCTTCCGGGGTGCAACCAACCACCCATTGCAGCTAAGAGGCAGGTACCGTAAGCGCACCTGGAAGGGGTTCAGTTCGTCGTAGGGGATCTGCCACGTAAGCAGCTCCCACATCACCACACCGAAGCTGAACACGTCAGCACTCAGCGTTACACGTCCGACCTACGGGGACGGGGCGCGTTGCTTGGTTAGCACCTTGGCGGTTGAGCAAGCACGCGGGCCTCTAGGACAGGGGATAGCATGGGCGCCTCGTGCAGGAGTCCATGCCTTCGGATAAGTAGAGCTTCTAATACGTTGCTGGCTTGACCCACCTTCAACGCCTCCGGCGCCATCCACCGAGGATTGGCGCTGTTGCTGGTACTGGCACTTCCACGACCGCTGTCACCTGAGAGGCAGATAGAGCAGCCCGTGTTGGTACAGCGCCCAGTCGAGCAGAACAAGCAGAGAACGGCACCATCACAACACCCGTGATTGCTACCGTATGCGCGCATGTACGACACGCACGACAGGACGCCTTACCTAGCAGCTTGGCATACCCAAAGTCGCCGATCTTGACTCGGTCCTGCTGCGCCACAAACACATTGGGCGAGCGCAGGTCCCCATGCAGGTAGCCCTGGCTGTGCAGGTAGCTCATGCCGGCTGCCAGGTCGTGCAGCATGCACAGCCGGTTGTTCCAGTGCAGCGTCAAGCAGGCCTCGCGGTCGCCGTCGGCAGCCTGCGACAGGTAAGTTGGGAGGGTAAAAGACAAGACCTGGCTTCGGGGCCTTCCACACTGTGGGATGTAGCGGGCTAGTTGCCTGACAAACATGTAGCGGCAAGGACATGCCAAGACACCAGGGAGGTGCATGCACGCACCTTGCGGAGCAGGTCGAACACGGAGCCGCGCGGGTAGTACTCGGTCACAATGAGCGGCTGTTCGAGACAGATACCTGTGCACACATGGGAGAAAGGGGCTCGTACGTCAACACGGGCTATACAGCAATTGTGGAACCGCCATGCACAGAGGTGAGAACAGGGCCACTGAGGCGCAAACCCCCGACCATTCCGCCCCAACGCAGCTCCATCCAACACGTCCCAGATGGCTGAGCAAAGCCCGCCTCACCAATGAAGCGCACGATGTTGGGGTGTTGACTGAGTTGCGCCATCGCGCGCGCCTCTTTAATCACCGCGGCAACGTCCGCTGCTCCGGAGCCCAGGTACGAGCCCAGCGGCGCAGTGGACCGAAGCGATGTGAACTCCGGCAGCACCACCGCCTCGCCCGGACCGCCGCTAGTAGGGCCCTTCGCAGCCGGCGTCCAAAACACCTGGTTGGCTGTGTTCCTCGGGCGGGTGGGGGTCGTGGAGGTGCAGGGCCCAAGGATCGTAGCCGGAGGCGTGACTCCTGAGGGGCTGCTTGCGACGGCGGCTCCTGTTGAGGGTGGCACGTGTGTCTGGCTGCGGGTCCGCAGCAGGTCGGACCCGGCAGCTGGCGCGATGCCGCCGCAGAGAGTGGGGTTGGTAGGGCCCGGCGGCGGGCGTGAGGGGCCGAACTGCAAGGAGCGCTGGACGGGAATGGGGCCGCTGCAGGACACGCCGGTCGCGGTTCTAGGGACGGGGCCGGGGCCGGAATCTGGGGAGCCGCCTTCGTTACACTGCCGTCCTTGGTTCACATCCCTGCAAAACAAGGCCAGCAACCGTGAGGGCGTTGCGCAGAGCCGCAAGTTGATGTGGGTCGCATGACAGGTTGTCTAGCGCAGCTAGTAAGCAGTAGAAGTGTGTGCTGTGCCTTGCAAGCGGCAGCCCAGTCAACTCCGCGCTGTCATTGCCGTCGAGCCTCACCTGAACGCCCCCGTCAGCTTTGCAAGGGTGGAGGCCTTGGGGAACATCTCCTTGACGGCCTGCAAAGGTAGCACAGCGGTTGGCTGGTGCGCCGCTGGGCCTAGCCTGCCGCCTAGCAAAGCATGCACCAGGCTAGTCCAAGCAAAAGCAGGGCAAGCGGTCCAAGCACCCTACTACCCACCACGTCAATGTGCTGCCAGCGCGCACGCCACACGCGGCCCTCAGCTCCGCAGCCGATTTCCTGAATGAATTGCAGCTCCGACCTACACGGCGGTGGTAGGCAGTCCCGAGTTCCATAAAACAAGGTCAGCCAGGGTTAGTCAGGGCGTCAGAAGGTGCATGGGTTGCCAGGCTTCAGTCCTTGCTCGGGTAACCACAGCCCTTCTCATGTTCGCGCACCTGCGGATAAAGGTTGACGTGGGATTGCGCGCCAGTGCGCTGCCCGGTCCCGACATGACAGACATATGCACTTGCTCGTACGAGCTGTACGGAGTCCCGTAGATGCCGTACCCATCCCATCCGGCAGAGCTATGGCAGAAGATCGCCGGCGGCGGCATCGGGCTGCAGTGGCTGGCGCCCGCCATGGAAGAGTTATAGATACCGGTGCTGCTGCGTTCTAGGAAGGTGTGTCCGATGGGGGCAGCGGGCGTGAGCGAAGCGGTGCATGCGCCGGGGTCCGAGCTGGCGTTCGCTGCTCCGCTTCTGTGGGCCGCCCCTGCAGCTCCGGAACCGGCAGAAGGTGCGCCGTTGTGGCCGGCCGTGCGGGAAGCGGTGTACACGCTGCCGGATGGTAATGTTAGGGTGAAGGCCTCTGACGGGGTGTGGGCGTATGCGGGTCCGGACGGGTTGGAGGCGGTGGCTGCCAGCTGAACCTGAGAGGAGCTGCCGGGAAGCAATGGGAAAGCGGCGAATGGGAGGACAGGGCTTGATGCTAGGTACAGGGGCAGCTAGCCAAATGGGCTTGGTGATGATGGGTCAATTAACTTGCTGCAACCTAGAAGGTAACGATAACGCCGCAACAGACAGGCAGACAGGCAGGCGGTAACCCATGCCACCCATGTCAGCATCGGCTCACCTAGGGGACGGGATCGCCATGGAGTGCGGGCTTGCCGGTTGCACTCCGCCGCTTCCAGCACCCCCTGTGGAGCAGCGCAACTCCCGACCGCCGCCCCAAGCCGCTGAGCCGTACGGCACGCCGGCCGAGGGCAGTCGACGCACCACACGCTGAGCTGAATGTGCAGGGCAAGGCGGCGAGGGAGGCACGTCCTGCTGCTGTGAGCGGCCGGGAGGGCTCGAAACGCAAGCTAGGGCACGGTGCCCTCCAGCGGTGCTCGTGCTGACAGCACCGATCCGCTTAGCATGGGTGATGGCAGCAGGCGACCAGGGTGTTCCTGCGGCTGCAGCCGCCATTTTGGCCGCCTGCCGAAAGGGAGTGTTGTCCATGCAAGACGCCTGGGGGCTCTGCGGGGGAACTATGGAGCTGGCCGCGGGGCGGTGGCTGTCGCCAGCAGCTGGCGGCGCCATCGGGACGCAGAAGACCCCTTGGCTCTGGGAGTGCGACCTTGAGGCAGGCACGATCGTAGCTGTTGTCGGAGCGGCAGACATGGATGCCGGCCGCGACGAGGATGGCGTGATGCTGTGGAAAATGATGCTGCTATGGTCATCCAGAGCTGTGCGGGGCTCTTCCTGTAGCCCAGGGAGCTGAGCAGGGGCCGCGTTGGGGACATGCGCCGCGGGCCGCAGGTCGCGGACCCCCGCGTCGCCACTTCCGCCTAGAGCAACGGAAGCGGCGATCAAGGCGAACGGGGATGCCGCAGCCTCCGAGGCCGGCGCCACAGCGGTAATGCAGAGCGGATCCGTTAGGGGCGCAACTGCGGCGCTGCTGTCAGCAGCCAGCCCGACGAGAAGGTTGGCTGCTAGGGGTTCCATCTGCGTGCTCTGCCGGTCTGCTTGCCGCTGCAGGGGTAGCGCTGCACCAGGGGCCTCGGGTGACGCTGCGGGCGAGCCTTCAGGGCAAGCAGCCGCCGGCCGGGTCCCTGGCGTGGATGCAGGCACCACAGGCGCGCCGCCGGCGCTTTCCATGTCGCGGACAGAGTCTGCCTGCATGCGCATAAGATAGGTGCGGTTAGCGAGGATGTTTGCCTGGTTTGGAAGGCCTCGAAGACGCAGCACGGGAAGTAGCACAGGAAGCGGCAAAGGGCAGCGACCGGGGACGCAATGTCATTCCAGCAGCTTACCAGCGACTCGTTTGCGAAGTTGCGTGTTACGACGGCAGCCTTGCTCGCAGCCCACCAGGCATCTATCGTGGCCAGGTGTGGCGGCAAGTCTGGCAGCTGGACACCCTGCATGTTGCAATTGGCAGGCCATCGTAAAGCACGGATGAAACACAGGCATGATCTAGGCAGCACAGCCACCTGAAGGACCCCAAGCGCATGCCGTACCCTGCCAAACCCTAACGCTTGCGTGCATGGGCCTGCACCGGCAGCCGCACCTGCTGCATCGCGTGGCTCCGCAGCTCCAGCACGTCCCACACCTTGATACCGCCGGCCGCGCTGCCCGTGGCCAGACGCAGACCGCATGCGTCCACGGCCGTCAGGCGGCCCTTGTGCGCTCGAAAGTGAGCGCAGGGCAAGTCCAGCGCCGGTGCCTGTCAGCAGCCAGGGTTTCAAAGGAAACGCGATTTGGGCCGGCTTCAGGCATGTTGCGTGTGCCGTGTCGGTACGGCATATCCAAGCCCATATTGCAGTTTGGCGAAAACTCACCGTGGCGCATGCTGAGGCTACTTTGCCGCCCTCCGTCGCCTGTTTAACTCCGTTGGCTGGAAGCCATGGCAGCTTCGGCACGTCCAAGTGGGTCGGAAGCTTCGCTATTGCTAGCTGTCCGCTCGCCCTAGCAGCGACCAGCAGACCCAAATCGGGGTAGACGTACAGGCCCCTGAAGCAGCAGCAAGATGACTTCGATCTCAAGCATGAAACGTATGGCTTACTTGCCGAAGACCCCAACATGGGTTCCCGAACAGCAAAAGCCCGTCGTTGAGGCCGCACCCACCGTATAAGGTGTGCACTAGAAGCCTTCGGCGCCGCGGGAATGGCCACCACAACGCACAGCAGCTGTAACTGTCCGTGCGAGGCGTCCCACAGGAGGACCGCCCCGCGGGACGTCCCTGTCAGCAACCGCCATTGCAGCTGGCTCCGATCATGGTCATCCCGCCGGCCCACAGCGGCTAGCCCGCCCCCTGCATGGGCCGCTACCTCCTGTTCCGTAGCCTCCTGCTCATGCCAATCCTGCTTGCCACTCCTGCTCTGCTGCTCCTCCTGCGATATCCGCTGCATGCTGCTGGCGTCTAGACTGACGGCGTTGAAGCTACACGGAGGCGCAGTAGCGCCGTTCGCACTCGCGCAACCTGCAGTCTCGGGTTCACGTCCGGCAGCGCCGTTCCCTGCTTTCGCAGGTGCCTTATTGTCAGGCAGCGCCCCCTGCTGTACGGCAGACGCCGTGCCATGTGCGTTTGTCTGCGCTCCGGCAGGCCATGGCAGCACCGCCAGGGCCGTCATGTAGCCGTAGTCTGTGTTTGTGGTGACCGCACGGACCCGCTGGTCGGAGGAGCTGATGAGGCACAGGCTGCCCCCGTCGCTGGATCCCATGATAAAGCCCTGGGGTTGGGGTTTGCGTTGCGACACAGCTTGGTAAATCAAGCACACCAAGCAGGATGAAACAACTGATGGATACAGCCTCAGTTGCCCGTTCCTGCTAAGAAAGAAGCAAGACGGTCGCCGGTGTTGCTTACCTGATAGGAAATAATGGCTACCACGGCCTGCTGGCCGCCCATGGCGCCAGCCTTGCTACGATCGGCGGATCTCAGCCCACAGGCCAGCCCGCCTCCGCAGCCGAAGGCTTTCATCTCTGCATGCGTACCATACCCTGCGCCCGTGCTGCCACCGCCAGCCTCCTCAAACGGCTGCAGCACCTCCGCGGCAAACGGCTCGACCTGGTACGAGATGATCCGTCCTGCATGGTCACCACCAACATCTTGTAAAGGTGACCCAGATCGACCCTGATCGGCTTGACACGAGCAAAGACACAGCTTTGCACCGTGCCATCAATCGGGGTTTCCCAAAGGAGGACAGTGCTCTACCTTTGCTGTCCCCGATCCAGAGCTTCCCGGTGGCCTCCACGCATACAGCGGTGACGGCAGCATTAGTGCATGCAAATGTCTCGGGCGGCATGCCCGGCCGAGCGTGCGAGCACGCCATGATGCTGCCGTCGCCGTGGCCCGTGTAGAGGGTGCGTGAGGAGCGGTCCACAGCAGCAGCTGAAGTGGGCGGAGCAGTAGGAAGCAGAACAGGTCAGGTTAGCGGAGCTGGCTTATGGATTACAGCGGAACAGCACATAGCGTTGCCTCAAGCACGCAAGCAGCATGGGGCATCCATCGTTGCAAGTGGGTCATACCGGTGATGTGCTCTGCCGCTGTGCTGAACGGCAGGCAGTTCTCGCAGCCTCCGATGGAGCTGTATGCGAGCAAGGAGCCCACACCGCCCGGTCGCCCACGCGGCGAAACGGGAGGGCCTGATGCATGTGACCGCTTTGCCTGCGGTCGGAGAGAACACCTCGTAAGCAACGTCTAGCAGCGACAACAGCCATGCACGCGTCACCCCAGCAGTCCTCGCTGTGCTGAAGCGCAAACACCACCACGGTTGTGTATGGGCAGGCGCCATGCCTGCGGGCAAGCAATGTGCATGGGGCAGACACAGCTGCCCAGATCCCCGCTCGCAGCCCACCTGCAAGGAGGGGTTGCCCAGCACCGCCATCAGCATGGCAGGCGCAGCCCCCGAGTCACCCTCCACAGCCTGGCTCCATGCCGTAATGGAATGAATCCTTGCGCTATCATCGCAGCAGCCGGCCGTTTCAGGCTGGTGGCAGGTGGGTGCCAGGAGTTGCTCAAGGTTTCCTTCGTGCAGGCGAGCGAACCCCGAGGGCACAAACCAGAGCCGCTCGACAGATGCACGGCCGCCGCTGGGCCTGCAGGAATCAAGTGCGCGGGTGGGCGACCCCTTGAGTGACCCGAGACTGCTTGGAAGTCGTGGCGACGACCCAGATGGCAAAAGCAGTGGCAGCTGGCAGGGAAGCCAACCACGAGGGCTTCAGGAGGCCTACCTTAGGGCTCCGGAAGGGAACGTGTCCAGCGCGGTTGACGGGCCGCACATGGGCGGGGCCAGACACGTTGGGCGTGCATAGGGGCTTCCGGCACAACAGGGTGAAGACCCACGGGTCATAGCAGGAGTGCAATCCTCCCCGCAGCTCTTGCGGCCGTCAACGCGCTGATGGCAAGCGGGTACAAGCGCTTGCTGGCAGTTAGTCAGCGCCGTGTAAGCCGACTCGCCACGCTGTACGGATGACCCAGTTCCACAGCTTGGCACATCAGCGAAGACACAGCTTCTAGACGCGGCTGAAGCACCCATGCAAGGTAGCAGCAACTGCTGATGAAGCTCCGGGTCCAAGGAGCTCTCGATCTCGTGCTGCGCATCACTGTCCATGCGGGGAAAAGAGGGCGACCCAGATAAGGTTAGACCGAGAATGCTGCACTGCCTCTGTGTGGGGAAGGTAAGTGCTATAAGGGCGGCAGTTCCATCTGCGTGTTCATTGGGGCTCCTTTCAACAGCGCACCTGATGAGCTGCCAGAGGGCGTGGCGTCGCAGAGCTGTCAAGATGTGGTGCCACTGGGACTCACGTGCGGCCGCACATGGCCGCAATATCTTGCAGGCATGCCCGGCCGCATGAGTCAGGCGCTTTGCTCCATCCAGTACTTGTGCTGGGTTCACGAACGCGGCCCGTTGTGCCTGGTGACACCCCGGGTAACAAGTTTGTCTTAAGGTATAACACCTATAGCTCAGGTAACCAGCAGCAAGCTAAGGTCAACACGTGACATCGGTGGAGGGTCTACGGATGGCACTCCCTTCGGCTTTACCTCCCCGCCAGAGACCGTGAACGGGGATATGCTTAAGCAGGGCTTATGTGTGATAAGTGAACAAGTAACAATGCCCACATCTGCTTCCAGGCCGCTTCCACATCGTCAACTGCATTCTGCACCCAACAAAGTATGCTCCAGCTTACCCGCGCAAGGCAGCCAAGGGAATAGTTCGCCGAGGTCACCAAATCCAGGCATTTTCGCTTGTAAAAACAGCTGAGGGATCCAAGAGCTTGAAGTTGTAAAACCTGGCAGAGGATTCATCCGACTCAACTGTCAGCACGCTGCTAATGGCCTGCCCGGATAAGACATGCTATAAAGCGTGTCAATCTAACCTGATCATGTGCTTCCGCAAGCGCAATATTTACGTGCTCCAGCTTGCCAAAATGGTCCAAGGCGCTGCTGGACCCGCAGATCATGAGCTCATAACGCTGCGTGTATACGTATGGGTAATAATGGCATCCTCCAAGCTAAAAACCGAATAAAGGTAAGCTTTTTAGGAAGGGGCTCGTTGTATCCTAACAAACTTCAGCAACGCTAACAGCCAGGGTTAAGCTATACCGATTGAAGAAATATATATTTGTTGATGTTCATACCCAAGGCTGTTGGAAATGACCTACCTGGTTGTCGTCCCTTGGAATTCCTATGCATACGGCTTGTAGTGCATGTTTATAATTAACTCAAAAGCTTTAAATGTGGCTGCTTTTTGACATTTGCATGCCTTAGGGTAGAACCGAGTCGATCAATGAAGCTGTATCGCCTTTGTCCAACCCGAACCCCATCCCTTTCACACTAAAGTGCTAACCGTCGCCATGTTCCTCTCTGAGAGTGTAAAACGCTGTGCCGCTATGCCATGTTCATGCGCATGTGTTAGCCCTACAGCTGTATTGGATACCAGTGCCGGGTTGCCGCAGTGGTTAAGCCGAATGAAGCGTTTTCCTCATGAGCGCTATTCGCATTGATTCCCATGGCTTGCATGGTACCGTGCCTTAGGCATCGGACAGCGGTTGTGGCGCTTCGTATTTCCTTGTTGTTACTTATTTGCATAATAGTATATGACGGCAAGGATAATCTGTAGATAAGCGAACTAGATAACTAGTACCCGGGATTCGGGCGTTCTTTCTCCAATTAGCTAGTTGTTGAATCTTAGGTCTCGGAGCAGGCCATGTCAAGTATCGGGTAAGTCCCGGGTGGCCTCCTGCATACTTGCAATTCCCAGCACGGGTCAGCACTGCTGACCCGTTACTCTAAAGTCATCATCGTATAAAGCCGTCTTAGCGTTCGTATCGACGTTGAGCAGGCGAGTGGGAACGAGTGGAAACCGTTTCCCTCGACGCACACCACTCACCGCTGCTTGCTAACCATGTCTTGCATTGTACTAAACATGCAGGTCGCGCAATTATTGGTAATCGTGGGGGCCGAACATGGAGCCATGGGAATGCGACCCTGAAATGGTCCGCGCCCTCGAGGATTTCCTTCTGCAGCGGCCAAGGAACTATGGGCTGGATGATCCTATGACTGACCTGTCAGCCGTTTCCCAACAAAATACAGATCTTCACGTCTTTGGCGTACCGGTAGACCAGGGTGACATGGGTGCAGCAACCGGAGCCCTTGGAATCGGGGCCAGCCCTCACAGCCTACAAGATCCATCACACCAACACGCAGCAGGTTTTGGCTCAGGCGATGGCGCTGCCGGAGCAATCCCAATTCAAGCAACCCCAGGTGGAGCGGGACAACAAGCGACAGCCATCCTGTCTTCTGGTCCAACCGAACCAGTGCACGCTATCCCAGACCCCAGCCCACCTTTTCTTGCAGCTGGGGCAGGCTATGCGGCAGCTGGGGCAGGCTATGCGGCAGCTGGTGCCTTGCTCCCCGGGCAGCCGCAGGGAAACCCCGCTGGCCACTGTGGTTCTCAATACGGGTCGTATAGCCATGAGTTGGGGTCTCCAACCCAGCCTCCGGTTCTTCAACATGCCTGCTACCAGCAACCGCTGCCGCAGCAACACCCGTTGGCTCCGCCGCCGCAGCACCATTCATTGGCGCCGCAGCAGGGGCAGCCATCAATGAATGGGTATCCTTGTGCCCATGTCGCGGGCGCTGCAGGCCTGGCGGCGGCTGCCAGCTGGAACCCCGCAGCACTGCTGGCTTGCTCAGCCTACGGAATGGCAGCTGACTCCACCGGTATCCCCACAGCTGCTCAACTCACTGGGACAGGGTACAACGCGTCGCAACTAGCAGGGGTCTTCCCACACGGGGCGAGTACACTGGCTCACCCGCAATTGCTGCAGCAGCAGCTGCTGCTGCTGCTGCAGTTGGCCGCAGCGCAGCAGCTGCAGCAGCAGCAACCTCGACAGCTCCAGCAGCCAAGCCCCTCAGGCGCAAGCGAGCCAGGCTTGCGCCAACCTCTGGCTGAGAGCCTCAAGCTGAGGCCCAGTGTGGGTAAGCCGCAGCAGGACACGGTTGTGAGCGGCGTTGGCCGCCTCCTAGCGGGTTTCGAGGAGGGCGGGTCCTGCAGCCTGGAGAGCTTGGCCAAGGAGTGGCAGGACAACCCTGACCCGGAGCGGCAGTTCGCGTTCCTGGCGGCTGACAACCTGGATAATGAGCGCAGCAACATGAGTGAGTGCGATGACTAGGGAAGCTTGCCGTACTAGACGTGTATCAGAAAGACGCTCGGCACCGTGCAAGGGTTACTCGTTGCCCATGTTTTGCGTTTCGCGGCACGCCAACGCCTCGTAAGGGCTTTGCAACCGAAAGGGTGTTCCTGTACTCTTTCTTTCTTTCAGATGCTGTCGACAAGGGCCGCCAACCTGTCCAGCTGGATGAAAAGACCTACGTTGTCAGCCACTCGGGAGGCAGGTGCACCTGCGAAGTTACTTACTGCGACAAGTGCAAGGATGCAGGACATGAGTACGACACGGTAAGCCCGAGCACAGCCGTCTTTCACAGCAGCACATCCGTGCTAAGCGCTCGGGGATTCCCAAGCAATCCGTGACTGCGTTGGTCTGCTCTAATGGAAAGGACCTTGCTTGGGGACCAAGGCGTTTCTTCTTGGCTGAAGTAAGCTTTGTTGCCATTAAGGCCCGCTTGCTGCATGCCATGTTGTCGCAGATTAACAAATACTTGTTGGCCTTTAAGGAACAGCCCAGCGGAAGAGAGGCGGATAAGCTGACGTTTCGTGGCGACATCAAGCTGTGGGTCCCCAAGCAACCGCGCGCGGTGCTGTGGCACGTGAAACCCCGCGTGCGCGACCCCAAAGCGCGTAGCCGCTCCAAAAGAACCGGCACCGCCGAGGAAGCCGCCGCCGCAGCATCGGAGGAGACGGTTCCGGAGGCAGCGGCAAGGAGGCATCAGACCGGTGGCAAGGCCGCTGCAGCTAGCCGCCGCCGGGACGCCAAACGCACGCGTACCGCCACTCACAGCCCCGCAACAGCCGCAGGTGCCGTACATGCCGCAGGCGCCCCCCAGCATCCGCAACCGGGTTCGCCGCAGGTCCCCGGACCGGGTGCGGCCGAGGTGGCGGAGGCCTGGTTTCCCAGCCTGGAGGATGTCTTTAATCACCTGCAGGGCTGCGGCCCGCCCGCCGCCTTCCAGCAGCTGCTGCTGCAGATACCGCTGGACCACCTGCTGCAGATGCGCTGCCCGCGGGACGGGCAGTGCATCGCGCACCTGCTGGTGACGCCGCCCAGACAGCTGGCGGTGGTGCTGGGGCGGCGGGACGACGACTCGCAGCCGCCCTGGGACCCGGACGAGGGGATGTTGGAGAAGGATGCGGTGCAGCTGATAAAGGTGGGCTCTGTGGGGGGTGCACGTGTTGCTGGAATGCGCGGATGGGCGGGAGCAGAGAGCTGTGCTGGGCATGTGGGGGGGGGGGCCCTATGGTCGTCTTGCGGTATATTTGCGCGGGGGGGGGGGTCCTATGGGGAGCAGCGTGACGCGACGTCCCGAGTCCCGAGGAGCAGTGCAATGAGCAAGGCAGAACGGTGCAGCACGCGGTTGTCATCTGGGGAATCCCGCGTCACACGTTCCAAATGCCCCCGGCAATGCAGGTGTTCATCTTGCATCTGGAGAACCAGCTGGGTCCGGGTAAGGGCGTGCAGGCGTGGCGGCAGCTGCTGCAGCAGCAGGACGGGCGGCACATGGCCAACGCAGTGCACCGGGCGGGGCGCTTCGGCCACCGACTGGCGGTGCTTCAGGAGTGCGTGCTGCCGTACGCGTCAAGGTGGGCGAACGGTGGGGGCTGCTGCGCTGTGTACGCCACCAAACGGGTCGGGGCGAGGGGGGCGGGGGGAAGCGACCTTAATGGGTACTGCAAGCCTCCGCCACAGCTGCATTCGCCGTTGCGCATGCATATTTCGAACCGCTGTGTACTCTGGAAGGTGGTTTTCATTCGTATAACACTCATGCTGCTGTTACTGAGATATGGTTTAGTCGTGCGCTTCCCTCTCCTCTTCGCCCACTCCTGCTGCAGGTCCGCTCTGCTGCAGGTGACAGCCCACCTCTACACGCCCTTCCACTCCGCCTTCCGCACCGGCAGGGAGGACGCCGGCCGCCTGCTGCTGGGAGCGGCCCTCGCCGCCCTGCGAGACGTCGCCGCCTGCACGGATCCCTGCGTCGGCAGCGTCCTGCTCAAGACAGCGGCCGGCAGCTCCGCGCCCCTGCGGCAGCTGGCCTGCAGGGCGGTGTACCTGCTGAAGAACAAGTATTTCAGGGGGACCAACAAAGACGGGTACCGCTCACCAGATGGCCGTTCGGGGTATGCGCTGCTCAGCGCCGCCTGTCAGGCGGAGCTGCCGGGCGTTGTGGAGCTTGCTGGGCTTGCTGTGGGAGCTGGGGCTTCCGGCTCCGGAGGGACTTTGCCGGGACTTGGCAGCGTGCAGGTGGGCCCGGAGCTGTCCTTCCCCGCGCCGCCCCCGCTGAACAAGAAGAACAAGCAGTTCGACTTGGGCAAGCTCAGCATGCTGGTTGACATCCTGGACTACAGCCAGCCGCGACCCATGGCGCCCCTGGGAACGGCGGCTGCAGCGCAGCACCGGCAGTAGCCAGGCGGGGCTGGCAGCAGCTGTCGTAAGAGATGGACTGTGGCGGCATTCGGAGCTAGGGCCCATGCCGCGGGCGATGAGGGTGTCCAGGAGCCTTGTTTTTGGTCTCGGATTGGTTGTGCGATGCGGCGCAGGTGTTGAAGTCCATTGGCTGACCCATGGGTCGTTTGGAGATTGTATTCAACCCTATTGTATGTTGTTGGTGACGCAGGTTGTTCCTTTCACGTAGGAAACAGACGCATAGTATGAGTCGCAGTCGCTGCATGGGAACATTGCCCTTAATTGGCCATACATTGTGACTTGGTGGTCTGGTCTTCTTTTGCATGGGGCCGGCTGTCGGTGAGTACCGGTAGGTCTGCCATGTGCCCGCAGCTTGACACACAAGCAAACTGCGTTGGTCTTTTGATACAGTAATGGAATAGGCGTCTTGTTGACACGTATAGTTCTTGGCTGCAGGTTCTTTACTGCTAAGGACGTATTAATGTGGCACCAGCATATGGCAGCAGTGTTTGGGCTTTGCTTTAACCTTCCTCCGCGTATAGCTAGCCTTAGCCTGCGCATGTAGCTAGTCTTGATCGCTAGACGTTGGAGGGCCTTTATTGATTCTCGTTGTATGCTCGTAATCCCCCCGTCCACAGTTAAGCCAGCGTTGGCGAAAGTGAGAGAAAGAGAGTTCCTGGCTTTGCCTTGGCCTGGCGAGTTTGAATAACAGAGTAAGTGGTTGCTGCCGTAACTTTCAGGTCTTTCAGGTTGTCCTTCCGAGCCTTGTGATTAGACTCCTCGCCATTGACACAGCCCCAATCATGCAAGGTTGTGTGCATAGCTTCAGTAAGGTATTCATTTGGAAATCCGTCAAGCTAGGTCAAGCATTGCGCCGGTGTATTGGCAAATGGCTGTAGCTCGCTTGCTGCGGTTGCTTGGGGAGGCCTGCGGGGCGCGTGTTAGCCGTGTCAAAGCAAGCTCCTGCGCGCTTGGGCTCAGGAGGGTTGGTTGGTTGGGTTCGCCATGTGGGCAAACGTGGATGGTTTGTTCCTGTTGTATACAGACCCGCATGGTTACTGTAAGCCTCAGCAGCACATGTGGCGGTCAGCTGAGACCGAAGCCGGTTCCCGAGTAGGGCTTCCTGGAGAGCTGCACGCCGGTGTTGTTCGTGTGGGCGTGTGATGCGCCTAGCTTAAACGTTAGGTCATAGTATCCAGCTTCCACCCTATTGACTGGGCATCCAGGGCTTTCATGATCCTAGGCAACGACAAGGTATAGTTACCGGTACGATTAAGATTGCATGGTACGGTGTAGGGCCCTCTCGCCCTATTTATGTAGTATATTGCTTCTCGTACAGCGGCAGTAGCATCCTTCGCCAGGGCATGTCCCAAGCGCATTAACAAGCAGGGCGCCAACTGCTAAGCCATTGGCAACATGTGCTTGCGTAGTCACAACTTCAGCAGAAATTCCAAATATTTGTGTACAAATTAAGACAGTTAAGGACGCAAAGACTTTCGGCTTTTGAGAGCTAGACTAACTGTAATAGCGACTACCTACTCTTTCCGTTCAAATGTTTCGAAATATCCTACAGTCCCTTTCCTTAAGGGTTCCATGGGCCATCGCAGTGTGCAGCTTGGTTGCCGCAGTCCACCCACACTTCATTGCTGTGGGAACTGGTCTCTTTGTTCGGACAGGGGTAACAGAGCTTGAAGAAAGCCTACGTTTCCTGGTGCGTAACGGACTTGATTGATCCTCCTGTGGCGTACTGACTGCCGACTGTCATCTGTAGACAGACGTCTTCGTGATGATGACCGACAAAATAAATTACTTTTGGTCTTTCGCGATGTTGGACTGACGCGGTCCCAATGACAACACCTTCATCCTCTCCGTATGCAGGGCACAGGAGCATGGCTTACTTTGCTGGGATATTACTGCTCCCAATTCGTACCGGCGCTTTCCGAGCCCCGGCAGGCGTACCTGTTAGCTCTGTCGGCCCTAACGTTCACGCAACAACTTGTGATGGGCGCCGGTGTGGCAGTTTATGGAACACGGTATAGCTCAATTCTAGCGGTCAAGTTCACAGCTTGCCTCCTTCTCCTGTTTCATGACCCAGCCCTGAGAGAGGAGAAGGTACTGCCGGTGCAACAGCCACAGCTGCAGCAGCCGCAGCAGCAGTCAACTCGGGCCAAATGGGTCTTGGGCGTCTGCACCCATGGTTTATGGCTGCTGTACGCACTTTTCTTCACGCTGTTGCATGCATCGCCCGACGACGAGCTGGTTTGGCCGTACGGTGTTGCGGCTGCGCTGACGTACACGGTGGCGGTGGCTCGGCTTGGGATGTTCATCAGGGCACGGTACGTCGAAGCCCGTGCCACCCGGGATTAACTTAATGCTAGCCTGTAAAGCAGATCTGGGCGCCACCCAGGAAGTTATAACGTCCGGATTCTAAGGAACACCAGGGTATAAGGAAGCGGGCGGCATTTTTGCGCTTTATTAACTTACCACCAGTGGTTTACCCTGTGAGCCAAATGCTATGTCATCTGACGAAGAACGGCGTTAGTAGCAGCCATTGCTGCATGGGTGTTGCTGCCTTGTTGTACGCCGTGCTCTTGCTTATCATCTACTTTGTGTGATTCTTTGATAGACTGAGCACGTGAGCTGAACATGCTCTTGAGGTACAGATGCTTCATTCATAAGTACACCTGGCGGGTTTGCTGTTCAGCGGGTGTGATGCCTGCTACCCATCCAGGCTGCATTGACGTTTAATTGACAGTTTCACTTAGGATTGACGCAGTCTATTGTACAGGTGCCATTCTGAGAGGTGGTGGCTTGCGTTTACGCGCACTTTGTTGTGTTGTTGGGTTTGGACTGCATGGCTAATCCCGCACCGCTGTTGCTTTGTAGAACCGTTGGCAGAAATAGTGTCTGTGAGCTAGGGCTGTATTGGCCCTTTCTGGCATCGGATGCATGCAAGGGTTTATGAAGGTGGTAAAGTTGGCACGGACGTCCCGGCTGCACGGTTGAGCGATGTGCAGCGGGTTTGAAAACGTGCATATATGCCTTCTGTAGCACACGGGGGCCTGCTCCCTGTCCCAGTTGTCATTTGAAATGTGCATCTTACGGGGTGCACGCCGGCACCCCAGGTACAGCAACACTTGACGTGCGCGCAGGCAACCCAAGTCTCTCTGATCCCAACAAGCGCACCTCTTTGGCGCCCATGGGGAAAGTGTTGATGGACAGGTACAATGAGAAACAATACAACACGCTAGCACATGTTCAACGACTGAAGTGAGTGCTGATACGCGTGAGAGCCCTACGACTCCTTCCCTCATGCCGTACAACCTAAATCCTGCGAACACTAACAAACAGAGCCGACAGTAGACGCCCTTGAGAGGCGTCCAGAAGATTGGCACAGGGCCTAAGATATAAACGAAACATTGGCTAAACCATATGGACAAAAGCGTCATGGCATTTGTCATGCTAGCGAAGCAAGGTACGGCGGCTACCGTATACTATTTCCTCTGCTGTGCAAACCGCTTTGCAGCAGCGGCGCTGTACATTCTACACTACGAGTCGAACATGCTACATGGCACTATGCCCCGCGCCTGCCTGGCACTATACGGCTGGGGAATGCGACAATCACCTCTTGCGCATGTGGCCACAACTGTGGCTTGTCGTAAACCTACTCCGACGGCTCTTACTAAGTGCACTGCTCCTGCTGTTATATTACAAGCATTATGCCTGCCAAACTGCTACCTGAGTACCTGTGCTTGCTGGAGCTCTGTCTTGGCCCTTCTCGACAAGCGCTGTGGGACCGACCCATGGGTCAGGCTCCAGTGACCAACGCACCTGCAGTCGGGCCGGCGGCCGCAGGAAGTGAGCTAGCGACGCCGCTGGGCAGGGCAGGGCCCTACCGTTCTGCATACGCGTTTTGTTGGCGCTGCGGGAACCCCTGCTATTGCTGCTCCTGCTGTGAAGGACGCGGCTCCGGCGGCTGTGCGGCTTGTTGGGGTGCCCCTGCTGCTGCAGGCGCGGCTGCTGCTGCCGTGGATGACAGGTTCGACACCAGTCGGATGTAGTAGCGGCTGGGGTCGTGGGGGTCACGGCGGAACCTCACCACGTCGCCCGGCTTGTAGCCCAGATGCTGCTGCACGGGGCCGTAGCCGTACCCCACGGTGTTTCCCTTCTTGTCGTGCCGGCCCACCGTAATCTGCGGTGGGTGCACGTGTGCGGAGGATGAAGAACACAATGGAAGGTGTGGGAGAGTAGGTGCGGACTACAGGCACACAGGTACGCGCATCCGCAGTTAGGGAGTTGAGTGCACGAAGGAGGGTGGCTGCCTGGCTGAGCAGCATCACAGGGTGGCCGGGAAGCATCACAGCGCATGCAAGGACGTGGACCTCAGTGGACACCCGAAGCCCCTCTGGTGGCCCCTTACCTGCCAGGAGGGTTGCGGATCGGGGCTTGGCTGCTGGCTGCTTCCATCGCCGCCTCCATTGCCGCCGCCGCCGTGGCAGCTGCCGGAGCCGCCGGGGAGCGGGTGAGGGTCGCGTTCCGAGTCCAGCAGGAGGGTGAAGGCCATCATGGTGGGGTCGTCCAGAAGGGGTTTAAAGGCGGTGGACAGCATGTCTTGGGTGAATTTCACACGCCTGTGCTTCACTGCGGGCGAGCGGGAGGGCGGAAACGCATGCCCCTTAACGAACAATACCCGACCGAATGACGGTGCTTACATCGCGACACTAGCAAAAGAGGGAAAGGACTTCGCGAGCACTGTTTTGTTTGGAGCAATGCCTTCAGCAAGCAGTGCCCGCAGTCCTTTGACATGCCCCAACACTCAACTGTTGTAATTCATAATCTTCCTGAAACAGATCAGGTCGTCAGGGCTGCTGCCACCCGCAGCCGCCACACCACCAGCGCTAGCAGCAGCGTCGACACGGCGCTGCTTCGCCGGACGCGCAGCCTGCCCGCCTTCAGCCTCTGCGGTCCCTGGTCCCGCTGCTGCAGCCGCAGCCGCCTGCGGCTCTGCCGTCGTGGTCCCGTTATCCCGAACATGGGCCTCGTCGCTGCTTCCCACACGCTTCCCGACAACTGCCCCCCGCGGCTGAGCTTCCGGCAGGGCTGAACCAGGGTGGTTGCTGGCTGCACCGGGGCGGCCCGGGTGGCGCTGGGTGGGAGTGGCAGGGCCGCTGCACGCCGCAGCACTGGCCGGGTGCTGCTGTGGCTGCTGCTGCTGTGGGGCTGAAGCAGCTCCCGTTGCTGCTGCTCCCGTTGCTGCTGGGTCTGCTGCTCTCGCTGCTGCTGCTGCTTCGGCGGCCAGAGCTGAAGCAGCGTCCCCCGGCAGCAGGCGTACGAAGTAGCGGAGCGGGCCGCTGGTGTCGCGGCGGAAGGCCAGCACGCTGCCGGCACCGTAGCGCAGCCGCTCCTGGACGGGGCCGAACCCGTAGCCGTAGGTCCTGCGTTTCCTGTGATCGTTCAAGCGAATCTGCGGGCAGCGCAGATGCAGGGGGAATGCACATGCGGCTGCACGTTAGCAGGACGTCAGGGGGTTTGCAGCCATGATGAGCACAACATGCACCTTAACCTGGAAGAAGGCATGGTGCCGCCTCCCCCGCCCCACCTTCCATGATGTTTGCTGGTCTGACCCCTGTTGCCGCTCCTGCTGCTGCCCGCCCTGTTGCTGCTCTTGCCGGTGTTGCGGGTCCCTGGGGTCCAGCGAGAGGGTGAACGCGGTGGTGGTGGGGTCCGTCCGCAGGTCCTTGAACACGGTGCGCATCATGTGCGCGGTGAACTGGATGCTCTTGCACGCCACTGCAGCCGCAGGAAGGGGCAGACGAGGGCAAACGGAGCATGGCGCTGAGGGAAGGACCGGATGCGGCAAGAAGGCGGCTTTTACCCCAGCTGAAAGGCACTCGCATGTAGACGGGAATGAAGGGCGCGCATCGCAACGCAGGGAAACCGCACCGCTCCGGGGCTTCCCTTCCTCACCGTTTGATGGCACCAACTTGTGGTAGCAGACCTCATCGGATTGCCCCTGCCTCTCCGCGTCGCCATGGGCGTTAGGGCTGCCAGCGTCAGGGCTGTCCCCGCCACCTTGGCGGGCCCCCGTCCGCGTTGCCGGCCGGGTGCCGGGCGCACCCAGGGCAGCGGACGCAGGGGTAGGTACCTGCGGCGAACGCTGCTCAACTGACCTTGAACCGGTCTCTCCCAAGTCGTCGGGCAGGCCATACATGCCAGCCGTCCCTTCTCCCGTACCCCAGCCGTTGCTGGTGCCCTGGCTACTGCTGCTGCACTCACAGGCTGCTGCCGCTTCCGCGCGTCCCTCCGGCTCCAGCTCTGCCAGGCAAAGGTCCTCGGATGCCGACCGCGGCGGTTGTGCTGAGGTGCAGCCGCGGCGCAGGCAGACGTCGAAGATGGCGGTGTCACCGTCGCCATGCGGTGAGAAGATGAGCACGTCCCCCTCCTCAACTGGGCCGCCGCACACGTGTTTGAAATGCCGAGTGAGGGAGCTCATCTGCGTCAGCTGGAGGTACGGCCACTCTGGGTACGCGGCCGCTGTCACCTGCACGTCGGGCCCGGACAAGCATGGGTACAAGCAGCAACGTTCAACCAGATGACAGCCTAACGTCTCGCCGGTCGGCGGCAACCAAGGGCCGTTTCGCATGGAGGTCTTTACTCTCTTTAGGGAGCAGCTTATGTCTAATGCAGGTGGATCATGCCCTGACGAACAAGTACGCATACTTAACATGCCAGCAAGCCCCTGACGTCGTGGGCCTAGACGTCTCTAGCTGCGAGAGACAGCATCAACTGTTAACCGTCATACTCACAACGAACACGGTGGCGCAGGTGGGGTCCCTGATCCTGATGGGCATCTCGCTAGGCTGCCCTTGCTGCATGCTCTCGTATAGGTGCGCGTAAATGCCAGCAAAGACACCGCATGGGCTCCTCCACATCCCGATGGAGCTGATGAGCGAGCCGTTGTCGACTACGATCGCAGCAAGAAGATGACACTATTTCATTTGATCAGTGATATATAGTGAAGTCAGACTTACGTTCCCATTTGGTAAGCGCCTTTGAGTTCAGCATGTGGAACCCCTGTAGGGCGGGTACCGCCCGTTCACAGTCACATGCCATTGCCATGCTAGTTATGTTGCAGATACCGAGAGCTTAAGAGTAAAGCGCTTATGTCTCCTCAAGAAGACAGACAAGCGCAGGATAGAGCCCTAGTCATGTACCAAGCTTCTGGTCACACCGCCAACGTCTGATCATAAGCTTATATGAAAGGTATTAACTGTATATTGTCAGAAGGGCTGGAAGGTAAGAAGATCAAGGCAATACGCATTGGGAGGGAAGCCGGTGAACGTTCCAGGCGATGAGTTGGGACGCCACAAGGATTTCCGTTGTCCGAAGTAAATGCTTTGTCCTACTGCCGTTGGGCGACACAGAACATGTTGCACCCGCATTTCATTTTATGCCGTCCGTACGCGACCTTATCGAGGTTGCAATGAGCTCTGAGTGACTTCCATAACGTCACGAAGCCCGGTTGCTTTACGGTGTTTTGCCTGCAGTGCATAACCGTGCTGCCAGGCATGCTGTGCTTGGCTTGAAATATGCAGCTGGTCAGAGCACCAGGTTGAGGGCAACACACTGGAAATGCGGTTGACAGAGCTGCCTGTTCCATCCATAAGAAATACGCCACCGTACCGAATGATGAGCTACAAAGCAGTTTCAAATGCTGTCTGTCGTGGTTGGATTCCTTCGTACAACATGAAGTGAACGAGTGCCAGATCTGTTACGGTGCTTTTCATATTTTTCATGGTATGACGGGTAATTAAATAGACACAACTCAACAGGAGCTCTAACGCGTGATTCCCAGTTGTGAAGCGGGTCTACAGCAAGTAGCTTATCCTGTAACCCACAGCTGTTAAAGGCGTTAAGCATTTGCTGGATGCGCTCCTAGGCCTCAACACAACGGCAACCAGCTACAAAGATCTGCATACCAAAGTAAGGGCTTGTTTGTAAGGAGTGAGAGCAGCAGTTCGCAACCGACTTGTGATGACTTCTACAGTTAACCGTCAAAAGCACTGCTTTTATCCGCCTTCACGCAACCATGATTCGTTGAAACGTAGAATACCGTAAGGCAACACAACTGCAATCTCGGTATATAGAAGTATGGCAGGCGCATTGCGGCGATAAACAAGCAGGCGATGTAATGATGTAATCTACACTATAAAGCCACCACCGGTAATTCCAAGAAGAGGCCCCAAGAACTGTACCATAGCATACTCCGCCGTGCCGCGCCAAGCAAAACTTCTTCCAAGCTGGCCTGGCTACCACAGGCTAATTTGTGAAGCCGGCGGATGGGCGTGCCAAGCCGGACGGCCACTCGACACAGCCATGGTAAGCTCCTCGCCCGTCGCCCCGGTGCTGCCGCCTTCAGAGCCATAGCCATCGCTGCTGCTCGTTGTGCCGCTGTTCCGCCGCTGCCGCCGCTGATGCTGGTGGTACTGCACGTCCACGTCGTGCTGCACGGCGCGTCGGCGTTTGTGGGGCGCGTCATGGCGTCGGGCCTGAGCAGCAGCCGGGTACTCACCATGCCGGCCTGCAGCTGCTGCCGGACCCCGCGGCACTGCTCCATGCTGCCGGCGCTGAAGCTCCTGCGCCAGGTGGCCGCCACCCTGGGCTGGCGCACGTGGCGGGGGCATAAGGCCAGCACCCCCTGCCGCGGCCTCTGCAGCGGCCCCCTCGTGGTTCACAATACCGCGATTAGGGTGCCGCGGCGCCTGCCTGGCTGGCTGGTTCAGCGGCTGCTGCTGCTGCTGCTCGTATCGCAGACCCACAAGTTCTCCATCAGCGTGGAAGATTTGCTCCATGGGCACACGGAGGTCCTGTTGCAGGAAGGCTTCCGCCCTCGTCTGCCCCCGCCACCAGTCCTCCCCGTACTCTGTCAGCAGCTGCTGCCCCTCCGCGATATGGCGGGTGGCTACCAACACTGGCAGGGGGAGACCGTGGACCAGCACGGGAAGGACCTGCGGGGAGCAACAGGTGAGGCGACAGGCGCGCGAACGCATCAGGCGGGGACAGGGCTTGCGGCCAGCCCAAGGAGGCGCCCTCAGCTCATGAACACCAAACGGGGCAACCCAGCATGACAAGACCCCACTCACCACGCAGTTGGCCTCGCCACCCTGTACCTCCACGCCCGCCTGCCGGCCGATGGAGGATCGCATGCGTGCGTCGTTGACCAGCGCTGTGGCGTTGCCGTACCCCAGCATCATGATGTCCCACTCGCCGTACGGAAGGGAGCCTGCGTAAAGGGATAGGATGGGCGTTAGCTCAGCGCCATGTTGTCTCAGGACGCGTAAATTTGCATTGAAACCTGCATCCCAAGAGCCAGGTTCGTTAAGCCATGTTTGCCCAATGCTGGTCAGCAACGGCGTCTCACCTGCTGCTGAGCCGTCGGCCTCCTTTGTTGCAGCCACCGCCCCGCTGCCAGTGTACGGCATCCGGAAGCTTCCCGCCAGCGCCTGCCACACGAATTGTACCATCTCCGGCTGGCCTCCCGCCCGGCGCAGCAGCTCCACCTGCTCCGGACTGCCCTCCGGGAAAGGTGCGCCCAGCCGGCGCACCCGCAGCGCTGCCTTGTTCCTCGGCATGACGTACCCGCCCACCACCCCCAGCGCCGACCACTGCATAATGGGCTTGGCGGCGAACAGCCCCGCACCGCCCCGCGCAGGGTCGCGGCCGGGAGCCAGGACGTCAGTCGCCAGCTAGCACTGAAGACTGCGGCAGCGGCCTGTCGGGCTGTCCGGACAGGCCTAGCAGAATTGTAAGTCTCTTGCAGATGACGTCCTGCGTGTACTCTGATTCATCCCGCAGAGAGTCGAGGTGCGCTGCTGAGGGTGGGGCGCCTGCGCTTCTGCCTCTGTCTCGCAGCAGCCGCTCCAGCGCTCGCCTGCCGCTTTCAGGTACCTGAACAATATCCTCCAGGAACATGTTCTGCAGCTTACCGCTGCGCCGCAGCTGCTCCACTTCTTCCAAGGCAGCCGACACGGCCGGCGCCAGGTCTGGGCTGAAGGTGAGGCCGCAGAGCCGCACCTCGCCCGGCGCCAGCGCAGGCAGGCAGTCGGCGGCCACGTCAGCGCTCAGAGGCCAGCCACAAAGGCCACGCGGTGCATGCTGCAGGGTCTGGGCTTGGGCCTGTCGCTCAAGTTGCAGCAAGGCTTGAGTTTGGGGCCCAAGCTGGTGCTGGAGCGGGGCCTGGGGCTGCGGGAGCTGTGGTTCAGGCTGCTGAGGAGGCGGCTGTTGGGGCTGAGGTTGTGGCAGGTGCTGAGGCCACTGCGGATGTTGGTAACGGTTCCCCGCCTGACCTCCCACCACTGCTCGGCTGCCTCCATGCCTACGTGCGTCCGCATGCATGAGCGGCAATGCAGCACATTCAGCTTCTGCGCCCGTTAACAATGGGGCCAAGATGGGGGTTGTCCCCACGGTACCAGGGCCAGCGGTCATGTTGCCATGCGTGCCGCCTTCACCTTCTTTCTCTTCGACGCCAGTGGCAGCCGCTGGCAAATGCGCTGCAGCTGACATGCAAGCACCACCGGCGCCGTCTGTTCCCACCAGCCCTAAGCCGTTGCCTTTAGCGTTGCCACGCCCTGGCTCGCTGGTACCAGCACCGGCGTCGCCACCCTCGCCAAGCCCCAAGCTATCTCGCATCTCCACCTCGGTGGGAACCGCCTGCTGGTGCACTTCCGCTGGGTCCTGACTCGCGGCCGTGCCTGCGGGCCCAAAGCCATCGCCCGCCGCGTTGCCAGCAGCTGCGTCTGCGATGCTGGGCACTATTGCACCCATCTCCGAGCGTTCAATAGCAGCAATGTCGTCGTCTTCAATTGTGCCCACAGCATCCCATGCATGCCTTATAAGGCTATCCAGGGACAGCCCGGGGCTCAGCTTAGGAGCCGTTGCGGCAACACCAACCTGGACACCGCCCAATGCTGCGGGCGCTGAGCTGGGGCCCCCATCTGGGGCGTCGTTTCGCCCAGGTGCTGCGGGAGTCACGAGTTGCTGGTTAGACACCACCAATCCTGGTGAGGTCCTGGGAACGGCGGCGGGAGTGTGTGCACCGGTTACGGGTTGCTGCTCTGGCTGTGGCGGCTGCTGCGGCCGTGGCGGCTGCGTGTTGGGAAGTGCCAGCGCTCCAGCAGCGGCAGGGTCCTCACCGGTTCCAGGCCTTGGCATCAGCGCACGAAGTAGCGGTGTGGACCGCTCGGGTCGCAGCGGAAAGCAAGGGTGTCGCCGGCCATGTAACCCAGACCCTCCAGAACCTGCCAGAACCTGAGGCCGCGGCGCTTGCGTCCCCCGTGGCGTCTGAGGGGTATCTGCGCTCAGCAGGAAAGGGTACGGGAAAGTTGTTACCCATATGTTGTTGAACAAATGGCCACCTGTCTCATTGCAGGCAGTAAGCGAAACACCCTTCTGTGCCACACTGTTCCCTCCATGATAAACTTGCCCACAGCAGCGATCCCGTTCTTTGCACTTGCCTCGTATGACGGCGGCGGGGCCGACCTGCTCTGCTCCTGCCGCGGGTCCTCCAGCTCAAGCGTGAGAGTGATGTGGGTAATGGAGGGGTCCTCACGCAGCTCCTTGAAGACGGTGGACAGCATGTCCGACGACAAGTCGATCATGCCCTTGGTCACTGCGGGCAGGAGAGAAAAGGGCATGGCAACCAAGCGAACATCTTGACATACTATACCGGTACATTTCCGCTAATCCCTTGCTCTCTTCCATGTCATTCCTTAGGCTTCCTATTGCAGCGAAGCCCCAGCTCCACGTAAGCCCCACGCCGTCCCTGTCCCTTCCTACCGTTTGATGGCGACATAACGTGATAACAGCAACCCCGGTCAGCGGCCTGAGTGCATGGCAGCCGCCTCCAGCACCTTTCGGCAACGTTATCCCCTGTGGCATCGCCCGGTTGTGCCGCTGCTGATGCTTGCCGTTGCGGTGCCGTGCCACTACTGCCGTCAGTGTTCAGCACCTTGCCCTGGGCACGGTCAGCGGCGCCCTGCTTCTCCAATGCCAGCTTTGCGGGCGCCAGCAGCCCTCTAGCCAGGCTTGTCATTGCAGGGGCCGCGGAGTCACGCCGCTGCTGCTGTGGGATGTCTACATCCACGCGTTCCTGCTTAGCTTGCGGCTGCGGCTGCTGCTGCGGGCCGTCCAAGCACACATCCCGTCGCTGCACGGTCTGCTGCTGCGGCTGGTGCTCATCTGCCCCAGGCGGCGAGCCATTGCCCTTCATCAGCTGGACAAAATAGCGGTTCGGGCCGCTTGGGTCATGGCGGAAGGCGACCGTGTTGCCTGCTTCGTAGTCGAGATACTCGTACACGGGTTTCATGCCAAATCCGTAAATGTTGTCCCCGTACCGCCCAACTTTGCACTGTAGGGACCGACAGGGTACAGCAAAACCGCATTCACCGCTAGCTTAGTGTGTGACAGGCTTTTATGGCTATTAACCATCTTGCAGCTTACCCGTGAAGCCCATGCTCCGGACGGATCCAAGGAACCACGGGTCAATGCTTTGTTGACAAGGTATACCCCTTGCTGTTCCTACCTTCCATGAAGGCCGTTCACTTGGATCCTGCTGCCCCCGGTCCTCTGGGTCCGGCGAGAGGGTGAACTCGGTCACTGAGAGGTCCTCCCGCAAGTCCTTAAACACGGTGGACCGCATGGCACTGTTGAATCGGATGCGGCTCGCGGCCACTGTAGTCGGAAAGAAAGTTACATGGGCAAGAAGGGTGCCTAGTATTAACATACTATTTGAAAGCACACCGCTGCACTGGGGGTTGGTTGTCACCTATCGGGGGCTCAAAGGGCATACCGAACCATAGGAAACCACAGGTTGGGGCCAAACAATGGGTAGGAAGCGGCAGGGTGCCACAAAACAAGTGTTGGTGGCTGATATTATACTACGCATAAGCAAATAGAGCCACATAGCGGCTTAAGACGTATGCTTTAAGTGCACGCGTGCATGCCATGAGGTGCTATATGCAGCTTAATACAGTAAATCTAACTGCCTCACACCACCTTACCATCCGTAACCGACAGGATCTTGGTGCAGCAGCCAGCCGGCAAGCCCTCCTGGCCGCCAGGGTGCAGCTGCGCCGGCCTGACCAGCCTCCACCGTGACACCCTCTGCCGCTGCCCCTCATTCCGTGACGCTTCCTTCCGCTGCGCCATCTTTCGCAGCTCTAGTTCTAACCAATCCTCTTCTTCCTCTCCCTCTTCTTCCTCCTCTTCCTCCTCCTCCTCGTCGTCTTCCTCCTCACTGTGGTCCATACCTTCCTCCGCATTCACACCCATGCCGACATCTTTTGCTTCGGGCCCATCTGCGGCCATCTGCGCCTCCGGGGCTTTAGAGGCAAGCCGCACGAAGTAGCGGTGTGGGCCGCTGGGGTCACGGCGGAAGGCGAGGGTATCCCCAGCAGCGTAGTGCAGGTACCTCCGTACAGGCACAAACCCTCGGCTTCTGACATCATGCCCAAAGCTCCTGACTGTCGTCTGCAGGTACCGGTACATTTGCAACCATTGCAAGTAGCATGCAAAATTGGTTTCAAGCTTTCATCGTTGTAAAGTTCAGAGATCCTTGAGCCAGCCATGGCAGCAAGCGCCGAAATACACTAAGACGCATCGCATGTACTGTTTACACGCCGAACGCTAAAAACCGTAGCAATATGGCCATTTACCGGACAGAGCAGACGCGACTGCGTACATACAGTACTTCCGCAGGGGCAGGCAAAAGCGACCTTAGCTGTAGGAAACCCCGAGGCCCTTCCCACCTGCCAGGAGGGCAGGTTGCCGGAGCAATGTGGACCCGCTGGGTCGGGTGACAGGGTAATGCGGATCCCCTTGTCCAGATCTTCCAGCAGGTCGCTAAAGACGGTGGACACCATCTCCTTTGTAAACTGCATCCGGCCGTTTGCGACTGCGGGCAGCATTGAACATGCATTGCCCCACGCGAGGAGCAGCAGCAGCCAGATAAGCAACGTACGGGGGTGCACAGCTCGGGCATCTCATGAGATTAATCCGTGTAGCGCTACACCACATCTGATTCCTGCCTAGGCTATAAATGCCTACGTGAAAGTGATTTCATGTTCTCGCCAATGCGGTGTATGATGTATGATGCCGTGTTCGGGTCCGGCGGCGCTCGCAAGCTGCCTGGAGTGCAGAGCAGGGAGCGGCGTGCATGGACACCCACACACACCGCTCCCTGCTCCGCACTCCAGGTATAGCTTGCGAGCCCCGCCGGACCCGAACACGGCATCATAACACACCGCGTTGGCGAGAATCTCCTTCGCCTTACATTACTCTGGGCACAAACCCGCCCCCTGGGTAAGCCGCCCTTACCGTCTGATCGACGCACGACCCGGTAGCACTCTACAGTGTCGTCACGCGCCTCAGGGGCCGCCTCACGGCCTCTGCTGCTTCCATGCTGTTCCTCACTCCCGTGGCCGGGGTTGCTGCCACCATGGTCGCCATTTCTGGGCGAATCCATCTCCGGCCTGCGTGTGCATCTTGGCTCAAAGGCTGCCGTACAGGAGAAGCAGCGGCAGGAACAGGAACTGCCCTAATAAGAGCTCTGCCGTCAGGCAGGTCACTATCTATTATACGCAAGCCCTATAGCAGTCGAACCAGGTCTTACCCCCCTGCCAGCCCGGTTACCCCCTCGTCAGGTCGCCAGGTAACCTGAGCACCAGTCCGTTACCCCTCGGTCAGGAACATGGCTCTGCCGGAGTCGGCTATATGTAAGACTTACGACTGCAAACGTTAACTTAAGGCTTATTGTCACCATCTTTTGAGGTTTGCGGCTGGCCTGCCCAGGAATCGGTTGTACAGTTCAATTGGCAAGCTGCTGCTGCTTTGTGCCAGAGCTGTGCCCGAACTGCCTTCAATTCTATTGATATCATTTTGATCCTAAGTTACTAGCAACCAACTTTATCTACTCGTGACTTATCTTATGCGGACCACCTGCCTGTCATGCGCTGGCATAGCCGAGGCATGGCGCGTGTGACAGGAGTGCACATGTGTGACACTTGTGACAGGAATGCGCATGTGCGTGGCATGCGCGCCTATGTGTGGCACGTCATGGAAGAAGGTTCCCAAGTATGGAATTGCGGGGGATTAGTTTGGTGGATACAACAATGTCCTGGATGGAACAGTATTGTGCGTGCACGGTATTGAGTGTGCACGGAGGATCCATGCGCGTGCTTTTGCGGCGCCCCAGACTCCAGGCGGCCAAACGGACTTGGTTACCCTGGGGTAACATGGCTGGGTTAGGTATCTCGGTTACCGAGGTTCGTCATACCCCTGTAACGGACCTTGAGATAACGGACCCCTGACGAGGACTTGACGAGGGGGTAACGCGGGTAGGTCGGTTACCCCTCGGTAGTGAAATCGGTAATGTAGGGGGGGCGGTAACCCCGGGGTAAGACCTGGTTCGACTGCTATAGGGAAGCCGCCGTTATTGTCGTCCCTTGAAAATGTTTATAATGCAAAAGACCGTTTGGAACGCAACTGCTGGCGAGCCCTAATCTAGCAACCTGGGCAGCGATTGTGCAAGCCAGGAGGACGGCTGCGGTAAGCTTAGAAAGAATTTTGCAATTTTTTATCGTCTGTAAGCAGGCCAAACGGTTCCGTCGACGACGGAAACGGCAACATGAAGAACTACGGTACTAGGTTCATTCCGGGCTTCCCAAGAAATCAAGGCAAAGCGCTGCAAACAGCACGGAGAGACGAAGCTTTGTTTTGTTGTTGCTGGATTACTATCATTGTTATTATCGCTGGACTGTTGGGCGCAAAGGGCTCGCCTCAACGCACCTTTGCGGCAACGGTGTGGCTGTAGACGACTCGGAACGTTGGACGTCGGCGCGTCGCGAGCGCGCAGAAGATCAAGCTAAACCACAACAAAGGGCCACGATTGCTTGCAGGCGCCCTTTAATATGACTCCGGCTCGCGGCTGTCCCTTCGATGTCCAAGCGGTTCCGTAGGCGGCGGGCTACGTCAGCGCTTTACGACTGCAAAGGGATCTCTTGATCAGCTAAACATGTGCGGCACCTACTTCTATATCAGCTTAACACCTGCCTTGTGGGCCATTCCGGTGTCGCAATCGTACTCTCCTTGGATTTAGGTACCGGTAAGCCGCTTTATCGCATGAAAGGACTGAGTTATAAGGAATACTTAATATGCCTGGCAGCATACTGGCATCTCCGCTGCGGCTTTGGGCTCTGGCTGACCCTAAGGACAGCTGTGCTATAGGGAGCTAGTGAGACGCATCGCATCAGAGCAATGCTGTATGTACACATTCCCGCATCGCTGTTGCATCCAGGGATCCTGAATTCTGTACAACTGTAAAGCAATACATGGTGTGGAGCCATAAAGCTGTGCTGGGGACAACCACTTGCAGCAAATGATCTACTGGTCTTGGCTGCATGCATGCATTCCATGCGGTCTCCTCAGGCGGTTATGGAGTGACCCATGGGTCATGGCCCGGCCTAGGTTGACCGCATCGCAGCACCATTCGTTCCGTTGAATAATGCTGCTAATCTCTTTCACAGCCCTCGCAGCAACCGCATCCCAGTTAGGTGGCAATAGCTGGGTGATGTACACAATGCGCCCCCACGGCCCCAGGTGGCTGAAAACATGGTTAGCCAGCACTCCTTTGTCAATACATCAACTCCCACAGCTGTTCAGAGATATTATGCGCTTGCCGGATACTCTCCTCGGCCTCAACACACGGACGGCAACCAGCTACAGAGATAACTGCATACACGGGTAATTAAGGGTTTGTTTGTAAGGAGTGAAATCAGCAGTTCGCAACCGACCTGTGACGACGTCTACAATGAACTCAGGCGTGCGCGCAGCTAATTGATACTGCTTTCGTTCGCCTTCAAGCCACACATGACCCGTAAGGGCGCAGACTGGAATAAGGCAACACAACTGCGTTTTGGGTGCATGGAAGTCTGTCAGGCGGCAATGCGGCAACAAACAACTCTTGAATGAGCAGGCGGTGTGAAGATACAATCTACATACACGTATAAAGGCACCACCGATAATTGCAAGAAGAGGCCCAAAGAACTGTACCCTAGCTTAATCCGCTGACTCCATGCCCGGTCTTAACCCAGTTATTCCAATGCACAACTAACACGCCGTGATTTAGTCCAGCCGTGCCGCTCCAAGCAAAGCTTTTTCCAAGCTGGCCTGGCTACCACAGGCTAACTTGTGAAGCATGCGGATGGGCATGCCAAGCCGGACGGCCGCTCGACACAGCCATGGTAAGCTCCTCGCCCGTCGCCCCGGTGCTGCCGCCCTCAGAGCCGTAGCCATCACTGTTGCTCGTTGTGCCGCTGCTCCGCCGCTGCCGCCGCTGCTGCTGGTGGTACTGCACGTCCACGTCGTGCTGCACGGTGCGTCGGCGTTTGTGGGGCGCGTCATGGCGTCGGGCCTGAGCAGCAGCCGGGTACTCACCATGCCGGCCTGCAGCTGCTGCCGGACCCCGCGGCACTGCTCCATGCTGCCGGCGTTGAGGCTCCTGCGCCAGGTGGCCGCCACCCTGGGCTGGCGCACGTGGCGGGGGCATAAGGCCAGCACCCCCTGCCGCGGCCTCTGTAGCGGCCCCCTCGTGGCGCGCGTTACCGCGACCACCTGACTGATCCAGTGGCTGCTGCTTCGGTGGTTGTTGCAGCTGCTGCTGCGGTGGCTTCACCTCATACGACAGCAGGCCCTCAAGCTCACCGCTGCTGTGAAAGATTTGCTCGGTTGGAACATGCAGCTTCGACAGGTACCCTTCTTCTTGGGCCTGCCCTCGCCACCAGTCCGCCCCATACTCCCGCAGCAGCTGCCGCCCCTCCGCGATGTGGCGGGTGGCTACCAGCACTGGAAGGGGGATACCGAAGACCAGCACGGGAAGGACCTGCCGGAGAGGGTTCAATGGGGGCGCGGGGGGTACCGGAATTCAGAAAGAGTACATGAGAAAGATGGGCGCATGCACGGAGGGTTACCGTGGTGGTTTAACGGCATGAGGCTTGACCGCCATTACGACAGTATTTCTTGGACCTAGCAGCCACGCTATGCTCACACAACAAGTCCGGCTGTACTTACGATGCAGTTGGCTGCAGCGGTTGGGGCCTCCGCGAAGGATCGCATGCGCGGGTCGTTGACCAGCGCTGTGGCGTTGCCGTACCCCAGCATCATGATGTCCCACTCGCCGTAGGGGAGGGAGCCTGCACGAACAAGGGCCGGGAAAGGGGGTCAGAGCAGCGCATTCCGCGTGGACAGTACGCCTGTCAGCTCAACCCACTTTGTGGGCTGTTTTGTGTCTTCCTCCTAAGCAATCAGGATGCAGGAACTGACCTTCCGCAGAGCCGTCTTGCTCTGCATCTCCATCCTCCGCTGCTGCCGCTGCGCTGCTGCTGGCGAACGGCATCCTGAGCCCGCCCGCCAGCACCCGCCACACCAGTTGTGCGACCTGCCGCTGGCCTCTCGCCCGGCGCAACAGCTCCGCCTGCTCCGGACTGCCCTCCGGGAAAGGTGCGCCCAGTCGCCGCACCCGCAGCGCTGCCTTGTTCCTCGGCATGACGTACCCGCCCACCACCCCCAGCGCCGAACACTGCTCAATGGGCTTGGCGGCGAACAGCCCCGCACCGCCCCGCGCAGGGTCGCGGCCGGGAGCTAGGACGTCGGCCGCCAGCACTGAACCCTCGGGCAGCGGCCTGTCGGGCTGGTCCAGTAGGCCCAAGAGCCTCGCGAGATCGTTGCGAATGGCAGTCTTAGCATAGTCGCACTGCTCCTCCGCTTTGAAAGGCTCAGACACGGAGGCCTCTGCAGTATTGCCCTCCTGCATCAGCCGCCTGAGTTGCTGCATGCTACTGGGAGGGATCTGAATGATATCCTCCAGGAACATGTTCCGCAGCTTACCGCTGCGCCGCAGCTGCTCCACTTCTTCCAAGGCAGCCGACACGGCCGGCGCCAGGTCTGGGCTGAAGGTGAGGCCGCACAGCCGCACCTCGCCCGGCGCCAGCGCAGGCAGGCAGTCATCGGCCACGTCAGCGCTCAGCGGCCAGCCACAAAGGCCACGCGGTGCGGGCTGCGGCAGTGCGTGCTGCGGCGGTGCGGGCTGCGGCGGTGCGTGCTGCGGCGGTGTGGGCTGCGGCGGTGCGGGCTGCGGCGGTGCGGGCTGCGGCGGTGCGGGCTCCGGCGGTGCGTGCTGCGGCGGTGCGGGCTGCGGCGGTGCGGGCTGCGGCGGTGCGGGCTGCGGCGGTGCGGGCTGCGGCGGTGCGGGCTGCGGCGGTGCGTGCTGCGGCGGTGCGGGCTGCGGCGGTGCGGGCTGCGGCGGTGCGGGCTGCGGCGGTGCGGGCTGCGGTGGTGCGGGCTGCGGCGGTGCGGGCTGCGGTGGTGCGTGCTGCGGCGGTGCGGGCTGCGGTGGTGCGGGCTGCGGCGGTGCGGGCTGCGGCGGTGCGGGCTGCGGCGGTGCGTGCTGCGGCGGTGCGGGCTGCGGCGGTGCGGGCTGCGGCGGTGCGGGCTGCGGCGGTGCGGGCTGCGGCGGTGCGTGCTGCGGCGGTGCGTGCTGCGGCGGTGCGGGCTGCGGCGGTGCGGGCTGCGGCGGTGCGTGCTGCGGTGGTGCGGGCTGCGGCGGTGCGGGCTGCGGCTGCGTGTTGGAAACTGGCAGCGCTTCAGCGGCTGCCGGGGCCTCACCGGTTCCAGGCCTTGGCATCAGCCGCACGAAGTAGCGGTGTGGGCCGCTGCTGTCGTTGGGGTCGCGGCAGAAGACAAGGGTATCACCAACTTTGTAACCTAGCTGCGCCTGAATCTTCCGAAAACCTCGGCAGCAGATCGTCCTCTCCCCGTATCGGCGCACGTCGATCTGCGTCCAGCAGAGATGCACGCGTCAGTAACATCATTACTCATCACTTCTTGTCAGTTGCACGGTGTCATAATGGCAATCCGCCACTTATGTCCAAACCACAACCAGGGCCGTGTTGCTCAAAGTCATCCAATCCTCTGAGCCTACCTGGTATGAAGGTTGTGGGTTCAACCTCTGCTCCGCCTGCCGCGGGCCCTGCAGGTCTACCGTGATGGTGATGTGGGTGATGGAGGGGTCCTCACGCAGATCCTCGAACAGCACGCCCGACATGACCTCCATAACCCCCCGGGTTTCTGCGGGCAGCGGATGGCTTCGCAATAAATCCGACGTTGAGGCATACGTTATCCGCTCATCCCTTCCCCTTTTTCACTTTGGAATGCTCAACAGCCCAACTCCACGTAAGCACCATGCCTTCCAAAGGGTGTGCCCTGTGTCTTCCCACCCTTACCCATTGTCCGCGACACTACGCGCTTGAAGCAACCCGGTTCAGCGGCCCGGGTGTGTGGCGGCTGCCTCCTGCGCCTGCGGGTGGTGTGAGCCTCTGCTGCTGCTGCTTCCCGTTGCGGTGCGGTACCCCTTCCACCCGGCTTCTTTAACGCCCTCTTCAAGGGCGCCAGCGGTCCTCTAGCAGCAGGGGCCGCCGAGGCACGGCGGATGAAGTAGCAGTGCGGCTGGCCGTTGGAGTCTTGGCGGAAGGTTAAGGTTGTGCCCACTTCGCAGTTGAAATATTGGAACATGGACCTCACGGATTCCGCGCCCACTCCGTATATGCTCGTCCCATAGCGCCCTACAGTGAGCTGTGGGGACCGACAGGAACCAGCAACCACATTCGCAGTTAGCCAAGTGCGTGTCAGCTATACATGATTTCGGACGTACATTGTGCGTGGTCTAAACCTGAAGCCCTTGCTCAGGAACTGCGGACCCGTGGGTCACTGTTTAGTTGCCTCACGTGATGCCCCCTGCTGCCCGTACCTTCCATGGAGGCTGCTGCTGCTGCCCGCCCTGCTGCTGCTGCCCCCGGTCCTCTGGGTCCGGCGAGAGGGTGAACTCGGTCACTGAGAGGCCCTGCCGCAAGCCCTTGAACACGGTGGACAGCATGGCTTTTGTAAACTGGATGCGGCTCTCAGTCACTGCAGTGGCAAAGGGGAGCACAACTAGAATACCACATATTTAGATTCCAGGAAGCCAACGCTGGTCACCGTTTGAGGGCTACCTATGTAGTACATTAGAGCCGCATGGCCCCTGAATGAGCCTGTATGCCCTGGTTGCAAACATGCATGCCAAAAGTGCTGCATGCCACGCAAAGCAGAGCATGGACTGGGCTTCACAAGGAACTTACCGTCCGATAGCACTAGCGCCTTGGAACAGCAGCCAGCAGGCAAGCCCTTCTGCTGGCTGACACGGAGCAGCCGCCTCGGCATGGCCGGCTTCCGCCGCCGGGACACCGCCTGCTGCTTCTTGTCACGTGCCGCGTTCTTTTGCTGCTGCCGCCGTTCCAGCTCTAGCCAATCCTCCTCCTCCTCCTCCTCGCCCTCCTCCTCGTCGTCTTCTTCCTCCTCGTCCTCTTCCTCCACGTCCTCTTCCTCCACGTCCTCTTCCTCCTCGTCCTCTTCCTCCTCGTCCTCTTCCTCCTCGTCCTCTTCCTCCTCGTCCTCTTCCTCCTCGTCCTCTTCCTCCTCGTCCTCTTCCTCCTCGTCCTCTTCCTCCTCACTGTGGTCCGTGTCTTTCTCCTCGTACACGTCCATGTCGACATCCTTGGCGATATGCGTCTCCGGGCCTTCAGCAGAGGCAAGCCGCACGAAGTAGCGGTGTGGGCCGCTGGGGTCTCGGCGGAAGGCGAGGGTATCCCCAGCAGTGTAGTGCAGGTAGTTCCGAAGGGGCGAGAAGTCGTAGCCCCTAACGTCACCCTCAGCATGGCGCTTGACTGGAATCTGCATTCACATGAGGCATGGGAAATCGGATGGAGTCTCCCTTCCCCCGTACAACCCTAGAATTCTGGGCCGGGCACCATAGCCAGACGGCAATAGAGCCGTGGGAAGGCTTAGGCCCCTCCCGCCTACCTGCCAGGAGGGCATGTTGCGGGAGCAGTGTGCAGCCGCCGGGTCGGGTGACAGGGTGATGGTGGTTCCCTTGTCAAGGTCTTGCAGCAGCAGGCCGCTGAAGACGTTGGAGGACAGCATCTCTGGAGTAAACTGCATCCATTTGCAACCGACTGCGGGCAGGCAGCAAATACGCATCGTTAACGCGTATTCGCCAAGAGGAGGTAGCAGTAACCTTAACCATGCCAAATGAGGATCACAGGTGGATGTGCGGCTCAAGTATCTCAAACCTTGCGTGCGGCTCGAGCACTTCGTTAGACTTATCGGCCTAGCGCTGCAACACCTCGAATATGGCCCTGTGAACACTTACGGATTCCGCCCCGCAGCCCTTACCGTCTGCTTGACACACAGTTCGGTAGCACTCCTCAGCGCCATCGCGCGCGTCAATTGGTGGCGCCAAATCAGGCGCCGCCTCACTTCCACCACTGCCTCGCGCGCAGCCATGTTGCTCCGCAGACCCATGGCCGAGACCGCTTTCACCATGCTCGTCGTACCTGGACGAATTCATGTTCAGGCCTGCATGCGCGTGTTGGCTTGGAGAGTTCCAGACAGGAGCTGCGACAGCAGCAGACGCCATGTCGTAAGGCGGGTCGTCTAATCTACCACGCAAGCCGACGTTGCTATCTCCCATTAGAGAGTTTTGGATTGAGCTGAAAAGGGCTCCCCAATGGGCTTGCCGACAAGCCCTAACTTGGCACCCTGGGCAGCGGTCGTGCAGACAAGAAACAGAAATTGACGGTGAAGTTAAATTATAGTTAAAATAATTGTCGCGTAGCAGGTCCAACAGCTCCGTCGACGACGGCAAAAATGACGAACCGCCATATAGCTATACTAGATATAAATAGGCTCCAGGCTCTCCTAAATAATTTCATGTAAGGCGCTGTACAGCCCCGGAGAGACAAAGATCTCTGTAATGCCTAGATTGCGCAAAAGGGAGGCCATAACGCATCTGTGCGGTAACGGTGTGACTGACGCGACTGGAGACGTTGGATGTCGCGAGCGCGCAGATGAGCACAAACTGACACTACAGCGAGGCGTTTGTAAATGTTCTTTCGTATGGACTCACTTAGCAACCGCCTCGTATGAACTCTTCATGTGACTCTTCGTTTCCGGTGTCCAAGCAAGCGGACCGTTCGTTCTACTCTCAATAAGTTCCAAAATATTCCGTGAAAGAAGCAAAGATTTTTATTTATTTTCTGTTTATAGGCGAGCGTACATGCTTGATGCGCAGATGTTGTCGTACGAGGTTGAGCGAGGAGGGTATTAAGATCCACCGAAGAACCACCCCACTTTTCTGCGCCCAGAAGAAGGTTTCGACAAGCGGTTTCTAGTACTTAAAGTGCATAGTATATATGAAGTCCATATTTGTGGCTGGGACGGCGGTTACAATTTATGGGCACCAGAGCCAAACAGCTTTGGATGATGACCCCCGGTTTGGAGTGGTTAGAGCGCCTGAAGCATATGAGCACCTTCGCGACCACCTGGCATGCATATTATATAATCCTTTTATGGAACTGACTGCGAAATAGCTTCCCAGCAGCCACTTCTTTTCCCATCCTTGCGACCATACCACAATTACGCCTTAAACGTCTTTCCAGTCATAAACGCGCTGCATAGACGCGTTATAGGACACATATATATGACTTGGATGTTGTTTAGTAGCATAGGTGCGTTGATGACGGATCAGGAACAGAGTTGCTTGCCCATGATGGCAATTCATCACGGCGGTCATAACTCGTGACCCCCAGACGCCAGCTAGCATGTCCACAGCCTCTCCTAGCTATATTAGTTGCTTGCTGAAGTTTTCCCGGTGCGGGAAGGTGTCTAAGCTGGCCTTTTCGCAGCTTTCAGGGTGGTTCTTAATAGCTCCCCCTCTTTTGTGAAAGTTGGGGATTTTGCGTAGGTGTTGAATAACGGTCAATGTCGCTACTTATAATGAGAGTCATAAGCAGGGCTCTTGGCCCCGTACAGAAGGGTTATAAGGCTATCTGCTGCTTTATTTAGAACGTATGTTTTGAATGCGACACACGCAAAGTCGAAGTGGTTCTTGATACCCCTGTGGCAGCGAAGTGGGGCTTTGCGCTAAGCTGTTGGGATAAGGATTGTTGCGATAGGGCCGCGTCGCGCGCTGACCGGCAAGAGGGATCGGCAAGCGGTCGGTCGCCAGCGCCGGAATAGCCGCGAGTGGCGTCAGTAATGTATGTCGTATTGAAATAAACATGTTGGACTAAAAGAGGGCAAGGGAAGACGGCGCGACGAACCATGGGTCCGGCCGCGAGGGATTGCTGCTGCGAGAGCTACCTACTTTACAAGAGCCTTGTCGGTACCTGTACTTACAGCGCGTGATTGGCTCGCTGTTACCTTTTTGGCCTGCCCTTGATTCTAGACGCTCCGCCAGGCCGCGGCTTGGAAGCAAGGGAACAGCCTTAGTGAACACCCCGGCAAATTGTAGAGATTTTTGCGTGAGCTTTTTGGCATCTTTTTCTTGCAAAAGGTTTGGAATTTGAATGTGTATATGCAAGTCACAAAGACAACCTGCGCTGTGGCTCCAAGTCAAGAACGATTTTTATGAGTTGAGAGGAGTTTCTAGCTGCAGCGTTCGTCACATAATCATGGCACAGGTGTTTGTTCGCAGCCTCAGTCGCTCAAGCGAGCTGACACCTTCGCGCAGCTTCCTTTGTCGTAGCACTGACAACGGAAAACGGTACGCAAGGTAGCGCAGTTATGCAAAAGCAGCCGCTGGGCAATTTGAGAAATTATAATGCAGGCAAGGCAGAGGCGGATCCTGGCTAAAGTCGCAAGAAGGCTTATTGTACTGCATTGCAGCCAGCAATCACCAGCTCCTCTTAAGACACAGGTAGCCTTAGACACAACTAGCGTTATGCAAACGCTGTATCAGAAATTAACATGAAGCTACAGCGGCTGCGGAAGACCTGAACTTTTGGCATCGAAGCCATCGGCATGCGCTCAACACGCGCAGTCGCTTTCCCGACCAAAGAACACTGTCAACATCAGAAACACAAAAAGCTGCGAAAAACATATATCCAGTTACAACGGTAGCTCGCAGGCTTAAGACGTGCGCTTGAGCCATGTGCATTTTGTGCAACTACTGTATGCGAATCCAGAAGAGCAACGGTGAAAAGCCATAAGACGCACACAAGAAAAGCAACAACCTCCAAAGAATTGCAACAACAGGGCGCTTACAGCAAGGGGAATGGGGAAACAGCAGGTCGGAGGCAACGTATGTCATGAGCAAACGTTAATCCCTTAATGCATCGGAGGCGTTTGCAAGGTAGCACCTTGTACGCATGCTTTTCAGCGGGGATGGGGGTATGGGGGAAGGGGCACCAGCCCCTTCCCCCACCAAGATGCTTAAGGTGCCAAAGGAGACAAGAGCTCCACAGACGGCTGCGACACTCCACGCTAGTTGTATTGTGATGTTAAATAATGATGTGTATATGGGTGGGCAGTGATGTTGGCGTGTGTCGTACAAAGTACAAAGCAAGTTACAAAAGGAGAGGCCTTCAGCGCATGTTGATAGCTTGCTACACGCTGGTATCCGTTAGGTTGTTGTCGCGGTAAGGCCAGCAGCGTAGTTTAATACGGCCGACACAAATGGCTTCGCTATTGCCTTCCTTACTCAATACACTAGAGCATATCCGCAGCACGGGGGATTATCCTGTGCAGTTTGAGGTCTCTGCGCTCACGCCCATCCACAAAAAAGGCGATGTGATGGAGAAGGGTAACTATAGGGGTTTAGCAGTGGGTGGTGTTTTGTCTAAGCTTTATGCGTTTATGTTGGAGCACAGGCTGTCTCGTTGGGGCGAGCTGGTGGGAGCTAGGTCGCCGTATCAGGGAGGTTTCCGACGCAAGCGGGGTACCTGCCACAACCTGTTTTTGTTGCGACATCTGACGGACAAACATAAGGGGGGGCGAGATGCAGTTGACCCCCTGTTCGTTTGTCAGATTGACTTTGAGAAAGCGTTTGACAAGGTGCCACGTGATCTCTTGTGGTTAAGGTTGGAGGAACGGGGTGTGCATGGCGCTATGCTGGAGGCTCTCAAGACTTGTTACAACAAGGTCATGATGCGTGTCAGGGTAGACGGAGTGACGGGGGATCCTTTTGAATCTTCGCAGGGAGTCAAGCAAGGATGCCCTCTCAGCCCTACGCTTTACGGGATTTTTGGCGAGGGGTTTGCTGACTATGTTGACGCTAAGGATAAGTGGCTCCCTGATGCTATGCGCGCTAAACAGCAGACTCCCCATGCGGATGGCCGGCGTATCCCGTTGGAACTGTATGCCGACGACCTCAGCCTTTTCGCTACGACGCACAGACGGCTGATTGTGTTGCTTGCTGATTTGAGAGAGTGGTGTGAGGCCTTTGGGATGCGGGTGAATGTTCGTAAATGTGAATTGATGGTTTTCCACCCTCGTGCCAATATCCGCGAGGCTTTTGCTGCCCTTTGCCCTGTGGTGTGGACTTCTATTGAGGGAAATGCGCGAGTACCTATGGTTATTCCTTGGGTACAACGAGCCCGTTACCTTGGTTTGCACTTTGGTCCTGGCACACCGTTTGTTTCCTGCACAGAGGAACTGTTGACCTCTGGCCGACGTGCTATGTTTTCTCTTCAGCGTAAATTAAAACGCCTAGGTCTTTTGGTCCCTGCTGTTGCAGTTAAGTGCTTCGACGTGCAAGTCCGCTCCATCTTGTCGTACGGTGTCCAGGTGTGGGGGCCTGATGTGGTGCTGAAGCTAATGACGGACTGCGAGAATTCCGCGAGGTACTTTGACAGATCCTTGCGGGACCCAATGGTGCAGTTACAAAGGGAATTTCTTCGGGAGATTGCGGGTGTGAAAGTCTCGCCTGATAAGTTGCTGTTTAAGGAGTTTAACCAGCGCCCCTTGCATGTCTTCTGGCTGGAACTGTTTCTGAGGTTTTGGAATGACCTGGTCAAGCAGAAGGACACGGTCTACCACCAGACGTTGCGAGGTGAAATTCGTTCGGCTCTCAGTACTGAGCATTATGATGGCTGGGGTTCTAAGGTGTTGAAGATTCTGAAAATGTTAGGGACGGATTTGACGGCCTTGGGGGGTGAATTGGACTTGAATGCGCGTGTGGAACGTATTGCTGGCACGGAGCTAAATGTGTCTGCTCTCACTAAAAAGTTTGCTGATAGAATGGATGCGGATTGGGAGGATAGGAGTTTGGAAGATGACCCGCGGCTTTTCAACCCAGTAGACCCCGTACCAGGGGTTGGAGTTAAGATGTGCAGGTACAAAAAATGGATGGGTGACCCGGTTGACAGGGGGTACATTACTCAGCGGCAGCATGTGAACCTGATGCGTTTTCGGCTGTGTGTGTGGGGCATTGAAGCCAATCGCCCTAGGGGTAGGCAACGAGTAGCGCGTGTCTGTCCTATGTGTGCCGTGCAGGGGTCGCCGGGGAGAGTGGAAGATGAGAAACACATCCTCATTGAATGTCCCGCTTACGATGATTTGCGTGATAAGATATGGGAAAGTGGTGTCCCACGGGATGCTGATATGATTGCTGTCATGGGCATGGAGAATCAGGCATTGCTTGCTAGCGTAATCACTAGCATGCGAAGTCGCAGGATTGCGCAGACAGGGTTTATCATATGATTAGCGTTCTGTTTGTTGTCTCTTTTGTTTACTTTTCTTCTTTTGGTTGTTTTCGCGTTTTGTGCTCGCGATCCATGAGCCTTCTGGCTCGGACGGATCTTACGAGCTTGGTACGAAGCTTGTAACACATACATACTCAATACACACAATGGCCAGGGAATGCAGGAAAACATATGAAGTTGAGGCTCTGTGTAAAGCAGCCGAGACTATTGCTTCTAGCGGACTGAAACTTACTGCCAAGCTATTGTATGATGAAGTGTGCTCCGACACGCGCTTGAAGGGCTTGACGTATACACGTGTTCTCAGCTTTTTGCAAAACAACAAAGCCGGGCAAAAGCATGTCCGGCCTAGGCCCAACCCTACCACTCAGCCTTCGAAGAAGCGTTCAAAGTGGACTCTGGACGAGGAAGCAGCGTTTCAGAAAGCAGTGCTCACGCTACAATCCTCCAACAGAAAAGTAACAGCGGGAGCTGTCGTAAAGGAGTTGAATG